TTGATAAACTTAGAAGCTATAAACTGAGTTGACAAGAGATATCACTTAGAAGCTCTCGCAGTAAGCTCTGTTTCAGAAATTAATTATTGCGTTCATTTATTTTCGGTATTTGAGGTTTTAATTTTCTAGGTTTCAAATAAAATTTTCGTTTTATGCTATTTTTGCTCCTGAATATTCTTTTAATATTAGAAAGAAAAGGCTTTGATCTTTGAACTAAAACTAAAGATTTTCTTATAAGCTAGCTAATAATAAAGCTTCAGATTATCCAAGTTTCGCCATTGCACTAATTCCTTATTGAAAGTATGATTCAAAAGCTCTCCAGGGAGATAAGTCTTACTAAAGTTTTAAATAAACTTCTGGCGAGAATTATTTTCTTTTATGCAATTAATTAGTGAATAAATTTTACACCTATGATGTTCATAATTATATAGAAACTGGCTCCCATTCGTTCTTTTGATTAATAAATACAATCGTAGGAGCAATAAATGCAAATACTTTAGAATCCAAACAGACGGCGTGAATTCCAGGTAAAGGATCCACTTCTTTTGTTTGAACTTTTCACTCCTTGCCATCCAGAGCCCATAAACTTTTGCCTAAAACAAGCAAGTTTCTGTTGTCACAGAGTATTTTAATATTGGAAATTCTCTCACTCCCCAACTTCAATTTGGAATTACATCGGTAAAGTTTATATTTTTTTGGTCTTTAACCCCGCTTAAATTGGAAAAAAATTGTTTCAATAGAACAATTTTATGGATGAAAATACTAATTTTTATATTGTGAAACACACTATGTAGCACGGGGCTTCTTTGGCTCAAGCTCCAGCCAAAAAGCCCGTGCTGCATAGTGTATTTCACTATAAAATAAATTTAAATATGAATAGTTTTTTAAAAATATTAACCCTTTAAATTGGAACAGTAATTTTTGCTCCAATATATGGTAGAGTTAGGAATTCTTAATGATAATGTTGATCAACTACTACTAGTATACTTTTCTATATATTTGCAACACTCTCCAGAATTTAAATCTCCCCCAGCTACATAAACGGCGTTTTTGAATATTGCTGCTGATGCATTTGCTCTAGGTGTTTCTAAAGGTTCGATTGAGCTTCATTTTTCGTTTTCGATATCATAGATTTCACACTCTCTTGAAAGCCCTAAAGATCCATAGCCGCTAATTGCATATATAAAGGATTCATTGGCTACCACTGTAAGCATACATAAAAATGGCGTGGCGAACCAATCCACCTCCTAACACTGTAGCTGGGGAGACCCAGGGATCTTGTGGAAGGATGTTTTGGCGTTCGGTATGTGTATCTGCCCAGGTTTTACTTGGTCTGGGGAGCTCAATGTCCAGGTTGTCGGACCGCATCCAGACCAAGGCTTTGCCTCGGAAGAAGATGGAGTTCGCAGTTGGAAAGGGGTGCCCCAGTAATACCAGTGAGGTTCCTCCTGGTCGTTCCCCAGCGAAATACAAGGCGTTGCGTTCTGGGCTACAAATTTTCATCTTGGTAGACAGGTGACCAGAAAATTTGTTTTCGACTTTTCTAGAAGCCAAACCCGTTAGCGTGCGGCATTGTGACCCATACTTTCAGACTACCAGGAAGTATGTGCAGGCCCAGAACTGGTAGGAACAAGACTTTGAAGGTCATGAGAGGATTGTCGGCGAAGTAGATACGTTGAGCGTTGTGGAAGGGAATGAGATTCTTCAAATTCCAACAGGGAGCTTTTCTATAGTCTAACTAAGCCAAATCTAAGGCTATCACTGTATGCGAGTGCCTACTAGAAATCATGTCAGACTTCTTATTCAATTTTTCTGTATAAGTGTCAAAATAAAACGCATTTTTACATCCAAACCCATCTAAAGTTCCGCCGATAATGTAAACTCCAGTCTGTGCCTGAGCGATTTTGGCATTTTTAGGAAGACTCAAATCGAAATTTTTAAACTCATGAGTCGCAGTGTTAAAACTAGTCAGACCGCCTGACTTTAAAGTATAAATAATATAAAATCTGGTCGTAAGAGAAGGTAAATCGCCATAAAACACAACTTGCGCTAATAATAAATTTATTTTTTCAGAAAACATATGATGCTCTGAAACGCTCTGCAATTCAGAAATGATTGCCTGGGTTTTTACACCTGTATTTCTGGTAAGATGCATTCCCACAACTCTGCCATCTTTAATGATTGGGAGGCCAGGCAAAGCATCAAACTCATACGAGAGCTTATATGGGTCAACGTTTGTGACCTTCACCATGGAATTATTGATGTAAACAACATCGTCAATCCTGATTTCCTTGCTTGCAAGTTGCAAGCTTTCTCTTTGCATTTCATTTTTAACTGCTACAAGGGCAAAGCAGAGAGCTGGGCTTCTATAGAAGAATTTTTTGGGGTCCAACTCTACCTCAGCTTGCGCATTTAAAGCCTTTTCTGGAGATGTGATGACTTTGCTAGAAGTCATGACCAGATTCAGGTTTGTTCTAAACGCCATGCATGAAAAATCACCCGAAGTCAAGATAAAGCAACTGTCCACTGAATTGGACTCCATATCGGGGTTAAAGATTGCTATTTCTATCCTGGAAACTGTGTGACTTTTAGAATATAGGGAAAGAACGTCTTTATCGCTTCTTAAAAAGTTTCCATTGATATGCAAAGCAATTTTCTCTGATTTTAATTCTTTAAACTTCTTCTTGGCTAAGTCTTTTAACTCTTGAAGCGATTTCGGTCTTTTATTGAGTTCTTTTTCTCGGGATTTATAGATAAGAATGATTTTACCAGATGAATTTGCAGAGCAGCAAGCTCCCATGTTTTCAAATAATTAATGCGTTTTAATGAAAGAATATTTTAATATTTTGGCTTCAAAAATCAGATATAGTTTCGTTTATCATTTTCTTTTCTCTTGATATAGGCAATTTTAAAATCTATTTCTGATAAAATAAGGCAGTGCTTTTTAATTTATTATCCTATCGACCTCAAAAAATATATTGCAATTTCTTGTGGATGGCGCTGTTTTGGCTTTGATTGTCCCACTGGAAAAATTTTTTGGTTCGATCAGTACCATATGGTTTGGTCAAATCAAAAAATTTTCCTAGTGGGAAAATCAAAGCCAAAATAGCGCCCATCCATGGGAAAATCCTATATGCATTATTAGTTTTTAAAAATTATTAAGAAACTTATAAATCTTTAACTATAAAATATAAAGATATAAATATCACTATAAAAGTAATAAAGCTTTTCTAAAATGGCTCGTTATTAAATAAAAATGAATGCATTTGATATCATAATTCAAATTGGGAACTTACATCTCACCTGCCCAAAGTCACTGCTTGCCGAAAATTCAGACTACTTCAGGTCACTTTTCCAAGGTTCCTATTCGGATTCAGACTCCAGTTTCTTCAGACTCCCAGATCACTTTTCATTTACAGGATTTTATCACATTTACGAACTTATGCATAGGAAAGATACGCTTCCCTATGACACTCAAATAGCTCTCGAAGTTCTTGAGATTGCTGATTTTCTTCAAGTTTCTCGAAGTCTGTTTCAGCTCATACTTGCATATATTAAAATACACTCTGATAACGCGACCTTTTGGCTATCGATGTGTGAAGGCAAGGAAGAGTGAAACGAACTTAAAAGCAAAGTTCTCAAAATCTGCAAGGAAGAAATAAATGAAATCATTTATGACGAGAATTTGAAATCTTTTAAGCTAGAAAATCTATTTGAAATTTTCGATACATCTAGAGTTTATCAGTTAAACGCAGATGATGTGAGCCAAATGCTGGATACTCTTTTTTGGGTACAAGGAAATTCGTCAATTTCCAAACTGCTGCAAACCATAAGAGATCACTATGAAAGTGCAAGCCAAAATGAAGATTCAAGCTTTTCATGAAAAATTGGAAGCTTAGACTATGACCAAAATCAAAATGGCTACTATAAAAGAACTTTTGAATCCGCCACTGATGTGTGGTGCTTGAAATCTAAGATATCTGAGAGGCTCTACATAAGTGTATTTACTGCTCATCAAAAATGCAAAAATAAAGGGCATGCAAACGTGAAAAGCCTATTTTACAAATATCAGATGCAATCAGCGAATGGAAATTTCGTAAAATCATCATTGTTTGGTTTTCCAGTAGACTGAAATTGCTGCTACGGGCCAGCAAGATTTTGCGAAGTCTCAGACATGTCAAAAGATAGCACTCTCGAAGTTTGAATAAAAGAAATCCCTCTTCACGGAGCAATTCTCTCTTATATTGTTGACTCAATAGAAACCATTTCTACTGATTTTTCTGAGCAAGAACTATTGTTTTTCAACCCAAAAGACATGTTCAGTGTAATTGAGTCATGTCACGTCATGAATAAATCTGAAGACACAATTTGCTATCTTCTGGCAAGGTATCTGATTCATCACCCTGATGAATGTGCAGGAATCATCGAAACTTTAAGGATGTACTCTATGAGCTTGGAAATGCTCCAAACAGTAAGTAATCTACCTTACTTTGACTCACTCCCTGATACCTTCAAGACCAAAGTCTTGAAAGAATTCGGGACAAGAGTGACTCCAAAACTGGAGAAACTGGAGCTTCCAAGCAGCAGAAGTGTCCTGAGGGTCTTGAACTCAAATTCACTTAATATGAGATAAAATTAAAATTTTGCGATTTTATGCATTGCTACATAATATTTAATTTATTTAAAGAAAATGGAAAAAAGGAGCAAAAGTCCTATTTATGTTCTTACTTACTTTTAATCAGGAAGCTTATGCTTCCAGCAAGCTCTTAAGAGCTTTTTTTCCAGAATCACTCTAACCTAACCTGCTTTCACCCGATCTCACTCCGATTGCCTTTCCTTTTCGCTGTCTCTGCCTCTTTCTCCATCAGTCGACACCTCTGCTCCAGTTCCTGTTGGTGTTTTCTCGCTCTGTCTCTTAGGATCGCATCGTGGAAATCCTTGATCGCACTGTCTATTCTTTGCACCTGTGACAGTCTACCGCAATTTGTCAATTGCTCAATCTTTTCTTCAAACTTATGACTATAGAGAGCCATTTCCGTTAGCGTCAGTTTCACGCACTTCTCAGCCCAGGTCTCTCAGCCTTCCTAGCATTATTCTCGCTGCTTTTTGTATCTTGCGCATCTCTCCATTATATGTTCTTCTGTTTCATCAAGTCCGCATGACTCGCACATTCCATCCTTGCTCAAATGCCTCAGTTTGGCATTGGAATTGCAAAAATTGAAGCCTGCCCGCAGTCTGTGGATGGTACCAATAGCTCGCCATCTTTCAGGATTGATTCTGATGTAGGCGGCCTGTCTGGTCTTCTTGCTTCCTTCAGTGAGCCTCCTAAATAGCCTCGTTGTTTTTTCAGTTTCTCTCCTGAGCCTGTCGATGTTCTCTCCACGTTTTGTGCTCTCAACTTCCCCTCTAATAATATCTCTCAATTGTCTTTATCAACTTCTCTTAGTTTCTCGCTATTGCTAAATCCAGCCAAGCCAAGCTCTATCAGCATATTTTTGCATTGCTGTTCTCATGGTAGTTTTGAGGATCTGGTTTATATTTCTCATCGTTTTTGTGATTGAGTTTCGAGACTCTAAGATCCTCTTGCTAAACACTAGCGTCTTCTTGATCCAGTAGTTTTTGAGCGAAATTCAGCCTAAATCTTCCATTGAGGTCTCCCTTGCTGCCCCTCTCGGTGCCTGCAACAGTACCCGTGCTATCTTCATTCTTTCCCTTTCTATCAATTCAAGTATTTTTCTGTCTCATCCTCCTTGCATGGCTTCCTTTGCATATAGGACTAAAGGTGTGATATGTGCTTCCGCAATTATTGCCTTATTTTAATAGACGTGCATCTTAGTCCTGCTGTTAATCCCATCACCATCTTGCACGCTATTCTACTTTTTTTTCAAGAGTCTTCTTCTGGTCAGTCCTTATATGTTGCCTTTTGTCGTCCTATTTATGTCACTCAAGTAAGTCTCCTACAGAAGTGACTGAGGAGATCGAAGAAAAGATTCGAACCAAAAAGAGGATGCTGGAAGTTCTAGAACTGGAAGCTGCTATCATAGATGATGAAATCATTGAGCAGGTGGAAGCAAGGGATTATATTATTGAAGAATTAAACAAAGAAGTGATTTATTTAAAATCACATCTGAAATCTTCTGGAAATTCCGACCATTCTAAAGATGAGGAAATGCAAGGACTCAAGGACCGAATTGAGGATATTTTAACTGAAAAAACAGAAATTGAAGAGCAGTTCTCACAGATCCAAAGTGAAAAGAGACAACTCATCAGTGAAAAAGATGAATTAGAAAAAGCCAATGAAGCTTTAATGGAGGAGCATGAGATATTGAGAGGGGAAAAGCAGCTAAAGGCTGACGAAGTAAAACAACTCACAGATGATATTAAGCAGCTGGCTGCAATTATTCAGTCAATGTCTGAATTAAATAAGGACTTGACAGGAAAAGTTGACAAACTGAATGCTGATTTGGAGCAGAGCGTCATTGCTTCATATGAAGCCAAAGCAAAGGCGTCTAATATGGAAGAGCTGGAAAAGCATTTGAATGAGGCCATTGAAACTAGCAAAAAGATTGAAGAGAAGAACAAAGATCTAAGAGCCAAGAACAAGCAGTTAGTTAAGTCCAATAAGGAATATACTGCTATTTGTGAAAATATTCAAGGGAAAATAGCATCATTTCTAACTGAAAACACCCCAGAAGAAGTCAGAATATTTCTTGTCAAGTTTTCACAAGATCTGGGGAAAATTCCTCAAGTGATTCAAGAAGAGAGCAGCACACCTACTGAAAACGCTGGAAATTTTGGTGAAGTTGTTGAGAATGAAAATAAGGAGCTAAGCAAAAGAGTAAAAGAAACGCAAAATAGAGAAGCATCTCTGTATGAAGAAATCGATGGCCTAAAAAAACTGCTGGAAAAGAGAGAAAAAGAATATGAAGAAATGGCAAATAAATTAAGCACACTCTTCAATGCTAGTGCAACGAATTCTGATCAGGTTAAAGAGCAGCTAACTAACTATTTAATTAATAAAACTGTTTTATTTTAATTTTTAAATTGATTATTTTAATTTTAAATAAACTATAATAATTAAATATTTTCTATTAAATGGAGAGTAAGACAAGTTCAATTAAAGCTCGGCAAAAAGAAGAACAAGTGCAAGCTGCTTCAAACCAAACTGCTAGATATTGAGCCAAAATACAATAGAAAGCTGAGTACTCTAACTGCACAAAAAGAAAAAGCTGAGAAAAATAACGAAGAACTAAAAGAAAAAATAGCAAAGCTTAAACCACAAATAAGCGGGTTGCAAAGCGAAAGCCGAGAGCAAAAAAGACTTGCTAGACAATACGCAAATACAATACAAGTGCTCCACGATGAGTTTTGGAAAAGAGACACGGCGTTGATCAAGGTCAAAAGGTCCTTGATTCGTGCTCAGAAAGAAATAAAATCATTAAAAGCACTCGTAGAAAAAGCAGAAACTCATGCTAAAAGCTTAGTCGAGCACCAAACTAACAAAACACTGATTGAGCTCCAGTCTAAAGATCAACAAATTGCCCTACTTAAAGGCATGCTAAAAGGCAACCCAATAGAGCGAAGGATTCAGAATGATTCGCTCTCAAAGCGAGGTCACAGCTACCGAACAAGCTACGACGAAAGCTCAATCAATACTCTCAATACCTCAGCAACTTCAGAAACAAGGTCTTTTTCCAGCTTAACGCCCAGCATGCTCATTAATAAATTTCTTAGAATCTCATCATTATACAAAGGTAAAGAAGAAACTCCGACTGGGACTAAGCCAAACCTTAACAAACTCGTCACAAATCTGAGAACTAAACTTAAAATATTTCCCAGCTTTAGCTCTAGCGAGCTTAATGAGAATGTGCCAGAACTCAAGGGCTCTATTGATACGTCAAAAAGCCAGCTAACACTTGATGAAGTTATCAATGCTATAGTATCAACAATTTAATAAAATTAATCGATTTTTAATTACAATACAATAAGTTTTTTATTCTAAAGCAAACTAAATTACCACTCTTGCTGAAGCCAAGAAACAATTTTGTCAGATCTGCCTACATATTCATTTGACTGCTGCTCGAGCGTCTTCTGCTCCTTTTCTAAGCATTTGATTTGCTTATCAATCCTCATGTTTTCTGAAGTCAACTGCACAAATTCCTCTCTCATCTGTTCAATTAGTTCGTTTAATTTTGTTCCTACTAACGGATTCAAGTCATTTGTATCTTTTTCTATGTGCTCTTTCATAACATTTAGCTCACTATGCAAACTGCTGCAAGATGCTTTGTAGCTTTGGAGCGACTCCTTGCCTTCTTTGACGGCCAAGTTGATATTTCGTAAAAGGCCGCTCACTGTCGACTCTTCTATATAGGTTTGTAGCTGTTCTGGGTCTCGAAAAGTTGAAATCGTTGAATAAGGAGTGAAACGTTGTCTTTCCATTTATTTTAATTAATTTATGAACTGTTAAGTTTCGAAGGAGTGAAGAGGCTTGAAGCGTGAGGAGTGAAGGGTCTTTTGAAAGGCTTGGAACCAGTGTCAAAAGAAATGCCAGAAAATAATTTATTTGTTGAAAAATTACTTTCTTGCTCACCTAAAGCAAAAATTTTCCTATTACTGGGAGGATCAAAAACTTGAGGAGAGCGCATATTGCTTTTGAGCTGCTGGTTTTCTTGTGTAAGTTGAGTATTTTGTTGCTGCAGATGCTGGAATTGCATTGCGAGTTGTTTGTAGTGGTCTTTTAATTCCAGATATCCTTGCTGAGTTGCATAAAATGCTTGCTCAGTTTGCTTGACCTTTTCTCTATATACATTTTCCCTCTGCGAAGCCAAGTTTTTAACTTGTGAGACTTCAAGGTTTTTTTGGGCTTGCCAAAACTCTAATCCGACTCCTGCTGATTCCAAAATTTCTGAAGGATTGAACCCTATCAGTGCAATCCTTTTCCGTTCATTTATGTATTTCTTTGAAAAATTGGCTGATGTGACGTTGACTTGTCTGTTACAGATCGGGCATGTCTGGTGAGAAGAAAATCATTCTTTTCCATGCTCTGCACATAAAGCATGCCCACAGCTGATCAAGCATACTCTCTCTCCTAGTAGTGTACTGCAGGATGGAGCGTTGCATTTAAATTCAGATGCCATTATTAAATATCAAGTTAAATTGAGAGTTATTTAATATAGCTTAGGCGCGCTTTTAGTGTGTCTTAACGCTTCTATCTCCCCACTCCCCCTCCATGAGCTAACAAAAAAATTTTGTTCGCTAATGGGGTTAATTTTTTTTAATTATAAAAAAATAATTTTTGTAGGGTGAGAAAGGGAATTTTCCCCCAAAAAAGTTTAAGAAAAAAGAAAGTATGAGAGATGCTGCTGCAAAGTTTCATGTCAACTCTATTTACTCGATTTCCGAATGGGTGAGTAAGATTGATGAGTTGAAGAAATTAATAAAATCTGATAAAAATTTAAAAGAGAAAATACAATCAATTCCCAGAGTTTAGAGAGAGAACTAGTTCATTGGCTTACTGCAATTCTTGAGCAAGGTATTCAGATTCTCAGGTCAACGATTGAAGAGAAACCAAAGGTTTGGCGGCCGAATGGGATTGGCTCGATTCGGCTGTGGTGATAAACATGGTAAGGGTTTAGGACCAGAAATAATTTATCTTACCGCAAAATTAATACCTCAATTGCAATTTCGACGAAACGAGATTTGATTGAGATGCTAAAAGCAAGTTTACTAATGATTTCAAGGGAAATCAACGAATTTTAGGTGTTCAATCCACTAAAATGAACCATTCTATCACTTTTATACTTATGATTAGAGTAATGGATAAAAGATGCCTTGTTGCTCATTTTCTAACTCTCCCCCATTTAATAACGAACACTTTTTTTGTTCGTTATTAAATGGGGTCTAACTTATATAAAATTTTTTTAGAAAAAAAATATACATAAAATTTATATTAAATATCTATGAATTTTTTATATAAAAATTTCAATTAAAGAGTTAATAATAAAAGGATTCAAATGATGGCAACAGAAAGAGAAAGCGCCTAAATGAAAGCGAAAAGATAACTATTGCTAACTCCCCACCCCTCCGTGAGCGAACAAAACCATTAGAAAAATCCCTCACCCTCCGTTAGCGAATAAAATGTTTTAATAGAAAAATTTTTTATGGAAAAAATTTTGATTTATAAATGATAATTATTATAATGAAATCTGGAGCTAATTCTTTTTAATTTTAAACAAATTACGTTTTTAAAACATAAATTCTACAAATTCAATTAATATTTGCTATCCAATTTTTGCGAATTAGGATTTTTTTAAATTTCGAAAATAATTTTCTATAAAATTTATAAAAAAAATTTTTACAAAAAAATTACCCCTTCGTAAGCGAACGAGATTTTTTTTGTTCACTCACGGAGCGGGGGAGTAAAGCACCAGCTTAAGATTAAGCCACTATTAGCTTATTAGCTCTTATTTATTATTCTTTGCTCGATTATATTTGTCCTTATCTTATTCTAACTACTTAAAATTAGTAAACTATAAAGACTAAATTAGCTTATATAAACTTTATAGTAAATTTTGTTCGTTATTAAATGGGGCCTAAGGAAAAATTTTTACTCCCCCCCCATCCTTGATCGAACGACTCGCCATCGTTCGATCAAGGATGGGGGTTAAAAAAAATTTTATATATAAAATGAAAAAGATATATATAGATTTTTTTTATTTACTTTAAATAAGAGGGTTAAGAGTATTTAATAATTATTTTTTACAGCCAAAAATTGAATTAATTTCATAAAAATACCAATTTTTAATATTTTGATTTATTAATTACCCTTTTAAACTGTATAAATTTTAATTTAAATTAAATATTTTTTTAAAATTTTAAAGAATCTCTATTTTTTAGATTATTGAGCTTTTAAGCCTATGTTGATGTCTAAATCACTTCGGATGGTTGATTGATTTCGCAGCTTTCTGTCGTCTCAAAGCTCTGAAAAAAACTTCATTAGGCACATCTTCCAAAGCATTTGATAACTAATATTTTTTATATATATAAAAATTTGCATGATATGAAAATCGTTCGATCAAGGATGGGGGTTAATTAATTTCCCCAATTTTTAGGAATTTTTACAGTCAATCGTTCGATCAAGGATGGGGGGGGAGTTAGGAAAAAAAAATGACGGTTTTGTTCGTTATTAAAATGGTGGGAGTAAGAGAAAAAATGGTCAAATCACAAAAACAGTGTGAGAGAAAGACTGAATATTCCAGAAAGCATCTCATAAATCAAATAAATCTGGTTACATATCTGAATGACTACCTCAGAACAAAATAGAGAAGAGAAAACCAATTGCTGATGTGTGATCAGGTTGATAGTCATAAAACTATTGTGATTTTTTATACAATTTCAGATTTAGATGCAACGAACATTTTGATCCCTAGGGGAAGCTCAAATTTTTGAAAGCACTTGAAGCACTAGTAATTGCGAATTTCAAGTCAAAAACAACAGAATTCAGAATCAACTTCCAAACAGAGCAGGTTAAAAGAAGATCGAAAAGAACTTAATACCTCACAGCCCTCGATCGCCTGCCATGATTAGCACTGTTTCAAAGGCATGGGATTTTATAACCCTCAGCTTGTTAGAAAGTCATTTAGCTAGCGGAATCTTATGGCATTAATCATCCAAAGATTTTCATCAATCGAGTTTAATATAAAGAAGTTAATCTAGTCAATTTCTTCTATGATGGGTTGCATTTATTCTTATCATGCATATGCATGCCATTTTGAATTTGGTATGCAGAAACCAAATATACGTTTCAAAACGCAGATTTTAGTGCGGCAAATTCATAATTTGAAATTTCATATGAAAATGGCGTGCATATCGGCCATAAGAAATTTAGCCAAGGGATTATATTAGTCTTTTTAGTATTTAAAATTAAAATTGTCAAACTTACCTTTTTACACATGGTATTCTTTTATTTAACCCTTTGAGTAATATATAAAACAAACCTTATAATCATTATTTTTCAATATCATTCTCGTTGTTTGTATAAATATATATAACTATATATAAAATTTCTATTAGAAAAAAATTTATTTGATCACGAGGGTGGGTTTTGACCAAAAATAATTTTCGCTCACGGAGGGGAGAAGTTAGCAACTTGAAGGTGACGATTCGACTTCAAGTTGACAAATACAGGCATAAGGGTCTAGCTTTGTCAACTTGGAGTTGGCTCCCACTTTCAAATGATGAGTCAATCCTCCAAGTTTATAAGGAGGCAAGGCGTTAGGCTGCCCACACTATACTTAGCCATGAAGTGGCGCGAAGGGTAGTAATAACTGGGGCCAGGGGATGATGATTCACTTAGGTATGAGTACCGCTTGCTATTGGAGGGAATCACAGCTCGGGGAGATTGGGTCCTGATTTTATCCTCATTGATTGTATAAGCAGCTGGACCTGGGCTTGAAACTTCAACGTCAAGAAGTTTTCTTTTTGCTGTGTTAAAACTGCTGTGCCCAACGATGCTGCTGAACTCGGAAAAATGTGATGCAAGCTGCTTTGATTTTGAAAGCTCAATTCGGCTTATTGAATTGTGAATATCCTTACTTCTCTGCCTTTGAGAAGCTTCAGGTGAGGAAGCTAGACTTAATGCTGCTCGATTTTTGTTTACTTTTATTCTGCTGTTTAAGCTTTCCCTTCTTTTTTCTACCATACTCGTCAACGATTGAAAAGTTTCTTGAATATGCTGTGGACTCGCGACTGAATTTTCGACTGATACTCGAGTTTCCTCTGACCCATCATTTAGCTGTGACTCATAGACTTCGTCAATTAACTTATTAACTATAAGTTTTAAGGGCTCTTTTATATTTGATCCACTTTGATGGAAGTCTATTTTATTCAATAATATTGCAAACAACGATTTGATAGTATTTAAGTCTCCAGACCTTGATAGATATGCTTCTAATTCGGTTTGACTAATATTATGATTGGCATGTGAAGGATCTCTATACGAATTTATATCAGACATTTTTTAGTTATAGACATTTTTTAAAAGAATGCTTTATTTGCGGTATTTCAAAGCTATTTAACCCTTATAGATACAAAATAAATTTATTATGTTTAATTAAATAAATAAAAATCATTTTATATCACAATTTATTTATGAGCTATTTAATGATTTAAAAATTTTAAAATGTTCCTTTTTTTCCATTCTTTATCCCATTTATTTATTTTTAAAATTATTCTGACTGGCTATATATTCAATCTTAAATTTATTTTACAAATAAAACTATTATTATAGAGTATATATCCAATTGAAGTTTTCTTCAGCAAAGCAAAGACTAAAAAACTTATATTATCCTAAGAAATAGAACTAATGGGCTTGGTTCTTATTCAAATACCTTATAATCATTTTATACAGCATAAGCAAAGTTTATTATTTTAGACTATTATAATTTTTTTTATTTTTAGTCTAAGATATTTTATGATTTTTTTTAATTTGTATTTAAATTTGGCTAATTTTTAATAATTATTGAATTTGCATCACCAAATTTTATTGATTAAACTCGCATAGAATGTACATTTTTATAACATTTATTAATGCATTATGACAAACTTATGAATTTCAGTTTCATCGACAATAGAAAAAAATTTTCATTTATAATCTCTATTATGACAATAGTTGTATTTATGCTCATTTTTATTGAGATTTCTTATTATATAATTCAAAGACTTAAATTGTTGGGCAGTTGCAAAAATATGCTCCAATGAAATATCATACATTTATTTTTCATGGGTTATTTCTTCATGCCTCACAAGTATATGAGCCTTCAATGTATACTTCTCTTTAAACATCTTCTCCCAGTAAGGGCATCTTTCTGTCCTTTCCTCAGTATGCTTAAGCATATGCTTCTTCAAATCTGACGGTGAGTAGTTTTTTTGCCACACAGAGTGCAAGAATATCTGAGCATTGCGAGTTTCTCTTGGTCATTGTGAATTTTTTGATGTTTGTTCAGCTCATACTTCCTCCTGAACGCCATATGACACTCGTCACACGAGTAAGGCCGTTCTCCATTATGCCCCATCAGGTGGGTCTTCAACCGATCTTTCTGATAAAATCCTTTATCGCATTGTTCGCAACAAAATGGGAATGTCCCGGAATGTCGGAATTGATGCTCTACTAATTTTGCTTTCTGAGAAAACTCCTTGTTGCAGACTTCGCATTGCCATTGCTTGTGCATAGCATGAGTTTGTTGATGCAGTGACAAGGCTGAGCTGCTAGATAGGAGTTTCTCACAGATATTACAAGTAAACTTCGCTTCCATTGATTTTAAATTGTTCCAGTAACATCTATAGGTATGATTTCATCAAGTTTTCTGGTATTTTAGGAATTTCCTCGCTTGAAGATTGTTCAAGATATTATTTTTATTTCGGATCTTAATAGGATACACTGATGATTAAGAGAGAAAATCAAGAAAAGAATAGTTGATTTTGGTAGATCTTAGCGAGATCTATAATTGGACATTTTGCAGTTTGGCGTGCTAGCTGCAAAGTGGGAAATTATTTATAAATAATTTTTCATTTTTCATTTTGAAAGGACGCAAAGATATCTTTTCGTTAAAAGCCAGGATATTTTAGATTGGAACTTGCTACTTGAGCAGGATGCTCACTTATACTTGTACTATAGCGCTTTCCCGAGGATGGCGCCATTCCGCGCCATCCTCGGGAAAGCGCTATATCATTCTATAGGAGGGGGCACATTACTGAAAGGAAAGAATGGATATGATTAATGCTGATATCACAAATTGAGATATCTCTATTTGAATAATAACTAGCTCCTTTATATGATCATATTGTAGTCATTGTTCGGAATACAACTAAAAATTTTTTTTTTTTAAAATTATATGGATTTTTGATTATAAGTGTAAGGACATTTAAGTGGACGGAATTTTGATTTTAAGCGAGAATTTAATAGCTCCATTCAATAAAAGCTTATTTGCAAGACTGAAAAGCGTATCTATCATTTTGACAGGCGAGCCCGAAATCATGACCAAAAAAATTGTCTCATGTTTTCTCAAGGATACTTGACGCTGGTGTCAACTGAGTGCTGATTATTGTTTTATGGCTTTACTTTATATGTAGCTACATATAGAAAAAGCTGCAACTATAATTCAAAAGGGAGGATTTCTTAGTCTAAGCAGAGATGTTCAATCTAATAGAGAACAAGAGTAAACTAAAGAACTGAGATTTTAAGAAGAAAGTATAAGCCTATTGAGGCTCATTTTAAAAGCTTAAATTGTATTTCCCCAGCTTTAGCTTATTGAATGCTATACTATAACTAAAAATTAAAGTAATTAACACCATTACTCTATTAAGGTATCAAGAAAAGAGATAAATCTTTGAGCATAAAAGTTAGGAGGTGCACAAGATATTGCCGCTTTACCATGCACAGTAGTCTTAATCGCATGCTCGATCTTCTTCTTACTTCCATAATACGTGAGAATATCTATTATCCCCATAAAGTTTTCGTATCGAGAAACCGGGGGTTTCGGCCCGGGCTTGGTGAATGCTCTGCCACCATACGGGAAACCGTAGAATGCTTCCTCGGACGTAGTGGGGACCTTAAATACCTAGCGTTAATCTAATCTAATCTAATCCCCATAAAGTATATATATATTTACCATCGCTGCTAACCATTCCACCTTCATCTCTTTCTGCAAATCTTACAAACTCATCCGAAGCTGCTTTTTGATGAATTCCTCTTTCTTTAACCTCATGAATTCCTAGCAATAAGCTATAATCTATGATTTTAAGGCTTTGCAATAGCTCACAGTCTCTTTCTATCTGCTGCATCAGCAATTTCTTCCTTTCTCCTCCAAGGATAATTTTCTTGCCCTCTTGAACAAAGTCCAGGTCTTTTCTCGCAACTGATGAGCTTTCCCCTTTATTTGTGAATCTTCCATAGGTTGAGCCTTTCAAATCATAGACCTCAGTAAGTTCATGTCCTGACTGAAAAACATTTCCGAGAACAGTGAAATACAGCATTTTCCCTTTGCTAGCTATCAGCTTGTGAAAACCAAAAAATCTTGCTACCAAAGTATGCGGATTTTCCATAACATGCAGATAGTAATCCGGCAGAATTTTTTTTAAAAATAAGAAACATTAATACTAATTATAGATTAGAGATCTTCCTCCTTTTACGTCTCTTCCAAGACAAGTTTTCGTAGAAGACTCGTTCAGCTGCTAGCTAGCCTCCCTAGGTATGTATTATTTGCACCAGAGATAGCTCTCCTGCTGCTTTCAGCTGGTTCTTAATGCTGTCTCAGAATCTTGGAGTATGTAGGCTTTGGTCCTGACAGCTACTACTTGAGTGGCTAGAGTTCAGCTAGGCATGAGTGGTCTCTGGGGGCAAAAAGCTTTTTTCTCAAATGTGCATCAGGAACACAAATGCTCAGACCCGTAGGCTCCGTTTTATGCTCAGTTTGGCTTCAGGCTGCTGCAAAGTCCTCAAACTCGAAACAAGTCTGGGAGAAGACGGGTCGATGACGTCGCAATTTTCTTTGTGTTTTTAAAAATAAGTATTCTTCTCTTTTCAGAGTTTTTAAAATGTACTTCCCATCATCACTGAAATAGAAGAAGCTCCCACTTTTACCAGAGGAGCACTGTCCTTCCAGAGATGAAAACTCGTTAACCATCAAACTATTCATAATTTTTTCTACCCCAAGAGACTTCACGTAGTCATAGGCACTAATTCCAAAAAATCGTCTTACCCCCCCCCCCCCTCCGTGAGCGAACAAAAAAATTTTGTTCGCTCACGGAGGGGGGTTAATTTTTTTTTTTAAAAAAAATTTATATATAAATTTTATAAAAAATATTTTTTTCGAAATTTAAAAAAATCCTAATTTGCAAAAATTGGGAAGCAAATATTAATTTAATTTGCAAAATTTATGTTTTAAAACGCAATTTGTTTAAAATTAAACAGAATTAGCTCTAGATTTCATTATACTAATTATCATTTATATATCAAAATTTTTTTCCATTAAAATTTTTTCTATTAAAAAAATTTTTGTTCACTCACGGAGGGTGGGTTTTTGGTCAAAAAATGGCGATTTTTCTAATGGTTTTGTTCGCTCACGGAGGGGGGGGGGGGGAGTTATTCTTTCAAAAATACTAGGAGCGTAGTCTCGTAATTTGTAAGTTTTTTGTTTAACTCCTTGATTGTTAGCAGGAAGTAAGTTGTATTTCGCTTTTTCCAAGAATTCTTGCTGAGTGGCATCAACAGTTGCATCGATATTCGCAGCTATTGATTTTACAGCTTTTTGGATTCCAAGCATCATGTTAAGGATTAAATTTCAGTCTTCGTCACCTCACTCCTCCCTTTAAATGGAATAAATATCCATCTTTAAATTAGAAAAAAAATTAGGAAATTTATAGGTGAAAAAATATATTTTATAAAGTTATTTTGACCTAATTAAACGGAAAAAGTGCAATTAGAAAATTATTATAATATCTTTCACGCTGAATAATTAATTTTTAATTAATTCTTATAATAATTAAATTCTAAAAAGATTGCGTTCAATTTATAATTTTTAGTTCTTAAAAATTATTAAAAAATTAACCTTAAAATTGGAAAAGGATTTTTGTTCAATTAAAGGAGGGAGTCAGTGAATTACTGTTTCTCTTCTTTTTGATGGAGCTTGCCTAATAGCTGGCTCATGAACGCTATTTCTATTAGCCTCATCTGGGCTATTTTGCTTGTAATCATTTATCTTTGCCAAAATATGTATGAGTTTTTCTTTAACCTCTCCAATCTTATTTTGATTGTTATGAGAGTTATTATTTTCTAAAGCTGACTCGGTAAGCTTTATTTTTGGTCATTTATTGCTTTTTGAAGCATTAATTGGTGTTGCCTCAGAGGAGCTATCAATAACATCGTCTTCTTTTTCAAAAATTTCTGTCTTCGCCGCGTTGAATCAGTCATTTGCTGACTCTTTTCTAAAGCTTAGTTTTATACTACTATGACTTATAGCTCTAAATCTCTTAATAGGTGTCTTTGCCTCGCCTCCATCAATTATTTCTAGACACTCTCTAATCTCATTTTCCAGATCTTCAAGAGTTTCTTTATACCCGACCACTTCAGGCTTTTTTTGCTCGATGTTTGGAGGGTTAATTTTGTCAGTGATTTTTTTATTGACAAAATCAAATCACTCAAATAGGTTTTCGTTGTTGGACATTGAAGAAGTGTACTCTTCTAAGTCAATCATATCGTCATGCTTAGTATCGAGCTGATCGAAATAATAACGAATATCTTCTTGGGTAGCACTTACTTCACTTCCGGTTAGGGTATTGTACATTTTTCATACATTGATAAGCCATGAAGCAAAATCGTTGTAAGTAATATTCCCTTCTTTTGAATTTTTAATTAGTTTAAAGCTCTGTTGAGCTTTTTCTTGGGGAGTTCCGTGCATTAGAATGTCCATGTAACTGACTCTCCCCATTTAAATTAGAACAAAACATCGGGAAAAGCTCCATTTTTGATACTTTAATGCTCCTTTAAATTATAACAATTTTTTTTCCAATAGGAAAATTTTATAGGTACAAATAATAATTTTTAACATTAGTTTTGACCTAACTAAATGGGAAAAGTGCAAGTAAAATATTATTAAACAGTTTTCACACTAATCAATTAAATTTTTTGAAATTTGATTCTTCATAAAATAAATTAAAACTAAAACTATTGCGTTCGATTTACTTTTAAAATTTTTTTTTAAAGAGAAAAATTTATTATAGATTTTTAAAAAAAATTAACCCCCTTTAAATTAGAATAGTCCTTTTTATTCCAATTTAAACGGGGAAGTGAGGTATTCTTCAATCACAACTTTACCGGATCTTGATTTATTCATAACATCGAATATCCTGTCTGCAATCAGGCGAGTTGATTTCATACCTAATAAACCCATATTTTCACGAAAATCATCGAGGGTGAAACCATTTCCTCTTGCCATGCGATCGAATCTTTGTTTATAAGTTACTAATTCAGGCTTAGTGAATCGATACTTCTGATAGAGCACTTTTAAATCTAAATCTTTGCGTAATAAAGTTTTTTTCTTTGACCCACATCCTCCACATATGAGCATTGAAGAGTTTTAAATATAAAATGGGCAAATAATTCTAACTCCCCCCCCCCCTCCGTGAGCGAACAAAACCATTAGAAAAATCGCCATTTTTTGACCAAAAACCCACCCTCCGTGAGTGAACAAAAATTTTTTTAATAGAAAAAATTTTAATGGAAAAAAATTTTTGATATATAAGTGATAATTAGTATAATGAAATCTAGAGCTAATTCTGTTTAATTTTAAACAAATTGCGTTTTAAACATAAATTTTGCAAATTAAATTAATATTTGCTTCCCAATTTTTGCAAATTAGGATTTTTTAAATTTCGAAAAAAATATTTTTTATAAAATTTATATATAAATTTTTTTTTAAAAAAAAAAAAATTAACCCCCCTCCGTGAGCGAACAAAATTTTTTTGTTCGCTCACGGAGGGGGGGGGGGGGAGTAAGGAAAAACTATATTAAAAAGCTTATCACAAATATAAAAATCAGAGTCAAAAAAATATATTTTAATATTTTCTCTAATTTATAGCAAGTTTAGAACGACCTTATAAAAGTTAAATTTTTATAAGTTTTCTTTTCAAGATCTCTTTCTCTAATTATGATATTTTTCTATTTTAATTTAAAAACTTTCCTTGTGTATTGTTTTATTATAAGCATATTTTTTATACACTTATTTACTCCTCATAAAAATCTATTCTTCTGAATGCAATTGATTTAAATAATTTTTTCAATTTCAGCTTCTAAGAATTATTTTCAACTTGATGCCTTAGCAGGATATTCCTATTCCCTTTTATTTTAAATATACGATTTATATTATTTGTATGTATTGATAATTGTTAAATGAATACAGTTAAATCAAAATGGAAGAGTTGCAGCAAAACCAAATGAACTCTTCAGTAGATGGCAATAGAATGGCTTCAGAAAACTCATCATTAATAAACTACAGATTAGATCAACAAAGATTATCAGTGCGAGTCTCAGTTGAAGAAGCCATGATTAGCAGCTATCAGGGATCTAAGTATATATTAGGAGTATTTTCTTTTGTATGCATTGGCAAACTAACAGCCTCAATTCTAATTTTAAGCTTCTGCAACACGAAAACCTCTGAGCCTCTTGATATTTATATAAAAGGATGCATTTTCATTGATATTTTGAATATGATGGTTTTAATTGCTAAAATTCTTATGTCGTTTTCAATTGTGCCTCAGCTATTTAAAATTGCTACAAGCTATCTTGATTTTTTTATTGGACTGTAATTGATATTCAGAGTTTATATCGCATGGTTTTCTCTTGGAAATTTGTGGTTCTACTCATGTGATGATTGTTTTGATGAAGCTCCTGAGCTGACTATACTCTCACTTGTTTACATTGTGATGGGGTGTTTTTATCTGTGCATGCCTATGATGCTAATTTGCTGTCTATGTATGTGCATTCCTATTATCATTCTATTATTAGTTGTGGTTGACACAAGAAACCAGAATCCTGCAACAGATGAGATGATAAGAAGGCTCGCTGTGGAAGATTATAACCCAAATCAACATATAGGAGAAAGAAGCTGCGCAATATGCTCAGACGAATTTAGAAATGGAGTCAAAATCATAGCTTTATCATGCGATTCAAGACATATTTTTCATGAAAACTGTATAAAAACTTGACTGAGAGTAAATTCAATCTGCCCACTCTGCAGAGTACCTATTGTGTAAATGTGATATTAATAACTTTTTAACAATTTAAGTGCTATTTCGTTTCTTTAATATATGACTTATGGTTAGTACCTTTTTAATATTAAGATATTCCGATGGCCATACGTTATTGTTAAAATTTTTAAGTGTTTAAATATTTATTAATTAGCATGCCTATAAATTAAAAACAAACTGAGCTTTTTTTACTTATTATTCATAAGATTAAGTTTCTCACCATATGATGATCAATATAAAATTAATGACAGGCAGAAAAGAAATATTAAGTCCATCTATTTATGACACTTTTAGTGGCAGCAGTTTAAAATCGTTTGGACCAAGGAACAACAGTCTTCCTAATATCTTTACTTCACTGAGTAATCAAGAGAAAATCGCTAAAACAAACGCTAAAAGCTCTTCCAGAATTTATAATTCAACAGATTCTTTAAGTAGGCTAAACAAAATTAACACAGAGAAAGTAGTGCATTTGTTTAAATCGCTAAAAATAGAAAATCCCAGCCCAAATTCGAAAAATCCTTGCTTTATTACAATAAATAAAAACTTCAAAAAGCGAGGATCAGTCATTATCGACTATATAAAATCAAACAGCAAGCCTTTTGATTATTTAGTATCTGAAAGTACACTGGAGAGTAAAAAAAGGATTGAACAAGAAAAAGCGAGAAAGCTAAATAAAAAAGAAATTGAAGAAATTAACTCGAAGCTTAAAGAAATAATTTCTCAGAAGAAATCACAGATAGATCTTCAAATTGAGAAAAATATTGACAACTTGAATAAAAAAGGCATTTTTCCTATGAGTATTAACAAGTTAAGAGAAGAGAGCAAGGTGCTCCCGAAGTTAAGAAAAGTGTAAAACCTATATAGAATCAGCTTAGAAAAAAAGAGAATCTATTTAGACTACACTCTCCGCCAGCGAAAGAAGTTAAATATTGAAGCGTTTCAAAGCAACTTAGGCTTGACAATGAAAGAAAAGTATGATTGGGAAAATAAACGAAAGAGTAACATATTAAAAGAAATCAAAGAAGTCATTGTAAAAGACTCTCAAAAATCAGAAATCCCTGTCTCAAGGGCAGAAAATGAAAGCGAGGATGAAAACGACAGTGGACAAAATTTGAAGGAAATTTCTGACTACGTGAAATGGTTTAACAAAGAAGGAATGAAAAACTATAAGACAGCCCCTGTCAAATATCTGACAAAATTCTAAATTTTTATTTATTAATTAATTTCATATTCAAATCATGAAAAAGGCGTCATCAAAAGATCGAATTCAGCATTGGCTTGATTTTATCGATCCAAGCCAGACAGATTTAGCCTCCACACAGTGCAGTCAACAGATGCCAAGAGAAATTCTGCTTCAGGCCAAAGGGAAAGAATATGAAGTGAAAAAGCATATGGCTCGAGTTGAGAAAGAAAAAGAAGACAAGCTCTTAACCCCTTTTCATCCATTGACCAATGCTTCTTTCACCACTTCAAATGAGCTGTAATTTCTATACAGTTAGTGTTGAGAATAGACTACTTAAAGCAGGACAGATTTACTCTCAAAAATTGCAAGAAAAAAGGAAAGAAAAGTCTGAAAACGAAAGGAAAGAAGAAGAAAAGCTGAAAATAAAGCCAAGACCTGCATCAGCTGGAAGATCGCGAGAGAGACTTTATGGAATGCATAACTTATACAAGCAAAAACAGATCCAAAGACAAATTGAAGAAGCAGAAAGAGTGAGATCAGAGCTCAAAGACCCAGAGCTATGCAAGCGATCGCTAGAAATAGCAGAGAAAAAAGATCGACCAAATAGAGTTGAAGACAGATTGATTGAGCAGGCAAATAAATCGGTTGAAATGCTTAATACCAAACGACTGATTTCGGAAATGGCCAGAAAATGGGCATCAAAGCCAACAATTTCTCCAATGGCAAGAAAGATTAAGAGAAGCGGAAATGTATCTGAGAGACTTTCCAAGTATAGCTTCATTTATGAGGACAATTTGAACAAGTTGAAAATGAAATATGAAGATAGCATTCCGCACCCAAAATCTCCATCAAAAATCGAAAAAAGAGAAGTTCCGCTTATGGACAGGCCGAAATCCCCAATTAAAGAGCCCGAAATTGATTTTCCATTCAAGCCACAACTTTGTAAAAGATCTCTCGAAATGGCTAAAAGTCTGGGAAAATCAACTGAAAGACTGCTAAGAGCGTCTCCATCCCCCACCAATTTTACAGACGATAAAGAATGCTCTTTCAGTCCACTTGTCAATAAGAACTCAGAGAAGTTAGACAGAAGACAAAAAACCAATGAGAACGGGGACAAAACTGAGAGATGAGAAGCACTCTATAACTTGCGAAACTTAAACTCAGAAAGAAGGAGAGAGCTAATAGATGAAAGACTAGAAGAGGAAGGCCGGGATTGTGCTTTCCATCCTCTTGTCATGACTCCACAGAAGAAAGAGTTCAATCCTGAAAAGCTCTTAGAGAGACTGAATGGGTGGGAAAGCATTAGAAAAGAGAAAATCCAAAGAACCAGAGAAGACGAAATTGAAGGAAGCATGAAAAAGTGCACTTTCCGTCCTGAAATTTGTGACTCTCCTTATTCATCAAAAGAAATAAACTTCCCTACCGACAAAGGAGTCCAGAAGTACATTGAAAAGCAACTATCGGCAAGAAAAAGAAGCCTCGAAAGCACCCCGAGAACTCCTGAAAAGAAACCAAAATCAGCTTACAAAGAACTAAGCGCGAACGACTTTTTATTGGCTTTACAGAAACTCCATGTTGACTTGTGTGAAAGCCAATTATAATGTAAATAGTTTTATTAATAATGGCTTACGAAATCTGCAGCGCTTTGGAACTTCCAGCATATCCTCAACTTTCATTAGAAAACGAAGGCGAGTTCATCGTTTTGCCTGTTGACCGAGCTGCTATGGAAATAGCTGGAAACAACCCACCTATTAAGTTGGCCAAGCAAATGTCAGAGCTTAATGAGTTTCTACAAAGTGTAGAGAACGTGGATTATATGACACTAGTTCATGATGGACGATCCTTAACTCAAGATCATCCTTTGGAAGTTGCTTTAAGACTAATGGTGCAGCCTTACATATTTAGCGAGTTAGAAAGTGGCAGAAAATGCGAAGCAGATGTGAATATTGGGATTTATGTTCCAAACTCGTATATATCTGAAAGAGGAATTTGGGATTGCGAATATTTGAATCCACATAATGTTTTCGAAAAGCAAGCCCACTATGTTCTTGAGTCAGACAAAAAATGCTTTTCTCCAGTTCTGCTCAAATTTAGCACTTGTATCCCAATTCATGTATTTTATTCGCTAATCATTTATCATAGCGCAGAGATTAGAAAATTTGCAATTGCTAGCTCCCCTATTCCCTCTGTGAGTGAACAAAACCATTGGAAAATCCCTATTTTTTGCCCAAAACCCATCTCCGTCAGTAACAAAAATTTTTATATATAAGTAATAATAATTAGTATATGATCTCTAGCTAATTCTGTTTAATTTTGAACAAATTGCATTTTAAAACATAAATTTTACAAATTAAATAAATATTTGCTTTTAAATTATGCGAATTGAGATTTTTTTAAATTTCGAAAAAAAAATAATTAACTATAAAATTTATATATAATTTTTTAAAAAAATAATTGACCACGGAAAATTTTTTTTTTCGATCACGGAGGGGGGAGTAAGCACGTGCTCTTAATTGATGATAAAAATGATCTTAGTCAAATAGCTGAAAGGGTCGCCATATCAGAAGACTCAGCATCAAAACAAAATGCCATGGACTCTTGTCATTGGGTTTTCGATAGATTTTCCCCTGATACCAGGAAGCCGTTCGAATCTGATTTGCTCACTCGGCTCTTCGCAGAAATTATTAATGATGGCAACAGATCTGAAGTCATAAGAGATTTCTGGCTAAACATTTTCTACTATCTGGTATGGGACCAAAGCGGAAAACCTCAAGGAGATTTCAATTTTGGAGAGCACCAATACTTGCAGCTGGCAGAGAACAGTCTTAATCAAGTCGAATATGATCATAAAAGCCGAATTAACTGGGCAACGGCTGCAGTTGCAAGCTTTGTAAAGCGACTTCATAGGGAACTCACAAGTTGGATAGGAGAATTTTAAATAATGAATTATTTTTTAACTATGGACCTTGTTTTCACTTTAAACGGACTTGTTCCTGCTGACTTCAAGAACTCTTCAGCAAAGAAAGTTTCGAAACATTTGTTCTTGGATCTGTTGTGCCAGTCAGTTTGGGTCCTTGGCCTCATAATGACTGGATGATTATACCATCCTATTTCTTGGGAACTTGTTTGAGGGCCTCTATATTTTTGGCCTGGAGTCATGATTCCCCTATTGATGGTTCTTTTTAAATAGTCAGATGAAAAGGCTTCTTCAGTGGGGTCTCGATAAATAGTAGGAACATAGCGCTCGTTCCCTAAGACAGTTGGGTCAACTTGGTTGGGCTTTGCAGTGACAGTAGTCATGTGATAAGGATTTATTCTGTACTTGCCAGAAAATCGCTCATATCTTTGGTTTCATTCTAGGTACTCTCGATGAATGATCATTTTGTGAACTTCGTTTGTGGGATCGATTACTTGTTGTTTGGGCTTCGGTTTCGCGTTGGCCTTGGACATTTACAAAATTTATGTTATTTCAGAGCAACGAAAACATGAAAAAATTCAGATTATAGGGGTTGAACACTTAAGGTAGATCATTAAACCTTTACAAATAATAAAAATTTATTGGCTTATTATAATTTTAAATTTCAATTAAATAATACTGAGGATGTGCATCAAAATCTAATTTGAAATTTAATGTAAAACTTAAAAAAAACTAATTATTAGTTTGCAGAAAATTAAATTTGAGCTTCTATTAAATGGAGTAAGAAACTATAACTATTTAGCTTACTGCTCGGTTACTAAGCAAGATTTATTACTTGCAAGGTGCTAATATTTTTCATTTTTTAAATCAAGATTGCAAATATAAAATGAAAAGTCCAATTTAATTTATAAAATAATGCCTTATGATGCAAGCTATAGCGCTTTTTCCCGAGGATGGCGCGGAATGGCGCTTTCCCGAGGATGGCGCGGAATGGCGCCATCCTCGGGAAAGCGCTATATCTAAAATTTAGCATAATTAGCTTGGAATTTCGTTATTATAATCATTTATTATATAGTAAAAATTTAGTCCAAAAAATTCACTGTTAAAAATTATTTGCTCGATAACAAAAAGCTAAATTATCCTAAAAACAGCGATTTTTCACAGGCTTTGCTTGCCAATCATTGGCGGGTTATTGAGCATTTAAAAATTCATTCCTAATAATATCTATTAAATGACTATGAAATATACAAAACCGTTAAAATATCAATATAAATATTTCAAAGACTAATCTATGATAGACGCTACATACTTTTGAAACCGAGAAGCATATATTTTTGGATGTACTGAAGATACTGCAGACTGTCCAAAAATGCTTCCTTTCACAAGATTCTCAAACTTTTTCTTTGGAGTATAAAGAGTTAATATGTCAATCAACCCAATAAAATACAATTCTTCTCCGTCATTCGAAATCAATCCTCCTCCATTTCTCTGTGCAAATGACATCGACTCAGCCTCTGGTTCAATATTTTCCCTCAATCTGTGAAATCCCACTAGCAGAGAATAATCCATGATATTCATGTTAAGGAAAAACTTAACATCATTTTGAATTATCTCTAAAAATCGCTGCCTCTTTTCAGGGCCTAATTTTATTCTCAGCCCTGAATTATTAAAATCGTTATCTTTTCTTGCAATATTTGGATCTTCGCTAGTATTTGTGCATAAATAAAGTGGCTACTTATCCATCCGCCCTTCTCCCATACCCTCAGGGTTTTTGGATTTAAGAGAAAAAGGGGTCTAGAAATTGCGTCCGGGTGGGTTTTTATCTCTGGCCAGAACACCACGGCACCCCGACTCAGAGACAAGTAGACCAGAGTCCATATGACAACTTTAAACTTCTATAAGAAGTGTAAAGGAACCAGAAGGAGGATTCGGTGTCATCTCCGACCTCCCATCTCCGAGTAGATGGTGCCGATCGATAGAGCTTGCCCAAGGAAGTGTCTGGTGCGTCTCCCGCGCAATGCTGATACTACCATTTTTTGGTGACGTCTATAGAAAAGGGTAAGTCCAACTCGATGCTTAGGGCGAGGAGCCTTAAATCGTTGGGACAGAAATAACTCCGAATACCCATTTTAACCTTTAATCTAATATAATCTAATCTAATCGTTAGGATTTGTTGATCGCGAAAAAGTGGAGCCTTTCAAATCGAATTTTAAGTTAATTTGATATTTCCTAGGAAATGTGTTTTTCATGACTAAGAAATACCGCTTAATATGATTTCCGTCTTTTATAAGGTAAATTTTGTGAAATCCATAAAATCGAGGCAGCAAGGAATCAGGATTTTTTAATAGATGGGAGTAGTAATCAGCCAAAATATTTCGGAAAAGAGCATACTCATCATACGGTATGGTCTTCAAAATGAATTTACCATCATCGCTAAAGTAAAATAGGCTACCACTTCTTCCGCAAGTCATCAAGCCTATCATCGATGAGAGCTCACTATTTATTAAATTTCTCATTATTTTCTCAAGTCCTAGAGAATCTGTGTATTCTTCATCATCAATTTTGTCTCTGGTTCTGATTCGTTTAAATATCCCTGGAGCATAATCAGAAAACTTGCAGCTTTCAAATTCAGAAGTTTCATGGGAGAGCGTAAAAACTGACTTGGAAGCACATTCTTTAGCTAAAGGCACTGTGAAGTCATACGATAAATCTTCTACTGCCTTAACAGCTTTTTGGATTCCAAGCATCATATTTAAAATCAAGTTTCAGTCATCATCTCCTCACTGGATGCATTTAATTTTGCTCGGAGAACTAATCATCCGGGAGGCATTTTCGTTTGAGGACTCTTTTATGTCGCTAATTTTTTTAGCTAGTACTCGTAGAGAGTCAGCAATAGCCTTTTGCTTTGCTTGGTAGTCAGAGCTTTCACTGAATAGTGTGTCTGTGGTTTTTGTATGCTTTGTGCTCCTGTTGGAGTCTTCCAGCATGAATGGGATTTCTGAGTCAGAGTCGCTAAAAAACGAAGGATCATCATTGTCTCCGCTGTGCTTTAACTCTTGAATTGAATTGAATTGTGGCCCTCTCTCAGGACTCACAGTTGAAATCGATGATAAATTTAGCCTTGGCATCGATAAATCTTGATACGAAATCAATAATTCTTTGTCTTGTGAAGGTGATTCTAATATTTCTAAACAAGTGTTGATTTCATGCTCAACTGAATCTAACCTACTCCTCCAGGGCTTTTTGATTTCGCTCCTGCTCAGTGAGTTATCAGATTTCTTGACAACATCAATTCAGTCAAATAGCGGACAATCAGACCCAAAGCTCTGCTTATACTCCTTAAAATCAATAACTCCATCTCTCTTTGTATCAATCATGTCAAAATACTCCCTTACATCATCTTCTGAGCTTTCGATTTTATTCTCCGACATGGAATTGAATACTTTTCTAATCCCTCGAATTCAGCTTGAGAAATCGTCATAAGAGATGAACCTTTTATCTTTTTGCGCAATAAGTCTAAATGACTGGAGAAGTTTTTCTTCTCGGGTCCCGTTGATTAGTACATCCATATAATCCAAAAAATCAGTGAAATTAACTAATCCTTTGTTTGATTTGTCCATAAGTCTAAATATTCGGTCTGCGAGCACACTATTGGATCTTAGCCCAAATAAGCCCATGTGTTCTCTAAAAAGAGCTAGGTTTATTGTGCTGCCCTTTGACATTCGTTGGAATCTGTTAAGATATAGTAGCAAATCGTTTGTGGAGAAACGATATCTCTGTGAAAGCACATATAAGTTAGGCTGGCCAAATTTATCTTCTTTATGATGGGTCTTTTTGTTTTGGGAACAGCAAAACATATTTATTAGAACCTTTGCTCAATAATTTGCAAAATGGATTATTTTACAGCTATTTAAATATTGGATTAGGCAAATTGGATGGAGTATTTAAATAATCAATATATTCTTGGTAATCTGGAATTTGTCCTATTCTGTCTTCTGTCAGCATGGATCTAAGCAGTCAGTCATTTGAAGCACCTTCAAAAAATAAGGTAATTGGTATATCTCTATTCATATTTCCTGCTTGTATTAGAGAAATTATATTGTGGAGCTTCCTTGATTCAGGAGTTTCTAATGGTGCAAGCTCTCAAGTGTCAGCGTTTTCTTTTAGCTCTTCTAGTCCTATGCCAAAAAGATTTTGGATAATAAAAGGCTCTACATTACTTCCAATAAAAATGAGGATGATTTCCCCATTAAAAAATAGGATAACTGATGTCGTTGATAATGAATCTATAGATCTTGGGGATTTGAAATCAAAGTCTCCAAAATCACTTATATTAGCACATGAAGGGTAGATCATAAATCGAGTCTGGATAACTGATAAGCCCTTTATGTTATGAGCTCAAGCTAAGAGCAGATTTGCAGATATATTTCTAAACGTATAAGTAAATGGGGGTAATTTCATAGCAGAATTTATAAAGAGAGGCAAATACTTCAATTTATTTGGAAGCAGCATACCTGGCACATCCTTGGACTTGTAAAAAGTTCTATGCAAATTAATTGCTTTCACAAGCAAATTTGTAAAGCAGTCAATGATTTTGTTTGAAGTTTTCTCAAGGGCTTTAAGCGAGTATTTTTTAAGTCACACATGTATGCAAGCATCAGTATCGGAATTAAGCAGTGCATAATATACACTCTTTGTAGGAACTATTAAGGAATTGCTGACTCTCATTATTCTTTGGCCTGATCTGTCGTTATAGGTTAGAACACATTGAATGTATTCAGTATGGGTTAGTGTTTCATTCTGGGTAAAAAATATCACAAAAGTTTTATCACAATCTATAGCAGAAATTTTCAATTCAGCATTGCTTATCTGCTTTCTTCATTTTCCAATTATCTTTTTAATTTTAAGCCCTTTGCTGTAGAAAATTTGGATGCTGGCCTGAAATCCTTGGTTTCTTAATAATGATCTAGCAAGTTTATAGTAAAGAATTGTTGCTACATTTTTATCATAGTGTGGGTAAAAATAAAAATCTCCTCCAGTTGCTTCACACAAATCACAAAAAGATTTAACATTAGATACTTCTGATTCAACCAAATAAATATCTATGCAAACACTTTTCATAATATAATCATTAGCAATTATTTCGAAATTAATGCTTGGATTAATACTCATTTTGTTGCAAATGGATAAAATCATTCTGCCTCCTGAATTCTTAAAATAGCTGTTTTGCAAAATTTTGAGCAATATATCAATTGGTATCATTTTACTTGATTCTTCTTCTAATGGACTGCTCGATAAAATAAAATCAATAAGTGAGAAAATTTCAGACTTCTGAGATAATAGATTAAATGTTAACAATGATAGAGGCTCAGGCATGAATAAGTCCTCTCAATCATTAACAACTATTTCTGTGTAATTATTTGTGCCTTTTTTGTAATAATATACGGCTGAATGAAAAACTAGTATCCCAATCGATGTTTTATCAGGAAACTGCATATAATCTAACAAACATTTGATAGAAAGTAAGACATGCTGAAACATTCCATTTTCAAACGATTCTTTTGTTCTCTCCAAGCAAAAGAAAAAAACAGGGTTCTCATCATTAATCGAATTACCACTTAAACAATATTCATAAGTACCAAGCGATTTTTCAGGGATTGAATTAATATATTCGCTAGGAAGCCTTTGTTTTGTCTTGCAAACTCCACACAGCCAGTAATCATACTCAAAACACATAAAAGGACTCAAATAAGCCAAGCACTTCGCACATCGATAAGGTTCTCTTTCAATAAGAGGTATTTTTGAGTCATTTGGCTGCTGCTCAGCTAAAGGCTGATAAATTAATGCGAGAGGTATTCCTAAAGATTTTTGCAAAGATTTTTTAGAAGCACACATAGTTGAAGTGTGCTGGTCCAATTATTGTGAACTTTTGGTATTATGCATTTCACCGAAGTATATTTGTTCGAAAATTGGTCGAAACTCATTGATAGCGAGACATTTAACCTAAAAAAAAACGTTAAATTTCGATCAAACTATCAAAAATACACTGTCATTTGGCATGGAGCCCAGTTGAAGTAAACCTCATTATTCGAGGGCTAGAGACTTTATTTTCATTAACAGTATAAAGAGAATCCACAGAAGGAGGAAGAGACCCATCTGAAATAAAAAGACCTAGATTTTTAAAATCGTTTGGCCTTGGTAATGATCTTGCTACCATGATACCCCACCACTCCCCACTCCCCCTTAATACCTAACTAGCATATCTTGATAATCAGAAATATAAGAGATATTGTACTATTTGCTCCCACGCTTTTTAAAACACGATTTATAGCATTTTCACGCATATATTAAATATATTATTTCATATAAAGAATTTTATATGGTAGACTAATAAATGAGAGAGTTAATAGAGAAATACGCTTGAGTTCTTTATTATCGGATTTTAAGTGTAATCTTTTTAAATAGACAGAAAAAAATAATTGAATTAAAGAATTATGTATCATGAATACATAGAATATTAGTATTGATTGCACTAAATTAGTTAATTTTATTTTTTTAAATAGCTTATTTTACATATAAATGCTAGATATATTTCATTTTAAATCTTATACGACAATATTATCCAAATTTGATAGCCATATAAATTCTGTATATACTAGAGATATGAAATAATGTAATCATATATGTGTGAGCATGCTATAAATCCATTTTAATAGCTTAGAAGCGAAAATAATATAATATCTCTTATATCTTGATTTATCAAAACTAGGTAATATTGAAGGTGTAGGAGGATGGATTTCATACTTGGCCAATGATCTGCTTTCAGTACGCATTTTATAATGCTCTTATTTTATAGTGAGTGTCAACATTAAATAAAATCCTTTTCTTCTTTCTGTAAATGCATATAATAAACCCTATATTGATTATTTTAATAAGTTTTTAAACCTTTCAAAACATTTATGCAAAAATAATTTTACAAATAATTGAATACTTTACAATTTTGAATAAAAAGTCTAAATTAATACAAAATTGGTGCGATTATCAAACTGCTTAATTTCTTTGCAAAGAGGATATAAAAAGGACAGATTTAAGCTATACAGCCTTTAGCGCTAAACTTAGTTTATACTATGAATTATGTTGTTGCATTAATTTATTGGGATGCTAGTTTTCCTCTTTATCCTTGCTTTCGCGCAAGCCAGCATTGTATCAGTTGTAATATCTTTTAGGCACGGTGGAAGAGCTCCAGTTTATAAATTCAGTTGGGATACAGGAGTTTGGCCTCAAGGGTTAGGACAACTAACTCCTTCAGGCATGAGACAGCATTACTTAAACGGAAGAGAATTCAGGTACAAATACATAACTCAGAACGCAGTGATAAACCCTGTTTATTTGGAAGAACAAGTCTACGTAAGGTCCACTGATTACAACCGCACGATCCAGAGTGTGGAAAGTATGCTCTCAGGGCTCTTTCCAATAGGGCCTCAAATCGCAAGCCAGAATTTGGCAGCTAAAGCTGTTCCTCCTTTAATTGTCTCAAACTTGGACAATATCCAAGCACAACTTGGATTAAATGCCCTCCCTAATAAATTCCAAACAGTTCCTATTCATGTTGTTGCCAGTCCTTATGACTACATGCTTGCTGGCTATAGTTCCACAACTTGCGCAAGAATTGGACAAATAGCTAATGAAATAGCCCAGCAGAATGAATATCAAGATGCATTGAACGAGTATAAATCTGGCTTACAAAAACAAATTCAGGAGCTTTGGGGAACAAGTCCTAGTTTTTCAGAAGCAGGATGGATGGGAGATACAATAACAGCAGAACTTTTCGAGGATTTTCCAATGCCGAATGGTGTATCAACTCAGATGTATTACGAACTAGCAGGCGCTTATAACTACACTGCAACTTACTATTATAATAAAGAAGTTTCTTCGCTTGCTGGCTCAGAGTTTTTTGAAGCAGTTTTGTATCAGTTCAATTCTACTATTAACAATACAGACACTGTCAGGCTGGGACTCTATTCTGCACATGATACAACAATTGCAGCATTTTTGTCATTCATGGGGATGTTCAGTGGGAAAAATCCAGTTTTTGCTTCAACTTTGATTTTTGAGCTGCATGAAGTGACTGGCGCTTATTTTGTGCAGATTATTTATAACGATCAAGTTATGACTCTTAATGGGTGTCAAGAGATGTGCCCATTTGACACGTTTTATACATTAATTGCAGAAAACATTGTCGATGATGTTGAAGAGGCCTGCCAATTGAAAAGTACAACTATATTTCAATAATTAACTTATTGAGAGTAATAAACTACTAGTAATTTAGAGAGGGGTTTAATAGCCTTTAACTTTATCCACAACTGATGAAAAGGGTTGTCCACTTAAAAAATTTTTGAGATGGCCTTCAAAACATCCTATGCATAGATCTGCTAAATCTTCCACCATATCTGCATTATGAGGCGATATTATCAAATTTTTCGCTGTTCATAAAGGAGAACTTTCAGGTAAGGGCTCTACCTTAAAAACATCTAAAGCTGCCCCAGCAATGAGTTCGTTGTTTAAAGCTTCAGCGAGATCATCTTCGTTAATGCTGCTTCCTCTTCCAACGTTTACTAAAGCAGCAGATCGCTTCATTAATGAGAATTGAGGTGCGCTCATTAAGTTGTAAGTAGTAGGATGATTTGGCATGGCCATAACTAAGAAATCAGCAGATGGAAGGACTTCGTTCAGCTTTGATGTATCAACAATTTCGTCAGCTATACCATCAGGTTCTGTAGCAGTTCGCTTTACCCCTATTACTCTCATCCCAAAGTTTTTACCGATTCTTGCTACAGATTTTCCAATGGATCCATAGCCTAACACTACTAATGTTGATTGATAAAGAGTTGGCATTAAAAATACTTGGTAATTTTTGCTTTGTTTTTGCTGCTCAAGTTGCTGGAATTTTTTATTAAAAAAGAGCATCGCTGCTAAGCAGTATTCAGCTAATGAATCATTATACGCTCCCCTTGCATTAGTTAATGGGACAGGAGATGCTTTGAAATATTCTGTCATATAAGCATCAACTCCAGCTGTAAATGAGTGGACCCACTTTATAGGGTTATTACTTAAAGCTTCGTCAAATTCATCTGGGCTTCGAAATTGGACTGCTAATATATCTGTTCTTCTTCAATGATCTGAATTGCGATATTCCTCCATATCACTAAAGCATTTGAAGTCTAACTGAGGGTACTTTGCAGCAAGAGTGCTATTAAGAAATATATGAGTATATACTTTTGACACAAGGATAGAAACCACGTAATTTTTCTCCATGATAATTATTTTAGAAGTTATTTATTTGTGATGAATAGCAATAAAATGAATTACCATTACTTTATAATTAATAAGTGATATTTAAAGATCTGGGAAGATAATTTCTCGTTGTCGGCCATACTATGCCTAACGCACCAGATCCCATCCGAACTCTGAAGTTAAGCGGCATAAGGCGAGGTTAGTACTTGGGTGGGGGACCGCCAGGGAAGCCCTCGTGCTGACAGCTAAACATTTTATTTTTGCATGCTCACTATGCTAAATATAATTCCTATCCTATTCTCAACTAATAGAGTCTTTTATGAATATTTAGAATTTTTATTAATTTTAAATATAATGATATAGACTTTCATATGAATTGAAATTATGCTAATTATTGAAGTATTTTAGCTCACTATTTATAAACAGTTACTCAATATGACACTTACTCCCCTTGCTCAGCGAGCAAAACTACTAAAAAAGTCTATTTCATGGGAAATTTACTCCATTTAGCTTGAGAAAGAAAATTTTATACAAGTAATAATATATTATGATAATCAGCTAATAATATTAAATTTTAAACTGCTTGCCTCTAAAATATTAATATATAAATTAAATTCTTACCATCTGTGTTTTTAAAATAAAAAAAATATTTTAAATAGAATTTTTATATATAATATAAAAATAAAACTAACTACCTTTAGCTTTTGCTCGTTAATCAAAAAGTTGGGGAATTAGGAAACCAAAAATCGATGAATGAGGAGTTATTTTAGAAAAGCAGCTGGAACTCAATAAAATTCATGAAATTGATGAAAAAGCAAGACAAGCCCATGAAAAGGAATTTCTGCGAAGAGAGCTGGATTATCAACAATCCCTTAAGGAAGCTCAAAAAAGACAAAAATTGAACTTGATTGCTAGCTCGCTCACGGAGAGAGGCTATTTTTTTTAAAAGAATCATAAATAAAATTTACAGTAAAATTGTTAATCGAAATATTTAAATCATATATTAATTTAATTTGTAAAAATTATGTTTTAAAATGATAGCTGTTTAAATTAAGCAGATTGAGTTTGTGATCTCATAATAATAACATATATATCAAAATATTTATTAATAAAAAAAAAGTTTTTGTTCACTTATGGAGGATTAGTTTTTTACCCAAAAAATATGGATTTTTCCAATGGTTTTGCTCGCTCACGATGGGGGAGTAAGGACTATGAAGATGTCCAAGAAAGAACAAATTGGTTTAGGAGGCAGGATTTAATTAAACGAGAACAAGAACGCATGCAAAAAAGCGAAATCGCTGAAAATTTATTAAACCATCATTCCTTTATTAAGCAACGTGAAGCAGAAGAACGTAAGCAAAAGTATCTCGAAGAATTAGAGCAGGCTAAAATAGCCAGGCAGAATATTGAAATTGATGAACAAAGAAAAATTGCCCAAAAAATCCAACTAAATAGGTAGCAGCATATTAATAAAATGGCTAGCCGTAATTAGTTCTCTTACATTATCCGGGGCCCGGAAAAAAACCTGCCCACGACTCACCCTTATTGAGTTTTATTAAAATTGCAGAATCTATCTGTTCTTCTGGCTTGTCTCCAGGTCTCCGCTTCAGCATCCCTTCATAAAAACTCTGCCCACTCGGAAGGGCATTGCTACGTCCTGGTTGGGCATTCCTTAAGTACCTCAAGGAACTCATGCTTGTACGAAGCAATTTCCGACATTCTAAAGACTATTAGAGACAGGCGTATTCAAATCAAATCCTCGATAAGTCTCTCTCTTGCCTCTCTGTATCGTGCATATGCCCTGGCCTCGCCATCGACTACTCCACAGGTAGAGCAGTTTGGATTGTCTGTCAGTCTTCGTATGTAGATGTTTCAAGCATTCGAGTTAATGATGTGAACCCAAATAGGATGTCATCCACGCTAGCGTCCAGAAACTGTGGGGGCCAACCTGGCGTGCATTGGGATATGCTTCTATTTCCTCATATCGGACATGCTGAAAAAGTAACTAAGGAATAGGGAGCAGCAAATGATTCGGCAGCTACAAGAGGAGCAAGCCAAGGAAAGGAAACAAATTGATATGAATGAGAAGCAGCGTGAGATGGAGCTAATAATGCAGAGAAAAGAAAGAGACGATAAAAGAGAAAGAGAATACAAGCAGCACTATCAACATATATATGAAGATCAACTCAATAAAGCAATACGATTTTCCTCAGTCATTGCAAAAGAAATGCAAAAAGACAGTCAAATTGATAATTGAATTGAGAAAGGCGTTGAAAACTATCAGCAAAAATTAGCTGAAAAAGAAGCCTATGAAAGAGAAGTAAAAGAAAGAAACGCAAAAGCAGTGAAAGATATGCTGAGAAATCAAATTGAACAAAAGGAGTCGCAAAAACGAAAAGAGATGGAAGAATACAGAAAAGAGCAGGAAGAACTCAACAAAAGAGTCGAATTCAGCAGAATGCTGGAAGAAGAAAGAGAGCGCCAAAAGTTCATGCAGAAGCAGGATTATGTAGATCAATTGCTTAGACAGACTAAGGCTGAAGAAGATTCAAAAGCCTACACTTTCAAGCTTTCAGACCATGAAAAGCTGTTAAATAAAAATTTGCTTGATGAAGCAATTCTTAGCAGGAGGTTCAAAAGAGGAGCTGATGAAATTGTGAAAGGGCGATCTCCTTCGCAGTCATTAGAAGAAACCAATCCCAGAAAAATCCTTGCATATGAGTACAATGCGCCTATAATTGGTGAAACTCAGAGCTTAAGACACAGAGGAAACAATTATAAAAGGATAAACCCAATTACTGGGATTGAATATGGATATGAACTCCCTAAATCCTCGTTAAACAACTCATTACTGTGGTAATCATAAAGAAAATAAATGCTTTTCTGCTTATAATTATTAATTAAAAAATTACACATTTAAAGGATGCTTAAAAGCAACCACAATAACTGTCATATTGTCCGACCCCTGAGCTTTCACAGCCTGATGAAAACAATTGTCCAGCAAATCTTCAGCCACATCGCCAATTGGCTTCTTCTTTTTCAGCTTCTTATCCACAAACTCTACAGCTTCTTGTGAAGTCATCAGATCCCAAACACCGTCACATGCAAGCAGAATAAAATGATCCTGCTTCGTTAAAGTGACTTCAGTAATATCAGGAACGGAAATAATCATTTGTTTATCGTGAGGCAAATCAGCGTTTGCCTTAAAATCGAGATCCCCGATAGATCTGCTCAAATTTAGATTTCCCATTACTCTTCCATCGAGAACTGTACCTCCAGCATTGATGATCCTTTCATGCTCTTCTGGCAGCTCAGGCTTATGATCAACAGTCATTTCAATTGCTTTTCCTTTGCGACTTAGGATGCAGCGACTGTCTCCTGCGTTGGCGACATATAATTTGTCATCACGAATTAAAGCTACAACTGCTGTGCAGCCTGACATGATCGGATCAATTTTGTCGATTGGGTAACCATTTGGGATTCCTTTAGAGATCATATGCAACTCTTTTTGACCTTCAGGAGTGCGAAGTAGGTCGTCCATTCTTATAAACGTTTTTTCGAGGGCGTCACGAATTCGGCCTTTATTGTAAGCTTTGGTTTTTTTAATTTCTGTACAAAAATGCTTTGCAACGAATTCAGAGACTTCGTGACCGCGGTGACCATCAAAGACACCGAAGACTGAGGTACGCTGATCTAATAATAAATTCATGAGGCGGGAGTCTTGCATTGAATTTCGAAATCCTTGAGTATCAGCAGCTCCGAATTTCATTCTAGGACTTTCACCTACGTTGGAATGCTTGGCTTTCTTTGGAAGAGAGTGCTTTTGTCCCATTTTTTGTTTGCTCCTCATCCATCTTAGATCAAGCAATTCTATATATAATTTGAAAAAATAATCCCTATCGTTAATTGAATGATTTCATATATTGCAAACATTTTATAAGATTAATTAACGCTTACTAAAATTTATAAAAATATTAATAGTTTTCGAAGAGAATTTATAGTGTATTGATTTTTTAAACTCTGTTCTAAGTAATAGTGGGACGATCGATAAAGGATGGGGAGAATAGTGGAAATGAATTACGAGAAAGCCATTAAATCAGCCAAGCATTTTTCAAGCTAAAAAATCATTTTAAATTTTTTAGCTAAATATTATAGAGACAGATCTTATTAATTGATAAACAATTTCATCTATGAACTGGAAGAATCTAATAAATCTATCAATAAAGCTAGTTAGCTATAAAGCAATCCTTAATGAATATGCTAAATAAGATAATAAATTTGAACTCTCTTTATTCAGTATGCTTTTTGAATGGAAGATGAAAGGAATCATTATTTATTGAGAAAGTGTGCCTTCTTTAATAAAAATCAACATAAATAATCAATTCTATTAGCATTTAGTTATTTACATCCTCTTTAATACCCTTTTGCTTTATCGACTATTGATGTAAGCTGCCTTCCGTTTAGAAAAGACTCTAAATTATCTTTAAAACACTTCATTCTATTTTCTTCTGAAATTAATGTCATTCCTCCATTATGTGGAGAAATAAGTAAATTTGGAGCATTTCAGAGCGGTGAGTTCTGAGGTATTGGCTCATTTCAAAATACATCTAAGGCTGCTCCAGCAATTGACCGATTATGCAGCGCATTAACTAAATCTCTTTCGTTGATACTATCTCCTCTCCCTACATTAATAATAACAGCGGTCTTCTTCATAAGTGCAATTTCGCGCTCTGCTATAACATTATTCGTCATCCTTGTGCTTGGTAGTGCCATAAACAAAAAATCTGCACTTGGAAGAATTTCATGCAATTTTTCCATATCAAAAATTTGGTCAGCAATTCCATCTGGCTCAACCTTAGTTCTTTTAATTCCTATAACACTCATATTTAACATTTTGCACATCCTTGCAACTGATTTCCCGATTGATCCGTATCCCAAAATCACTATTGTAGATTTTGATAAAGTGGGCATATTAAACGGACAAAATAATTTTTTATCTTTTTGTAGGCGAAGGGTTTCTATTTTTTTATTAAAATAAAGCATCGCCCCTAGACAATATTCAGAGAGGGAGAAGTCATAGACGCCTTTGGTATTTGTAAATGGGACAGGACTTGAAATTAATTCTTCAGTCAAAAAAGATCTCACTCCTGTTGAAAAAGCGTGAATTCACTTAAGTGGGTTACTCCTTACGCATTCGTCCACATGATTTGGCTGTATCTTTCCAAATAAAACCAAAACATCTGTGTATCCTCATTGATCTGAGCTTTGGAATTCTTCGAATTGCTTGTAGCATTCGATTTTTAGTTGGGGATAAAAAGTGCTGTATTCAAGGAGTCTAGGAATAAGGTGGTACGATCTCATTGATATCAAGACCGAAATCACATGCTCTGCATTCATTGCTAAAAGTTATTACATTTTCTTATTAATTTTCATTTCCTAATCAAATTTGTAAAAAGTTAATACTTGGTAAATTTATCGAATCTAAAAAAATAAAGTTTATTATATAGAGCTATTTTACGATGAATTTATCCCACTCATAGGGTGGAAGAAGATATATTTACTCCCCTCTCTTTAAATAGGAGCAAAAAATCCCATAAAAAATTAAGGGGGTTATATTTTTTTAAATTTTTTCTTAAAAAAAATTTATTAAAATTTTTAAAAATATAAATTGAGCACAATGCTTTGAATTTTAATTATTTTATAAGAAATAATTTAAAAAATAAATTGATCGATTTGTAAACTGTTTAAATACTATTCTATTTGCACTTTGTCTATTAAATTAGGTCAAAACTCATTTAATAAAAATTAGTATTTTCATCGTTAAAATTTTGTTCTAATTTAAAGGGGTTAGAGTACCCCAGAAAATGAAATTTTGCCAATGCTTTGTTCCATTTTAAAGGGGGAGTAAGGATCTGAAAAGGTAATTTCTCGTTGTCGGCCATACTATGCCTAACGCACCAGATCCCATCCGAACTCTGAAGTTAAGCGGCATAAGGCGAGGTTAGTACTTGGGTGGGGGACCGCCAGGGAAGCCCTCGTGCTGACAGCTAGACTTTTTATTGTGGCAAATAATTATAAACTGCTTCTTTTGATCTTTTGTCATTTATTTAGCCTGCAAGTCTTTAAAAATTATTGAATCTTTATTTCATTTTTATATATAAAATTAAGTAAGTTACCAATAATATTTATTAGTGCCAAAACAATTTAAATCACTATCAGAAACCTTTTTTATAAGCTTTCCATGGATTCAAGAGCTAAATTTTTGTCTCACTTTTAATTAAGAATACTTAATAATTTTTAGTGATTAAGCAAGACAGGGCTTGAAGTCTAAAGTTTGCTAGAAGCATATTCAGCGTAATATCGAATGAATTTGTATACATCAAGCAATTTTCTTGGTAAAAACTTAAACATTAATATTATCCAACTTATAAACAGAATTACTTATTTCTTGGCACTTGAGAGCTTCTTCTTGCTTCGACAGCCTCAGTGCATTCTCCAATTCAGTGCTTTTTTCCATTACAAAACGAACAAAACCCTTTTCTGCAGTTTATACATACAAGGTTTTGTGCTTTAAACTCCTCTGTCAAGACTTGAGTTGGCTGAGGTGTTTTGCATTGAGGGCATTGAGCATTTGCAAACTGCTTTTTAGGCAAGCTCCTTTTTGTTTCTTCTTCTGGGTTAAAGCCAAATGGAAAACCTCCTGCAAGATTCATTTTATTATTATATCTACTTATCAGCTCATTTTTTAATGAAAATCATCAATTCATTCCCTGTACAAATAAGCACCTAAAATGATTAAATTAAAATTAGCCAAAATTTATTTAACTTAAACGCTTTTCTCGTTTATGTTTTGGAAATAAGTTAATAGAGCATTTAGGCAACGTAAAAATATATAATCCCTAAGCCAAAAATAACATCTTGAAAATGAAACGAAAGGTTCTGCCTATGTTTTCAAAAAAGGCAATGCAAAATCCCATAGAAAGTGACTCATCTTCTGCAGATCATCATGACATGACAGCTACTACATCAACGTCTTCTACGAACTACAGCAACATCAAAGATTTCCCAACAGTAAAAAGCTCATCAAGGTCAATCATAAACTGTCAAAGCTTAGCCACCTTCTCTCACCTAAATAATGTTGAATTTAGTCCTTCAGAATTCGAAATTGCGCCTATTAAAGAAAACAACCAAGAGACTTCTTATGAAGAAGAAGACTCTTTGCTGCTAGAATTAGCTGAGTTTCTCAGCAATCCTAGCAAGCCTAATAATCAATCTAAGCTTGCTATTAGCAAACCTAAGAGGACTCTAACTTATCAGGGTGAGAAAAATAAAAATTTTTAATGGTAAATAGAGCATATTAAGTAAAAAAATTTTCGTTTCCTTTATTTTCTTATATATATAAATCAGTAATAGGTAGGGATAATAAAATCTTTTTTCTTCTTCTTATATAAAAATCCTGCAAAAAAAAACTATACTAAATTCCTGGGGATAGCGTATTCCGCGCTATCCCCCAGGAATTTTTCTATAAATAATTACTTTTGAGCTTTTAGAAATAATTCATTGCTGTGAAGAAAAGTACTTTTAGGTTCTGTTACTTTTAAAACAGGAGTAGGCAAAAAACTTTCCCAACCGTCAATCAGAATCAAGATCGACAGCAATAACATTATGAGAACTGCTCGAAAACGGACGTCAAACATCACAGACGACGACCTTGCACAGCTTTTAAAAAAGGACAACAAATTTAGAAGGGGATTTTTGCAATAATTTAACTGCTAAGTCTGTTGTATAAATAAACTTAAAAGTTATGCAGAATTTTATAAGAGTAAATGGATCAATTCTTCAAAGAAATCGAGGACTACTGCGAAGCTTATTTTACAGTTGCAGACTACTTCTTGACTGTAGGGTTCACAGATCAAGTGATAAAAGACCACCTAGAATGCGGAGAAGAGCTCATCCCATCAGTTTTGTCTCACTCCCCCCCCTTTAAATTGAAACAAAATATAGGTAAAATTCCTACTTTTTTGGGAAATTATCCCTCCTTTAAATTGAAATAAAATTTTATTATAATAGAAAATTTTATAGGTAAAAATCATTATTTTATATGTAAATATGTTAATATCCTATTTAATATGCTTCAAACATAGGCATTGTCATAAAATTATAATGTTATTAAATATAATTTACTCAATTTATTGTCTCTTTAAATTTATATAATTTATTTTCTATAAAATTTTATCTCTGAAAAAAATTTTTATATATAAAATTTTTTTTATAAAAAAATTTTCTTAACCCCCCTTTAAATTGAAACAAAAAATTTTTTGTTTCAATTTAAAGGGGGGGGGAGTCAGTTTCCTCCATCAACTCGTGGATCTCTTAATTTGCCTACAACCCTCCCTATGGTATTTTCCAATTAGTTTTGCTTTCCTTGAGGTGCATCAATCAGCCAAAGCAAAGCCAAGCTTGCTACAAATCTTTTCAATTTGATTTTGCAAGATGATCTAGGGACACCTCTATATTGTACATGCCTTCATGTTTTGGAAGAAAGAGGCGAAGAGATGAAACAAGATAGAAATGCTATCAATCTTCTTCCAAGCACTTCAACCGGTTCAGACTCAACTTTCGAAACGGCAAGTGAGAGAAGTGAGTATTTCAGCCCAGAAAATATTAGGGTTACTATTAGTGAGTGTCCGAATTACGAACAGTCAAGTACAGATCGAGATCGATCTGTCAGTGAGTTCTATACAACTTCTCTGCCGAGCTCCCCTACATTTAAATATAAGCCAGTCTTCTTGGAAAACCAAAACTCAAAGATCGTCCCCAAAGCTATTGTAATTGTATCTAGAAGCCCGTATTTAGAAATTTTTAAGAGAATATTGCTGAATATCTATAAGATGAGCACCGATGGGATTAAGATTCCAATGGAGTGCGTGATTTCTCATCTAATGCTGACTATTCCGCATCCTCCAAAGGGAGAAGTAGAATTAATGTACCTATTGAATACTCATTATTTCAAGTTTTCTATGCCTCCTAAAAATCAACTGCCATTACTTGATGTAAATCTTGGGGTTCTTTTTCACAGGTTAGATCTAGATAAAGTCATGTGCATTTTCCAACACTTATCACTTGAAAGGTCGATAGTGTTCTTATCCACAAATGAAGATTTGTTAACGTCTTGCTCTTACTGTTTATTATCTTTATTGTACCCTCTACAATGGACTTTGCTATATATCCCAGTTTTGCCTGAAAAAATGATTGATTTTTTGTATTCGCCAATTAAATATGTATTTGGGGTTCATTCAAAGTATAAAGAAGCAGTCTATGCAAGATGCATGAGCTCAGCTTGTATAGTCGATTTGGATGAAAATTCAATAGAAACTACTGCTCAAGCAGTTAAAATTTCTCAAACTGCAAGATATGGGCAATCAACTCTGCCAAATCTGCCTGAACATTATGGTAAAAAGTTACATAAAGAACTAAGTCAGTCTCTATTGAAAGCAGGTGGGGTTAAAGCGAACTCAATTTCTCTGTCAACCCCAAAGCTTGATGAGTTTACAATTAAAAGCATTAGGCAGTCATTTTTTAAATATTACGTCTCAATTTTCCTGAATTATGGAAAATACGTAAACATGGAATGGACTGAATATGGAGGCTCTAAATTTTTTTCGCATCATGAGTTTTTAGAAACGCATCCAGATAATTCAAGATCTTATATGAAAGAAATGATCAATTCACAAATGTTCAGCAGTTTTTTGGAGAAAAAGTTAAGGCCAAAGAATAATGATGACTATTTCGAAGTTTTGTATTTTGATGAGAGTATTGTAGCGAAAATGAATAGATCAAAGCTGAAGTATACGAAAGCTAGCACACCTTTTATAGAAGATAAATCAGTGGGGTTCAAAGACGTTGCTCAAGTTCCGTCACTATATTCAGTGTATCCAGCAGTTGGATGGTTTCAATACAAAAACTTCCCGGATTTTGATCTTCAGTTGCTATCAGCATATGGACTGCCTAAAAATAGATTGCCGAAATGTAGGGACTACCCCGATACCCCATCGTATACTAATATTTATATTCCTCACACCCACTGGCCTACAAACCAGCACTGTGTTATTGCTTGCTGGATTGAAGTCTGGGCTGCTTCTCTCTGACATCAGGATTTAGCTGACCACTCTGACATGCTCAACAAAGCAATTTTTGTCCTAGGAAAATACCACAAATTTCCTACTCCCAGTTTGCTTTCAGCTATGCTTGAATCATGCTGTGAATTCAACGCATCTCTTGGCATTTCCCTATTTTCTTTCCTTTCTTCATCTAAATTCCTTATCGATATGGTCTGTATAAAAATTCTTCGCAAAACGGTCTCAAAGCTACTCAAAGGAAACCAAAACATGGAAGATATTGACTGTGACAGAAGCTTAATGATAACAAATGCAATCATAAATTCAGATGATCTAGCTGAAAACAGCAGAAAAAGAATTTTCACAGGCGAAGGAGAAATCAATATTTTTGTAAGGGGATTTTGCAAGGTGTGTGGGAGAAAAATCCCTAATACAGAAATTGCTGAACAGCATGCTGATAACCCGTATAGCTTAGCTTGCCGATGCAAATGCGGAGAGCTTTATCAACCACAGCTGAAAGTGAGGAACTGTTTAGATGATGCAATAATTGTGGAAACTATTTTTATGTCACCTAAGTCTCTGCGGCAGTCTTTTGTAGAGCTAATCAAGGACAAAGACCTGCCACTGAAATTAGATTTTGACATCCTTCGACTGGAGCTCCCCATGATTTTTTGGAACCTAATCTGGCAATTCAACCTTTCTTCATTACCATTTGAATTCTTATTCCCCTATGAATCCCAAACAACTTCTTTCCTAACCAACAGCATCCGCAAAGAAATGTCAACACAAACAGAAAGCTACCCTAACCTAGCAGAAGTCCTGGCGATCTATGAAGAACTTGTAAGTCAATAATTAAACTAATTTCTAAAGAAACTTTTAGTAGTTAAAAAGCGGTTTATTAATTGGGGCATTATTATACATGGATCCATGAGCCCTCCTCCTCCTCCGCTTATTATTCCAAAGTCTGTCATTGGCATACCATGTTCATATTGCAAGGGCCGGTCCCAGCCCTCCTGTTGCTATGCCGTGGAAAATGAATCTTTAACTCCCAGAGTGCTCTCATCTCTTCCTCCACCTTTTCTTCTTCTTTTTTCTCCTTAGCCTGCGTCTTCTTCTCCAATTTTCAATCCTAGTCGACATATCTTTCATAGTCTGTATAAAGTATAGTATCGCAACATCAAAATATCCTGCTCTCCATAAAAATATCCGGTGCAATAAAGGAATAGCACACATATATGCACACACAAATGTTTCTTTGCCTCTTATTTCTATAAAATATTTTAGTGATTTTGTAGATTTGCTTTCTTGACGGTCTCCATCGTGCCTCCGAAAACTTGGTCAGCCTTGCTGATCGCTAAGGACTGTGTGGGTATCTTTGGCTGATTCTATAAACAAGATGAGATTCTCTTCATTTCTAACAAAGCGTGGTGTTCAAGTGATTTTATTAATCCTAGCTATCGAAACTTATAACACTTTACTTGAGAGCCTCATAGTCTTCTTGCTCAATCAGCAGCTCGTTGATAGCTTCGTTTACTTATACATCTATACTGACCGAAGCCAATGGAGGCATAATCAAAGATTTCCAGCTCTTCTTAGTACTTGAACAGCTTTGGTATGATCAATTTTGGAGAAATGTTCTTAAAGTATTCAAGATAGAAAATCATGGCTCTGAAAAATAAATTCTTGCTTTGATGTTTTTTGAATCACGTCAGTGAATATTTCATGGCTCCAGGATTTAGGAGAATGATCAATCATTTTGACCAAGCATTATCAAATTAATTATATTTTATAAATAAGAAAAATGCTTCTGGCCATCTGAATCTTCCACAAGCTCTTACTCCCACTCCATGAGCGAATCAAAAAATTTTGTTCACTTACTAGGGTTAAATTTTTTAGAAAAAATTCTCAATTCTCGAAAAATTGAAGGCAAAATTAATTTAATTTGTAAAAATTTATTTTTTAAAATGAAAACTGCTTAAAATTAAACAGATTTAGTTAGACATTTCATTATAATAATTATCACTTAAATATTAAAATATTTTTTCATAAAAATGTTTTGTTTGCTCACGAAGGTAGTTTTGGGCCTCTTTCGCTGGCCATTCCGCTTTCTAAGAGAGACATAAGCTCGTTTGGGTATCCATTGTGCTCGTAATGTCTTATAATATTTTTTTCGTATTTTAAAATATTCCAATTCAAAAAAATTATTTAATTTATAAAATGAAGGTAATATTGCTCGGTAATGCATCTGATATCTGAGATCAGTTCTTGTAAGGAATGTCGAGGCAAATAGTTGAGAAAAAAACTTTTACTCCCCCCCCCCCCCCCCGTGAGCGAACAAAACCATTAGAAAAATCGCCATTTTTTGACCAAAAACCCACCCTCCGTGAGTGAACAAAAATTTTTTTTAATAGAAAAAATTTTAATGGAAAAAAAATTTTGATATATAAGTGATAATTAGTATAATGAAATCTAGAGCTAATTCTGTTTAATTTTAAACAAATTGCGTTTTAAAACATAAAATTTTGCAAATTAAATTAATATTTGCTTCCCAATTTTTGCAAATTAGGATTTTTTTAAATTTCGAAAAAAAATATTTTTTATAAAATTTATATATAAATTTTTTTTAAAAAAAAAATTAACCCCCCTCCGTGAGCGAACAAAATTTTTTTGTTCGCTCACGGAGGGGGGGGGGGGGGAGTTAGGAGATATTCGACAATCCTTTTAGAAATTTAACAAATTGTTGCTCTTTTTAGCTTGATTTGGGATTTTATCGTTTAAACCAATTTTATTATGATAAATTAACGAAAACATTCTTAATTATTGATTTTATATGTAAATAAGGTAAACAAAAAATTTAAATTTATATTTGAAAACTTAAAATTATTATGTCCTCCATAGACAACTTTACATTCAAGGGCGAAACTGGCAAAACTCTTATAAAGTCTCCTGGATCAATCCAAGGGCAAGTTTTCAACCTCATGCAGCTTGAAGGATGTACAATCTACTTACTAGACCACTCTGATGCAGTTTATGTTGATGAATGCCGTAATTGCACAATTTTTATCGGTCCTGTCCAGGGCTCTTGTTTCCTTCGCAACTGCAATACCTCCACTTTTTCAATTGCTTGCAATCAAATTCGTACCCGTGACTGCACTGAACTGACAATTTTTCTCTATTCCCAAGCTGACCCTCATATAGAAAAATCATTCGGCATTAAATTTGCTCCTTATAATTTCTCATACCCTTTCCAAGATAAGCACTTTCAAGCAGCAAAACTAAACCCAGACGCTAATAAATGAAGCGTGGTCTATGATCACAATTCCAGTGAAGGTGAAGGACATTTTGAATATTTACCTCCTAATCAGTTCGTTGAAGAATCCAAAGAGATTTCCGGTTTTCCACCTCCAGTCAATCCAGTCCAGAGAAGTGTGATGTATGGAGGAAACATCAGAGAAGATATAATCCCACCTAGGGCTGCCAAAAATATTCCGGTGCATGCTCTTTTGATAGGAAGGTTAAAATATGCCTTCTAAAAATTGATCCAAAATTTTTTTCTTCTACTCCCTCTGTAAGCAAACAAAACCATTAAAAAAACTCACTATTTTTTGGGTAAACCTACCCTCCTTCGGAAAATAAAATTTTAAATATAAACATTATTATAATGAAATATCTAGCTAATTCTGTTTAATTTTAAATACTCATTTTAAAACATAAATTTTGAATATTAAATTAATTTTTTATTTTTGAAAAAAAAAATAATTTATATAAAGCCAGCGTCACTAACTATATAATTTTTTTAAAAAGAAAAATTAACTCACATCCATGAGAAAAAATACAAATCGCTCACCAAGAGGAGGATTAAGGCATTTGATAAAAATTTAAAGTTTTTTCCTAATGTCTCACTATAAAAAATTTCAGCCAAATTTGAGAAAGCCTCACACTATCAACACTTCCCGATCAAATTTTTGTCGCCAAATATTCAGAGTCCTATGCCTGTGAGAAGAGACTTACCACCTCCAGCTATCGCAAATCCTACAGATAACCAAAATTTGTCAGCGCAGGAAGATAGAAGATATGTCCCTTTTAATTCACCTAAGATGGGAGAAGTGTCTCAGGTTGAAGCAAAAATTCAAAACCAAGTACAATTAAATGCTAATATTTCTCAAAATGAAGATTTAGGCATTATACAAGTTCTAACATATAACTACAGGCAAGGCCAAGGATTTGAATATGATTATACAGGAGTGACAAGTTTTCCAAATGAAATTATTAGGGGAACATTAGAATCTCTGGATGTGATTGTGAAGCCGTTTAATGAGAGCTTGAACTTGCTTTTCTTGTGCTCCATGCTCGTTGTTATTGGCTTTTTTGTGCTGTTTTTACAATTTTTTATATTGAGGATGACATCAGAATGGAGAAAAGAAGCTTGGGCTATAGTTATTGTGTTTATTTGTATCAGTTTTATTGTGCTTCAGGTAATTATTTTCTTAAAAAAAAGAAATCTTTCAAAGGATGGAGAAATTAAGGTGTTGGAGTTTGTAACGCAGGAGAACAGTAAATCCTATGAACAGAGAAAAGCTACATTAAATGCAACGCTAAATATGGTGAGAATTGAGATTAAGTAATAATAATATAAGAAATTAAGATAAGATAAGATTATCTTTTTGTGAAGAGAACAAAATTTTTTCAATAGTCATTAGGTGTTAAAGCAAAAATTAATACATATGTTTAAATTAAAGGGGGATTTGAATTTATTATATTATAAATGGTAAAAAATCTCAAGTCTAACACTCATAGTAAAACAAGAAGACCCTTACAAAAAGCCAACTTCATTCAAACAGTCGATATTTTCAACCTAAAGAATAATCATGAACCATTTCAAGTAGAAATCCCATTAAACAAACTTTTCCAAGAGAAAATAGCTCGTACTGCACGCACAAAGTGGTGAAAGGTTACAGAAAACACCAAAGAGTTTCTCGATGGCTTTCAAATCGTAATCCTAAATTGCTATCGTGGGCCTGAACACGGGAGCGTTGAGAAAGAAACTCTTGCCTTTTCATGGCCAATAGAATCCATCGATGAAGAAGATATAGAAGCATGCATAATAACCGGCGAGATGGATGACTTTTACATTCAAGGAAACAACCCAGATATAAACTTAACTCGTCTCTATTCCTGCCACCCTCTTGATGACAAAGATCTCGAAGAATTCAAACTGAATGAACGAGATCTAAAAAAAGTAAATGTCTTTCGGCTTTGGGATGGAAAATTTTTATGTGATACTAGGGACCCTCAATATGAAAATATTCTACCAATCAAGCTCTATCATTGGCACATAAATCATTTTTATGCTATACATTTTGAAATGGATAAGGCTACAGCAGCACCTTCTGATCAAGAAATTTTGAACCTATATTCTGAAGAATGACTGCGAGAAAATTATGATAAAACGCTACATCTACTGCAAAGACCGCTGCAAAGTGCCAATGAATATACATGCGAAATTTGTGCAATTATTGCAGCAGTTATAGAAATAAATGGAAAAATAAAGGAACCTCTAGAAGGAAGATGAAAGAATGGCGGCTATTCTATTGCGATGCTTTTCAAATCCCAAAGCATTATCTGCGAGAAAATAGCAAAATACCAAATTGGGGTTTTTGCAGAAAGAGGTGAAAAAGTTTATCTTCTTGTCCATTTGCAAAATCTCAGCGTCATCCACTCATCATTTGCCATTGTAGAAGGGCCTTTGATTTATTTTTATAATTCTTGAATGATGAAGCCAGTTATTTTGAAGCTTAAAGGTCTCAAGCAATTCACGATCAAGGATTTCAAAGGAAATGGAACACTTTTTATTCCGAAGGAGTGGTTCCGATTAAGAGCCTTTAAATAAATTTATTTTAGAAATTAATTTTATTAAAACTTGCTAACTCCCCCCCCCCCCCTCCGTGAGCGAACAAAAAAATTTGTTCGCTCACGGAGGGGGGTTAATTTTTTTTTTTAAAAAAATTTATATATAAATTTTATAAAAAATATTTTTTTCGAAATTTAAAAAAATCCTAATTTGCAAAAATTGGGAAGCAAATATTAATTTAATTTGCAAAATTTATGTTTTAAAACGCAATTTGTTTAAAATTAAACAGAATTAGCTCTAGATTTCATTATACTAATTATCACTTATATATCAAAATTTTTTTCCATTAAAATTTTTTCTATTAAAAAAATTTTTGTTCACTCACGGAGGGTGGGTTTTTGGTCAAAAAATGGCGATTTTTCTAATGTTTTGTTCGCTCACGGAGGGGGGGGGGGAGTAAGCTATTAAAAATTAAATTAGGATTTAGCATTATCTTAATGACTAATAATTTATTAATTTCATAACCCCCCTAATAATATGAGCCAGCCATCTCAAAAGCATCACAAAATTGCTGCACAGAAAGATTTCAAAAAAGAAAGGAATATTAGAGCAATGAATGAAGCCCAAGCTTTTATTCAAGCAAAAAAAAAGATTTCTCCAACAGAAACAATTAAAAATATAATTCAGGGAATCCCATATCATGAAATTTCAGAATCGCTATTTAATGATCCAGAAACTCTTCAATCTGCTTTAGAATCGATTTCTTCTGCAATAGAACATTATGATCAATTTTATTCAATAGATCAATTAAAGACTGCAATTAATGAAGCAATTGACTCCAAAATTTCACTTTTTGAAACACAAGAATTGCAATTGAATTGTGAATTGTGGAAAGAAGCAATATTTTCTTACTTGAGCATTTTTAAAACAGAAATTGCCGAATCTTTAAAGGATTTCTGAATAAATATTATGAGTTCATCTCAAAAGTATCCATCAATTCCTCAAAGGTCATTTCAAAATCTTCATTCCAAGATTATCGAAGAAATAGAGCATTTAAAACCCTCAAATCCTGGTTTTTCAGCAGAAGAAATTTGCATAATTGAAGATAAAGAAGGATGTAATGGAGCATTTTGCGATTCTCTTGAATCTATTGAAAAAAATGCATGTTTCAGCAATAAAATGGAATGTACTAGCAGATGCTTATGCAAAGAAGAAACTTGCCTAAATCGCTCAATATCTAAAAACAGACGAAAATACATTAAAGATGTGGATGTGATAGAAATGCCAGCTTTTGGATTTGATAAAAGAACAGCCCAGATAATTTTACAAATAATTGGAAAATCTATAGATGCGAAAAGATTTCTTAATGTTTCTATGCCAATTGCAATAAATTGGGCAGCAAATCAAATAAATGACAGCTTTAAACACATTTTACAAGGCATAATGACTGAAGAAATTTTTAATCTGAATGATAAATATTTTTCTAAAGCTTTATATAACTCGATTGAAGCCTTAGGTGAAATATATGGGCATGATATTATTTTAAAGGAATTCACCATCCATCAAAAAGGTTATGGAATCTTTTGCAACACCTCTCAAGGAATCCCGAAAAATGCCTTTTTGGGGGAATACGCAGGCCAAATATATTCGGCAGGAGAATTTTATGAAAAAGACCTTGCAATCCAAAATAGTAAAAATAAAATCCAACCTGCAAACTCTACCAATGAATCATCCAATTTTTATACAGTTGAGCTGGAAAGAAACAAAAATGATATAAAAGGCTATTCTGTTTTTTTTGTGGATCCTATACCAAGAGGAAATTGAACTTGCAAAATTAATCACTCTTGCTACCCAAATTGCGAAGCAAGAACAGTGATTGCAAATGGCAGGTATACAATCGGTCTCTATACAATAAGAAGAATAAAGTCATTGGAAGAATTAACATGGAACTATTCCTCATGCACAGATCAGATTGAAGAGTATAAAAACAGTATTTGCTTATGCTCAAAAACTAATTGTTCTGGATACTATCTCATTAACCCTTCAAAAACAGATATTTGTCTACCCCTTGCTGGAAAAATATGTGCTCTCTTATTTTCAAGTTCAGCCAAAATTACCTCTGATGAAATTCAATACATAGAGCAATTTAATCTTGATAAATCTCTGATGCATGAAATTCCAGAGTGATTAAAGTGCTGAACCTATACAACACTTAACTATATCACATCCTATATTGAGTTAAGGAAAAATGACGCTCTAAGCAATTTAAAAGCAAAAATTGAAGCCAAATTGAGTAGCGAACTTGAAAAAATAGACTTATTAAAGGATTCATTAATAAAAGAGTTAACTATTTCTTTATCCCGGGCAAGATATTTGCTAACTCCCCCCCCCCCCCTCCGTGAGCGAACAAAAAAATTTTGTTCGCTCACGGAGGGGGGTTAATTTTTTTTTTTTAAAAAAAATTTTATATATAAATTTTATAAAAAATATTTTTTTTCGAAATTTAAAAAAATCCTAATTTGCAAAAATTGGGAAGCAAATATTAATTTAATTTGCAAAATTTATGTTTTTAAAACGCAATTTGTTTAAAATTAAACAGAATTAGCTCTAGATTTCATTATACTAATTATCACTTATATATCAAAATTTTTTTCCATTAAAATTTTTTCTATTAAAAAAATTTTTGTTCACTCACGGAGGGTGGGTTTTTGGTCAAAAAATGGCGATTTTTCTAATGGTTTTGTTCGCTCACGGAGGGGGGGGGGGGAGTAAGTAATATCCCTGATTCAAATATGCCTCCGATCTGCATCCTCACAGAAATTGAAGTCTTGAATTATTTATGGGGTGATGACTGCAATTCTATTAAAAATCAGCTAAATACCTTATTTGAAAATGATATAAGCGTTAAAGTTCAAAATTTGACCAAAAAGCCCATCAACAACTTAAATGAAGCGAGAACAGAACTCTTGAAAATAAAAGACCATTTGAAAGAAAACCAATCCAACAATTGAATTTATAAAGGTATTGCAGATATTTTACATTTGACTGCCTACAACCAATTATTTTTCAGATTTAATGCTTATCAATCGTTTACTTCAAAGAATATCAGGCTTAAAAATTGTGAACTTTATAATTTTGAATGCAGTGAATATTATGAAGAAGAATCAAATTTCGAATACGATGGCGAGCACTTGCATAGATTGCTTGCTGGGTGGAATTCGCGCGATTATGCTGCGAATAAAAGTATTATGTTTAATGGCTTAAAAGGGCCTCTCTTGCTCCCATCAATCCAAAACTCTCAACCTTCATTTTACAACGAAATATCGCGGATCAAATTTTTAAATAAAATATTTGAAGCTCCCTTAGTTTCATGGAGTGAATATGAGGAAGCAAATTTATTTATATTTGATGAGGAAGCAAAAGTCTTTGGAACACCTATGTTCTATGACTACGTTAACAAAAATATTTCTGTGCTTAATGTATGCTTTCAGGATTTGGACGTCCAATGAAACTTAATTTCACTTAGTACTTAGACAGCCTTGGCATGGTCAATTTTGGGAGAAATGTTCTTTAAGTCATTAATAAGCATGGGCTGCTCTTCAAGATAAAAAATCATGGCTCTGAAAAATAAATTCTTACTTTGATGCTTTTTGAATCATGTCAGTGAAAATATCATAGCTCCAGGATTTAGGAGAATTATCAATCATTATGGCCAAGCATTATCAAATTCATTATATTTTATGTATAAGAAAACTGCTTCTGACCACCTGAACATTTCACAAGCTCTTAGTTTTTGGGCTTCTTTTGCTGGCCACTCCCCTTTCTAAGAGAGATATAAGCTCGTCTGGGTATCCATTCTTATCGTAATATCTTATAATATTTTTTAACTCCTTCATATCAATTAGTAAACAAAAAGATTTGATCGCTCACAGAGGGTCTTAATTTTTTTCCTTCAGGTTTCATATTAAGTATTTTTTCGAATTTTAAAATATTCCAATTCGAAAATAAAATTATTTAATTTATAAAATGAAGGTAATATTGCTCGATAATGCATCTGATATCTGAGATCAGATATTATAAGGAACGGAAATATTTGAAAATCTTTATTAGAAATTTAACAAATTTTTGATCTTTTTAGCTTGATTTGGGCTTTTATCTTTCTAACCAATTTTATTATGATAAATTAAAAGAAAGCATTTTAATTATTGATTTTATATGTAAATAAGGTAAACAAAAAATTTAAATTTATATTTGAAAACTTAAAATTATTATGTCCTCCATAGACAACTTTACATTCAAGGGTGAAACTGGCAAAACTCTTATAAAGTCTCCTGGATCAATCCAAGGGCAAGTTTTCAACCTCATGCAGCTTGAAGGATGTACAATCTACTTACTAGACCACTCTGATGCAGTTTATGTTGATGAATGCCGTAATTGCACAATTTTTATCGGTCCTGTCCAGGGCTCTTGTTTCCTTCGCAACTGCAATACCTCCACTTTTTCAATTGCTTGCAATCAAATTCGTACCCGTGACTGCACTGAACTGACAATTTTTCTCTATTCCCAAGCTGACCCTCATATAGAAAAATCATTCGGCATTAAATTTGCTCCTTATAATTTCTCATACCCTCTCCAAGACAAGCACTTTCAAGCAGCAAAACTAAACCCAAACGCTAATAAATGAAGCGTGGTCTATGATCACAATTCCAGTGAAGGTGAAGGACATTTTGAATATTTACCTCCTAATCAGTTCGTTGAAGAATCCAAAGATCTCTCCGGTTTACCACCTCCAGTCAATCCAGTCCAGAGAAGTGTGATGTATGGAGGAAACATCAGAGAAGATATAATCCCACCTAGGGCTGCCAAAAATATTCAGAATCCTATACCTGTGAGAAGAGACTTACCACCTCCAGCTATCACAAATCCTACAGATAACCAAAATTTGTCAGCGCAGGAAGATAGAAGATATGTCCCTTTTAATTCACCTAAGATGGGAGAAGTGTCTCAGGTTGAAGCAAAAATTCAAAACCAAGTACAATTAAATGCTAATATTTCTCAAAATGAAGATTTAGGCATTATACAAGTTCTAACATATAACTACAGGCAAGGCCAAGGATTTGAATATGATTATACAGGAGTGACAAGTTTTCCAAATGAAATTATTAGGGGAACATTAGAATCTCTGGATGTGATTGTGAAGCCGTTTAATGAGAGCTTGAACTTGCTTTTCTTGTGCTCCATGCTCGTTGTTATTGGCTTTTTTGTGCTGTTTTTACAATTTTTTATATTGAGGATGACATCAGAATGGAGAAAAGAAGCTTGGGCTATAGTTATTGTGTTTATTTGTATCAGTTTTATTGTGCTTCAGGTAATTATTTTCTTAAAAAAAAGAAATATTTCAAAGGATGGAGAAATTAAGGTGTTGGAGTTTGTAACGCAGGAGAACAGTAAATTCTACGAGCAGAAAAAAGCTACATTAAATGCAACGCTAAATATGGTGAGAATTGAGATTAAGTAATAAGAAATTATGATTATTTAATTTTTTTTGTGTGAATCCTTATAGATAGCAACAAAATTTTTTCAATAGTCATTAGGTGTTAAAGCAAAAATTATAATAAAATATTTTAAATTTTTCCAATATTAAAAAGGCCTGAGTTAAAAATATCTTTTTAGGCTTTAAAAAAGCCCTTATGGGCCAGTTCAGCCTAATTAATTATAATGAATTTGATGTTTAAATTTTTTAGATTTCAATTTTAGGCTTATCTATTTGAAAATTATTGAGCTTCTTTCAAAAACTAATACAATTAGGAAATTAAAGAATGTCTATAGTAATTTAATGGTTGGTAAAATAATCCGCAGAAATAATAGCTAATGGTTTAATTATAGCAAATCTAACAATGGTTAGCTTAATTAAGTTTGAATAGCTTGATAACTATTTGAAGCTATAAAGCAATTTTGAAAAATTGTATTCAATATTAACCTAAATTAATAAATTTAAGTAATTGTAAGTTCATTTTGATTGCTTATGCTTAAATGTAAAAGCTTTGCTAAAAAAAACTAAATATTTCAGGGAAAATAAGTTTAATCCTGAAATATAAACTAGCCTTTAAGAACACCTAAACATGGTGAAAAATTATAATAGCAAAAAATCTTTTCGATTAAATCAAAAATTGAAAAAATTAAGTTAGAAGTGAAAAGAATATTACGCCTTGCTATTATTGTGGGAGGCTTTTGGCTTGTGGAGAAATTTCCCACATGCCAGAAATATTTCTACATGTGAAGCTAGTATATCTCTCAGCTTTCACATGTGGAAGTATTTCTGGCATGTGGGGAATTTCTCCACATGCTAGAAGCCTCCCACAATTATAGCAAGGCGCTATAATGAAATAGATGAAACTTATGCAAAACTAGTTATATTTTTATAAATTTATAAAGCGATTTATTAGTTAAATAGATTAGATTAGATGAAGTTAGAATGGATATTCGGGGTTTATTTCACCTCCTTTCCGCCTTCACCGACTTGTAGCTCCTTACTCTAGGCATCGGGTTGAACTTACAACCTTTTCTGATGATGCCACCAAAAAGTGGTAATGCCGCTATCTCTCGGGGAGACTCACCCAGGCACTTCCTTGGACAAAATCTTAGAGGTCGGCATGATATTTCTGGGATTGAGATAGGACTAGATCCGAATCCTCATTCTGGCTACCATTACTTTTCTCATCCAGAAGTGTGGAGTTGTCTTATGGGATTTGGCTTCCGTCTTTATGGTGCTGGGTAAAAACCCTTTCTTGGTGTCCCGACCAGAAGTATAAAAACCCACTCCTTACATAAATTTCAGGCCCAGCCCTATTAAACCTTAAAATTCAAGAGGTTTATGGGAGAAGACGGTCGGGTAAGTCGCCATTTTATTTTTGTTAGTTAAATAGAAGAATAAAATAAGGTTCTGGAATTTAAAGAGGTCTCTTCTTATATAAATGACTAATAAAGCACTTCATAAGAAAATATTTTTCAATTATCTGAGACTTTATTAATTAATTTGGATGACGTTGCTAAAAAATTTTATTAACAAAAGCCTTTACTGGTTTAAATAAGCTTAAATTTAGAAATTTGTAAACCATTTTTATTGGTGGCTAGATAAGAGATACCTTAACTTGCTCTAAGTCCTTCCAAAGGGTTCTAAATTAGCATAATCTTTTACCAATATAAATGTATATTAAAATTATGACTAATCTTCTTATATAGTTCTTTAAAAAATTTAAAAATTATTTTTGCTAGCAATAAACAGTGAAGGCCTAGCTTTATCTCTATATTCGTTTCAACCTATAATATCCTAATTTTTTATCTCTTTCATGTCTTTCGACACGATTGAGTATCTGCATTACATATGAATTCCAAGATGTAACGATATTAACTGTAAAAATTATGATCATAAAATAAAATGGCATTTCTGTTCGAGAGAAATTAGCTTTGCTAATTTTCTGCACTGCAATAAACGTTTAACTCTGGGGATAACCAGAGGAACGCCTCCTCAGTGCATCAAGAGGCTCGGAGTTTTACCTCTTAGCACATCTCCACTGGAAGATGACCCTTAGGTGGAACACGCGCAGGAGCTGAATCAGGGCGAGGCATCGGCAACGCACCGGGTGAGAAGTGCAGCAAGACTGGCGACGAAGCTTTGATAGAAGGCTTGGGCCTAGGCTGACCAGGCTCGGTGACGTCACAATTTTTGCCAAAAGCCCTTTTTATAGGGGCTGCAGAACCGGACACCTTAAACACCGAATTAAGTAAGTAAGTAAGTAAAATTATGATCCAATGAATTAAGTTCTCAAGAGGAAATAAAATTAAATATTGAGTCATTATCTTAAATTATTGATTGCATCATCAATTTTATTCTTTAGCACTGTTTTACGAGTTTCAATCCACTTGGTGGCATCACAGCAATTCTTCTCCTCTTGGATTTTCTAAGTCTAGTGATTGGTCGGCAAGGCATAAACTTCCATAGATCATTCAGATTTGGCACTGTCATAGCATTCACTCGAGATGTTAGCATAATTCGAACCATTAATTTATATTAATTAATGTCCTCAAATTTTCAATTTTAGAAATTTCTCTAATGGCGAACTAAAATTGAAATCTATCAAAGAATTCGTTCAAGCACTGCAGTAAAGAATGAATTAATAAGTAAGAATGATCTATATAATTAGAATATAGCTATCAGAAATTGCTGCATTTTAGAGCTGGCAAGCTTAGTCCCAGACATATTTTCCATTTTATAATTGCTTAATAGAGGATACTGGTCAGAATTTACTTTAAATTGAAATAGACTTATTGAAAAGTTTTTTTGATTTAAAATAATTTATGAGATTATAGAATTGATATTATAGCGCAAATGGTTTTATTTGACATTATAATTATCAGCTTATTATATAAGGCATTTATGCTAAAAAATTTTGCCTTTTTGCATTTATAGAGAAATGGCCACTTGGGTAGCTATCTTTTGTAAATAATTGGCTAAAATATTTTATTATTCTTTAAGATATCTGCCCCTGAAGTCAATGCAGCATTTTCCTTTGCATTGCCATCAGCATAATTTGATAAAATGGTCAGAGATATCTAGAAAAATTTTCATCTAAAGAGCAAAGTTTTTGAAATTCATCATAGTCAATTAATTTATTGCTTCTATAAGTTGAGTGAATTAATGTAGCAAATAAATATAGAAATTGCCCGAGGATGGCGCTATTTTGCGCCATCCTCGGCAATTTCTATATCTAATTTTAGTTGGATGCTAATAATAGACTTTTTTCATAATAAAATATTTAGTTTATTTTATTTAAAGCAATGATATTTTATGGAAGGTTTATATTCAAGTGTTTGGATTACTTTTGGATTTGAAGACTAATCCATAATATTGCATAGAATATAATATCTTTCAAACAAATTATAACCAAAATACAAAAAAATTTACTTGAATTATGATTTGATTCTGCTTTAATTAATTTTTTATATAAAAATTTTACTTTTTTAGTTCTTTCTAAAATTTAAGCAAATACGTTTTTAATGCAAATCTTCAAATTTGTTGAATTTCAATTATAGGAAGATGCTATTATAAAGAGTCGAGAGTTTTATTTTAATTAATTTGTCCATGATTCATATAAAAATGTTAAAATCTTCGTTGCTTATCACTATATGAGCGTTGGGAATGCTATTCTTAGTTTATTTATTATTTTTTGAAATAGGCTCATATTCAGCAAGCATAACAGGATCTGTAAAGTTTATATAGAAAGAACTAAAGTTATTAGACGAATATAATCTTATTGACCAGTGATATGAAGATGATTCAAATAGAGAATATTTTACTTTTTTGTCTAAAAGAAGCAGTCAAAGCTCAGCAAACCGAACTATAAATGAACTGTATAGGGATTCATATATGGAAATTTACAAAGTTCAAGAAGATCAAAAATGTATTCCGGAATCTTTTGGATATACGGATGAAGATTCATTATTAAACTTTCCACGGATGAATTTTCCAAAATGTGCAGATAAATTGAATGCACACAAAACGGTAATAGAAATTGATGTTGAAAAGGATCAGCTGATAATGAATTGCCCTGATGGGGATGGATGATATTACTTAGGATGCAACCAAGATGATGAGCTTATAGGAGAAGATAATTATCATGGGAAAAAACAAAAATACCCTGGCCATCCAGTTAAGCTCAAAAACAATGAAGAGTGGGCATATGGAACTTGTGGAGAAAATTTTCCATTACAAGGAGCTACTTATATAAATAGACCCAAAGAAAGTTCCAAGGAAAGGGCAAAAAATATAATGAAGACCATTCAAGCACAAATGCTTAACACGAAAAGCGAAAGCCAAACTCGTCCTTTAACTGTGCTTATTTTGACCTTTGATTCCATATCCAGAATGAGTTTCTATCGGAACCTTCCAAAAACCCAAAAATTCCTAAGTTCTCTTTCTCCTGAAAAATTTAGGGTGTTTGACTTTAAGATTCACAATGTGATGGGAGATGGGTCTATTCCTAATGTTTTTCCTCTGATTTCAGGCAGAGCCCTTGAATCTGTTTCAAAATTTGATGCTGAAAAAAATAAAAAAAACAAGACTGATTTGCTGGGCTCAGCATCAATTTGAAATTATTTAAAATCAAAAGGATGAGTAACTTTGTTTGGTACAGAATTTTGTAAAGATTATTTTGCTAAGAAATTAGGAAGAAAGCCTGATGTCGATCATTTGATGACTGGTTTTTGGTGCGCAGCCACTGACTTGCTAAATTATGAGTAAACTGCTATATAGTGATTCTGACACAGATCAGAGATGCATAGGCAATCAAAATTCTCATGTCTATTCACTAAACTACACATATCAATTTATTCAAAATTATCAAGGAATTAATAAATGAGCTCATATAATGAGTGTGCCTGCTCATGAGAAATCAGGAACTGTTGTACAAACTCTTGACGATGATTTATTAGTTTTTATGAAAAAATTTCTAGAAACAAAGGATGAATTACTAATATTTTTAATGGCAGACCATGGAATGCGCTATGGTAGCTGATATAAAATTATTGATGGGTATTTAGAACACAAATTGCCTATGCTATTTCTAATTGGATCTACTTCAATATTGCAAGACATTCCAGATGCAATCGAAAACCTATCACACAATGCAGATCGCCTTGTGACAAAAACAGATCTCCATCGAACATTAAAACATCTTGCTAATATTCCATATTTTCGTAGCTTCAACAGATTTTCTCGATATGAGTATAAGTCTTGAACTGCTGAAGGCGATGCTATAAGCTTGCTTATCGATAAAGTCCAATTGTCTAGAGAATGCTCAAAGGCTGCTATACCAAAAATTTGATGCTCATGCCCAAAACTTCAAGCATTAGAGAGAAAAGTCTTCGATGGGAGACAAACTGATGACAAATTTATTCTTGAAATTCGAAAAATAATAGAAAATATTGCGGAAATGATGATTTATGAAATAAATCAAGAGACTTATGGATCTTTTTACTCAGAAGGATGGCGGATATGCCAAAAAATTACCATGAAAAAAATTGATTATGCGGAATGGTCGAGATATGATTATGGAATCCATTTGTATAAGGTAAGAGTAAGTATAAATGAAGATGAAAAAGTGAAATATGAAGGTTTGGCAATGGTTTCAGAAAGAGATATAATTGAGAGAAGTCGAAAGACAGTTTTCCCTTTATCTTCTGTTATTAATGATGGGAAAAAAAATCTGAAAATTTTATATTTGAATAGAAAAGGCCCTCAGTCTGATTGATGCAAAAAATTGTCTTTCGGAAAAAAAATGTTTGGGTCTCTTTGCTTATGCAATGAATATCAAGAAATAGAGAAATATAATCCAATAGCAATAGAAAAAATATTAAATGAATCATAATTATTCCTAACTTTTAAAATTAATAACTATTCTTTTGTTCTTATTAAGTTAAATATCAGTTATGAGAGCTATTTAAACGCGATTTATAATATATTTATTTTAATTGATATCTAAATCTATTATACTTAATAATAATTATTCTTGCAGATATAGTAATTATGTCAAATTAATTTGTGAAATAAGATCTAAAGCAGAAATGATGGAATTGTAGAAAAGAGAGATAATGAAACAGAACATTGCTGATATTATTGAGCCTATATAGAATAATAGATTATAAAATTGACATTTTATATCCCAATATTATGTGGTTTTTTGAAGAAGTACCAAGACTAATTAAAAGAAAATATGAATTAAGCTAAAAAACATTTTTAGGCTCATATGAACAATATTAAACGCTGTTATTTTTAATAAACTTAAAACTTTGGGCTTTGAGGCTTGTACATAAGCTTGAAGTATGTCTCTTCAGTTGGTGGCACAAAGCTATCTTTTACTTGCTGAGGGCAGAGCTTTAGTAAATAAATCATAGAATTTTCTATTTTCGCTTTTAATGCAAAACTTTTTGTGTCGACAGCGTTTCCTTCTTCGTCAATTTTTGGTAAATTTGCCCAATCAATAGCCCTGCAAACTGCTTCCAAAAATTCCACATAACACATTTCTAGATGTTTATTTTTATATAAATCATCCACTTGGGTCATCATAGAAAGACTGTAGCAAATATCACTCTCTCTGGTGGTAAAGCCTTCTCTTATAAATTGTGCATCCGCGCATAGAGTTCTGAATTCTTCTACACTGACAAATGGCTTTTTCCCTGGCAGAGTCTTTTTTCCACTATATTTTTTAAAAATTGCATCTAAAATCATTTTATGGACTTTTAATGCTAAATCGACGTCTTCTACTAAATATTTTTCATATCTCCATTTATTCGAGTCATACTTGCTGAAAACTGGTATAGCCCAGGGCCTCTTTTGGATCACCCTGAATGCAAATGTCAGTTCAACAGATATAGATTAAAATATCGTGGCAAACCAACCCATCCTCTTAGCCCCTGCATCTGGCAATCTACAGGATGCACAAGGACCTTGAGGATGGGAGGATGGCGTTCGGAAATATATATCGGGCCAGGCGATTCCTGGTTTGGTAAAGCACAATGTCGAATTAGCCGACTGCAAACTTTACTCAGAATCTAGTCTTAGAGTGAAATGGTCCGAAGGTCAATAGGATTATTTCCCCATCGTGAAATCAGGAGTTACGTCCTGGGCTCTGATTTCCATTTTAGCTGAGAGCCGATTGAAAATTCAATCATTTTGAATGTTTTTTATGGTGGGAACCTTTTTGACGTACGGCACAGTGGAGCGACTCATTCAACTTAATAGTGGTGAGTGCAGATCCTTGCCAGACAGGAGTTTCCTTTTGTAAGGCCATATACGACTGGCGAGCAGGTGAAGGGAGGGTAATGGTAGGAGTTAGTCCTGCGGAAATTACAGTGGACTACTCGATAAGTAATAATAAGCTAATAAAGCATCCAGATGGTCGATTTGGCTAGATAAATAACAGTTGAAAAGTTACTATGCCGACTGATAAATAACATAAAAATTTTAGTTGGCTAGCAGGTTGAGTTGACTTGGTTGCTCTTATTGCATGACCAGTTCTAATATTTTTATGGTTAAATATAGCCCAGGGCAGTCCAAAACAAAAGAGACCCTGAGCTATATCAAATGTGTTTGAGCTAATTTTTCAATTGCATCACCAACTGTAGAACAGACTTTATTTCTTATATATTTATCATTAGCAATCCTAACGAGTATTTCCATGAATTCATATCTGCAAATTCCATTTTTTGCGTTATATATTTGGTCTTTATGGACTTGGGATTTGATCGCATTCCAATTTACTCCAATGTCAGTAACATCATATAGCTCATCAATAATATTACACATATTAAGAAATTCACTCATCCCATTTGGCCCAATACAAAAGATTTCGCCTCCCCCAGTTGCCGAAAAATACTTATAAAATTCTCTAAATGATTGGTAAATTGCTTTCAAAATTGATTTTACGTGCTCTTGATCAGCTAGCTTTTTGACAAAATTTGGAATTCTTGTATGTTTGTAATCAAATTCAAATCCATCATTCCAAGTATAGCCCTTGATCATTTTTAGCGTGCACTCGCGAAACTCTTTCTCTGAAATTTGAAGTATGGCAAGTCACCTAAAGTGGCACATCAACTCCAAATTTATTAATATTGAAGAAAGAATCAGCTTTGGACAACTTGGAATTGACTTGCCACCTTTAAGTGACTGTCATACTCCAAATTTTAGGGAAAAATTTTATTCAAGAGCAAGCTAAATGCATGCAGTTGCTCTATCATTTGTGTCAAAATGATAATCTTTAAACAAGCTTATAGGGATTTTCCAAATAATCCTGTCAAATTCTTGATCTGGCTTTTCATACTCTGTTCTAGCTATTCTTGGCTTTGTTTCAAAAAATCCTCTGCGAGTGCAAGTTGGACCTTCTGCCATTGCAATGTTTATTTGGGAAATTGTATAGCTCCTTCCCTTTAAATTGAAGAAAAATTTCTATTAATTTTATTTTTTTTAAAAAGGTTAAAACAAATTTATCGATTCAAAGCTATTTACACTCTTTAATCTGAAATAAAATAATTTATAGATAAATTTTGTGATTTTTCTATTTTTAAATTAGCTATAAAAGCTATTTACATACAATGAATCTAATTGCCTATAAGAATTAAAATGTTGTTCCAGTTAATAGGATTTACCCAAAAAGCGCAAATTTTACTGATATTTTATTAAGATTAAAGGGGTAGTAAGAATTTTTCAAGATGTTTATTTTCACTGGATATGATAAAATCTTTTTAGCATAATTTGAGGATTTAAATGGTCCTTGGAGAGTTGAAAAGAAAAAATGTATTTTTCCTGGTGGAACTGCTCTTTTGATTGTAAAAGATCCATTATCTTGTTTTTTCATTATATCTGGCCGATATTCATCAATTTCCAAATTGATGAACACCAAATCTTCATAATTCCCATTTTCAGGTTTATAAATAAAAACCATTTCTTTCCACTGTTCACATATTCAGCAGTTCGGGCTGCTTTCACTGTGATTGATAAAGACTTTATTTCCAATAACTCTTTGGAAAAAATGTGATTGAAGAGCATTCTCATTGATGTTTTCATCTACTAAAAACCCTAGTGAATTTACTTTACAATGGTTTCCTTCCATGTGAAGCCCAATTAGTGTATGATTGTGTTTTAAATACTGGTTAATTATTTCACACTCTTGCTTGCTTATATCGTTATATGATAGATCTAAATGCGCCAAAACGACATTTTCTTTTAACGATTTTCCAATAGCTTCTGCAGCTGGTGATTTTGGATTGTTTCCTATAGCATTCCATGATAAGTCACAATATCTTAAGCCTTCGTTCATTTCGATGCCTCGAAATATTTTCACAACTCCCGTGCCTGAAATTTTATTTCAATGCAAATCTAAAAATCTTAAGTTTTGATTATATAAAAGCTTAAACTTAATGCAGGTTTGGCTACTGCCTTATTGATTACGCAATCACCAAGGAATTCATCCACTTTGCTCTTGCTTTGAACGATTAATATGAAGAATTCGCCCGCGAGGTTCTAACCCCATCTTGCTTCTTCTCGCAAGCCTCCTACCAGGGCACGGTGAGTATTTGGGCAATTTGGTGCCGTCTACTCCTTGCCTTGTCCAGCTCCTGTGCTGAGTGAGCAGACTATTCTGCGGTTGCTGTTTGAGTTGCCTGCACAAAAATCCCAAAAATGAAATTTTTGGCTAAAAGAAAAAATTCAAAGCCGAGGCGTAAATCTCAGTTTAAGGCTAGAAAGTTGCCTGAAGGCCTGGGGATTGACTATAGATGCTGCTGAGCTTACTCTTTCCAACTCTGAGCCCTCCTCTTCCCTCGAGGTAAAATCGAATCCTGAAAGAGGACTATGGCTAGCTTTCGCATTACAAGAATTGTTTAACTAGTATTGCTGTCTATTTCTGGATTGGCAACATCTTGCCGATATAATTAAAATGTGTTCGAGGCTGTATGGCCGGGAGGCAATGCCCAGGTGAGACGCCATATTTAATTGATTATATAAAAGCATTTCTTCTAAGGCTTGACAAGAAGAGTCCCCAATATTATTTTTCGCTAAATTTATTCTTGTTAGAGTCCTATTATCTGCAATGCATTTGCATAACGTTATTATTGCTTTATTCCCTATTTTACAATTTTCCAAATTCAAGTGCTTGAGAGTTGGATTTTCATCAGTAAGCAAATCACTGATTTTTGCAATAGAACTCTCTCCAATTCTATTGCCACTTAAATCAAGCCTTTTGGTATCTTTGTATTCTAAATTTTTTAAAATTTGGAAAGTCCCTTTTTCGCTTACTCCAAGCAAACAAAATCATTGGTAAATCCTTATTTTTTTGGCAAAACCCATCCTCTGTGAGCGTACAAAAAATTTTTTATAAAAAAATATTTTAATATATAAGTAGCAATTAATATAATGGAATCTCTAGCTAATTCTGTTTACTTTTAAACAACAACTCCCATTTTAAACATAAATTTTACAAATTAAATTAATATCTGATCAAAAATTATTTGGAATTGTGATGCTTTAAAATTTGAAAAAAATTACTATGAAATTTATATATAAATTTTTAAAAAAAAAACAATTAACCCCCTCTGTGAGCCAACATAATTTTTTGATCGCTCACAGGGGGTCTTTAGCCGGTTCTCTTTTAAATTGAGGACTTCTAAACTTTTTACATGCTTTAGTCCTTCAGAAAAAGCATCAGCATATTTATCTCCCATACCACGATGTGGGACATCTATAATTTTATCTGACCCTGCTCTTCTAATGATACCAAATGGCTGAGGGGACAATCTTTCTTTTTCAATAACATTTAAATAGGCCAATGTTGGGGTATCTTCTAAATGTCTAAAGTTGTTTCTTTCTGAAAGTTGTGGAAGACTTTTATACGAATCAATATACTCAAGTTTGGCCATTGGACCTACTGGACCATTATAATAAGGCATCGAGCCTCGTTGTTCGTTTCTAGAAGGCTTTAAAAGTTTACTATAGCCTTTTTTCTTTTTTTTAGGAATCATAGCAGGCTTAGGCTCTGTTGCATATGTCATATGCTTGGGCGAACCAATATAAAGATCGGTGGGAATTCTGGTTATTAAAGGCAGCCTCGTTACTGAGTCCATTTATCAAAAAAATAATTTCACTGAAGTAAAAATTCGATAGAGTTTTATCTAAAATGAAAATAGCTATTATAGTAGAAAAGCATTCTTCTGCTTTAAAAAAATTATTTAGAAATTTTTACAGATGAAATGCTAAGTTCTTGCAAAGCACTTCGTGGGGTTTCTCTTGGCTTTTCTGGCTTTTTAATATTTTTGGAGTAATTTTCTATGAATTCATATAAATCAGGTAGGGCTTTTTTGAACTCAAGGCTTTGGCTTTTTGTTGATTTGTAAACGTAAACTTTAGCAAATTCTTCGTCATCATCTTCTTGGTATTTTAATGTATTTTCTTCTAGAGAAGACAATAAATTTCTATCCATCTCTTCTTTTTGCTTAGGCAAAGCTTCCTCAACTTCAACTATCAACGGTTTCAGATCAAGCGCAGATTCTTGGTTCATTTGAGCTAAAGATGATATATAAGAAATGCTGCTTAGCCGATCACCTCCCCCCGTTCTCCACCTTTTGCCAGACTCAGCTGATTTTGCTCTTTCCTCTTTTATTTTTATAGACTCCTGTCTATAAGATTCCCTTGATTTTGTTTCTCTCTGATAGCTTTTGCCTCGAATTTTTTTAAATAGTTTTGGCTTCGGATTTTCTGGTTCAGGGATGTCTTTAGAAGTGCGACTTATGTAAGCTTGTGTAGGCCTTAAGTAATTAGAATTTAAAATAAATGGTCTGGGCGGCTTATTCATGCTTGGTTTTCTTGCTAGCTCTGAATAATTATCAGCTTGAGGAAAAGAAGCTGTATATTCATGGACTACAGAATTGACGGTACTTGGGCGATTATTAAGCGGATCTGCAGTTTCTATTATAGTGTTTGGAGAAATTCGATGGAAATAAGGAGTTTGCTCAGTTGTTATTTCTTTTGATTGCTTTTGAGGAGAAGAGTGTTCTATATATCCAATTTCTGGGATTGTGGCTGAATCTTTTATACTGTCTAATGTTTTACTTATAATCGGAGTTGGTTCTGTCTTTATATCAATAATATCAACTGATTTATTGGAAGCTCTTTTTAATAATCCAAGCACTGAATTTACTGCCATTTGATGGACTTTATTCTTAATCACAGTAAATCTAACCCTATTCCTTTTCCAAAATTCTTTAACTCTTAAAAATACCAAGTTTTCTCTAATTTTTTCCAATTTTTTTACTTTTTCAAGTTCATATCTTAAATTTTCTATATAATTTGATGCTAAAAATTGCTTTCAGCAAACTTGGATCACGCTCGACACTTTTTGCATTTTTTTCTTTCTTTGCTCTATCCTTAATTTCAATACTGGTCCAAAATATTTTCTAATTTTCATGCCTTTTACATATTTTTGTATAACAATTGCGGCCTTATTTGCTGATTCTCCCATATTTCTTCAGTATTCATTAACTTGGTTTTCGAGTAAAGCTAAATAATTTTGTAATTTTTTCTTTTCAAGCTCGATGTAGGATTTGTTATAAATTTTTCTTATTATATATCCTCTTGCATATCGTTGAATTGTTACAGCTGCAGTTTCAAGTTTCTGCTCGAGCTCTTGGTGTTTTATAAACAATCTTTTGATTCTGCTTTGCTTTATGTTTTCTTGTTCTTGCTCTTTTTGAATTTCTAACTCCTCCGTGAGTGAACAAAATTTTTTGTTAACTCACGGAGGGGGGTTAATTTTTTTTCGAAATTTAAAAAAATCCTAATTCGCAAAAATTTGAAAGCAAATATTAATTTAATTTATAAAATTTATGCTTTAAAAAGCAATTCGTTTAAAATGAAACAGAATTAGCTCTAGATTTCATTATACTAATTATCACTTATATATCAAAATTTTTTTTCTATAAAAAATTTTTGTATTAAAAAAAATTTTTGTTCACTCACGGAGGGTGGGTTTTTTTGGGCAAAAAAAATAGGGATTATTTTAATGGTTTTGTTCACTCACGGAGGGGGGGGAGTAAGAGCTTTTGGTCTTTATCTGAAATCTGTCTTCTTGCTGAGTTAGCTCAACGCATAGATTGCAGCTCCTTTATTTTTAACCTTGTAGCTTTATCAAGAGTTTGGTCTTCGTAGAATCTGTCAGTGTATTGCCTATAAAACTTGTGGGAAACCCCATGGTTCTTTATAGGTCCTGGATTGTCTGATTTTTCATTTTTAGGATGAAACATTTCCATTGGTCTGGTGTAAGTAGGTCTAGGAATTTCAGGCTGCTTTAAAACTGCTAAAGGCTGATTAACAGGGGATAATGATCTTGTGATTGCAGGATGAGAATTATTTGAGTCGAAATTGCTTTTAAAATGATTTCTAATCGAGGATTCCATATTCAAATTAGAAATATTTTCATTATTTTTCTCGTCTTGATAAGATGAATAAATCTTATTAAATATTTTAATTTTTATGATCGAATCAAAAATTAAGTTTTCACAATATATATTTCAGCGCTTTTTAAGTTAAAGAATACTATTAATTACTTGGGCTTTTAAATATAAATCCTAGTTAATTTAGAGAGAATTTTATATAAAATGGAGCAAGATCTCAATGCACTTGTTGATCAAGCTTATGCTTATAAATGTAACTATTACACAGCGAGATTCGAGTATGAGCTTGCATTAAATACTTTTAAACAAGCCATTGAAATATTGCTTAGCTACACGAAACAATATACCGATGAAAATGAGAGAGCAAAAGCAATAAGAGCGATAGATACACTATTAAAGCAAGCAGAATTTTGCCAAGCCCAATTAAATCCTATGATACGAGAAGAAGCTAAACGACTTGCTTATATACAAGCTCCAGAGCCTAAACCCCAGTCAAGTCGACAGAGCACTCAGGTTCAGCCTTCAGCATCTCATCCTCAACCTCAGCACCAAAGTGACGGCCCTTTGGAGGCTATGATAGAAAATGAAATTTTGGATTCTTCAAACCCTGTTAGCTGAGACGATATTGCAGGCTTAGAAAACCCGAAAAGAATGCTGCAAGAAGCAATCATTCAGCCATCACTTTTTCCTCACATCTATACAGGACTTAGGGCACCTCCTAAAGGGATTTTATTATTTGGGCCGCCTGGGACTGGAAAAACAATGCTCGCTAAAGCAGTTGCATCACAGGCAAAATGCTGCTTTTTTAGCATTTCCTCTTCAGTTCTAACTTCAAAATTTGTAAAATTTACTTAATCCTCTATTTTTATAAATTACTTTAAAAAAGAAGTATCATCTTTATATTGACATTTCCAAGAATTTTTAAAAAAAGTGAATTAAATTTTCTCAAAAGGGAGATAGTATGGAGAAGCTGAAAAACTGGTGAGAGCACTTTTTACAGTTGCAAGGAGAAGGCAGCCTTCAGTAATTTTTATTGATGAAGTAGATTCCATTCTTTCATCTAGATCTGAAAGCCAGCATGAAGCTTCAAGAAGACTTCAAACTGAGTTTTTAGTCCAAATGGATGGAGTTCGTGGAGATTCTGAAGAAAGAATTGTCCTTATAGGTGCAACAAACAGACCTCAAGAGCTTGATGAAGCAGTAAGAAGAAGGTTCACTAAAAGAATATATACCATTTATTCATGTACAAGTAAAAATTAATTGATGAATTTATAAAAATAAAATTAATCTTATAAAGTATATATTGATTTGCCTGATGTTCCAGCCAAAATGTCACTAATAAGTTCGCTTATGAAAAATGTGAATAGTAATATAACAGATGATCAAACCAGAGAATTAATGCGGATGACTGAATATTTTTCAGGAAGTGATTTAGCAGCACTTTGTAAAGAAGCTGCAATGGTACCACTGAGAACTTTGACAAAAGAGATGCTTGCGCAAGGAATTGTGCCACCAGTTACAATTGAGTCTTTTAGGGCAGCTCTTAGAGTGATAAGACCTTCAGTTTCGAGGGATTCCTTAACATTTTATCAGAGATGGAATCAAGAATTCGGGTCTAATTAATGATAAGCTATTTTAGATGCATATACGAGAAATAATTAATTAATAAGCCAATTATAAAATTTTAATAAGATTTTATAAGAATGATTATACATCGCATGAGATATATGTTTTATTTCATTAAATTTGAACTAAACTCGTAATCAAAAAGTATCAATTATTTTTGACGAATTTCTTATATCATTTAGCTTTTAGGGTAATTTTATTAAAACGATAAAAACAGATTAATATTATCATGGCAGAAACGAAATTTGAAAGAGTAATAAGAACTCTGAATAGCATATTTTGTGACTGGGGCTGGAGCACTGTTATAAAACCAAAAGACGGTAATTTTGTAGGAAATACAGCTCCTCTCTGAAGAAGTCCTAGTCCTTTTTTATATTTGGTTGTGGGAGTATTTAACTTGATCACTTTTTTCCTAGAATTACTGATAACTTCGTTTGCTGTTGATTTTAAAGGAAGTTGCCAAGCAGCTGTGACTTATTTCAGAAATATTCTGATATTTTTCTTCTTACTGAATGGTTTATGGCAATTTTATATGTCAAGATGAAAAATTGGAACCGATAAACAATGGTGTCGATATTTAACTGTATCAACTGTGCTAAATTCGCTTTTGTTACTATTCTCAATATTAGTGATTATTGCATTGATCGCAGACTCCGCTTGCTCTTCAGATGATTCAAATTCTTATAATATTTCTGTGTCGCTAATTGCTCTTGGGCTACTTTCAGGAGGATGCTATACAGGCTTGATAGCTTATTCGATCACCAAACTTTATTTTAGAGGGAATCCATTAGCTTATAATTCAGAATAAAAATATATAGAAGTTTGTGTGATTAAAATCATTAACAGTGAATAATTATGGGAATAATAATTAAACAGTTAAGCATATATTATTAATTTTAAAAGAAATTTATGAAATATATTTTTCAAAATATAAAATTTCTATATTAAATTTAATGAAATATTAAATAAAATTATAATAAAATTGATTTAACTAGTTTTAATCTTTAAGATGTGAAGAAATCTGCTTATTAAATTAGTCAAAAGATTGATTTTTGCCTGGCTTCTCAACCAGATATTACTAATGTAAGTATTTTAAAAAACTCAACTTTCTCTAATAAGACTTCAAATTATAACTTTCCATTGTTTTCTGTCAATTTCCAAATTCCAATAACAATAAAATGGACACTCCGATTTTCCAAGACAAAGTTATTTGCATTCTCTGTGGCTTTTGTGGTTTTACTAAAGTAAGCAAAGACATCATTTCTAATAATATCGAAAAATTAGGGGGAACCACAGTCAAAAAAATTTCTCAACTCCCCGAAAATTTAACCCATCTTATAGTCCCTTACTTTTCAACTGAATCCAAACTGCTTAAAACATTGAAAATTTCGCAGCTTCCGGACTGCAAAATAGTTACCCAAGACTGGGCAATTCAAAGCATAAAATTAAAAACTCTTTTGCCTGAAGACACATTTTTATGAAAATGCTATTTTCAACGACAACAAGAAAAAATGGCTGAGGTTGATGAATTAAAAAGAAAAAGTCAAATAGATGAAGAGTATCATATAAATAAACAGTTAAAGCTACAAAGTAACATAAAAATCGAAGAAAACTTTGAAGAAAATGAAAATCAAATTAAAATTGAAGAAAATCTTGAAATAAAAAATGAAGAAAATGATATAAAGATTAAATTAGATCCTGATATTAAAATAGAAATAAAGCAAGAAGACGAAAGCTCTAGGTTTATTTCTGATAAAAGGAGGAGAGCGAATTGGAAAGAAGATGAACTATCGAAATTTAAATTTTACACAGGAAAACAGAGCATAGATAATAAAAACGACCATATAATACAAATGTTAGAAGAGCTTAAGAATAATTATACAATCCTCAAAGATAAAGGCAGAATTATAGGCTACCAGAAAGCTATATCAGCCATAAGAAGTTTTCCAGAAAAAATAACCTCAATAGAGCAGCTTAAAGGGGTTAATCAAATAGGCAAACAAACACTCCAAAAAATCAAAGAAATTCTAGAGACAGGGTCTTTGAGCAGAGTAGAAGCAATGGATGAGCATGAAAGGCTAGGCCAATTAAAATTATTTTTAAATATCTGAGGAGTTGGAACAGAAGCTGCAGAAAAACTTGTAAGAAAAGGCTATAAGACTATAGAAATGATAAAAGCAAATCCTCCTGATTTTTTTAACGAAAATCAAAAAATTGGCCTTGCCCTTTATGACGAGCTTTTAGAAAAAATCCCCCGAGAAGAAGTCAAAGAAATTTCAGAAAAAATTACCAAAGTAGCCGAATCTTTAGCAAATGGAAGACAATTAACAGCGATTACTTGCGGATCTTACAGAAGAGGTCGCCCACTATGTGGAGATATTGACATTTTGATGACTTTCGAAGATGGGGGAGCCCATACTGGCTTACTATCAATTTTAGTTGAAGAACTAAAAAAAATTGGTTTGGTTACCCACACTTTAGTAATTACTGATGAAGAAATTAAAAAGAAGCACGAAAATTCCACCTTTGAAGGCATTGCAAAACTAGAAAATGGACTACATAGAAGAATTGATATAAAAATATACCCCAGAAAAACCTATGCATGGGCATTATTATATTTCACTGGATCTGCTATGTTTAATAGAAGCATGAGACTTTTCGCTAAAACTAAAGGGTTTAGGCTTTCTGACGAAGGAATATTCCCTGCAATTCGCTATAAAACGGAAACATTTACATGTGCACCAATTGCTGACTGTTATACAGAAGAAGAAATTTTTGAGTTTTTTGGGATGGCTTATAAAGCTCCGGAAGAAAGAGACATGTAATTTATAACGAAAATTATCTAAAATATCTCATAAGCCCACCAGGGCGGGTTATAACTTGTTCTTCATCTTTAAATTTCCCTTTGATTGCCTTTTTAAATTCTTTTTTAGTGCTTTCATCCAGCTTTGAAGATTTTACAGGAGATGCAGTTAATCTTGAAGAATTTATAGACTGCGATGAAGGCGTAAATGGGATTGACGTCAAATTTAAGCTGAGTTGGGCATCTGAAGATTTTCTTGATTTTAATATCAAAGCGTTCTGAATCCCTCTCATTTTAAATACCAATAAAGCTGAAAGCAAATTTCTCTGATGAATTCTTCTCCATTGACGCAAAAATCCTGAGATTTTTTCTCCTCAAGAATTCATTTTTCTTTTATTTGTTTTCCGCATCGTTGTATTGCATTTTCATTTTCTTAAATTCATACGCAATATCATCCTATAAGCAGCCAATACTAAAGGTTTGAATTTTCTTATAGCGTATATTATATTCATGCACATGATTTTCTTATTCCTCAGCAAAGCTCTTTTTAATTGGTCATACATTTGTATATAACGAATTTCTGAAATTGCTAGAAGCTTTTCATATTCAAAGTTTGTAGGGCCTTTAAATGTATATTTCTTTTTAGGGCTTCGTTTGCGTTGGATTTGATTTCGTTCTGCGAAACGCCTTGCGGCTGATTGCTTGGAAAAACTAAAAGAGTCATAAAGGCTTAAGTCTGACCCGTCAACACTGAAGTCTTGCTCAAAGATTTCAATTTTACTTGAGTTAAGAGAGCGATCTGTGTGCATTGAATCTCGCCCGGAAACATATCTCTCCATATATATTCTATTGCTAGTATTAGCAAACCCGTTAGGAATTTTCGTAAAGAGATAAAATTGAATAAATATATGAGAAACTGAGACTGAATGAGATAAGAAGTAAATAAGCGGCTTTAGAAGCGAATTTATAAATAATATCAAGATTATAACTTTTAACTTTTTTCTTGGATTAATTGCTCAATAACCTTATAGACAATCTCAGGTGTTGGATTGCTTGGGAGCTTTAGCTGCAACTCTAACTCCCTTTTTTCTCTTTTACTTTGCTGCAACTGCAATTGTAAGCATTTAGTTAACATATTATCACTTGGAATTTCAGTGGTTTCTGTATTAAAAGTTGACTTTAAATGATGCAAATGCGCTCGTGCTTGTTTTATTGAATCTAAAATGTTTGTGGACCCTTTTATGTCTTGGGGTCTTTTAATTTGGATTTTTTCTCATGTCGCTGTCTTGCTTAAGATTTCTATATTTTTGGTTAGTCCTCCTATTGTTTCTTGTGTGAGATTTATTAAACTTCTTAGTTCTAAAATTCTGAAACCAACTTCTGTTATTTCTAATTTACTTTTTTCCGCTTTAAAACCTCGTTGCTTGTAATTAAAACTGGTCATTTCTGCTTCTTTTCATGCATTAACAGCATTCAAAATAGCCTTAATTTCATTAGATATTTCAACAATTGCTTGGACACATAAAACTTCTTCTTTTCTCTTAAGTAGTTTACAGCTAGGACAATAAGCTGAATTTTCAGCAGAAAACTTGCCTCCTGAAGAAAAGGACAGGTCTTCAGTAAATTCATTTGAGTCTAATGTAGGAGTTTTGCTATGCAAATAAAAAGAGTTGCTGTTAAGAGAATCAGATAGAGGTTGAGAATCACGAGGAGTAATCATAGGAGACTTTAGAGATGAATTTCGGGAATTGTTTAGGAGACTTTCTTTGGATGGAGGGAGAGATTTTGTAGTTTCTCTTTTTTTGACAAGGTCTGTATGCAGGCTAATTGATTTTGAGTGAGCTCCTAGTCTTCTATCTTGCATCGAAATGAAAATTATTTTGAGACTAGAGAGAGATTTATTATAGAACCTTTATTGTTGTTCATATGCTACTAAGATTATGAATTCTACTAAAAAATTATTAATTGTGCTGTTAAAATAAATTTTCCTTTCGTCAAAAGTTATATTTCACCGCTATTTTTAATATCAATAATTGTTTTAATCAATAAATTCTAATTAAATATTGCAGAACTTATTTATTTTTTCTATTTTCAGATGGGACCATCAACGGTGGCACGGTTTGGTCTTTAATGTTAATTCTCATATCTTGTAAAAGTTGGGCCTGCACTTTTCTTTCATTTTCTATTTGTTCCCTCAATGAATCTGCCATTGTAAGAAGCCCATTGATTTCTTCGTCTTGCTCTTTTAACTTATCCATTGAAGCAGGGTCAAGTTCTCCCCATATTCTTCTTAAGTGTTCATTATATTTCTCAATAGCTTCTCTTTCTAATAATTTTAAATTCTCAAACATCCCTATTGGTAAATCCTAAATTAAAAAATACCGGTGAATCTGAGATAAATGCCAGCAATCGCTGATCTGTAATTTCTCTGAAATTCCCAGACACCGAATAAGTGCTTTGCTGTATTAAAATTAAATAGTCAAAAATGATTTTGTCTAAATCGTTTTCATATATTGTTATATATTCACCTTCGTCGCCCAATCCTTCTGTTGTCCTGACCACAAAAATTAAAAAATTCCCTTTTTCATCTCTTAAGCAGTTCATCAAATTAGTTCTGAGATCCAGCCCATCTGTCAAACTTTTATCAATTAAAATCGCTTTTAAATCGTTTTCTGACACTTTTATATAATAATAAGTGAATGATGCTTCTCTAGGGACAGAGTCTGCAATTTGGTAAATTTTCCTGATCTCTACATAATGATTTTTAAAGTTTTTTATTTGACAGATATTTTCTACAAATTTGTATTCAGGGTTACTTGCGTTAAGTTCGTTATAAATAATTTTACCTTCCGTTGAATATAGGATATCAATTAAAGAAATCGCAACTTTTTCTTCAAATTCTAATGCTTTTATGCTTTCTTCATATAAATCAGAATCATTTTGTGCTTGCTCTTGGAGATCTCTAAAAGTTCTATCTAGCTCTTTATTGTATTTTCCTTTAACTACTTGCAAATCTTGCTTCAAAGTCTCTTCACTTTTGTGTCTTAAGGCTTTTAAGCGGGAGTTTTCTTTTAAAATTTTAGATTTCCCGTTTTCAATTTCAGTGCGTAAAGCATGCAGGTCATCTACAAGCATCCGCTGAATATATTTTAATTGCTCCTCGTTTTCTCTATTTTTGCTATCTAAATGCATAAGAAGAGTTCTATGCTCATGCTCAATAGAGCTCAACCTTTCTTGCAGCTTTAAAGCCTCTTGGATATAATCATTCTTGGCGGAGTCTCGAGTTTCTTGACTTATTCATTTTCCGTCTAAAATTTGAAGATAAGGAGATGAAATTGTGCTTAGTACGAATTCTGTATATCCTTCAAGCTCAGTTACAGGGCAAGCTTGAAAATCAACTCCTCCAAAGCTGAGGTTTCGAATTACTGAAAGCTTTGAAATCTCCCGGATGTCATTAAAAGTAGCGATTGGGTTTTCAGATAAATGCAAATCTTGAAGATTGACTAAAGTGCTTAGCGCTTCTACTGTTTCTATTTTATTTTCTTGAAGCCATAGTTCTCGAATATAGGAATTGCTTTCTAAGTTTTCAGTTAACGTCTAACACTTAATAGTTATAGATTACGTCTCGTTTAACTTTCAATGCCATATTACCTGGATAGGCTTCCGCCCTGCTTCGGGTTCCCCACCAACCAAGCGCTGTCTACCACCTGGCCTTGATCTGAATTGTCCCTCGGCTTTGTGAGTTCTGATTTCGATAGCTGTTGCCAGCTCTTAGGCTAACTAGCTTGCGTCCGTCAGACACGCTAAAGGATCCAGTCTCCACCGCCTGGGGTTGATGGCATGCTTCCCGAAAATTGGAAATCCCTAAGGGATGGTGTTCAAGGTTACGCACCCTTACATTATGCAGCATTATTGCGGAATAAATTCGCTGAGTGAAGCAAAACCTCTTAATCAAAGTTGGCCAAAGGGAGAATTTCTGTTCGGAATAACAGAATATTTGAGTGATGCCATATTTTGATTATGCTTACTAAGTTTTCAATTTTGGTGATTTGGTTGCCAAAAAGCCAAAGCTTTGTTAAGAGCGGGCATCCTTCTAAATTTTCAATTTTTGTGATGCTATTTCGAATCAAAATCAGTTCTCTGAGCTGATGTAGTTCGTTTATAAAAGGCTCTATTGCTGGAAGTTCGCAACCTATTATACGAAGGATTTCTAGAGAATGAGCAACTCTTTCTACACCTGATAATGTAACTAATTGGCCAGTTTCGATCAGAGATAATTCTTGAAGATTGTAGCAGTAATGTAGATTGTCTAAGCGACTAATATGAGTAAATGCAACTTCAAGCGTTTTTAATGTAGCAATTTGTTCATTTCCAGAGCAGACTTGCTAAATAAAAATTACGATTAACTCAACACTAAGCGCATCTTCCATTTTCAAATAAAAATAATGCTAAAGAATCTTTTTCAATACCCTGAAATAGTTTAAAATTTTATTGAATTTTGAAATAAAAGGACTCACAAAATGCTTTATTAAATTAAAAAAATTGTTTATTTAATTATAAATTTGTTTTTAAATAATAACCAATTTTTCATTTAATTATTTAAATATTATTAAATATCATAGCATCCACCTAAATCAAGAGCTGAATTTGGGTAATCTTCAGAGAAACCTATATCAGATTTTTCATTTAAATATGGCCTTTCATAATTATTCGCAGGTTCTGATCTTAATTTCATACAATTATCGATAGACTCTGCAATAGTTTTCTGGCTTTCTATTGTCTCTTGAATGTATTCTTCAGCTTCAGCACTGACCTCTAAAATTAAGTTTTGACTTTCTTTTGTCTCTTCATTCTCTTTGCCTATATTAGCAAGATGGTGGACAATCAAGCATTCCCAAATTCTTTTTCTAATCGGGGCTTTCTCATCAAACCTAGAATCTAATTTGCAATTAAAAACCTTTTCTAGCTCTTTTTCACTATATTGTTGAGCCAGATCTTTCGCATATTTGTCAACCATGCTGCTAAACACATTTTTGTAGAAGGACCTTAAATTTCTACTTATTCCTATATTGAAATAAGACTTTTCTTGCCGTGTAAAAACTTTAATTTCATCTTTATTTAGAAAAGATTTCGGCCAAAATCGACTTGAATAGAGATCATAGGTGTCTTTGCTCAAGTTTAATTTCAGCATGTTGTAAAAATTGTGGTAAAAGGAATTATACTAATTGACCAAGAATAGCCCACTAAGGAGCCATTCTTGGTCTGCCAGAAAAAATTTTGACAAAAGATCCTAATCTGCCATTACCACTGAGTTTTGGTGTTTCAAATTTTTTGGGCAAGCCAAATGCAATAAAAAAAATTGTTCTTTTGCGATGATGCATTTGGCTTGTCAAAAAAATTTGGCAACATCAAAACTCAGTGGTAATGGCAGAAAAGATCCTAATCTGCCATTACCACTGAGTTTTGGTGTTTTCCAAATTTTTTTGACAAGCCAAATGCATCATCGCAAAAGAACAATTTTTTTTTATTGCATTTGGCTTGCCCCAAAAAATTTGGAAACACCAAAACTCAGTGGTAATGGCAGATTAGGATCTTTTTGTCAAAATTTTTTTCTGGCAGACCAAGAATGGCTCCATAGTGGGCTATTCTTGGTCAATTAGTATAGTAAGTTTTTGGTTTAAAGATCGGGAATCTTTTTTTTTGGGGCTCATGAAATAATGCAATAAAAATCCAATAGGATTACAAGGTCTTCCTCTGCTCTTGTAAGTTTTTACCATATTTTTTATAGATATGAATGATAACTCATATTGCTTTGGACATTTGATATCTTTCTCTTGAAAACGACAAAAGCCTGTTGTATTTTCATAATTTAGGGATTTGATAATGATTCATAAATTGGATATTTTATTAAATAATAAAAGTTTCTGTATTTTGAAAAAGTTGCTTATTATATACCCTTGCTTGCTTATTTTCTGGACTTAGAAGAGAAGGATAAGCCAGATAGAGCATTTAATGAAATATTATTGATTCTCAAATTTATGAATTTAATCTTATTAAAAAGCAATCTAAAATAGGTATTTTATGTAATTATATCTGAAGCAATGCTTCCTGTGTCTATACTTTTACTTCTTCTAGCTCTAATGCATTTAGATCACAGAAGAAACCTTAAAATTGCTCATATCCTAAAAATGTCGATCTTCAAATCATTACCTTTGGCGGCTGTTACAAAATTTCATTCGAAAGATTTAACTTTTTATATGAGAATGCACAATGCTTTGTTTTTACAATAAGCCATCAATTCTTTTGTCTTTACCTAAAAATGATTTCTTTTCTTAAAATTCGTTTCAGATTTTCTCTATTCCCGCATCAAATTTGTTCCATCTTAAAAACGTTACAATAATTAAAATATGATAAATACAAAGAAAGCAGCCTGTCTACCGCTCATCAGCAGATCTGCAAGGCCTAAGTCAAAATCGTCAAACATTTCTTTGGCATCAAGTCCTACTTCCCCAGACATTGATATTCACCTTTTCGAAAGAAAAGAAAAAATTAGGCAAATCCACACAAGCCAAAACAAATTTTCAAGATATGTCGGCTCAATGAGCAGCAAAGACTCAGATTCCAACTCAAGCGGAAGTCCAGATAATGCTTCTGCTAAGCTCAACTTCTTTGAGTCTTATAAGAAAATAGGAAAAGAGACTGAAAGAGTCGAGTTCAGAAAAATGAAACAGTCGCCAGAAATTGCATTTCTCAAAGAAATTGATAAAGGAGGTTTAAGTCCTAAACCTTTTGGGCTCATCAAGTCTGGCACACCACAGTCAAGAAGCTCTAAATCAAGAAGCCCACAGTCAAAAAGTCCTCAGTCAAAAGGCTCCGTTGTTGGGTCATTCGATTTAAGAAATATCGGAATGGGAGATACTTATGCAAAGGCATTTTCGAAAGGAATTAAGCATATTCCACAGGTAGAAGAGCTAAATTTAAAAGAAAATCGACTCAGTGAGAAAGGTGCTTTGAAAATTTTGTCAAAGTTAGTAGAAAAGAAAACAAAATACCTTGTTTTGACTGGGAATCATTTAGGTGAGCAGTCAGTACAAAAAATCGTTGAAATTTTAGATAACCCAAAATCTTATCTGAAGCACCTAAGCCTAGAAAACACAAAACTAAGCGAATCCGCTATTATTCAGCTTTGTAACAGCTTAAAAGAAAATACTACCCTGACCAGATTGAATTTGGCGAAAAATGAAATCAGAAATGGAGCTGTCAAAGCCATAGGTGAGATGCTCTCTAAAAATTACGGCCTAAGATATTTAGATCTTCACTGGAACTTAATCAGAGGCGACGAAGCAATCTATTTATTCAATGGCCTAGAGCAAAACCGATACCTAAGACACTTAGACTTGTCATGAAATGCAATTGGCAACTCCACTAACCTAGAAATCATCAATTCCATTGGTAAAGCTTTCAAAGAAAACACACTCCTAATCCATGCAGATTTATCATATAACAATTTTAATCTCCAAGAATGCGAAATCCTTGGAAAATTTTTATATGATAATCACACACTTATAGGTCTACACATGCTTGGAAATGATTGTAAAATCAATTCCAAAGGCTTTATTATTCCAATGAAATGCAGAAAGGAAAAAGACGCCCACAACTTCCAGAGAGTCATTAATGAACCTACTTTTATGATTCATAATGAAGAAAGCTCGAACTGCTGGATCTGTGAAAGGTGGGTCGAGGCAGAATTTACTGTAAAATCAGAAAAAGCTGCTTTTCTGCACTTAGAATGCGATGGATTTGCAGGAGAACTAATGGAAAACAATAATAATGGGACTTTTTATATAAAAAGAGTGGTACCGCCTTGGTCAAACATCGCTGGGTCTTTCTGGCACTGCCTGAAAATGCTAAGGTCCGGCTCTAATAGTCTGGTTGCACTGACAATCTGGCAGTCTGACTCTAGCTGACAGTCAGGCTCAACTATCTCTACTGATTCTACCTGGCAGTCTGGTTCTGCCTGGCTCTGGCACTGTCAAAATAAATTTCATAGGTTTTTAAAGTAACAATTTAATTAATTACGCTATGATATATTAGATAAAAATGCAATAGCCTATTTTCAAAACATTCGTAGAAAATAATACCTGTTACAACTTATATCTATATTCTAATTGCCCGAGGATGGTGCAGGATAGCGCCATCCTCGGGCAATTACTATATTGTATTACTGCCAATATATATGATTTTATCTAGTTTATTGCACAATTCAGTGATTTGCAAAGGAATAGGCTGCTGCTGATGGATTGTGAGAAAGCATTTAATAGTCAAAATAAATCGTTTTTATTATAATAGTAAACAAAATCATAATAAATTAATGATTCTATCAAAAAGCTATATAATTGATCAGCCATAGAATGAAGTTATTTTATCATCAAATCGAATTTATTTTTAATATTATAATTAGTAAATAATATTAATATTTTAATTGAATGAAAGTTAAAAAAATAGATTTTTAATAAAAGCATTAGTCGAAATTATTACCTGAAAGGTTTTACCATCAATTTATACCTCTTGCGCTAAATAATTATTTTAAAAACGAACTTTATAACATAATTTAAAATAAGAATTTTAATGAATTTATTTATTAATGACAAAGTGAGTAATATATATCAGATAATCTGCATAATTTCTCAATTAATAATTTTTTCACTATATTGTTTTCGAAATATAATTTAATTTTTGCACATCAATATTTTGTCATTAATTTTAAAAAGCAGAGGAAATTGATAATTAAAATTCCCTTTAATTTGTATCATTTTTTTTCTATATATACTATTACTGTTTGCATCTATTAGAATTTTTTTTATAAAACTATGGAGTAATTTTAAAAACAATATGCAAGCCTAGTAAATAAAGGATTTGAGCTAAAGATATTTATCTTTGATTTGATATTAGATGGTTATCATTGCAAAGCACCTTAATACACATGAAAATCCTATAGACTTGAGGTAGAGCCAGACTGCCATGTTACCAGGTAGAGTAGGATCGCAGGACTGCCAGATAGCAAGACAGTCAGGTAAAGCTAATAAAGCCAGATTGATAGATTGCTAGATTGCTATGAGGAATTAGACTGCCAAATAGAGTCAGTCGAGCCAGGTAGGGCCGGACTGCTAGATAGAGCCGTCGGGCTAGGTAGAGCCAGCCAAGTTTACCACCCCCTGGAGTTTTGAAGTTCTTCTATAGCAATGAAAATGGTGTAATTGCACTAGAAGATACCCCTAGTGAGCCTTATGACAAACCTATAGAAGTTATTATAGGTGCTAATAAAAAGGTCTTATTCCCCATTTAATTTCGCTTACAAATTTTTTTAAAACAAATATAAAGATTTTTTAATTATTTATTTCGGTTTTATAAAATGCTTTAAATTTATATGCAATAAACAAATTTTAACTCCCTACCTACATATGCAAGCAATATCATTTAAAAAACCCTGCTTTTTTAGTTAAAATATGCTCCATGAGCGAACAAAACGTTTTTATAAAAAAATATTTCGATATATAAATCAAAATTAGTGTATGGAAATATCTAGCAAATTCTTTTGAATTTTAAACAGCTTGCATCTTAAAACATAAATTAAATTAATTTACTTTCCAATTTTTTGTAATTTTGGATTTTTTAAATTTTGAAAAAAATCACTATAAAAATAGATATATTTTTTTTTTTAAAACATTAAGGGTAGAGTAAGTAGATAAAATTACAAAGCAATCAAAGAATTATATCAAATATTTTATTTATTAAAAAATGTAAAAAACATAAATAAGCATTAGTTGAGATATAATTATATAAGATTTATGGAATATTTTCAAAAATTGTTTAAGAATTTAATTGAAAAAATGAGAAACAGAATAATGAATATATATTATTTTAAAGTGAAGCAGATATTATAAACCTATCAATTTTTAATTCTTTAAAAAATTTATAGTAATTTTTGTTCGTCATTAAATGATGCCTTAGGAACAAATTTAAGGAAAAAATGACGGTTTGGTTCGCTATTAAATGGATAGAGTTAGAAACTGTCAATGTAAGCTATGCAGAAGGAATTGTATGTGACCCTAGAAATCTTTTTGAAACACAAATTAGGATCCCTGGGACAACTTATACGATTAGTAAGCCCCCTCCAGCAGAGCCTGAAGAAATCATATATGAAAGGATCATATGGGATATCTCTATTAGTTCCTTTAAAGACTACAAATTTGATACAGAGCAAAGACTTCAAGCTAATTTTGAGACAGATTTTAAGCATTCTAGGATAAATAAATTTGTTAAGGATCCACTTGATGTAATGAACTCTAAAGAGTGTTTGGAAAAGGTTTATCATCAGTTTAAAGAAACCTATAGGCATTTATACATTGTGAATATAATTATCATTATATAGCAAAATAAAATATGTCAAATGGCATTTTCAGGTAAATTAAGTATAGCAGCATTGGGTGGGAATGATTTGTTCTGCTTTGGCTCTAATATTTTTTCTGATTTTCTAACACAATGCAATGTGTTTGATGAAAATTTCGGAATAAATGATCTCGGTATCTGCTGGAATGCGACCAAATGCCAGAGGTCGAAATGTGAAGCTGTGATAGGAAACAGACTTTCTAAGCATGAATTCATGGAAATTATTGCTAGGATAGCAAATGATAAATACGTCAGAAACAATCTATGCAAAAATACAGCTGAAGCTTTGCAGAGATTATTTGATGAGAGCTTGATTCCTATTATGTCTCAATTTGATATACTATTTTATATTGAATTTCTACAAGCGGGAATGATAGAGTTTATACTAATAAAAATATAATAAATCAAAGCTTAATCTCGCATAGTTTACAAATAGATGGAGAATGGAGAAATACTGCTGTGAAGAAGTTGACCTAGAGCTTAAAGTCTATAAGCCAATTTTTGATGAAATATTTAGACTTTACACAGGGAAAATCTTTTGCCAGTCAAAAGGATTCATGTCATTAGACGAATTCAGAAATCTGTGTATTGAGTCTGGACTATTGAATGACTCAAGAGAAATTGATTTTTGTGCTTATAAGGCAATTATGTGCCATAAAGAAGAGATTCTTGAGAAAAAACATGTGAAACTCAGCTATGTAGAATTTTTAGAAGCAATTTGTAGAGTTTTCGATCAGTGTGGGAATAAAAACGAGAAATTAAGAGACAAGGTTCGAGCAGGGGTTACTCAGCTTATCAATTTGTGCTCTGATGCTATAAAAGGATCATTTACTATACCAACAGATGAGGCCTATTTTAAACTTATGTATCGGCCTAAACTTTAAACTAATTAATTATTACCAAATTTATTCAAATTTAGGAATTGAATAATTAAGTATTTATAAAATTTAAAGAAGGCTATAATTATAAAAATATTAACTTACTGAAGCTATAATTTAAATAGCGATGTATGTAAGGCAAATAGCACTTCTTTATCAATTGCTTTTAGCTGCTTATAGACAGTCTTTCTTACTGCTACTGCATAAGTAAATATTGTCTTCTCTACATCACTCTTAAAAAAGTTTGATGCTTTATAAACTTCAGCTAAAGGCCATCTATTTCCTCCATACACAACTTGGCAAATATAAGACCTATAAATCAAAAGAGAATTTGCAAAATCATGCTGAGTTTCTCCATCGAAAGGTAGCATCTGGAAGAAAGGTCTCAAATTTTTATTGCTAACTTCAGTGCGTTCCCAAGCTCCATAATTCCCTCTGATATTCCTTAATCCCACCATTAGTGAGCGAACAAAACCATTGGAGAAATCCCAGGTTTTGGGGAAAACTCACCTCCGTGAGCGAACAAAAAGATTTTTATGAAATAATAATATTTTGATCTCCCATTTTAAAGCATAAATTATATCAAATTAAATTAGAATTGCTTTAAAATTATTTCGATTGGGATTTTTTTTAATTTGACAAAAAAATATTAAAATACAATTTATATATAATTTTTAATACAAAAAAAATTAACCCTCTATATGCGAACAAAAAATTTTTTTCGCTCATGGGAGGAGTTAGTAAATTTACATTGATTTCTACCGCATTTAATTGGAATTTGCAGGATCCATCAGATAAAATTTTTTCATAACAAATTTCATAGGTGATGCTTACTGTAAAACTATCATCATGATTGTTAGGAATCGTAAACCCATACATAGATAGCAAATCTATATTTGGTAGTTGCTTATATTCATACACAAGCTCATTCCCTCTATTTAAAGTTCTATCTGCGATTAATGTAAATCCTGGTGGCATTTTGTCATCAAATACAATTGAAGAAGTTTTCATGGTCGAGTTTAGAGGTCTTGGCCAATGATTGATAAAATCAATTCCAGGGATTAACACAGGATAATTATACTTTTCATCGAGATCTTTAAAGCCATACATTCTCATCATTTCTGAAGCTGGGTATAATATAGCTCGCGTTTGGATAACAGCATCTGCCCATAAAAATGCTTGATAATTGAACATCTCAGCTGGCAAGTCGTAGCGGTTTTTAATTTTCGATAAAACAAGCTCATGGTCAGCTGTAATATTCCTTATAAAATAGGATCTTGTATAGTCATAAATCCCTAATTTTTCAAACACATCAAATTCGGCATCACTTCATAATAAAGGTGTTGTGTACTTTAGAGGGAAATTGTGCACAAACTCCGTGAGAAATGGCCCTCTAGGTGCTATAAATTTTTCATAGAGAATTCTCATACGAAGCATTGAGTAAGGGGAAATACCTTTTAGGACTGATGTTAAAGGGAAAGGAGTGACTGGCTCGAGAGTGTCAGCTAAAGGAATTTTAAAGAGAACTTCCCCTTCTTTGATGTTAGATAAAAGCTTTATTCCTATACCTCGGCCTTCAAAATAAGCTATTCCATGACTATTGATGTGGGACCGAAGTTGACAGCTGAAAGAGCTTGCTTGATCCCTTGTCGTTGTGAGTGGAACTTCATATGCGTGTGCAACAATAAGAAACGAAATAAAATATAGCATCATTTCTGAATTATCAGTCAATTTTGTTATATAAAAAATTAATACTAACTCCCCCACCTCCGTGCACTGAGGGGGTTAATTTTTTTTAAAAAAATTTGAAAAAATCCCAAGCGGAAAGCAATATTTATTTTATTTCTAAAATTTATGTTTTTAAAAATGCAATTAAACAGAATTAGCTAGATATTTCATAATAATTATCACTTATATTTCAAAAATTTTTTTCGTAAAAAATGTTTATATTAAATAAATTTTGTTCGTTCACGGAGGGTGAATTTTCGGGCAAAAAGAAGGATTTTCCAAAGGTTTTGTTGGCTTACGGAGGGGGGGAGAGTAGGAAAATCATAAAATTCTTTTTTCAATTCAATTAGCAAATGCACATTAAAAAACGAAAAAATTATTTATCAAGAAGCCTTCTAATTTATTTATTTAAGATGTCAAATATCGATGAAGAAAACAAAGTCCCTCATTTTCGCAAAGTTTATGAGCAAAAGAAATCAGACCGCGAAGTCCAGTTACAAACAGATCAATATCCTCAAGACAGCTTCGAGTTAGGCCCTATGTCTTTTGATGAAGAAGTCAAAGCTCCTATAGGAATGATCATTATGCTAATTACAAGTTTTTTATTATCTTTTGTCCTTATTATTATAGGTGCGATACTTTATGAGCAAAAGCATGATACGAAAAATGCAGTTGGAATATGAGTTTTGGCCTTTTTAGTAATGATTCCGGGGCTATTTTCAATTTACAAAATAATTGTGATTCTTGCACCGAAAACCCCGCAGGATAGAGTGAACATTTTACATCCTTAAATTTATGGAAAGGAATAACTCATTATTTTTAAATGAAAATATTATAATAAGATATGGAATCATCAATTTTTGAGGTTGATGGGTCTTTATATGAAGGGGGTGGCCAAATAATGAGAGTCGCTTTATGTTTAGGGATTATTAAACAAATTCCAGTCACAATCAAAAATATTCGTGCTGGCCGTGATAGGCCTGGTCTTGCCCGAAGCCATCTTGCTTCAGTTCTGATCTTACAGCAAATCTGCAACGGTCGCTTAGAAAACGCAGAGCTTGGGTCGACTACATTAACATTATACCCTAGCCAAATCTCTTCAGGGACTTTTATAGCTGATTGTGGCTCTTCAGGAAGCATAACCCTTATGCTCCAAGCAATCCTTCCTGTATTAATAAAAACTTCTTCAATATTGATTTTACGTGTACTTTTAATTTAGGGCGGCACTGATGTCCCGTTTTCTCCAACGACACATTTTATTCAAAATTCTCTGCAGCCATTTCTAAATAAAATCGGGGTAAAATTCAGCTATGAAGTAAAAAGGTATGGATTTAACCCTATAGGAAGAGGAGAAGTAGAAGTTCGTACTGAGCTTTGTGAGGAAATTAATGGAATTGATATTTTATATAATAAAATTTCAAGAAATATTGAAGCAGAAATAGTATATAGCAGAAAAAGCAAAGGAAATATGAACTATGATGAAGAAATAAGGAAAGTTGTTGAGAGAGTTGGTAAGAGATATACAGTAAATGAGCTAGAAGTTAATAGAGAAATAATAAGTGTAAGAGAAGTCGATGCGGAATGCCATGGGGTAGTGGTAAATGTATGAAATAAAAGCGAAAATGGATGCTTTTACCACAAATCTGAGGTTGGAATTTTTAAAGGAAAAAATGAATGGGAGAAACCATGTAGAGATCTGAAAAATTGCATAGAATCGGAAGCTTGCATCTGTGAAGAGTTGCAGGACCAGCTTTTAATATTTTTAGCAATGGCAAGTAGCCCTTCGAGAATAAAAATTAATCAGGCTACTGATCATTCTTTAGCTGTAATTGAGTTAATAAACAGGGTTGGCTTGGCAAGAATTTCAATGAATGAAGGGATTTTGGAAATAATTCCGCAGTCTAGGTAATTTATGCTTTACATAATAATGTTCTATAATGATTATTTCAGTTCTAACGATAAATTTAAATCTTTATACTTTATCTAGCATAATGTAGGCACTTTATAAACTGGTTATTATATGTCTTTTTAAGCGAAGTGGCGCAGTGGAAGCGTGCTGGGCTCATAACCCAGAGGTCGATGGATCGAAACCATTCTTCGCTACTTTTTATTGTTTTTGCTTTTTTAAAAATGAAAATGCTTTAATAAGCTAATGAATAGAGAAGCAGGCTTTGTTTTTGGATTACTAGAATTATTTGATAGAAAATTGTTAGTGAGAAGGCATAGTAAATTTTAATATAACATTGAGTTAAATTGATCGCAAGCAATATTTTTTCTCAAATCATCTTAGAAGTAGTTAAAGGACTGAGAAGGCAAATATCTGCATATAGCGCTATGTGCTTTATAGCTTTTTTAGTTATATTATAGCCTTGAACGACATTTAGCTCGCTGGGCCAGCAAGTTTCGCTGCAACTTCTGGATTAGTTCATCTCAATAGGTTCGATACTATTTCCGCGAGTTGACAATGAACATATGTCTGCCATTTGTCAATTCGCAGAGTTGGTATGTCAGCCTATTGAAACTAACCAGCTCCACGAAAGTTGCTAGCCCAGGATGAGATAAATGCCGTCCTGGACTATACCTAATCAGCCCTGACCATTTTCTCAAAAGTATGGACTCAATCAGATAATAATAGGACATGGACTATTTTCAAAGAACTCCAAATGCTGTGATTTGCATTATTTTTTCCTATTTAAATTCCACAGAAGTCGCAAGACTCGCTTCGCTAAACAAATTATTTTACGAATGCACCAGCGAATGCCTATACAACATCTTCACACAAATGGGATGGGGCAATCCAAAAATTTCAGAAGCAATTCAAGCATTTGGACAGATTTACAGTAAGCAAGTGATCGTTTATAAAGACTGGGACTCAGATCTTATCCAGCAAGTCCAATTCCCAGGGCTAAGAAGTGTTAAGGAAATCAAATTTGGGAACCTCCATACCGCGATTCTAAAGCATGATGGAGTCGTTCTGTCAGATCTAGGAAAAAATGAAGTCACTCCCTGCATGTACAACATAAAGCAAATCGAATGCAACATGGATAGAATTATTGGCCTTACTGAATTCAATAAAATAGAATGCTTGTCAGTCATAGGCGGGCAGCTCATAAAATCCAATTGGGAAGGTGAAGGAAAAATCACCGCGATCGCTGTTGGAGCTTCGTTTTTTGTAGGAACTGAAGAAGGAAGAGTTTTTGCGTTCAGCGAAACCCTTTCAGCAGAAGTCAACTTTGCGACGCCTAACACAGCTGCAATTAAAGACTTAAAAGCCACTCCAAAGGTTCTGCTTATTTTAACAGTCACAGGCAAGCTTTATCAATGTGAACTTTTCAATTTTACAGCTACACAGCTATTCCCTACAAAATTCATTGCATTGATAGCACTTGGCTATTCACACTCTATTGCTCTAGCTAGAGAAGAATTCCCACCGCTGAAAGATTGAAATTCTCAGTTTCTGTGTGAATGGATGCAAAAAGTCGGCTTTGAAGACTGCTGCAGACTAATCACAAACCATCAAATAGCAGGAAGTGAACTAGATAATATGGATGAAAATTATCTTTTTGAGACTTTAGGGATTAAAGAAGCAAATAGAAGAAACAAATTAAATCTGGAACTCAGTAGAGTTAAAAACTCAAGTGTTTCTATTAGCTGTGAACTATATGGCTGGGGCAAAAATTTAGAAATGCAAATTTGTACAGATACAAATATAGTGAAAAAGCCAGTGAAAATGAATTTACCTGAGTTTTACGCTGAAGAAACTATTAAAGCAATTCATTGCAATAAATTTTTTACATTTTTATTTATACTTATTTTAACTGTAGTGTTTAAAAAGATTAATAAGAATTATGCTGCTATCTTTCAAAACTTAGTTCTTAGTTAAAATTACAGATAAACTCCCTGTAATACTCGAAACCTGTATATACCTCGACTTGATTCGTTGGGGTTAACTCCTCTCCTCCTGAGGATCGCTTCAAACGGAGAGTAAGGTAGGATTGTTTCACCATGCTGTACGTGAGCAGGGTTCAGCATTCAGAAAATTCGAAAAACACATTTACTGGTCACCTGTCGGCCATGATGGAAATTCGAAGTCCTAGATGCAACGCCTGGTATCGCGCTAGAGAATGATTCCGATTGACCAGAAGGAACCTCAATGGAGTTGCTGGGAGTCCCCTTTCCAACTCTGAACTCCATCTCCCTTTGAGGTAAAACCTTGGCCTGGGATGAGCTCCGATCGGCCTAATTCGACATTGCACTCCGCCAAATCAAATGAAACCTGTCCGGATATACATTAACGAGCGCCCATCCTCCCCTTCCACAAGGTCTCTGTGTCGCCCCCAGCTACAGGTGTTAAGAGTGTGGGTTCTTTCAAAGATTTACAACTGCATATTTAACCAAAAAGCTATACAAGTTTTGGAAGGATTTTTGTAAAAGGAGGAGTGCCTTTCCGAAAGCTCACAAAAGACGAAAAAAAGAATTTTGTGCACTGGAGAACAATAGAAGACAAATTTTCTCAAAATTCCAATTGCAATATTTTATCAATATCAACCTCTACATATCAAATAGGAATCATATATAAAAATTTTTCAAAGAAAACTAGAGAAAAAACAAGAATGAGCATGGGTGATGACGTATTGAATGAAATCTTGAAAAATCCAAGATGGAATCCATCAGAGTTTGTGATACAATATTTTATTTTATTTTATAAATTAAAAATAGCATAAACATTAATTTCGATAATTTTTCCCATTTGTGATAGGGTATACTGACAGATTTTTAGGCATTTTAGAACTTTCCGCAATTGAATTTAGTCAAAGCGAAATTATTAAGCATAGGATCCAATACTTCAAAAGAAATGGAGAAATTGTTTGGGATCGACGCACGAGATTAGATCTAATGAAAATAAATTAAAAATAAATAAAAATATGTTCAATGAAGCATATGATTTAAAAGCTGACCTGAACATATGCATGCAAACATTAAATTCAGAAAAATTTAGAGAGCTTTTAAATTTAGCAAGAATTGATTTATATAAACTGACTGACCATTTAGGGTTTAATATTTTCCACGATATCGCATCTTGTATAATAAAAGAAGAAAAACTTGCTGAATATTTAGAAATCTTAAAAAAAGCCTTTGTAGAGAGATATCCTGATGACTGGCAAACAATGATTCTCCCAATGCTGAACTCTCAGGCTGTTCATGATAGAAATTCTCCTCTGCACTGTGCAATCCTAAATAACAGAAAAGTAAAAAATATATAGAAAATCATTGAAGAATTCATTAAATTAGGATCAAACTTTAGACTGAAAAACGTTCACGGACAAAATGTAATGCATTTATCTGTAATTGCTGGAAATATACAACTATTAGCCTATTTCAAATACAAACACGGAATGCCTATCAATGAGCTTGATAATGATGGAAAGAGCCTTCTTCATCTCGCAATTTCGAATAATAATGAATATATTTTATCGCTACTACTAACATGGATAGACGATTTAGAGATAAAAGATAAAGAAGGCCGAACACCTTTACATGCCGCTGTGCTTTCTAGGGAATACTATTTAGTTAGAAGTCTCCTTGTTGCTGGAGCTAAAAGGAAAGCTAGAGATAACAGCGGCGTTACTCCCCTAGATTTAGCAATTCAAAATGGCGCTTTCGAGTTGATAAGGATGCTGGTAATTTAGATTTAGAAAGAACCATTAGTGATCTGCAAGCTTAATCCTTGCCAGTCTCCATTGAAGCCTATGGAGAAGACTTTTAGTGCTTATATTTTGTATATTTTTATATTCGTATCAAGGTATGGCTTGGTGTTTTATTTTATGCTCCCTCACTATCCTGTGCATGTTATTATTATTTCTTGCATTATTTTTATTATGTCATTTTTATCTTTTTTTTTAGTCAGTTGTATGAATCCTGGATATCTATATCAAAAGCCAGATCAAGATTTACTTGTAAGTTTAATATAGACTCTATATGAAAAAATACATCCAGAGTTTTTATGTCCGAAGTGTATAGTTAAGCGAACTAGAACTACTAACTCCCACCTTGTTTAGCGAGCAAAAAAAATTAGCCTGAAAGCTATCAAGATTAAGCTTTTTAATATATATACAAAAATTATATAAAAATATTTAAGGAATTAATTTGAAATATTTGAAATAAAAAACTTTATTAATTTTTAACATTAGACTCCCGAAAGCAGCTTTTTAAAAAATTGATATAATTTGCTCAAGATTCCATTATTATAGTCATTAATTATTAAAAAATCTTTTTGCTAGCTAAATGTGGGTATTCCTCTATGACTTTGCTTGCTAACTCGGTGAAGTAAGCATTGCCAGCACTGTGGTAGATGTGTAGGCTACTTTTAAATGTTAATTATTTATGTAATAAATAAATTATATAAATTCGCGAAAAAATTATTATTAAAAGCATAAATATTTAAGAAAAATTTTGGAGCCTATGTGTTGATCGATATGATCATCATTGTCCATGAATTCGTAATTGTGTAGGAAGAAAAAACTATAGAGTTTTTATCTGATTTATCACTATTTGCTTGATTGACTTCACATATCATATCGTTATAAGTCTCCTCGAATTTTTCAAAGTCTTCCATAGCGAATTTAAAAGTTTTGAGTCCAATTCAGAATTCCATAGTGCTGCGACCTTGATGATTTGTATTATAAATTTTATTTGCATGCTATTTATTATTCCAGTAGTTTATATCCAATATACAAATATTTTAAGAAAGACGACTACACATGAAAGGTTTGCATATCATAAGGAAAACAGGTCGACATTTATAAGTATTGATATTACAAATATGCCATCTGCAAGTGAAACAACAGAAAGGGCGTCAATAGCAATGAAAGAAGCCAATGAATTTGAAAATTTCCAAAAAATGCGTAAAGATTCAAAAATTTCATGCTGGAAAAGATTCAAAAAAAGAAAATCAAGCAACTTAAGTCTCTCAACTGTCATAGAAAAATCCCTTATTAATGATATGTAAATTTTTAAGTAATGATTTTAATTAATTTAAATTTATCTCTATCTTTTAATAGAGTTTGAAGTGATAAAATTTAATTATATTAAAATAATTTAACTTTCAGGATAAAAATTAAACGAGAAAGAGGTTTGAAGGCCAATTTCAATTTTTGCGTAGACTTGAGATGCTAAATAAATTTCAACTGATAAGATTGTGCAATGATTAAGGATTTTAAATTATTTTTTTAATACAATCAATATAAATAAAATAATTTTGACTGGCTCATCTTAATTTAAATTAAATCAATGAATGAGCACCATAAATCAAAAAATAAGAGTAGTAAAAATTGTAAGCCAATTTATCTGAAATCATTTTTACAATTGAGATACGGCTCAAATAATGTTTAAACTTATGAAGCTCATTATCATAATTTCTAAAAGTGCTATTAACTTCAAATTTAGTCAAAAAAGATCTATTCACTCACTTACACAAAATTAAATATTTGAGAGCAAGTAATTAGTCTTTCTATCAAAAATTTCTAAAGTAAAACGTTCACGCTTAATATTCTGAATTATTATTAGTTGAATAATTATGAAGGCCATCTTAATTTGTTGTCTTTTGATTCTAGTGGCCAGCCACGAAAGTGATTACCAAAACCTACTTTATGGAATTTTGCAAGGATCAGAACTTATCACTCCTATTACTCCTCTAAATTGTAAAACATTAATATCCCGTTTCCAAAAACCTTATTTATTTGACAGGCCTTGAAAAAAGGTGATTTCTGATACAAGCGTGCTTTCAGAAACTTGCGGATTTAATGCTGCTTATGAGACTTTGCAAGGCTTTATGCAATTTCCTCAAATTTTTGAAAAATTCCTTATAAAACTTGATGATTCTATTGAAAATGATAGACTTTTCCCTGCCGTCGAAGCCGGAACATCGCGCAGGAGGCGCACGTTGGAGATCAAAGCCAGCTGTCCCAGCAACTGGTGGGCCCCGAGCGACGAGAGCGTGGTGGTAGTCCTGGAAGAGCAACCCCGTAGGAGACGTTAAACGTCATGGTTAATAAGTTTAAGTTAAGATAGACTTTTCCCTGAAAGCAACCTACAAAAATACGGGATATCAGTAGGAATGATTATGAAGCCCTTTTTGGCTTTGGTTATACCTACTGTGCTGGACTTTGAGTTTTCTAACAAATTTATGTCCTTGAAATCAGGAAAGCATCCTATAGCGATTTTTCATGGCCTAGGTGATAGCTGTTATTACTCGGGAAATATTGAATTTACAGAATACATTCGCAAAAACGTTGGAACCTATACAAAATGCGTTGAAATTGGAGATGGGTCTAACAGCAGCTGGCTTGAGCCTTTCCAATCGCAAGCAATTCAAGCATGCGAAAGAATTAAAGAAGAAACAGAATATTCTAATGGACTTAGCATTATTGGCTTATCTCAAGGTGGATTAATTGCAAGATATATTGCAGAAGCATGTGGAGTTCCAGTTCATGTAATTGTAACAATAGGAACACCTCATATGGGAGTAGCAACCATGCCCTATTGTTTAAATGGATTTTACTGTGATGTCATAAATGATGTCACTAGTAAAGATGCCTATGGTCTTTTTAGTCAAAGTAATATAGGGCCTCCTGGGTACTTTAATGACCCAAATAATTACGAAAGCTATTTAGAAAATAGCAGTTTCTTAGCTGATTTGAATAATGAGAAATTTATCAATACCACTTTTATAGAGAAAATGCAAAGCCTGAACCATTTAGTTCTCATTAAATTTACAGAGGATTCTGCAATTTCTCCAATAGAAAGTGCATGGTTTGGGTACTTTGAAGGGGGAAATGTCGTCCCCTTTAATCAAACTAAAAGCTATTTAAAAAACACACTTGGACTACAGCAACTTTATTCCGAAAATAAGCTTCATTTTATTGAGATCGAAGGTGAGCATTTAAATTTCAATGAAGAAGAGTTTACGGAACTGATTTTACCTTATCTTTTGGATTAATTTAATAGTTAAATTCGAAGCCACTTTAATTAACTCTATTTTTAAACTAATCCTGCTATAAATTGTTATAAATCTACATTCTTTATATATATTAATGATAAAAATGCATTAAAGCGAAGTGGACAGTTTCACTTATCTGCCCAGCCAATTTAAAAAATAAATTATTTTATTATTCCTTTTTTTGTTTTTTGCAATCTTTTCCTTGTCTGTTATTCTCAAGTCTTAGCAAGCGTTTACCAAAATATTCTCAAGTTTTCAATAACTCTACCTCTCGAAATCAACATTTCTGAATGTTTTATGACTTAAGAAAAAGCCAAGCAGTTTTCGGCTTTCTCTCTAATTTAAGCCTTCCAATGAAGAAACAGCAACCACTAGCATTTTTTTCGAAATTCGCACAAAAAAGTGTATAAGTATGATGGTAGATGACGAAAATACCAAAAATATTAAATTATTATGAGAGAGATTACGGTTAGAGAGGGTTAAAACGGGGTTTATTTCAGCCTCTAGTCAGTCAAGCTTCAACTTCACACTTCATGTGACGCTAAGCATGAAAGCCACCTAACGCCCTTTTCCTTCTGAATCACCAAAAATGGTGAAGTCGTCAGTCTAAGGGGGAGACTCACCCGAGCCTGCTTAGGCCAAAAATTGCAGCACAGACTCTCTTAACCCCTGCTAGCGCTCAGGATATGAGGGAAGCGTCTGCACTTCCTTCTGGAACTACCTCTGCCATTTGCAGGCAACATAATGATCCTCCAGAAGTGTCCGATTGGTGTTGCACCGTCGGTCCTCTTGCCTGTTGGTCGAGGGGAGGCCAGTCAGCCCAAGCCTGCGCCCCGCCCCTGAATCACTGCCACCTACGACCCCGTGATTCTTCGAGGTCACTTTTTTATTTTGTTGTCCCAAATTCTGTTTTTTTTGTCGCTTCTAAGCCATCATGCGATGATTATTAATTATTATGAATAGAATAAAGAGTTATGAGTGGAGAAAGGTACTCCTTATCGATTTTTTCCAATTATTTATACACAATAAGAAACATATGATAAGAATGATGCTGCTGCCGAGTATTTGCAGCTGTCATAAACAATTTAAAAAATTATGACTTGTTCTATAATTAGGTTTTATTGACAATACCTTATATGATACAATAAATAAATAAAAAATAAAAATTTATTAACCAAGAACAATATGGTGTTAGGAATTTTTGTTGACTATAGATTTAATGAGACTAGGCTGTGGTAAAAATTAAAAGCGTTTTCTCTTTTAAATCAAAATTAAATCACTATTAAAAGTTGTTTAATTATCGATTTCATATTCTAGAAATTATATTAAAGTTATCATAATCACTGATCATAATCTTTTCATTTTAAGAGTTAATTTACTATATAAGCGCTTTTGAGTTATCAAGAGTATCGAGGAGCATCACCCAAACAGATTGCAATTTTGTATTATTTTCCATAATTTTAGTTGAGAACTCACAAAAATTGTTAAAAGCTAAAAGTAAAAGCGCATTAGAAACTTTCATGCTTTGTGTCCTAGACTGATTATTAAAAATGCCATATCTTTGCTTAGTCAGGTTTATAAGGTCTAAAAGATCTTTTCCAGCTGGCTTATTTTTTTCTAAAAGATTTTTTTGTTTATTTGCGTTTTTTACATAATCCTGATATACTTGATCTTTTTCTTTAATCAAATCAATTAAAACTGAGGGCTGATGTGATGAGTATTTTAAAACAGCAGCTAAATATTGATTTATAATACTACTTTGATTTTTATTTATTTCTGCCCATTTTGAAAAGCTCTCTGAAGCCTTTCCATATAGATGCTTTTCTAATTTTAGATTTGGCGAAAAAATTTCAGGTAATTTTTCTAAACTTTTTGAAATTTCCGAAAAATTGACTATTGAAGAATTTAAAGCTGCTATTTGGTTTGCAATTTTTCCTGCTTCTTTAGACAATTTTTGAATTAAATTGGTATAGCGAGTAAAATATTCATTGATTCTTGGATAAAATTCATCATTTATATTATAATCGCAATTTATCATTCCATCTACAGAAAATATTCCTGTTAAATTAGCGCTTTTTCTCAATTTATTACTAGTCTGCTTTTTAAAGTCTTTAAATTCTTCAGGGTTTTCTTCTTTAAGAAATTTAATAAAAATGGGGCTTCTTTTGACAAATTCAAAAGAATTCAAAGCTTCTAACTCTCTCCCCCTCCGTGAGTGAACAAAAAAATTTTGTTCACTCACAGTGGTTAATTTTTTTCGAAAATTTTAGAAAAATCCTAATTTGCAAAATTGGGAAGCAAATATTAATTTTAATTTATAAAATTTATGTTTTAAAACGCAATTTGTTTAAAATTAAACAGAATTAGCTCGAGATTTCATTATACTAATTATCACTTATATATCAATTTTTTTTTCATAACAATTTTTTTCTATTAAAAAATTTTTGTTCACTCAGAGAGGATGGGTTTTTGGGCAAAAAATAGGGATTTTTCCAATGGTTTTGTTCACGGAGGGGGGAGAGTAAAAAAAATTCTAAAAATTTTTGCTGCTTTCCTAATTGAGAATCAGAAAATTTTACTTTGCATTTTTTATTTGGCAAATTTGGAATGTAATAGCTAGGAAATTGAACAGCCAAAGCATCTCGAAGCCATATAAAATCTGGATATTTTCTGTTAACGTTTCATCCTATAGGTAAGGTGAGAACAGAGTAATCAATATGATATGATATTGATTTCCTATCTAGTCCGGGATCAGAAATTGAGATTAGCATTTTAGTTGCTTGGCCTGTCAATTCAGTAGGAAGTAATTCTTGACAACCAATTGTGTCATAAAGGCATTCCTGGCTATCAATGTTTTGACTACTTTCTGAAGTGCTATCGTGCTTTGAGTATAAAATTTGAAAATTCTCTACACAATTTTGAAGCTCTTCGAATGTCCAATTATCAATATCTGAACTCTTCACTTTTTCGCAATATGAAATAAATGTTTCAGAATCAAAATTTTTCCCGATAATTTCATCATGCAAATATTCTTGCTTGGCCTTTCTCTGAGCTTCAATTTCACTCTCCATTTATACCAAATATTTATTTAAATCTTTAAACTTTTACTTTTAATTAATAGCCTGCTTATTATAAGTGAAATTCCAAATCCTAACTCCCCAGCCCACCGTGAGCGAATAATCTATTGGAAAAATCTCTTTTTTGGCCCAAAACAACCCACTGTTAGCAAACAAAAAATTTTTTATTAAAAAATATTTTAATATACATAATAATTCTCTAACTAATTTAGTTTTTTTTTAAGCAGATTGCATTTCAATCATAGATTTTTCTTACAAATAGGATTTTTTTAAATTCAAAAAAAATTACTATAAAATTAAATATTAAAATAAAACTTTGACCCCTCTGTGTGCAAATTTTTTGATCGCTCAATTAGGAGTAAAGAAATTCCAAAAACTGGGACATAATGCATAGGATGAATGCTTGGGATGCTTTTCTTTATATTATTAGGATTAGGATATCCCCATTGTTTCCAATTATTCGTTAACAATGTGTCATTGATAGATTTGCTTGGCAGCCAGTCCCTGATATATTTTCTTTTCCACCAATTTTTTGGTTTATTTTTTAAAATAGCATTACTGAGTCCTTCTATAAAAGTTTCTTTGCCATTTTTCCATTCATGCCCTTCATATGTAGTAAAATTATAATTGTACATTTGAATTCTTATATAATTTGGAGGATTTTCTTCAAATGGATTTTTTTCAAGTAAGGTATTCACACTTGGGCTACTATAAAAGAGCCTATTTAATAATGCAACCATTCAAGGAGAGTTTCTTAAGTCTCCTAAAGCGGCAAACCACATTTGCCAGTCAAGACGTGGCTGATGAGGGATGTTAATTTTTGGTGAGAGTGTAATATTTTGGGGTTTATATGTAAATTCGTAGTCTTTTCATGCTTTTTGGTCATAAGACCCTTGTATGATTAATTCAGGTCTGCCACCGACCCCAGTCATTCTTCGAAAGAGTCCATATGAATTTGTTAATTGGTAAGGAGATGTTCATTCATATGATTTTTCTATAATCATAGGGGTAGGCAAAATAAGTCCTTTATAATTGCTGTCAATACCTAAAAGGAATGGTGATAAACTTGAGCAATAAATAATTATCAAAATTAATAATGGAGGAATGCTAACTCCCCCCTCTTTGAGCGAACAAAAGCATTGGTAAAATCCCTATTTATTTGATAAAAAATTCCTGGATGAGCGAATAAAACATTTTCGATATATAAGTGATAATTATTATAATAAAAATCTATCGCTAATTCTGTTGAATTTTAAACAAATTGCATTTTAAAACATAATTTACAATTTAAATTAATTTTCGCTTTCCAATTTTTGCGAATTGAGATATTTTTAATTTCGAAAAAAAAAATTCCTATAATTCATATTAAATTGTTTAAATCACCTTTCGTTAGCGAACAAAATTTTTGTTCTCTCATGGAGGGGGAGTAAGAGGGATTTGCTTTAGATGGTGAATTAGATAGCGCCCTGTATTTATGATAATAAAAATTGGAACCAAAGAAAGAGCATAAAGAAAATAAGGATGATTTAACTGATTGAAAATTACAATTTTTCTTTGCTGTGAAAGAGTTCAGTCAAGCTTTCCTTTCATTAGAGTATTAGGATTGAGAAAGAAGTATATAATTAAAGTTGAGAATAAAATCTAAATAGATATTACTCAGGAAAGGTGATGCAATATTCAATGTTTTTCTCTTTTTACTTTTAGTTCGATAACAGGAAATCCCAAAATTTTCCCCAAAAATTTAATTAGCCACTTGAAATTTAATAAAAAATAATCATCTAGCATTGCGATAAGCCTAATTTATTTTTACAGCCCTATGGTCAAAATATTAAAAAAATTGTAATTCCCACTAGCAAGTATTAAAATTTGAGCTAAAAATTGCATCAAAACTCCAAAGATTCTAAGGTATCTTAAAGGAGAGTAGTATAAAATTGAAGTAAAAATCATTGAAAAATAAGCAAATCCGACAGATAATCTTTGAATTATATGAGGAAGTTGATGGAAATATCATGAAAAAGGTGTAGGCAAACATTGTGTTTCATAATGATAAAAAAGTGCAGATAAATTCCATCAAGTTGGGCATTCAGATAGCAATTTAACATTTCCACTGCTAAAAATATATCTAAATGACAGTCATCTAAGCATTTCTCTTGCAAATAATTGTATAAAACTAGTGAATTGTTTTAAGGCATTAGCATCTTAGTTTTAATCTTAATTAACAGATGACGAGTGCCATATTGATTATACAGTCACCAAGGACCCCGAAGGATTCATCCGCTTTTCGATGTTCACATCCCCTTGTGATCGAATTGATGACGACCGGCGAGGTCTTAAGTCATCTTCCTATTCTCTAGAATCTGTATCATTGCTAGGACATTTTGAGTGTGAAGGAGGGAGGTATCTCTCCTCTTTGCCCAATTAAGGGCTCAGTTTTAAGTGGACAGACTATGGACTTCTGCAGACCTGCTGCAGGCTAATTGGATAGTAGTTGATCCAGGAACCTGAAGTTCAGCGGTGTTGGATGCCGACCTCAGCAGTTACAGGTAAAAAGAAGCTCAATTCCTTGGTCCTTATTGCTGCCCTAATATTGCAGAAAGGTTCACCTTTAGAGTTCCAAAGGGCGCTCCCAGGCTATCCCTTTCAAGTCATAGGAACCGAATCCAAAAAACCTACTCGGATATCATAAACCATTTCAGCCCTGAATATCGGCTGGTTTCTCGCGAGTTCGCCTTGGCCATAAGACTGATAAATTGCGTCAAGAGATCGGATACGCTTAGGCCGCCATTTTTATGTACGAAGGCAGCAGAATTATTCGAAACATGTTAGGGTGCATCAAAACAGGTCAAGCTAACAATCTTTGGACCTAATAATGTAAAAAGGAGGAAGTTCTGGCCTTATCAACCCATTAGTGGACGTTAAGCATTATCTGTATTAATATAATGCATAAAACTAGTGCTTTCTGCGCTTTGGAATATTGGAATCCTAGCATAAAATATCATTAAAAAGCCTGATTCTATAATTAAAATATCCCATTGAAACGATAAAAATGTTCTACCAATTGAAAAAAATGTATAAAAACATACCCAAAGAACCATAAAAGAGACCGCATTATTAAATCTATTGGTAAATAAACAAAGATTTGAAAAAATGATCCCAATCATGCATATCTATATAAAATTTACAATGTACATTGTCGTATCAGTGTCAGAAAAATCCAAAAGTATTGGAAATATTGACTTCAAAAAATCAAGGATATGTGAGCTAAGTTAAGTATTTTAAGACAATAAGTGGATTAATTACGAGCCTGGCTATCTGGCGTAGACCCGCCCTATTCTAAAGATTAGCTCCCTAGGCTAGAGCCGCCTCTTGGGGGTGCCTAGTTAGTCCCGATAAGCAAAGACTATGTGAGAGGCAAAACCTGTAGCACATCTGGCAGGGAGAGGGAAAACTTTGGGGAGAAGCAAATCTTCCCTTCTCGGCATCCCCAAACCAGAAGCCCTCTTTAAAAGCGAAAAGCACTGTTTTCAGTTAATCCGAATTGGTCCTACCTGATCCATAGGGAATGCACCTTAAAGTCCTTCTTCTGTCAATGTAACCATTTTATTTCTCGGGTATGTAAGGAATCCCAATATAAAAAAGGAAGATGATAATTATTTGCGGTAGCATGGTCAACTACTATTTTTGCTGGCAAAATTCCATCTGAGCCTCAAAGTCCTGCAATTTGCACGTAGTTCGAAATAAAAGCAGATAAATAGCAAAATGCAAAAATTTTGGTCACAAGTCCACGCTGTATCGTGATTTCAAGATCCATATTCTATCCTTAAATTTAATTATGGATTTTGGAGGCGTTATTTCAGTTGAAAATTTTGATCCTACTTCTCACACAGCTATAGATTCCCCTCGCTCTCTCGAAGCTTGCAAAAAGCATGGCATCGAGCCTTCTGAGCTATTCCAACTTTCCCGAAATCAAGCTACTAAAAAGCTTGGCATAAATGCCCCGTCAGATATGATAGATTTATACATAGAAAGATATGAACTTCGCCGTCAAAAAGAAGTAGAGCTTGTAAAGAGTGAAAGGAAAAATCTTATGAGGACCTCTTCAACAAATTCATCCAGATCAGTTTCAAGACATCACTCAAAAAGCACATTTTTAATCCAAGAAGAAGAAAAACAATTAGAAAAATTAAAACGAAAAAGAGAAATTGAAGTAGCGCAGCTATATGAACAAGAAAGAATCAAACAAGAACTATTATCAAAATTTTCAGAAAAAGAAAGAAAGGCTCAAGAAAGAGAATATGAAAGGAAAAAGAAACTAGAACAAGAGAGAAAAATGAGGGAAGTTAAAAGCCTGCAGGAAGTGGAAAGGAAAAGAATGGAAGAAGAAAATTTTCAAATGGAAATTAAACGGAAGCAGAATGAGCAATTTCAACAAGAGCAGATGAGGTTAAGAGAAAAGGCGAAAATGGAAAAAAGGATGAAAAAAGAAGCCAAGGCAAGGGATGATGAATTAAAGAGAAGACAAGAAATGCTAAAGCAGCAAACTATGGAAATCGAAAGCCAGCAGCATCAAATGATTGAAAGTAAAAGAAAAGAAATGATGCATAGAGAAAAACAGAGACTAAAGTCTTTGCAGTTAAAACAGAAAAGGCTGAAAGAAGAAAACGATTTAAAGCAAAAAGAAAAAGATGAAAGGATTATGCTAGCTAAAACAAACTTGGAAAATTTAACAAAAGAAAAGCTGAAAGAATATAAAAGAAAAGAAGAAATGGCTGAGATGAAGAGAAGACATTTTGAAAAGAAAAGAGAAGCTTTAAAAAAGCTAGTTCAAGAACAGTCAGAAAGAAAAAAAATAGAAATTCAGCAGGTCATTGAAAATAATCAAGAGATGATTGAAGCTAGAAAAAATGATTATTTAAATAGCATGAAAGAAGCTGAATTAAGAAAAAAAATACAAGAAAGGCAGAAAAAAGAAGAATTAGAGCGCAAAAGAGAAGAAGAAAAAATAAAAGAAATGGAAAGGCAGTTCGTAAAAGAAAGATGCAATCAAATTGAAATGGAAAGAATTAAAGAAATTAAATTCAAGCAAAAATTAGCAGATAAAAAGCTGAGAAAACTAAATAAAATGAAAGACGAAGAACGAAAGCGTGAAGAAATCTTAAAGGAAATAAAAAATATTGAAAAACAAGATGAAATTAAACGAATTGAAAGAAAACAAGAATATCAAAGAGAAATGGTAAGGAAAAAGCTTCAGCAAGAAAATGAAAGGATAAATAATTTAATGAAAGAAAGAGAAAGAATCTACCAATCACGTCAAAAGGTTCGTTCTCAAATTGAGATGGAAAAAACAAAAATTGCAGAAAAGTTCAATTCATCGAGAAATAAAGGCGATTCACAATTTCTCCTATCTTATGAAAACTCAATGGTTTCTACTGGAGATCAGTTCAATACTGCTTTAGAAAAGAAAAAAGCTTCTTCAGCTAAAAGCAACAGACTAATAATAAAAGCTTTCTCAAAGCAAAGCCACGAATCGTCTAGAAGAACTTTTCATTCTCCAAAGCCTCTATCTGCAACAAGCCCAAACCGATATAAATCAACCAAAGAGAAAATGAAAGCGGAAGCCAAAAAGATTATAAAAGAACTACAAAAGAAAAGCAGAAAGTCAATGAGAAGGATACTCAAAGAAGAAGTAAAAAGAGAAGAAGAACGACAGGCAATTTTAGATTCGATAAGGGATCCTGGGGAAAGAAAAAGAATTAATTTTATTTTTGATGAAGAAAAAGAAAGATGTGAAGAACAAAAAAAAGAAATTAAGAGAAAATTAAAAGATGATGTCCAGAGAGTCTCTATGATGTATCATAGCTTGGAATAAGAAATGGGATATAGGATAGTAATATAATTTATATTAATTAAATATTTCATGAGTGTTATGAATTAAAATTTATTTTATAATACTCAAATTATAAAAATAATATCTTTTCCTTGAAAATCAATATTTTTCTTGGTGTTAATATATATGCACCAAATAGCGCACGTGGCTATAGCTTTATTTTAATTTTTTCAATTAAATATTCAAGCCCTTTACAAGTTCTTAATAATCTAATTCATAATTAATAAAACCATTTATTTATAAAATTCCTGCAAACGCTTCAAATCGGAAAATTTTGTGTTATCACATTTCCTGATTATTGAATGCTTATATCTATTAAGTCTTACTAAACATATTTTCTGCCATCAAAATTATACAATTTAATGACTTCTATCGAAGATGATTTATCAATTTTAGCGACCGAAGAGGATGATTCCCCTAATAGTTTCAAAGGGAAGCGCCGATCTAAAAGAGATCTTCAAGGTCGTACCTATAAATGCGGCTGCGAAAAAATGTATTTGAGTTATCCAGCTTTATATACTCATATCAAAACTAAGCATGATGGGATTACTCCGCCAGGGACAGAAACACCTAACTCTATAGGAAATAGAGGCAGAGGAAGGCCTCGCAAAATGCCGATTGAAAAAGAAGAGAAAAATGATATAAAAGAGAGTTTAGAGGAGAATCCTTTAGAAGATTTAGAAATTCTTGGCGGTCAAACAGACCCTATAAATGGATTTGATGACCCCAACTCTGAACTGCTGAATAAGATAAAAGAATGAAAAAATAAACCAGCAGAAGAATTTTTTGATAAAGAAAACTTATCATGTGACGATGCATTTGCGGCCTATCTTATAGAAATTTCTGAAAATATAGGAGAAGATACTTATAAAAATTTTATATTATTCTTTGAAAATTTAAGAATTTGCCTCAACCTTAGAGGATACCAACTTCACCTTGACGAAAACTCAGTTAAAATTTCTAATTACAGCAAAACTAAAGGCCCAGAAAAAATTCCAGGAATTTTCAATTACTATATCCAACAATACATGCCTCTAAACTTCCCATCTTTCAATAAAAGCATCGCCATAAAAATTTCCCTTCACTTTGACAAATGGCTTCTTAAAAATAACTTGACTGACATGAAAATTCTTTTAACAGATGAAATAATTAACTAATTTTCTTAAAAATAATAAAAAATGCCCAGATCTTCATCATCTTCTTACACATCTTCATCAGGATCATGCTGCTCTTCTTCGTCACGATCCCCTTCACCTCGATCTAAAGTCCTCAGAGTTACAAATTTAACAGGAAATGTAAATAGAAATCATCTCTATGAAATCTTTGAAAATTATGGAGAAGTTAAAACTGTGGAATTAGCTGAAAAAGAAGGGACACACAAATAAAATGGCGACGACACTGACCCGTCCTCTCCTGGAACTGTGGCGAGATTGGGGGCCTTGCTACGGCCTGAAGCCAATCCGCCCAGGGAAAGGTCTGGAATGGGTACCGGTAGTTTGTGTCCGGCTAGGTTTCCCTCCCAGTCCAGCAACGGCGATCCTAGGGTCGTCCCGATAGGACACGGGCAAAAAGGGTTTTTTCCTCTAGGGACCGCTAGTGTCAATTTGGAGGGCATGGCAGGAGCCGACAAGAGCTAAGGAGTTAATCCTTAGCTCTAACCCTAGTCTGGTGACGTGAAGCACGGTGACCCAGTTCGCCTACTTCCGGGATAGCATGACCAAGCCCCATGACCGGAAGGAGCTGAGTGGTAGCCTGTGGCACTTAGGTGCACACTGGGAGCAGGGCAAGGAAAGCAAGCGAGGCGTCCAAAAGGCGGAAGAAAAGGACCTTCGGTCCTGGCCGGGAGCTACTCTATAAATTTAACTAAGACTAAGACTAAGCTGAAAAAGAAGGGAAAGAAGGAAGATTAAAAAGAGGCTATGCTTATGTTGATATGGTAAGCGGAAAAGATGCTTTAGCGGCTAAGAAAGCTATGGATGGAGGATGAATTGATGGAAATGTAATTGGTGTTAGCATTGTAGATGAATATAGAGGAAGAAGAAGGCCTAGATCAAGATATAATAGATATAAGAGGTCAAGGCCGCCAATAAATAGAAGAAAAAGAAGCAGATCTTGCTCGTGTTCGTCGTCTTCATCAAAATAATTATTAACTATTTAAAGAATCAATATCTCTCTGTTTAGCTTGGATTTTTGATAAGGTTTCAGCATAGGAATTAGCTCCCCTTCTCCGGATCGAACAAAACCAATGAAAAAATTTCTATTTTTTGCCCAGAAACCTACCCTCCATGAAGCGGTCAAAAATGAAAAAAAATGATATATAATTGATAATTAGTATTATTCTGATTTATTTAAAACAGCTTGCATTTTAAAACATAAATTTTACAAATTAAATTAATATTGCTTTCAAGTTTTTGCGAATTAGGATTTTTTTTTAAATTTCGAAAAAAAATTACTATAAAATTTATATATAAATTTTTATAAAAAAAATTTAACCCCTCTCCTTGAGGCAACAAATTTTTTTTGCTCGCTCACAGAGAGGGGAGTAAGGATTTTCATTAAATTTGGATCAGATTCGTATCTGGCAAGTCTTGAAGAAAGAATTGATTTTAAATCAGATTGCTCGTCTAATGTTTTAATTAGTTCTTCTTTTATAATATTTAAAGCTTCTAAAGTGGTTGGATTGTATAAATCATTTTCTAGAGACTGCTCTAAGCATTTTCTATTTAATATTTGTATATCTTGCTTTAATTCTAATTCATTGCATTGCAAAGTATTTTGATTTCCATCGGCATAAAGTATAGCCCGAGCTTCCTTTTGGCTCGGCTATCCCGATGTTGATATGGGAGTTGGTTTTATCACTATTTGTTGGTAAAACCAACTCCCCAGATGGTAAATCCACTCTATATGGAAATTTGACATCTGGGGAGTTTGCTTTACCAATAAATGTTGGTAGGGCCATCTCCCATTCCGACGTCGAGACAGCCGAGCCAAAAGAAGGATCGGGCTATAGAGATATATCATGTAAATTTTCTGAAATTTCTTGTAAATTATCTATGTGAGTTTTTAAACAATTTTCGGTTTTTGCTTGAATTTCGGATATTTTTTGCGGATATGAAGAATTTTCTGCTGAAATTCTTTGAATAAGGGTAAATGGGGATTTCGTTTGCAAAATCTTTTCAAGTCTCTCAAGTATTGACTGTAATGACATCTCTGTTTTTGGCAGGGTTTTATTTATATCATTTAATTGAGATTCATAAGACGACATATCAATATTTGCTTGCCAAAGTTCAGATGTATTTACCCCAAGAAATCGAAGATATGGTTCAATTTCATGCCATTCTAAATCATTTCTTCCTACTTCGTCTTTATCAATTAAGCTAATATAACTTGACGATATACCTATACTTTTTAAATCAAAATTTCCCAAGCATTGCAATAATAATAGATTTTCATAGTCACTAATTGATATTTTCCCGGTTTCCATATTATAAATTACACTTAAAGTTTATTCATAAAACTCCTCATCCTCAACTCTGACATCTCTCTAGAATGCTCTGCATTTTTGAGATCATCTTTAAGCTGCTTCACGTCTAGATAGCTTTTTCTTTTATGTGCTTCATATACATCTCTCAACTCTTTCAATTTTTTTTCATAGGTTTCTCTCATCATTGAAAGCTCATTCCTCATGACATTTTCAAAGGTGTCTTCGTCTTCTCCTTCATGCATTCTGGTGAGTTCTTCTTGTAAGGTCTCATTCAAATGCTGATAAATTTTGATATCAGATTTTAATGAGTCTATTGAAGTGGTTAAATTTTCGATTTGATTTGTTTTCTCATATAGAAGCTCTTCTTTTTTCTCAAGTAAATTTTGATATTTTGATAATTCTAATGATAAATAATTTTCTGTATCTTTTTTGGCAGCTTGGATTTTGGATTCGTGCTGAAGCTTGTCGTTTTGAGATAATAATTGAGCAATATGGTCTTGATGAGTGCGATTTTCTTTTTGCAAGATATTTAACTGTTTTAGTGCAGAATCCCGCTCTGAGGTTAAATTATTGACACTCATCATAATCAGATCTAGCTTGGATTTTAAAGTCTTATTTTCGGTTTTAGCATTTTCAAAAACTACGTGCTCTTCTAGATGCTCATTTTCATGGATCTATGCCAGCTATCTAGATAAAGTTGAAGAATGAAGTATATGAACTAAATATTATAGTTACTAATAATTATTAGGATAAAATAACTAATTATATTTTAAAAGGATTTTTATAAAAAAATTTAGATATAAAACTATAAGTAGAACACAATTTTCATAGTCATCAAATTTTTTCTTTTGTTCTTGTAGCTCTTCAGTTATAGCTCGATTAGTTTTTAAGGATAATTCATTTTTCTCTTGCAATATACTGATTGAATTTTGCAAATTTGCTATTATATTATCTTTCTCTGGCTCCTCTTGCCTTAAAGTAGAACAAAAAATCCTGTCCAATTTAATTTAACATTTAAATAATATAATATTTTTTTATTTTATAAAGAATTCACACAAAATATTATCGATTCAGTCAAAAAAAACAGTTTAAATAATCGTTTACAAGCATTTGTTTCCAATAAATTAGGTTTATAAAAATTATTAATTTCACGTATAAAATTGTTCACCAATTTAACAGGGGTTAAAGTACCTAAAAAATTAAAAAGTTTTAACTATATTTTGTTTCAATATAAAAGGAGGAGTGAAGCAATCACCACAATGGATTCATGATCTAACTTTTCTTTATGTAGAAGCTCAATATTTTGATTTTTCATTTTCAACTCAGACCTAAGCTGTTCTATTTCTTGTTCATTTTTCTTTAAAATATTTTTGATTTTTGTTATCTCCTCTTCATATGATTTTACTTTTTTATTTATATCTTTCTGAGATTCTTCTGTAATTATTGATGCATCATCCAATTTTTCTGTCAAATTTTTCGGACGATTTTTTGGATGGCAATTCTAACTCCCCACCCCCCCCCCCCCCCTCCGTGAGCGAACAAAAAAATTTTGTTCGCTCACGGAGGGGGGTTAATTTTTTTTTTTAAAAAAAATTTATATATAAATTTTATAAAAAAAAATATTTTTTTCGAAATTTAAAAAAATCCTAATTTGCAAAAATTGGGAAGCAAATATTAATTTAATTTGCAAAATTTATGTTTAAAACGCAATTTGTTTAAAATTAAACAGAATTAGCTCTAGATTTCATTATACTAATTATCACTTATATATCAAAATTTTTTTCCATTAAAATTTTTTCTATTAAAAAAATTTTTGTTCACTCACGGAGGGTGGGTTTTTGGTCAAAAAATGGCGATTTTTCTAATGGTTTTGTTCGCTCACGGAGGGGGGGGGGGGGAGTAAGGCAAAATTTTGTAAAAAAATAAATATTCGCAAACTTAACCTTTTTGCCAATTTGCTAAACTTCTCAATTATTTTGCTATTCTTTGCCAATTTTTGCCATTTTTTTGCCATTTTTTAACCACTTTTTTGTGCCTTTTTTACGAATTTTTTCTTTTTTTAAATCATCCAAATTTTTCACAGCCTCAAAAATAAGTTTGAATTTGTCAATATTATTTATTGAAGCCTGAAACTCAACAGAAACCAGCCCAGCAATCTGGGTCAAATAATTATTGACAACACTATTTAATTTTTCATATCTCTCTTCTACATCCTTTCTTCCTTTGATTTCTCCTTTTAATCTTTCATCATTTTTTTTTGCTTTCTCCTGCTCGATTTTCAGCATATCCATAGCTTGTGTAGCAATTTTGCTATTTGCTTCAATGTCTTCTTCAAATTTTTTTACTCTATTGAATTGGTTTTTTCACTTATTAGCGTCATTGATCACCCAATTGATCATATTTTTCATAGTCCCATTCTCTGTATGATTTTCTGAATTTGTCTTAAAATAGTCACTCAGTATCTCAATGGCTTCTTTTTTCTCTTGATATAGTTTAAGATATTCCTCTTTTCAATTAGTAAAGTCTTCTACTTCAATTGAATCATTCATCCCACATTTTGATTTTGGCCTAGAGTTCTGCTGAATCGGAGCCAATTTTTTGGCTTGGCAGCTTCTACATTTGCAATTTTCCTGTGAGCCTTTGTTGTAAAGCTCAGTTGGGTTTGGCTTTGATAAGCTCCGTGATGGTGCTGGGAGATTTCTTGTTGATAACACTGGGGATTCGCTCATAATTTTTAAATTCACTTCTTTTCTATTTGACCTGTCCTGAGGGAAATTATTAGAAATCATGGGGTTTCTTGGAGTTGAAGAATTCATTTTGAAAATAATAAAAAACTTGTCTGTTAATATAAAAGAAATGTCTAGTGATACTAATAATAGAGAAAGGGCAATAAAATCATTAGAAAAAATCAAAAAAGAATGCTTAAAAAGTGCAAATGATTTAAAGAAAAAACTTGAAAATTGTGAGAGCGAAGCGGAAAAAGAAATAAGTAGTTTAGAAAAAAATTGTATAATGGCTATTGATTATGCAATGCATTTTATTGAAAAGTTACCTGAAAATAGTCGGGAAACACCAGAAAAAATTAAAAACTCTTATTATAAATATAATTGAATTCTTCAAGAAAAGCTCAAGCATTTTTATCTCAAACTCTTTTAAAAATCAACCATTAAGTATCATTATATATATTTGATATATGAATCTCCAAGAAGTTTCAGCCCAAGTCAATTATTAGAATCATTTAGACTAAAAACTGAAAATTCTCTATTAAATAACAAACTTAAACAAATCTCTCCTGCTAGAAAATCTCCAGCAAGAGCACCTGAAAGTCCAGCAGAAAATGAATTAATAGGGAGAATTAAAGAAGAAAACAAAGAATTAAAAGAAAAATGTGAGAGATATGAAAAAGAAATTAGTGAATTAGGCTATAAATTAGCTGAGGCTGACGAAGTTTATAAAGAGCAAGAAAATGCTGTAGAGAGGCTAATGCAAAATAGTTTTCAAGTCCGGGTTGAAAATTCTCAATTGATTTTAGATAACAGGAAATTCAGGAATATAATAGAAGAATTAAGAATAAAAAACGAGTTTAGCAATAGTGAAAGCAGTAAAAAAACTTTGAGTGTAGTCTGTGAAAAGAGTATAGGAATTATTAGCAAAATGAAAAATAAAATAGCAAAAATTGAAAATTGTGGGAATATTATATGCTATCCTGTTATTAAGGCAAACAAAGCGAAATTTTCTTTTGGGAGTCTCGAAGAACTTGCGGATAGACATCATAATAGCAAAAATTTAGAAATTGAAACTCAAAGAGATATAAAAATCTATGGTAGAAGTGCAAAGAAGTTTCGACCCTACTTAGAGATTGATTTTTTATCGAGATTTAATATAAAGGCTAACTCTCCCCTCCGTGAGTGAACAAAACCATTAGAAAAATCGCTATTTTTTGCCCAAAAACCCACCCTCCGTGAGTGAACAAAAATTTTTTTAATAGAAAAATTTTTTATGGAAAAAATTTTGATATATAAATAATAATTAGTATAATGAAATCTAGAGCCAATCTGTTTAATTTTAAACGAATTGCTTTTTTAAAACATAAATTTTACAAATTGAATTAATATTTGCTTTCCAATTTTTGCGAATTAGGATTTTTTTAAATTTCGAAAAAAAATATTTGTTATAAAATTTATATATAAATTTTTTTAAAAAAAAAAAAAATTAACACCTCTCCGTGAGTGAACAAAATTTTTTTGTTCACTCACGGAGGGGGGGAGTAAGCCAAAAATTATGAGCGAAGATTCTATTAATGCTATCTCTTTTCAAGTAAAGCCAAAATTGGCTCTGATAACTAAGAGCATACAAATATTTCCTATCAAAATGAAACTAAACAAACCTACAAATTATACGAGATCTGATCTCAATCATATACACATTTTTCCTTTGAAAATCGAAGTGCTACAATTTTCTAGCCAGATATCCAGAGTAGAAACACAAAAATCTAACTGTTTAGTTATTGAAAAATTAATGCCAAGAATAAAAATCACCCCTCCAAAAAAGTGATATCAAAAAGAGCAAGCCACATTGACTCTTGACATAAAACTCAAAGAATCATCAACCCATAGTTTGCCAATCTTTCCTACAATCCAAAAATTACATCAATATAGGCCAAATTTAAATATTTCAAAATCATCAATTTTTATACAGATTGCAAAGCAAAATTTAAGTGAATTTAGTAATAATGGTGCGATAATCCCATTAAAAGTAAAATCTTATCAATTGCAAAATCTCCCAGCATTATCTTTTAATAATGGCACAAAAAATAAAAATGTGCAGCTTGTTTTCGAAAATATCAATATTTTTCATACAGAAGAAGGAATTATTGAAGCTTGCAGGCCTAAAGACACGAGTGATGAAGAAATAGAAATATCATCAACTTTAGCTTATATAAAACATCCTTTATCTATTACAACTTCTTTTTCATTTCAAGCTTTCCCTAAGCCGCTAAAACTTTTTGTGACAAATTTACCAAGAGTTTTCCTTACTTCCCTCATCCTTAATTGAACGACGGGGAGTCTTTTTTATTTTTATGCAGAATTAATTAAAAAATTTCAGAAAAAATATTCAATTTTCTCATATAAAAATACTATGAAAAAGCTATAAGATATAAAGTGTGCAATATAATATCAATTATGATAGAAATCACATTAAATTTGTTTATTAGCAATATTCATTAAATTTTAAATATAGGTAGTAGATTTGAGTTTGGATATTATATCATTATTGACCATATAAAAATTATTCGATCAAGGAAGGAATTAATTCTCCCTATTTATAAATAAAATTATTTGATTAAGAATAGGTGAAGTTAGAAAAACAAAGCCAAAATTTTCCTTTTCTCATGAGCGAGAGCTTACGCTATCCCCAATTCCTAAGTTGCCATTAACTAAACATTTATTGCTCGTCACCTTAAATCATTTCGACGTCTGTCAAAAAGCTGAATTATTAGACATAAAATCCTTATATACCATGAACATTATTAAAGGAAAGCCAACCTTATCAATTTGCCAATTGAAGAAATTTAAATATGTTCCAATTAAATTGTTAAGTAGTGCTGGAGAAGAGGAATTTAAAACTGGATCATCTAGTCCTGGTAGATCTCCAAGGAAGCAAAGGTCCGCAGCTAATAGAAAACCTGCAATTGAAGAATTTTTTGCTTTGGTAAAAATTATATAGACATTACAATCTGTAATTATGAATATGAAAATTGATGAAAGCATAGGACCTCCAAAAGCAAACTCTGAAGAATTATTGAAAATTGCTCAAGAATCTAAAATCCCTTTTAATTTTTGGCATGATTGATTAACTGAAAGAATGAAAATTATTTATAAGCAAAGCAAAAAAAAGCGCTAATGTATATAGATGCAATAGTAAAATTAAATTCATATTTATTCGTAAATATTATTTTTTAAAATACTTATAGTTATGGTGCATTTTTGATGAATATTTAAATTTCCTAGATAGCATTACTCATTCTGTCTTATAATTTATGTGCAAATCTATTTCATTTTTTTTTTAATTTCAAAAGCTATTATTATTCCATATTGTTTATTCTCATATTAAAAATATCCGATAATCTAATCCTTATACTTATAAGAGCCTTAAAACTAATATATGATGTTTAATCTACAAACAATATGGGGAGCAGTCCCACCAATCATTCAAAGCCTTCAAACGGCAATGAAGTCAAAGAAGAAGTGTTAAAATCACAAAGAAAAAAATCCTCAATCATAGGAGTCTTAGGAACAAAGCTCATCCAGAAAAATGAAACAAAACATCAAAGCCAAGATAACCCTTTTAAATTTTCAAGATCTCAGACTCAAAATAATTTGGACTCTGAGGCTTTCCACAGATCTAAAACGAAGATTGAGACAGAAACAGGAGGAATCTGTCCCAAATGCTTGACAAAATTTCCATGCATACACACTAGCTTCGAAAATTTTAAAAATGCTCTACATTCACTAAGTCCACAGCCAGCTGAAGAGTCGCCAAAATATTCATATAGACGCTCCTATACAAATAAAGCAGTTTTCAAAGAGCCAATGTGTATAACACTAGAACAATACAATGCCAATTTAACCAAATCGAAAACTATGCTAAAACTTCCTGAAATTGCATCTCCAAGATTGAGAAATCAGAAGGGAAATATTTATGAAAAAATTGAAGATGAAATAAAAAGAAATAAAAGATATGATCATATAAAAGACAAAAAGGAAAAAGACTATGAAAAAATCCTCGAAGAAATTGTTGTTGAGGAAAATTTTAGAAAAGATACAATCAAGAGGCTGGAAACCATGAATTTTAATTCAGAGAAAAAATTAAAGGTTTTAGAAGGAAAAATCGCCAGGAATAATGATCGCTTGAGAAGTAATGTGAAAGGAAATGGTGGAAGGTATAATGGAGGTATGTGGGCACTTATTTAAAATTAATTAATTAATTAAAATTATAAATTTTTTATTGAATCTCCTATTACATAGCTTTAATAAATAAAATCTATTACTAATAAACCTTTGCCTTTTTGAAGCTTATAATATAAAATGTATAGAATATTTCAAAAAAATAATTAAAATAGTTTCTTTAAAATAAATCATATATGGTTTTATTTTTTGATAATTTTTTTAAATTTCAAACATGATGCTTTAGCTGTTTATTTTTAATAATAATTATCTTTATTACTTATATCAATTGAGTCACATATTTCTTTCATATCTAATATTTCCACTCGTTATATGGAGAAACATTAAGTAAATTATCATAAAAAATGGGATGCTGTTTTAGTTGCCTCAAAAGTGATTCGAAAGATCCAGCAAAAGCTCCTCTAGTAACCATTGATGGTAAAAAAGCAAAATACATTAAAATGGCGACGGCTATCCAGCCCTTTTTCTCAACACCTGTAGTCTGCGTTCGCAGGTGACCTTGTGGAAGGGATAAAGGCGCTCGGAATGTGTATCCGGCTAGGTTTTACCTTGGCACAGTGGAGCGCAACGTCGGACTAGGCCGGCCGCAGCTCATCTGACGCCAAGGGTTTTGCCTCAGGATAGATGGTTTCCAGGGTTGGAAAGGGGAAGCTCAGCGGCATCAGGAAGGTACCTCCTGATCAATCGGGCAACTCCCTAGCGTGAAACTGGGCGTTACGTCCCAGGCTTTGGATTTCCATCTTAGCCGACAGTCCTACCAGAAAATTTGTTTTTCAAATTTTCGGAATGGGCAACCTCTGTTGACGTACTGCTGGGTGGTGTAACTCATCCAACTACGGGTAGCGAGTGCACATCCTCGTCCAGTAGGAGCAACACCTTGAAGGTCGTGGCCGATTGGGGTGAGCAACAGGGTAAAGCGTGATGGTAGGGCAGGGGAAACCCTAGTCAATACGACGGGCCTCTCTATAATATTAGTTAATGTTAATGTTAATGGTAAAAAAGCAGAAGAAATGGATTCTGCAATTACAGATGCAGCTCCATCTCCATCGCATCCTATTTGTCTAGACGATTTTCAAATAGAAAGAGTTTTAGGCAAAGGCGCATTCGGAAAAGTGTTTTTAGTCACGAAAAAAGACACAGGGAAGCTTTATGCGATGAAATGCTTGAAAAAAGAAATGATTGAGCAGAGAAATCAAAGGGTTCACACCAAAACTGAAAGAGAAATTTTAGGCGATGCGGACAGTCCATTTATAGTTCAGCTTCATTTTGCTTTCCAGACGCCTGAAAGATTGTATATGGTTCTGGATTTTATTAACGGTGGCGAATTATTCTTCCATCTAAGAAGATCAACAAGGTTCACAGAGCAACGAAGTAGATTTTATTCCGCTGAAATTTTGCTAGCCCTGGACTATTTACATGCTCATGGAGTTATTTACAGAGATTTGAAACCTGAAAATATTTTGCTTGATTCTGAAGGACTAGGATTAGGATTATTAAAGTCAGGTTCTAGACATATTGGTGAAGCAGTCACCTAAGACCTCCCGTACAGGAGGTTTTTACCACTTTTCGACTCCAGCCCAGAGGGTCTAGCCCTCTTACGGTGCCCTTCCGGTGCCTTCTGTCTACTCCTTGCCTTGAGGCTTCAGTCTTGAGTGGGCGGCTTATGGATTTCTCTGCGGCCCTGCTACGGGCGATTGGAGTAGCTTGATTCCAAGGAACCTTGGAGTCTATCGGATGCCGAAGTGCCTTCTTCGACAGTTACAGGAAAAAGACTGTCCCCTGTGGCCTGAGCCGAAACCCCCAGTTTCTCGGTAAAGGAATGCCCATGCGTCCTCGGATCCAAAGGACGTTGTTGAGCACCTCCATTTCCAACCACAGGAAAGCAGCCAAAACCTACCCGAGTATACACCTTTTGAGCCTACACTTGATTCTCGGCTCGGAGTCTGTATCAGTTCATCGTAGCCATAAGGTCTGAACTGCTGCGCCAAGAGGGCAGGTTGACATGTGTCGCTATCTTAATGTTTATGCTTGATTCTGAAGGACATATAAAATTGACAGATTTTGGGCTTAGTAAACAGTTTTTTGGAAATGAAAGCGAAAATAAAGCTTTTTCATTCTGTGGGACACCTGAATATTTGGCTCCAGAAATTTTGAAAGGAACAGGCCACGATCAAGCTGTTGATTTTTGGAGTTTAGGAGCTTTATTATATGAAATGCTAGCTGGAGCTCCACCTTTTTATTCAAAAAATCGAGATCAGATGTTCAGAAATATGTTAACAAAACCAGTTGATATGAAGCCTCATTTTTCAGCTCAAGCAGTCGATTTATTGAAAAATTTGCTGCAAGTTGATGTAATTTTTATTTAGCCAAGAAAACGACTATCTTCAACCTCTGAAATTCAAGCTCATCCATTTTTTGAAGGAATGGACTGGGACAAGCTTACTCCCCCCTTCTTAAGAGAATAAAAAATTTTGTTCGCTCTCTGAAGGGGTTAAATGTTTTTAAAACATATAGTAATTTTTTTTTTGTCAAAATGCAAGCTGTTTAAAATTAAACAAATTAGCTAGAGATTTCATTATACTAATTATCACTTATATATCAAAGTTTTTATATTAAAAAATTTTGTTTGCTCACGGAGGGTGGGTTTTTATATAAAAAATAGGGATTTTTCCAATGGTTTTATTCGCTCACAAGTTAGTAAAAAAGAAATCGAGCCTCCATTCAAGCCAAAAGTGACAGGACCTCGAGATTTAAGAAATTTCGATAGGATGTTTACAGATGAAACACCAGAAGAAAGCTTGATTACCACTAACTTAGATTCACAGCAAAAAGCAGCTCATAAGTGGGAAGGGTTCACTTATCATGATCCTGCACACTTATAGGAAACCACAATAATTTATATAATTGGATATTTGTTGATAAAGTATAGATAATAAATATAAAATTATAGAAGGATGGGAATCAAAGACAAACATCAGAAAATTTATGCAGAAGCCAAACCTAAGGGAAGCTTCAGAGAGCAAATAAATGATGAACTAAATGGGAGATATAAAACTGAGCTATGCAAGAATTGGATAGAAGGGAAATGCAACTTTGGAGAATTTTGCAATTTCGCTCACGGGGAATGTGAACTTACAACAGTTAATAAAAGCGTTTGTAAGCAATTTCAGAATTATGGATATTGCTTAAAAGGAAGCAATTGCTTATATTGTGAAATACACTATGTAGCACGGAGCTTTTTTGGCTCAAGTTTCCGGCCAAAAAAGCCCCGTGCTATACAGTGTATTTCACTATATATCCATATAGAAAGAGTTAAGGGAGAGTATGAGATGATAAATGATATAAATCGAAGAAGGGCATTAATTTTCAATTCGATCAATTGGGAATAGGATCATTTAATCAAGTGAGTAACAATTAATAAGAAATGATAATATTTATTTAAACATCAAAAAAATCTTTCAATTAGAATCACCTTATCTTTTCATTTTCGTAGAATCTTGGCAAATAGGCAAATATATGTAGAAATCAATAAAATTTATAACTAATTTCATAGTTTAAATAATTTAATAAGAAATATGAAGGAGTTGGCCACACAGAAAATAAAAATTGCAAGATAATTAAATATCAATTTAAAAATCAAATTTTTTTATAATAGTTTGTAATTGGAAAAAGCTTATTTAGTATCACCATATCTTTAAAAACTCTAAATATTCCTTTTTTAAATATTTTTTAACGTTAAATATTTATAAAAATATGGCTTTCAAATTGTTTGTCTTAACGTTGTGTTTAACAGCACTGATTAGTTATGCTTATCAAGACTTCAAATCATCTGAACTTAAATTTTTGAACCAAATAAACGACATGCCAAGCTTTTTAGAGACAGAAGGAGATAAAAAAACTCTCCCAGGGCATACTCATGAAAATGCAATTAATTATTTTAGGGAACAAATTGAAGTTGCTAAAAGAGATGGAACAGCTGAGTTAGATGATGGAATGATGTATACAGTCGAAGAACTTGAAGCAAAAATAAAACATATTGAAGATGCTGTAGCAAATGGAGAAGAGCTTGACTGGTAAGAATAAATTAAGATTTTCATAATATTTTGTTATTGCCTATAGCTTTTTGCTTGAGTGGCGCGGTATGGGCGCCACTTCGGCAAGCTCCTTCTTCCAGTTGGCCGAGCCAACTCAGGTTGGTTCGACCAATTGGAGAATTGACAAGTGAGGCCTTTTGGGGAGACTTGTCAATTCTAGTTGGCCGAACCAACCTGAGTTGGCTCGGCCAACTGGAAGAAGGAGCTTGCCGAAGTGGCGCCCGTACCGCGCCACTCAAGGCAAAAAAGCATAGCTCCTTTAATGCTGGAGCTTTTATTTTAGTTATGTTTATTTTAATAGATAGAGAAATATCTATCAATTTTGAGCTATGGGAACTGGCTTGCTATATTTATTTTGCTTTAAGGTTTATCATACAGGTATTTCGCTAACAATTTTTTTCGGTTAACCAATTTAGTTTGCAAATTATGCTGCAATAGTGAAAAGCTTATCATTTTTATGAGTCGTTGCTTTAAAATTTCACATTTTTTAAAAGATAGATGCCACTTATACTTCAGAGTGGTTTAGTTTTAAATAAAATTAAATACTATTTTATTAAATAAAGTTGGCTATCAATTTATTCTAATTATATAGTTCAAACATATAATTGAAAAGGCTTTGATGTTGCTTTCATAGTGTTGCAAATGATGAAATGGCTGGACACTTTAAATTTTAAAGCTAAAAAAGAGTTAAAATATATATGATGCTTATTTGATTTAAGCACTTCCTGCAATTTAGACTTCAAAAATTATATTTTACTACTCCACTATTTTTTACATATTTTTGAAGTTACTTTCATAGCGTTCTAAATGATGAAATTGGCTTGACAATTTGCATTTCAAAGCTCTTAATTTAACATTATTTATTATTTTTTGGTTTTAGCACTTCCTGCAATTTAGACTTCAAAAATTGCATTTTACCAATGCCGCCATTTTACGATATTCTTTTTAAATCTGACTTGCACCATTTATTAAAATTTCTGATCGTCCTATTATAAGAAATTTGCATACTGATCATAAATTATTTCAAGAATTGGCTAGAATCGGCTCTTCAAACCAAACCTCTAATTAAAAAATATTGACAGTAAATCAAAATTTCACAGCTTCTCAGGGACTCTTTTTTATTTAGGTGCCTATATCACATATGCAGTGGGATCCTATGATAAGGGTAGTTTATATGCTCTTCTTACACCTTGGATATTTCTGCTTGAATTTTCCTTACCCCCATCAGCTTCTTTGCCTCAGCATATATCTCAACAAATCAACTTTCTTAAGGTCACAAATTCAGCTCCCTTCAAGGAAAAGTAAAAATTATCTTCAGATTTCATTAGCTCACAGCCAAACAATTAATTTTCTTAATGACAGTTTAAGACTGCCACGTCGCATTCCTTTCGAGCCCGGAGACTGAATTGGGACCAATACCTCATTCCCACTAGTTGTCTGTCCAATAAAGATAGAAACGCTGGTCTTCATATCATGAAATTCCTTCAGTTCAGCCTAGGACGGCGCCTTATCAGGCTATTCAAGGGAAAAACCTATATTTGATTTGCTGCTACTGCGCTAGTTTCTTTCTTTTGAGAGAGTTATTACATAAATGATTTGATAAAGCGAATTAGATCATTTTTGGGCTCACAATTTATTTCTCGTGACGAAGTTAGATCGAGATTGGTCTAATATTTCATGATAAATTTCAATATCAAGCTTCATTTACGCTCTCTTTTAAGCTATCTCATAATAGCTCAAATCAAAGTTTTGTCATCATAGCCATAGTTTGAATCTCTTTTATAATTTCTCAGAATATTTATTAGAATGGGGCTAATTTGTGCTAATTAGGATCCTTTAAAAGTAATTATTTAAAGATTTTGCCGATTTGCGTTTGATTTCTCCTTTCTTTATAATCAAATCATGAATTTATCATCCTTTTATTAAAAAAAGGAGATTTAGTATAATAATCATAAACTGAGCATAATAATTTAAAATTCATAGAAATAAGCCTATTAAATCGCAACAAATTATTTTATGAGTACAAAAACATAGATAATAATTGATTTCTTTGGGTTGGCAAAATTTTCACACTTGGATTATATTCGCCTGCATTTTCCATCTCCATAAAATGAGTTATCGGCTCAGTAAACAGTTTAGCTAAAAACACAGCTGTGAGTCCATTGTATAAACTGTTATCTATATAATTTTTCAAAAAATCTATGCAAATTTTTATTATTTTTGACAAAATATATATTAATACAATTATATTCTCTATATTATTAATTTATTATTATAATCAAAATAAATAGGTTTATAATATACTAGCCCACTTAACTTAATCAACGCTTAATGTTCAATATCACATATCTGTCCAGGCCTCCATTCTGCTACAAAAGTCACTCAGCCAAAGATGTCGGGCACACTTTTGCCTCAAGACTGAATGACCTTCTCAGCTTTGGGTTCGGATTTTAGCAGCAAATATCCAAATTTCGAGCTTAAGAATTTCGCCTGCAGAATATGATAAGACTCAGTCTCAACTATGGATTTTTCGCATAAACAGTCACATAAGGCCTTGATTATGGGATTTATTTTTGGTCGGATCAAATTGATAAATTTTAGTTGGACCAACACCTGGGGCGAATAATGGCCATATAGAGCTATTTATGGAAAACCAATACCTGGGACTGGTGGCACACTTCCAGAAATTTTTATTCCCTAATGCCAGGAGTCCTACGCTGAGCATCGTAAGCTGTTTCTTTTGTGCCATAGCCGGATAAAGTTTCTAACTCCTACCCCAGCAAGAAGCAGATTTTTTCTAAATCATGGCAGGGATTTAACAAACTGCCAAATAGTAAATTTTATATGAATAGATCAAATTTGCTTATTATTTTGGTTTTTCAGATAAAGTTAAAAAGTGAAAATTTTAGGCATTATGTCTAATAAAAATTTATTATTTGAAAATTTTGTGCTAAAGCCTCCCACAAATAAGCAATGATTTGCTATTACTCGGGAGAAAGTGCGAAGTAAAAAAAAATTAAAATCAAAATTTTCCCACTGCTCTTGAGAACAGAAAAATTGGATGACGACAGATTTAGATAATTGGTTTATAATATACAAAAAATTTTTCATTGATATTTGGTCTAAATTATTCACCAAATAGTTTCTTGCTGCAGGAAACGAATTTGTTTGGAAAATCTGGCAAGCTTCTGAAACTAAGTCAGGTAAAAGTAGAGGCTGCTCCAAACAGTCTAAAAATTCTAATAATATATTCGACATAGAAAAAATATCTGCATCTTCTCTAAATGGGTCTCCAGTATCAAGCGCTCATCGAATATCTTTTTTTATTTCAGTATCCCCAGCTTCTTGGAAAATCCCTTTTTCGCGATATCCTTTTGATTTCAAAAAATCAACCATTCTTGCTAATTCTTTTGGTATTTCCATAGCTGCTGTTGATTTGTCTGCAAAAGTTGACAGCTTTTCGCTCACTTCCCCATTATTAGGGCAAAATCTTGCTCGCTAACTAAGAGGGGTTAATTTTTCCTTTAAAAATTTATATTTAAAGTATATAAAAAATTGTCCATATGTATTATAAAAGTCTAAATTTGTAAATAATAAAAATTTCATTATTGCAATTATTAATTTATATAGTTTTGATCCTACTTGATAACCAAGCGGTTTAAATTTTAAAATAGGAATTTTTCTAATGGTTTGCTAGATAATAGTGGAAGTCAGTGATGCTATTGGCTGTGGAATTTTTATAAGATTTTGGATACTCGCTCCAAAGCAAGAACCGTTAATTTTGCATTGAATTTCTATAAAAAAATCAGATCCTCCTTTGACTCCTAAAACAAAAATGCAATTAGTGTACTCTGGATTTTTATTTAATTTTCGCGCCTGATTTTTTCCAAAATAAACGTTCAGTTTAAGCTCTTTTATTTGACGAGAAATTAAAGTACCTTCTTCTGGCTCAACAGCAAGCCAGCTTTTATGGAGACCCAAGTCTCGATTATGCTTTACCTCAAATTTCAAAATGTTTGCTCCTACATTTTCTAAAGTCAACACTTTTGTAAGTAAAGTTTTATAACGGACTCCAGTAATTTCGACAAAATTTTCTGAAATTTTCAGCTTGGGCATGCTCTCATGGTGCATGTCATCAACAGTTTTATAGACTTCACTTTTTACTTGTTCGAATAGCAAAGGGTCTGTATGCTTTGCTGGCACCATAAAACTGCTAAATACTGGCTTATGATCGCTTTGGATTATATAATTGCAAATCCCATATCGCATTAAAAAAGCTTCACCTCTTCACAATATCCGATCACATCAAGCAGGGTCTCTTTTATTGCTCGTATTAAATTGATTAGTCGTGCCAATCCGATATTTAAAACTTGGCATAAAGTCAATTTTTCCTTCATGAAATTCAGCTAATATATCATTTTCTCTTTTTTCTATATTTAGCTGATCATATTCTAGTAGTTCAGAAAAATGCTTCGCATTAATTTTATTGATAATGCTGTCAGTTGACAAATTATTATAAAAATCATTAATCTTTAAAAATAATTTTTATAAGAAAATATTATGAAAAAATTATAAGTCAATTATTAAGTCGATAATTTAAATCACCCGCTCAAAAAATAAAATCATGCTCATACACATTCCTGAATTCTTTACTACTCAATACAAATTTTCCTTCTTTCGATATTGTTTTTATTTGTTCATTCCTAAGCTTGGCTTGATTTTTATGTGCTGCAAGGTGGCAATTAATTATACATACGCTTGACTCAAATAAGTCAAATCTCATACAGATCGCGCCTTTATTCCCAACATATCCCTTAAATCCTAATTTTACACATGACGTTTTTATTTCATTAATATAATCCCTCATGCTGAATTTTACAAAAATCATTGTTAAAAGACCCATCAGATGTTCGTCTCCTACCTAAATATCTCTTACTATTGTATACTGATTCCCTGGAAATGAGTCATTAATCTGATTGCAAATATGAGACATCCAATTCCTCATTCTTACATCGTCGCCTACAATGTTTTTTGGGCTGAGTTCACACATTTCTTGCAAACAAATTACAATCATGTCAGGGGATTGTTCAGGCTCCAAATACACATCATTTTGGCAGCAGAACCACAAAAATAAATCTTCGCTTGGTCCTTTTCCAGCTGTATTCCAAGTCCCTATAATCATTTTTATATCCCTGATTTCTGTATATTCAGTTTCCCTTATCTTTAACTGGTCTTTTATATAAGCATTCATCATGTCTTTCCCATAATGTTCTGGAAGCAGCACATTTGATATTTTTTGTGTGGAGTTATTTTCTGTGTTGTACTCGATAGATCTTACTTGTATAGGAATCGCTGACTCATAGTACCACATCCATTTATGTGAGTTGGATAGTGCATGGAATGGCTCTCTTTGATATCTTGATACCTCTTCTATATGCTTTATAAGCGTATTGATTAATTTTTTATTATTTGTAGTGATATTTCAGAGAGTTGTATCGTAAGTCAGCCAGCGAAATAAAAATCCATCTGATTTTTGAATTATTTGGATTTCTTTTGTGAGAGGAAGCACTATCAGAAGTTCAAGTCCTCCGCTGAGAGAAAAGATTTTTCGAGGACGGAATAAGAAAATTCTGAATAAAAATTACGCTTGTTCATATGGGCAGGATTTATTTGATACTAATGCAAAAAAGCATTCCTTGGGGTTTCCTTTGTATTGAGTTGTGACTATTTCAAGCTATTTTGAAAATACTTTTAATAAGTTTTCTGAATTCCTAAGCTTGTTCTGAACCGTCTTGACTGGGTTCATGTTAGCTTTTTGAGATAAATATTAAAATGTGTAGTGAAGTTTTTCATTAAAAGGGTTTTTTATAGTGAAGAATAGAAGAATAAGATGTTAATATAAGATTTAATTAATCATAAGATTAAAAATATATGCTATTAAAATAATAAAATAACTGACTCCCCCCCCCCCCTCCGTGAGCGAACAAAAAAAATTTTGTTCGCTCACGGAGGGGGGTTAATTTTTTTTTTTTAAAAAAAATTTATATATAAATTTTATAAAAAATATTTTTTTCGAAATTTAAAAAAATCCTAATTTGCAAAAATTGGAAGCAAATATTAATTTAATTTGCAAAATTTATGTTTTTAAAACGCAATTTGTTTAAAATTAAACAGAATTAGCTCTAGATTTCATTATACTAATTATCACTTATATATCAAAAATTTTTTTCCATTAAAATTTTTTCTATTAAAAAAATTTTTGTTCACTCACGGAGGGTGGGTTTTTGGTCAAAAAATGGCGATTTTTCTAATGGTTTTGTTCGCTCACGGAGGGGGGGGGGGAGTGAGTATGAAGAAATCTCAGAAAATTTACCTGCGTTTAGTCAGAAAATTCGAAATATTTCTAACTCCTCCTAACAATAATGCAAAATCGAAAAAAAATTCTTTATGTGAATGGTTTTTTATAAAATAATTTTATATATAATTAATATTTTTATAGAGAGATATCTATCAAATTTTTAAAAATAAATTTGCGATGCTAGGATTTCTTAAAATCAGAATATATAATTTAAAATAAAGTTGCAGAAATAATTTAGCAAGACAAATAACAAAATTTCCTTGCTCCTGAATAGTAGGAAAATAAACTTTCATATAGAGAAATATTAATTGGGTTTCAAACAGATTTTACTTTTAAATAATTTGCGCCGACGATTAATATAATTATTTACACTAAGTCAGCATAGCAAAGCGCTTTTATAATTAATTTTAACTTTGATTTAGCCAAATTTTGAATTATTTTCATTCAAAATGGCACAGTCAAATCCACTTCTGCGAAGATCAAAACTTCCTCCTATCAGCGGGCAAGCTACAACAGGTGACATTCAAGATCGATTAAAAACAATGCAAAACCCTGCAGCGTTACTGCTATCATATGCAAAACTAAATGGGCAAAATATAACCTTAAATCGCCCTAGACAAACCAAAACATCCGCGCCAGTTCATATCGCAATTTCCCAAGATGACCAATTGCCTACTGATTTCGTAGAGGGCAAAGAGCCATACGAAAATATTGCATTTGCTCCTTTAAACCAAGACCCTGAAGGAATTTATACATTCGTGGAAAGTAATTTCTATTCAGATTTGAAAACTGGGAATTTTAGAAGATTTTTTAACAATAATTTAGTAATAAAAGAAGCAAAACCTGTTTACACTTCGGTTTCTGAAGAAGAAAAAGAAGCTAGCGTATATATGAAGTTGGAAGATTTAAGTTTTTTTATTCATAGATTTTTTCTGTTTCTTCAAGGTATATGTGGAGGTCTAGGAATAGTTCATATATATTTGCTGCTATCTAATTTTGATGATATCGAATTTTTGGATTTTTATGCGCAACATGCAGTACCAATTGGAACACTATTTCATATTGTAGTGTTTTTATCATTAGTCGGAGCAATTCATAGGGTGATTTCAGAAAAAAACCACTGTAAACAATATTTAGACACTGTAATCTCAAGAACTGAAGTAGACTACGACACGAGTAAGCATAGGATGCCATATTATATAGCTATGGTTTGCACAATTTGCTATGCAATTGCTTATATTTTTGTCACAGCTTGTGCAGCATTTGCCTCAAGGATGTATTTTAATGATAAAAATTACCAGCATGCTTGGAAATCTAATGTAGATTCGAGCATTTCAGATGGACTTAAAAGCTGAAGATGGCTAATGATAATTATATTTTTATAATAAATGTGCATAGTTGTAATATAATTAATGGGAATTTGAATATTTATGGAAAAAATAGTGCAGACGCTTTAATAATTCTTGCATGGATTATTTGGTCAATGCAAAGCAATTGGAACATTGGTACACTATATAGGATGGAACTTGAAGCGCTGAAACGAAAAGAAGAAGCCACGGTTGTCAGCTATTTACAAAAGATTTATCGTCATTTATTTTATGGAAATCCATATTTGCCTTCTGGAGTTTATACTATTAATGATACCAAAGAGGAGAGCCCAACAAAAGAAAAGGCTGAAAAGGAAATTAAAAAATTATAATTATATAAAATCGTATAATTAAAAATCTGCTTTTAATAATGATTTATAAATTTTATTTAAAGTATTATTATCTCGATCTAAATTTCTAATTAATTCGTTAGTCTATTACAAATTATTTTGTTCTTGAGAATTATTGCAACCTTTAGATTTTATCTTACTCACCTCAATTAAATTGTAACAAAATATCAGTAAAATTTGCATTTTTTGGGTACTTTAACCCCTCTTTAAATTGGAACAAAATTTTTATCAATGAAATGCTAATTTTGATAAAATTAGTTCTGACCTAATTGGACAGACAAAATAAGTAGAATGCTGTTTAAACAGTTTTCACACTGAAATGATCAATTTTCTTACTTATTTCTTATAAAAATAACTACTAAATTCAAAGTATTGTATCATTATTTGTTTTTAAAAATAAATATATTTTTCTCCATTAAATTGGAACAGGATTTTTTGTACCAATTTAAAGGGAGGAATTAAGAAATAAGTAATGGATATTTATTTATATTTTATCAGGCTTTAAATATGCACTCAACACCCTAAATTCTTAAGCTGCTAATTAATTCAGTGTGCATTTGCATATAATTAGCCTCCAATTTCAAGAAAATTTGTATATTCTTGAATATTTTATAATAAATGGAGAGTTCTCGGGTCCGTGCTGTTCTATTCAAGAATGAGCAGCATCCAACTGATGCGCATCAAATCCTAATTAGCCCTAACATAACTAAAGAAGAGCTTTTACATTTAGCTTCTGAACAGCTCGGAATTTCAGCGAAAAAAATCTTTTCTGAAACAGGGCTCCTTTTAAACTCGCTCAACTCTATATCAGATGGCACAACGTTTTACATCTCTCAAGGTGAAAATTTCCAAGTAAAATCATCCTCAAGCCCACAAAAAACTAGCAAAAAATATGTGATTTGTTTATTAGGTGCAGCGGCTGTAGGAAAATCAGCGATAACTTTGAGATATGTGTCTAATAAATTTGTAAGGGACTATGATCCAACAATTGAGGACTATTATACCAAAAATGTGGTAATTGATAATGAGCCAACAGTGATATCAATTTTAGATACTGCAGGCATGGAAGATTACTCACCTTTAGTTGATGACTGGATTGATAATAAAGACGGATTTATTTTGGTATACTCAGTAGAGCTGCCTGATTCACTAACAAGATTGAGATTTTTTAGAGATAAAATATTGCATAGATATCAGCGTCAAGGAAATAAAGGACCTGTCACAGTTATGGCAGCAAATAAAATAGATATTCCTAACACCCCTGTAAGAAATTAAATGTTGACGTTGACGGAAAAGGGACTCAGAGGCGAAATTTCCTGATGGATCAGTGGACCGGTGAAAGAGGTGGCAAAATATGCCTTTAGTGCTCAAGCAGACTGTCTCAATGGGAGCTTGCCAAAGCAGGGTGTTTTGCTTCTCCCTGAAGGTTTTTCCCTGTCCTTGCCAGATGGGCTAGACAGGTTTTGCCTACCACATGGTCTTTCCTCATCGGGGCCATCAGGGAGAGATGACCCCCTGTCAAGGTGGTTAAGGCCGAAAATCCAAAATGGTATCATGCCATCTTTGGAGCTGAGACGGGGAGTATGGTCAGCGCTTGCGGGAGCGCTTATGGTCGGACACTTATTAATCTTAATCTTAACACCTCTGTGAGAGGACAAAACCTTTGGAAAAATCCCTATTTTTTGGGCGAAAAAAAAATTATGATAAAAAGCTTGATATATAAGTGATAATCTTTTATAATGAAATCCCTTGACAATTCCGTTTAATTTTAAACAGCTTCATTTAAAACATAATTTTACAAATTAAATCTATATTTGTTTTGCAATTTTTGCGAATTGGGCTTTTTAAATTTTGGAAAAAAAATTATTATAAATTGATATTTAAATTAGCATACCTCGTGAGCGAAAAAAAAAATTTTTGTTTGCTCATGGATGGGTGAGAGTAATAGAAATGGAGAAATAAAATGGTAAATAGGACTCCTAGGCGACACCTCCTATAGAGTAATGAACCGGCAAGATGGGTTGTGAAAGTAAGCTCTTTATGAGCTAAGTAGACCATCTCAAAAGTAAGCCTGCCAAAACAGGGTGTTTTATTTCTACCTGAAGGTATAGAGATTTCCTCTATATAGCGCTGAAAGCGCAGACATTTCCCAGGAGCTTTCCAAGTTCGTCGGACCAAATCGCTTTTGGTCCGACCAAGGCATTTGATTTGGTGCAACCAACCGATAAATTCGATCAGAATTTATCGGCCTTACAGCGCCAAACATAGGAAACTTCTATATTCCTATCCCTTTCAGATCGGCTATACAGGTTTTTGCCTTTGCCCTAGGGAACTAATTCCTTTGAAAGGTATTTAAGGTCGGAAATCCAAAAGGATGATCTTTTGCAGCCAGATCGGCGAAGGCTAGTGAATTTCCCCGCTTATATCAGAATAACAATTTAATTTTTTAATTAATAATAGAAATGTATCAGCTGAAGAAGGAAGAAAGGTGGCTGAAGAACTTGATATGAAGCAGTTTGAAGTGTCCGCTGCTACTGGGCAAGGAATCGATGACGTATTTGCTGATATAATAAGAGTGCTTACTTCTCCCATTTAATTTGGGGCCAAAAATCCTAAAGGGGAAGTTATTTTTTTTCAAAATAATATTATATTAAATTTTTTCCAAAAAAAGACTTTTTGAGTTTTAATCTATTTTATGGATAATTAATGCAAAAAATTAATCGATAAAGTGTAAAAAATGTTTAAATAAATTCGCATTGCACTTTTCCATTAAATTTGGTTAAAAACATTTATAAAAATTAAGTGTTTTAACTTAAAATTTATTATTGTTCAATTTAATTGGCCCAAAAAATTGAAATTTTACCTATATTTTTTGTTTCAATTTAAAAAAGGGGGAGTTAGATCAAGAAGAGTTGTGCAAAAAAAAGAAAATAAAGAATCCTGGTTTAAAAAAGCATGCAGCCTTCTTTAGATATAAAAGTTAAAAAAATTACTCAAATTTAAATTATGGTGTATCGGAAAAAATTAATATTTTATTCTTGATTTACTTCATTTATTTTTAATATAGGAAAAGCTTAGTTCTAATAACAATTTTGATAATTATGCTTTTGGCTACTTTCAATAGTGATAAGAAAATTGACCTCAAAAAATTATATTTAAAAGAATAAATCGAGCAATGTCGCAATTTTTTTATTTGAAAGTATAAATAAATATCATTAATGGTATAAGCACACCAGCATTTTTAAATACTAAAATTTTTATAAGTAAACTTGTCTTTATTAAATTAAATTTTCAAATGTATAATAATATCTATTATATTAATTTCTTAATCTTTTTCTTAAAGGGATCTATCTTCATGCATTCTCTATAAATGGAACTAATTTTAAATAAAAAGGAAAAGTTCAATTTTAAATTTATATAGGATTGACTGGACATTTTTCATTTTTATAAGCCCAAATTTGTAATAATAAAATAGATTATGCAATTTCGATTAACATAAAAAACTGGGATTGGCTATTTTAGCGCTTCAAATTTAAATAACTTAAATTAAGTTATCATTAAAACTATCTGAATTTGACATTTTGATACTTACGAATAATTTGGTTGCAGGTTTTCATATGAGTACTCAGTGCGTATTTTATTTTAAATTTTTTTCCACAATAGTCACATGCGAAAGGCTTTTTCCCTAGGTCATGCATTTTCCCATTATGCTGCTTGAGACCTCTATAAGAAATAAAGCTTCTTTGGCATTCTTCACATGCGTATTTCATGCTTCCAGATGATTCTATTTCTGATTCATCAAGGCTTGAGTCCAGCTGGTTTTCGATTCCTTTCTCTTCTTTTTTTGTCATGTCTATAGACTTTTCATTAATGTGATACCCAAGCTCTCTATGCGACCCGAAGGATAAAATGCAATGGGGACATGGGTATAAAGAAGAAGCTTGCTTAAATGAAGCATTCAAAGTTAGCGGTTCTGGCAGTTCTGCTTGTCTATCGATGCCTATGGCGTTTGAGTCGTTTTCCATATTTATGGCCATTTACTTTATGTTTTTAGTTAATATTAGTTTTTCATAGCTGACCTGAAATGAGTTAATTTTTAAATAAAAAATCCATAAGAATCCCTAAAAATATTTAAAATTTTGTATTTACCAATAGAAAATAGTGGACTTATAAAGATGCTAGTTTACTGAAGAAAATCTATTTCTTTTTCATCATTTGCAAACTGCAAAAATTTTAAAATTGAAAAACAAAGCAATATTCTTATTTTGTAATACAAAAGAAGAATAAAACATTTCTAATAAATTTCCAGTTGAAATCTATGTTAATCAGACAATTTAGAGGCTTTGTTGCATCTATATTGATACTTGTTATATATATGATTTAATATTTATTTCAATTGCAATAGTTTATTAAAGGAAGTAAGAATTTGAATAATTTGATAGAGTAATAATTCACATTGTAAAATTCAAAGTAATTAAAAAGTGAAACGAGTCAATGTTGAATTTTATTTAATATGATAAATATCTTTTATTGGGACATATAAGCTAGTTAATTTATAAAGGTTAATTTTTACTTTAAAGTTAATCCAAATAATGAAAAAATATAAAAAAGACTCAATTAGCAAATTGATATAAACTGTAAAAAATGCTAATTTCTTTTATATAGAGAGAATCTAATGCTGCCTGGCCAAGAGGACTGGGTCTAACCGGCTCTACAGCTCTATCTGGCAGTTTGTAGTTCTGCTCTACCTAGCTTTACTGTCTCTACCTCAAGCGATATACGGGTTTTCATGTTTATTAAAAGCGTTTTGAAACGATAACTATCTAATATTAAATCAAAAATAAATATCTTGACTTAAAATCATTTAATTAATGGGCTTGATTATTTTTTAAAAATTACTCCTTGATTTTATAAGAAATAATCTTTATAAATTAAAGCGGAATATTAATTATAAATTTATGTCTGCTTTTTAAACTTAGAAACAAAATTTTGATGAACAATTAAACTGTGTACTAAAAAACAAAATAAATGCACAACAATATAAATCGAGAAATTATGAGAATTGTCTGATATATTTCTCAGTTATCTTTAATAAATAAATCCATTAAAATTTTTATTTAAGTGGCATTATAAGGTTTATCTTTTAAATGATTTTATAGCGTAATAAGCTGCAGGAGGTATAGTAACACCTCTCACATAATCTTTTAGGCTAATATTTTATTAAGAATATATTTTTTAGCGTTAATTTAGTAGGAACTTTAATATTTTTTGCAAATTATAAATAACTTTGATATTAAGATAAATTCAAATTCTCTTCTCTTATTGCCTATAAGTTCTAAATTTCTATCTTTAGCGATATTACTGATTTTGCAGTATTTAAATCCATATGCAGCCCAGGCATGAATAAAGCACGCTATTGTATAAAAATATTCTTAAAAAAATATATATCTCTCTGAAATATTAAAATGATAATATTTTAAAAAAGCAGCAGGATGTTTCTTTTAGAAAATAAGCGATGATTCAAAGACTTTTAATTAATAGAATCAAAGTTATTTAGAGAATTATAAATATTTATCTTGTTTAAAAGACTAATTCTATTTAAAATTTTAAAGAATTAATCAGATTTTCGTTCAGCATGCGAAATAAGCCTCCTTTATACGGCTTTAATTTTTTTCTAAGCCTTTATGTCTTTTTTTTTATAATTTAAGCAAGCATTTCAATATGAATTGACTATAAAATAACACTATTTATGATTGGTTGAAATTATATCTTTGTTTTTGCTATTTTATCGAATAATAGTAGTTTATAATGATTTCATTTACTATATGATTATCGTATAATTTATTTTCAGTATTAAACGCTTTTACAAAATTCATATCAACATTTTATTATTTATACATCACTGATTTACGTTATAGACTTTAAAAAAATTCTATATATTTACAATAATGCGATTTAGATTAAATTATTATCTTTTGGGCATGATGCTGTCACGGGCTATTACATTTTATTTAATATATCATATTACAATTCATTAAAATGCTCAAAAACTAAGTTATTTATTTTGGTGGATCCAGACTGCCAGGTAAAGCCAGTAGAGCCAGTAAAGCCAGGCAGAGCCATGTAGAGCTAGGAAGAGCCAGGCTGCCCAATAGAGAGTAAAATTAGATAAAGCCAGACTGCCAAGTAGAGCTAGTAGAGCTGGACTGCCAGAGTACCAAAATGCTAGGTAGAGCCGGACAGCCAGACTTCCAGGTTGTCAGACTGCCAAGTAGAGATAGACTGACAGTAGAGTTAGGTAGACCCAGCCAGGTTTGACCAGCTGTCAATACTTTGAAAAATATATTATTTGTGCTGCTTCAATATAGCACGATAGTTGAGAACTTATAATACCAAAATATTACTCTTTTACTATGAGATAATAAAGTTGTATTAAGGCTAACTTAATTATAATTTTAAAGCTATAATACTTTTACCAAATTTTAGGGAGAATTTTTTATGGCTTCAAAATTCGCTTTACTCCCCCTCGTGAGCGAACAAAATCATTAGAAAAATCCCTATTTTTTGCCCAAAACTACCCCGTGAGCGAACAAAAATTTTTTATGAAAAAAAAATTTTGATTATAAATGACAATTTTAATAATGAAATCTCTAGCTAATTCTGTTTAATTTTAGACAGCTTGCATTTTAAAGCTTTTTTACAATGGGATTTTTTTAAATTTTTAAAAAATAATTCTAAAAATTTCTATATAAAGTAAAAAAAAAATTAACCTCTTGTTTGCTCACGGATAGGGGAGTTAGATAATATGAAAAATATGCTTTTTAATTTTTATAATGTAAAAACAACTATCGTTACCCTCAAAGAATACTTGAAAAATTTTCATTAAAGTAATAGCTGCTTTCTTATAATTATATCAGCTTATGGCCATTATTATAACTATCCCTCCGTGATCGAGAACAATAATTGGAAAGCCTCTTTTTTGGGAAAACAAAATCCTCGGTTAGCGAGGAAAAATTTTATGATGTAATTTTGATGAATTTTAAATAGTTATATTTTAAAAAATAAAATTAAAATTTTTCTTTCAATTTTATATGGTTTAAGAAAAAAAATTATTAGAAATTTGTATATAAAAATCAAAATAAAATTAAACCTCTACTCGTGCGAGAAAAATTTTCTACTCAATACGGAGTAGGAAGGAGTAAAACTTTTATATTTTTAAAGATTTAAAATTTCATCAAGCACATAAAGTGTAATTTTTTTATTCCTATCCACAATTTCTTTATGAACATCAAACGTATATGGGCATTGCGGATTCTTCTGAAGAAGATTTTTTGCATACTCACTCACCACAATTTTTCCAGGAATCCCATTACTTTCACATTTATTTGCAATCAGCACATCTCGTCCATAAATATCATACCTCACAATTTTTGTCCCAGCTACCCCTCCTATAACATTCCCAGAATGTATCCCAATTCTCATACACAAATGTGTAAAATATTCACTATTAATATCTTCTATAACCCTCAGCATAGCTTCTGCAAATTTCATGATATTTAAGCACTCTACAGCTGGATTTCTATTGTTATCTTCAGTAAATCCAATGGCTACATAGCAATCTCCAATAGTGTGAACTTTATATACATGGTGCTCTACACAAATCCTGTCAAATCTTGTGAAAAACTCATGAAGCATCCCTACAATTTGCTCAGGACTTTTGGAAGCAGATCATAAAGTATAGCCGACAATATCAGCATATAAAATTGTGACGTCAGATAAAGAGTCAGTTATAGTGTTTTCTTCTTTTAAATTGAAATAGACGTGAGATGGCATCATTTCTGTAAGAAGGTTCTCAGTTTTTTTACTTTCTTTGTGGGCTGCCTTTCTAAGAGCATATGATACTCTAACTCCCCTATCATTGACAGGCTTATCACCATCGTTGATGAGGATGGGGTTAATAAAATTTTTGAAAATAAATCATATAAATTTTTTAATTAACCTTCAAATTTTATCCTGGATTTTTTTCCAATAAAATATTTTATAAGCTTGCCACTAGAGATAGAGTATACATACTATTAGCGAATTTGCTATAATTGCATTAGAATTGCATAAGAGATAAATATACAGCATAATCTTCAATATTAATTAATATCAAAGATAGGTAGCTAGATGGGCTATTGGCCTCATTTTTGATTATATGGTAATTGCTCAATAAAAGATGGAGATTAATTTTCCAGTTTTCTGGAATTTTCAATAATGTCGTTTAATCAAGAATCAGGAGTAAGTTTTTTTTCTCGATAATAAATAGAATATGTCATAATTACAAACAGAATTAAGGACAAAGAAGCGATTTCTGCAGTATTGAATTTCATAAAAATTAGTACAATAAGCATCCAGAGGATAGAGACAATAGAAATAGTTACGGTAATGTGTTTTAAAAATGATTCTGAGCAGTGTGTAAGATACAAAGCATGGAGAACCATTTTACCAAATTCTATATAATTATCATAGGTCCAGTCTTCAGTTCTGGTTAAAACCATAAGGATTCCCATTCCTACAGCAAAAATTCACTGCAAAATTCACCCAGTTATGATATTTTGTTTTTCTTTTTTAACCAATTTTATCATCAATAGAAACAGCAAAAATTCAATGAATAGACTGCCAAGTGAAACGCTTCGATAAGGCGTTGTTTTATCATCATTTATAAGAAACCTTGCAAGACTTAAAGCTGTAGCCACAGCAAAAAATATAGCTCCAATGATCAATCCATAAAAAACAATAGGAAAATTGCAGCTGATAAAATATTCTCTGAATTTCTGGTCTTTTAGCTTTTCTTTGCACCTAAAGGAAATAAATCTGACTTTTTCTATTTTTGGGGTATTTGATCTTTTGAAAACTTCATCTACATTTTCTAAGTCAAGAGTTTCCAAAAACAATGACTTTCGTCTTTCTCCCGAAATTATATGATGGCTTGTTTCAAAATAATAACTTGATTTCGACATTGAAATCGTCGAAAGTCTTCCTCCTTCCATACTCAATGTAGATTTCTTAATGGTCATTGTCTCTTTGTCACCCAGCACAGCTTCTTTAACTAGCTTTGTCTCCATCGTCCCTTTGCCCTTAACCTCAACTGTTTTGTTTTCAAAAGTCAATCCTTCTTTAGAATCTATCAGCTCAAAAGTTTCATTGGAAATTTGGATGCAGCTTGAGTCCTGCAAAGTTGAAGCCATTCGACTTGCAGTGTTTACAGTATCTCCTACAAGTGAAAACTGTGGCTTATGAAACCCTACAACTCCAGCTGTGACTGGACCACTGTTAATTCCAATTTTTAATTTTAGCTGAGTGTCGTCATTTATAAAAATTTCTTCTGCTGCTTTTAGCATCCCAAGTCCAAGCTCTATTGCTCTCCTTGCGTGAGAAACGCTTGCAAATACTGGATCTGACTCAGGCTCAGAATCTTTTAGACCTGCACAAGCCATATACGTTTTTCCAACGGTCTCTATTTTCGTGACTCCAAATTCATCACATAATTGATCAAATTTTCTGAAAATCCCATCCAAGAATTCTATAAGTTCTTGAGGAGTGAATCTTGAGATAATAGCTTCAAAATCACATATGTCACAAAATAGCACAGAAACAGTCCCTTGGTTTTCCGCAATATATCTGGCTCCATCTTTTACTCTTTTTCTCACAAAAGCTGGGAGCAAGAAATTTAGGACGCTCATTGATTTTTCTACTTCTTGTTTATCATGCTGAATTCTTGCAAATTCTTCTCGTCGTGATTTTTCTATGACGTAGCTTATAAGTGTTGTGACAGAGATTACTGATAAATATACAAAAATGTATTCGATTATATAGAGAACTTGATTATCATAGCTGATTTGGCTACTTTGGGTAATTTTTTCGATGATAATTGGAATTGTAATACTAAAATGAACGATTGTTAAAGCCACAAGATAAAACCACAATGTGCAGAAACCTAATAGAATAATAACAGGTAATGATAAAACTGAGCTTATGGTTAGCCAGTCAAAAGTATAATATTCTATTACAGTTGCTGCTATATTCACTATATATACAGAAAGTAGCAGTTTTTTTTGGTATTTTTTAAATAGTGATTTTCATGTCAAAATAAAAAGGCTGAGATGATATAAGCCAAAAATTGTATTAAAAATTAGAGCTCCTAGCTCATCATAGTAAATTAGTGAAAAGATGAACATGATAATATATCTTGATAGAAACAGCAAAATTAAGGCTCTATATTGGTTAATGTTTTCTCTGAGCTGCTCTCCCTGATATTCAAGTTCTCTTACAGGTGATATAAATAGCAATCTCCACTTATTTAAATCATACCTATCCAATCTTTTCTGCTCTTTTCATTTATCAGTTACTCTATACAGCTCGTGAATCTTATCTTTATATTTTTCCAGTCTTGAAATCACAGCAACTTGGTAAATTTTATTGGCTAGGGCTCTCATTAAATGAATGGTATTTGGGTCGAAATTTATATTGGCCACTCTTGCTGAGTAGCTCAATACAAAGCATATGCATGGTACCAGCAATATTTGAGCATAACTTCTTGGGCAGCTATTAATCATTTCCGCTCCCATAAAACTTGAGTTTTCATCGTTATCTGAAACTCCTTGAATATAGCCAAATGCTATTAAAATTGATATCGCAATAGAAGCCATTGTGTATTTATTGAAAGAGTTCACTTGCAGTATAATTGTTATCATAGAAACCATATACCATTCAATAAAAGCCAATATTCCTATATAAGTAAAATTCTCAGTATATCCTGAAGAATTGATAGTTGAGCTGACTCCGAAATATAGGAATATGAATAAAATAAAAGCATGCGATACCCCTTCAAAAGCAAAATAAGTTAACTTCTTAAAGGTAAAAATTTCTTTTTTAATTCCTACATCATAAGATTCTGGATGCATTGTGATTTCGGCCTTCGAAATATCCTCGTCGAAAACTCCTATTGCCATAATGGGGAGCAGTGTCAATAAAAAATCCAAAATAAGGATGTACTGACTATCAATTAGACTAATCCCTGAAAATCCTACGCTAGTATTGTAGAAAAACAGTAGGCAAACGAGAAGAATATCTCTATATATTATAAGAAACATAACTGACGCTATTCTCGTATAACAATAATGACCTTCAAATAGTAAAAGATGCTTCAATTGGGAAAAATCTCTTAGGCAAATACATCCAGATAAAGAAGCATCTGGACCTTCATTTCCTTCAATCCCAACTCCTATGTGTGACTCTTGAATCATTGCAGTATCGCTTGGCCCATCCCCAATTGCCATGATTGCTGGCTTAAACTGGAAATTCCCTTTAAGTAGCCTAACGAGCTTAATTTTTTGATCAGTCGTAATCGAACTAAAAATGACTGTTTTTGCAGCAAAAAGCAAAGCTACTAAATATCTTCTGCTTTCTTCTGTGTTAAAAGCAAATTGCAAGCCACTTCTATCGATTGATAATACATAAGACACGGTATCTGGATCAAATGAATATTTCAGTACATCCTCTAAAACTACATTTGGCACCAATTCAGACATTAGTGGGTGTATAGATCTTCTTTGAAATGGCATATTAAAGCTTTTTTTGACTGGAGAGTCACAATAAGGGGATAATCCATTCACTTCGTCACGAAACATCATTAGCTCGCTTCTATTAGAAACGTTGTTCATTTCATCAGAATATTTCCTTTTTGGTGACATTATTGATTTATTAGGATTATCTGGAGACTCTCCTGTGTGATATATGAGCTGCTTGATATGATTTCTCATGATTCTAGTGCATTCCATCTGCGAAGTGACGCCTCGGATTCTTGCCATTTGAGTATGCTCTTCTGCAAGTCCAGATGAAATTGCAGCACAAATGGTGCTTTCTTCTGAATCTCCACTGGCTAGCCATATTTTAATTCCAGCTCTACTTAGAAGTTTCATGGTTTCTTTTGTTTCGTCTGACACTAGATCTTCTATTCCAACAATTCCGAGATATTTCATGCCTTTTTCATAGCGCTCGAAAACACGGTTCATCCTTCCTTCACTATTAACTGGAGAAAGCTTGGCATTTCCATAAGCAAATTTGAACTCATTAAGCTCTTTTGCGGTCAATATTCTATAGCCGAATAAAATTTGTTTTTTTCCTGAAAGACATTTCATGTAAGTGATAGACTCAACATTGGAGTATTTATTTGAATCAACTGATAGCAGCCTGGCCATAGGATCTCTTGATCCGCGGATGTATAAAATAGCTTGGTCTGTGTCAGGGAATCTGATAAGGATTCTTATTCTTTTAGTTTCATGAGAAGGAGGTTGAAAAGCGACAACACTCAAATCAAGCTGCTTATCAAAATACAGCACTGATATTTTTCTATTTGATCTTCTTATAAGCTGCATACCTGCTTTTTCACTAGTTCTCGCTAGTAATCTATCTTCATCTGACAAGGAAAAATATTCTCCATTTGATTTTGTCATAGTTTGATTGCAAATGGTCATATTTAACATAAAATGAAAAATGGGAGAAAACATTTCCGTTGACCTTAAATCATGCCTCAAGTTCAAAAAATGATTGTAATCTGAAGAGTTTTTTTTCATGTAGCTGTTTTCGCATTCGAAGCCTCTTGGAGTGCCCCGAGGAGTCGTGGGATAAGGATAAGAGTCAATGGTTTCTTCACTTTCATTTATATACACATCATCTCCAACTACGCACACATTAGCTGTCAACAAATCTTTTGTTAAAGTTCCTGATTTATCAGCCAAAATGTATTCGACCTGTCCTAAATCTTCGTTAATGTTCCAAGTATGAAACCCAATATCTGTGTAATTGTGCTGGATTCTAAAAATTTGGAAAAATCTGATAATAATTAAACTCACAAAAAGCGAAATCGGTATGAGGTTGCTGAATAAAATTATTAAATTGCAAATGAGTTCTATTGCTGTGTCGTTATATTTTAAATCATAAAATAAAGTTCCCATCAGGGACGAAAATAATACAAGGAAAAATGCGAAAATTCAAAGGTAACGGATCCACTTCCCAAGCAATTTTTGACTAACCGAAAGTCGTCTGAATCTATTTCGCTTATGTGCCCAAGTTGTAGACTCAACACCTGTATAAATGATCATTCCTAAAATCCAATTGGTATTAACAATTCTGGTTCCGCTTTGCAGTAGGTTTTTAATTGTAACTGGCGATGCTTTAGGGTTTGTGGTGAGTTTTAGAGATCCTTCGAAATTTTGGTTTTTATTAGCAGGCGACACTTTTATTGTGCCATTAATTTTGGTCAGTAAGGATACTGCGAGATTAATGTCGAGTTTGTCAAGAACTTCTTGAGAATCTTTGATCGATCGTTTGATCCTCAAGCTTTTTTCGCCATTTATTTTTGAAATATCTGTATAACAGATATGCTTCTTTGATCCTATGCTTAAGATCAGCATATCTGCTGGAACAGTTTCATTTTCGACAATGCACAAAATGTCGCCAACGCAAATATCCTTGCTTTTCTTTTCTGTTATGATATCTCCATTCCAGACTTTATAAAATTTATTATTCACTTCTTCATCATTTTTATATTTCCAGTGATCGTTCAAAGCATCTTTTAAAAGGGTAAACAAAATTAATGTTAGAAATACACTGAAAATAAATCACTTATAAAGGAAATCAAAATTCAAAGGCATGAGTAGGATGACAAAAACCATCAGAAATCATAAATTGTAAGAAATTTTTTTTTAAGTTTAAGCTTAACGAATTGCACTAGCATTTTGAATGCCTATAAAGTCTCCTTTACTTGAGGTTCAGCTAAATTAACAGCTCTGAACAACGGTAGGTGAACGGCCTAACCGTCGAACCGTTAAAGTTAATAAGCCCGTTAAGACTTCTCTAGTCAGTGCCAGCCTCAGCACCAACCCTTCTCTTCAAGCCGAGACTCTCAAGAAGATTGACTTTTCTCACTAAGCTCGGTTGATAGGCCCATCCTGTTTGTGACAGGAGCTAGGACCTATCTTTTAATATTGTGATTGTAAGAATATTGCAATTGCTCAAATAAATTTTTGGGTATCAGATCTCACTTAGTGTACATAGAAGTCTTTATTAAGTTTGTGACATATAAATTGCTGGTTCGCGATAACCCTTCTATAAGTTGAATTGTTCGCCAAAGTTCTTTATCTTTTATTGAAGATCTACGCTTTGAGAAACTCGCCATAATGTATTTATAAACGAATAATTAAGTAATCTTGTCGTCACACTTTTTCAAATTAATGATTAATGAAATTTTTAGAGGCTGGGTAAGAGAAAATAGGAAGGATTTGTGTGAAAAAGGGGAAAAACTGGAGAAAAGGAAAGTTTTTGAAAGAGAGGCGAATAACTGGTCAATATGGATGTATAATTAGAGATTTGAAAAGAAGTGAAAAGATGAGATAATAAATAAGGAGAAGTAAAAATTTTGAAGCAAGAAATGATAAGGAGAGATAAAGAGAGATAAAGAGAGCGTCATTGATGGCTGATTGGAATGCAGATGAGAGTTCTTTGAGTAGATGTAGCAGTCAAACTGATAAAAATCAAACTATTGCTTTACGGTTTACTGCTTTGTTGAGTTTTTTAATTGCTATTAGCCTAGCAATACTGCCAGTTAAATATATATATGTCGATTTGAAATTATAGGTTCAATTATTTGCTATTCACAGCTATTCCCACTGCAACCTAATTCTCTTTTCAGAGTTAAAATCATTACTTTAATATATTAAATATTTTTCACTAGATTTACTCCTCTGTATACATGTCATCAACCCTATCCACAACAATTGAGCCTCTTCTAGGATCTTTAACTGCCACATCTCTCATAGTTGGCGCTCTTCTAAACTCATGCAAAACTTCCACACTCGGCACAACTTCGGGGATTTTCCCAGGATCTTTCCTAGTAACTTTTATATTTGACTGGTTAAGTTCTAAAATTAGGCAGGAAATATCATCAATCATCACATCTTCTTCCTCAATGATCGTTTGCCATCGAATTCTTGCTTCTTCACATAATAGCTGAGCTATGCATGTATTTTCCGGCTTAATAACTTCAAGCATTGGTCTTGAGTCAAGACCTCTTATGCATTTATTTCTGTAATATTCGATGAAATGGACTACATCTTCATTTTCAAGCACGTCCCAAACTCCATCAGATGCAGCGACTATAAAGTAGTCTTCATATCCTGAGAGCTTATAGTTAGTGCATACAGGATTTGCAATAACTCCTACACGTTTACCTCTGGTATCTCCTATGGATCTGCTCATTGCAAGCCCTGGGCCGTTGGAGTAGAGTTCCCAGACTCTATAAGGCCCAATTCTGTTGCCAAGCTCATCTGTGAGTTGTTGGACTCTGCCGCCGTTTTTTATGATTCTTGATAATTCTTCAGGATCTTCGGGCTTTTGATCTCTTGTTAGCTGCAGTGCATGAATTGCAGGGTTTGGAACACTGTTTCTGCGCTTTTTCACTTCATCAAGCATTTTTCGATCTTCGCCTATAATTGCAGGTGGGGCTGGGAGCACTTCTGGGACACATGAAGTGGCCAAAACAGCTCGAGAGTCACCTACACTTGCAGAGTATAAATAGTTACCATAATAATACACTAAAACCCCAGTACTGCATATACATTACCTTCCTGAGTTAGTAGCATTAATATTGTTTACTGGGTTTCTAACCTCATCATCACATTTTTTGATGATTGCATTGAGGAATTCTGTTGGATTTGCCTATTTAAAATATGCCCATGGGCATAATAATGCATTAATTCTATTATAAAATCTATTAATAAGTATTTAATAATAAAGGAAATATACGGCATATTCGTGTTTATGAGCTGTAAAAAACTCATCTACAGTCGTTGCACAAAGATCTACAACCTTTTCTCCTTCAGATCCATGCCCGTCGAACAATGCCATTAAAACGCTGTCTGCATCATTGCAAAATAAGCATAAATCTTGACACTTTTTTTCAATTTCTCCATGTGGATCAAGCCCTGGCAAAACACAAGAAGATGCCCAAAAGCTCCGATTTTCGAACTCAATTTTTCTTGATGAGCATAAAACGGGCTCGGTGTGGTTATAAGATAAAGTATTAGTTCCAGCGATTTTCCCTGTATTTGTCCTTTGCTTTACTTGCACTGTGGCCTTACGGAGATAGTTGCGAATGTCAGCAGATTCCAACTTTTTTAAACTGACATGTCTTTTGCCTTTGCTAGAGCTAATGATACATCCCATTTTGTTTATCAAGAAGTAATGCAACTTTGAGGGTTTTTTACTCAATATGGGGAAATTCTGAAATAAGCGGAATAGAAAGGAGAAGGATTTGATAAAGAAATACAGTTTTAATGTTTATTGTAGAGAACTGAATAACAGTTTTTTTTAATGAGAAGATTTAATTTAATTAAAGTTTGTAGACATCAAATCAGTAAATTTTATAGAGATCTGAGAATTTTATTGCAATAAAAAATATTTATTTATTAATATTTTCATTTTAGCAAATAGAGCATCATATAGCCAGATTTATAGTCCATGCTTTTTGTATTAGAAAACAACCTGGAGTTTTTTACTAAATAAGTAAATATGATTTTTTTCTAATAAGTAATTTTTAGATATCTGAGTAAAAATTATGAACGAATAAAATAGAAAAATTAATTTTAAAGACCCAATAACTTCACTCGATCAATATCTTATTTAGCTCAAAAAAATAACCAAACACATCGAAAATATTTTAGCATCTCTATTAACAATAAATATTTTTATTATTGCAAAGATAATAATAATAATAATAAATAATATGGAATCCAATCAAATTCCAAGTGAATTGAAAGCAGACAATCAAGATCATGCTGATTTCGATGCGCACCCAAAGTATTCTGCGCATGGAGAAAATAGTGAAGTTGAGATAAATCACTTAAAAGAGCTTATTTTGATATTTCGAAGGTCATCTGAATTTCTCTCCCTTGAAGATTCATTAACACTGTTGTGCCTGAATAAGTATAGTGAACTACACTGACTGGCACGGGGTGCTTTTGGCTCGAAACTGAGCCAAAAGCACCCCGTTCCAGTCAGTGTAGTTAACTATATATAAGACAGCATATTGCAAACTCAGAATGAGAAACGATGGTAAGTGCTAAAGCTTTCTCAAAGTTTCTCGAAGAAAATTACCAGGCAGATTTTATTAGTACACTTCAAGAATATGATATAAACTTCCACAATCTATACAACAACTTTGTAAAATCTGAAAATTTACTTACTCCCCCCCTCCGTGAGCGAGAAAAAACATTAGAAAAATCGCTATTTTTTTGCCCAAAAACCCATCCTCCGTGAGTGAACAAAAATTTTTTATGGAAAAAAATTTTTGATATATAAATGATAATTATTATAATGAAATCTAGAGCTAATTCTGTTTAATTTTAAACGAACTGCTTTTTAAAACATAAATTTTATAAATTAAATTAATATTTCTTTTCAAATTTTTGCGAATTAGGGTTTTTATAAATTTCCAAAAAAAAAAATTTTTTTATAAAATTTATATATCAATTTTTTTAAAAAAAAAATTAACCCCTCCGTGAGTGAACAAAATTTTTTTTTTTTTCACTTACGGAGGGGGGGAGTTAAAAATCCTTGCGGAGAGCTTGGATTTCAGTATTGGCATAAGGATGGAGACTGAAGATTTTCTAAAAAAGGCACCTGGAAAAATAAATCAAGATGCTTTTGCACATCAAATAGTTGGGCTAAACTTTCTCAAGAAATTCAGTTGGAAGACAAGCAATCTCGTAAAATTTTATTGGCAAAGAGTTATGTTGCAAGAAGAGTTGATTGCGATAGCACTGCACAATTTACAGTCGAAGGTTATGAGTATGAAAGCTGAAATACAATTTTTGATACAGGAAAATTCCTTCATCCTTATAATGAAGTTGTTAAAAGCCCTTCATGTGGATGAATGAAAGTAGATTTTATGAAAGTAATCAACCCAAATAAAATAAAGGTGACGATAGCAGGTGAGGACAATCAATGATGGAGTGGATATTATGGGCCAAGATTTGGGTATACTGATATTCGAATAATAAATATTTAAGGCCTTTATTATTAGAATTCTACTAAATAAGTGAATATGAATACTTAATATTTTTCTAATAAAGTAACTTTTAGATATCTGGGTAAAATTATGAACAAATTAAATAGAAAAATTAATTTTAGAAGGCCCAAAACTTAACTCAATCAATATCTTATTTAGCTCAAAAAAATAACAAAACAAATCGAAAATATTTTAGCATCTCTATTAACAATAAATATTTTTATTATTGCAAAGATAATTATAAATAATATGGGCTCCAATCAAACTTCAAGTGAATTGAAAAAAGGCAGTCAAGATCGTGCTGATTCCGATGTATCACACCTAAAGTATGCTGCGCATGGGGAAAATAGTGAAGTTGAGATAAATCACTTAAAAGAGCTTATTTTGATATTTCGAAGGTCATCTGAATTTCTCTCCCTTGAAGATTCATTAACACTGTTGTGCCTGAATAAGTATATAAGACAGCATATTGCAAACTCAGAATGAGAAATGATAGTAAGTGTTAAAGCTTGCTCAAAGTTTCTCAATGAAAATTACCAGACAGATTTTATTAGTACATTTCAAGACTATGATATAAACTTTCACAATTTATACAACAACTTTGTAAAATCTGAAAATTTACTTAAAAATCCTTGTGGAGAGCTAGCATTTCAGTATTGAAATAAAGATGGAGACTGAAGATTTTCTAAAAAAGGCACCTGGAAAAATAAATCAAGATGCTTTTGCACATCAAATAGTTGGGCTAAACTTTCACAAGAAATTCAATTGAAAGACGAGCGATCTCATAAGGTTTTATTAGCAAAGAGTTATGTTGCAAGAAGATTTGATTGCGATAGCACTGCAAAATTTACAGTCGAAGGCTATGAGAATAATAGCTGAAATACAATTTTTGATACAGGAGAATTCCTTCCTCCTTATAGTGAAGTTGTTAAAAGCCCTTCATGTGGATGAATGAAAGTAGATTTTATGAAAGTAATCAACCCTGGGCTAAATAAAATAAAGGTAACTATAGCAGGTAAGGACAATAAATTTTGGAGTGGATATTATGGGCCAAGATTTGGGTATACTGATATTCGAATAATAAATATTTAAGGTCTCTATATAAGAATTACGAAATTTGAGTTAAAAATTTCTTTACAATATCAAGAAAAATTAAATATATGAAATTAGATTATAATTTTAGTAGATCACTGTGAAAATTTTATTCATACGATAAATAATTTATTATTTAAATAATAAGTAAATAAAGAATATATAAAGCCATTTTTTAAATTATTTAATATACAATTAAAGAAAAAAAATTATTATCACTGATACTTTGTTTAAAAATAATTCAGCCTCCTTGTTTATCTTCAATTCAGGGATGCTATTTTTTATAAATACAACTTCAATTAAAATCGTGATAACAAAGTAAAAACCACAAAGAAAAACCATTTCTTTATAATTAAGCTAATGAACTTTATTACAATCTATTTGCTGCGCATTTGAATTGAATAAACTCTTAATTATAGCAAAGCATGTTGACCCATCAATAGCATGAAGTTAAAGAAGCTCCAATGCAAACTGTTCACTATTAATTACTAGTAAATTTCCTTAATTCAATTCTATGCTGTTGCAACTGCATTTATTATATTCTTGAGTAGATTATAAATCGCAGAGTTCAATAAAATATAATAATATCTGGCCATTGCTCTTCATGCTATTTAATTTACAGAAATTATTATTTTATAAAAATATAGAAAGCTGTAATAGCTTTAAAGAATTTATAATTATAAAATGGTGAGATACTTTTACGAAGAAGGAAGAGTCTGCGAACCTCAAACAGATATCAGAGAAATATTTTGGAATAAATTAAAATTAGATCAAGATATATCTCAAATGTCGTCTTGTATAGATCCAAAAATTCAAGAAGCTATTCTAAACCAAATCGCTTCACTTCAAAATTCTATACATTCAACCAAAGAAAAATACACGAAAAAGGCTCAAAATCTGATTACTCTTATAAATCAGAAACTAAATAAAGCAATAGCGAAGCTCGACATCCTTGAAAAAAATTCAAATAAACTGATCAGAAATATACTAATCTCGCAAGATAATTTAACAGAAAGCGAAAATTTACTTGACTTTTCCAAAGCTGAAATCGAGCATGGGCTTGTTCACTATGAGTCTCCAAGCATATCCAGCAATGGGATTTATATAGAAATTTCAAACCTATTTAATGAAGAAATTGGCACTACTCCTCTAGTTTTTAGCCTTAATAAGTTTAATGAGTCTTTTTCAATTAAACTAAAAGAGGCCTTAGACAAAAACGACATAAAGCGCTCTGAAAAATTGCTTAACGAATGATGAGAAGTTCTGAACAAGTGGGAGCCAGACAATTTAATCAGAAATATGAACATTCTTTATCAGAGCGTAAAACCATTCAATAATAAAAATTTATTAGAAAAAATCGAGCCATATATAAATATCAGCTTGACGTCATCTGCGAGGTACGATTTAGAAAGCCTCAGCGAGCTATCTGAAATTTATGCCGATTTAGGGCTTTATATCACAAGTCTCATTTTAGATCCTGAGGGCAATTGCTTTTATATAAAAAATTTAAATTTTAAATTAAGGAAAAATCTGAAAAGTCAATTTTCAAATTGACAAATAGGACATATATAATGACATTTTTAAATTGATATTTGACTTTTTGAAATTTCATTTTTTTTTTTGAAGGGCATTTTCCTTGAAAATCTATAGGGGAGCAGGCGCTATACTATAAATCCAAGATGAGTTTTACAAAAGCAATTGAGTATCTCGATAAGTTTCAAAAAACAATAGAAATCATCCCTGGAAAAATCAATAGAAGAGTATGGGCTTTATTTGAGCTCGGAACACTGAGCCTTTCTAAGAAAATCAAATTCTTTGATAAAGCTATCTCATATTTAAAAGCTTCAGAGGAATTAGGTGGGCTTAATGCTAATCCAGAAGGCTACAGGAATTTGGGCAAATTGTTTTCAAATAGAGAATTTTATGAATTTGCTTTAGGTTATTACAATAAATATTTAAGTTCGCAAGGAAGGAAAAAACAGAAATATTTAGCAAATACTTATAGATGTATAGGTAATTGCTATATGAAAATTGACTCGTCTGATTTAGACAAAGCCAAAGAAGCATATGATAAAGCTGAAAATTTACTAGAAAATGCTTTAAATTTAGAAGATGAAAAAGCTGAACTAAGTCTAGACTTATCCCACTATTATGAGGCGATTGAGAACTATAGCTTAGCTTTAAATTATATTTCTTATACACAAAAAGTTTATGAGGAAAAACGAAATAAAAATTTGATGAATCTTTATTATACCATTGGGAAGCTTTATCATTTAAGCAAAGAATGGGAAAACGCAAAAAAATATTATGATAAATGCTTGAAAAATAAAGAAAAACTGAATGAACAGATTCAGAAATGGCTAATTATACAAGCACATCAAGTTTATACGAGGCTGGGTTTGAAGTTTATATAATATAAATTAAATTATTATGGAATTAGCCATATAATCTTTAAAAGTAAGGCAATTATTTTTTGAATTAATGAAAGCGTATTAAATTTGTTGAAATAAAAATTTACAAAGGCGACTTTTCGATTCCATACAATATTTATTAAATATATCCATAAATTATCTTCATTTATTGATTTACAACTCTAACTCTTTGTCTTCTCTGATCATTATCTTCCCCCTTTACTTCTTCAATCTCCTGCGCTTTTTGGTCTTCCGGAGCTCTTCTACTCTATATAAGCTTTACATGATTCATAATAGTCCAATCATAAATAAAATCGTATTGATATCCTTCTCTGAAAAATAAATCTTTAAACATCCTTTTCAGATACGAATAGTCAGGCCTATCCTCAAACCTCAGCCCTCTACAATAATTCATATACAACGAAAACTCAGCGGGGTGTCCCCTGCACAATTGATCTACAGTAGTAGCCATCTTTCTTTCCATAATTCTCTCGTATTTTTCTTTTTTATCCGCTGCTCTTAATCCTTGCCATGGCAAACTTCCTCTTAAAAAATATAGCAAAACGTATCCTAACCCTTCTAAATCGTCTCTTCTTGATTGTTCTATACCCAAATGTGTGTTGATTGACGTATATCTTGCAGTCCCCGTCAAATTTTTCCCTTCTCTATATGGGATGTGCTGTTGTGTTTTTGGGTCTCGGTATTTTTTGGCCAATCCGAAATCAATAACATAGATTTGGTTAGCTTTTTTGCCAAGGCCGACCAGAAAGTTATCAGGCTTAATATCTCGATGCAAGAGGTTCTTTGCATGGATAAACTCCACCCTTGATATCATTTGGTCAGCTAATATCAGAACCGTTTTGAGCGAAAATTTTCGATTACAAAAGGTCAACAGATCTTCTAAGGATGGACCTAAAAGGTCGATGACCATGATGTTGTAGTCACCTTCTATACCGTATCAATGGATTACGGGAACCCCTACGCCACCTTGGAGGATTCTATAGATTTTAGACTCATATATAAGCTGTGGATGCCGGGTTTGGGTTCTTTCGAGTTTGATCGCGACTTCTTCGTTTGTTTGGATATTAGTACCAAGGTAAATTTCCCCAAATGAGCCACTACCGATTTTTCGGCCTAGTCTGTATTTACCACCGACTCGTATTTCTACTCCTGGAAGATTCATTTTTATAGCTGTGGATATATGAAAAGATAAAAGGCTGGGATTTGCATGTATATAATTTAAAAGAGAGTTTATTAATTTTGATGGCTTCTATGAATATATTAAATATTTAATAATAATTTCTGCATAAAAGACTGAAATTGAAAAGAATTCAAATAATTTAAACATTGCAGAGTCCTTTCATATTGAATGAATAAATCTTACAAAATAAATATAGCATAGAGAGATATTTTACTTACTTATTTAATTATTAATATACGCTTAACGTCCAATATCACATTGCCCGCACGGGCTTCCCTCCCGCTTCTGGGTTTCCCTGCTCCACCAAAATGTCGTGCTACCACCTGGCTTCAAGGCTGAATGGTCCCATCCTCTTTGGGCGTTCGAATTTCGCCGGTCGTCCTTCCGGCTCTCGGGCAAACAAACTTGGGTCCGTCAGACACCCTAAAGGTCTCAGTCTCCACCGCCTGGGGTTGGTGGCATCCTTCCAGAAAATTCCATTCCCTGAGGGACAGGAGCCCTGCGTCACGCACCGCAGGAACTTAAAGCCCTGTCATTGCCGGGGTTAAATCCCCGGGGAAGGCCAAACCTCATAATCAAAAATTGAGGAAGAGAATTTTCGATCGGAGACCAGAAAAATTCGAATGACGCCATTTCTTGATTATAAAGAGATATTTTACAAATTTATAAATAAATGGGATGCTCATTTGCTTTGTTGAGTAAAAAAGACCCCAAAGTATTTGCAAAATAGGTTGGCTACATTGCATTAGAAATAGAAAAAGGAACTCCTAAAGTCCTCGAAATGCTAAAAAGCTTAAAAGACTGACCAAATTACAAGATGAGACAAGTAACAACGACTTAGACTTCTTGATCCTTTCTACATTTAGCTTGCTGATATGGGCACGACTGGCTTGCTAACGAAATGATTAGCAACGGGGCTGACCCTCTGGCTCTAGATTGTGTAATATCTATAAAGAATAACGAAACTCCTTTACATCTTGCTGCCTATCGAGGCCACTTAAAAGTTATTAGCGTTTTGCTTAAAGCTGGAAGTGACCAAAATGCAGAAAATCTTGTAAAGCTCTAACATAGTATGGAAAAACTCCATATCAATTAGCAAAAGAAAATGGCTTTGACAAAGATTACGACTTATTGGAAAACCTTGATATAACCAGAGATGATGCTTGATGTGAAATAAGGAAAAGTAAAGAACTCTGTAATGTGGACACTATGCTATGAAAAAATAGTCAAATAAATAATTTAGTTAGCATTTAATGCGAAATTTGAAAAATTGCTAATAAATACAATAATTATGCTTAACTTCCCAATTAGTAAGTAATTTCTTGTTTATTGGCGGGGTTTAGCACACAAATTTTCAAAGCAAATTCATATGAATAGATTGAAAATTACTTATTATGGGGGGTAAATGCCCAAAATTTGCAATTTTTACATTTTATCTGAATATCTGCAATAATAAGCAAATTTCGATCTATTCATATAAAATATATTATTTTGAAAATCTTGTGCACAAACCCCCCACTGACAAGCAAGAACTTGATTATTACTGGTGGGAGTAAGAGCAAATCAAAAACCAAAAGAGTCCCAAAGCTTTTCCTCAATCAAATATTGACAATAGCTTCCCCATATGCTTCTTCATCTAAACCTACCACAAAGCGACATCAAGATACCGTTTTGATGACAAAACACCCTACACTTCATCGACGAATAGGCTCAGAGTGCATAATTCGTCCGGCCACCTCAAAACGAAAACTATCAATTCCTTACTCAGGGTCCCCTCAAATGCTCCCAAAACCCAAATCAGCTGCTCGAATTCATTCAAATAAGCCTATCAATGTTTTAGCTCCTTTAAATTTGCATGATAAAATCAAAGCATTTTGCGAGCCTGAAGTTAATTTTCCTATATCTCCAAGAAGTACAGCTATGAATGAATTAGCAGAATATTATGAAAAGAAAGCAAGTTTAAAAATTGGGAAAGCTGTAAGCCAATCGCCATTAAAGCGCAGGGAAATAAAGACTAACGACGATGCTTTGGATTCTTTAAATTTATCGCCAATTTCGATAAAAGATGATATAACGTCTTTTTTGCTGAAAAGTTCAGCAGGATCTCAGCCTATAGAAAAGTAATGGATATTTAGGTATGACAAAAGTTTTAGAAAGCTGATTAAGGTTTTGGGAAAAGCAAGTAAATCGTAGCGATTTATTAATGGAATTGTATGAAGATTTATATATTTAAGAAAAGTTTTTAATTACTCCAACCTCCGTTAGCGAGCAAAACCATTGGAAAAATCCCTATTTTGCCCCCACACTCCAGCGAACAAAGAATTTTTGATATATAAGTGATAATGATTATAATGTAAATCTCTAACTCTGTTTAATTTAAACAAATTGCATTTTAAAATATAAATTTTAGAAATTAAATTAACATTTGCTTTCAAATTTGCGAATTTGGATTTTTTTATATTTCTAAAAAAAAATTTTACTTTAAATATAAATTTTTTAAAAAAAACAATTAACTCCCCCATTGTGAGCGAAAAAAAATTTATTCGCTCACATAGGTGGGGGGATTTAGTCTTCCTTGACTTTGTCATAATAAATTTTGATAATTGGACCATGAATATCGTTTTGAGAAGAAATATATGTATCAGGTCCTGCAGTGGTTTCTTTAAATTCGAATTTTGTGCAATCAGATCCTACAGCAAACTCTGGCTTATCTAATGGATTTCCTCTATAAACAAAGTTTGCATTAATTTTCATCTGAATTGTCCAGAAAGTGTTCATAGGAATTTCAACTTTTTCAGTAAAAAATATATCTTGGACAAATTCTTTAAAAACAAAATGCTCACCCCTGACCATAATATTGTCAGGATTTCTCATAGAATTTTCACCTTCAAAGATTGCAATATGATCAATTACATAGTTTTCGTTGCAATCAAGGGGTATAGAAACTCCTAAGCCAGCAATTTTAATTCTGTGGTCAGCTTTAAAAGTGACAGCTTCAATTTGATGGTTTTCCGTATCAATGAACCATGGATTGTATGGGAAAGCACACTGGCCGTCCCATTTTTGAGGTGGCATAACAGTTAAAAATCTGCATAAAACTGCCCTTGAGTTCTCAAGTTTTTCATCTTGAAGGATTTCTCTGCCTTTAAGGTTTTCCGCAAATTGTTTCTCTTTTGCTGATCTTATATGCTTTATAATATCAACCTTTGCTTGATTTGAATACTTTCCATCTTCTAAATCTTGGGCGGAAACTGATATTTTTTCTAATACTCTTTCCTTTTCATCAATCTTTATTATAAAATCCTTCAATAGAACTGATATATTTTCTCCATTATCCCAAATTTTTTCTGAATCCTGGCAGTTTTTATTGCATTCTTCACAAGCAAATTTCATCAATTTTTTTTGGTAATAACTTGCATGAATTCCTCTATGCAAGTCGCATTTTACCTGAGTGAATAAGGCTAAATCGCAAAAAAATTTCGATATCGGATAGTAATTTTCGCCATGTAATTCTTGGCAGTAATCACAAGGGTGCTGGCTTTTATTATTTATACACATAACGCATACAACTTTTTTACAAGGAAGGACTCTTGGTGTATGAAATTCTAAATTAAAATATAACTTGCATGCCGGACATTTAGGAGCTTCAAAATTGGGAGCAAAAATTTTTATTGGCGAAAGTTCTAATAAAAGCTCTCCGTTTATAGGACATTGAGGATTATCTTCGTTTATATTTTCGCTAAAGCAGACATTGCAGATTATATGCCTCTCTCCACAAGGGATTTGAAGTGGGTATATTTCAGAAAAAATATAGCCTTTGCCACAAAGCTCACATGTGCTGCCATTAAATGGCAGAGCAACTTGAATTTCTTGCCCCTTTTTATTCACATCTATTAGCTCTTTAATATCTCCTATAAGCTGACTTAAAAGCATATGTTTGTGCTTTGCTAATTCTCTCTTCAATAAATTCGAGGACACATGAACAGGGAGCTCTTCTATTAACTCTTCTATTCGTTTTGCAAGGAGTTCTTTAAGTTCATGATTCCTTAAAATGGGCACAAAAGATTGGCTGTTCCTTGGCATTACACAGATATCACAAAATGTTCTTCCTTTTTCTGGGTTGACCAATGTGGCTTGCCTATCTGGATGTCTGTCGCAGTTCACAGTGTTAGCGATCTCCACCAATTTTTTGTATGCTTTATATTTATGGCTTGTTGAATCACTTCTCGCATTTCTTATGGATCGATGGTCTTCTGCACTCATTGCATTCTTGCATTCTTTATAGAGCTTTGCTATTCTATTCGAAAAATATTGATCTGCATTGTCTTCTAAGCTTTTTAAATATTTTTGATCTCTCGTTTGTGCGCACTCTAAACAAAGACATTGAATGCTATTTTTATCAAAGTACGAAGAAATTTTATCAGGATGATTATCACAGAAGATTTGGATATTCATTATGCTAGACAACAGTCCCCAATTCACTGGTAGATCATCGATAGAGTCCAGAATTAAAGCTCCCTTACATAAAGGACAAATGACTTCAGGATTCTTTTTTCATAAAGTCATTATACATTCAGTGCATAAAGAGTGACCACATTTCGGAAATATGCGAGGAGGCTTTGATACAGTGTCGAAATTGGATAAGCAAATTGGGCAAACAATAGAATCCATTTTAATTTCTATAAATAAAATAGTAGAATTATTATCTTTATCTGTTATAATAGATTTTTATAATAGGCCCATGCAAGTAATTTTGGTATGAAATGTTCATCGACTTGTGGCTAGCAAGAACTTTACTAGAGAATTCAAAGCTGGTGCCATCAGACCCTATATTAATAAGAGGCCCGTCAAGAGGACTCCCTCTAAACACCTCTTCAGCTTCTATTTTTACCTGAATTGTATATCAATCATCTTTATCAATCGGAAAATCTTCAAAATAAAAGTCTTCAACAATTTTTTCCCCAGTGAAATTTACGTTATTTATTAGATTATTGTATGGTATCATTTTTGCAACTTCTCCTTTTTCTATTGCAATATATCTAATGCAAGCATTTCGGGCATCTTTTAAAGGTGCTGAAATTCCAAACCCAGTAATAGCAACCCCAGGGGTAGAAGTCCTGAAAGTTAAAACTTCAACTTGGTCAAGAATCGCGTTAATTTTTCATGGAGAGTAAATAGAGTTCTCATCATGGCTTATAAGAGGGGGCATAAGACTATGGAATCTGGTTAGCACAGTATTCCCATTTTCAATGTTATCGTTATAACACACAGAAACTCCTCTAAGAATGGGCCTAAAGTTTATTATATTCCCATTCAGAAGCCAATATATTAAATCAATCATTTGCTGATTTGAATACCTTCAATGCTTCACATCATTAAAAACTGATCTATGATTGCTTTCTTTTCTTTCCAAAATAAAAATTCGAAGTATTTCTGCTATATTTTCATTAAAAAATACTGCACCTTCATTTTCTGGCTCCTTTTTACAGTCTATGCACATTGGCTTCATGGAGTCAGATTTAATTGTGATGTCAGTTATTTTTGGGTGTTTATAGCATCGAATTTGATGGAATAAAATAAAATCAGTTATTAGTCTGGATTGCTTAAAGTAAGATTCAGGATGTAATTGAGTGCAGAATCTGCAATTTGAGGTTGAAAAACCTGCATCGCTTACGCAGTTTAGGCATAAGGTATTTAAACAAGGAAGGATTTTGGGAGATTGAAGAGTTAAATTGAATTGAGTATTACATCCCAGACATTTACTCCCATCCATAAGCAAACAAAACCATTAGAAAAAATTTTTTTTTGTTGCCTAAATACCCACCCTCGTGAGCGAACAAAAACTTTTTAACTCCCCCCATCCTTGATCGAACGATTGACTGTAAAAATTCCTAAAAATTGGGGAAATTAACCCCCATCCTTGATCGAACGATTTTCATACCATGCAAATTTCTATATATAAAAATATATTAGTTATCAAAAGCTTGGGAAGATGTACATAATGAAGTTGTTTTCAGAGACTTTGAGACGACAGAAAGCTTTGGAATCAATCATTCGAAGTGACTTAATCATCAACCTAGGCTTAAAAACTCAATAATCTAATAAAATAGAGATTCTTTAAAATTTTTAAAAAAATAAATTTTAATTTAATAAGGAACAAATTAAATTTATACAGTTTAAAGGTGTGACTAATAAATCAAAATATTAAAAATTGGTATTTTTATGAAATTAATTCAATTTTTTGTGTGTAAAAATAATTAGTAAATACTCTTAACCCTCTTATTTAAAAGTAAAATATATATATATATTTTATTTATATATAAAACTTTTTTTCCAAAACATTTTTTTTTAACCTCCATCCTTGATCGAACGATGGCGAGTCGTTCGATCAAGGATTGGGGGGAGTAAGAAAAAATTTTTGATATATAAGTGATTATTAGTATAATGAAATCTCTAGCTAATTCTGTTTATTTTTAAACAGTTTGCATTTTAAAATAAATCAAATTAATTTTCCTTCTCAATTTTTACGAATTGGAAATTATTTTTTAATTTTGAAGATTTAATATGAAATTTATATATAAATTTTTTAAATTAAACCCCTCCATGAATGAACAAAATTTTTTTATTCGCGACGGGAGGGGGGAGAATTAGGAATTTTTTCTCAGAAATATCGTATAGAAGTGTCGGGAAAGGTATCGAAGTCTATAGGACAATAATATCTTGAGTTTATTTTTGAATTCTCCAACTCAACTCCTAATTAATTTAATCACTCCCCTCTGTGGGGTTAATTTTTTTTAAACAATTCATATATATGTATAGTATGATTTATTTTAATCCCAATTCGTAAATGAAAAGCAAATATCTATTTAGATTGTAAAATTTATATTTTAAAATGCAATTTGTTCAAAATTAAATAAATCAGCTCAATATTTTATTATACTAATTATCACTTATATATCAAAATATTTTTTTCATTAACGGAGTAAACACCTTTGACATATTAAATGCTTTTTTAAACAGGGTATTCTTATCCTCTCAGTTTCTGAGTCACATTTTTCGCATGTGTTTGGTGAAAATAGCCTCACTTGATTAGTTCTAATTGATCAAAGGTCTTTGAGATATTGCATGAGTTTTCTTACTCCCCCCCTCCGCGAGTGAACAAAAAAATTTTGTTCGCTCTCATGGGGTTAATTTTTTTTTTAAAAAATTTACATATAAAATTTTATAGAATTTTTTTTTTTCGAAATTTAAAAAAATCCTGATTCGCAAAAATTGGAAAGCAAATATTAATTTAATTTGTAAAATTTATTTTTTAAAAACGCAATTTGTTTAAAATTAAACAGAATTAGCTCGAGATTTCATTATAATAATTTTCACTTATATATCAAATTTTTTCTATTAAAAATTTGTGTTCGTTACGGAGGGTGGGTTTTTGGGCAAAAAAATAAGGATTTTTCTAATGATTTTGTTCACTCACGGAGGGAGGGAGTTAGGGATAAGTCATAAATAGAGTTTTTATCATTTCTGAGCCTCTTAACAAATAAATCATCATCCTTACTTTCCCTTATATATTCTTTTATTTTCAAAATTAGCTTGCGATTTAGGTCCATCCGATTATCTTTAACCGCTTCTAGTCCACCAATAGTGCGTTGGGGATCATCACTGTACCAAGCCCCTGTTTGGATGTCAATAAAAGTGACTGGCAGACCATCGCTGGTATTAGGAATTATTTTATCAAACTCTAGTAAATCAGTGAAAATTTCCGCTTGGGTTTGCTTTGACAGTCTTTTATATAAAATGCATTGCTCAAGCCTTTCAGGAGGTAATTGATTTTTATATTCATTATAAAACAATTCCACAAGTTGATACCTCAGATGCTTGAATTCTTTTGAATCTGCCCTAATTAAGTGGTCCTCTTTTGAAGAGTGATTTTTACAGGTATCGCAGATAAACTCTTTAGATGTTCTGCAATACGAAATTGCAAGCTCATTTTGATGATTCCTACAAAAACCAAAATTTTCAGAGTCCATATTTCTATTATTTTTATTAAATCGATTTTGAATATTCTGATGAGAATGATCCAATATTAAATGCAGTAAAACACCCTTTCTTGATAGCTTAATTTTTAACTCTAATAAAATTTATCTGAAATTCAAGAAAATATCCATTCGATACTAATTTTATCTTCTAATTTATTTCTATTTAATTTTCTATAAGCTTTTCCACGCTTTCCCTTTTAATTCATTCGAACGAATTTCCATTAAAATTCATATGATCGCCCCAAAGGTCTCTCGGACCAACTCCATTCAAGAAATAAAAGATCTAGAAGAGCCTTCAAATAATCTGGGAGATAACCAAACAACTTTTTATAATATCGATACAGATCGAGACAACAAGACCCCCAAGCCTGCACTCAACTTTCGCAGCAAAGTTGTCGAAATTCTTGATTCCTACTACATGATGTGCTTTATGGGCGTTTTATCAATTTGAACATTATTTGGTGATGATATTCGTACAGCCGCTTGCACAAAATCAGATGACGATACTTTCTACGCAGTTGCAACTGCTTGCTTTTCAGTTTTTGGATTCGAATTTCTTGTATGTTGTGCATGTAAGGACAAGTATATTTTCTCCTTCTATTTCTGGCTTGATTTGGTATCCACACTTTCATTAATTCCTGATATAGGATGGATGTGGGATCCAATTATAGGAGTTGACGAAAATGATGAAGGAGGCGAATCAGTCTATAAGCAAGCTAACCAGCAGTCAAGCTTCGCTACAAGTGCAGCCAAGGTGCTAAGAATTGTAAGGCTGATAAGGCTGATTCGTATTGTGAGGCTTTATAAAAGTGCATCCTCGGCTATTGAGAAGCATGAGTCAGATAGTGAAGATGAAGAAGAAGTCATAATTCCCAAGGAATCACAAGTAGGAAAAAGGCTCAGTGATTTGACTATAAAAAGAGTGATTATTATCATTCTATGTCTGTTATTTATACTCCCGTTTTTTGATACTGAAATGTATTTAACCAATTATACCAGCTGGGACTATGGGATTCAAGAAATTGAAGCTTTTAAAGGGAACACTGATGTAGCTACAGTTATAAATGAGTACATCTCGTACCACGAAGACGACAGAAGGCCAATTATATATTTCATTATCGTTGTACCAAAAATTCAGTTGTTTTACAGTTGGTCCAGCTCTACTCAAATATCGGACTTACGGTATAATGAGAAGCATTTTGCAACTGGAGACTTTTCAGTTGCGGTGTTTGACCTGAGAGAAGACACAAAATTTGCAGCACAATTAAATATATGCCAAACAATTTTCATTTGCATTGTACTGACCTTAGGGGCTATTTATTTCTCAAAAGATGCGGAAGATCTTGTTATTAAACCGATCGAAAAAATGGTCGAAAGGGTGCATTTCATAGCAAAAAACCCTATATCAGCAGCCCATAAGAGGCACGAGTCTGCATATGATGTAATTTTAAAGCAAAAAAAGAAGTTTTTATGCTTCAAATTAAAAGACAATGAAGATAAAGCTAAATTTGAAATCGCTCTATTAGAAGATACCATTATAAAAATCGGTGTTTTATTAGCGCTTGGCTTCGGTGAAGCTGGAGGTGCTATAATTGCATCAAATATGGAAAAAGGTGGAGATCTAGAACTTGTAAAGGGTAATAAAATTGTTGCAGTTTTTGGGTTTTGTGATATAAGAAACTTCACTGACTCTACAGAAGAGCTTCAAGAAGCTGTTATGGTTTTTGTCAACGAAATCGCGCGAATTGTCCATTCAATGGTTGATACTTATCACGGAGCTGCCAATAAAAATATTGGAGACGCATTTTTACTTGTATGGAAATTTTCAGAAAAAGATTTTGCAGCTACAAATGATGGAGGAATCCAAGCAAACCCAGACTCAATGAAAGCTAAATACATCCCCGATTTAGCCTTGTTTTCATTCTTGAAAATTTTAGCTAAAATTAATAAAGATCCGGTGATCCTCAAATATAGAGAGCATACCAAGCTGAATTTAAGAATGCCGAACTATGAAGTAAAAATGGGCTTTGGGCTGCATATAGGCTGGGCTATTGAAGGAGCTATTGGAAGCCAGTTCAAAATTGATGCAAGCTATTTATCACCACATGTAAACATGGCATCAAGATTTGAAGCTGCAACAAAACAATATGGAGTCCCTCTATTATTTAGCGGGTCTTTATATGACTATTTGAGTCCTAATGTTCAAGCTTACTGTAGACATATTGATACAGTAACTGTGAAGGGAAGTATTCTTCCTATCAGAATCTATACAAGTGATTCCGATTTTTCTGAATTTACACCATCGAAAGGAAGGGAGAGAACCAAGCAGCAGTCAAGGCACAAGAGAAGAATTCTTGAGAAAAAATTGGAAAGCGAAACGTTGAAGTCTTATGAACTTTATGAGCTTTCTAACTCCCCTTGGTTAGCAAGTAAAGAGATTAGAATAATACCTGTTTTTCGAAAATTATTGCTAGCAAGCAAAAAATTACATATAATAACTTGATTTATAATTAATTTATTTCAAATATTTAAAATATTCGATTTTTAATCAGGATAAAGTTCTTTGTATATAATTTCAACATAAACTTTAAAGAAGATCAGGCATTTGCTGGCAGAAAAATTTTCTCGCTAACCATAGAGGAAATAAGGAAATTCAATTGATGAAAAAGCCTTTTACAAGAGAATTTTACAGAGTTTTTGCTGATGGAATGAAAGGGTATATTGAAGGGAAATGGAATGATGCTAAAGAAAGATTTGAAGAATGCTTAAAATTGAGGCCAAGAGATGGGCCATCTCTAACTCTTTTAGGAGTTATGTCAGAGTGTGACTTTGAAGTCCCGAATGATTGGAAAGGCTATAGAGTTTTAACTGAAAAATAAGCTTTCATAAATAGAACAGTTTTTAAATATGATCATTTGCATAAAAATGTAATTTAAAAGCGAAGCTAATTCAATATTAAATTTATTTCATAAATCCTCAAACTTTTTTATACCATTTTATATTAAATAGAAACTTTGGAACTCGTTAGCTGTTTTCTTATCACTATATAAACCTCATCACAAATATTAGAGCCAGAAAAGGGCTATTAGTGAATACTTCTTATTTCTTAAAAAATTTTTAATGAGCCAAAGAGTCGGTATTGAAATTTAAAAAAGATAGCAAAGCTCAATGCTTTTATCTTATTTGGAATAATTCATGTGTATCTATTTGCTAAAAACCCTATCCAATCATTGTTAGGATAAGCATTCATGCAGCCAGTTTGCAATAAGGGTTTTCTTAGAATAAACCCATAAGGCTGCAATTTGACCATGCTTTTTTTTAGTCCGACCAAAATTGATCAATTTGGTTTGACCAAAATAAAACCCTCGTGCATAATCACTGCCTTATGTGGTTATTATAAGGAAAAGCCTATATGTTCATATGCAAGCCTTCATATATAATTAAAAAAAGGCCTTCCAGATTTAATGCCTCCTCACGCTTGCGACCACCAGACTCTTGCTTTTCAGGGGTAGCTCAGTTGCCTGAGTCCCATCAACAGTAGTCTTCTCCCAGGACTTAGGTCCTTCACTGCTTCCCTGAGTTTCGACGGTTTAGAAAGACCCCTCTGTGCTGTCGCCTTGCGGATACTATGGAGGCAAAGGTCTCATGTCGGCCCCTTAAAGAAGGGTGACACCAAGAAAAACGAACCACAGCCTTGGTTTAGATATAAAGCGATTTTTGGAGCCCAAAGTAGTGAGTCGTTGGTAAAGAATATTTTTTCCTATCACCATATTAATTATTCCTTCATATATAGGAATAATCTGTTTAATTTGTGTGTTTGCGAAGTCCCGATATTTGTTTTAAAAAAATTACCATAGAAAAATTAAAAACATAATTTGCTTGAGTACTGAATGCGACAGTTTATATTATTAACTTGATAATTAATTCGTAGAGGGCTGATATAAGTGATGACATTAAATGCACATAGCAGCAGTTTATCAAGATCACAGGCTCCAAATATACAAAAAATCCTTGACTTATCTTTATTTTGCAATTTCCATAATCATTTATAGATCCATCTCTGATTTCAACAGCTTAGATACAAAAAATCTGGTTAAAATTAAGATGGAAAATTCCACTTCTAATTCAGATCTTAACAGCTATTTTATAGAAGACTCAATCGAGACTCCTAAACAAAACAAACATTGGTGAACTCCAGAAGAAGATGAGATGCTCAAAGAGCTTGTTTCCCAATTCGGGGCAAAAAACTGGAAAGAAATTGCGCGTTTCTTTGAAAACAGAACAGATGTCCAATGCTTACACAGATGGCAAAAGGTGCTGAGCCCAGGGCTTGTAAAAGGCCAATGAACCAAAGAAGAAGACGAAATCGTCATCCGTTTAGTAAAAAAATACGGGCCACGGTATTGAAGTACAATAGCCAGTAATTTGCCAGGAAGAATCGGTAAGCAGTGCAGAGAAAGGTGGCACAACCATCTAAATCCAAATATCAAACGAGATAATTGGACCACAGAAGAAGACATTATCATAATTAACTCACATGCAGAGCTTGGCAACCGTTGAGCTGAGATTGCTAAACGGCTACCAGGCAGAACAGATAATGCAATTAAAAACCACTGAAACTCGACGTTAAAAAGAAAAATGAAATTGCTTAAAAAGGATTATTTAGGTGAAGCTGGAACTCCTTGCAAAAAACAAAAATTCGAAGATCCCACAATGGAGGTCTTGAAAAACAGTAAGCCTAGCTAAGATTATAAAAAGCTCCTTTTAGTCTTGTGGAGCACAACATATTCACCTTCATATTGCTCTACCCCTTGCTTGCCAGTCCAAGCACGGCATCTAACAGTATTGTTCGACGGGAACGAGAGCTTGAACTCACTACTCTCGCGAGTTAGAGGCTTTGGCCTACCATGCACTCACCCCTCACCGGTAGTGTTTGTCTTTCAGAAAAATTCAAAAAGCAAATTTCTAGTCACCTGTCGGCCAACATGGAGATTTGTAGTCTAAGACGTAATGCCTAGTATTGAGCTTGAAGCATTCCGATTGGCCAGAAGTAACCACATTGGTGCTGCTGGGAGATAATTTCAAACTCTGAGTCTCATCTTCCCCTGAGGTAAAGCCTTGATCTAGACGCGGCTAGCCTCATCCAGCATTCACTCCATCAAACCTATTAAAACCTGACCAATGCAAATTACCAAATGCCATCCTCTTACCACAAGATCCCTGAGTTACCCCAGCTACAGAGTGTTAAGAGGGTTGCTCGCTACACACCATTTTAAGGTCTTGAAAAGTCAAATGCTTAAAAATAATGAAAATTATAACGAATTGAGTGGAGAAGAGAGTATAAAAACTTTGGCGACCCCTGAAAAAAGAAAAGAACTAGAACAAGTACAGGAAAATTTCACACCTTTGAGACAGCAGCCAGCGCAGGTTCTATATTATGTGTCACCAGACTACGAAGAGTTAATCGTTGACAAAACAATTACGTCCCAGCAAATAATTCAAAGCATCGAGCAGCAGGCGAAACTCTTACTCCCCCCCCCCTCCGTGAGCGAACAAAAAAATTTTGTTCGCTCACGGAGGGGGGTTAATTTTTTTTTTAAAAAAAATTTATATATAAATTTTATAAAAAAATATTTTTTTCGAAATTTAAAAAAATCCTAATTTGCAAAAATTGGGAAGCAAATATTAATTTAATTTGCAAAATTTATGTTTTAAAACGCAATTTGTTTAAAATTAAACAGAATTAGCTCTAGATTTCATTATACTAATTATCACTTATATATCAAAAATTTTTTTCCATTAAAATTTTTTCTATTAAAAAAATTTTTGTTCACTCACGGAGGGGGTTTTTGGTCAAAAAATGGCGATTTTTCTAATGGTTTTGTTCGCTCACGGAGGGGGGGGGGGGGGAGTTATGAATTGAATCTAATTAAATCGATTTCCAAAATTATTTTACATTAATTATCCAAAAATTGTTCTAAAGCTGCAGCTTGGCATTGAACATAGTTTAGCCAATCCTTTGTAGCATTAATGTGTTCCTTCATTTCAACGAGTTCTAGTTTTTGCTCAAGCTGGTTTAAAATATCTGAATTATCTGTTTTTTCGTCAATGTCTGGCAAAATGTTATTAAAAATTGATTTGCTTCTGTCCACTGGAGATTCCAGTGCACTTAAAATTCGTGAGTTTGTAGCGTAGCTTATTGACGTGCAATAGGATCTTTCTACTGGCTGTTCTGCGCTTAATAATGCTTCATTTTCTTCAATTTCTAACTGGACAGATTCTATTCTATTATTTACAAATTCTTGCATGTTTTTTAAATTAAAACTTGCCTCTTCAATATTCCCACTCTCCAATAATTCAGAAACATATAAAATAAATTCATCAGATGATCTCAATTCTGATAACAGAGTGATATTTTTGTTGATGGTTTCTTTGTATTTTTCTATAGCTTCTTCGCGCTCATTTTCAAGGCTATGGAATTTTGCTATAAAAGCTTCTTGGAGTTTATTTCCAAAAGATTTACGACTGTTTCTTGATAAAATTAACGATGAAAGCTCATGTATGGTTTGACTATTTTGGTCTTCTTTTAAGAGCTCATAGTTTTCTAGCTTCTCTTGAAGCTTTCTAATTGTTTCATTTGCATTTCCTAGATCTTGAACTAATAAAAATCTGTTTTGTTCAGAAATCTCATATTTCATCGTTATATTTTCTAATTCGTTATTTTCAATTTGAGCAGTTTTTAGCTTGCTTTGAAGTAATTCAATGATTTTTTTCTGAGACTTTAATTGTTGTGTTTGATTATTCAAAATTTCCTCTTTAACTTGAAGTTCAAGCTCAACCGCCTTCAGTGTTAAATTTTTTTCTTTTAAAACTTTTTCAAGCTCTTCAATTCTGCTATTAAAATTTCAAGTCATTTGTTTATCAATTTCCAGATCTTTTCCTATTAATTTCGGTCGATTTGGGATGTGTAACTTATCTTCTCCTTTATGGATCCTTATTGATTCGCATGACCTTCCTCGCTTTACTACAGGACTTCGGATGCTTTGGGCTGTTCCTTCTTCGCCGACAGTCTCATTGACATCTAATTCATCAAGAATTTTTTGTTTTTTCTTTATTTTTCGTTTGGTTCTTTCATGATTCAGTTTAGACTTGTAGATTATATCAATATCTTGGGGCTTTGGGATCTCTTCGTCCTCAAGAGTGTCAAGAACTGAAATTTGTTGATACACTCTGCTGTCGTTTGAAGGGAGTTGAAAATCTCGTGATGTAAGGGCCGCTCGACTTTGAACTAGTCCTTCTAAAAAGCGGCTGCTTGAAATGATGCTCGCGGTTGATGGAGTGGAGGATGTTTTTTGGTGTCTTTTATTCATTATTATTTAAATTTCTTATGCCTCAAACAGGCTTTAAAGTGCTAGCCAAATTAATTAGGATTATAAATTGCGAAATATATATAGGATTCCTATAAGCAGAAAATTATCTTGATATAGTTGAATCGTTGTGAAGAACCTACTCCCCCCCCCCCCCTCTCGTGAGCGAACAAAACCATTAGAAAAATCGCCATTTTTTGACCAAAAACCCACCCTCCGTGAGTGAACAAAAATTTTTTTAATAGAAAAAATTTTAATGGAAAAAAATTTTGATATATAAGTGATAATTAGTATAATGAAATCTAGAGCTAATTCTGTTTAATTTTAAACAAATTGCGTTTTAAAACATAAATTTTGCAAATTAAATTAATATTTGCTTCCCAATTTTTGCAAATTAGGATTTTTTTTAAATTTCGAAAAAAATATTTTTTATATAAAATTTATATATAAAAATTTTTTTTTAAAAAAAAAAAAATTAACCCCCCTCCGTGAGCGAACAAAATTTTTTTGTTTCGCTCACGGAGGGGGGGGGGGGAGTTAAAGAAAATTAAAATGGAATTATTTTTATTTTAAATAATGAAATTATATTAGGCTAGAAGATTGTTATAGATAGAGATTGATCGCATAAATTGTTAATATTAAAGAAAATATAAAATTGCAAAAAGGAAATTATATAGCCATTATAAAAAACTAAAATCCAATATTTCCTTACTGTTAAATTTAATTAACAAAAATTAGTTATATTTGAAATAATTAAGTTAGCCCTTTAATATTTTAAGTTCTTCTTACTCAATGTATCTTTTGTGATTCACTCATTATAACTCTATTCATCAAAAAATACTAATTTTAATTCAGCCATAATAATTTTTATTTGAATAATTAAATTTGAAATAGCAATACTCGATAAAATGACTCCTAACCCAATCTCTCATGCTTAATTTCTATATCTAATAATTATGCTTTATTATTAACCTTCACCTTCCATTTACATAAAATATGCTTATCTACGTGAGGGACTTGGATAGCCTCCAAGCATATGAATTCTCCCCAGATACAAGAATTGAAGAAATCATCACATCTGCAGAATGCGACAGTCTTCAATGGGGTGGCCGTGCTTTACGCTCAGAGCTTACTCTTGCTGACTATGGCATAACTAATGAAAGCACTTTGGAAGCTTTATTAGCCCTAGAGGGAGGTAAAAGGAAAAAGAAAAAGAAAGTTTACACTACTCCTAAGAAAAAAGCTCATAAAAAAAAGAAAGTTAAACTCGCTGTTCTCAACATATATAAAGTTGATAAAAGTGAAAAAGTCACCAGAACTAAGCGTGCATGCGAAAAATGTGGAGCTGGAACTTTTATGGCAAAGCATTTTAACAGACACTACTGTGGAAAGTGCCATGCTACCCAACTTTTCTCACAAGCTTAAATAACATAAGCAAATAGTTATAATTAAGAGTTTATAAGTATGAATATAGTCAATCAATGCATGAGCTTACTGTGACATGCTTAATTAATTGAATCTAATTGCATGGAGTTAAAATCTCTTTAATTTAAATTGAAGTGCTGAGCTCAATTTAAACAGTAGCTTAGAGTAAAGAGGTACTAGAGATTCGATGATAATAGACTCTAAAGCTTCCTGTATGCGAACTATGTGTCAAGTATAAAAGACCTTTGATTTGAGCTATATGCTTTTTTGGGGATGATCGACCTAGTAATTCAAAAAAATGTATTGATGAAACATCTTTTTAATTTTAAATCACCCTACTAAAATCTGCTTCTGTGCATTTTTTATAATCTTAATTAGCATTAGCGCTAATTAAATATATAAAATTTAATTTAGCATGCAAAAAATCTTTAAAATGCTCTAAATTTTGAGAATTAAAAGTTTAATAATGATTTAAAAAAACTTAATAAATTATAAAGAATTCAGGTTTCTTCTATATTAATTATTTAAGCTGAAATCAAAAAATCTGGATATTTGCTTAATGGCGTATGAGATTTTCTGTAGCAGCTCCCTACAGAACTACTAAAATTTCAGTGATTAAGAGCTGATATATGTGCTGATTCAATTCTTGGTGTAGAACTTGGCGTTTTAATACTAGATAGAGTTTTGGCTTGAAGTCTAAATAACTGCAATAATATATAGGATGCTGTGCCATTAATCAATTAATGTGAAATACTATGAGATATTATAAGAACAATGATTAATTTCTTAATTTTAAACTTTAGAGATAGTTTAACTAGGAAACTTTTTTTTCCTATGTTCTTTGCAATGATCTTGCCTTGGCTTTTCTATTGCTTCTATTTTTCCGCAATCTATACATATCTGATGGCTATTTATGTACCCAAATTCAGTTGTACCAAGAGATAAGCTACAGTTTGGGCACACATCAGGTCCAGAATTTATAGCGCAAAAATCACAGATTTCTCTACAAATCCATATAGTGAAAAATCCATACCCACGAGTGGTTTCACATCTTACGCATCTATTGAATGGATTTGGGAATATTTCAATTTGATCGACATTAGCATGATTTCTTTTTATATAAAAATCCTCAAATCAGTCCATAACAGCCCCAATGCAACTTTTATCGAAATAGTAGTATAATTTTAAGTCCTTATTATAATGTAGTGCCAAAGAATTGAAAGTTCTGAAGTATAAACCAATTTGGTCAAGGATCTCACGTGATTCTCCAAACAAAAATAAAAACTTTGATTCAGTTCCGTTTATCACGGAATCAATAGCATAATCAAACTGAACTTCTTTGTTAGAATTTTCTGGTAGATGAATCTCTATATTTTGGCAGTTAATAGCCTTTCTGTTAGTCAAGTTTTGAGGTAATTTATAGCCTAGGCGTGATAAATGATTTTTATAATTCGCTATTTTATCAAAGCAGAAAGCTTGAGTTGCTTCAAATTTAAATGGAAAACCTGTAATCACAAATAACTCTGCCAATCCAAGTTTTATGTTATAACAGATATATCCGTCCTCCATGCTATATTTTTATTATAAACTATAATTCTATAATTATTCATAATAGGGAAGCAAATATAATTCGAGTATCCTTTATCTAGCATAATGCAACACCTAACAAATTAAAATACTAAAAGCCCTTATTGTTAAATTGCAGGCTAACTTGCTAACTCAACAGAGTAAATTTCACTTGATATTTCTATTTAATTTACTATGATAATCGAAAATTGGGATAATCTCCCAGCTAAAACTTTTATTAGAAGAGAGAGAGTTATTAATTAGACTACGGGCTTTATTTCAGGCCACTGCTCCAGATAAATTTTTTCACAAAATTTTCCTTACAAAAACTGTAAAAATTCAAAGTAAAAAATCTTTATAAAACTTCTAAAATTTTTTTGATTCTTTTTTGATGACGCCATCATCTGACGGGGAGACCCTTGCTTCCCTTGGATTCAGGCCTTATCGGTCACAGGTTCCACTTCAGGGGGGAAAATCAGCCTGAAGTTGATTGTCTGGTCCTCCTTCATGCCCCATACTCCGCTCAAAGCCTCCTAGCATCCTTTCTTCCATGAAGTCATCCCGAATTAGCGCTTTTCTTCTAAGAGTCGAGGAAAAAGCCCAATTACGATGGCAAAACGTACCCCGGACCTCCCGTGAGCTGCGGGCCCTCGGACCCTAGGCCCATGGCACTAGGTGAGGGTTGCCTATCTGGCCAGAAAATGGCCAGATAAAAAGTCTTTTATTAGAAGAAGATTTTTTGGATTATTATTTATTTCCTTTCTTAAATCACAAATCATTAATTATTTACTGGTATCCCATTCATGTCATAAATAACTTGCATAATACTGCTCTGCTCATAGTGGTCAATGATCAAAATGTTTCCCACCCGGTATCCCTGAGCCTTCATATTTAGCCAGAATTGTGGTAAATAAGGGTTTCCACTATCAGCTAGCTCAATTAACGTATGAGGCTTCCCTAGCTCTGCACCTTGGAAAACTGTATCTGCATCAGGGGTTAAAGTCCATGAAACTTTAAATAATTCATTAGCCCATGTTCCATTCATATACTGCGCAACAGTAGCTGTATTGAAATTAATCATCGTTTTAATAACAGGGCTATCTGCATATGTATTATAAATGCATTCTCCAGGCCAAATTCCATCAGCGGCTCCACTTTCCATTGTCACAATTGCTCTTTTGCCACTATTTACCCAATCATTTAAAGTAAAGTTAAAAGCTGTATTAATAGGGTAAATATAATTTCCTAGAATCTGCAAAGCCATGTTTTTAAGCTGTGCAATATTTGCTTGGGTTGGATATCCGTCAAAATGAGTCATTTCTACTATAACGACCTCTTTTGGATAATCTTGGAGATATTGAGAAATATTTCCTAAAAGCTCGCTTATAGGACGGCCTTCTACATAATGATGAACGACCCAAGTTTGGGTTTTATTGTCCCATCCTGAGCGGACATCAAAATATCGCATTCCCCCTTTCATTTGATTGTAAAAAATTTGGTCTTGAGAGTGGGACCAGCCTTTGATTATCCAAGAGGTCGGGACAAATAAAGCTTCGCCTACTACGGTTGCTGCTTCAATTCAAGGAGCTGAGTCGCCTGGCATAGGTGTTTCATCAAGCCAGTATGTTCCACTGTCGTGGGTTCCAGGAATTGTAAGCTGCTTTAAAGTTTTGGTCCCTATATATGGCAAGGAATCTCCGATTCAAGTCGCTGTATTCGGCCCGGTAGCTTGAGGGGACAAGGAAAAAATTAATGAATAACAGGAGAGGAAAAGAATGATTGTTTCAGTTTTCATCTTTATTTGGGAGACTTAATTAGGCATGGGCATAGATTTAGATTACGAATATAATTGAAAATAGCATTAAATCCTAAAGTATTAAAGGATGTTTATCAGATAAATCAACAAAAAGGAATTCAGAGTTAGACAATCAATTATCGAAAAGAAAAAATTACCAGTCTGGTATTTACGATATTTTATATTAAATCAATAAGTTTTACTCTTTCAATCTCAATACTTTTAGGTTTTTCCAATTTATGATTCCTGAGCTCAATATTGATTTTATTTTTAGCACTCACGACAGGCTCAAAATCACTTTTGACTCTTAAATTATAATAATCTTTCATCCTTGCTAGTTTTCAGTCATCTTTCTTTTTGATTCTAAATATGATTTACTTTGGAATTTCTACATCCCTAAACGAATGGAAAAATGGGTTCAATTTTTGTACGGCATTATCTTTAACCAAAGTGTCTCCAATAGAAAAATCATAAGAATTATTCGGTTTTTCCTCTACTCTGGATAAGCTTGCAGAACCTCTTATCTGGGATAAATCGCTCATCAAGCTTTCGTCATTTAATATTTTTTTTCTTTTATGCTTTGGCGAATGCCCAACAAAATGCACTAGCATTACACCACTTTTTGATTTTTTGTGCATCACAGGCAGACATAAGTTCGGGTTTCTAGCTGAAACTTCTGTTGAAATCGGCTGTGTTGGTTCTATTTGAGAATTTTCAATCTTTATTTCAGCTTGAACTTGCTTATTTGTCTTATTAATTACGGGCTTTTGTGTTTGGACATAAGCGTCATGAAATGACTTTGATTTTTTAATTTTGGTTTTCTTGATGATTTGTTTGATATAGCATTCTTCTACTTCTCGATATTTCATTAATGCTTCTTTAAGCTGCTGCTTTTCTTTTCATTCTAAATATTCCTTTTCTCTCCTTAAGCATTCTGTTTCGTGCCTGATATCTTTTGCTCTTTTATGTTTTTCTAACTTGTACTTTAAAACTACTCTTGGGTCAGGCCGCATCATTTTTAGGTATTATCATTATAACTGTAATTCACTTAAAGATTAGGGAAATTAGGAATAAAAGCTAGCAATTATCTTAAATCCACATAAAATTATAGAGATGATTGCTACTAGTAATTTTATGTTTTACCATTTCTTTTCTTTGTTCATTTAGTTTTGCAGATCTATTAGCATATTTAACTAAATAATGATTTAAAATTTCAAGTTTTCGAATAATCATAACTAGAAATTTGAATGTCATTTATAATTTCTAAAATTATAGAAATGGAATCAAAATAATATAATCAATAGCAATCATTAAAATCTAATTTGCATACTAAGAAAGCGCACCTTGGTTTGCTATTTCGAGAGTTGCTTCCTGCTAATTAAACTAGTAAAATATCATTTGCCATTAGCTCATGATTCAAGTATAAGCACTTTCTTCTAATATTACAATAAATTCTTTTACATCTATTAAGCTAATCTTCAATATTTTCACTTAAATTTGCATTGTTGCTCTTAACTCTTGATTGGCATATATAAAATATTACTTCGTCATTATATTATAAAATGAGGAATGAAAATCAAATGTAAACTATATGTAGCGACTACACAATGAAAATTTTGACAATTGGCGATTCATCTGTTGGTAAGACCTGCTTGATTTTGCGAAGCATTGTATCTTTTATATAGGAAAATTGCTTTACACATGAGTTGCGAAGTACAATAGGAGTGGAATGTAAAAGCAAAATAATCGAAAGAGGCACAAAACGAATAAGTGTACAGCTGTGAGACACAGCTGGCCAAGAACGATACAGGCGAATTACAGCTAATTACTATAGAGGTTCTCATGGAGTTGCGATCGTATATGATGTTACAAATAGAAAATCTTTCGAATTAGTCACTACTTGGATTGACGAGGGGTGAGGAGGGTTAGGCCGACTGTTGTAGCTATGTCTACGATGGAGTAGTGTTAGCTAGATCACCTCAAAATGGTGCGACATAGGTATTGGAAATTTTTTAAAAATTTCCAATTAAATCACAACCTCTTTATAGAGCCGGCCTATCCCGATAGGGGTGTATCGACTCACCAAAAAATTTTCGGGATAGGCCGGATGCAAAAATTTGGTATAGTGTTAGGCCGGGAATTTTTTTTTTTTTTTTTGGCAATAGATTTAGGCCGTATTTTTTAAAATTTTTTTTTTAGCAATAGACCTAGGCCGAAAAAAAATACAGTCGTGTTATGCCGATTATATATGTTATTTTTCAGATAAATTAATTTAATAAAAGATAGTAAGAATATTGTAAGAATATATTTGAAATAATCCTTAAGCCTTTAATATATATGATAAAAAATCGTTTAAATTTAATGTTGCTACGCTTAATAATAAAATTATTCCATTAGATGATCCAAGTCTTGATCTCCAAATGATGGAAGCACCCATCGTTTTGAGGTATTGTCCAGAATATAATTAAGTATATCTTTACTTATATATTAATGTGTTGATATTAAGGAAAGCTATGGAATTTGATTAGTATTATGTAAAAATTAGTGATTGTACAGAATAAACATTAAAATAATAATTTTCACTGCACAAAATTGCTATAACCTCATCTCATTAAACCTTAAGTATTCTGCAAAATCTTCATGAAATTTTTCCTAGTTTATTGGGTTTCAGCCTAAAACTACTAAAAAACAAATTTTTTTAAAAATCCGGCCTATCTCTATTTTTTTTCTGTGATCCGGCCTAAGCCGATACTACCCGATTCCTCCTTGTCGACATAGGCCGGCTCTGATAGAAATATAGGAAAATTTTAAGAATTTCCAATACCTATGTCGCTAAATTTTAAAACAAAAAAAGCTATCACTACAAAAAAAAAGACATAACTTTTTAAGTCGGCCTAACCCTAACATAAAGATCGAGATAGGCCGACCTACGAAATTATGCATATTTTTTTTGTAGTGATAGCTTCTTTTTATTAAAATTTAGCGACATAGGTATTGGAAATTCTTAAAATTTTCCTATATTTCTATCAGAGCCGGCCTATGTCGACATGGAAGAATCGGGTAGTATCGGCTTAGGCCGGATCACAGAAAAAAAATAGAGATAGGCCTGATGCAAAAATTTGGTATAGTGTTAGGCCGAAAAAATTTTTTTTTTTTTTTTGTTGCAATAGATTTAGGCCGAAAAAAAAAAAAATTTTTTTTGTTTTAGCGAGTTAGGCGAAAAATTAATAAGAAAAATATATATAAAATCGGTCTAACCCTATTAAATTTTTTTTTTTCTTCTTTTTTCGGCCTAAGCCTATTGCGAAAAAAAAAAAAAAATTCCCGGCCTAACACTATACCAAATTTTTGCATCCGGCCTATCTCTATATTTTTTGGGTGATCCGGCCTAAGCCGATACCCCCCTGCTCCTCCCTGTAGACATAGGCCGGCTCTGATAAAAATCTTGGAAATTTTTGAAAATTTCCAATACCTATGTCGCGCCATTTTGAGGTGATCTAGCTAGCACTACCCCATCGTAGACATAGCTACAACAGTCGGCCTAACCCTCCTCACCCATTGACGAGCTTAAAAAGCAGGCTTCACAAAATACAATAAATATTCTAGTTGCCAATAAAACCGATATGCTAAATTTAAGAGTTGTACAAGAAGATGAAGGTAGGGAGCTTGCAAAACAGTGAAACTTGGATTATTTCGAAACATCAGCCAAGACTGGGGCTGGAGTAAACGAAGCTTTTAACTACTTAATTGACAAAATCTATGCAAGTATGGAGGTAAGTCCTCAATTTTTGAAAAAAACTAAAGAGAGCTTCTTATTGGCTAGTCAGAAAGGAAGCTTTGAATCCAAAAAAAGGTAAGATCTATAAAGATGTTGCTAATAAAAATAAATCAAGTTCATTTATAAAAATTTGAGCCATTTTCGAAATAATTTTAAATAAAACAGTTAATTTAACTAAAACTAAAGCTTTATATAAAAGATTAGTCTAATGTTGATCGAATCGTAGAAAAGTATGCTTTAAGCTAGAGATTGCACACTATTATAAGGAGTTTAATGGTAATAATTAACTGTTTTCTCTATTAAATGCCATTCTCGAAGACTTATTTTTGATTTTTACTTTTATTTTCTCAATTTTTTTGCTTTTTGCAGTTTTTTCAAGAGTCTCTTTTAATATAATATCAACTGGCTCACTCTGTGTTCTGCAATGATTGGCAGCTTTAGCTTGATCAAATAGTCAGTGCAAATTCGATTCTCCTTTACTACAGACCGTAATTAATGGGAAATTTGCAGCTGAGCCTGGCCGAGACTCATCTAAATGATTTCAGTTTTCATGAGCTACCGAATTTACATTAGAATTATTTGAAGCCATTCTTCTATTTGTGCCAATTTTACTAGTAGATAAATTTTCTTTTTTGATTTTTTCTGACTTGAAACCTCTCACATTCATTGAAGAGTCATTTTCATTTCTCAACGGAGAAGTTCTGGAATCAGGCCTATGATAAAACCTTCCAGGAGATATAGGGCTTTCCCTTGAATAGCCCGATAACGGGCTGGCTTCATCCCGTTATCGGGCTATTCAAGGGAAAGCCCTATAGCTGCTTTCTTGGCTTTATTTTTGTGCTTGCCAATAATATTGACTTTGAAAGTTTATCTTTTGCAATGTCTTTATAAATAAAATTGATATCAACTGACTGCATTACTTCTAAGAGCTTATGTCTTGTATCTTTTAGTTTTGAAGGCTGTAGCCTGTATTGTTTAACTGGAAAATTATCAGTCCGGACAATTAAGTCATTGTGGTGATTAGACTGACCAATTCCAGATTGCTTGTTATTTTCGATCTTGAAATTTTTAAACATTTAATTTCCTTATATCTAATAGGAATGGCATTTTTTTACCTCCATCTCTGTCCAAAAAAAAACTTTTGTTAGCTCTGGGAGGAGTTTTATTTTTTTTTGGAAAAAATTATATATAAATTAATAAAAACATTAATTTAATTTGTAAAAATTAGCTTTTAAAATGTAAGCTGTTTAAAATTAAACAGAATTAAAGTGAGATTTCATTATAATAATTATTAATTTTGTATCAAAGTAATTTTTCTTAAAAAAATTATAATAAAAATATATAGCGCTTTCCCGAGGATGGCGCGGAATGGCGCCATCCTCGGGAAAGTCAACTAAGCATCCACACGGGAACTGGGGAGTTCCACGTGTGGATGCCATTTTTGACATGTGGGATCCAAACTTTCACATGTCAAAATGGCATCCACACGTGGAACTCCCAGTTCCCGTGTGGATGCCTTCCTGGCTTTCCTGAGGATGGCGCGATTCCGCGCTATCCTCGGGAAAGCGCTATAGACATATCCCTAGCCCATATTGGGCTATTCACGGGATATGCCTATATCTTTGTTCGCAGGCTTTTTATGAAAAATAGAAAATTTTTCCAATGGTTTTGTTCGATTACGCAGGGAAAGTAAGTATTGCAAATTTTAATTATTTAATCAGTATTTTTAATCATGGTAACAATTTACTATAGAAGTTCGTGGAACCCTTGCTATATTCATGCCCCAGTTGGCGGACACTGGAGTTCTCATCCAATGTCTGCGCATCCCGAACGTAGAAAATGGCTCACAATTACCATTGAAGATATTAAATAAACAAAGTTAACGCCTGTGGATGGTCCCGACAAGGGAAGACCATATGGTAGACAACCTTATCTGCCCATCTGGTAGGGACAAACCTTCGGGGGAGAAACAAAACTTTTCTCTTTACTAATGCATCCCCAACCCTAAAGCCTACTTCGAAAGGGACAGAGACCCTGTTTCAGCTACATTAAGATGGATCATACCTGGTCATAGGGAGTGCCCTTCGGAGTCCAATTTCCACAACCTCACAATATTATTTCTGTGAAGATGTTAAAGAATTCGTATTTACAAATGGAAATGAGAAATGAGATAACCCATCACCAGGCCAAAACTACAAAATTACTGGCCCTGGAGCTTATGCTGTTTTTCATGGAAAAATAATCGAAATCAAGCCAGCTAAGAGGCCAGTGCTTTTAATATCAGATTTAGATAATACATTGATAGGGAATTATCAACCTACAATAGAGGCTTTAGCAAGATTTAACGATTATTGGATCCAAAGCCACTATTTTACAGGCTCAAAACTTGTTTACAACACTGGCAGAAGCCTTGAAGAATTTTTAGCTCTATATGAGGAAGGATACCAAATTTTAGATCCAGATTTATTAGTTACAGCTGTAGGAAGTACTGTTTACACACTAAACTTTGATACAGGAGCTTACGAACTTAGAACGGATTATTATGATCTGTTCAATCAAGATCATTGGGATTCCCATATCGTTGACAGAATGGTACAGCAAGAATTTCCATGACTGATTTTTCATAGTCAATCTTTTAGTTGTGATTTTTTTATGGAAGTCATTTTCTCGGCCTATTTAGTCGAAACTTTTTTCTCATAGACATTTGCTTGTTTATTTTCTAACAAAACATCTGAAAAAAATATTTTGATCTAATAGCGCTGAGAAAATGCCTGAAAGAAAAAATATTCCCAAGGAAAAGACATGCAGCTTGATTTTACCTGATAATTGTCACATTTATCCTTTTAAGATATGATTTACTGCAAAAACTAAAGATGTGAATAAATATTTAAAAGACTTGAAAGTGTTTTTAAGGAATCCAGAAAATATTGTGACTAATGGGAAAATAATAAAAGCAAAAACCATTGTATCTGGAAGATATGATATGAGATATATTGATATAACTCCTTTGGAAGGAGGAAAAGGATTAGGGGTAACATATGCAAAAAGGCTATTCGGGTTTGATGATAAAGACACAATAGCAGTAGGAGATTCAGGAAATGATATAGGAATGATGAAGGGAGATCATTGGAGCATTATCGTGGCGAATTATGAAGATGATTTAATTGAGTGGCTAGCTACTTCATTGAATAGCGAATATATCCTATATTTATTTTTAATTACAATTAATTTTAATGCAAATAAAATATCCTCTCTAATTTAAATAATTCATTTTATAATTATTCTCAAAAAAAAAATCATAATAAAGAGTAAGGAAAAAAGAAAGAAAAAATATTTTAATTGCAGAGCACATGTTTGGAGATGCCGTGCAGGAATGCATAGAAAAAATTCATAACACTTATTAGATTCATTTCTTTATGTAGGATTTTAATTTATTTGAATGCAGCTAGAAATAAAACTTTTAAAACTTCAACTTTCAATTAAAATAGCCAGCTTCTATAATGGTTTATTGAAAAATTTCGATTTCATCATTTATTTAAATTAATATACCAACCTAAAACTATATTTTTTTGTCCAGCAGCATTTATCTTCTTTGCAATTTTATAAACAGAAATCCAAATAAGACTGAATATTTTATCATAAAATTTACCATTATAATCCTTAAATCCAGGAATATGTTCAGACGATTTTTCAGGCCAATCGCTTTAATCGGGTCTCTAGGCTACTTGAGCTCTCATCCAATTTTTTCACAAAGCGATGAAGAAAATGCAGTTAATTTGATGAAAAGAGTTATGTACATGCCTTCATTTAGAGAAACACAAACAATTAACATTCCCAAGCCAACACTTGTTTACATTTACGATTCTAAATACCTGGAAAAGTCACAATTGGCCACAAAAATTGAAAAGAATTTGAAAAGAGCAGACGAGTATGGCTACTCTTTAGCTAAAAGATTCATCAGCAATGAAGAAGATCGAAAAGAATTTTGCAAAGAATCTGGAATCAGTGAAGAAGAGTACACAGTAAGAATGGAGCATGAAGGAAACCTTTTCTTCATTAACAACGGCAGGAACTACAAGATTCCAATCGGTACAAAGCGCCAAGAAATTGATTCTTGGGTCGCAAAATGCCAAGAACCGATAATTAAGGTCAAGTCTATCTCAGAGTTTTACAAGCATGCAAGAAGCGTGATTTTTGATGAAAACAGTCATATAATTGTAGGATACAAATTGACTGATGAAGAAAGAAAAGTCCTTGAAAAAATGTCACAATATAAAATAAAAATTTCCTTTGTGGAAGCTTCTGATGACTTGGCAGAAAAATATGGACTTGAGCCTGGAATTTCGCTTTGCAGACCACACAGTAGGTTTGATGGAGAATTTGATACAGAAACGCATAGAGCTTTGAAGTTTATTCCTATGAACAAGAAAGATCCATCCTTTGACGATCTTGATTTGTGGATCCAAAATAATAATACTACTAAAGTTTACTATTGTGATCAGTTTGAAAAAATATTTCCATTATTCCAAAAGACATATAGAGGGCCTTTAAAATGCATGTATGTACTGACATCTGGATTAAACCCTGATTCGAAAAAGTATATACAATTAGTAAAAGATCTTGCTGAGCTTGCTGACCAATATAAGGATTTATTTATTATAGCTATTATCCCTAAAGATGAACTTGCTAAAAAATTAGGCTGTCTTAGGAATGGAAGACTAAGAAGAATGAAAGAGCCAGAAATAAGATTCACTGACTTCAAAAAAATGATTTCGACCAAAGAAAATCCTGAAGGTGGTTTCCAAGTTGTAGACTGCACCAATCCTGACGCTAAATGTGCCGATCTCACAGATACACATTATACAGGGAAATATAATTTTCAAGGGCATGACTTTAGTAAAGAAAAACTAAAAGAATTTATTGAAAACAGCTTACAAGGGAAAAATGAACAGTATTATGAAGAAGAAAGTGTACCTTTAGCTGCAGTTAGAAAACTATCCGCAGTTAATTTTAACAAAGAGGTAATTGACTCTGATAAAGATGTTATAATTGAGCTGTATGGAAAATATTGTCCGAGCTGCATTGCGTTTAAAGAAGAATTCAATCAATTAGCTAAAGAACTAAAACCACATAGTGATAAACTTTTAGTCGCAAAAGTCTGCATTGATCATAATTTTATACCTGAAATTTCTGATAACTTCTACCCTAGATCGAACAACCGCAAGAGCTAATTAGGATTGGGCTAAAATTATTTTTGAAAACATTATATAAAGCATGAATACTTCTTTTATTAATTTATTATAAGAATTTGCAAGCAGATATAAATTGAATTTTAGTTTATTTTATGAAGAATTAATTCAAAAAATGAATCGATTCAGTGTTAAAGCTATTTAAATAATTTTCACTTTTAGGGTTTAGCTAGGTCAAAAATTAATTTTATAAAAATTATGATCAAGGACTAGATGCAGTAAGAAAAAATATACGCCTATTTTTTGGTACTACAAAAAAGGAGATAAAGCAAACCCAATACAGCATAAAGGAAAAAGGGATGTGAAAGAAATTAAAGAATTTATCAAACAAAACGCTAGCTTTAATTTAGAGGAATAATTATTCATCAATTAAAAACTGTTTATTAATATTTATAATAAAATAGGTTGTTGTACACGATTGATATCTTTCTGCACAATTGAGCATTCAATTAAAAGCTCTCTAAAGCCGTTAGAAGAGCACAATTTTTTTATTGTTTTGTCTCGAAATGCACAAATAAATTGTTTTTTGGTGAATTTTTCATCCTCTTCGTTTTGGCATATTAAAAGGACTAAATATTGTCTCAATAAATCTTTTCCACTTATAATCTGTTTCAGATAGTTATCCAATTGTTGATTGCTATCAGGATATAGAAATTGTGCAAATTTTATTATAGCTTCTGTAACTTCTATCATTTCATCAATCATATTTTCTTGATCCAATGGATCAAATGATGAATTGCATCCTCTATTGAAATTTTCATATAAGATCTCTGCTTTTTTCTTTGTATTAATATTGGAGAGCCATGTTCCTAATTTCCAGAATAGCGCAAATCACCATAATAGATCGCTCTAGACAAGCAGCATGTCGACCAGAAAAATATTCACTTTCCTCATACAGTCGAAGTTTGATTAGGCATATTAAATCCCAAACGGAGATTTGCCATTTTCGTATATTGCAAAAAAATTGGCAAGACAAGCTTATTTTAAAAATTAAAACTGATGACCAATAATGATCTATTTAAAAACCCGCTGCTAATAAGCAAAATTCTTTAAATTTTAAAGGGTGAAGTAAGCACACCAACGAAATAGCCTTGTATCCTACTACTCCAACTTTCAAAGATTTATAAAATTTATACAGCAGAGATTTCTTGTCTTTTAAAAAGCTATAATTAATTCCGAGGGATTTATAAGCATGCTTCAACTGCAAGTCGCTTAAGTAATTATCAAGAGCTTGACTATTAATTTCTTTATCATATGTGCTAGGATCTATATCTTGCAGCTCTAAAAATCGTTCAGCAGCACTCACAAGTTTTTCTTCTTCACTTATTCTTCCTATATTTACTCCATAAGAACAGCCCATATTAAAACTATTTTATCAATGGAAACTGACTAAGGATTAAACTACTAGGCAGAAACTGCAAAATTAAAGGATAAATGCATCTTTAATTTTTCTTGATGTGCTAAATATATATTTAAAATAATATCATCCTTTCATGAATTCATGAAGGCACTTCACGTGATAGTCATTTTAGCACTTAAAGATCTGAAATTATCGGAAGTTCATGCGCCAAAATTGAGTTTGCATGTGTAGTGCCTGCATGAAATCCATTCAAGACATGATAGCTCTTAAGCTTACCCATCCTTATATGCTAGTGTAGATGAATAGCCGGAGCATATTTTTGTAAGCCAAGCTTCAGCTAGTTTTTTAATTAGCTAATTTTAATTTGCTAATAAAAAATTGATCCTTTAATGTAGGCTTTCACATAAAAATGAATGTTTATTAAATTAAATATTGATAATCAGATAAATGGAAATAGAGAATACTTCATTTTTCCAAGGTCTTGACGATGACTTGCCTAAAAAGTCTTGGAATTTTAAAAACGAAAATGTCGATGGGAATTTTACATTCAAGCCCACAAAGCGTCCACACAAAGAGGTTTTGCTTAAAGAAACCAATATTTCTTTCAGTGACTTAAACCTTTCAAAGCCTCTGGTTAAAGCTTGCGAAGAAATCGGATTTAATTACCCCACAAAGATCCAAGAAGAAACAATTCCTATTGTTTTGAAAGGTAATGACGTTATGATCTGTGCTAAAACAGGCTCAGGCAAGACAGGCGCATTCTCTTTGCCAATAATTCATCGCATTTTATTCAGGAAAAAGCGAATCCAAGCCACACGATGCTTAATTTTGACTCCAACTCGTGAGCTGTCACAGCAGACCTATTCAATGGTCCAATCATATATAAAATACACAAGCTTGACCTGTAGCGTCTCTATGGGTGGCGCAAACTCAGCCAAAGAAGTAAGGCAAATCCAAAATGCCCCTGATATTCTAATAGGAACTCCTGGAAGAATTCTTGACCATATAAAAAACTCAAAAGATGTATCGTTTGACTATGTCGATTTTTTAGTATTAGATGAAGCTGACAGACTGCTAGAAATGGGATTTTTCCCAGCAGTAAAAGAAATTTTATCAGTGATCCCTGCTGAGAGGCAAACCATATTAGCTTCAGCCACATTAGGAAATGATATAAAAGAGCTTGCCCAACTCGCATTAAAAAGGCCTGTAAAAGTTGGAAAAGCTGGGATGCCGGAAGGCTTAAAATAAAATTAATATAGCTTGGCTAGCCTGACTGGCCACTTAACACCCTAGCCGATAGGCTTATTGGGAAAGCCGGGAACCTTGTGGCGTTCTGAATTTGTATTCGGCCTGGTTTTACTTAACTTGATGGAGCTCAACGTAGGACTGAACGACTGCATGCTAACATCCTGGTCAAGGCTTTACCTAGTGGGGAGACGATTTGCTGGAGTCCTTGGCTCGGTTCTATCTTGGTCGACTAAAAAAATAGATTTTTTCAAAGTTTCTGAAAGGCGAACCCTATAAACCTAAGGCATAGTGGCTCAACGTCTCTGACTCTCGGGTAGCGAGTGCAAACCCTCGTCAGTGGAAAGCAGCATAGTAGAAGGCAATGTCCGAATTGGCAATAATCGGTGGAGCATTAAGCAGAGGCCAGTAGTTGTCTGCAGACCTTCAGAGGACTTCTTTACAAACAATTTAAGCATTTAAGAAGGCCTAAAACAAGTTATTATCAACATGGAGGATGACTGGAAACGGGAAACAATAGTAGTCTATCTATTAGCTTATCAAGTTAAGCAAGATGTTATTGTTTTTGTCAAAACAAAATCTGATTGCCATAAGCTGTTTTTATACTTAAAACAGCTAAACTTTAAAGTTGGAGAAATCCATGGAGGAATGGATCAGCATCTAAGGCTGAGGTCATTAGAAAGCTTTCAGGCTGGAGAAACTGAAATTTTAATTGCAACTGATTTAGCTGCAAGAGGGCTAGACTTGGAAATTGACACTGTCATCAATATGCATATCCCTGATGATCCTAAAAGAATTTTACACAGAATTGGAAGAACAGCAAGAGCTGGAAAAGAAGGATTGAGCATAAGTTTATGCAATAAAGCAGAAAAAGCCCAGCTGAAAGAAGAAATCAAGCACAAATTCGTATATTTGTCAATTAATGTTGAAAGAATGCACAAAGTCCAAGCGAAAATAGATGATTTAGAAGAAAAAGTTAAGAAAATGATAGAGAAAGAAGCATATTTAAAATATGGCGTCTTCGTCTGGGCATGGCCTCCGACCATGCAGCCTCGACACATATTTTAAATATATCCGGCAAGGTTTTGCCATTTCAGAGATGGACGGCAATGCTAGGTAAGCAATTCTACATTACAGAGCCTAGCCCTAGTCTAAACTCAGGGATGGTTTTTTCCTCGTGGGGAAGGAAGACATGTTTAGTTGGAAAGGGGAAGCCCAGCAAAGTCTACTGGACCAATCGGGCAACTCCCTAGCGTGAAACTGGGCGTTACGTCCCAGGCTAATTGTTTTTCCTTTTTGCCGACAGTCGGCCAGAAAAACCATTTTTTTGATTTTCTGTGCAGGCAACCCATGAGTCGTCGAAGCCGGCAACACCGCTCCAAGCGCACCCTGGCGATCAAAGCAGGCCGCCCCAGAGGTCTGTGGGCCTGATGCGTGGAAGAAACGGCGGGAAGGTCTGGGAAGCCAACCCCGTAGGGGACTTTAAACGAATAAACTTTAAGTAAGTAAGTAAGTAAGATAGAGAAAGAAGCGATTGAAAAAGAAATTAAAGAGGTCGAAATCCAAGCGAATCGAGCCTCAAATATCATCCAGCATGCTGATGAAATCTATAATCGGCCAAAAAAACAATGAATTAAGTCTGTTGACGAAAGAAGAGAAAAAGTCATAGAGCAAAAAGAGCAAAAAATGAAAGGAAAGACCAAAAAAGACAGAAAAATTGAAGAAAGCATCATGAGGAGCAAACTAATGGTGCAAAATTACAAAATTGCAGCCAAAGGACTCAACAAGATAGGCAAAGCAATGGAAAAAATGGCGAAAAAGAAAATGAAAAGGAACAGCAAAAAAAAGCAAAAGTAAAGTAAAAATTTTAAAAATTAATATGGCATGGGTTAATAGACATACATTAATTTAGGTTAAAAATGAACTTTACCTACTGAATATCTCTAACAGTTAACTCTTCGTGAGTTTGATTAATACTTATTCGTCTAAGCGCCAAAGGTCTTGTACCAGACTTTTCAAACGCCAATTCATCTGTAGATGTATTTAGCTCGCATTCTTCTGGAACCGAACAGTCTCTTTTGCATAAACAGCAAGTCTATATAAAACTTACTCTATTTGCCTTAAATCACTCTTCTATACAGGTACCATGAAACAAATGTTTGCAATGAAGCCTCCTAACAACAGAAACTGCCCTAAAAGCTTCAAAACATATAGCACAAGTAGTATCAAGACCCTTTTTATTTTTAATTTCTTGATATTTTATCGCTGGGTAATTTTTATTGATTAAATTTGACGCTAGCCCCGGCGATTCCATCACAATCCTCGCCCTTTCTTTTTTATATCTTTTCCACACAATAAGAACAATAGCAGCCAAAAGAACTAAAAATCCTACCGATGAGACAATAATATAAATCAAAATCAACTGATCTGTAGAGCTTGAGTCTTCTGTATACCAAACATCGTAGCTTATATAAGAGCTATCTTGTCTATTATTAATGAATAAGAAATATAAATGATTCCCCATTCCGCTTGTGTCAATTGATCTCTTTTGTGTGAGACTTGACTTTAATAATGGGATCGACAAGTAATTGTTAGGGTTTTCGTTAGAAGGAAGCGAAGCTAGGCTATATAAAAATTACGTGTTTCCGTCAAAGTTTAGGATTGCTTTTCCGGGATAATTGTTCCAAATAAAATAAAAAATAATGTTGCCTGAGCTTACTGTATAGTTTTTACTGTTATCGAGGTTTATATATGCATAATCTTGTCCTGTCTGAGTATTTTCGATCTTTTGTGACTGCTTTGTAATTTCATACGCATTTATATCGCAGCTTGGGCCAATAAAGCCTGAATTGCATTTGCATTTTCCTAAACTAATGCAATCCCCGTTATTGCTGCAGTCTTTGGGACACAAAATATTATCACTAGCATCAATTCCAATGACATATTTCATCACTCCTTGTGAAGACTGGTCATTTCATACGCCTATTCAAGTCTGATCTCACAAATCAGCGCTCTGGAGAAATAAACTTTGGTAATTTAAACCTGAATAATAACTTTCATAATCCGCATATTTCGCCTTTACAGGGGTATTCGAGTCTCCGAAAGTTGGGTATGCGTTGCTGATTGCTAAAATAGGGAGAGCGCCCGATGGTTTCGATGTGATCTGGATTCATATCCTTACTCACCCCCCATCCTTGATCGAACGACTCACCATCGTTCGATCAAGGATGGGGTTTAAAAAAAATGTTTTCGGGAAAAAAAATTTTATATATAAAATAAAATATATAAATATATATTTTTTTTATTTACTTTTAAATAAGAGGGTTAAGAGTATTTAATAATTATTTTTAAAGCAAAAAATTGAATTAATTTCATAAAATATCAATTTTTAATATTTTGATTTATTAGTTACTCTTTTAAATTGTATAAATTTTAATTTATTCCTTAATATTTTTTTTTTAAATTTTAAAGAATCTCTATTTTTTAGATTATTGAGTTTTCAAGCCTAGGTTAATGGCTAAATCACTTCAGATGGTTGATTCCGCAGCTTTCTGTCTCTCAAAGCTCTGAAAACAACTTCATTAGGTACATATCCAAGCTTTTAATAACTAATATATTTTATATATATAAAAATTTGCATGATATGAAAATCGTTTGATCAAGGATGGGGGTTAATTTCCCCAATTTTTAGGAATTTTTACAGTCAATCGTTCGATCAAGGATGAGGAGGGGAGTTAGATACTTTTGTGTATTTCCAGATGAATTGATTTCGAAATAATTCCATTTGTCGGTCTGGCTGATTGTTTGAGTAGATCCGATTTCAATCGATGCTCCGAGTGTGTAATTAGTAGTAAGAAGCAATAATATTGGAATGAAAAGAAACACCATTAATTATGATGAAATATCATAGATAACTTGTCTTATGATGAAAGAATGACATATTGAGAGTCATCTAAAATTATAATGGCTGAACAGATGATTCAAAAAAAATAACTCAATTCTGGATATATGTATTAAAGATCAATATTTTTATCCCTATATGTGGAGATATCTTAAAGGATTTTGAAGATGGATTAGGAGATTAAAAAGCTGAGGACTAAATGGATTATAGCTAAATAATGAAGCTAAAGTGGAATTTAAGAGAAGTACAAAAAATGAGCATCAATTAAATTTAAATTAAAATCTTTCAAGATTTAATTATTTTAGCTAGTCTCATCAATTTGTTTATATTGATCAAAAATTGAAAATTAAAGTCTATTAATAACCGAATCAGACAGACATAAATATAAAGTTCATCCATTTTGTTTATTTATTTTCGATTCTTTTCGCTTAGGCTAAAAGCGATTATCATCATAATGCTAGGCTACTACTCTTTTAACTTTGATCGAATCTTAACTACAAGAATAAAAGCCTTCTCCTCTTCAATAGCAGCTAGATTCATTAGTTTACCTAACTAACAGACCTTTCCCAATTGGATTACTTCCATAAAATTCATGGCTCTCTTAGCTACAATTTTAGACTTCATAGCTGAAAAAGGGATTTTTTATTTAAAAAGACGCGGATTTCATTTAATTTACTTGAAGCCTTATAAATAATGGACTTTCGTATATAATTTCTATCTAGTATAATAAAAATTCTATACAAAAATATCAGCCAGCCAAAAATTATATTTTTCATATATATAGTCACGGTTTTGGTGTCTTTCCTGTAAGGTGGCAAAGAAATAAGATCTATATTTATTGTTGCCATGATAGACTCTGTATGAGGAAATTGCACTCCCTCTAAAATTTATCACTTGAAAGTATTTTGATAAACTTCAAGCTATATTTGATTTAATTGTTCTTATAAACCAATTGACTTTTCTAAAAGCATTTGGCAAGAAAATACTGCCTCACATTAGTTAATCAGCAAACAACATAACTTTAGTTGATTATAGTAAAAATACAGTGTGGCCTTATTACTATTTTCTTCTTCATTTTCTCACTCTTTAATTATTTACTGGAATGAAATGGTTGATCATTCTCTTATTTTTAAATTTCACTTACGCGATAGATGACTGTAAAGGCACCTCAGATTGTGAATACCTAAATTTTTGCATATCCAATCAATGCATCCACAAAGGTATTTTGCCGATCGGAATAAATGATTTCGTAGGCTTTGTATTGATAGCAATCATTAGCGCTCTTGCAAATGCAGCCGGAATAGGAGGTGGAATACTAAGTATCATGATTTTGCAAAGTATCATATATTTTGATACTTATTATGCGGTTCCTATGGCTCAAGTCATTAGCTTCGGCGGAAGCTTAATTTCAGTTTTGTTAAAATTGCGTTTAAGACATCCCACAAGAGACAGGCCTTTAATAGACTATGAGCTTATCGTTTTTATTTTATCCCCTATTCTTGGGGGTACGACAATCGGGGTGATTTTGCATTTGATTTTTCCTAACTGGCTTACCATTACTTTATTATCAGCTTTATCTGGGTATATGTGCTGAATAACGACTAAAAAAGGTATTTCAATGTTTAAAGGAGAAAATTCATATAAAAATCTGTCAAAAATTGAAAACAAAAACGCTGTTGCATCAGAGAGTGATAGGGAAAGCGAAACAGATGTAAAATCAAGTGACACATCAAAAGAGTTAAGTATTGAGCATAATTATTTTTTAGAAGAAAAACAAATTATCCCATGGCGGCAAATAGCAAAAATTTTCTTTGTAATTGTAATAGTTCTCACTGGCTCGTTTATTAAAGGAGGAAAAGGAATTGACTCCATTTTTGGCTTGAAACAGTGTAACCTGCTATATTGATGCTTTATGGCATTTTATTTGGCTATTTATTTGGCTATTTCTATATATTGCGGATGAAAACTTATTGTCAAAACGGAAAGAAAAATCTCAGTCAATTATGATTTTGATGAAAATGATGTAAAATGAGAGTTAAAGAGCACGGTCAAAATTGGATCCATAGCATTTTTGGCAGGGATAGGTGCAGGATCCTTAGGTATTGGAGGAGGAATAATTATGAACCCAGTATTAATAGCGTTTGGAGTTAGACCTGAAGTCTCGACTGCTTCTTCTTCATTTGTGATTCTATTTAGTTCATCTATTTCTGTAACTCAGTATGTTATTAGCGGTTTGATAGATTTTACATATGGAATTCCGTTATTCATCCTAGCTGTTTTAAGTTCTGGATTGGGAACCAGAGAAATTAAAAAGCAAGTTGAAAAATGAAAAAGGCCTTCCCTTATTGTTCTGCTGCTTGGATTTATGACTTTTCTCTGCTGCGTTTGTATTTCATTGAATGGAATATTTACTACTGCAAAACAAATAAAAATTGGGGATTTCCAATATTGATTTTCCTCTTATTGCTAGATTTCTTAAATAAACAATATAGAAATCAATAATAATGCTATTTTTCTTAAATATTAAATTTTGCATGATTTCAGTAATATCTAATTTCTTATCAAAATGTCGTTCAAATTTCTAGAGCTATTTCAAGGAGTAATCCAGTTTAGAGGGAACTTTATTGAAATCGTAGAAAATGAAGATCTTCAAGAACTCTCTAAAGATTATTCAATTTCTTTTTGGATCAATATACATAAAATCTTAAAAGGCCGCCAAGTCACAGTTTATCATAAAGGAGATAACGGAACATCTCAACCTACAATTTCTCTTCATGAAAGAGATCTTCTAATCAGTTTTGACACAGTTCGTGGTGGTAATGAGCGTTTATTTGCAACTGTTGAAATTCCACTCAAAGCTTGAACTCATATAGCATTCACTATTTTCCACAAACAATATACTGAAGCTTCCCTTTATATCAATGGAAGACTTGATACATCGATTTCCTTAAACATTGACATTGCTCACAATACTGGGAATTGCTATGTTGGAAAAGACCCTTGAAATCATGGATTTATTGGTGAAATAGGGGAACCTCTTTTATTTTTCACTACTTTGTCGCCTGATGATATTTGGAGAATGTATCAGCAAAGCATTGAAAACTGAAATCAATCCCAGTGCTTTAGGAGTTCACAATTTTTTTATGAGAGAAAATCAAGAGCAAGCACGCCTGGAAAATGATTCAGAGATAATGAAAGTTCTAGAATATATGAAGAAGGAGAAAGCATAAGGACTTGTGACTCATCAATGATGGCTTTGTCAAAATATGAAAAATTAGAGGAATTTTTTCAAAAGAATCCCACAATTTACCGAAAAGTATCAGAAATTGCAAACAGCCAGAACTGATTGACTGTGATTTTTAACATCCTGAATATAGCTGCACCTCAAAACGGAAAGAGTGCACAAAATAAAATTGAAGCTGATAGGAAAATCCCTCCTACTGTAAATTTGAATATTAATTTCACCAAAAAAGAACTTATTGCTCTAGCCAAAGTGTTAAGATCTCCGCCTTATGAAAAATCGCCTATAAAAAAATCGCATTAATTTTCCCAATTCTTAAACAAATTTTTCTCATAATTATTTAAAAAAATTCCTTATTATTTCTTATAATTTCTTGATTGCAGAATGGCGCATTCTGCCAGAATAGAGGGAAATTATTCATGCAGCTTTTTCGAGTAAAATATCACTGTAGCTGCGCAAGTTTGCAGTATCTTGTGATGAAGAGAATCGAAGCTGAAGACTTGAAGAAGATTTAGAATATGAATTTTAGACAGAATTGGGTTTAAATAAGAAAGATCAGACTAAAAAGGCCTTATGACCATAATTTAATTTTAGTTTAGAAAATTATTTCTTAAAAATTTAATTTCCTGGATTTCCTTCGGCATTTCGCGCTTCTTTTTGATTAAATTGTCCATATTCAGGTGATCTTAAAAGTCTAGCTAGTTCAACTCTTGTATAAACGTTTTTCTGTAGCTCATACTCCTGCGGGGTTATTTTCTTTGAATGTGATTTGACTAAAACACTTGGGCGGTTTGAGAAATATTCCCAAATTATCCATAGCAAGATGTAGACTCCTAAAAGCATGAAAACTACATGAAAAAATGGCTCTTCAGGTATTCCTTTGAGTATTATTGGAATCTGTGAAATAGGCTTGGCAATCTCGAATTTCAGCCAGGTGTATCCAAGTATAAGGGTACCTATGCCGAAAAATATACTTACAAAAGACATATATCCATTTATAGAGATTAGGAATTTCTGCATTAGCAAACACTCCTGTTTTCTTATATACATGAACAATGGCTAATGCATGGAAAATTTTCAATCTCTATGATGGCAGATATCTATTTTTATTAAAATTTAATTATGAAATCAACGTTTGATTAGATCTGCTCGCAGCTCTGCTTCTGACATCTCTTGTATAGCAATATTTCACTTGCATTTCCATTTCATTTCTCATTTTTCTTCCAATATCTAGCATAGCGTTGTATTTGTGCTCAAGCTCTCTTATTTGACGCTCCAAAATATCTATTCTTCTCGGATCTATGCCACTTTTAGCTGCTGAAGGAAGTTTTGGAAGGGTCAAGCCGCCTATGTTTATTGATCCAATTTGCCTTTGATATTGTTTTAACCCTTTCATAAGCCATGGAACATTAATATTTTGAGCATGCTCTAAATAAGATTGAGTGAAATATTTCCCAGATCTTCTCGGCAGAATTTTCTTCATTCTTGAAATATTGATATTAGCTATTTTAGTCGAATCTGCATATTGCATAAAATATTCATATAATAGCTCTCTTTTTTCTTCATTATTTTTTAAATCAATCTTCATATATGCCGCATAAATTTCTAAGAACTGATTAATGCTGATTTTTTCTTCGACAATCCCTCTCAATATTTTTTGAGTTTTTGCTAAAAAAATGCTGTCAACCATTTCTTGAATTTTTGTAAATTCATTATCATCGACTAATAAGACTTTTTTTCTGTCATAAATTATCATCCAATAATGGACACAGTCTCTCAATAAAGCCCAAATTAGCCAAGGAGCTCCTATAAATATCCATTTGAAAGATTTTCAATAGCTGAATTTTACTTGGACTTTTTCATCTCTTATTGATTTATTAGCCATTATGGTATCATCGAAATTCATGGAAAATATTTGGAGTTTATTATCAAATTTCGATACATAGCCAGTTTTTCCATAAATTATTAGTCCTTTCCCATACATAAAAATAGCAAATATAAGAGAGCCTAATGCAAATAAAACGAACTGCGGAATAGCATAAACTATATAGAAAACTTTGCAAATTCTGGTATTCCATTTGGTTGGATTGGCTGTGAATAATACCAAAGGACAAACAGCCAGTGTGATATAGTTTAAAGGAGTAGGCAAAAATATAAGCGCTCCATATCGGCTATCCCAAGAAAATCTATTATAGTGATTCGTGATTGCAGCTCGATGCTCACTTTCTACTTCTTCAATAATTTGCGAATAAGCCAAAAAGAGCTTCGAGATCATTAAGTTAAGGAACAATATAGCTGCTGCAATCATATAAGCTCCATACATGACGCTACCTAATGCAATGTATTCTGTAAAACCTGAGAAATCTGTATACATAAGTGCTCCTGAATATAAAAACCTAACTGATTCAGAAAATGTAGGAAAATAGCTATTTGAGTTTCCGAAAATTGATGTAAAAACTGCAGCTGAGCCTACAATTAAAAATGCATAAATAATATAAAAATCAATCATTTTTATTAACAATTTCCAAATCATCTTTAAAAATGGTCCGAATGTTTTAGATGCTAACAAAATTGAAAGTAGCCTGATTCACATAAAAATAAGCATTAATGAGTGCATGAGGGCGTTAAAAGTATAAGGATCTTCATCGGAAAAATATTTCCCAGGTCCCATGTATCTTTTCCCAAATCCTCAGCAATTGAAAAGCATAAGACAAAACATCATGATATTTAAAACATTTCAATTTGTAAACTGATAAATTCTTCCTGCTTTAACTTGATATATATAATATAGTATATCTTCAAGAATAATTGATCCAATCCAAACTTGAGCAGTTCTTAAGTAAGGGAGACATGATTGGCTATTAGTGATATCCAAGAATGCATTGTCTGCTATAGCAGTATAAATTGTCATCTGATAAATAATAAGTAAAGTTATTGCAGATACGGCTTGACCATAAAATCTCAGTTTGCAAGAATCCAATCATTGATCATAATGAAATGTATAAGGTAAATCATTTTTCATCGGGTAAGCAAATGACATACCTTTTTCTTCACCGTAAGCTGCATTAAATGAGGTGTAAATCGTTGACGCGCCCAATATTCCATAATCTCTAGTAGGGCCTATCCACATTTTCGTTACAATTGTTCCGATTTCTCCACAATCTAGCATGCTATAAAATTGGTTTTGAGCCATAATTGTTAAAGCATTTCTCCCTTGTGAGTCCACTTTTGTTAAATAATACCTCAAAATTCTTTCTTCCTTTATAGCTTTTTCCAAGCACAATCCTAAATCTTTAAAAATGTCAGCAGTCTCCAAACAGGTACTTGAATCTTTCAGAGAAGTCTCTGACAAATTAGTAAGAAATTCAGCTGTGAGGGCACAAAACAAAATAGGATTCCAGCACACTACAATTTCATCTCTTTTTTTGGCAAAAGCTTCTAAATTACTACACATATCTTGTGTCAAGTCGTCAGACCAATATTTCAAATTAATCCTGTTTAGCATTTCAATTGCCTGTAGACAAGTTTTACCCTGATCTAGAAGTTCTACTAATTTTTTCTGGACATCAGGGTCAAAGAGGGTATGCTCAGCTTCGTCAATTTCTAATAAATCCACACACAAATTGTAGAGTCCAGCATCAAAAGCCTCACGAAAGTCTTCTTCAGTTAAATCGATTTTAGCAATTTTTGGGATTTCTCTCGCTAAATCTTCTTGGTGGCACTGGACAAGTTTTCTGATGACGCCTTCTTCTTCATTGATTTTCGGTCATTTTAATAAAGCTCTGACTGCAGAAATTTTTTCTAATTCTATTCATTTTTCAATGAGGTAAGGAATTGCCATGGAGTTCATTAAATCTTTTAGGTCTTGGTCATCATTTACCTGCTCTTTCAAAGCGTTTCAGATTTTGGAACTTTTGGCAACTTTTTTGATCAAATCTGTAGGCTTTCTTATATTTCCGGTCCAAACTCGTTTTAAAAAATTGATGCAGCAGTTGTCGACTGCAATTTTGATCATACTTGGGCTGATTGAAGTAGGATTTACTGTTAAAAGTAATGATGCTAGATTATCGAACCCATTTTGAAGAGCCTGAAGCATAGAGTCAGTTACTAATTTTCTGTTCGTGTAGACTTGCCTTCTATTTTCAAGGATTCTTAACTCCCCCACTCATTGAGCCAGCAAAAAAATTTTGTTCGCTTATAAAGGGATATATAAATTTTAATAGTAAAAATTTTCTTTTCGAAATTTAAAACAAATTACCAATTCGCAAAAAATCGGAAAGCAATATTATTTAATTTGTAAAAAATTATGTTTATAATGCAAGCTGTTTAAAATTAATTAGAATTAGCTAGAGATTTCGTTATAATAATTATCACTTATATATCAAAAATTTTTTCATAAAAATCTTTGCTTGCTCACGGGCAAATATAGGGGTTTTTCTAATGGCTTTGTTCGCTCACAGAGGGAGAGAGAGTAAGTCACTTTGAAAATATTCTGATAATTCTGGGTATTTTTGGTTTAATTCTTGTGCTGATTGATGACAGCCTTTATATAGTAAGTATCACGCTATGAGCTCTATATTTTTTTGATTTTGGCTATATTTTATAGCACTGCTCACAATTTCATCGGGAAAGCTATCAATCGCTTCTATAACTCCTGAAATAGGTAAAATATACCCATTCTCTAATAAATACTCAGCAAGTCTTACTTGATTTCTCTGCAAGGCTGCGATAATTGCCTTTCCTGAATTTATGAATTCTTCATTTTTTAACTTGAATTGGGAATTTAAAGCTAATTCTTTCACTTCACGCTCATTTCCTTCATCTATGTATTTAAGTAGCTGCAGACTTGCTCTGCTTTCTTGATGATTTATGAGCTTTTGAACTACACTTGGGGATAAAATATTTGAAGACAGTAATAAATTTATTCCAAGCGAGTCTGGTGAACGATTGATTGCTGTAGCATAAGTGTTATTCTGGGGCTGAGGGTCTTCTAGCAATTTAGCCTCATCAGTTACAATTATATTTTGATCTTTTTTCATTTTATTAATTTAAAGTAGTGAGAAGCTTATGGCTTTTGATTTAACAATGAGGGAAATTTTTTTGGATAAATGCGTTAATAATTAATTGAAATTAATTAGAAATATTTTGATATTTTTTGAATTTATGCTTTTAATTTTAGCTGGAACTGTATGCTGATAGATGATGAATAGCCCATTAAGAAGTATTTTTTGGAGAACCAGAAAACTAACGTCCATCCTCCGTGAGCGAACAAAACCATTGGAACAAATCCCTATGCTTTTGATAAAGAAGGATCAAAAATATTTTATGAAAAAATTGGCATATAAGTGATTGTTAATATAATGGAATATCTAAATAATTCTGTTTTAATTTAAACAGCTTGCATTTTAAAACATAAATTTACAAATCAAATAAATATTTGCTTTCAATTTTTGCATATAAATAAAATGGCATTCGGTTCGAGAGAATTAACTTTGCTAATTTTCTCTCCCTCATGCAATTTTATTTATGGGATTAGGTTTTCTCTCGAGAACTTCTGCACAGCAATAGCTGTTTAACTTTGGGGATAACCAAAGGAACAGCTCCTCAGTGCGTTCAAGATTTCGGAGTTTTTACCTCTCAGCACATCTCCACGGGAAGATGACCCTTAGGCGGAACACGCGCAGGAGCTGAGTCGGGGCAAGGGCGACGGCAACGCGCCGGGTGAGACGTGCAGCGACTGGAGGCGAAGCGTCGATAGAAGGCTTGGCCGTGGGCTGACCATCGCGATTCCAAGATGTCCCGGCGACTTCATCAATTTTTCGCTATAACTCCATTTTTTATGGGGTGCGGTACTAGACACCTTAAATACCAGACACTAAGTTAATTTAAGTTAAGCTTTCAATTTTTGCGAATGGGATTTTTTTTAATTTAGAAAAAAAAATTAACCCTTCCTTAACAAAATGTTTTGTTCACTAACGGAGGAGGGGGAGTAAGATCAAAAATTCTCTGTTACTATTCTAAGATGGTTTGCTAAATAATTCAACAAATAAAATTTTGCAAATTTACTTAAAATGAATTAGGTTTTCAAAATTATTTGATGGAACAACTTAAAATCGTAACAGTGCCAGGTGGGTTCTGCATGAGGTCATAAGCAAAAATTCAAATTATGTAAAAACGAAAATTTACTAAATTTATTGGTTTCAACTAATTTTGATTAGCTCAAGAGTAACTTTGATTATTTTATACATAAACTTTTTTCTCATTCTTCTTAATGGGATAAATTTATCATATTGGCAGGGAAACATGAGTCCGGCAACTTTAAAACTGGCTCTGAAGGGCCAAGGGTTCGCAGGCAGCAACAGATGCAGGCTTGGACTCGCCGGGTTCCCCTTGACCAATAGACAAGAAATCGATGGCGTAGAATCAGCAAGTGCTTCTTCTGGAAAAGCATTCTATTTTCTGTAAATGGCAGAGGTCGTTCCAGAAGGAGGAATCAGACGTTATTCATACCTTGAGCACTACCGGGGTTTTAGAGAGTTCTTTGCTGCAAATTTTGGTCCAGGCAGGTTAGAGTAGGTCTACCCGTCAGACTGACGCCATCACCTTTTCCTGATGGGAAAGGGCGTAGGTGATTTTAGTACTTTCGCCACATGAAGCGTGAAACTAAAGCTAGACTGACTAGGGGCTGAAATAAATCCCCTTAATTTTCTCTTAATGGGTTGTTTTTCATAAACTGATATCTATTAGAAGCATAAAAGGATTAAAGTTCTTATGATTTAATTTGATTAATAAATAATGAAACAAATATTTTAAAATTTAATATTCTGATGCAAGTCATAATTTCGTTTTGTCCTAAATACTGATCCATCAAGATGAAACCAGGAATTTTTGCTTTTTAAAACAATATTATAGCCTTATATCAAACTAAACCTTGGCATCCTATATAAAAATTAAATAGAAATAGATTTATGACTATTAATCAAATTAGGTAAACTTCAAATTAGCCTAGTGGCATCAAAGTAATATAGATAGCTCATCATTTTAAAAGCTTCTTAATAACACATATAAGGGCATATCCAAGCTCAAATAAAGCATAGCTTGGCTATTATAAGCTCATTTTTTAATACAAAGCTTTAGTATAAGAGCTTTAATATTATATTACTCGATAATATTAGACGCTTAGCATTCAGTAATAAAATATGTTAGATGAATTAGACATTTCTAAAAAGAATAATTATACTGCCCAATCTCAAGGATTGCACTACATTTCTCCATTTGAAGCTGTAAAATCAACAGTCATTGATTACCTTGAAACATTTTTTAGACCAAAATATAACCTAAAAACCAAACTTCTTACACAATTTTTTGTTGAAATTTTAGTAAATTCTATAAACTGTTTACAGCTAATCACTCTTTTGTGATATCCACATATGAATATAACTGGATGGGCAGATTATAGGGCTTACTGAACCTATCTCAGTATATTTTCTTTTGATAATATCATATCAACGTGGAGCCTTACAAAATTAGCTTTCTATATTAGTTCAGCTACTTTGGGAATGTGCATAATTTCCTTAATTGCAATAGGAGCAATAAAAGGTAAAGGATGAAATTTGTCAAAAATTGCAATTTATTTCACAAGTTCTATTCTTGGACATAAATAAAATGGCAACGACACCGACTTGTCCTCTCCCGGAACTGAGGCGAAATTGGGGACCTTGCTGCGGCCTGAAGCCAATCCGCCCAGGGAAAGGTCTGGAATGGGTACTGGTAGTTTGTGTCCGGCTAGGTTTCCCTCCCAGTCCAGCAACGACGATCCTTGGGTCGTCCCGATAGGACACGGGGCAAAAGGGTTTTTCCTCTAGGGACCGCTAGTGCCAATTTTGAGGTCAAGGCAGGAGCCAACAAGAGCTAAGGAGTTAATCCTTAGCTCTAACCCTAGTCTGGCGACGTGAAGCACGGTGACCCAATTCGCCTACTTCCGGGATAGCATGACCAAGCCCCATGACCGGAAGGAGCTGAGTGGTAGCCTGTGGCACTTAGGTGCACACTGGAGCAAGGCAAGGAAAGCAAGCGAGGCGTCCAAAAGGCAGAAGAAAAGGACCTTCGGTCCTGGCCGGGAGCTACTCTATAAATTTAACTAAGACTAAGTTCTATTCTTGGATTTATGACATCTGTAGGGTTTGTGCCGCTACTTATGATATTTTTAACAGTTGCTAAATACTCAATGAGACCTGACCTAAATGTTTGTGAGTACAGCTCTCTGACTGCTGATGATTTAAACTTAGGTTTGTTTGGATCAATCATAGGAATTATTTCTGGAACATTTTTAATTATGTCAGCTCTCATTTATGAATTATTTACAGCAGATATCAGACACTCATTTGCAAATAGAAATATAAGAGCTCGAGCAGATTCAAATTTGGATATAGCAATTACTTATTTTAAATCGCTTCTAGTTGTCTTATATATTTATGTTGGAAACTCACAAATAGATTGGTATATCATGTTTTTCATGGTTTCTTCTGCTATGTTTGCGTATCTTACTTTCAAATTCAATTCCTATTACAATCCACTTATTAATTCAATTAAAGTTTCAAAAATGTTTATTATATCTGCAGCTGCTTTGAGCTTCTTATTCGGTCGAGCAATTGATAATTCGCTTGTAATTTTATTATTATGCTCATGTGTGATCCCTTTGATATTTGGGATTTTTATGCTTAAAGTATGAAAATATATAAAAAATTTTTCGTTTAAAGGATTCTCAAATGACCAGCATGAATTTGAGTTGCAAATAAGAAAAATTTTAATAAATCAATCTGCCAATCCGAAAGCAGCAATTGATGCGTTTATTAATATTCGAAAGTTCTCGAGATTTAAAGTAGATAAACTCTTTATAGTGTGAGAAGCAAACTACTGTGCTTATACAATAAAAGATTTTTGTTTATCTCGAATAAAGCTGGCAGAGTCTGGCAATGTTTCATATAGTATTGAAGGAGAAATACAGGAATGAAGACTAAAAAAGTATTTAAATGATAATAAAGACAAAAGTCCTGTTCTGAATTTTTTATTATATTTGATTGACTTACTCCCCCCTCCATGAGTGAACAAAAAAATTTTGTTCACTTTATTTTTTTTTTAAAAAATTTATATAAATTTTAAGAAAATTTTTTTTTAGAAATATAAAAAAATCCTAATTCAAAAATTGAAAAGCAAATATTAATTTAATTTATAAAATTTATGTTTTAAAACGCAATTTGTTTAAAATTAAACAGAATTAGCTCTAAAATTTCGTTATAATAATTATCACTTATATATCAAAATTTTTTTCCATAAAAAATTTTTGTTCACTCACGGAGGGTGGGTTTTTTGGAAAAAAATAGGGACCTTTCTAAATGTTTTTGTTCACTCACGGAGGGGGGGAGTTAGAAAAATCTCGGCATGCAGATGAGCATCTATGCTACCATCTTACTGAACTTTGAGCCGAAATTACAGCTAGAAAGCCTAAACTTGAGAAATTAGAACATTTAACAAACACTTCGACTGAATTAATTTAAAGTACAATATTTAAAATGGCAGCTAGGGATGGGTCCTTAGTCCTGATCCTCCTGGCTGGACCCATAAACCGAACTAAGTGAGAGAAGTCTAACTTCTTGAGAGCTTTGGCTTGAAGAGAAGTGGTCTGTGCTGAGGCTGGCACAGACTAGAGAAGTCTGAAAGGGCTTAATAAATTTAAGAGTTCGACAGTTAGTCCAGCTCATCTACTGTTGTTCAGAGCTTTTATCGTAGCTGACCTCAAGAATGAAGATTTAGAAGGCATTCAATATGAAACTTAAACTTAAAAATTTACAAGGCGAAAAAACTATATGACTCGATGATTGAGTTGAAAAGTGAAAAAGTTTATGAGCTCTATGGGGGATTACTGCAAAATATCCTCCATGAATATGATCAAGGCTCAGCAGTTTTGAGCAAAATCAGAAGAACAAAGTCGATTGACTCTTTTATCAGGTATGAAGTAAAATTAACTAACTACGAAGAAGCAAATGGAAATATGCTAATTTCTGCTAATAAAGATAATTTTGGATCAATTGTATTTATTAACGATGTTGGGTCTCAGATCCTAAAAGGAAGAATTTATGAAATACTTGGAAACAAAGCATCAACATACATTCCCCCTCCTTATTCACGCCATCACATTGAATATGAAAAAAAATTTGTTGAAAATTGCACAAACCCTATTGTAGAGAAACCAAGCTCTTTATTTTTTCTAGATATTTTTGGATTTTTGCATGAGTGTATGATTCTTTTAAGGCTTACATCTCTTGACAATTATCTGTACTTCATGATGTCGTTCAAGGAAGTTAAAGCATCAAGGCAAGTTGCATTAACATCTGAAGATGGACTTATATATAGTCATAGCGAAGGCTTTTCAGATTTAATTACTGAGCCATTGAAATCATTAAGAAACCAATATTTGTCTGATCTCTTGCCTGGCATTACTCTTTCGCAAGTTCCTCTCTATGAGCCTATTTTACTGAACATAAAAGATAATAATCTCGCTTTAGTCCATGGAATCAAGAATTTTAAATCTACAGATATTCACTTTGTCTTATTGATATCTGACCAGTCCGAAATAGATGTTTGGCTTGAAAATAATGATATTTTGCAGCTTGAGTATTTTGGAAAAGCTGATACCATTGCAGAATTAGAGCACTTTGAATCAAGCCACACTGATATACACTCTGATCAGGATAGGGTTAAATTTAACTTAAAAGCCTCAAACAACAGTTTTATGCATACAACATCTTTAGGTGAAGCTGAAATTGAAATGGCTTCTGGTGCAACAAAATTTTCTGAAGAGCACAAAGAAAAGCATTCTACTGAAGACAAATCATTGACTGCCTCATCTTCATATTTTACACACACAAGCTCTTCTCAAGATAAAAAAGGTAAAAAATATTTAGCTCATGGAAAGACAATTGTTTTAATGTCTTTAGTGCTATTAAAACGATATAAATGAGTCTTATTTTTCTCACTCCCCCTCCGTGAGTAAACAAAACCATTAGAAAAATCGCTATTTTTTTGCCCCAAAAAAACCCACCCTCCGTGAGTAAATAAAAATTTTTTATGGAAAAAAAATTTTGATATATAAGTGATAAATATTACTACGAAATCTATCGCTAATTCTGTTTAATTTTAAACAAATTGCGTTTTAAAAAATAAATTTTACAAATTAAATTAATATTTGCTTTCCAATTTTTGCGAATTAGGATTTTTTTAAATTCCGAAAAAAAATATTTTCTTACAATTTATATATAGATTTTTTTAAAAAACAAATTAATCCCCTCCGTGAGCGAACAAATTTTTTTTTTTTCACTCACGAATGGGGGGTCAGTAAATTTTATTTAGGTCCTTGTAGTGATATCTACTAATATAGCAATTGCAATCTATATAACCAATGCTGTTAATCATTCAAGGTCAATAAATACATTTAGTGCGCTTGGTAATATTCTGTTTGATTTAGTGCATATTGCTGAAAATGTCAGGAAAATAGATTACATTATAGATTCTATGCCTAAAACTTTAGAAGCTAGACTTGTACCGTTAAGAGAAGCATTAACTGAGTTAGATAATTCTCATAACGGAGTTTTATCGAATTTATCATCATGAAGCTATTGTGAAGCTTCTAGGATTGTCATTGAAGATCTTGTTCCTTTATGAAACTTTGATGACACCCCTAAAATAGAAAATGTCAATTTATTTGATGCTCTTCAAGACTTCATCATTAAAGTAAAATTAATTTAGACACGAATAATTATCAATAGCGCAGAAAAAAAGAGCCATGCTCCAAAAGAAGCAGAATTTGTTATGGTAAATGGAGTCAACAAACTGTATTCAGCCACAAATAAAACTATAAATAGTTTGGTTTTATGTGAAATTGAGATGATTCATGAAATTAGCCAAACAATAACGTTGCTGTTTGTTTCTGGAGTAGTAATACTAGGAATATGTTTCACGATTTTGACTGTTTTTATTTTATTAATCAGTCGCAAATATAATAATTTGTGACACACACAATATTTAAAATGGAGGTTATGGATGGGTCCTTAGTCCTAATCCACCAGGCTGGACCCATAAACTGAATTCAGTGAGAGAAGCCAAGCTTCTTGAGAATTTCGGCTTGAAGAGAAGTGGTCTGGTTGAGGCTGGCAGAGACTAGAGGAATCTGAAAGGGCTTGATAACTTTAAGGTTCGACAGTTAGGCAGGTTAACCTACCGTTGTTCAGAGCTGTTATCATAGTTGAGCCTCAAAAAAAGAATATTTAGAAGACACTAAAAGTGCAAGAGAAAATTTCATTAAACTTAAGCTTAAATTTGTGACAGTTTATCAAACAGCTAACTCATCTATCATATTATGATCTTAAAAGTGCTTGCTTGGATAGATTGTCTGTTATCCACGGCATAGAGTGAACAGAATATGAGCAGGACAATCTCAACAGAAATAAAGCCACTCAAAATCCTTTGAATTTTAACATTAGTAAGAGGTATTTATGGAGACTAGGAATTTTTGTAGCATTTACAATAGCTTACTATCTTGTCGTAAATTTTGCTTTGTATCCAAAGTGTGAAGATTATTTAATTGTGAGGCCGAAGTTATTAGAAAATTACATCCATAGAAGAGCATTAATCCCTTTAATTGATTTTTGGACTATTGAAGGAATTTTAGCAAATAAAAATATAACGATTGTAGAGAAAACTGGGGGGATTGATTTTTTCAAAAATTTCCACGAAGAAATAGATGAAGGGATTCAGAATCTTTTGGATGCAAATCACAATTTAATTAAAAATACAGATTTAATGAGCAATGAGCTATTATCAAAACTTTTTGAAACTGGAAGCGGCAAAAACTTTGAATATGGAACATATGTATATGGGAATATTCTGATGTTCGATTCTAAAGCATATAGTGCGAATTCACAATCAGCATCATTCAAAAACATTGGAGATTTTAGCAGTAGCATGCAATCACTGGAAGAGGCAATGACTTCAAATTTTGGGTTGATTGATAAAAGCTCACAGGGATTAATTATAAGTCAACTCGATCATATTATCTATGCAATTATTGCGTATTCGCTTTTATCTGTAATACTTTTTTTCTTGTACTTTTTACCGTACATTCATTCCGAAACAAAAATGCTGCTTAAAATGCAAGATATTATGTTTTTGATAACGGAGTGTATGATAATAAAATAGTGACTCATGCGAAATTTAGCTTAATTCCCCTCATCGTGAAAGAAAATAGCCATAAGAAAATCCCTATTTTTCAGAAAACGCGCTTCGTGAGCGAGTAAAATTTTTGTAAAAACGTTGTGATATATAAGAGATAATTATTATATGAAATCTCTAGCTTATTGTATCAATTTTAAATAGTTTGCATTTAATTTATCAATTAAATTAATACTTCTTTTCTATTTTTTGTAATTATTATTTTAAAAAATAAACCTAGAAAATTACTATAATAAAAATTACTTCTTCGCTATTTCTCTTTTATTGAAGGGTGCAGTTAGAAAAATTTCCTCTTCTGGGCTCATTTTAGTTTTCCAGATCCTTACCCAGCTGCATTAAGTAATCATAGCAAGGGTTGCAGCCTTAATTCTGATCCTTAGGATTGTTTGGAAGATAGGGTTTTACTGCTTGGCACGCCTGAAGAAGGTAGCCTCATCAAGAACATGCAGGACTTAGATTGCATGTGACAGCAAGATGGCATCTTAAATATCTAATAATCGTAATCTAAACCTGGAAGAGTAAAAAATTCGAAAGCATAAAGAGAAATATAGGATTTGCCCTAGGATGGCGCTATATGGCGCCATCCTAGGGCAAGCGAAAATTGGCTCCACACGGGAACCGTATTCCACGTGTGGAGCCATTTTTCCACGTGTGGAATCCACATTTTCCCACGTGGAAAAATGGCTCCACACGTGGAACACAATTCCCGTGTGGAGCCGTGTCTCCAATTGCCCGAGGATGGCGCAATATAGCGCCATCCTCGGGCAATTTTCTATATAAATAAATTGCATTTTTTTATAATTGAATTTAAAACAATTAAACCTATTCTATAGTGATCAAATTTTTTTGGGATTTTTGATTTATTTAAAACAAAATTTGCATAAATAAAATATAACTCAACAAGTATAATTAGTCAGGTGATAATACGTTAAAACGAAACTCGATTAAAAATAATAAATTGATATAATCTAAATATAGTTAAAAACACCAAATCCTCAGTCGATTTGGAAAATCAGGACAGCCTGAGCAGTGCAGTGCCCAAATGGTATCTATACATTTTCCAATTAAAATAGTCTCAAATTTAAAATATGCAAAGCATATTATAAGTCCATCACTTATAAAGAAGGTCTAATTGCTTTGTCTGAATCTATTTTAATATTTTGAGGATAATTCTTTATGATTTCTATTTCAAGAAGATAATCATGACTGTTCATTAACAAAGAGCAATAAATTATATCTATTTAAACAGATTTTTGAGTACAAAAAGATGCAAATTTGTTTTCTTTGATAAATTGCCATCTTTTATAGGGGTTTCAAGTCCTGAATAAGTAAACACCGAAAAATTTTTCCAGCTTGGGCTTTCTAAAATAAAATAATGTCATAAAAGCATTCTTCTTGAATCACTTATAAAGTAAAAATCTTTTCTGATTTAATGTAAATCGATGAGAGTAATATTACAATAGGCTTAAATATGCTCATATCCAGCCATTTACTGAATCTAAATGCTTAATATCAATATTAAAAATATCAAATAAAGCTATTAAGCCAGTAACAGCACCCCTCTCAAATATCATATAATTTTAATTTTAATTTATCATAAAATCGTAGTTAAATAATATTAATCTTATCATTGAAATTCCCTCTATCTTTAAAGAAAATAAAATGGTCAATTTTATTGCAGAGCTCACAGCTAATGACTTTACTGCAAATAAAGTAAGAAAACTTCATACGAGATCATTTAATACACAGCTTAAAGATGCAATTTTTGAAGCTTTTAATACATATTTCAAGCCTAAATATCGATACAAAATGAAGCATTCTGTTCAGGTGCTATTTGAAATTTCGATAAATTCGATTTACTGTCTTCAACTCTTAACACTTGTTTTGCATCCTGGGGTAGATATAGCTGGTTGAGATCATTATACACTTATTTGATACATGATTGGGTGTTTTAGGTTCGATAATATTTGTGCTGATCTGGGAGTTCTGGATTTTTGTTTTTATAGCTCAGTCGGTATGATTGCAGTAGCATTTTTTAGTTTATGTGTGATGTCCATGCTGTGCTATATAAAATATTCAATTCCAGGAAATTTTGCATACTATCCTGGAAAATTACTGGAATTTTTATCAACAATTGGATATCTCCCTATTTTAATGATAAATTTAATTGTCATTAAATACTCATTTAATCCTGGCTCAAAAATAGATGAGTACAATTCAAACCAGTCCTTGAGCATGAGTATAATTTCCGTATTATGAGGAATAATAGGGATTTTCTGTGCAGTGGGTTTATACGCATTAGCAGTAATTCATGAACTCTTTACTTCTGATATTTGCCACTCATTTGCCGAAAGAAATATAAGAGCCAGAGCTGATACAGGAATTGACATCAAAGTACTTAAGCATAAAACAGCTATAGCTGTTATTTATGTCTTTGCCGGAATTGCTAACATAACTATATATCATCTTTACATCATGATTTCAACAGGAATTTTATCATATCTGATGTTCAAATGTAGCTCTTATTTTAACCCTTTTGTTGATGCATTAAAAATTTCTGTAATTCTTGGAATATCAATTTTTGATGCCTTTTTCTTACTTGCTTTGTGGACAGATGCGGCTGGAGTTGTGGTGTTGTTAAGCATTGTTATTTTGCCACTTATATTTCTTGTACTCCTGCATTATATCAGCAAGTTTTCAAAAAATTATGCAAACTCATAATCATTATCATTATTGGCTTATAAAAGCTTTGTCCAATATGGGGTTGCCTTCCTTCGGAATTCCTACCTTCATTGCACTTAGGGACCCACAAGCTCTGGGTCAGCCTGATTTAATCATATCCGATATGCTTGGGGACGAAGCTACTGACTTCAACGGCTCATGAGTGAGCTACTTTCTTCGCCATAGTGAGTTGCCAGCCAAAAAATTCAAAATATGGATCTTCTGTCGACTCTAGGCAAAAGGAAAAGCTTGGAGCCCAGGGAGTAACTTCTGGTTTCACGCTGGAAAGTTTTCCTATTGCACTATATAAGATCTGCTGGGTTTCTCTTTTCAAACTCCGCGCCTTCTTTTCCCGCGAGGTAAAATCCAACTCTAAAAAGGGACTAGGGCTGGCTCCACACACAAATGGAATTACTTGCTTAGCAAAGCTATTCATTTTTGAGTTGGAAAAACCTTGTCGGGTATAATTAAGAGGCTGCATAGCCAGCATGCCATATTTAACTATAAATTTATGCAAACTCAAGAATGGCTATAGTAGATCAGCATTCTTTTGAATTGAATATGAGACATATGTTGATTGACAGAACTGGTGTTTTCAGTGCAAAAGTGGTTGACAAATTCATCGAAGTTTATAAATCGCAATCATTCCCTATAGAAAAACTACTCGTTGCTTGGGAAGTTAATTATTGCATACATAGTATTAAAGATCTCGGCCTGGCAAGGATAAAGTTTGCCAGGATGACTGGTGCCAAGCATAGCATGGATGGAGAAATTCAAGAGTGAAGGATAAAGAAATCACTAGATTGCAATATGCAAAATTATTCGATAGAGTCTGATTTTTTATTTTATTTAATTGATTATGAGGAAGTCGAAAAAAAAGACGAAAAATTATGTTTAAGACTTTTGGCATTGTGAAATGAAATTACAAGTAAAAAACCGAGGCTAAACAAACTGGAAAATTCAGCTCATAAAGTTTCGAAATTAATTGAGAAGCTTAGAAATAAGTATATGTCTCTAATTACTTATAAGCATGCGAAGGCATATGAAATGTATGGGACCTTTCTCACGAATATTTTAAACGAAAATCAGTTCGGGAATTTAATTTTGAATAAGAGAAACACATTTATTAACAATGCTGAAATTAGAACAAAAAATGAAAGGAGGTTGATGAAATTTGACGATGAAAATGGGATTCTTCTTATTTCAGCAAGCAAGCAAGATTTTGGGGATATTGCATATATAAATCAAAAGGCAGCAGAAGCGCTTGAAGAAAATATCCATAGCGCTACAGGGAATAAAATATGGCAATATATTCCAAAACCATATCAAGATCCTCATCCAAATTATATGAAATCATGAGTAGAAAATTGTAAATCAACAGACGTTCCAACCCCAAGTTCGTTGTTTTTCTTAAATCAAATGGGTTTTCTGTTAGAATGCCAAGTTTTGGTCAGATTAACTGCATTTAATGGGCATCTTTACTTTATGGCAACTCTCAAGCTCGTCCAATCTCTCCGACAAGTTGCTCTTACATCTGAAAATGGTTACATATATGCTCATAGTTCGCATTTTTTAGAATATCTCAGTGTGAAGAAAAATTTAAGCCGTTGCCAATGAATTCAAGAGGTAATTCCAGATGTAAATTTTGAATCGATGCAAATTTACGAGCCAGAAATAATATCACCAAGAGGAATAGACATCGCTGTTGTTCACTGTATAAAAAACTATTTAAATTCAGAAATTCATTACGTTTTGCTTATTACCGATCCTATAGAAATCAAACAATGATGCAAAGGATTAGACTATAGCCAGCTCGAATACTATAAAAGACTAGAAACTTTTGCTGAAACAGAAAATTTTAATACAAGTATGGAACTTTCCAAGGCTTCTAAAGATCCTATAGCAACAAAAAAAAGAGTCCATTTAACCCATGAAGAAACTACTGAGTTTTCTAATACACTAGAGCTTTCAAGAATTGATGAAATTGCTAAAAAGCGAAAATTAAGTCACATTGATGATAGATCACTAACAGCTTCTATTTTGCAAAGCAATTCTTCTTCAGTAGCCAAATGTAATTACTATCTTAGCCCGAGGAAAATCAGTTATCATAAAATCTGAAGATTCGTTAAAGAAATTCAAATGAATCTTATTCATTTCAGTAAAGCCTACATAGATGATTGTAGTAATCGCTACAAATATAGCAATATCACAATTTAAAATGGCAGTTAGGGCTAGGATCACAGCCCTACAGCCCACTCAGTGAGAGAATTTTACACCTTCTTGAGGGTTTTGGGATCAAGAGAAGTGAGTCACACTTAGACTGGTGTGGGTAGAGAGGACTTGGGGACGTGGACAGTTTGATGGTTAAGTCGGCCTTGCCTAACGTTATTCAGAACTGTCAATTCAAGCCAAGACCTCAAGAATCTGGACTTGAATAAGCATAATTTTATCAACATTAGCATATAGCAATTTCTGTTTATATATCGCAAGCTGTGTCCCATTCAAAGTCCTTTAATTCATTTAAAGATCTTGCTATTATTTTATACCGTTTAGCTTCATTTGCTGAAATTTCACGCTCAATTTATTTCAGCATTCAATCAAAAATCGACTTTGACAAAAATGTTGCCTTGATGAATGAAGCTATTGATGAAATGACAATTTATCATCAATCTTTATTTGATGATTTGCATGAATGAAGCTATTGCTCAAGTTCTGATATTGTGACAGATAATATAATGTCTGCATGAACAGGAGAGAGTAAGCAAGAAATTTATTATACTAATTTGCTAGATGAAATACAAAATAGCATTAATACTGTATTTTTTACTTACTTCTCTACATAAGAGAGAGCAAAACCCTGAAAAAATTCTTTTTTTTTGAGGAAATTGTATTTAAGAGTATCAAATTATTTATAAATATATTAATGATCATTATAATGTGATTTTAGGCTAATTTTATTAAAATTGTAGAGAACTTGCATTCGAAAACATAAATTTATAAATTAAATTAGATTTTTTCGAATTCATTTGCAATTTGGAATTTTGAAAAATTTTTCTTATTCAATTTAAAAATTTTTAAAAAAAAATTTACTCATCAGTGGGCAGTCGGGTTCATTGCTAAAAAGAGTTAGGCAAATCAACTAGTAATAAAAGCAGCAAAACCTGAAAATTTTGATGATGAAATGAGGTATTTAATTTCTAATGGGCTTGAAAATATATACCAGAGGACTAATTCGTCATTAGGAGAACTTGTTGACTGCGAAATGCAAAGGATTTCTGATAACTCTGATATTATCACTATTTTATTAGTTGTAGGATTATGCGTTTCAGGATTATGCACTATAGTGCTTATTTATTATATTTTCTCCATTAGCAATAAGTATAACATTTTATGGAATTTTATCAAAAAAATCACTCATTTATCTTATTTTGAACTAAAAAGATGCTGCTTAGAACGACTTTGCTCAGTTCACGGAAATGATTATAATCAAGAAGAAGTGGATGCTGTATACCGAAATAAGCCACCAGAAGATAAACTCACATTTAAAGAAAATTTAAAATTTATTCTTCGACTTTGCATCTTTTTGCTTATAACAACGCTTTATTATATTTCAGTCCATGCTATATTATACGTTAAATGTGAAGAACTTTTAAGAGAAAGACCTAGATCCCCCTTTAAGAGAAGCAAAACTATTGGAGAAATCCTTTTTTTTTAAAGAAATAAGTATTTTAATAGCAAGAATTTTTTTGCATAAAATATGCTGATATATTTATAAATATTATTATAATGAATCCTCCAGCTAATTCTATTAAATTTCAGAAAGCTTGCATTTAAAAGCTTACTTGTGTAAGTTGCTAACTAATTATATTCGTAGAAGAGCTTTGGTGCCAAGAATTGACTTTTGAGCAAGGGAATCTGCTATATATGAAACTTCTATTGGATTGAAAACATTATTTTCTGAAAGGATTATTTTTAATAGCCCAGACACGAATTTGAACGAATCAATCAGCTTATTCAAAACAGCAAATGCCCAGCTGAGAGACTTCATGAACTATATGTCAAGCAGTCTTAAATCGAATCTTTATGAGCACTCTGAGCAAAGTCTTGAGTATGATTATGGAGCTGTATGAGTAAATAATTTGCTAACTTTTGATTCATTTAGGTTAGAAAATATTGAAGGGGATAGGATGAAAGATATTATGGAATTAACTAGCCAATATGCGGTGATGCAGCAATATATGAAAACCAATTTTGACATTATCAATAAATCTTCAGAAAATATGATTTCAGATGTATTGGATTGTTGCAAGTCTTTTAGCCGCGGCTTTTACCGGCAGTTTTTACTTCATTACCATTTGGTTGAAACTTTTTCCTCTTTAGTCGCTTCTTTGAGTAAAATCGTTATTTTCAAATAAATATCTGACGAGGAAAAAGTTTCGACCATATAGCATTGAGAAAGTGTCTTTTAAAAGAAATGTCTAGGAAAAAACTTGAGGCATATTGGACTATATTATTGACTTAGTTGTAGCATATACAATAATGTCATTACTCTTGTATTTATTTTATTATTTGCCTTATCTTTCTGGGGAAATTAAAAGGCTCTATAAGCTTCAATTAATTATAGCAATTATTCCTAAAGCATAAAGAGCATTTGTATAGATAAGTTATTAAAGGAAATGCTGATGTAAAAAATTGCGAAAATTATCTCATAATTTTTAATTATATTTTTTAATAAATTAACTTCCTTTTTAAATTGGAACAAAATTCTGTTCCTATTTTTGGGCTTGAAAAATATAAATTGAATGCGGTATTTGATTTTTAGTTTATTTCATAAAAAAAAAATTAAAAGGGAGTAAATCAAAATACTTTTGAACTAAAAATTATTAGTTAGTTAATACAATAGTTATAGAATCATAAATAAATGAAGATAGAACAGAGGTCATAGCACCAATAAGCCTAATTTTTATTTATTAAAGTTATGATGAAAGTTACCAAATCCTGGCAAGTCTTAAATGCCTATTTAAACAAACATTTCTTATTTGTTTTATAGTCTATTATTTACTGCCTAAATATTTAAATTAGCTATATAATAGTTAAATCTTTATTTTGAATGCTTTAACACAATAATAAAACTTCAAAATTAATTTCTTGCCATAATTTACTATATGTCTTATCAAATTAATAGATATATTTCACAATCTTAAAATTCATTAATTTGATTATAAATATAAATGCTCGATGAAGACATAGACGCTGAAACTAGAAAATTGTTCTTCTCAAACAAAGCAAAATCATGAAAAAAATCAAAACTTTGCAAATTAAAAAATGTTCTTCTCGATAATCTTGGAATAGTATTCAAACCTTTATATGACAATAAAACCAGACAGCGAAGCCAATATTTAGTTGAAATTATAATAAATACTATTAACTGCTTCCAAATTCTTTCATTTACTTGGTACCCTAATATGCATACATTAAAATGGCGACGGCGATCCAGCCCTTTTTCTCAACACCTGTAGCCTGCGTTCGCAAGGGATCTTGTGGAAGGGAGAAATGCGCTTGGAATATGTATCTGGCTAGGTTTTACCTTGGCGCAGTAGAGCGCAACGTCGGATTAGGCCGACCGCAGCTCATTCTGACACCAAGGGTTTTGCCTCAGGGGAAATGGTTTCAAAGGTTGGAAAGGGGAAGCTCAGTAGCATCAGGAAGGTACCTCCTGATCAATCGTAAACTCCCTAGCGTGAAACTGGGCGTTACGTCCCAGGCTTTGGATTTCCATCTTACAGACAGTCCTACTAGAAAATTTGTTTTTCAAATTTTCAGAATGGAAACCTCTGTTGACGTACTAGGAGCAACATCTTGAAGGTCGTGATCGATTGGTGGTGAGCAACCGGGTGAAGCGTGAAGTGTGAAGTTAGGGCAGGGAACCCTAGTCAATACGACAGGCCTCTCTATAATATTAGTTAATGTTAATGTTAATGGTACCCTAATATGCCTATGGTCCGACTCAACTGAGACCCCGGACCCCCACCCCCCATCACCCTACTCCCACATACAGTCACTGGGATATTAGCAAAAAGAGTAGCAAATTATGAGAATTATATCAAAATATATGCATCAAAAAAAGTTAAAGCATTTAATAAATTATAAAAAATATAATAATTTATGAATTCCGCATATAGTCTCCATATAAGATTCCTTTATTTAATACGTCAGATGAAATATTATTATGTGGAGCAGGCTACCTCTTTTTTAATTTATTCATGATACACATTCTACCTTTTGTTTATAAAATCAATTTAATGTTATATAGCTTTGGATATGCACTTCATAAGGAGTGCACTCTATGGAAAGCACTTTTCTACTGCTTTTATACTTTTTTGAATTCTTTGGCGATTCTGGATGGATTCTCTTGCATCCTACTTCCGAAATTCATACTTCTTCTGTCTTATGTTGACCATTTATATGCCATTCAGTCTAAAAGCATATTATTAATATTCATTTACTTCGGTTTTAATATAATTTCTCTCCACCTTAACTTTAATTACATGAAATCTTTAAAGATTAATACACAATTTAAATAAAATATACTTCTTTATTTGCAGCTTTCTCTAACTTTTAGGCAAAAAATTGTAATAAAAAATAAGAGAAAAAACTTTCATTCATATTAAATACCTTATCTAATGTCAATAATTATCTAATTCAAAGCATTTTTTCAGAAGCTATGCTTAAATAAATATTTACACATTCTGCTTGGTACTAAAGAAAATTTATATCTATCAACTATTTTTAATAATGAAGATATCAGATACCCTAACTATATTTATATGTAACAGTTCTATTCTTTAAAATTAATGATAGATTTGGCTTAGAATTTGCATTTATATGCTTGCTATGCGAATATTCATAGTCTTAATTATACATGATATGCAAGGGGGGGTCCGGGGGTCCCGGTTGTGCTTGACCATGCCTATTTCAAACTGGAATCACAATTTTTTGGTTTGAAAAGTTTTAAGTTACTTTAGTATTGATAATATGTGCTCTGAGATGAGTGTTGTCAATGCTTGCTATTATGGAGCTTTATCATATTTAGGTCTATGCTTGCTAGGCTTTATAGCAGTTTGCGTTTTAAGCTATTTGAAAAGAAATATCCCTGATTTTTTTATTTATTTAATATCAAACTCATGAAGCTTTTTTGCAACAATTGGATTTTTGCCATCATTTGTGCTATTTCTTTGTATATGGAAATACTCAACATTTTCTTACACAAATGGAACAGAATTCTCTCAAATGAATATAAACGATTGGAATTTTGGTACTCCGGGAGCAGTAATAAGTATAATTGGAGTATTAGTATTAGCTAGTGGATCGCTAGTGTATGAATGATTTACTGCTGATATCTGTCATTATCATGCCACAAAAAATCTAATTTCGAAATCAAACTCTCACGGCGGAGTCAATATTTTATTTTTTAAAATGCTAATTGGCTTGATGTATTTATTTCTTGGATATCTTGATATTGTATGATATGAAACTTGTATAATCATAGTATGTGCTGCTCAAGGCTACTCAATGTTTAAAATAAACAGCTATTATAACCCCATAATGAATTCAATCAAGATTTCAAGATCTCTTACAACATGCCTGTGAACTCTAAGTTTCATACTAGGGCATTGACTAGATGACGCATATGTTATCATATTTTTAAACATTTGTTTTGTACCCACCATTTTTGCACTTTCTGTTTACATCTTGAGCCATAGATCGGAAGCTAAATTAAAGGATTTGGGGTCTCTTAAAAACCAATACGAGTTTGAACTACAATATAGGCATCTGCTTGTCAATAAGAATGAAAAAGACTGTGAAAAGGTATTAGACCTTTTTATTAAGGCGAATAAAATCTCAATGTTTGTGAAAGACAAATTAATGGTTGCCTGAGAAGTCAATTATTGCATTTGAAATATGAAAAACATAAGACTTGCGAAAATAAAGTTTGTGAAAATGAAAGAAACGAAAAGCAGCATTGAAGGAGATATTCAAGAATGAAGAATAATGAAAATTATGGATAAATATCAAGATAATTTATCAATATTTTCTTATCTGATTGAGCTAGATCGAGCTGTGAAAAAAGATGAAAAATTATGCAACTTACTAATAATGATGTGGAATGAAATAATTGCTAAATCCCCCAAACTGGAAAGGCTAGAAAAATTGTCACACAAAATCCCAGGTGTAATCCTAAATACAAAAAAACAATATGAAGTTTTAATTGATATGAAAAATTCTAACGTTCTAGAAAAATATGGAACTTTATTAAACAACATTCTCTGCGATTATGAGAAAGGAAACACAATTTTAACGAAAATGAAAATAGTCCAAAAAGCAGAAAAACATCACGCAGTTTATGACTGAGATAAAGGAAGTATACTAATTTCAGCAAATAGCAATGATTTTGGGAAAATAGTGATAATTAATGACAAAGCTGCAGAAATATTGAAAGACTCGAAATTTGATATAATTGGAAGTGATTTTACTGACTATGTTCCTCCTCCTTTTCAATACGGGCACGCAGAGGTTGCTAAAGCTTATATAGAAAACTGTAAATGTCCTGATGTTACAAAGCCTGCAAACTTGTGGGTTTTAGATTTAGAGGGGTTTATAAAAGAATGTGAACTCTCTATAAGCTTAACTACATATTTATCTCATATGTATTTTGTTGTATCAATAAATCTTCTTCTTTCAACAAGGCAAGTGGCCCTTATTTCTGAAGATGGGTGCATATATTGTCACAGCTATTTATTTCCATCATATATAGGAGTTCATCGAAGAATGGTGAAGCATGAATATATCCAAGATCTCCTTCCAAGCTTAAATTTCCCTCATATAACTCCTTTTCAGCCGGTCTCATTGAATTTCTCAGGACATGAATTAATTGTGGTATATTGTACTGAAAAGATAAAAGCACGAACTATTAATTTTATATTAGTTGTAAGAGATCAGAAAGAAATAACGTCATGAATGGAAGGAGAAGGTGTTCTTCAAAGTGAAACTATTATTAATATAATGAATTCAAGCATCGCAAATGAAATTAACTTCCAACTACTAGCTGCTGAGAATGAAAAAGTAAAATTTTCTTTTGAGGATGACAATGAGCAGGCAGCGAACCAAACTGTAGAAGAATTGCTACCAACACATAGCGGAGATAAGAAATTAAAAGATGATAAGCCAATAGATAGTTCTTCTGCACAAAATAGCTCTTCTCAAGGCAATCAAAGTATTTTCTAATTAGATAGAGGAAAGGTAATTATAAATCAATTAGAGAGAACCTTGAAGCAATTCAAAATCATTTTAATTCTCACTGTATCTGATATTTAGATCGCTGCTATGGTTGCAATGAATATTGCAATTTTTATATACATTTATGATGCAGTTTCGCATTCTTTATCAGTAACTGTATTTGATCATCTTGGAGTAATATTTTTCCGATTTATCTCTGTGGCAGGATATGCGAGGGTTGTTGATTACAGCATATTTATGAATTCAAGTATCGAAAAGAACATAAACATCTTTAATCGGGCTACAAATGATTTAGATTCCATTGAAGATTCTATTTTATCTGACTATGAATGGTGGAGTTATTGCAAAGGTTCTGAAATTGTCAATGAAAATTTATTAAATGTGTGAAATTTTGAGAATGAGCCAAAGCAAAATAAAATGAATTTAAATGACGCTACTAATTTATATTTGACAAATGTAGGCTCTATTTAGGCCAGATTATTTTCAAAGAATGCTGCAAATTCAGTAGACTATAAAAAGCAATTAATGTTTTTATTTGCAAATGGTTTAGGAGATATGGTTATGCAAACCAATTCATCATTATCTGATCTTGTGGATTGCGAAATCAACAGAATCAGCCAGATTTCAAATTCAATTGTCATTTACTTGTTTATAGGTATTTCTATCCTCGGGCTCTGCGCGATTGGCTTAGCAGGAGGTATTTGGTTTATTAATAAAAAATATAATGATATCTGAAATTTTATCAGGACAATTACAAGTGCTTCATATTTTGACTTAAAAAGCACCTGTATAGATCGCCTTCTATTAGCTCATGGAGTTGATTATTTTTCAGAGTCTGATTTCCCAAAAAAGGCTTTTCAAGAGCCATTGAAGTTCAAAGTATATTGAAAATACCTCAAATGGCTATCTGTTTTCTTTGTGACTTCTACAATTTATTACATTATAGTCCATGCTTTTCTTTATTCACGATGTGAGTCACTCCTGAAAAATCGCCCTATAGAACTTACAAACTATATTCAGCGGCGAGTATCTTTGTCAAAAATAGAGCTTTGGTCCAGAGAAGTAGAATTGGAAAATACATCAATAAGCATCCAAAATTTATTTCCAACATCCTTTGACTTTAAAGACCCTTCTAAGGAGCGAGATGAGGCCTTAACTTTTTTGAAGTATACAAGCTGGGTTTTAGAAGTCAATATCCCTACTATGTATAAAAGTATGAAAGAGCTAGTTTTTGTTGATGGAAATTCTTCAACTTATTATACCCAATATGGGAATTACGCAGCAATTAATATATTTGCATTTGATGGGTTAGCACTTCAATATAACACTGATTTGGAGTCCAATATGGTTTGAACAGACAATTTGATATCGCTTAAAATATCATTGCAAAACAACTATCAAATTATAAACGAAAACTCCAAAAAGGTCATTACAGATGAGAGAAATCTAATTTCCTATTCAGTTGTCGTTTATTCGATTTTCACTGTTTTTTTGTATTTTTTATTCTATTTGCCGATATTATCAAGAGAAACAAAAAATTTAGAAAGATTCCAAACCATTGTTTCACTTATACCAGATGCATCTAAAGCAAAAAGACGAAAAGATACTTAATTAATAAGCCTCACTAGAGAGCTGATTATGAATACTAATTTTATAATAAACAATTCTTTTGCTTTACATCTGGACTATAAACTCCCTTAAAGAGAATACCTAATTAGATTAATAAAAATTCCCATAATCTGTTTATTTAAGGCCATTATTCCTCTTTGAACTGGGAAAATGTGACTCCCACATTAATTTCTTTAGACAAATTCAAGATCTTTGAGATCCCTACAATTTTTTTGACAGCTTCTTCTTCATCTTGTTCAGTGATTGCATCAATATCACTTCTCCTAATAATTTCTTTGGCTTCCTGCCAGTTTGTGCCACAGAGTCTTGCGACGATTGGCTTTGTTAAATGAATTTTGTGAGCAGCTGAAACAAGTCCGTGGGCAATGATATCACATCTCATGATCCCTCCAAAGATATTGATTAAAATTCCATCAACTTGGTCGTTAGTTTGAAGGATCCTGAGTGCATTCACAATTTGGTCTTCTTGAGCTCCGCCGCCAACATCTAAGAAGTTTGCAGGGTTTCCACCAACCAATTTAATTAAATCCATCGTGGCCATAGCCAATCCAGCTCCATTTACTAAGCAGCCAATATTACCATCCATTGCAATATAACTAAGCCCATGCTTTTGAGATTCAATTTCATTTTGATTTTCTTGTCTTAAGTCTCTTTGAGAATAAATCCCTTTCTGTCTGAACGACGCATTTTCGTCGAAATTCAGCTTTGCATCACAGACAAGAATCCTGTTATCATCAGTTATTCCTAACGGGTTAATTTCAAGCTGAATCATGTCTAACTCTGCAAAGGACTTATAGAGGTTGCGAAGAATTTCTTCAAAGCTTCCTAGAAGTGCTTTTTCAATGCTGAGAGCAGCTGCAGCTTTTTCCACCACATCAGGAGTTATTCCTTTGTGAAGGTTTATAGCGATATTGTGGATTTCGTGCGGCTCCTTTGCAGCGACTTCTTCTATATCCATTCCTCCTTTTGGAGAAGCTACAAGTACAGGACCACCAAATTTTCTGTCTAATAAAATTGCTAGATAAAGTTCTTTTTTCAAAGACAGTTTTTCAGCTATCATCACTTGATCGCATGGCTTGCCCTTACTCCCCCCCTCCGTGAGTGAACAAAAAAATTTTGTTCACTCACGGAGGGGCTTTAATTTTTTTTTTTTAAAAATTTATATATAAATTTTATAGAGAATTTTTTTTTTTCGAAATTTAAAAAAATCCTAATTTGCAAAATTTGGGAAGCAAATATTAATTTAATTTGCAAAGTTTATGTTTTAAAACGCAATTTGTTTAAAATTAAACAGAATTAGCTCTAGATTTCATTATACTAATTATCACTTATATATCAAAATTTTTTTCCATTAAATTTTTTTCTATTAAAAAAATTTTTGTTCACTCACGGAGGGTGGGTTTTTGGTCAAAAAATGACGATTTTTCTAATGGTTTTGTTCACTCACGGAGGGGGGGGGAGTTAGCACCAGTTTGCTTGGTTACTAGAGTTTGCCCAATCATTTTTGAAGCTTAACTTAACTTATTAGTCGATGTTTAAGGTGCCTAGTGCCACATCCTAAATAAATAGGGATTTAGCTAAACTAGTGACGTCACGGAGCCATCTTGGAATCGCGGTGGTCAGCCCACCAGCCAAGCCTTCTATCAGCGCTTCGCCTCCAGTCGCCGCACATCTCACCCGGCGCGTTGCCGTTGTCTTCCCTTAACTCAGCTCCTGCGAGTGCTCCGCCTAAGGGTCATCCTCCCGTGGGGATGTGCTGAGAGGTAAAACTCTGAGCCTCTTGAATGCACTGAGGAGCTGTTCCTTTGGTTATCCCCAAAGTTAAACAGCTATTGCTGTGCAGAAGTTCTCGAGAGAGAACCCAACCCATAAATAAAACTGCTTGAGGAAGAGAAAATTGGCAAAGCCAATTTCTCTCGGACCGAATGCCATTTTATTTATAATTATTTTTGAAGCAATTTCTCTGACATTATCTACAGGGCATACGTGGACTCCTCCTTTGAACTGACTAGGGATGAAATGCCCTTTTCCTCTCCCACCTGCTAATACTTGAGCTTTTACAACCACTTCTGGGATTCCAAGTTTTTGGGCTTGCGAAACAGCTTCGTCTGGGGTTACTGCGACGAGAGAAATAGGAGTGGGGACTTTATACTTGTTTAATACTTGAATACTCTGATATTCATGAAGATTATAGTTTCTAGACATAATCTTCTGAAGGGAAGGTGCTCTTAATAGCCTCGAAAACATATTTAATTATTCAAATTTCGCAGAGATAAAATAATTTGTGTAAATGACTGAACAGAGAGGTAATGAATTCTCATAATTTTATTATCAGTGGATTGCTCTTTCATTTTGAGGATTGCCAAAGAAGGAAATTTGATATTTTTGCTAGGAATGTATAAATAATATCAAATTGCCTGCTATCAAACAGCGGTAGATTCTCCAAATAACTATCAGACGAGAGCAGAATTTCAAATTGAAAATTTTGGCTTCGATTTTACAAAAACTCAACTTACTCCCCCCCCCCCTCCGTGAGTGAACAAAAAAATTTTGTTCACTCACGGGAGGGGTTAATTTTTTTTTTTTAAAAAAATTTATATATAAATTTTCTAAAAAATATTTTTTTTCGAAATTTAAAAAAATCCTAATTCGCAAAAATTGGAAAGCAAATATTAATTTAATATATAAAATTTATGTTTTAAAAAGCAATTCGTTTAAAATTAAACAGAATTAGCTCTAGATTTCATTATACTAATTATCATTTATATATCAATTTTTTTTTTCCATAAAAAATTTTTGTATTAAAAATATTTTTGTTCACTCACGGAGGGTGGGTTTTTGTGCAAAAAATAGGGATTTTTCTAATGGTTTTGTTCACTCACGGAGGGGGGGGGAGTTAGTAATTTCATTGGTCCGAACAAAAATTTTAAAACGAACCATTATAATATGTCATTAGTCAAAATCTTATTTGTAAATATCATAATTCCGGTAACTCATAATTAAGAGTTGGGCAAATAAATGTTGCGTTTAGGCAAATCCAATTAAACTTGCTCATTGATGATATCGAAATTATCAATATTTATTCTTCTGTATGTGGGTGTGCACTATTAATTTTTCTGTTTAATTGTTTTTTATGAATAGAATTTAATATTAATCAGTACCTTTATAAATAAAATCCTTATGGTTAACCTATCCTCTCTTTATTGGGATGATTCTTTTAGCTGTTCTAAAAATGGTTTGATGATCCCTTCCAACTTATCAGCCATCTTATAATAAACTGTGTCTTTTTTGTTATAATTTCTGCAATTCTTGAACATCTTTTCCACATCTTCCACAAACTTTGCTACATCATAATGTCCCCTGTCGACGTTTTCTTTCATCGTTTTCAAATCCATTGGTTCTTTAATGATTTCATAATAATCAGGAGCTACATCACTCCCTACAGGCTCCCTAAAGGGCCAAGAAGAGTTATCAGCTAGCATTTGATCAATAATAAAATGAAAGCAGCTTGCTTTGGCGTCTTTTTCTTCTTCCTGATAAGAAACTTCTTGATTCGGGTCATAGTTGACTTCTTTTAGTCCAGGGACTTCTTCATAAGTGCAACTTCCATTGTCAATTAAGCTTTGGCATGGCTCTCTTACAACCTGGTATAATGAAATTTTTGCAATTTGTTCTTTTACATATTCCAGCTGCTCTCTAATATCATGATTTATTATTGTATAGTCGATATCTACATCTAGTTTGCAAACCATAAGTGTCCCTCCGTCATAATCTTTTATGTATCCTTTTCATATAGATTCTGGCAAAACTGGCTCTACTTCAGTCGTGAAGCCTTGCTTTTTGAAATATCCCAGAGCAAAATTGTCAGCATAAGTTAAAAAGTATCTGATCCCTTCTTTCATTACGTAATTTTTCAGGTTATTCATAAGCTGCGTTCCATATCCTTTTACTTGTTCAGAAAAAGTTACTGCGAGAAAGGCGATTTCAGAGAAAACTTGCCTTTCAAAATATCTGAAACAAACCCCGCCAATAATCAGATCACCCTTAAAAGCGACCATGCTTTTATGATTCCTATCAAGAACAAGCCTTACAATGTATTCGCCAGGCATTTTAGGTAGCTGCTTTCTGAAAATGTTTTTGAGCTTAATAAGTGAAATGAGATGCTCTGGAACACCATCATTTGTGATGATTTTGTAGTGAAGAGGCTGGTCTGCTTCCATTTAGATTATAAATTTCTTGATCTTAATCTTAAATTACATTAATGAGGCGACTGCCGTGCTGTTTACGCAGACACCAAGGACCTCGATGTGAGGTTCACCTGCTTTGCGCCTTGTGCCCAAAAAGCCATAAAGACTTGCCAAAGGGGAAACACGTCTACTCCTTCCCGCAGCGTGCTGCGGCTTAAGTCTTGAGTGGGCAGGCTATGGAATCCTGCGGCTGCTGCTTGAGTTACGAGAGTTGGCTTTCCGAAATTCCAAAAAATGGAATTTCTGGTCACCTTTCGGCAAAAAATGGAAATTCCAAGTCCTGGGACGTAACGCCCAGTTTCACGCTAGGTAGTTGCCCGAATGGTCTAGGCATTGCCTGTAGACTCTGCTGGGCTTACCCTTTCCAAACTTGGACACCCTTTCCTCTCTGGGAGAAAATCCATCCTAGTCGTTGGGCATGGGCCAGGCTCTGCTCTGCAGAATTGCTTACCATGGCATTGTTGCCCCATTTCTGGAATGGCAAAACCTTGCCGGATATAATTAAAATATGAGTCGAGTATGTATGGCCGCGAGGCCATACCCAGACGAAGACGCCACATTTTAATTATAGATTATAAATTTCAGTAAATCTTAATTAAAATTATAAAATATCTTTAAAGTCCCTTGAGAACTGATTGTAAAAATCACTTCTTTGACTTCGTTTAGTTTAAATTTTGAGTTTGCTAATGATACAACTCTTTTAGGAGAGAACATTGAGAACTCCGCTACTTTTTGGCTTCTTGGTCCGAAAGCTTCAAAATTATTGTTTTTTTCTGGGTCTTTTTCAGAGTTCTCACCAAGAGTTTTCCATATGAAAAATTTCCCCTTTTCTGAGCCACATATAATGCGATCAAAATCTGAAGAAAAGCTGGCAGAAATTGGAAATTTGGAGTTTGAAGTTCCTTTATATTTTTGGATTAAGTTGCTCGTTTTGTATTGGAAAAGTCTGAGTCTTGAGTCATTTGTGGTTATGAGAAGTAAATCATTATTAGTGAATTCAAGCCCTGTGACTTTTTTGCCGAAACATTTGAAGCCAGAGCGATTTCGGGATTTCAGAATTGAATGGAAACGTAAGCGTAAATCGGAGTTTGGACTTTGATAAAGCATCACTTTTCCATGGGATAGGCCAGCAACGAGAAAATCACCTAGTGGTGAATATTTAATTACATAAATATCGCTTGCAACCTTATAGTTGGCTTCGACCTGTCCGGATGTAATATTGAAAATTCTTATGATACGATCTTCAGCTGCAGTTGCAAAGTATCCTGAAATAGTTGGATGAAAACATACAGAATGAACAGGGCACGGATGCTGATATGTAAAAATCGGATTTTCGCTTTTGTTCCATAATCTTACAGTGCAATCCAGTGAAGCTGATATTAAAAGGCCTGCTTGATTCCAGCTGAGATCAGTCACTTTATCTGTGTGGTGAGTCAAAATCTGAGTTGGGGTTGATTTTAAAATCTCGCTTTCATTTATCATGAGATTTGTGTCATATATTGAAATGATACCAGAATTTCCAGTTACAGCTAGATGTTTTGAGCTTTCACTGAATTTCATAATCCAAGCCTCGTTTTTAGAGTTTCGCACTACATTTAACTCTTGCGCTAACCTCCCACTTATCGGTAAGGATTTATAAAAATTTTGTTGATATAAATTAAATTAAAATTACTATGAATAAAAATCAATAATAGCAAGAAAAGATTGAAGGAATTTTAATAATACTACTTTAATAAAGCAATAATGAGTAAGTGTAAATTTGAAAAACTGATGTCTTCTATTATTTCTGATTTCAGTCTCAATGGGAAATCATGGACATCAACTCCACTTTTAAGTGAAAAAGATTTTTGTATAATTAAATATGGCGTCTTCGTCTGGGCATGGCCTCCTGGCCATGCAGCCTCGACTCATATTTAATTATATCCGGCAAGGTTTTGCCAGCTCAGAAAGGGACAGCAATGCTAGGTAAGCAATTCTGGTTGTGTTCAGAGCCTAGTCCAAGTTTATTTTCAGGTTGGGTTTTTTCCTCATGGGAAGGAAGGCATGTCAGTTGGAAAGGGGAAGCCCAGCAGATTCCTAAGGACCAATCGGGCAACTCCCTAGCGTGAAACTGGGCGTTACGTCCCAGGCTGCATGTTTTTCCTTTTTGCCGAGAGCCGACCAGAAAATCCATTTTTTGGATTTTCGGAAAGGCAACCCATGTACAGAAGCAAGTAGCTCACTCATGAGCCGTCGAAGCCGGTGACATTTGCCCTAGGCGCATCTTGGTGATCGAGATGGGTTGGCCCAGCAACCTGTTGGCCCGGTGCGGCGAAAGGCGAGTGGCGGGCCTGGGATAGTCTACCCCGTAGTGGACGTTAAACGTTATAATTAATTAGAATTAGAAAAAGATTTTTGTACTGATCTGATTGATGTACGATCAGAACTCAGACCAAGATTTTCATGCATTGATCCCGAGTCTCTATAGTCTGAAATTGACGTAATAGATTTTACGAAAGGGAATCTTATAGTTTCTCGAGGATAAGGGCCTATTGATGCCTTTTCTAATTCCAAGGGCGATTCAAAAGCATCAAAAAATTCTTCTTTTTCTCCTCCATCACAATGATCGTCTGATGCTATCATAAACTTATGTGAGATTTATTTTAATGAAACTGTAAGAGTAGTGATAAATAATCAAATTTCTTAATAAGCAAACCTTTGCTTAATTAGCATATAAAAAATGAATTCATTTGCAATAAAGGCTCATTGGGGCATCATGCTGACCCTTTAATATCCTGAAAAAGGAATAATCTTCTTTTCTTTAGGGAAAGAGCTAAGGGTTAAATTCAAAGCATCAATCATTACAATTTTACCAAAACTCAAACAATATATAAGCATGATTTATTATATACATAAGATTGTAGGTGTGTTATAGGATAATAGATATCTATAGACTAGGAAGGAGTATTTGGCAGTTTAAGTGAATGTGAGAGCTTCTACTAACGATCAAGGAAGCTCCAAGATGTTTAGCTAGCTCAATTTCTATTGGATGTCTCTTTGATGATTGATTAGAAATATCCATTTATTATTAGAATAGGAAAACCAGGCCAATTTTTGATTCCATTTTAGCTTACTGGCCCCATCCTTGACCAAACGGCTCGCCATCGTTCGATCAAGGATGGGTTAAAAAAAAATTTTTGGGGAAAAAAAATTATATATATATATATATTATTTTTATTTACTTTTAAATAAGAGGGTTAAGAGTATTCAATAATTATTTTACAGCAAAAAATTGAATTAATTTCATAGCAATATCAATTTTTAATATTTTGATTTTTGGGTTACCCCTTTAAACTGTATAAATTTTAGTTCCTTATTGAATTAAAAATTTAAATTTTAAAGAATCTCTATTTTTTAGATTATTGAGTTTTTAAGCCCAGGTTGATGACTAAAGCACTTCGGATGCTTGATTTCGTAGCTTTCTGTCATCTCAAAGCCTCTGACAACAACTTCATTAGGCACATCTTCCCAAGCTTTTGATAACTAATATGTTTTTATATATATGTAAAAATTTGAATGACATGAAAATCGTTCGATCAAGGATTGGGGTTAATTTTCCCAATTTTAGGATTTTTTACAGTGAGTCGTTCGATCAAGGATGGGGGGGGGAGTTAGGTATATGTAATAAATTCAAGCCAGACAAAATTAATAAACTGCACTTTTTAAAACTGGAAACAATATTTAATTTAGCTTTCGTTTAAGTTCCATAAGATATTATGCACAATAATTACTCATAAGCATAATAATTAGTTTTACAAATGTTGCACAAATGTCGATCCATTATTAACTAAATAAAATAAGCGATTGAAAAGAAGAAAAAATATTATGCGAGTTTATGAATATCTCTCCATAGAATTGTATTTTAATTCCTAGCACTATCCATTATAATTTCAAGATAAATTATTTGAAAATCCTATTATTGTAAAAATATTGAAATAAAAATAATAAGCCGATCTTCTTACTCCATCCGTGAGCGTGAGCAACAAAAATTTTTGTTCGCTCACAGAGGGAGGTTAATTTTTTTTTAATATAAATATTATAGTAAAATTTTTTTTTCGAAGTTTAAATTAGGAAGAATTAGCTACAGATTTCATTATAATAATTATCACCGATATATAAAATTCTTTGTTCGCTCACGAATGGTGGGTTTTTTGGCAAAATAGGGATTTTTTCAATGGTTTTGTTGGTTCATGAAGAGGGTGGGAGTTAGTTTAATTGAAAATTTGTATATAAGTTACAAAAAAAATAAATGGCTTCTAGATATTTGTCCTAGCCCAGAATTCTCTAACCCCCTCTCTATGAGCGAAAAAAATAAATTTTGTTCATTCACGGAGGGTTAATTTTTTCGAGATTTAATTTGTAAAAATGGAAAGTATATTAATTTAATTTGTAAAATTTATGCTTTAAATTACAATTAAAATTAACCAGAATTAGCAAGAGATTTCATTATAGTATTTATCACTTATATATCAAATTTTTTTTCATAAAAATCTTTTGTTCGCCAAGGAGAGGAGTAAACAAGAGAAAGCTCACTTACCCACAAAACATTTTAATCCACAAAATATTTTTATATTACAATTTTCTCACATTTAATATAATTGAAGTCCCATTAAATCCCTAATTCTGTAATCGTTTTTATAAGACCATAATCAATACTGATTGAAATCCATTTTGTGATAATGAATAACTCTATTGAATTCCTATCAAGCGAATTTCAGCAAAAAAATCTATTGCTGCCCGCAGGCTCTGGAGACATTATTCTCTTCATTGCCAAGAGCTTATCGAAACTCTTCTCGATCTCACAAATTACATACAAAAATCTGGAGCAAAATCTGATAAAGTCGTGCAAAATCCTAACAAATGCTTCTTGAATTGAAGTCTTAATAAAAGACCAAAACAAGTTGCGAGTCTTAGGTGACAAACAGCAAAAAGAATTTTTTGAAATAAATTCAAACTCCTTGCCTGGGTTTGTTGCCGAAAATAAATTATTCCAAATTATAAATAACCCTCAATCTTCCCCTTTTTACTCAAGCTTTGGGGACAAGCTGCTTCCTTTCAGCAGAGAACATGAATGTTTCGCTGAGCCAAGTTCAGTCTGTGCAATCCCAGTCTTTTCTGGATCAGAAGAATTGATGGGTGTGGTAATACTCTATAACAAACTCAACCACAAAATGGAAAAGGCCCAATTTGTCCATAACGATGTACTTATTGTGCAATCAAGTGCATTGCTGCTATTTGAGCTTTTTAACTATTCAAAGTTTTTCAATAAGCTTCAGCAATCAAATACCCAGCTATTAACTCTCCCTCCCTCAGTGAGCGACAACAAAATTTTGTTTCTCCCTTGAAGGGGGTTAATTTTCACCTCAGAGGGAGGATGAAACGCACATGATCGAAGATTGCCCCCGATATGATGAAACCCCGAAAGGAGCTCACAGCCAGGCTAAAAAATCTAGTGCCAGCTTTCTGCGACCTTAGGCTGGCGGATGTGACAATCTACAGCTATACCTTCGAGAGGCACATTTGTGAGAAAGCCGATGCGATGAATGCTTCTAAGATCGATCAGGCCATAAAGGCCTTTCATGAGAAGATCTTGGCATTGAGAGCCGAATGAGATGACCCCAATAGGACAGGGAAACGAGAGGTAATCACCCAAGCAAGCATTTTCCACTATTTTGTCAGAGCTGTTTAGAAAGACCAAATCAAGAACCTCAACAGAGCACCATCTACACAGTCTTAAGTGGCATAAGCCACGCTGGGCCTTAGGCCTTAAAGTAAAAAATGGAAATGGAAATGGAAGGGGGTTAATTTTATTTTTTATTTCTAGTAAATTGCTTAATAATCTCAATTCGCAAATTAGAAAGCTAAAATTAATTTAATTTGAAAAAAGCAAGCTGTTAAAATTAAACAGAATTAGCTGGACATTTCATTATAATAAGTATTTATACATCAAAAACTTTTATAAAAAGATTTTATAATAAAAAAATTCGCTCACGGAAGTGGGGATTTTTCCAATAGTTTGCTCACTCACTGAGGGGGAATAAGCAACGAAGAGGAAAATATGCAAATCAGCCAATTATCGAGCCAGCTAACAAGGAGAAAAAATCTACTTGCAAGGGCCAAAGAATTAATAAAAACAGAGAATGTCATCACTGATGAAATGATTAAGCTGCTATCTGATTGCATGAAGGCACAAGCGACAGTTTTGTATCTAAATGTGAGCCAAGAACTTGAACCTGTTTTTGTGTATGGGACTAATAATGAACAAGAACAAGTATCGATCATAAAATCACAGACATCAAAATTTGCAGGATTTACTGAGAAAAAAGTGCTGAACATTCCTGATTTGTCAGCAGACCCTTTGTGAGGAGATCGTCCTCTACTTTTCCATTCCCTTTTATCATGCCCTATTCTTGACATAAATAAACAAACAATGGGCGTGATTGAATTCTTCAGAAATACTCCATTTACAGAGCTAGAAGAAAGATACGGAGAAAGCTTAATGAGAACCCTCAGAAAAATCCCTCACAGCAAATGAAATTTGATGTCTTCTCTTAATGAATGGTCCTCAAATTCCTATAGGGATATCAACATCAAGGTGAAGTCACTATATTGTTTTTCACTGGATCCAGAACATCTTTACGATTATTCTCATCTCTTTGACCAAATCCGCAAAAGTTTCCGCAAGCTCATTTCTTATGACTCTTGCACAATTTATATTGCTGACCAAAAGAAAATGATTTTATGGACGAAAAAGTTTGGCAGCCCAGAAACAGTGGTCGCTCCTATAATTATTGATTCCCTTATCGGCCACACATATTTTTCAAAGCGTGCTATTGTTTTGCCTGCAGAAGAGCCACTAGCGATTTCTGATATGCAGGTCTACAAGCAAAAAAACGTTTTATGCTTCCCTATGCAAAGCAATTTAGTTGATTACCCAGTGATCGGGCTATTATTGTTTATAAGGTCAAATCAAAACTTTCAGCAATCTGACATTGAGACTGTAAATCATTTCTCAGTTAGGCTTGCAAAGACTTTTGAAAATATATATGTAAATAGTTTTCATATAGATAGCATGAAACCTCTTGATCAGGACGAAAAATTCCAAATTATTGAGCAGTCTTCATCAGCAAGCTCAGAGACTAAGAGAATCAATATTTTGTCAAGTGCTCATAGGTCTGGGAATGAAGACAGGGATATCACAACAATATGAAAAAGCAGTGTGGCGATTGATTTTCTTCTACAAGTAGATTTGATACCGAAGCAGAAGCTTGATAGGCTGGCCAAATTTAGGGCGATAATTGAGCAGTCAGGAAACCCTATTGTTGCATTTGCTAAAAATCTAGGAATAGTAATCCCTTGCCAACAGTCTGCATTTTTCTTGAAAGAAACTACAGATGACCAGCTGTTCAATATCACCAATGAAAGTCTTTACAAGTCTGCAGGGTTTATAAATATTTGTATAAGCAATAATCAAACGATTGTACATAGAGAGGGCGCCTATAAGCATCCTCATTTTGACAGCCACATTGATAGTTTAGGGGCTATAGATTCAATAGAGAGCATTATGAGTATCCCTATTTCCAATTTCTATGGAGGAGTAGATGGAGTTATCAGCTTTGTGAATTCTCCTGACAGATTCCCTGTTGAAGACATGTTTTTGGCTCAGTATATTTCTTTAATTCCTAGAGAAATTTTACAAGCTAAAGATGGGTCCATTGCAAATTGGCAACAGATATTAAGAGAAGGAAGAAGACACAAAATGCTTCAACAATGGTACAAGCAAGTTTTCACTGTTGCTAATGCTGCACAATACAAGCAAGTTTTAGCAAAAGATATTTTGCAAAGGATTGCAGGAGAAAACACACTGGACATGCTTGTGAAGTCTTCTCTGCAAATCATGTGCGCCCTGACAAATAGTGAATTTTCAAGGATCATCGTAAAAGATGGCTGAGAATACTCACAATATACAACGGAAGGGAGAACTGTTTTGCTAATAGACGAACATCAAGAATGCATTTTCCAGCGAATTTTGGAAACACAAAGCCCGATGAGTTGTGGGAGAAATGATTCTAGAGAAAATTCAATGTTCGTACCTTATAGTTCTGATGGGAAAACTATTATAATAGAGTTGTGAAATAAAAAAGACGAGTCTTTATCACTCCCATGCAATTATTCGAGAGAGGATGAAATTATAGTAGGGACTTTGGGGAAAGTCGTGGCAAATGCTCTGTATTCCAGCTCTGCAAATAACTCCGAAACTTTATCAAATGTGCGCATAAATAAAATATGGCGTCTTCGTCTGGGCATGGCCTCCCGGCCATGCATACTCGACTCATATTTTATTTATATCCGGCAAGGTTTTATTACTTTAGAAATGGACAGCAATGCTAGGTAAGCAATTCTGGTTGTGTTCAGAGCATAATCCAAGTCTAAATTCAAGGGTGTTTTTTTCCTTGTTGGGAAGATGAGCACGGAAGTTGTAAAGGGGAAGCCCAGCAGAGTCCTCTGGACCAATCGGGCAACTCCCTAGCGTGAAACTGGTGTTTACGTCCCAGGCTTTCGAGTTCTACCTTCTGCCGACAGTCGACCAGAAAATCCATTATTTATGGATTTTCGGAAAGACAACCCACTCGTGCGAATCCCTTGTTTGAGGTAACAAGGAGGGTTTCCGCCGAGGCCTCACCATGGGCGATGGAGTGTGTAGGGGTGCAAACCCCGGCCCTGCAAGTGCGAACGGCTTAATCTAATCTAATCTAATCAAAATTTGCGCCAAACTTTAAGAAACTACACTTTTAACATGAATACCCAGCCTTTTATCAGCACAATCAGAAACGCCGCACAACGACTGCTTGGATGTGACCGTGGGACTGTATTTATAAGAGAAGGCAAATCGCTTATAGTAAAAGCCCAAGGTATAGAGCAGGAAATCCCAGTCGGTTTTTCATGCCCCATAGGAAAAGGAATCGTCGGATATGTCGCACAAACTGGAGTAACAGAAAATATCAAAGATGTCTACCAAGACCAAAGGTTTAATAAAGAAGTCGACATGATAACTGGCTATAAAACGTCGAATATGCTCTGCATGCCTGTTCTTGATTCCCAAGGAGAAGTAATTGCAGCCTTGCAAATGATCAATAAAAAGCAAGGACATTTTGATAAAAGTGATGAAGAAACACTCGAAATCTTTTCAGAAATGGTATCAACAGTAATGCAGAATTGAAATTTATTCCAGAAAACTATTGAAGAAAGAACGAGGCTGATGAATATTTTGAATAGCATTGGAAATTATATCTTGGTATTGAATAGTGATGGAAAGTTGGATTATGCAAATAAGTCATTTGAGGGAATATTCGGAGTTTCTGAAAAAGTAGCAAAAATCACTTATTATGCAAGTTGGCTGAAATATAATAGACAGCTGGTGATTGATGTGACAAATATTTATCAATTTCCAAATAAAAGGATATACTAATTGACCAAGAATAGCCCACTAAGGAGCCATTCTTGGTCTGCCAGAAAAAATTTTGACAAAAGATCCTAATCTGCCATTACCACTGAGTTTTGGTGTTTCCAAATTTTTTGGGCAAGCCAAATGCAATAAAAAAATTTGTTCTTTTGCGATGATGCATTTGGCTTGTCAAAAAAATTCGGCAACATCAAAACTCAGTGGTAATGGCAGAAAAGATCCTAATCTGCCATTACCACTGAGTTTTGGTGCTTCCAAATTTTTTTGACAAGCCAAATGCATCATCGCAAAAGAGCAATTTTTTTTATTGCATTTGGCTTGCCCAAAAAATTTGGAAACACCAAAACTCAGTGGTAATGGCAGATTAGGATCTTTTTGTCAGAATTTTTTCTGGCAGACCAAGAATGGCTCCATAGTGGGCTATTCTTGGTCAATTAGTATACATAGGAACTCACAGAGAATTCTGGCAATGCCTATGCACAAGAGTACGTCAATTCCGAACTTCAAAACTTATATGTAATTTAAAATGAATAAAACTTGCAAAGTGTTATTATAATGCGGAATTATCAAGCTTCTATTTAATATAAATAAGCATAACTTCGCAGTCGAGTCAAAATACCAAATCTTTAATTACACTTTAGCTGCTTTGCAAGATTTTTCAACCTTAGAAGCAGCTGGAGTTATCATAATTTTAGAAGACGCAACTGCAATTGAAGAGCTTAACTCCAAATTCAAGGCTATGCAAAGCCAGCTAATGGCTTTAACAAACCCAGTCCAGACTGAAACGTCCCTTCAGCGATGCATAAACAAGCTTTCTTTGATTTCTGGAGAACTCGAACAATCCTCAGAAATTTCTTCACAACTACAAGAAATCATTAGCACTCTTAAGCGCGGAAACCTAAATAGAGCCGAAGTAAAACTGCCGCTTGAATTAAAATCATTGGAATCTGAGCTTAAAGGCCGCCTCAAAGAATATGCAGAATTTTCTCAGCCAAACTCTATAAGAGAGCCATTTAAATTGCGGAAAAGTATTTCTGATGAAAATTCAGGGATGCTAGGTGTCCCAATGGAGTCTTTGCGAAGCTGAACATTGAATTCTTTTGAAATTGAGGACCACTTCAAATATGTCAAAGCAATGCTTATTGATTTTGACTTAATGAAGCAGTTCCAAATCAAAGCAAGCCGGCTGAAGTCCTTCTATAACCGCGTCAAAGAAAACTACCCAGCTAACCCTTTCCATAACTTCTTCCATGCCTTTTCGGTGATGCACTCCTGCTATTTAGTTTTACGCAACACAAAAGCTGAAGAAACCTTCAATAACTCAGAAATCCTCGCGATGCTGGTCTCTTCAGTATGCCATGACTTAGGCCACACAGGCCATAACAATGCTTTTGAAGTAAATTCCAGCTCAGAATACGCGATTTCTTATAATGATAAATCCGTGCTTGAAAATTTCCACTCTGCGTCCACATTTAGAATATTGCGAGATCATTCATGCAATATTTTTGAAAATCTTCCTCATGATTTGTACCGCTCAGTCAGGAAACTTATGATAGAATGCATATTAGGGACTGACATGATTAGGCATTTTACTATGATTTCTAATATGACAGCAAGGTTCAAAGACTTAGAAGACCATCCGTTAGGGACTTTAGAAGACGATATAGAAAAACTTGCAGCTTTTATTGTGCATACAGCTGACCTTGCGCATCCAAGCAAGGATTTCACACAATATTCGAGGTTTTCGAGGCTTGTCTGTGAAGAATTCACTCATCAATATAATGAAGAAGTGCAAAACGGGCTGCCCACACACGAATTCATGAAAGGACTTGATGAGCCTAAGGCATACTTTAAAAATGAACTTGGGTTTTTAACAGTCATTGTGAAGCCACTCTGGGAGTGTCTAGGCTTATGGCTGAGCCCAGGGGATTGGCCTTAAATTAACTTGCCTAATTAGATTATCGAAAAGCTCTATCATACCACTAAAGGTACTTATCTCCATCATGTTTCGTTCTCGCCTGATGACTGCATTTAGCTGGGATTTACGTTAGATGGACTACTGTCCCGCGCATCAATATGGATTACTTTCCAGAAAATTCAAAATCCAGACTCAGGGATTGATCAATGTCTGATAAACTTGAATGAAAATATCAGGAAATATCAGCAAAAATCTCAAGAGTTGTTAGGTTAAGTATTTTGTTAAATAATCATTAATTTGTATAGTAAATGTCCACAGATTATGACCTTTTCCACAATCCCGAATTAACCCCAGTTATACAAAATAAAGTAGCAAGGACTATTCAGAGGGTTTCTAAGCTGTGCTTGAAAGTTTGCTATAGAGATGCGCCGCCTAAGGGTGAGTGTTTGAAGAATTGTGTGACGAGTTATGTGGAAGCTTTTGATGTTGTTCTGGACACGTTGAGAACTTATGATTATAATAGATAAAGCTTATTTTATTTAAAATATTAAGCTCGTCTAGCACTTTGAGGTCTATTTCTATGGAGTTCTGGGCTTGTTGATGTACCGGAAGCGCCTTTTATAAGCTGCTGGGGATATTTAAGATTACTTCTAATACGAAGAGTCCGGAGCGGGGAAGTGTCGTCAGTCGTTCTTGTATTTTGAGTCATTTCTTGAAGGTTTAGCTCTGGCGAGCTTTCTGTATATTCTGTCAGAGTTGTGACACCTGCTTTGATTTTTGAGTCATCGGCTTTATAAAATCTTCCATCAAAGCCTTGGATGTGAGTCATAATTGGAAAATTGATCTCCCCTCTGCCACAAGACAAGCATGCATTATTTCTTGCTCTCCTCCATTATATATTTATGCTTGCTAAATTTTTTTTAAAATTTCCCAATTCTATTGCTCTGATTTTACTTTTAAAAGATGCAATCTGTTTAAATTTAATATAACTAGCTGGAGGTCTCATTCTTATAATGGCTAATTATATATTGAAATATTTCATACAAAAGATCTCGTATTACACATTTTTTGCTTATAAGAACATAGAGAGGGAGTTAATATATTTCTAAAGAAGAATGCATCAAACTTTAAACTATGGGACATAAATTGCCATTTATCATTAAAGAGAATAATTTTTTCTTGGAAATTAATGCATTTCCAAAATCGTCATTTGTCTCTTGAAACTGCAGGATGATTTTTCTAATGCACCCTTCTAAATTCTCACAGTTTTTATCACAGGTTTTTACAAGGCTTTCAAGGATAGAGATCCTTTGTTCGTGGTCTTTAATCAAATTCATTAGTTCTTCTCGATCTGCTTTATCTTTGATGATCTTTTTTAGCTGAGAATTGTCAAGCAATTTTGCAACCTTGTCAAACTTTTCGTCAATAATTTTGAAGTTATTGTTAGCTTTTTCTCTAAATTTCCAAAATTCTGTAGATTCGTGATGCTCTATTGTGACAGATTTAGGCTGCTGCTTATTCTGGTTTCCGATTAAGTCAGAGATCACGTCACGATCAACTTTTAGCCTGAGATCGGCTTGGATTTTTTCAAATTCTTTTGTCAAAAATTCAAGCTGCTGCTTTAAGGTGAAATCTTTTTCAGGTACATTTGAGAGTACGCTGCTATGCATCATAAGCTCTTGATGGATCCTTTCTATTTTAGATTCAATTTCTTTGAATTCTTTAGAAAAGTCTGGCATTTCTGGTAACGAGCTTTTAACTGAGTCTATTTTTGCATTGAGTTCTTCATAGCTTAGCATTCATAACTTCTTATCAACTCTACATAAAATTTACTCTTCTTTCAGTTCTTTCAGTGCTTTTTTAAACACGCTCATTTCTTGATCATCTTCTCTAACGATCTTTTCTAAATCTTTAAGCAATGTCTCAAACTTGTCAAGTTTCTTTTCACTCATCCCTAAAATGTCCCTTTTAAGCCTTAACTCGACTGTATTCAAAGAATCTCAAACGAACTTTTCATTGACTCGGGTTTTGAGCAAATCTTCACAGTCTTTTAACTTTCACAGCGTTTTTGTTTCCAAATCATTGAACTTTTTTTCCATATCGACCATAAATTTCCCAACTTTTTCTTCATTTCTCCCAATGATGTCTCTGAGGTCTCGAGTTTTCTCATTGAAATCTTTAGTTTCAGCTTTCAAACTTATTTTGTGTTTTAGTTTTTTCTTCAAGTGGGAATGGTCATTTGCATCCACTTTCTTACTAATTTGATTATCTATCTGGGAAACTTTGTCTGCAATGTCACTTTTGAATTGATTTAAATTGAAAATTTGATCAGATAATGATCTCAATCCCTCTGTTGTCGAAACTAAAGCTTCTTGCCAATGCAGGCTGCTTGCTTTTCTACTGATGAATTCTGACCTAAAGGAGTTAGTTAAAGCAGACAGCATGTCGTTGAACTCCGAATTTGCAATTTTATTTTGAATCTCTTTACTCCCTCTGTGAGCGAACAAAATCATTGGAAAAATTGCTATTTTTGGAGTAAAAAACCTCCCACTCTGAACGAAAAAAAATCCCAATTCTTTATTTAATTTGTACCAGTTTGAGAGGTGTTTAAAATTTAACAGAATTAGATATCACTTATATATCAAAATATTTTTTCATTAAATTTTGAACAAAAAAATTTACTATAAAATTATAAATTAGCCTCCCTCCGTAAGTAAACAAATTGTTTTTGTTCGTTAACGGAGGGGGTGAAGTTAGAGATTATCTTTATGTAAGTTCCCTGCTGATTGATTGCAATAGCAACGTTATTTAAAAAATCTCTCAGAGTATCAAAATTCATATCAAAAGTGACAAGGGGAGCCAAAGGTACAGTCGCTATAGCGCTATCTATATTTTCGCTCCTGCTTGTTGTTTCAATAATGGTCTTTGATTCTCTCTTAATTGACATATTATTAACTATTATGCTAATTTATATCTACTTCTTATTTCTGGCTCTACTTTTCTTGTCTTATCCAAAATCTCGCTCGTTTTCCCCACATATATCATATCAATAGAGCTCCTTAACTTGCTTTCCATATTCTCAACTGCAAAAATCATCCCATATATATGAGGATCCGCATATAAGCTGTTACGAGCTGCAACTGTTTCTTGGTTTTGCCTTGTTACGCTCCCACTTAATTCAAGTCTTCCAGCAGCAGGGTCATTGATTGTGATTTGCAAAAATACAGTTGTGGTTATTGTATAAGTAATAGTTCGGCTTTCAGGGGAAAGTTTTGCAGTGACTAAGTTGGTGGATTCCCATGCTCCCTTTTCAGTAATCCCTGCTGCTCCTAGATCTTTTTTGACTAGAAAAGCTCCTGCAAACTCATTGGGGTTTGTGTCCCACAGATAAGCTGATGAAATTCCTCCTTCGTAATAGAGTTTCCTATATTCATTAAAAATTTCATTGGCTTTTACTTCTACTTGTCGAAGCTCTGCAGAAGGAACGCTGCTTTCTGGTAAAGGAGGCTGATAATTGTTGCTATAAGGAGATCTATATGAGTCGCCATCACGGTTGAATTCACAGAGAATAAATTCGTTGCCTGTGCTTTCACATACTCCAAGTTCTAATGGCTTATCAACTCTTTGGTAGACTTGATCAACTATTTCTTCATTTTCAATTAATTTAGAGACACCAGCAAGGTTCTTTTCACATGCAGAAGGCGGCATTCTTCTCATGAGTCCGAGAGATGAGGTGAGGACAGCACTCATATTGAATAATTATTATCGCCATATGATTTATGCCAAATTGTGTAAAAATTTCCACTTTTAAATTCAAACTATACATATTAATAATGATAAAATACTATGCAAATAAGTAAAATCTCTTTATTTTTTATATGAATTGTACTATTAGCACTTTTAAAAATAGAATGATATAATGATAGCAAGTCTAAATAAATTTCAACAAATTATGGAACCTCTTATTGATCCTTTGCATGATCGTGCTATAGGAGATGTGCCCGCTCCACCTCACAGGCCTCTAGATAGAAATATTTTATACCCAAATGGCATCATAAGTCCTCCAGATTGAAGAATACTGAGAAGCCATCTTTACTCTGAAGGAAGAGTCAATAAAGCTGAATGTCTATTGCTCATTCACCAAACAACTGAAGTTTTTCGAAAAGAACGAAACTTGTTAGAACTAAAAGACCCAGTAACTGTTGTTGGTGATATTCATGGACAGTTTTACGACTTCATGAGGATTCTAGAATTAGGCGGAGACTTTGACAAGACAAAATATCTATTTTTAGGAGATTATGTGGACAGAGGCGCTTTTTCTATAGAAGTGGTCATGCTGCTGTATGCGATAAAGCTGAATTATCCTGGAACCGTATATATGATTCGAGGAAATCATGAATGCAGACAGATGACGGCTTTTTTTAATTTTCGTACAGAGTGCTTGAATAAATTTGATTTAGAAACTTATGATGCTGTGATGGAGAGTTTTGACGCGTTGCCAACTGCCTGCCTAGTAAATAATAAGTTTTTAGCGATTCATGGAGGAATCTCACCGGAGCTGGTCACTATAGAAGATATAAGCAGACTAAGCAGATTTCAAGAACCCCCAAGACAAGGACTTTATTGTGATTTGCTATGGTCTGACCCCATAGACAATGATACTGGCCATTGCACAGATAAATACAAAATCAATGACGTAAGAGGTTGCAGCGTTTATTTCGGCCAAGTTGCTGTTAATACTTTTTTAAAACGAAACAGACTTCTCTCAGTTCTTCGAGCTCATGAAGCCCAAGTTGATGGCTACAAGATGCACAGATGAAATGGCAACACTGAATTCCCTGTAGTCATAACTGTATTTTCAGCTCCAAATTACTGTGATGTCTATAACAATAAAGCCGCCATGCTGAAATTCGAAAACAACACTTTGAATATTCAGCAATTCAACTATACTGAGCACCCTTATATTTTGCCTAACTTTTTAGATGTTTTTACTTGGAGTGCTCCTTTTGTTATAGAAAAGGTGCTTGAAATGCTTCATAATATCATAAAATCACGCAAAGATGAGCCTGAAGAAAACATTGACCCAACGTCTGGTGAAAGGGTAAAAGAGCTAATTCCTAGGTTAGATCTTTATAAAACTCATTTAAACTTTATTTGCTGAAATAAAAAAATTTTGAATATAATTTATCTTGTGCATATATTTTTGTTATAATGATAAGATCTTAAGCTAATTCTATTATATTTTAAACTGCTTGACAATAAAGAATTAATTTTATGAATTAAATAAGATTTTCAATTTAAATATTTTGAAATAAAACAAATTAGCCCCTTGATTAATGAACAAAAAAATTTTGTTACAACCAAGAGGATTAAAGGATAATTTGAGAGATTCTAAGCTTGAAAAGCTAAGAAACAAAGTCAAAGCAGTCTCAAGAATGATGAAAATGTTCAGAACACTTAGAGAAGACAAAGAAATTATTTTGCAACTTAAAGGACTTTGCCCAGACAACAAGGTTCCAAGAGGCTTGCTAGCTCAAGGCAGAGATGCCATAGCAGGAGCAGTTGATTCATTTACCCATGCTAAACAAATGGACATTGTAAACGAAAAACGTCCAGATTAAGCTATTAATCTGTATAAATTTAAATAAATGGCTGATTCAGGAATCCAAGCTTATACTGAATCTATAGCAAAAACCCACCTAAAATACAGAGACGCCCTACAAGATATGCAGGAAGAACTCCTCAAAGAAAAGAAATGAAGACAAGAAGCAGAAACAGAAAACCGAAATTTAAGGAAAAATTTATTGACGCTTGAAGAACAAATAACAGACTATCGATACTCATCCGTCGAGCTCCATTCAAGGCTTGACGAATATGCTGAAGCTAATAAAGAGCTACATGAAGAAAATCAAGAAAAAAGAGAAAAATTCGATGCTTTAAAAGAAAAATTTGAAAAAGAAAGAAATAGGTCAGAAACATTAGAGAGGGAATTAGAAAAGTTTCAGAAGTTTATGAATGAGCTAAGAGATGAAGTCAGTGATAAGCAAAAAGCACTTGAAGACTGAAAAGAAGCTTTAGAACTTATGGAAGACAAGCTCAAAAGTGTTTCTACTCAGAAAAATAAGTATAAAGAAGAAATGGATTTATATAAAGAAGCTTTGGAAAATTCGAAAAATGAAAACAGTTTGCTAAAAATCCAAATTGAGGTGAAAGGTAAAGAAAAAGAAGAAATGAAAAAAGAAATTTCACATCAATGTGATGAACTTAATATAAAAATTAAAGAAATGATGAAAAAGCATCAAGAAGAACTGGAGTTTTGAAAAGTGAATTTATCTTCACAGTATGAAACTGTAATTTCAAATGAAAGACAGAATGTTGATACCTATAAGAAAAAATTAGGACAGAGTAATGAAATTAATGAAAAAATAAAAAACGAAAGGGATAGGCTTCTTCGGAATATTGAAGATTTACGAAGAGACATTTCAGAGCAGGCTGAACAAATTTCTACTATAAAATTCCAAAAAGAGTCTCTTGAAAATCTATTGAACACTCAAGTCAGAGAACTTGAAGAGAATTTATTCACGACTGATGATAACTATAAGCAGCTATTAGTCCAAAAAGATAAATCAATTCAACAATTAGAATCCCAACTCCAAACAGCTCAAGAAAAGCTTAAAGAATTTGCTTTTCAAAGCACTAATAGCAAAGAATCCGAAATTTTCGCTATCAAAGAGATGGAAAGGCTGCAGGATTTATTAAGAGATAAAGACACCGAAATTTCTAGCTTAAAAAATGTGCTAAACGAGCATAGAGAAGAAATCACCCAAATCAGAGAAAATATTGAAGAACAAAAATGCAGCCATTTAAGAGACATTAAAAAAGCTTGCGACGAAGTTGAAGAAAGATATAAGAAGAAATTGCTAGAAAATGAAAAAAAAATTAAAGAAATTTTGATTAAAAATGAAGAAGAAAAAACAAGAAGAGAAAATGAAAACGAAAACAACCAAATTAATATTTTAAAGGTTAAAGAAGAGTATATGCAAATGCTAATAGAAAAAGAAGAAAGCATCGTTCTTTTGAATACTGATAGAGATAGGCTGCAGAAAGTAGTTCAAGATTTAGAAAAGCAGCTAAAAGAAATTATATATAAAATGCAAGCAGACGCGCAAGATAGGGAAAGGCTATTAAGAGTTCTCAAAGATGAAAACATTAAAAAGGATGAGCTTGAGCAAAAAAACCTTTATCTCCGCAATAAAATTGCTGAGCTTGAGCAGCGTGTCGAAGACGAGCTCGAAGCTTGCAAAACTTCTATGAGTGAAAAAGACTCCCAAATAAAAAGAATCAAAGAAAAATACCACTCCATGCACGAATCCAAACTCGAAGAAGCTGAAGTCAAGCTTTCCACATGGAAAGAAAGATTCAGAAATAGATTAGATTAAAATTCTAGCGGGGTATTTAGGGATTATTTTAGCACCTCGCAGTCTCATAGATAGCGTCTACTCATTGGCGCTAAATGCTATCCTCGATCTACCTTTTACTTCTGACGTGACCAAAAAATGGTGATATAGAAGGTCTGGGAGATTGCTCTACCCGTCTTCTGGGTCTCACTAAACGATAGAGACTTTCTCAACCTCCGAAAAGGTTCGAAGTATGGGTAGACTCCTCAATGGCCTGCACGAACTATATCGCAGCTTGGTAATGTTCCCATGGAGCATTGGAGGACATTAAAATGGTAGGCACGTCTTCAAACTAGGAAAAAAAGTTGAGGGTGAGCTCTGGACCAACAAACCTACTTGGCTCTTCTCATCTGATCCGTATCAGCTCACGGATCACCAGAGACAGCATCACACAATTTTAATATTTCTTCAGATTCAGAGAAGAAATCGGATATATGGAGAAATGGGGAGAAACAATGGAAACCGATTTAAACTCCCAAGCCCATCTCGCTCGTCTTCGCAGTATCCTTAACCGTCTTTATCAAGTTTTAGATTATTCCCAAATATAAAAATTATTTAAAATTAAGCATGAATAGAGTAGAAACTGTAAAAATCGGAGAAAAAGTCTATCCAGTCAACGAAGTCAAAGCTCTTGCAGAGCAGCTTGGAATGGACTATGAAAATGAAGGCCCAAAATATGAAGATTTTTTAGCAAATGCTCTATATGCCTTATTACCAGTTGGCTGAAGACGTGAAAGAGACCCATCAGGTAGGATTTTATACCATAACGACTATACAAACGTGACTACAGAAATTCACCCACTTTTATACCAATTTCGCAGGGCCTTTCAAAAAATCTCAACTGATAAGCTGCCTTCTTCTTCATCTCCTCATCGCAAAGAGTCGAATTTTACAATAAAAAGGCAAGAAGCAAACTGTGAAGAAACTTTATGATCATCTCAAGTAGAATCAAATATGATCCGAGCTTTAGCTGAAAAAAATTTAATCGAACAAAAAAATGCAAGCACTCCTAATGAAATTGCATTAAAACAAGCTAACGAATTTTATGATATCATGATGGGAGATTGTGATGTTAAGCCTCCTGAAGCCATTGTTGATAGCATTGATTATCAACTTGTCAACCCTAAGCAAATGTATGAGAGAGCAAAACTCCTTGGAATTGATGATGATACAAATTTGTATTGAATTGCTAGGCTTTCACTAATGCTTCCGCTGCCACCGTTGTGGAAGGTGACTAAAGATGATATTGGAAACGATCTTTATATGAACATCGAAGGAACCACGATGACTAAAACACACCCAGGATCATTTTTTATATCAAAGTTAATTGCGAAAGCAAGGGTGAAGTCTTCAAGTGAAAAAGCATCTTCAATGGTTTTTCATGATAAAAAAAGCAGAAAATATATAGTGAATTTAAATAAATTGCAAAACGGAGAAGATATAATTAGCTATCAGGCTGAAAACTCTTCACCAAAATTTCTTGCTCATATGAAATATTTCCAGCCTAGGATGTCAGTTCAGGAAGTACTGGATGATATTATGATACTAGAAATTGCTCAGGACTCTGGAATCAATCTAGACAAAGAGCTGCATTTAATTGGACTTGTTTTTGATTTTATGGACAATATAAAGATACAAGGACTATTCCACGGGTGGGAATTTCGATATACCATGCAAGGCCACAAATATTGATATCACGGGAAACAAAGGAGATCCTGCAAGTTTTTCCCTTACAAAGATTCATTAGCTAAACACATAAGAGCAGCTAGGAAAGAAGCTATCTTAAGGTCTCGTGATAAAGTGTTAGCAATTCTAGATAGACATAAATTATTCTGACTCAAAGGCAAAGATTTTTTTTTGAAAATAAGGAAAGACGCACTTAATATCATAAATCTCTTAATAGCAAGAAACGTTGACCAAGAAAACCCAGAAGTGAATTACGATTTACGTAGCATTTCTCAGAAATTAGAAAAAGCATTAACTGAAAATGAAATGTTGGATCTTTTATTTGCATCACCTTTTATTTTTGATATTGCAAAAATAGAAGAAGAGTTACCTAAACTTGAGATTGACTCAGATATAAGCTGGGTTACGAATTCTGAGACTTTTTCTGATATTTCGTTAGAAGATATAAACGAAGCAGAGGATCCTGCAGAAGCTGAAGAGGCAAGCAATTTCAGAAAAGAATGAATAGAAAGATCGAAAAAGCGAAAAAAAGAATTAAAAGCATTAAGAGCTTCTAAGGTTGGAAAAGCTCCAAGAAGCATGCAATCACCTTTAATAAGTGCCCCAGAGTCAATAAAATCTGATTACACAGAGCTTCAGCCAGAGCTAAGAAACATAATGGACTTAGAAGATGAAGACGATGAAGAGTTAAGACGATTAACTGAAAGTTTGAATAGAAAAGTAGGAAAAATCGATAGTCAAATAATAAGTCCTGCCAGCTCAGTTACCTCTTTAAAAAAAGATTCCCCATCCAAGCTACTAGATTTACAAGTCCTTCTGAAGCCTGTTTTAGATCAGCCTGAAGAAAGTATCCAAGAAATTATTGAGGCAGATCAATCTCAAAGTACCGAACCCCATCCCACAAAAAGTTTTACCAAGAAAAATACACTGAAAAGGAAGATCACTCGAGACATTTCAAAAGATGAAATAAGTGAAAGAATTGAATCTCTAGAGAGCGTTGAAAGTGAAATTGATAATAAAGGCTCATCTCATGAGGAAAACAAATTTATATTGAAAAAGCATCGCTCCAAAACTTATAAGTTGAAGGTAAGTGTTCCCAAAAAAGATAAGAGAAGAGACAATAAATCTGCACATGACCCAAATAGCGTTGGAAATGATTATAGTACTTCTCCTGGGCTTCAGCATATGTGAAACGAAGAAAAAGATGGAATCAGGAAAACAATCCAATATGTTGTAGAAATGAGAAGAAAAAGCAGCTTGACTCAGAATGGGTCCAATGATTCTTCTCCAGCTTTAAGGCAGCTTAGAACAGCAAGCATTGGAGATAGAGAAAGCCAAATTTCTTTTTATTCATCATCAGAAAACCAAAAAAATCCATTAGAAGAGCTTATTCAATATAAGAAATCAAAAAATGAAGCTGCAAATATTTTGAATGAGCAGGAAGGAAAAAGTTCTTCTGATAGATTGTCAGAAAACCTCTCAATTCCAACAAAATCGATTGCTAGCTCTATCAGAGAGGAGAAAACTGTTAAATATGAAAATTCTTCAAGCAAACTTGATGCTTCAAAAGAATCAGAAAAGAGCAGAATCGATATTAAAGATACGTCTAAGCTAAAAGTACATAGAAGAAATTCAGCAGAAATGAGTGAATCTGAAATTTCTAAAAATAAATTTTATGAAGAAACAAATAAAACAAATGAAAGTGGGCTTTCTAACCAACATGTTGTAAATGAAAGTGAGGTGGATACATGAAACTATAAAGAAATCGAAGAAAAAATCGAGAATTATAAGCAAGAAGTAAAAAGACAAAGGGTTCCTCATATTTCAAGAAATTTTGTAAATCCTATCAATCTTCCAAGAGCATCGAGGGTCAAAATGGAGCCAACTCAAGAAGAAGAAACAACTAGAGTCAGTGAAAGACGCAGTTCCAGGAAATCTCCTTATAGAAACAAAAGTTCTGATTATACCAAAAGAAAAATAATTCCCCTTATAGGATCATATTCCCATCTACGGCAAGACGAAGCCCTACCTAAACTTACTCAAACAGAGAGAACCCAAACAGAGCAAATCAAAGAAAAGCAGCCAGATTTATGGTTTACTGAGTTTTTAGGCTACATAAATCATAATGCAATTTCTTTAAATATTCCTCAAAACTTGTTAACTACTAAAGAGATTCCACAAGTTTCGAGTTCACTTTCTCAAACCACTTTAGTAACTTTACCCAGGAACACTTTGCAGAGTTCTATGTCTGTAACTTCATTAACTGGGGATAGAAATAGCAGATATTTCACTCTTAATAGCATGCTTCATGAAAAATCAAAATCAATTATTTCTAATTTAATCAAAGATAGACAATTTTTAGATGAAGGCTCCAGTTTTAAGTTTAAAGAACTCGATTTGCCTGCAGTAGATTTATCTAAAAGAACAAATGATAAAAATATAATTGAAGAAATTAAGGATTCCCCAAGTAAAATGCATTTTTCTTACTACTTAGAAAGAATTGGAAACCCTTTTACGAATTTTATCAGTTATGAGTTAAATTCTGAAATTCAGCCTTCTAATCTAGTGTTTATGGGAAAAAGATTAGGCTTAAAAGTCAGCATGGCTCAGTATGAATCAATTGAAAGCGATTTGCTATGAATTGTCCATTTGCAGTTAGCATACCCAGCTCCTGATAAAACCAATAAATTGCCCGCTGTTAAGCTTTGTGCTTTGAAAGATTTAAGATTACGCTGGGTATTTTAAGTCCCTGCTTCGTCCGACGAAGCATTCTACGGTTTCCCGTATGGTGGCAGAGCGTTCACCAAGCCCGGGCCGAAACCCCCGGTTTCTCGGTAGAGGTGAAGGTCAAGAGACGTGTCATACCGTCTTTGCTGACCGCCTCCATTTCCAACTTGGATCGTCGCCTAAGTTTACAAAAAACTGCCGCGTCGTCCGCCAGATCTGCCCATTGAAGGGCACCTTTTAAACTGGAGAAACTCCCGTTTAGATGTCTAGCTCGCCTTCCCCTCTTTCCGGTCATCCCGAGAAAGAACTCAACAGCTTTCGCCATTCGGGGCGAGCCACAAAAGCAGCTTAGGCAGGTAAGTCGCCCTGCCTCATTTCGGGCACTCACTGGGCTGAGCGATGCAGGCAAAAAGAAGTCACGAGTAACTGCCCATGGGTTCGGTCACAAAAACAGCGGCCTCTGTGCTTAGACCTCTCGCTTCGAGGTCCCAAACGTTGCTGGGCCAACTCCTGGCTCCAAAAACCATGCCCGGATATACATGAGTAACCACCACTGAGAGGGTGGGTAGGTCGCCATACGCCATTTTATGTATATCTTTGTGCTTTGAAATTTGGTGAGCACCCAGGAGATTCTTATTTTCTCATGCTTTTGCAGCACCAAAGAGCAAAGAGACTTGAAGAATTGGCTAAAATGCCTCCAGAATTGCGAGTAGAATCCACATATCAATTATCATGGCTTCCTTTTAAAGATCTCAAAGGAAACGAATATTTTTACAATTTCCTGACACATACATTCTCTTACAGCAACCCATACAGCATAGGGTTTAAATATAAAGTATTTTTGGATTATTATAAGCTTCTAAAAGCAATAGAGAAGGCTAGGAAAAAATCTGTGCCCACCTTTGGGATTGATTCTTTGGTTGTAAGATCATCATCTGTTGCAAAACTTTCCACAAAAAGATCGAGACATAGAAAAAATTATATTCAATCACTCAGTGGATTTTATGTTTAATTTAATATTAATTTTTACCTTGAGTTACCCATGGGTATTATGAGAATTTAAGCTAGGCAAAAAAGAATATTTATCGTAATTTTTGATTAAATGATTAATAATTTTAAATTTATAGATTCTAAATTTAAGTTAATAATGTATTTAACGATTGTACAGAAAATTAAATTGTGATTTGGCGCTATTTTCAGCTAATTTTAAAGTTCCATTTATCCTTCTTTTCGAATTTTTTAATATTTTTCTAAAAGCCATTGTTTTTATAAACACATTGGAATTTTTATTGGTCTTTTCTTTTATAATAAAATTGTAATGCTAAGAATAGAAATAGAAAAGCCAAGAGGAAATCGCAATTCTGATTTCTTTGAGGCTTTCGATTTGTCACAAATACCTACAAATAGTTTTTTATCGTCTTCTTATGAGACTCACTCGAAGGGAGTTTCTAAGCCTGACGATTCAGATAGTTCAGAAGATTCGAAAAGAAATGATATATCACAATGTTCATTTGACTCAATTGTAAAGGATTGTTTTAAGAGCCAAAATTGTGTGACAGAAATTAATCCAATGTTTATGGTCCAAACAGAAAAATGTAGCAATAAACTACGATACGAACTTAACGAAATCTTGTTTACCGGTATTGTAAATAGTAACTGGGAGGTTGGCGAAATTCCAGACGATTGCATTGACGATTTATAAATCGCAATTGCGTATAAGTAAATTTTGTAAAGAAAACAAGTAATTTAATAGCGAACTTAATTTTTTGATTAATCGCATTTTTCATAGCTATTTCTCCATTAAACTTAATAAGTTGAACATTATTTATGGATTTTTTTTATATTTTATAAAGAATCAAAAGATTTATTCTTGTGTGTAATATCTTCTTTGCTGGGTCTCCCTCTCGTTCTGCTCTCTCTAAATTCTGCAAAAATATCTAAACTTGATTTTTTCCTTTGCAAAGGCAAAAAATTTTCAGGCTCTATGCTGAAAATACTTGAATACATTTCCTTTGTTTTTTCATAACCATTTTGTGCATATATATACGGTAAAAATCCTATAGCTTTGCTAGGAAGAAATGTTTGCAAAAAGTTATCCCCTTTAAATCCTTTCTTATTAAATAACAGCATAGAAGATACGTCGAAGCTACTTATTCTTTGTCTGGGGGTTACAAGAGAAGGATTAGGATTATTAAAGTCAGGTGATAGCCATATTGGTGATGCAGTCACTAACGAACTCTCATAGAGAAGGTTTATCGACTTTTCGACTCCACCCCAGAGGGACTATCCCTTTTTCGAGTGCCCTTTCGGTACATTCTGTCTCCTCCTTGCCTTGAGGCTTCAGTTTTGAGTGTGCAACTTATGGATTTCTGCAACCCTGCTACGGGGGATTGGAGTAGCTTGATTTCAAGGATCAGCTCCTTGGAATCTATCGGGTGCCGAAGTGCCTTCCATCGACAGCTACAGGAAAAAAGACTACCGTGGCGTATACCGAAACCCCAGTTTCTCGGTAGAGGAATGCCTATGGGTTTTCGGATCCAAAGGACGTTGTTGAGCACCTCCATTTTCAACCACAGGAAAGCAGCCAAAACCTACCCGGATGCACATCTCTTAAGCCTGCACTTGATTTACGGCTCTGAGTTCATTTCAGTTCGCCATAGCCATAAGGTCTGGACTGTTGCACAAAGAGAGCAGGCTGGCGCGTGCCGTCATTTTAATGTATGCTACAAGAGAAGGAAGGTTAATACTTTCAGACATTTTTCTCATAGGTAGCTCAGGCGAACGAGAAGCTTGTGTGGATAATTCAGATAGTGTTTTGGTGTTAAGAGTTGATGGGATGCTAACTCCCCTTTTTGAAGGGCAGCGTAATTTCGCTTCACATAAGAGTTAGTGATTTTTTAAGATTTTTTTGAATCTCAAAATACCAAATATGCGACATTTAAAAACAATTTTTTTTCAAAAAGATTTTGTTCGCTCGCGTAGGGGCGGGGCACTCATGAAAAAGCTTAATTTTCCCGAATATAGGAAATTTAACAGGCTTCACCTACTTAGCAGGGAAATAAGTGTGAATGATCTGATTTGTTCTTTTGGACTATTTTTTATGCTCATTGAATTAATTAACTGGTAAATAATATGATGATATTAAAAAGTATTAATTAGGAACTAAACATTATTGGCAGAAAAACCCAATAATATTAAGTGCTATGGCAGCTTCTAAGATTTAAATATAAATAAAGGGTCGAATTTGGTGACTTTATATCGTGGTTTTTTTAATAAATTACTTTTTATTGTTCTATTTATGAGTCAATTAATAAGCTTAGATTGATTAATTTTGAAACTCTTATTAACCTATTATTAAAAAGTCTTCTATAACGTTTAATAGTTCTAATTGATTCCTATAATTCTTTTTAACTGCAAATTCAAGTTTCAGAATATTTCTCTACTGCCACAACTCTTTTAAATTTTTTTGCTCTACTATTTTAAAGTTATTTTTTATCTCAAATTGTATAATGGCATAGATAGAGAGGAAAAATCTGCGACTTCAAGTATTAGCAAAACCAATTTTTATAAGGACGCTACTTATAGATCTCTAACAGAGTTATGAATTGAATAACTCAGCAAATAGATTTATTGAAATTCTATTTATAAATTTAATTAGTCAGATGTAGATAAAGCTGCATCCAAAAGCTTGTAGCATTTTATGATATAATTTTTGCTAGCTAATGGACTCTATGCTTTAGTTCTGTTTTTAGGAGATATAGATATATAGCTATTTTTATAGAGTCAGCAGTTTAAATCCATAATATTTGATTAACTATGAAAGAAAAAAGCGTAATTATTGTATAAATTTTAAATAAGCAATATATAGCAAATAATATTTTTATAAAAAGTTAATTAAATTAAATAAAATGTGACTTTTATGGTTATTTCCTCTAGTTATCGCTGATCCTACGAATATTCAACTCTCTATAAGCTCAAGTGGACATATAGAAGTAAGATGAGATATGGTATTTTACATTTAGCATCACTACTCATATTCATTTTTAGTTTATGGCAGATTAAGTAGTTTCACAGATATTTCTCAATTAGCGCAGCGAGGCAGATATGTAAAAAGTTGGCCAAAACTTGCTAACTCTGGAATAAAGCATATAACTATTTAAGATTATTGAAAAACCTGCTGTCAAGTTCCAGAAGGCCATTAAACTTTTATAATAATTTATCTCTTACTCGCCAGTCCACACACAGTCTTCACTGTGCTATGTTTCAGAACGAGGACTTACAACCATCCCCCTGAAGTCAGAAGTCTTTGTCACCTTATCACAAGTCAATAGGATGCCTGCCATGGAAAATCCAAAAGGTCGAAGAAGCTACCTAGGGCACTGCTCACTTCCCCCCCCCCCCCCTCCGTGAGCGAACAAAAAAATTTTTGTTCGCTCACGGAAGGGGGTTAATTTTTTTTTTTTAAAAAAAAATTTATATATAAATTTTATAAAAAATATTTTTTTCGAAATTTAAAAAAATCTTAATTTGCAAAAATTGGGGAAGCAAATATTAATTTAATTTGCAAAATTTATGTTTTAAAACGCAATTTGTTTAAAATTAAACAGAATTAGCTCTAGATTTCATTATACTAATTATCACTTATATATCAAAATTTTTTTCCATTTAAAATTTTTTCTATTAAAAAAAAATTTTTGTTCACTCACGGAGGGTGGGTTTTTGGTCAAAAAATGGCGATTTTTCTAATGGTTTTGTTCGCTCACGGAGGGGGGGGGGGGAGTCAGTCCATTTCTAACTTCTATCCCAATACCATGAGTAAAAAGCGTTCCAAAAAAGCTCTTGGTATATTAGCTAAGCCATCTCATTGCCCTTCAGGTCACAATCTACAGGAATTAAGAATTCTGGCCGATTTGCCACTCCATTTTAATATATACACTGCGGAATCAAGCACAAAGCAGAAGTGAAAGATTTACAGCCTGAAGAATTATATGTCTATCAAGTAGGAAGTGAAGATGAAGGATGAAGTCCTATTTACAGCTTTGTAGGGCCAATTAAAAGTGAAGAGCATTACCCTACATTTGCAATTTTATCTAATTTGTCTGAAGGAAGCCAATCTTCCAAAATTTTAAGTCAACTTGTCGCGAGAAGCTTTATCGAAAGATTGGATGGGATTTTTATATATGGCGCTATGACTTCGCAACCCCTTTATGACGTGACTCGCACAAATATACCTACAATGCTAATGCCAAAATCAATTAAAGAATCTTATTACAGCATTCAATATTCTCACGTATATTTAATCATTTTAAATACTTATGCAATCACTCCAGACCAATTTTCATGACTTAAGCGAGAACTGAATTCAGCTCAATCATATGCGTGGACTATAATATTTGGCGAACACCCATTAAGCGAAATAAATACAAGCAAAACAAATTTCACTGAGTTGTTTTTGGACGCAAAAGTGAATTTGTATGTTGCTTCAGGCGAATTTTATGAAAGGTCAAATATTTTGTATCGTGTAAGTGATCACCAAATTGACTATACAGCAGAATTGTTGGAAATTCAAATGGGGCCATCATGCACAAAAGAAAAGAGAGCTTTAGACTCTAATGATACTGAAATTTATGCATCTTTACACCCTGGGTATGGAATTTTGCATTTAAGATACTCATTTTTGAGATGGCAAGAATATAGCTCGAACTCTCATAGGCTGATGGATGATGCGTATGAGCACAGAGTTGGCCTAGTTCCTAGGAAAGGAAATGAAAAGAAAACAGTGATAATTGTGCTAGTTACCTCGTTTGTTATGTTTTCAGCAGCATTCATTCAATCATATTATATGAGAAGAAGAAACAAAAAGAAACAAAATGGATTGATAGACTTATCCCTCCCTCCTTGAACGAGCAAAACTATAAAAAATTCCTATTTTGGGTTAAAATTACTATCTGTGAGAGAAACAAAAAATTTATTTAATATACAAATTTTTATAAAATAATATTTTGATATATAAAAGATAATTTAATAAAATCTTTAGCTCTATTGAGCTTTAAAAGATTAAACAAATTTTTTTACATAAATTAATTTTTGCGAATTTTTTTTTAATTTTAAAAAAAGAAGAATTTGTTTTTTAATTAATAAAAAAAAAGCAAACTCTTTGTAAGCAAACAAAATTTTTTGTTCGTTCACGGAGGTGAGTTAGATAAAGATGTAGTAGATTAAGTATTCATAATGATAAATAGAGAAGAGAAATCGTTTAATGCTATCTCACTCTATGAGTGAACAAAATGTTTTACTTGCTCACTAAGGAGCTAATTTATTTTTTAAATTTAATTTATAAATTATTTCTCTTCATAAATTTATTTGCAAGAATTAGCCCGAAATTTTATTTCAATAATTATTCTTATATTTCAAAATATTCTTATAAGCAAATGATATGCTCAAAAAAATTTGCTCGCTTCTAGATTTTTTTTCCAAAATCGTTGTGTTCGCTCACAGATGAATGAAGCTAAAAAATCCAATTTATCGAATCAACCACGATTTTGAGCTGCTTTATATGCAGCAGATGGAATTTCAAAGGTGCTCGAAACAAGCAGATGCATCTTTGGTCAAAATGAAATGCAAAATTGATAAATACTCTTTTGCAGAGACTTCTTTGCACTTTTTCCATGTTAATAACCCTTTAAGGAAAGTTTTATTGGAAATTACAATGAGTATTTGATTTGACTGATTTATTTTGCTTGTCATTATTTTGAACAGTATTTGTTTAGCTTATGATGTGCAGACTGATAATTGATCTCAATGAAATGAAACAACGGAAAAAATATTTTTAGTGATCTTTACAATAGAAATAATTCTCAGAATATTCGCCAAAGGCCTAATTGTGGGAAAATATACTTATTTCAGAGATTTTTGAAATGTATTTGATTTTATAATTATTTTGATTGGATGGATTGGGGAAATGCAAAACGAGATTGATCCAACTTTAATGAGAACTATTAGACTATTCAGGCCATTAAGAGCTATTAATAGCTTTCCTGAGCTGAAATTAATTATTTTATCAATTATGAAATCTGTTCCTTTACTACTTGATATTTTAGCACTATTTAGCTTAGTGATATTAATATATGCTATTGCTGGAACACGCATCTATGCAGGACTTTATAACCAACAATGCTATACACAAGATGGAAATACTACAGGCGTTTATTGCTATTTAGACCCGAGCTGTAAAGAATTTGAAGTTAACTGTGGAAGGTCAAATTCTGGATGTGGTGATGGAGAATATTGTTGAGACAGCAATTTAAATTTGAATAATGGAGTTACTTCTTTTGATAACATTGGAATTAGCATTTTGACTGTTTTAAATGTAGTTTTTATTGAAGGGTGAAGTCCAATTATGTTTGAAGGGAGACTGGCTTATAATGAAGTTTTGACTAATGATTTATTCTTTGTGTCTTTGATTGTGATTGGAGCTTTTTTCTTATTAAATTTGATTAAAGCAGTTTTATTTGTAAAATTTCATGAAGTCGTAAGCGAAGAAAAGCTTTTACTCTCTGTCCCGAGAGTGAGCAAATGATTGAAAAATTCTATTAGGAAAAAAATCACAATTTGCGGAGCAAACAAAAATTTTTTGAATATAAAATTATTTTTATAATATATAAGTGATAAATAATACAACAAAACCTCTAGTTGATTGTTTTTTAAATTTCGAAAAAATTATATATAAAACTTTTTAAAAGAAAATTAACCCCCTCTTAAGTGGAAAAATTTTTTGTTCACTTAAGGAGGGCTTAACTGAAATTATTATAGTACAGCCATGTCAGATTTTCACATCGACGACCTAAAGGTATTTTTCGCTCCCTCCAGATAAGGCTTGCACTCGCAGCTCTGAGTTAATGACTCTGGCTAGCCATGCCACATGCTAACAGAGTGGTCATTTTCTGAAAATCCAAAAAGTGATTTCTCATCAGGCTATTGGCCAGACTAAACTTGAGCCCAGGATGCAAGCCATGATTTCGCGTTGGGAAATGGCCGATTGGTCAAGCGAATGCCTTCTGGCCTTGCTGAGCTGTCCCTTTCCAACTTCAAAGTTCCATCTTCCCCCTAATATAACCTTTTCCTGGGTTTGAGCTGCCACCAGCCTTACATTGCGCTCCACGGGACCAATTAAAACCCTGCCGGCACACACTCACCTCAAGTGCTCTCCCTTACACAAGATCTTTGACTCCTGCCTGGCTACAGATGCTAAGAGGGTCAAGCTGAAAAAAAAAAAAACTCATTGAGTTTTCATCCCTCACTTTGCACTAAAAAATGTCTTCGAAATTTTTACACTTTCGAACAAAAAAATACGAATAAAAAAACCAAAATGAGAGTTTTTATCCTCACACTGTTAAGAGGGCAGGTGGTTCGCCACGCAATTTTTATTTGTGTCCTTATGGAGGTATAGTTAGAAAAAAATAAAGGAATTATTTTCGATGAAAAAGTGATGTGTGACTTCAAGCCAAAAGAGCCTGAAGATAACAGCGGAATATGATATTGCTGATATTTTATAAGAATAAAATTGTATATTTTTATTCAAAGCAATATTTATTATTGATTATATGGAGCTTTTATAATGACAAATACATTTATTTTGTCTACTGAATACTATGGAATGAGTAAATCGCATGAAAACGCCGTGCTATGTGCAGATGCGATTTTTACTTGAATATTTTTTGCAGAAATGGTCTTGAAATTAATTGCTTTAGGAATTAAGGGCTATGCAGCTGATAATTTTAATATTTTTGAAGCATTTTTAGTAGTCTTCGGCCTTTCTGAAATTATTGTGATGAATCTTTCATATGGCTTCGACTCAATTGAATTGCGATTCTTAAGAACAGCGAGAATATTTAGATTTTTTAAGCTAGCTCGAAGATGAAAAGGGCTGAAATATTTAATTGAGAAAGCTTGAAAAAGTGCAGAGCTAGTTATTTACTTACTCCCACTCATTTAAATTGATACGAAATATAGGTAATAATTTCCATTTTTGTGAAACTTTGCTCCTTTAAGTGCTGAAACAAAATTCTTTTTCAATAGGAAAGTTTTAAAGGTTTAAATTCTAATTTTTATAAAACTAATGTTGACCTAATTTAATAAAAAAAGTGATTAAAACAGTCTTCATTATGAATCAATACATTTTCTTTAAGTCTTTAAAAACTTTATCAAATATTTTTATATAGAGAATTTTTTTTTAAAAAAATACCTATTTAAATTGAGCAAGATTTTTTATTACAATTTAAAGGGTGAAAGTTAGGAATTCTTTGCTTTATTGTATTGTTTGTTTATGCCATAATCGGTGTTCAGCTATTCAAGGATAAATTATATGAAGACGGAGAGGTATCTCGCACAAATTTTAATAATCTATTTTGGGCTATTGTTACTACATTTCAATTATTTACTGATGAAAACTGAAATTCTGTATGATATGACTCAGTTAATGGGGTTGGATGGTGAGCAACAGTTTATTATTTATCAATACTTAGCATAGGAAGTTATGTCTTGTTTGATTTTTTCTTAGCTATTTTATTAGAGCAGTTTGAAGAAAGTAAGGAAGAAAAAAAATTATATAGATCCAATTCTGAGCTAACTGAAGCTAGTTTAACTGATCAGAAATTGGAGAAAAGAAGAAGAGAAATTTTTGAGAAAAAAATTAGGCAAATTAATGAAAGACAATATGATCCTTTGCCGATTTATGGAAAATCTCTGTATTTATTTTCAGTGGATAGCAAGATAAGGCAAAATCTCAGAAAAGTTGTATTACATCCTTATTTTATCAATTGAACATTTTGGGTACTTATTTTGGCAGCAATTTTTATAACTTTTGACAAAGCTATTCCAGATCCTTATGAGTTTAAAGTAGCAACAGTAGGGAGATATTTTACGCTAAGCTGCTATTGAATTGAAATCATAATAAAGGTCATAGTAAGTGGGTTTATCTTTGGAAAGCATGCGTATCTCAAAGATGGATGAAATATTCTTGATTTTGTTATAGTTATTGTGCATACTGTAAGACTTAGTACAAGACTTATATGGGAAAATTCAATACCCGCTGATATTTATATTGCTAATTAGGATGAACAGCACGGCTTGCCGGCAAGCCCAAAAAAAAACCTTCTGTTCATACTAACTAACAATATATTTACACAAGCAATTTTATCATTCAGAGTTCTACGACTAGTATCAAGAAATGAAACGTTAAAAAAGATTGTAACATCAATTATCTCTGCATTCCCAGTACTATTTAATGTTATGATTTTGTCATTATTGGATTATTTTATGTTTGGAGTTGTAGGGGTAATTTATTTTAAAGGCGCTTTTTACACATGCAGTGATCCTAGCATTGAAAAAGAAGATGACTGTACAGGACAGTATTTTAATGGAACTGATTTTCTAGATAGAGAATGAAAAAACACTGATTACAATTTTGATAATATCCTTCGTGGAATGAATTTACTTTTCCAAATCTCTTCAATTGAAGATTGGCCTAATTTTATGTTTACTATAGTAGATGCTGTTGGGCAAGGCCAAGCAATGAAAAGGGATCATAATCAGTATGCAGCTTTGTTTGTAATTGTATTTTTATTTATTACAACTTTTTTTGTAGTAAATTTATATATTGGAGCAATTGTAACAAAATTTGGTGAAATACATAATGAGCTTGATGGATCTCTAATTCTAACGCATAAACAAAAAGAATGGGTGGAGACGCAAAAGCTTTTATTAAAAGTGTCTCCAAAAATTAAGTATATTAGGCCGAAAAATAAAATTAGGAAAATTCTTTTTGATTTGGTGCTGGATTATAAATTTGACTATTTAGTTACAGGCTGCATCGTCATGAATATGATTTTTCTTTGTCTTTATAACTCTGAATTAGATGAAGAGTTATGACATGTTCTATATTTTGGATCTGTAGGATTTACAGTGCTTTTTTCAATTGAATGTGGGCTGAAAATTATTGGTTTAGGCCCAAGATATTATTTTGCAAATAAATGAAATCTTTTTGACTTCATTATAGTTCTTTTATCGCTTATATCTTTTTCTGAAACAATTATTGCGAAAAATAGTATAACCCTAGCAAAGCTCCTTAGAGTTGTACGAAGCTTAAGACTTATTAGATTTTTTAAGCACTTCAAACGAATTTTTGATTCTTTACTACTTTCTCTACCTTCAATAGCAAATGTAGTAATATTAATTTTTTTATTATTGTTTATTTATGCAACTGCAGGAGCTACTTTATGAGGAAATCTTCAATTTGGACAGTATATATCATCAGAAAAAAATTTCACTGATTTTTATAATTCATTTATGGTCTTATTTATAACAATGACAGGAGAGGATTGAGATTTGCTTTATTCCGAATGTATGGGCATGGAAGGATGTAATGACTGAACTGTATGTGGGAATCCATGAATTGCTGCTATTTATTGGGTTTCTTATGAAGTTTTAGCAGCATTTATATTTATGAACATTTTTATTGCAGTTTTATTAGAAAATTTTACGATAGAAAACGAGGATAATCCTTTGAGAGGGGTAACATCAAGAGACTTAGACAATTTTGTTAAAGCCTGAAGTAATTATGCGCCTTATGGAGAGCATTTTATTAGAACTAAATATCTGCCTAAATTATTAAATGAATTAGAAGCGCCACTTGGGTTCAAAGGGTCAAGACTTTCTAGACTGCAACTGATTAGTATTATTTATGCATTGAAAATTAAAGAATACAATGGGAAAGTAATGTTTTCTGAATGCTTATGAGCATTAGCAGGTGCTGTAAGTGGAGAAGATATGCCTATAGGAGCTCCATCAATTGTTGGGAAATCAATGAATGGGAATTTTCAGTATAAAGTGCCTAGATTGCCTAATAAATCAATTACAAGTACAGAAGGAACTTATGCAGCGAAAACTCTAGTTGCTTATGTATTTTATGAAATGTGGAAAAGCAGAAAAGAAGCAAGAGAGAAGAGAAATTTATTTGCAGCAACACATATTTCAGATCAACCATAACAATAAATGTAATTTATTTATCGAATAGATATTTATATTAAATTAATAAGTTTTAGTAATATATTTTCCAATTATTAATATCTAAACAATTCTCTTTATCATAATATGGTATATTTATTATTCAATTATAGTGTAATTGAAAGAAATAAAATCCAATAAAATTTTCATATTTATAAAAGAAATTAGTACCTAACTGAATCAAGTAGTGAGGACTGTTTCATTTTGATAATAAATATGCTTCAATTAATTTCTTAACAAAACTTAAATATGGATGCTTCAACCGAAATTGTTCAAGATCCTAACTTATCAATAAAGAAAAAACTCCTTGCAAAAGCATTGAAAAATGAAATAAAGTGCAGCACTCTTCTTCAAAGGAATTCTCCATGTATTTCTAATGCGAAAGCACCCAAACTTATCCTTAAAAATGTTTTAGATAAGGATGATAAAAAGAGTTGCTTGCTAACTGAACGAACAAGAAAAATAAAAAAATTAGAATCAAGAATCTCAGGGAGTGAAACAACAAGATCTCTTAGCAGAAAGCAAGAAATTCAAAAAAGCAAAAAACCTGCTAGAGACTTAAGGAGTATAACTCCAATAAATAAGAAAGAGACCAATTTTAATAAAAATCCTTTGAAAAACAAAGAAATTTCTCTATCCAAACCACAATCACTTGCAAAGTTAGAGGGATATTTTTCAGAAATATGCAGCTCTATTGAATCAACTTCAAAAATTGAGGATAAATTAATGCAAAAAGCAGAGTATATGCAAGAAACTTTAAAAGAGTGCCTTACAGCTGTTCCTGATTTATCACTTCAATTTTATATATTAATGTCGTCAATCTTAAGGGAAATTCAAGACATTTATAGGGAAAAATCATACGATAATGTATGTGTTCTTGCACAAAAGCTACTGCAATTAGGATTGTATTTAGAAAATAATAAATTTCTCCAGAAAAATAAGCCAAAAGATATTAAAGAGGAGCTTTTGGCAGATTTTAATGAAAAAATCTCTAAGAATGATCAAGACTTAGAGGCGACAGCTACATTTAACGAAGGCGAGCTTCAGTCAATAAAAGAACAATCTAGTAATATGACAATTTCAGATAATAATGGAGATTCTCTGCTTGATGTAAGCTTTTCAGATAAAATTGTTAATATAACATTTTCTCCTAAAGGTGAGAAATATAATGAAGAAGATTTTATTCACAGCTCTTCAATAGTTACTAGAACTGAACCAACTCCAAAATCTCAAAAACAAAAAAATATCTCAATTTCTTTTGCAAATCCATTAAGTTCATTTAATAAAGACATAAAGAATCATCGAAGAATTATTTCTTCACAACCAAAGAAAAATATTTCTCATGACTTCAAAAACTGTCTGGACCATAATTTTCTACCATTAGAAAAATTCAAAGAATTTTTATCAGGAAAAATCTCCGTTAAAATAAATGAACTTAAAGCGCAAAAATACGACCCAATCAAACTAAAAAATGAAGTTTATAGCAATGCTATTGAAAAAAGAGAAGAGTTGCTTAAAGAGGCTAAGGGTGATTTTGAAGATATAGAGGTAATAATTATGAGCAAGCCTGGATATGAAAAAAGGTTCAGCGCTGAAGTTATTCGGACACAAAGAAATTTTGAGGAGTCAAATAGAAGAAAGCAGAGTGTTAATTGGACAGCTAAAGACATCCATAATAAGAAGCGAAAACTTGAAGCTGTTTTAAATAGATTTAAAAGATATAGTGTTATCTCCTATATAGCCCTAAAGGGCTGTGGACTCTGTCCGTAATCCTTTGGCTGGTGGAACCAACAAGAGTTAGTCCGACCAACGTACTAAGTTGGTTGCACCAGCCAAAGGATTCCAGACAGAATTCACAGCCCTTATAGGCATATATAGGGGAAAACTCTATAATATTTATCATTCATAATGTTTAATTTATGGCAAATACTACTTATGGACACGCTAAATCCTTTAAAGAAATGATATCAAAAATATGAAGTTACTTTTCACTTCTAATTGATATCCAAATCTTTAAAGTCATAATAAAACTATAAGTGAATTTCTTTCAAATTCTTTGAATTTAAGAGTAAGTCAATTAAAAGTATCTTTATAAAAAGTAAATAAAATTTTATATAAGTCAGCAATTCCATAATAAATGCAATTTTATAATTAAGATCATAAAAATTGACTTTCTGATAAAGTGTGTAAACAATAATGGCATTTTCATTCCTTTAAATTTAGTATTTGCAATATCCCACTATAAATTAACAAAAAAATATATCATTTGGAAATAAAAAAATGTTTGTAAATTTTTAGAATTAAGATAACTAAATGCATATATTCAAAAAAATTTTAATAGTTTAACCTCCTCATATCGGCAATAAAAATGAATCCTCTCGAATATCAAATAGGATACACAAAAACTACTTTATCAAAAATTGATATATTAAATAATAATGATTAAATTATGGTTTTTCATTTTGCTTATTGCAAATTTATGTGATTCATGACAAGAAAATTCTAATGATTTTCACCAAGTAAATTTTCCAGAAATATATGAAATTGGCTTGCAAGAAATATTTATTCCAAACCTATATATCAAAAAGGAATTCTATTTATCATTTTTAGCGAAAACTTATGCCAATACCCCAATGAGGCTAGCAGAAATTGCATGAGACGAACAAGAAAGTGCTTATTTTGAATTAAATGACCACAAAATTACTTTGAGACTTAAAGACTCCCTAATCGAAGTGTCTTTAAATTTGAATTCCACTAACTTCCCAAGTAATAAGCAAATTCTTGCTTATTCGTGGGGGGTTTTGAGCAAAATATTTTTTAATAGAAATTTTAATATGAATAGATCGAAATTTGCTTATTATTGAGGTTAAATACTCAAAATTTGCATTATCTGATACCCCAATAATAAGGAAATTTTAATCTATTCATATAAAATTTACTATATGAAAATTTTGTGTAAAAAACCCCACAAATAAGCAAGAATTTGCTTTTTGCTGAGGTAATTGAAATTTAATAATTGGCGGCTTGGAAAATAGATATCTGAAGATTTGCTCCTATGAGTGGAAAAGCATGAATTCAGCTATAAAATGTGTCTCAAGCTCCATATTATTACCAAATTATATTCCTCAAAGGTATTCGCCTTTTCGCGTGAATTTTGAAACTGATTACTTTCGGTTTCTTAGGATATCAGAAATCGCATCAAATCCAAAATTGCACATTGAAAATTTCCCTCAGCTTATGATAGAAAGAAGAATCCTAGATGAAAGATCTACCATAGAGATTGATTTCAGTGGTGTTCAGCCACAAGTAATTTATGGAAATTATATGCCTCTTGGAAACGCAGATGGCGTAACATGAAATCCAGATTATTTAGATAAAAATTCTCCATATCCTATGATAAATTCTGGGATTTATTTTAATGGAGTTTCCTCACTCCCACCCTACAAAATGTATTTCATTCGCTAACGTAGGGGGGTTAATATTTTTTATTCAATATAAATTTTTAGTAAAATTATATTTCGAAATTTAACAAACCATATTTTAAATAATTAACTAGATATTTCATTGGAATAAATATCACTTATATATCAAAATAACTTTCTTAAAAAAAATTTTGCGCTCAAAGAGGATGGGTTTTTATTAAAAATAGGGATTTTTCAATGATTTTGTCCGCTCACGGAGGGGGATTCAGCACTTTTCTTTCCAAAGTCCTCAAATTTTCCTTATTCCCATCCATGAGCAAGCAAAACCGTTGGAAAAATCCCTAATTTTTAATTAAAACCCACCCTCCATTTGCAAAAAAAAAATTAATATATAAATTTTTTATGAAAAAATATTTTGATATATAACTGATAATTATTATAATGAAATCTCTAACTAATTCTGTTTAATTTTAAACAGCTTCCATTTTTAAAAAATAAATTTTGGACATTAAATAAATATTTGCTTTAAAATTATTTCAAATAATGATTTTTTAAAACTTATATATGAGCGAACAAAATTTTTTTGGAGGGGGGAAATTATGATAGTTCACTATCTGATCCCTTACTCTCCTTTCCTTTAAATTGAAACAAATTTTTTGTATGGGCAATGCTTTTTAAAAAAATAATATTAATTTTTTCTGTATACAATTTAAAAGCTCAATGCTGTGGGTTTAATTTATTTTTATAAAGAATTAATTTAAAACTTTAAATATATGGTGTGCAAACTGTTTTAATAATCTAGATTAACTTTTTATACTTAATTAGATCAAAAACATTTTATAAAATATATTTTCGCCTATAAAATTTTCCTATTGCAAAATAAGTTTTGTTCGAAATCTAAGAGGTTAAAATATCCAAAAAATTAAAATTTTACTCTACATTGTTTCAATTTAAAGGGGCTAGTTAGTTTTATCGTCTTTTCAAAGCTGAATTTTTTGGATTAGACCAATATTTCAGGATCAAGAATGCATTTTAGTTTCTAAACAGGAGTCTTTAAGCAGATACTTAAAAATTTCGCTAGGAAATGATGCATCCTCCTTATTTTTCACAGATGAGAACAACAAATTGACAACAGCTCAATCAGATAGCTCAGTCAAAAATAACACATGGCAACTATTATCTATAGCATGAAGCTCAACTGAAATAGAGTTTTACATAAATGATATAAAAGTAACTCAGATTTTGACAAGTTCATTAGGATTTTCAGATAACTCCAATTCACAACTAGTTATTGGGGCTGATTCATTAGAATCTTCAAATTACTATAAAGGGTTTTTATATTATTTATCCTATTTTTCCTTTAAAATTTCAATTGAAACAATACAAAATTATATAGGGAGCTGTCAGTCGTGCAATTGCCCGAGTAAAACAAACTCATGTCTCGGCTCATGCAATTTTGGTGAGTATTTTTACGATTCTCAGTGCAAATCTTGTCCAAATAAGTGCACAGAAATTGGCTGTATATATGGAGATAGTGGTGCTCAATGCAACAGATGCAGAGACTCTCTGTGTGAATTCTGTGAAACTTATACAGAAACTTGCAAACAATGCAAAAAAAATGCGATTCTTGATAATTATTGCTACTGCCCAGATGGATTTTACAAAGATTATAATAGTGAAAGCTGCAAACCATGCCATGATAATTGCAGCAAATGCTCAGGGGCTACTATGGATTTGTGTGATGAATGCGTAAAAGTAGTTGATAGCTGATGTGTTGAAGAATGCCCTAGTCTATATACCACAGAAAGTGATGGAAGCTGCACTTTGTTCAACAAAGAACCTGAAAAACTTGTATTTGACTCTTTGAGCTCTCTTTTGGTTTCGAAACCATACTCATTATTAAGCTTTCAAACTGGGATAAATGGCTATCACATGGAAACCACAGATCCATATCCTGAGTATCATAAAGGGTATTATTTTGACCCAAAAAGTTTATTGATTCAAAACAATCAAGCAATGATAATTTCCCCACAAAATTCCTGGGCTTTTTGGCTTAAACCTACAAATCCAAGTGGGATTTTGCTATCAAAAAGATCAAGTGAAACTATATCTTATAGATGGATATTATCGGATAATATTCTATCTGTTGATATAAAATTATTAAATGGAAAATATTTGCATAGTTGCTCCATAGAGATAAGCCAAAATATGTGGACTATGGTTGCAGCCATTTTAGAATATGAAAGTGGGCAATATGAAGGGTCTGTTAACTGTTTTATTAATGGCTCTTTTATGAATTCTAATGAAATTGGAGTCACATATATAGATGATTCATCAGATTCTATTATTTATATAGGTGAAGAATACAATGGATGAATTTATGAAATTATTTATAGCCCAAATAAGCTTGATTTATCAAATTTCATTAGTGATGGCGATTGCAAAAGCTGCTCTTCTTGTGATTATACTTTGCCTGAGTTTTGCTTAGACGATTGCCCATTTCACCAATTTTATGATCCAGATAAAAATAAATGCGTAGAATGCGATAGCAGCTGTGGAAGCTGTGTAAGGAAAGAAAATTGCAGTTTGTGTATTGATAAACTGTGCAGCTCTTGCTCTACATTTGAAGATGCCTGTGATAAATGTCTAGAGAATGCTTCTATGAATGAAGATTCTATTTGCAAATGCGCAGATGAGTTTATCTATAATCCATCAGTAGGATTATGCACAGAATGCTACGAAATCAATAGCTTATGCGTTATAAGCTGCCCTACTCTTTATATTTCACAAGAAAACTATACTTGCACAGCAAGTGATAATTTATATATGAGATTCAGCTTTGAGACCCTGGAAAATATTATAACAGACAGCAGAGATCAACCGGTTTATGAACTTATGACAGGATCCTCTTTGAGTTTTTATCCAAATTATGATGATAATGACCCTATTCCAGGCTACCAACGAGGCATGTTTTTTGATGGAAAAAATGACTATCTTCCAAGATATTCAGGCAATTTCACAATCTCACCTTATAGCACATGAATTCTTTGAATAAGCCCATACGATTTAAGCCAAGGCATGATTTTTTCAAAAAATGATAATGAGAATGACAATGTAATCTCATTGTATAGTACCAATTATGATTCATATTTGGCTATCATGAATTGCTCCTTTTCCATTACTTTGTCTGAACACGAGTGAAATTTTATAGTGATTCTAATATCTCAAGACAAAAGTTCCAGCATTTCTGTCACTTTTATCAATAATGGCTATCAGAGTATAATGACTGAATCTGGGTCTATTGAAGACTATTTGAATTATTATTTAACTATCGGAGACAGCACAATAAGCTGCTGGGGCTGGTTTTATGAACTGGTTTATGCTGCCAAGCTATTAGACTCAGATGAAATTTCACAAGAGTATAAGGGCTATTATTATTGTCCTAGACAAGAGTCATTTTGCTTAAAAAGCTGTAATTTGAATCAATATTATTCTGAATCTGGAGAGTGTGCTGATTGCCTATCTAGTTGCAAAACATGTATATCAAACAGCACATGTGATTTATGTGCACAACAAAAATGCTCATCCTGCTCATCTATTGGTGGAAATTGCATATGTCCATATGATGCAACACAAAATTCCAACAATGTTTGTACCTGCATTGACCCAAACAAAAATTTTAATAAAAACACAATTTCTTGTGATTGCCATGATGGATACTGAAATAACCAAGGAGAATGTGAGATTTGCAACTACTACTTGCAAAATGATGATATTTCTTGCAATTTTGCAAGTAGCTATAGGCAGCTTGAAATAACTTTTTCAGTTCCAGTAAAAACTTCAGGGATTTCATGCGAGTCTTTATTTAATTCAGACACTTTAAATAAATTTGGGGACGATTATAGATGTTACTTTATGAATGACAACTTAAAATTTTATGTTAATTTGGGATTGAATTTTACTATTAAAGAAGGGGACAGTTTGAGCTTTCAAAAGGAAATAATTGGGAAAACATCAAAATGTGGGTATGAGAAGACATTAGTTAAAGCTACCCTAGAGCATAAATATGATTACCCAAGCCCTATAATTATATTGAATGCTCCAAGTGTTATAGATATGAGCTGCCAAGATTTGAGGATCGTTGGCAGAGTTAATGGAAAATTAAATCACGACTTAGAAATAAAGTGGTCATTTTCTTCTAATCCAAGCAATGCAAATTTGATAAAATATGAAACCGATTATCAAATCAGCATAGCAAGCATTTTAATCCCAAAAGCAGAGCTACTTTCAGGGATTTTAACAGTAACCTTAACAGCAAAAAACTTTTTGGGATCAATATCAAATTTATCTCAAAATATCACTGTTTCATCTAGTTCAGCAATATCAATAAATTTTGACTCTTTATATTATTCAATAACAAGATTTCATCCATTTACAGTATCTATTGGCTCCCTTTCCTCATGCCAAGCGTTATCAAATAATATCAATATAGAATGAAGTTTAAGCTCAGTTATGAATAATCAAACGGCGATTAACGAGACGACTTTATGAGCCAGCCAAAACGGTCAAATGGCTTTAATAATACCCAAAGGATGGATTCCAGCTCTTTCAACTGCGAATTTCAAGATAGAAGCAACTGACCAAAGCACTGGCTTTACAGGCACAAACTATATAAGCATTTATAGCAAAGAATCATTGCCAGTTATATTATTTGATAGAACAGATGGTATTGCATCAGCTAATGAGCAGCTATCAATAAGCGCATTAAGCTCATATGACCCAGATGGCCTTGCCACTTTTTCTTATAAATGAAGCTGTAATACGAATTATGAAGATTGCAGTAGCTTAATCACAAGCGTCTCGTCAGGAACTTTAAATGTCCCAAAAAATTCTCTTTCTGTCGGGGAAAGCTATATATTTACAATCACAGTGACAAAATCAAACTCCGCGAAATTATCATCAACAAAGCAAATCACTATAAATATAGTTGGAAATTCTGGATCTAAAATTTCTATTGCTGAAACAAATATAATAAAACCAAATGTAGTGAATCCTAATGAAGCTTATAAAATAAAAATTAATCAATTGGTGAGTTTGGTTACTTGGAGCTGCCAAAGTGAACTTCCTATTGAATTTGCAAGCAGCTTGAATACTAATTTTTTAGTGGTTAAAGAAAATTCTTTGCAGCAAGGAGCATATTATACGCTCGATATATTAATTGGCTCAAGCTATAGCTATACTTGAAGTTTTTATGTAAACCAAGCTCCAGTTTTTGGGGATTTTATTGTATCTCCTCAGAATGGGGTTGAACTAGAAACAATTTTTACATTAGAAGCTTATGAATGGATTGATATAGAGGAAGATTATCCTTTGAGTTATATTTTTGGAATGACTATTGATAATTCTTCCATTTATTTATCTGGAAAAAATTCCTCTTCAATTTTTTATTCCAAGTTTTTACTCTCAAAGAGGTTAGTTAACAATATCGGTGATATTAATAGTTTATTTTTCTATAGAATGCAATTATTTGGTATCAAATAGTTAAAACTCCATTTTTATAAAGAGTGTAAATGGAAATTATGAAATTTTTGTAGATATATATGACTCCCTTAATACCTATTCCAGAGTAGTTTCTAATATAACAGTAGAAAAAAATACCAAAACAGACTATTCAAAACTATATGAAGAGATAAATAAGCAACAAAGTTCACCAACTCTTGATATCCCAACTATAGTTTCCTCTACTTATTGATTGACAAGCTTACCATTGAATTTTTCTGGAATCTCAAATTTAGCTGTCGACACTTCTTTGAAATTTAATTTGTCAATTAAATACATTAACTCATACATTGATTTAATGGATCCTGATGATTTTTCATCATACTATGGTCTTCTTTCTATGCTAAAAATGATTTCTCAGGCGTTATTTATAAACTCTTATGAAGAGTTGCTGATATTCAATAAAACCATAGCTAACATTTTCACATACAATAGTGTTGCGTTAAGAGACAGACAAGTAGAAATTTTCTTTGACTCCCCCCCCTTTAAATAGCAAAAAAAATCCTGTTCTAATTTAAAGGGCTAAAATCAATTTTATTAAATTTTTTCAAGAAATAATGAAAACTGTTTAAATAATTCTAGTTGCATTTTTTCCATTAACTATTTTTTATAAAATATATTTTTAACTAAAATTTTCCTGTAGAAAAAAATTTTGGTCCAATTAGCAGAGATTAAACCCAAAATGGAAATTTTACTATGCTTTGTTCCAATATAAATGGGGGAGTGAATCATTGAATGCTATTTATAGCAATTCATTTTTGAATGAAAGTGTAATTGGATTAATAGAAGATAATATAGTAATTGCAAGTTCTATAATTCGTCCGTATATGATATCAAATGAAAATAAGCACTTTTATAGTGGCAACATAGAAACATTATTTGCAAATACCCAAACTCGATATATTTTTGACTCAACTTTGTCATTAAACAATTTCACTTTTCATCTTCCTGTCAATATTCCTCAACTTATTCCAAAAAAATCACCATTTTCTATCATTTATTCTATACCTATATAGTTAATATGAAACATTCTCATGGCTTCCATTATTTTTGTTCATGTAGTAAATAGGAAAGTGGCTACCAGTAGGAATGCTTCATTCATTGTAAATAAGTATAAATTTTCATTAGCATCTCCAAAATATCCAGTTATAGCTTATACCTTATATGAGGCTGGCAACAATACTCCGTTATCTATTTCATTAAATTACACAGAAATCGAATTTCAAACTCCAAATTTAAATACATCACAAGAGATGCACTGTGCGACGCTAAACAGGACAAGTTCTGCCTGAAATGAGAGCAGCTGCTCTTTAGGCAAAATTTCTGAAAGCTCAGTTACTTGCAATTGCTATCATTTATCTATTTATTCAATTCAAATAAAAAACACGACAAATAATGACCCAGGGGGTGATCCTAACAATCCTATTACAATAGATATAGAAAAAGGATCCTTCATTCCAGTTTATATATTTGGCGGTATAGCTTTTCTTTATATTATTTCTATGATTTCTTCTTTTATGTGAGAAAAAAATGAGAAAATCGAAGTCAATGTTATCGCACCGATCAAGGATAGTTCAATATCAAATAGATCAAACGTATCACTCCATCACAATCATCAGGATTCTGCACGTTTTGATTTTAAGCAGTCAAGAAGTTTAATACCTCTCGACATAAGCGATACTGTTGAAATTGTTGATAAAACTTTAGCAAAAATCGAGATAAGCTTTATGGAGCCTCCACATGAAAGTAAACGATGGGAATATGTATTGAAAAAGCATATCCTTCTCTGTATTTTTATCAAAGATCCTCATGTGAAGTTATATAAAAAGATAAATATACTTGCAATGTATTTTATAGTAAGTTTAGGACTGCTGGGGGCAATTTACCATTGGGATGAGTTTTATCAGGATAATTTGAACAATAAATCATTTATAGGAGTTTTGGAAAGTTTGAATGGAAAAGATATGATACCTATTGGGGCATCTATATTAGTTACATATATTATATGCTTTTTATTAGAGACTTTATCAGAAAATATGCCTGTATTTGAAGGAATTGACGAAGAAACCTATTACAGAACTGTGAGAAATAATATATAGCCCATACCCTTATATAGATTTATTTATAGAAAAAAAAAAAGGGACGATTGAGCAACCATGACAGACTTTCTCAAAGGGATGTGCTGGATCTCTATATCAGGATTGATTAAAAAGTGACATGTCAAAAAATAGTTGACAAGTGTGAAAAAGTTGACAAGCAAACACACCAATTTTTAAAATGGCTTTATTATTAAATTAATTTTAAATTTAAGATACCCTTTTAGACTGGGATTGATTAGTATCCTACTTTTTTTCCCTCTTTTTCTGATATACATTAAGTAGATTTTTAAATGAACAAACCAATTGTTTATGATCAAATGTTCTATAAAAGCCAAAGTTGTATTGAGCGCTTGTAGCTCTTTATGAAGTTTTTAATGGTTCATAAAAAATGTTTTATATTTATCATCTCCAGTCTAAAATGATATCTTAAATTTAAAATTAATTTAATAGTAAAGCCATTTTTAAAAATTGGTGTGTTTACTTGTCAACTTTTTTTCACACTTGTCAACCATTTTTTGACATGCCACTTTTTAACACATCCTGATATAGAGATTCAGCTCGCCCCTTTGAGAAATTATGTCATGGTCTTCAACTGTCCATTGCATTTTTGTTCTATAAAGAATCTACATAGAGATATGGGGATAGAATAAAAGTCATATCTTGTGTGATTTTGTCGTTATTAATATTCAGCTTAAGTGCTTACTTGACCGCAATTTTTTCTCAAGACTTCAGTACAGCAATGATATACTTGTGGATAATAAGCATCATTATTTCTTATGTAGTTGGGATTTTTATTGCGCCTTTTCTAAAAATGCTTATTGAAATTGCTATATATCAAAATTTTGTGAAATTTTATTATGCTATGAGGGGCTGGCAAAAAGAAGAGAAAGCTTAGACATAATTTATAATAATTAAAATTTCTTTAAATAATCATTAAAAATCTACACCTTAATTAAGATATCAGTAGAGGATTAAAATACTTTTATCGATTATTTGTTATTATAACTTTATAAATATGATAATTTAAAAATGATTAATCATATCAACCAAAAATTATTAAAATAGCAATTTCTTATAAAATACAATGTCAAATGATGTAAATTCCCAAACGGGTTTCACTTTAAAAGCAATCGGGAAAAGTTGCTCAATCTCCTCCTTAATTAAAAGACCAAAACTGTCTCTGGACAACTCTACTTCTCAAAGAAAAACCTTTATTTCATTCCCTTCTACAGTCTCTCTAAATCCAGTCATAAAAACAAGCTTCACAAGTCGCTCCACAGAAAACCTCAAAAGATTTTCATCAAAAAATTCATATCATAATGATTTTCTCAAAGATTTTACTATAAGAAAAAACATCATTTGCAGGATGCTTAATGAGAGAGAAAGGAGCCTTCGAACTGAGCAGGATAGAATACAATTGTCTGAAAAATATGAAAAATTAAGAGATAAACAAGAAATAAGATCTAGAAGATCAAGGCAAATAGCAAAACTTGAAAAAGATTTTAAAAGACATGTGACAACCGGCCGAGATTTTGATTTTAAGTTTGAAGACGATATTAAAACAAAAAGAAAACAAGTGACCAACAATAAAATACCGAAAACAAAATGCCCTTTGAGACAAAGCAAGGTTGATATAAACATAGATCCAGAAATAAACCGCAAGCTTTTTACGTTGCAAGACCTTCAAGCCATATTATACATATTTTGATGAATTATTACATATTTTGTAAAAAATATATAAAAAATCTATCTATTAATTCGTAGAAGGTTTATTAGGATGATCTCTTACTCCCCCCCCCCCTCCGTGAGCGAACAAAAAAATTTTGTTCGCTCACGGAGGGGGGTTTATTTTTTTTTTTAAAAAAAATTTATATATAAATTTTATTAAAAAATATTTTTGTCGAAATTTAAAAAAATCCTAATTTGCAAAAATTGGGAAGCAAATATTAATTTAACTTGCAAAATTTATGTTTTAAAACGCAATTTGTTTAAAATTAAACAGAATTAGCTCTAGATTTCATTATACTAATTATCACTTATATATCAAAATTTTTTTCCATTTAAAATTTTTTCTATTAAAAAAAATTTTTGTTCACTCACGGAGGGTGGGTTTTTGGTCAAAAAATGGCGATTTTTCTAATGGTTTTGTTCGCTCACGGAGGGGGGGGGGGGAGTTAGAGTATAAATTTTCATAAAGATCAGCCCTTTAAATTTTATTTATTTTGTCTTAAATGATGGCATGCATAGCAAATGTCTTCATACTCACTGTTGAACTTTTCCAAATGATTAATCGGCCCGTCTTTTGTGTGTTTACAAATAGCACAAATTTCATTGAAGTTTCCTTGTGGAATTAATTTTGTTGCAGTTCTTAATAGCGTATGTGTAGTTGATGGGAACTTTGACTGCAAGTTTCCGAGGAAATCTTGTATAAGTATGTCCATGCTTCCAGCCCAAGGCAAAGTGAGTGATTGAGCCATAGGAAGTTTTGTAAGCAATGGAACATATCAAGTTTCTTTGAATTTGATATTTAATTAATTATTTATTGCTAAATTTGTATCCTTATAGCTATACAAAACTGTAATATTATTTAATTAAAAAGAGAATATCATATATAGAATGATATATCGCCACCTCTTTTTCTAATAACTCTCTCAAAGGTCTTGCTATCGTAATTCCATCTACTAAAAGTATAGGTGATGAAAATGAAGAAACGCTTACTCCGCGGCCTTTACAAATTTCTGACATAACTAGCGTAGACACTCTGCTTGCGCTTTCTCCAGTGATTACTTTCTGGTAGTTGTTTTCTCTTGCAAAATCTGTGATCAAATTATTAATAACGAAATAGAGCATATCAGATTTAGCTTGGCTTGGTAAATTTAATTGTTCTTCAATGTCTGGAATTTTCTCTTCAATTTTGATCACATTTATATGCACATTGTAGCGCTTTTCAACGGACTCTAGAAATTCAGATACTTGGGACTGTGGGGTATGGTATATAAAAGAGTCGTCAATGTATAGCAAAACTGGTGTAAATTGCATTAATTTGGTAGTTTTTTCAGGGTTCTTGCATGTGTCTGTTAAATGGAGCATAGACATGGAATTAGCACCACCTGAGATTGCAATGAGAAGATTCTCGCCTTTTTTAGGAGATAGAAGAGCCTTGAGATTGGAACGAAAAAGATGCTCTGTATTTTTGATAAAGCAATCTCTGCATACTTTTTGTGATCGAATTTTGTAGTTTGGGGGTTTTACGCCGCACTTGTAGCAGAGCTGCTTTTGTTCTTCCATTTATTCAAGACTTGAACTTATTTAGATTTTTATCAGCATTATAACGATGACCCCCCTCCTCAATCTTCATGTCTATTGCAACAAAAATGCAATTTTTTAATATAAAATTTTATATAAAAAAAAAATGATTTTCATGTCTCTTGCAACAAATTTTCGATGTGCATCTTAAATTTTTCCGTACTTTTTAGCTCGATAGGGTTTAATAAAATGGCGAGCGATAGAGAAAAATGTATTAATTTTTTTTATAAAAATGTTATGCTGCAGTAGGCATGAAGATTTTTTTCGAAAAATTTGACATGAAGATTGAATGGGGGGGGTCATCGTTAATAATTTCTTAAATTGAGAATTTGATTGCTCAAAAGAGGACTAATAGCAATAAAAAGCAAATAAATAATATATCATTCTTATTTAAATAAAATAATATAAGAACTGCAAAAATGGTTCTTAGTGATGAAGAAGAAAAAACAATTAATACGACACTCATAGTTTGCAACTCTCTAAGCTTTATAGGCTGCTTTTTCATACTACTTATGTATCTATTTTTCAAAGAACTCAGAAGTTTTTCATTTAGACTTGTACAATATATGTCAATAATTGATCTTTTTCATTCAATTACTCTTATGCTCCCATGAGATGAATCAAACTGGTGATGCATTATCCAAGCATCTTCTCTTCAATATACAGCTCTGAGCAGCATTGTCTGAAGTTTAATAATAGCATATGCTCTCTATGACTCCGTCATCAACCAAAACTCTAAAGTTGAGCTTAACGAAATAAAATTTATTTTAGTGGGGTATTTGTCTCCTATTCTTACGGCAATACCTCCTTTTTTTACTAACAGCTATGGAAAAGCTGAAGGCTGATGTTGGATGAGGATTAGGGAAGATCATTATACAATAGACGTTACTTGGAGATTTATGCTATTTTATATACCTATATGAATTATTTTTATCATAAGTATCATAATTTATTACAGGATTATCAAATATGTTAATAAACAGTTCAAAGGAGTTGCGGATTCAAGTGAGTTTAACTTAAAAAAAGCACTAATAAGAAGACTTATACTTTATCCTCTAATCACCTTTTTTTGCTATTTATTAGTAACAGTGAGGAGGATTTATGATTTTTTTGACCCAAGAGAATCTTATTTTCCATTAGCAGAATCTTCAGCAATTATGATTTCATTGACTGGATTTTTTAATGCTTTTGTGTATGGATTTACTAGCTCAGTAAGATATGCTATAAAGCAAGCATGGGCAAGTAGGAAAAAAGATTCAATTGACTCGAGAAACTCTCAGAGTTTATCTCAGTATCCTCATTATACAGGATTTTAATTTGCTTTGCAAATCTAAAATTAATAAATTATTCTGATAAAGGTGCGAAATTATAAGCTTTAACTCTCCTATTTCATTATCCTATTAAATATTCTCTATTTTTATAGAATATTAACGCCATAATACTTTTTGATATAAAACATTTTGAAATATAATTAATCATTAAAATAACGATATCTCCAGTAGTTCTCTCCTCCTACTCCTTGAAACTTGTTCGTTAAAGGAGGGTCAATTTTTTAATGTAAATTTTATAATAAACTTTCTCTTGAAATTTAAAAATCCCAATTTAATTTAATTTGCAAAATTTAGGTTTTAAAATGCAGCTGTTTAAAGTGCAACAGAATTAGTTAATGATTTAACTATACTGATTATCACTTATATATCGATATTTTTTCATAAAATTATTTTGTCTTACGGAAAGTGGTTTTTACCCAAAAATAAAGGCTTTTTTCAATGGTTTGGAGGTGAAAGTGTTTTAAATTGCTTTTATCCTAGAAGAGTGACTTTATAAATTAAATTAAACTACTAGTTGTTTTAAATTCGAAAATTTTTTTTATTTATAATTTTTAGATATAAAGTGCTAGTTATCAAGCGGAAGAAGTAAAGAGCTTAATATTAGCTAAAATTTTATTTCCTTGCTTGCAATTTTGAAATCTTTTCTTCACAAGCTCATCTTATAAAACATTCTTATAAAATGAATGTGGATCATTTATTTTTATGAAGAGGATCTGATAAGGCTAGTAAAGTTATATTAATTCTCCTTTAGTAAACCTACTGATTTAATGTTCAATCCTTTATTAATAAGTGCTAGCCTAAAATTAACTTAAGAAATATTCTTTTAACTAAGAGTACTTCATACTCCCACCGCCTCCATTGGCAAAAAAATATTTTTTTGAAATAAAAACCAACCTCCATTTGCAATAAATATTTTTAATAACAATGTGTTTTGATAAAATATAAGTGATAAATATTATAATGAAAGCTCTAACTTTAAACAGCTCGCCTTTTAAAATATAAATTAAATTAATAATTTTTCCAATTTTAGGACTTTAGAAAATAAATTGACTCTAAAAATTTATATATAAGATTATAAAAATTTAATCCCCTCTATAAGCGACAAAATTTTTATATTAGTTTAAGAAGGGGAAATAGGCTTTTAAGCCAAAAATTGAAATTTCTTATTCTAACTTCCTTTTGCAAAATAAAAACAAAAGAACATTACCTTCAATCATTTAATAAATTGATTGCCACATATTGCTTCTCTTACTAAGCTCTATAAAAATCAAAGACTCTGTTTTAACTTTATAAATCAAAAGATTAATTTCATTAAATTGACATAATATTTCTATCAAATAGATTTCTAGCAGCATAAATAAGCCAATAATTACAAATGGCACTTTCTTCATCTCAAAATGAAGCATTTAGTTCAGTTTTGATCGTATGCAATTCATTAAGCATCTTTGGATGCTTATTTATCATTTTTCTTTATCTTATTTTCGGGGAATTGAGAACTTTTGCATTTAGATTGGTTTTTCACATGTCTATTGTAGATTTATTCCATTCAATATCTCTTCTCCCTGGCTATGAAATTTCAGAATGACTGTGCATCTTTCAAGGGTCCTTGCTTCAATATACAAGTTTTGGAGGTGCCGTATGGAGTGTGATAATTGCGTATTCGTTATTTGATACTGTGGTATTGCATAATACTAAAATCCAAGCTAAAGAGTCAAAATTCCTTATAATTGGCTATATCTTCCCAGTTTTAGTTACAATTGATAATATGTATATATTGATTAAAAAGCTATATTTATATATAGAAGCATACAATTCCCACCTTTTGTAACTAAAAGCTATGGTAGTGCAGAGGGCTGATGCTGAATTAGTATAAGTAACGATCACTTCACAATAGATACAATATGAAGGTTTGTATTATTTTATATACCCCTATGACTTATGTTTATCTATAACATTGTTACTTATTTTGTTGTGATCAACAATATCATTAAAGAGTTCAAAAATCTTGATAACTCTGATATGAAAACAGCTTTAGTCAGAAGACTAAGAATGTATCCATTTGTATTGATTTTTAGTTATTTATTTTCAACAATAAAAAGAATTTATGATTTTATTAATCCAGAAGAAGAGTTTTTTCCTTTAATTATTTGTGCTGGAGCAATGCTATCTTTAGTAGGATTTTTAAATGGTTTTGTGTATGGGTTTACTGATTCAGTGAAAGTGGCGATTAAAGAAGCTTGAATTGGAGGAAAAAGAACGAATTCATATGCTGCTGAAGGTTCTCAAAGCTTGATGAATATTACGCAAATTAAGGCTTGCGTATTGTAATTAAAATTATAATTGGGATTTATTTTAGCTTAAAATAAGGCTATAAATGGAGTTATGTTGTAATTAAAATCACTGAAAGCAAAGGAGGTAAGATGAGATTATTTAAAACCATTTTTAATGTTAATTATATGTGATGGGCCAAAATAGGCATTTTTCTTGTTTCGATTAAATTATTTTTAGATTATAATTGCTCATTTTTTATCAGCAAGTTTCGCTTTAACTAGCTTTATTAAAAGGTTTTAAAACTTTATAGCCTTATTTTGACCAATTATTAATAGCATTTCTTGTGATCTAAACTTATTTACTAACCATTAAAAATATTGAAAAGCATCTCTAGTGTATTGATTATGCCATAGAATTCAATTATGCAATTAATACAGAAAAGCATTATTTTAAGACTTAAAATAAAAGGACAAAACTTTGCTTTTCACAAGATTTCAGGGATTGCGGTGCATGGTATAATTGAATTAAAACGGCCTATAAAGGATCTCAAAATATTGTTTATATTCCAGTATAAGCACTTTAATTTTGTTTATCCCTAGATTAGTCCAATACGAAAAGTATATTATATAAATACTCCCTTAGAACTCACTCAAGCCAAAAAAAGAAGAAATATCTGATGCCAATTCAGCTCGTTATCTATATCAATATTATGAGATGATATGAAATTCCGGCAGCAAGCAAGAAATCATCTATTCTAACAGCTAAATGCCAGCAAAGCATATTGAAACAAAGATTCTTGAACTAAGCTAAATTATGCCTTATTAAAGGGTGATTAAACTTATCTAGCATGACAATTTTTATTATTAAAAATATCTTTAATATTGAGCCTTATCTCTAATCCTTAAAAATTTATTAAATAATAGCTCTGCGCTCACTATAAAGTCATTAGTCGTTCTCTAGCCATCTTTATTCGGTTTTTAACAGGAGATTCAATTTCAATCGAAATTTCCTTTGTTTGAATTGCATTTTGAGAGCTAGACGACATTTTTTTCATTATTAAAACACCTCCGATTTCTTGATAATACTTTTCATTTACTGAAGGGATACCAAAAGAATTCATATCTGCCCGTAAACTGCTTACCCCCCCACCTTTGTAAGCGAGCAAAACCATTGAAAAAATCCCTATTTTTTGGCCAAAACCCGCCCTCTGGATTTTAATATAAAAATTTTTGATAATTAGTATAATGAAATCTCTAGTTAATTCTGTTTAATTTTAAACAGCTTAATTTTTTAAAATAAATTTTAAATTAAATAAATATTTGCTTTTCCGGTTTTTATGAATTGGGATTTTTAAATTTTTGGAAACAAAATTTATTATAAAATTGATAATTTTTTAAAAACAAAAAATATAAAATGTTTTGGTTCGCTAAGGTGGGGAAGTTAGTGAATCTGAATCTTCTTCCTCCTCCTCTCGTTTTTGATGTGTAGTAGGTATTATTGTTGAAATTTTTGTTGATGATTTTTTCTTTTTCCTCTTAGAACAGTGTAAAAAAGAAAGGCACATAATTAATTTTTCGTTTAAATATGTTAATGTTTTTTTCTTATAGTTGCCAAATATTAAATAATAAGCTAAGAATTTTAGAGAAATAAAGATTAATTAACAAAAAAGCTTACCTAAAAAAAGTAAGCGAGGATTTTTCGGCAAAATTTCACATTTGCTATCATTTCATATACTAAAAATTGTAATGCAAATCTCAAATTTTGGTTCAAGGATAATTAAAAGTTCCGCAATTATAGTAACAGCAAGACTATATCAAAAGCTATAGTTTATTCTAGGCTTGAAAAAAGTGTTGAAAAAATCAGAGGCTATCAGAGTCTCTAAAATGGCACTTAATAATGGAATTTTCATAAATTCAACTTCATAACTAATTTTATAAAACTGTGTTTACTGGCTTGAAAATCGACTATTAAATTGATTATTTAATAAACTAAATTACCTACTTTTTGCAAGAACTAATGCACAGTGTGGACATCTATGAACTCTTAATTTACTCAGTCACACTGGTATTTGGCAGCATGCAAAAAATGATGAGAATATTTTTAAAACTCTTCCTGGCACTTTTTTGCTTAAAAATTCTATTTTGGTGTGTACGTACATCTTACAAAAATCACAATACACAGAACTGGGCATATTTCCTAGAACAGGTAAAGGATTTCTCTCATATGATTGCCTTGAATTTCTAATAGAGTTTATTTGCTTTTCATCATTTTTTAGTGCCTTTTCAGCACTTTTATTTATTCACGTTTCTTCACCCATTTCACATTTATTTGATTTTCTAGCCTCTTTTTGGTTTCCAAAAATTTTGGAATTCGTTAAATCATCACCAAACCCTATATATATAACAGAATCTGCATCACTGGCATGCCTTATATGGCATTTTGGGCTTTGATTCCTACTTCCTGCATTACTGCCTCCTTCTTCACTTGGTGCTTTGCTTGTATTTCTAGTTGAAATATTAAAATCTTTTATTCTGGATTGCAAAGAAACTTCTTGGATTAATTGCTCAGCAGATATTTCTTCAACTGTACAAATGCTTCTTTTTCTTTGATGCGATCCTCGTCTATAATGCTGAGGAGGAACTGGGGCATTTTCTTTATAATCTAATAACTTCCCAGCTTTTATTTGAAATAAATCTTCTCTTTGAGAGCTGGACGATAGAAAACTTTCTGATAAAATTTCTTCAAGATTTTCAGCATTTTGTGTGTATCTTCGCTCTGAATTTTGTGATCTATGGTGAGGTTTTTGATCTGAATTTGTAAATATGCAAGCACTCATTGGTCTTTCCAGATTTTCTGGGACTGGAGTTGATAAAGGATCATAAATTTTTTCAAGACTTATGCGATTTGATATCATTATTTCCGTTAAACTTATTAGTTTTAAATTTTCATATTTTTTGAATTATTAAATATTATTTATAGTCCAATCTTGGATTTGGCTCAACATATAAGACAATCTGAGGATTTGGTTAGACCAATACTTGTTTGTTAAGCCAATTTCCAGATGATGTCAGCATAGTCCGAACCAAAGCCAGGTTCTGGTATAATCTACAAAATTACATCTAAAGACATAGCTTACTCATTAATTATTCTCTCTAGCTTATCATTATAAAGTATTGTCAATGCTGGCAAAGAGTCCTTTTCTTTCTTCGACTGTTTTAATAATTTTCTTGTTTTGCTGGCTAATGATGTTGAGCTCATAAATTCAGGGATCACGTTAACAGGCCTCTCACTTCCTGCAACATCACTTTTTATATTGAATTTTGTAATGTTTCTTAAAGTATGCTTCAAAACGCTCTCTGATTTTACACTCACCATTGAACCCATTTTAGAAGGACTCATACGATTCAATGTAGTTCTAGACACTGTGCTTTGAGATGGATGGAATGCTGGGGCCGTGTGAACTTCTAAAGACCTTCTCCTTGATAGAGCTCTTTTATTTTCTTTTAAAAACTCCTGCATCTTCCTCGACTTGTTTTTTATTCTTCTCAGTTCGTCTCTAGTTTCCCCAACTTTCAATGCTAATCTGCTTGATAAATTTTGATTTTTTGTGATATCATGAATATGCAATCTTATTTCTTTATCGAGCCTTGTTTTCGCATTCTGCATTTTAATTTTCAATTTATTGAGAGCCGCAGTATTTTTCATGAGTGCGAATTGGACTTCTTTTTCTTGCTCCTTTACTCCCTCTCTATAAGAGTGAACAAAAAAAATTTGCCCAGTGATGGCAGTCATTAACTTATTTTTAATTTATATATAATTTTATCGTGATTTTGTCTTCAAAATTAAAAAATTTCAAATTGCGAAAATTGGAAAGTAAAAATAATGATTTTTGCAGAATTTATGCTTAGAATCCAAGCTGATAAATTCAACAAATTAATTTAGAGATTTCATTATAAAATTATCACTTATTATCAATATATTTATCATTAAAATTTTATGTTAAAATTTTGTGCTCTAAAGGACTTGAGCTTTTTTACAAAAAAATTAGTATGATTTTGCTTGCACGCTGAGGTGGAAAGTTAGCAATTTTTTTCGTTTTTTGTCTTGTTCAGACAAAATCTTGTTTTCTACTCGATTTTGCTCTTCAATTTCTAATGTTTCTAACTCCGTTCTGATTTGATGAGCTTCTGCATATCTTTCATTGATAGCAACTAATTTTTCTCTTGTTTGCAGCTCTCTTAAAATCGATTTGGGCTTAACTTTCACAAATTCCACATCTTTCTGCATCCTTATATTAAGTTCTTCCATTTCTTGAGTATGCTGCTGTTTAAGTGCTTCCATATTTTTTTGGCATTTTATTTCAAAATCTCTAAAAATCCTGTCCCAATCCTGTGCAAATTCTTCTTCTTTTTGTATCCCAATTTCTTGATAAATCGATAATTCTTTTTGATGAGTTCTCTGTCTCAGAATATTTTGGTAATTTAAAATATCAGCTTCCAGCAATCTTACAGATTTCATCATATCTCTATACAGCCCATATTCATGAATATTCATCAATTCATCAGCTATCAACTGCATGCGCTCTTTTATGATGGAAAACATCAAAATCTGCTCATCTTCATTGATGAAACCGTCCTCATCTTCATCCAATACATCTAAAAGTTCCTCTACATTATGAACTAGCAGCAAATCTGACAGATTTTTGCTCTGCCTGTCAACAAGTATGGTTAATGCTGCATCATTTAAATTCCCGTCTTTTTTAAAATCTGCAACCTGCAAGGTTTCTCATAATTCTTTGCATTTTAAATGAGCGTCTAAAAGAGGTTTGGCTTCTGATAAAACTTTAGCTTTTTGCTGTGCGGAAACTGAGGTCGAAAAATTGGTCCTTGCCGTCGTAATTCTTTTTGATGAAGTCTCATCAAGGAAACGTGTTTTTAACATTTATTGTGTGAATAAAAATAAGAATAAATAACGATGGAGTCAGAGAAAGAAAAATTAATTCAGGCGTTTATTGATTATAATGTGATTTTTATGGAGTTTGTGAGAGAAGTAAATACAAATTTTAAGGGCTGGAGGAGGATTTATGAGACTTTTAATTATAGAGTGGAAGATTTAAAAAGACAGTATGCAGAAGTTTTAGAGGAAAATGAATTTATGGTGACTGGGTATGATTTGTTGTCGGCAAATAAAGATTGGTTGAAAGTTATTTTGTATTATGCATTTAATCAGCATTGAAAAGAATTCTACCGCCCATATGAATATTTTAAAAATAAAAGGCACAAGAATGACTTGATTTCTTATATGAATGCACTCATATCTACCGAATTTCTAGATTTAGCATTGAATAATACAGATGATGAGCTGCTAACATCAGTACTAAGAACGTCAATGCTCTATTTTTATACGAAAGCGCCAAATTCATGAGTTATTCAATTTAATCAGCTGAGAGACAATTTTAAGTCTTCTGTTTTCATCAGAGGAGATCTAGAAATTAAAGAAAGACTTCGAGAACTTTCTCAAAAAAGCGTGATTTTGTCAGCTTTTGGGCAGCTTAAAGCTTTGTATTCTGATTTAGAAATAACTTCAACTTGCCAGGAATTATTCAACTACACAGCTGACAATTTTTGCTATTGCCCATTACCTTCGAATCTATATGGTCTAACTGCTTATGGAAATCATATTTTTATTAATACCTCCTTAAGACCCTATTCCAGCAACCAGCAAGTAGCCTCTCTCATAACTTTAATACATGAGTGTGCCCACCTTTCCTGAAGAATAGGAAAAGATAGAAATATATATTTCAATAATACACCTACAAGGGAAATAATGTACGGCAAGCAAAATGCCACCGAATCTGAAATTGGCAACCAATTCGAATTTCTTGTGTTTGGAACAAACTTAAAACAAATAAATGATTACTCAGTAGAGTTTTTGTGGAATATCGAGAATTGAGACCTACCTCATGATGAATTTAAGAAGAGATTAAGAATAGCGTTAAATAGAGATACAACTGTGTGCGGGGCAGGATTTACAGTAGGAAAAACAGCATGCTCAGGAGAAGGAACATATATTGGATCATGCTATACATCATTTGGAGTTTCAAAAATAAATTATGAAGATAAAGATAAAGGAACTGAAGAAAGTGGAGGTGAAGAAGAACTAGAAGATGAGGGTGAGCAAGAATAAAATTGTTATAAATAGATATTTTATAAACATAAAATAGTTTAAAAAAATTAATAATTAAATTCTTACTCCCCCCTTTGTGTGAACAAAAAAATTTTTTTCACTCACGGAGGGGGTTAATATTTTTTTTTTAAAAAAAATTTATATATAATAGAAAAAATTTTTTTTTCAAAATTTTAAAAAAAAATCCTAATTTGCAAAAATTGGGAAGCAATATTAAATAATTTATAAAATTGATGTTTTAAAACGCTATTTGTTTAAAATAAACAGAATTAGCTCAGATTTCATTAGACTAATTATCACTTTATATATCAATTTTTTTCATAAAAAATTTTTCTATTAAAAAAATTTTTGTTCACTCACGGATGGTGTGTTCTTGGGCAAAAAATAGGGATTTTTCCAATGGTTTTGTTCACTCACGGAGGGGGGGAGTTAAGATTTTGGGGTTTTTATCATTCTATATAAAATTCGATGGATAAAAGTAGAGGTGAATATGCCCGCCTAATAAAATTGCTGATGATTGGAGATGCAGGTGTAGGGAAAACAAGCATTCTATACCGCTTTTCTGAGGATATTTTCCGACCTCCTAGTCTTGCCACGCTTGGGATTGATTTAATAAAAAAAGAAATTACCATAGAAGGAGAAAATATAAAACTCCTAATCCAGGATACTCCTGGTCAAGAGCGTTTTAGATCAATAACTCAAAGTTATTACAAAGGGGCAATAGGTGCAATACTCGTTTATGATTGCACTGATAAAAAATCCTTTAACAGCATTCTTAATTGGGCTGATCAAATAAAAAATCTAGGTAATGAAATTACCGAAATGACTCTTATTGGAAATAAATGAGATAGACCAGATAAAAAAATTACAACTGATGAAGGAAAAGCCTGTAAGTCCCCTTCACTTGAGGTTCAGCTAAATTAACAGCTCTGAACAGCGGTAGGTGAACCAGCCTAACCGTCGAACTGTTAAAGTTATTAAGCCCTTTAAGACTTCTCTAGTCAGTGCCAGCCTCAGCACCGACCCTTCTCTTCAAGCCGAGACTCTCAAGAAGCTTGACTACTCTCACTAAGCTCAGTTTATAGGCCCATCTTGTTTGTGGCAGGAGCTAGGACCCATCCCTAACTGACATTTTTAATATTGCGATATAATTGTAACATTTTGATGGCCGAAACTTTTCCTCGTAAGAAATTAGCTCACTCCGCCTCCTGGAGAGTCATGAAAAACCATCAAGGTTAGATCAAATGTCTTACAAAGAAAAAAATTCGACCGAAATTCTCCGAGGAGATTCCACATGAGGAGCATACTGATTGAATGGCTCTTAGCCAATCTAATTGCTTATCTGTATGAGAATTAGTAGCTGAAAGTTTTTAAGTATAGTAATTAAGCTGAAAAAGGAAAAGCCTTACTCCCCCTTCCGTGAGCTAACAAACATTTTTTATGAAGAAAAATTTGATATATAACTGATAATTACTATAATGAAATCTCTAGCTAATTCTGTTTCATTTTAAACTACTTGCATTTTAAAAAATAAATTTTACAAATTAAATTAATATTTGCTTTCCAACTTGAATTTTTTTAAATTTGAAAAAAATTAACCTCCCAAAGGCCAAAAAAAAAATTTTGTTTGTCACGGAGGGAGGTTAGCAAGAGAGCTTGGAATTAGTTTTTTGGAAGCCAGTGCTAAGAAAAATATTAATGTTGATAAAATATTTTATGATATAGCCAAAGCTATCAAAAATAAAAGATTAAACAAATCTAAAGCTGTCAATGCTAAAGCTATGAAAAATGATCCTAATACCAATAATTGCTGTTTTAACTCTTGTAATTTGTTTTAATTTCTAATTTGTTCTGATAAAAATGAATTGGCCAGCATTGGAAAGTGACCCCGAAATTTTCACTTCTTACTTCCGCTCTATCGGTCTAAGCCAAAACTACGAGTTTGCTGAAGTTTTTACCCTCGAGGAAGAAATTCCTTGTGAAGCTGTAATCTTGGCTTACAACTACACCGGTGAAAATCCTCCTTTTGAAGGTGAGCAAATTGGATCACAATATTTCATCAAACAAGTTAACACCTTAGACAACGCTTGCGGACTAATTGCTTCAATACATGCCATCCTTAACTCAAACATAGAAGTAGCTGAAGGAAGCATTTTATCTGAACTAAAAGAAGGAGTTCGTGATAAATCTCCTGAAGATGCTGCAGCGTGGCTTATACACCATGAAGGGCTCCATAACACCCATAGACAATATGCTCAAGAAGGACAGTCTAACATCACTGATGCTCCAAATTATCATTTTGTTGCAGTGATGCCTGGCTTTGTGCTGTATGATGGGCTAAAACAGTCACCAATTCGTCTGAATTGTGAAGGAAGCTTGAGCTTGGGATTCTTCAGGCATGTTCAGCACTTGCTAGAAAACAATAGAATTTCTGAAGACATGAACATTATGGTTCTTAAAAGCACTAATTAAGGTTAGGATTTATATTAATTATTGTATTTTGCAAGACCCTCCGCATTTTTCTGCATATAAATCGGAGATTGAAGTCCTCATTATAGATAGCTCTTGTAAGGTTTTTTCAAGGGAAAAGGTTATGGTTTTTGGAGAAGGAGAAGGATTTATTCGAGACTGAGCAGCAAGCAGTATCATAGCAAGGCTTATTTCGCTCTGAGAAATCATGATGGTGAAGACTTGATTTAGTTGAATGATTTCTGCTTCGATTTGCGAAGTGAGCTTGGCTATAGCTTGCATTGACGAGTTTTCCAAAATTTGTTTTAATTCTTTGTTTTCTCTCTGCAATTTGCTATAGTTTTCTTCGATTAGTTTTATTTGTTTAGTTAAATCTTCTAAATAGTTGCCTGTAATGAGCGAAATATCATTACTATTTTTTTCTTTGTATAACATTTCCAAATCCAATATTTTTATCTCTAATTCTTGTTTTTCCTTTAAAAACTGTTCTGTCAGTTCTTTTTTTTGCATTTTCAAGTTAAATTCCAAGTCTTTTATCTTTTCGTCCTTATCTTTATCAAATCCTGAATTTTGAGTTTCCAGTAAGTTTTTGAAATTTTTTTCGCTTTCTTTTAATAGGGCATTTATATTTGCTATCCTATCATCTTTTTCTCTGGACTCTTTTCGCAAATTGGCTATTTTTTCCCTTACTCCCCCCCCTCCGTGAGTGAACAAAACCATTGGAAAATTCCTATTTTTGGCCCAAAAACACACCCTCCGTGAGTGAACAAAAATTTTTTTAATAGAAAAAAAAATTCATGAAAAAAAATGATATATAAGTGATAATTAGTATAATGAAATCTCGAGCTAATTCTGTTTAATTTTAAACAAATTGCGTTTTAAAACATAAACTTTATAAATTAAATTAATATTTGCCTCACAATTTTTGCAAATTAGGATTTTTTAAAATTTCGAAAAAAAATATTTTCTATAAAATTTCTATATAATTTTTTTTAAAAAAAAATTAATCCCTCCTCATGAGTGAACAAAAATTTTTTTGTTCACTCACGGAGGGGAGAATTAGCTCTTGCATAACTTCCTTATTTTGTGCGAGCTCATTTTTTAGCCGTAAATTTTCGCTTTCAAGTTTTTTGATAGCCTCTTTATTATCCCTAAATTCATTGTCAAGCGGACTAACATCTTCTCGGTAAAGTTGACTCAACGATAAAGCGCTCCTAGAATAAGCAGAAAAATTATTCAAAACTGGTGATGAGTTACGACTTGGCGAATTGCATTGTGATTTGTTTATGGATCTTGATAGAGTTGACGATGTGGTAGAAGGTGACTGTGGGTGGCCGGTAGAATTTAAACTTGATACAGAAGACCTTTCAATTTGATATTTAAAGTTAGGTGTCCCACATTCTTTGCCATGTGTTGGCTTCGGAGGAAGTGTTAATCTTGATATAGGGATTTTGGGTTTTTCAGCTGATTTAGAAATCTCTTTTCTATACATAATTTAATTTATTCTCAGGAAAATTATAGGGTTTTCCTCTATATAGCCCTGCAAGGGCTCTGGATTCTGTCCGAATCCTTTGGTTGGTGGAACCAACGTACTGAGTTGGCTCCACCAACCAAAAGATGCCAACAGAATCCACACCCTTACAGGGCTACATAGGAGAAAACCCTATAATTGAAAATGGTCCGAAAAAGGTGCCGATAAATGAAAAATAACAAACAGAATTTTTTGTCTTAAAATTTCTACTCTGAAGATATGAAATAATATTTCAGAAATAATAAGCCTATGATAAAATAATTATCATGGAATATTAAAATTTATATCAAATTATGGAGAATATAAGCATTCTTACTGAGTTTCATTATCCTATATTCATATAGTACATAACAAGTAGGAATGCTTTTATTCATAGTAAGCAGGATATCTATATTAATAATCCTAATTTTTTTAATTAGAATGAATATTTTTAATTAAATTTAATTAGATAAATCTAATCTTCTAAAAGTTTAATGCTTTTCTTAATATTCGAAATAAAGTTAATGATAGAATGAGTTAAAAATTTAGATACTATAACTATTAGAGTAGATTTCTTAATAATAAAATATCTAAGCTTTTAAATTATCCAATTTAAAATACAATTTTTCTTCAAAAAATAATTATTTATCGCCAGCTTCAAGAGATTTCTAAGAAAATTATTTAATCTGGAAATTCTGAAATTTTATATATTTTTTTAAACGCTGCCAGAATCTGAAAATGGCTGAACTGCCAAACCTAATTCGAAGATACCATTTTTATGCTTTGCCGCATGTTATGAAGATTTTAAATTTAAAAATAATAAGTATAATGATGATATCAGAAAATCCAGAAATTCTTCCTTCAAAGAGAAACAGATCAGTAACACCAAGACTCCGAAGAAAGCCACTTCGTGCTTTATCTCAAAACCTCAGCAATAAATTTGACGATCCAGATTTAAAAGACTGTCAAAATCCACACTCACTCCCTTATTACGCTTGTGAAATTTTTGATAATCTTCATAAATCAGAAACCAAATTTATGGTAAATCCAAGCTATATGGATCTTCATACCGAAATTAATTATAAAATGCGCGCAATTCTCATAGATTGGCTTGTAATTGTACACTATAAGTTTAAGTTTACTCCAGAAACTTTATTTATAACGGTGAATATATTAGACAGATATCTATCGTTGAAAAATGTAAGTAAACACCATTTACAGCTAGTAGGTGTTACATCTTTATTTACAATATTTAAATGTCAGTTAGGGATAGGTCCTAACTCCTGTTAAACAGGTCTGGGTCCCATCATCCGAGATTAGTGAGAGGAGTCAAGCTTCTTGAGAGTCTAGGCTCGAAGATAAGAAGTCGGTGCTGAGGCTGGCCTAACTAGAGAAGTCTTATCTGGCTTATTAGCTTTAACGGTTTGACGGTTAGGCCAATTTAGCTACAGTTATTCAGAGCTGTTAATCTAGTTGGATCCTCAAGTAAAAGAAGACTAAGGCAATTGCCTGAGTAATTCATTAAACTTAAACTTAAACTTAACTATCTTTATTTATAGCTTCCAAATATGAAGAAATACACCCTCCTGCTATATCAAATTTAGTAGCATTAACTGACAATGCTTACACAAAAGAACAAATTATCGAGATGGAAGGAGATATTTTAAGAGCTTTGGATTTTCAAATCACAAACCCATCCGTATTACGGTTTTTTGAAAGAATGCACAAGCTAGCACTCAGCGATCTAGCTTTTGATAATATAGAAATGTATTTAGGCCGATATTTAATTGAATTAAGCCTAATTGAATATTTTATGCTGAAATATAAACCGTCACTGATTGCTGCTTCAGCTGTATATTTATCAAGAAAACTTCTAAACATTCAGCCAGCATGGAACCCTATATTAGATAAACATTCAAGAACAGATGAAAATCTGCTGAAGCAATGCGCAAAAGATTTATTTGTTTTATTTCAGTCCGCCCAATATCACAGTTTAACAAGTATCCGTGAAAAATATTCGAAAATAGAACTGATGGAGGTTTCTCAACTGAAAGTTTCTTAATTTTAAGTTAAACGTCTTTTTTATTTATTCACTAAATACGACAGAAGTTTTGCAGAGAGGGCATAAACAACTTCTATGCAGCCATTCATCGATGCAAGTGGTGTGGAACATATGAACTATATAAAAATTACAGCAAGGTAAAGTTTTTACTATTTCTCCAATAGCATAAGGCTCTATGCCATTGTTCATGAATGGCTCACATCATTAATTTCTTATAAAATGGTCAGGGCCATATTTTTGTACTATTATAATACTATTGATTCAAAGAATTTTTATAATAAAAAACTCTTCTTGTTTAATGGTATAAGCAAACCATACATTTTGATGCTTCAGCATCCTCTGGAATACTTGACAAGCATTTCACTGGCAAAGATTGAATTACCTCTTCAGGCGCACTCATAGTTTGTGGCCCTCCAATAGCAGCCATTGACTGATTCAAGCTCATGATATGCCTTGCAAGAATTTCCATGGGGTCTTCCCACATATGATTTCTTCTGACATATAAGCTTCCGCCACTAAACATTATTTGTGGAGGCTCTCCAATATATCTTCTTGCTAGGCTACCATCATATTTAATTTGGGTGTTATCAAAAATCACTCCTCGTGTGGGCCATGCATCAGCAACTAGAAACCCAACGCCGTCAATGGTGATTACTTGTCCTTGGTAAACGACTCTTCTCATGCCTTGGACATACGGCATAATAAAATCGCATATAATTTCTTCAATTAGTTCATCTCTTTTAAGAGTATGATAATGGAATGAGAGATCCTCAAGAAAAGGAATCAAAGAAACCCTTTGCAAAGGCTGCAATGAGTCATTTCCGAAATAAAACTGACTCCCCCCCCCTTTAAATTGGAATTAAAAAAATTTTGTTCCAATTTAAAGGGGGGGTTAATTTTTTTAAAAAAAAAAAATCATTATAAAATTTAAAAAAATAAAAAAAATTTCAAAAATTTATCGAATTAGATTAATAAATTTGTTTAATAAAATGCTATTTACTCTTTATTATTCTTTTAAAACAAAGCAAGATATAACTAAAATTATATTATTAATTAATACGCCACTATTAATTGGTATCAAAACTATTTACACAAAAATTATTATTTTTATTGATAAAAAAAAATTAAAAAAAATATTTTAGAAAATTTATTAATCAAAGTGCTAATTTTGTTTAAATAAGATGTTATTTATACTCTATTCTTTATAATAAAGCAAGAGATAAGTAAATTTTGAATTTTTGTAAAGAATTCGTATTGAATTTATATCAAAGCTATTTAAATAAAAAATATCATTTTTATCAAAAAAAATAAAATTTTTTAAAAACAAAAAAAAATTAAATTGTTTTAAAAATTTACAATTAAGGATAATAAATTTATTTAAATAAGATGCACTTTATACTCTATTCTTTAAACAAGAGCAGGATACAACTAAATTTTTAATTTTAGTTAAGAAGAAACATTTAAATTATATCAAAACTTTTTACATAAAAATTATGATTTATATATATAAAATTTTTTATTATAAAATTAAATCTTGTTCCAATTTAAAGGGGGGTTAATTTACCAAAAAAGTGGAAATTTTACCTATATTTTGTTCCAATTTAAAGGGGGGGAGTGAGTGAGTGTTTTGACTAATCAGCCCATCAATAGGCTGCCCTGCAGTTACAATAAACTCCATTGAGTTAATATATAGAAGTTTCCTATGTTTGGCGCTGTAAGGCCGATAAATTCTGATCGGAATTTATCGGTTGGTTGCACCAAATCAATGCCTTGGTCGGACCAAAAAGCGATTTGGTCCGACGAGCTTGGAAAGCTCCTGGGAGAAATGTCTGCGCTTTCAGCGCTATATAGAGGAAACCTCTATACAAGTAGTCTCCTATATGTAGATGTCTTGGCTTTTTTCTCAGCACTGGCTGCAAAGTATTTCGAAAAACTGATTCATTTAATACGCTTGGCCAGATGGGCAAAATCTGTACTCTTTCCATCGTATGCATCACTAAGACATCTGAGCATCTAATCACAGTTTCTTCAGTCACAACTCCAAAACTTGGAAAACACCCCAAAACCTTAAATTTTGCATCCCCATACGCAAAATAATCCCCAATCCCTAAACATCTTAACCTCGCCTTAAAGTACGGTGCTAAATAATATATCTATTTACAATGAATGGAAGAATTACTAATGCTAATTTTCTATATATGATATAGAATAATGGCAGCCAGCAAATTATTATTTTAATTCTTTTAAATTGATATAATTAAAAATTGTCGGAAAATTTGATCTTCCTCCTATCATAAATTCCAAAGGAATTCCTTCTCTAAACATCCCCAATGTGATACTAATTAGCTCAGGAATAAATTTTCCTGTTGGTTTACTATTAATCTCAATAAAATTGTTTTTGAATTCGGTTCTTGATAATGGCTGATCTTTGATTATTTGTAAAACATCATCTTCATTCCGTTTATAACAAACTCCGCAGTCACAATACACTCTTTTGCATAGTCCTCCGTCAAAGCATTTTTTATTGCAGCTTGGACAGTCAAATTGTAAGGATTTTGATAGAGGAGGTTCACTTAATGTTGCATATTATGGCTGCTAATTAATAAAACACGGCTGAGTTAATTATAGCATGTTTTCCTATAAAAGTGATTTTTTTCTTGGAAAAATTACTGCAATTTACCATTTTTTCAATATTGCCCATATTTTGGAGTAAACTGGACATCAAAATAAATAGATTTTCGGACTAGACCATGGCCAAATATCTCCCACATTCCAGATGTCATTGGCCGATGAGATTCAGCGGTAAACGAATTTTTGGGGTTATAGATTTCGCTTTCTATTTCTGGAATATCATCAAACAGACTGTCTATATTTCCCATTAAATAATTTTATATTGTAAAAAAGTCACAATCTGTCCAATTTCTATTTTTTTCACAAATAATTTTGACTTTCAGAGAAAATTGTGTTTGAAATTTGATTAGTATGTTAATTATAAATTTGGGCATGGTAAAGAACAGTCACAAGATATCCCTTCCGAAGAGAAAAGCAAAGATCCACTCAAATGAAGAATTGCCACTACCTAACAACCACAAAAATCACAATAGTTCTCCTCAAAACAACCACGAAAATCAAATTAGGACTCCTTCAATTAAGAGTAAACTTTTTATAGAGAAATTGATATTGAAGATCTAGCTTCAGACTCCTACACAAGTGAAGATTGTACAGATTCAGACTCATATGAGTATATCCACTCCACAATGGAAAAAATTGAATACTTAGTCCGCGCCAACCCAGATATAAGAAAAATCAAAGGAAATAGGAGGTTTTTATGTTAATTAACAGACGGGTAGTGTTTTATTGGTTACACTGTCATCAAGGACCCGAAGGGATTTATCTGCTTTGCGACGTCTATATCTCAGCGTGATCGATAGAGATGATAGCGGAGAGGTGCTTGAATCTTCTTCTTTTCTTAATCAGCCGCATCTCCAGGAAGGATTAAGTGTACACGAGGGGATACTCCTCCACTTTGCCCGATTAAGGGCTCCAATTTTGAGGGGCGGATTATGGACTTCTGCGACTCTGTTGCGGGTTTATTAGATAGTAGGATCTAGAAAATACCCAGAGTCTGACGGGTGTTGGGTACCGATCTCAGCAGCGACAGGTAAAAAAGGCTCAAAATAGGCCCTGACCGCAGCCCCTGGGTATTACGGCGAAGGTCCACCTTAGGAGTTCCGATGCACACTGCCTGGCTACGCCTTTTCAACATAGGAACTGAGTAGAAAACCTACCCGGAAAGCATAAAGCTATATCAGACCTGAATCTCGACTGGCTTCTCGTTTAGTTCGTCTTGGCCATAAGTTGAGAAAATTGTGTCAAGAAGTCGGATGCACTTAGATGGCCATTTTGTATGAAATAAAAGGTCAACTGATAATATACACACAAATAATAAAACAGCGAAAAACCTGGAAAAGGGATTGAGCGCCTTGAAGTTTTTTGTCCCTGAAGATGTGATGGATGAATATCGAACTGAAGGAATTGATATACTTCCGTGACCTATAGACAAAGCTGAACGAAATCTTTATTTCAGCTTATAATAGGTTTACATAATTGATTAAATTTGTTAACTTACCCTTTAAATTGGAATTAAAAAATATACTCTAATGGTTTTTTTTGTTGTTGGAAAATTTAATAATAAATTTATCAGTTTCTTTATATAAACTTTTCCTTTAAAATAAAACAAGTGTAGGCAAATTTATATAGCAATATTAAACTCTATTTAAGTTTCTTAAGTGCAAATTAATTTTTTAAGTTATAAAAAATAAGATTTTGTTTTGGTTTAAATTATCCAAAAATGGATTTTTGCTCTAGTTGAAAGAGGAGTAAGATAAATAAATGGAGTGTTCAAAATAAAATTAATGAAAAATCAGCATAAAATTATCCATTTATGAATTGGGTATAATTTATTAATTATATGGCACTTACAATTACAATAGGAACTGTGACACATATAATGATACATATAAATAAGGCTATATATATTCTGAACTTCTTTCTCAAAGATTTTAGGTCTTCTTCAGCTGAATAAATTTCATTTTCAATCTCTTGAAATCCTCTTCCTGCTTCTGGAGTTTCAAGCGGTGGATCTTTATTCGGGCCTGATCTTCCTTCACCTACTGGATCCATATCTGCATCTTCAGCCAGCAGCATTGACGCCTCTAATTGAATTTTTCCTATCAATTCTTCATCTTTAGTAGAATACACATTAATCCACGTCCTAGGCAGGCTACTTATTCCTAGCGATTTCTGAACTTCCATATAAAAATCATTAAGATCAATATCAGCAGTCCCCAAAAGTTTATCCTTTTTCGCATCATAAAGCTCAATCATCAACATGCTATCAAATGCTGGCAGTTTAAACCTAAACTTAAATCTTCAATTAAATACTGCAGTATCTTTAGCATCTTTATGCACATCAGTCACTTGCTCAATTTCATTATCTTTTTCAAACTCAACATATCCTTTCACACACAAATTTTTGCATTTTTTTAGCCTTAAATCTTTAAGTTTTCACACAATTACTCTCAGCTCGAAATCAGTGTCAGATCTCTGCATTAAAATTTCTTCAGGGTTTTCAGCAGCTTCTTTTGAAGTTAAAAGTTCAAGCCAAACTTGGACTTCCCCTTGCTTCATTGCTGTATGCCCTGAGTATAAATCTCTTGTTTCTATAGGAATTTCTTTTAAGCCTTTAAATTTGATTTCTTGGTATTCTGTGTTAAATCATCGCTGCTCTAAGTCATATTCTGTGTAGCCGATTAGCTCATCGTTTCTCTGCTCTTGCTTGTCGTATAGGCTTAAATTTACATAAAACTCGTCAGGGTTTTTAGCTTTCATGCTATAGCAAGTCATAATCAAAGGGTCAGAATTTTCATTAAAAACCCTTTTATCAAATCTATAGTCTTCAATGCCTTCAACAGAGTTTAACCATACGTAGGAAGAAGGGGGTTTTTCGTCTTTTATTGATAAATTTTTAGCTGAGAGGACATAAAACCTTGCTGTTAAGGTGTCGACTTCTTTGTAGCGCTTTATAATGGAGTTTAAATACTTCTGGTCGGGGTTGCTGTCATAAGTCATTCGGATGATGCATCGAAGATAGCCAGTAATCATCAGTTTTCCAGTGTCTGATAATCTTTTCAGCTGAAAAGTCTCAAATGGGATTTTAACTCCATAATTGTCTTCAAAAGTCCCTTCAATCACATTTCTATTTGGATTTGGAGGCTCATAACCAGGTCATAACTGTTTATTCTCTTTATATACTTTTTTTTCAGGCTCATCAAAAGTGAGATCCACAGTATCATAATCAATATGAATAACCCCATCACCTATCTTATAGTTTAATTTTTCTCCTAATATAAAGTCTGTATCAGTTTCTGTTTGATCCATCTCACGGGTTTCTACTTCTTCTTCTTCCTCGTTTTCATCAGAATTTTCATCAAACTGGTTGTATGTCTTCAGTTTTTGCATATTAAAAGCTTTCGGAGGTTCTGCATATTCCTCATAGTTATACTTTCCTAGGCTCATCCATGGCAAATACTTGCCTAAATTAATAGAAATTGCTCCTAATAAATTTTCTGACGTTGTTGCCCTTTCCAGGACTTTAAAAACAACACAAGGAGAAAACTCCGGGTCTTTGAGTACATTGAGCTTCATATTAATAATTTCTAAATAATTGTGGTTGCTTCCCTTGGTATCGTATTGGCGAAAGCCTATTCTAGTATCAGAGGCTTGGCTATTACTAGCAGAAACCCTTACAAATGGAGACTTCAATGGCATTAGCCCATAAGGCTGTAGTTTTCTAGTTCCAATTATTAAAATTTGTAGATTGCAGGCAGCAAAAGATAAGATTTTTTCTATTGAAGGGATTGGAATTATTTGTTTTTTATCTCGCAGTGGTATAAGCAAAAACGACATTAGGATTTTTGGTTTAGAAATTTCAGAAGTTGATATTAAATGGTGCCAACTAGGAATAGGTGGGATTTCATCAAAATTTTCTGCTAGTTTTATAGAGGAAGGATCAAGAGTTATCACTCCTTCATTTTCGTTTTCTTGAGGAAACTCATTTCAGTCTCATAAATCTACTTGAAAAAGGGTGCAGTCTGTTAAATTTTCAGGCAAATCAATTCTCCAAGAAATAATTTGGTTTCATTGCGGGTTTAAGCATTGATACTGGATTTCCGTCATTTTTGATACCCCATTTATAGATATTGTCACAAAAGGATCACAAAGCCCGCCTACATCAGAAATTTTTATCCCTTGAGCTTGTAAAGCGACAGCAATTACTTCAAATGGCTTATAATTAATTTCAAAATTATCTGGTCTGAAATAGTTAACGTTTCCAACTGCAGTCATATTTAGCCTGAATAATGCTGAGCCTACAAGATTATTTTTTGAATTTTTATTTTTTTTATCCTGAACATTGCTAAACATTTTCCATGCCGGTTTTAAAGGCTTTGCTCCGGTCTTTACTAACTCTTCTGAGTTAAACGCCATAACTGCTATGCACTTTTCATGCTTATCAAGCTTCGCGATCACCTTAAAAATAAATTTTGGCAACTGTGCAGGATCTTCTGGAAGATCTACAAATCACTCAGGGAATTTTCCAAATTTCCCTCATATTCATCGCTGGTTTTGAGCTTCAACTCAATGGCTTTCAAATTTATCCTTCCCTAATTCCAGCTGTATTTTTAATGGTACATTCAGTCCAAATCCTGCAATTTCTAAAACTTCCATCCACACAATATAAGTTTGTATATTTGGAGTCACCCCTATTTTTGCTGGTAAATTTTGATGGATTGGATCAGTATTTTGTTCGTCAATTTTTATGCTGACTAAAATTCTCCCCGAATAAATTTCTTTTTTTTCACCTTCGTATATATTAATTCAGAAATGCTCTCTTGGTTCTGCTAGTAAAGGCATATATGGAATAGCGATTTTATCAATAATTAAGTCATTTGCATACCTTTGGGTTATCATTATTCTTATTTCGATTTCATGGGCCATAGTAGGCTGGGGGACTGGGATCAATAACTTTTCTTTTCATTCAGGCGAATATGTGCATCTTGCCACTTTGGTTTTGCTGATAGTCCCAGCTAAGCTTACTGTTATATATGTGTTTGACTCTACCTGAATCCTATTCATTTCTAATTCTCCTCTATGAATATTTACTATAAGCTGAATTGATGATTTTGCGCTTTCAGGGAGGCCTAAAATATTAGTGTCATATTCATTTACAAAGTCTTTTTTATCTGGCAGAAAAGATAGCTCATCCCCAGCCCTTAGCGCTGCGATAGAAAACCTTATATACCCATTAATTTCTGCATCATTAGTCAGAGCGCATCATTGATTATACAAGTGATGTCCTAAATACAAATAAACTTGTTTAATTTTGATTCTAAAAGTTCCTATAACCAATGGTCTTTGCAGCGAAACCTGATGGACTGCTTTAATTTCAATTTCTTCATTTTCGAATTCGTCTATTGAAAGCATGAGTTTTTCCATTTGAAGGGTTTCCATCACAATTGATGAGCTTTTTTTTGGAAATAGTGAGGTGCGTGCTGATTTTGAGAGAAATGACACAATTATCATAGGGTTTGGAAGGTCTTTGAGCGAGCCTATAATTAGGTTCCTAAATTCAAGAATATCTATAAATAGCTTGAATTGCTGCTTTTGTTCCATTTTAATTCATTTAAGATTATTTACTCTGAAGGCTTAGCTTTAGCTTTGGGCTTTTTGTCGAACTGCTTCTGCAACTTTTGGGCGCCTGGGGTGGCTATTGTGCATTTTCCGAGGAGAACGGTGGTGATTTCGGTCTCGCTCATGCTTTTAATCAGCTGTTTTTCTGTGTCTGTGATATTTTCAAGATTCAGCCAAGTAAAAGTGATCATATTGACTGCTTTGCCTTTCTTTAAGCTTCCTGGCATTAGCTTTATCCTGTACTTGTAAGTTCCTGTAGCGTTGTGAGGAGCACACATAGGGATACAGTACAGTAAAGTATCTTCAGGGAGAGGATTTCCAGTCAATGTGTCAGCTTCGCCTAGCGCTAGCATTTCATCTTCATTAAGCAAGTTTTCTTCTTCTAAAATCTGCTTGATTTCTTCTCTGTCTTTTTTAGCTTTTTCTCTTTTTGAAGGCTGTTGGACTTTTTCTTCAATTTTTTGTTCTTCCACTTTTACTTCTTCGGCTTCTACTTCTTTAGCTTTTTCCTCTTCAACTTTTTCCTCTTCTTCCTCCTCTTCATCGCTTGACTCCTCCTCCTCCTCTTCTTTAACTTCTTCTTTTGTCACAACCTCTTTTTTCTCTTGCTGATAATTTTCAGGCAGCTCCAGATCTTTTGACCCAATCAAAGCTAGCTTGATCCTACGCTCTTCTTCAGTTTGCTCTCCATATTTTTCTTTTATTTTTTTCAATTTTTTAAGCTGATACTTACTAGGTGCTTTATTTTTCTGCTTGACTTCAGGCTTATCTGTTTCTTTAGATTTTTTCTCTTGAGGTTTCTTTTCCTGCGGTTTTGGCTTTTGTTTAACCTTTACAGTCCCAGTGTCAATTACAAACTCACTATTCAAGTCTTCTTCACTTTGGCTGACACTGCTTTTCACAGTCTCTAACTGTGGCAGTTCTCCATTTTCTTCCTCTTTGACTTTTCTTTCACCAAGATGTCTTGCTAATGAGTCATCTCCTAGCTTAAACAGCAAAACAATACTCATTTCTAGCTTTGAAGGATGCAAAAAATTCTTTTTGCCTCTGATCATGAAGCTACCAGCTGACAAATACAGCCCAGATGGAGCTGTTTTACTTACTTGCTCTGCGTAAACCCACCATGCAGCTTGTATAACTTTAGTCGCCCATGCATTGCTTAAGCAAACACAAAAAGTTCCAGCTTCTTCTAAAGTTCTTACGGGTATGGCAAGTCCTGAAGGATTTTTTATAACTGTACTGGCAGCTCCATGGATATCTGCATGGACATAAATATCGGTCTTTTTCATATATTTTTTTACTATCATTTCGTTTTGCTGGGCATCTTTTCCCGAAACTATGATATAATTATCAGAAGAAATAAACCAATTGAATTTTTCCCACCAAAATACTTTTCTCATCGTACGGATTCCGACACCAAGTTTAAGCCCTTGCTTTTCTTGTTCAGCCCTGGCTTTTTTCTCAGCTTGATTTAGTACTTCTTCCATAGCGTCTAGTGTTTTTATTTCTTTGGTCTTGGAAACCTTTTTATTACCATAATACTCTCTTGCATTTTGATAAGCGTTTTTATAGATATCGAGCTCAATTATAATTTCTTCATCAGTGTCTGGATCTGGGAACTTTACTTCAACTGTCTTTTTGTCAAGCTTTATTTTATGTGATTTTGATTAAATTAAAAATATTTATTTTAGATAATAAAAAAGCCTAACTATTCATTATTATAGGAATTGTGCTATTAAAGCCATAAAACAGCATATTTACTATGGCTGCATATTTATTCCCACGATTCCTTTCATCAACAATCATCCTCCACAATGAAGTCCAGTCAATGCCAGTTTCCAAACACTTCACCATAATATCAAACAATCCATCAATTTCTTCCATATGGTCTTCTATTAATTTTGCTTTCTTTTCTGAAGTTACCTGTTCATTTCTCAAATCATTCAGCCTTCTTTGCTGGTCTTTTTCTATTTTATTTTTCTTTTTCCATATATCTTGCTCTTTTTTCTCTTGGACTTGCTCAACTTTTTGTTTTTCTGCAACAGCGAAAAATATATCTAGCGCTCTATCAAATGTGGGCTGATTTTCTACTCCTAATGATTCATATTGAGAAAAAACAACAGGGCAAGCTTCTTGATATTCTTTTTCTCCGTCTTTTTCTTTATAGATTAAATAGCCTTGGGGTTCTTCTGAGCTAATTTTTTGGACGACCTCGCTGCCTATTGTCATAGCTTTTATTACCATTTCTATGTCTATTGCGTCTGGGGAAAGTTTCTTGTTTAATGATGTAAATCCAGCTACTTTTAAACAGTGTTCAGCGAATGGAAAGTGCATATAAGGGCACAGTTGCGATAAGAGCTGCTTGAAATTTATGCCTTTTTTTACTTTCTCAGGGTCAGAAAAAATGTTTTTGATTGTTTCTTCTACTGTTATTCGTTCTATAGTGCCGCTAAATTGGAGGTTTGCTGCATACTCAAATGGGTAGATTTCGCCTTTTCCATATTTCACATCTTCTTCGAATTTATGGCTCCTTAGTAATGCTAAAATTTCGTATTTTGAGTCAGTCAGAATTAAGTTTCCACTGGCATACATCTCAAAAATGACATGGTGGGTTTCTTCACCTGATTCAAAAGTATGCTTTTTTTATTGAATTTTTAAAAAAATATAATAAAGATTAAATAATTTTTAATGAGCAAAAGCACTATCTATGTCAATAATAAGAGGTTTTGATTGTTCTCGATATAAAATTTACAACTCTATCAATTCCTAATTGTTATAAAAAATAAAATTGTGACGATGAAAAAAATCAGACTCGGAGGAGCACTCCTTATGGTGCAGGTAGGGATCATCGACGAAGCTGAAAGCAGGGCCTCTATCCCTTTTCGAAGTAGGCCTTCAGCTTGGAATGCCTTGTCGAAAAGGGAGGTTTGTTTCTCCCCTAGGTATTCCTGTTCCTGCCAGATTGGCTAGACAGATTTTGCCTACCATATGGTCTTCTCATCGACCATCGGGGCTCTTACAGGACGATGGCTCTGCCCAAAGGGAGCCGACCTTCTGGAGAGGTGGCCAAGTCTGAAATCCAAAGGTCGCCAAGGTGGGCGATGGCTAATGGCTAGATCCACTTATGGTCAGCATAATCTCTTTAACTAACTAATTGTTCTAAGGCTACCAACCTGTTTGTTCTTAGATGTTTCCTTAGTTTTGACGTAAACGGAGTAGGAGCTTTAGGCTTTTCTCTATTAAACTCTGTTGTATGGAACCTCACACCTGATTCCAATAGAAGATGGACTTTATGGTCAGGCTTAGAAAATTTCCATATGAAGAGTTTTTGAGAGAGATCATAAATATTTGCAATTCTCAAGCCAACGAGATGCTGTAGGTTATTAACCTCAGCTCTGATATCCAAAGAAGACATGCGGCTCTTCATTTTATGATTTTCTATTATAATAATCAGATCACATTGGTTTTTCTATTATCCCTATATCTAAAGCAATTATTATTTATTTAAACTGAATTTAATTATCTGGTGGATTTCTCCAATATAAGCTAAATTCAAGTTTTTCTTCTTCATGCTGAATTTCTTCTTTCGCAATGAAGATTTGGTCGTCTTCCTTCTGGGCCAGAGGGAGGATTGGGATTTTTAGGATTCCTCTGATCAATTCTCCTTTCTCCTCAAGCAGTTTTCCATAGTATGGCCCTGTCTGAGTGTAATACAGCACAATGTCATCTTCTACTTGTAAGCCGCTTGATTTCCTTAATTTCTGTACATGGTTAGCGAATTCTCTGGCAGTTCCGACAAGTAGTAGTTCTTCGTTCATTTTGCAATCAACTACAACAATCACATCATTATCTCCTGCAGCACCAAGGTCAGGGTTTTCTCCTTTATAGGCTCTCCTCACAAAGATTTCTCCTTCTTCAATAGCCACTCCGAGAATTTCAATTCTTTTGTTCACTTCATACTCTTCAATTAAATTGCTTGGCAGATTGTTAATAGTGTCTCTAAATTCCTTATTGAACTGTTTTTTCAGTCTTCCACCTAAAACAGCATTATTTGGTACAGCAGTCAATGACACAATTTCAGGTCTTTCTAGCTCAAAAGTAACATTAAAGCAGTTAAGCTCTTCTTTAATATAAGGAACAAGTGGAGCCAACGAGTCCAAATAATGGCTGTATCTATGAATAATCTTAACTTCATTTACTGGAGTTTTCAATGGGATTTTCTTAACGTCCCTGACTTTTCTGCAAAGCTCAATAATGGTCTGCATGCGAGAAATAGAAGCCTCAATCTCTGGATTCAGCAAGTCTTGGCTGAATTGAGGGATTCTGACATAGTGGACTGAGTCTTGTTTTTGAGAAGATCCTTCTGGTAGGCCTCTGCTTAAGTTCTGATAAATAAGTTCTGTAATGAAAGGAGTATAAGGAGCCATCAGCAAGGTTACGTTTAACAAAGAGTCAAATAAGATGTCTAAGGCAAGCTTTGTGTCAACTGGATCTGTTTCTTTTAGTCTTTTTCTGTTCAGCTTGACATACCAGTTTGTCAAGTCGTTTAAGAATTTAAGCAAAGCTGGCACGACAGTGTAGAGTCTGTAGTTCTCCATCTCAAATCTGACAGTTTTAATCAGGTTTTGAGATGCAGCAACGATCCATCTGTCCATGAAGTTTGTAGATGCTCTAATTGAAGATGGATCGAATTTATATAAGCACTGATGTGCAGCTTCATACCTATTAGCGTTTTGGATGAAGAATCTATAAGCGTTATACCATGGCAAAAATACATCCCTAATCATCTCTCTTACGCCTTCATCTTTAAATTTCAAAGGCTCAGCCCTAACTAGCTGGCTGCTAACCAAATACAGCCTTACTGCATCAGCGCCTTCTTTTTCAATGATTTCCATAGGAGGTGTATAATTCTGCTTGCTTTTTGACATTTTCTGTCCTTCTGAATTCAAAACTAGACCATTAACAATAAGGTTTTTAAAAGGATTCTGATTAAATACACAAGTTCCTAATACAACTAGTGTATAGAACCATCCTCTGGTTTGGTCAAGGCCTTCTGCAATAAAATCAGCAGGGAAGCGCTCTTTAAACTCTTCAGGGGTGATAGAGAATGGATAGTGGCATTGAGCATAAGGCATAGCTCCACTCTCGAACCAACAGTCAAAGACTTCTTCAACTCTATGAAGCTGGCCTTTTCCCATTTTTGAAGGAATTGTCAAATGGTCAATTGACTCTCTATGCAAGTCTGTAATATCCTGCACCCCAGTAAGGTCTTTCAGCTCCTGTACAGAGCCCACACATACAACTTCTTCAAAATCATCGCTGACCCACAATGGAATTGGGTTGCCCCAAAACCTGTTTCTTGAAAAACACCAATCTTTTGCATCTTGAAGCCAGTTATGGAACCTTTTTTCCTGTACAAAAGCAGGCACCCATCTAGCTTGCATATTGTTTCTCAATAAATCTTCTTTTACTGCTTCTACTCTAATGAACCAAGACTTCACTGGTCTGTAAATAAGTGGGGTATTGCTTCTCCAGCAGTAAGGATAACTGTGGTCGTAAAGTCCTGCATGCAACAGTCTTCCGTTTGCCTTGAGAATCGTTTTAATTGTGTCATAAGCATCACTAAATTTGATTCCAGATAATTCTGGACATTCTGGGGTGAAAATTCCATTTTCGTCTAGTACGTCTGGAGGGTTGTCAGATCTGATTAGACCTTCTTTAATAAACACATTGAAATCTTCCTCACCATAAGGAGCACAATGAACGAGTCCAGTACCAGTATCACTTGTAACGAAATCTCCTGGGTAAACTTTGAAGCAGCCACGCTCTTTGTAGGAGTTTAGATAAGGGAAAAGTGGCTCATATTCGAGACCGATGATTTCAGAGCCTTTGAATTTTTGAACGATATCGTATTGCTGAAGACCAATTTCTTTGCAGACTGATTTAAGGAGGGCTTCAAGGAGGATATAGTGCTTATCAGAATTTTTTACTTTGATTTTCACATAATCAAGAGCAGGATTAGCAGCAATTGCCAAGTTTGCTGGAAGTGTCCATGGGGTTGTAGTCCATGCAAGGAAAGAAGTATTTGGGTCAGAGAGGACCGGGAAGGACACTATCATACTTGGGTCTCGCTTGTCAATATAATTCATGTTAGCTTCAAAATTCGAAAGCACTGTATTGCATCCACAAGAGTAAGGCATGACTCTGCTAGATCTATAAACTAGGCCTTTGTCGAAAATCTGCTTGAAAGTCCACCACACACTTTCCATGAAGTTGATGTCCATGGTTTTATAATCGTTCTTGAAATCAATCCACCGACCAGTTCTGGTGACAACTTCATCCCAAGCTTGGGAATATCTCATGACGATTCCTCTACATTTTTCATTATAAGCTTTAATTCCAAGCTGAAGGACGTCTTTTTTGGTCTTGATCCCTTCTTGTTTGTCAATTTCGAATTCAATTGGCAGACCGTGGCAATCCCACCCAAATCTTCTTTCTACATCATAGCCATTCTGGTGAGCATAACGAGTGACGACGTCTTTAATAGTCCCAGCTGCGATGTGGCCATAGTGAGGAAGGCCTGTTGCGAATGGAGGACCATCATAAAAGGTATACTTAGGACATCCCTTGTTCATTTTTAGAGAAGTCTGGAAAGCGTCGATACTTTTCCATAAAGAAAGGATATTTTCTTCTTCGTTGGGGAAGGAAGGTTTCTCAATAACTGTCTGAAATGTGCTTGCGCGTTTAACCATTCTGAATAAGCTAGCACTTAATAAATGCCGTCCATTTAGCCTTAGCATATTAAGCCTATTATGACGTAATTGTAATAGATAAGATGTGAGATATTTTTGACAGTGAAGAGCTTAGATAGGATCTAAGCAAACAATATTTTTGCTTGCTTACAAAGAAGTTTTATTTTAATATTTTAATAACTATATTTATTAGAGCTACTAGATTTTGGTTTAGAAAAAATACCTCTCGTTTTATCTCACAGAAAAATAATTTTAACTCCCCCTCCATGAGCGAACAAAAAAAAATTTTGTTCACTCATGGAAGGGGCAATTTATTTTTTAAAAGGAATTTATATGTAAAACTTAACTCCCCCCCCCCCTCCGTGAGCGAACAAAAAAATTTTGTTCGCTCACGGAGGGGGGTTAATTTTTTTTTTTTAAAAAAAATTTATATATAAATTTTATAAAAAATATTTTTTTCGAAATTTAAAAAAAATCCTAATTTGCAAAAATTGGGAAGCAAATATAATTTAATTTGCAAAATTTATGTTTTAAAACGCAATTTGTTTAAAATTAAACAGAATTAGCTCTAGATTTCATTATACTAATTATCACTTATATATCAAAATTTTTTTTCCATTAAAATTTTTTCTATTAAAAAAAAATTTTTGTTCACTCACGGAGGGTGGGTTTTTGGTCAAAAAATGGCGATTTTTCTAATGGTTTTGTTCGCTCACGGGAGGGGGGGGGGGAGTAAGTAAAATTTTTTTAAAAAAAAATTCCACTTCAAAGCAAATATTAATTTAATTTGTAAAATTTATGTTTTAAAACGCAAGCTATTTAAAATTAAACAGAATTAGCTTGAGAGATTTCATTATATTAATTATCGCTTATATATCAATTTTTTTTCATAAAATATTTTTGTTCGCTCACAAAGGTGTGGGCAAAACATAGGGATTTTTCCAATGGTTTTGCTCTCCCACAGAGGGGGGTGGAGTAAGTATATATCAAAAGATTAAGAAAAAATTTATGATTATTAGGATGCATGCCAAGATTTATAACTTACTGGTTGTCTCTATAAATTTATTACATTTTGATATATAGATAAAGGAATTATTTGTACCCAGAATTATAAAACTAGCAAACAAATTTATCTAAATCATACTATTCAATAAGATCTAACAAATTATCAGGGTCTTGGTCTCTGATGCTAGCTTCTGTCGCTCCGTCAAATTCTCTTTCAAACTTCAAAAGTTCTTCGTTATGCACGCGTTTTCCCTCAACCTGCCTTATATTAGTTACATCTTCTACCTCCATCATTTGAAAGTTCAAATTCAGCTCAAAAAAGTCAGCAGGATTTTCATCAGGGCCAGCAATCATACTTGCTAGACTATTCAGCTCATGCTTGGCTATTTCCACCCTTGTTTTATCAGGAGCGCTCACATATCGCCTAGCAGGAGCCGGAGCTGGCGCTTTTTGCTCTTCTGGAGGAAGCGGAGCGAAGGGCTTATCAGTGGCATATAAATTAAAGCCAAGTGTTGTTGAATTTTCAGTGTATCTTGACTCATATCTTGCAGCGATAAATCCGTCACTTTTGGATAAAATCCTGGTATATTCCCTGACGACTTCTCCAGTTTGTAAAAACCGTCTGATTTTGCCAGGCGTTTCACATATGGGACAAGCTTCTGATGTTGTGATTTTTATAGTGCCATCCTGTAGCTGAATTCCTCGGCTCAGCAATAATGTAACTTTTGCGTACTTATTTTGGAAGAATTTCAATAAAGTCTGCCTAATTCTTGCCATTGTGGCTGAGCTCATCCCTAAATATCTTTCCTTAACCCTATTAATAACCTTTGTAATTATCAATTGAGCTTCATTGCCAGGGATCAGTGCTAAGAGTTCTTTTAAATGGTTAAGAGTCACCTGTAAGATTTCTTCAGGGTATTTTACACAGAGGAATTGCATTTTGACACCCATCACCATAAGGTCGAACAGCTTATTCATTGAAGAAGTCTGAAGCTTCATAATGGAAGAATGCGCTAGCTTATCAAACGTCTGACGAGTTGAAATCATTGTATAGAGAGGCTGAGGACGCATCATTTCATCTATAAATGCATCAGAAAATAGGTGCTTTATCACGTCAACTCTAACCTTGTCAGCTTTATCATTAGGAATCTGCTGGGCGTTAAGTCTTTGGTTGAGGATATACATCATTTCGCCACCTAGATTGATCATGAGGAAAGGAAGTGCTAAGTTTGTTCCTGCCATTTAATATTTACTTTAAGATAATCTTAATTTTTTATAGAGATTATATAGACTTAGTAAAAGTTTAGCTTAGCTATTCTTATTATATAAATAATTTAAGCAAAAGGAATAATAAATAAGAATATATTAATATGAATAAAATCGCAAAACTTTTTTATTTTTGATTAAAATGATTTTTAGTATGTTAGCATTTTAAAATTTAATTTTAGTTATTTTTTAGTCTTCAATTTATTTAAGCTTGTTCTCAATTGGCTTGGCTGATTTTTTGCAGCTTTGCTTTTAGCAACTTCGAGCCTCCATGCATTTATTATAATTCCTAGCACAAAATCCTTGGAAAATGTAAATTTCCTTTCATTTAATATGAAATTGCCAAATCCTTTATAAACTGCTTTTATGGGCTTGGATTTAATTACTTTTTTAGCTGCTGCCTTATTTTTAAAATTTTCTAATAAAACTTTCATAGTCTCTAGCGATGATCCTTTTGTAATAGAAACTTGAGAGTTTTGAGCATTATGCACAGGCTCAGGTGCAGGTGGTAAAACTGAGTCTCTTATTGGAGAAATTTTTCCAAATTGATCTAGAATAGTATTTTTGCCACTTTCATTCTCAGTCGGGGAGAAATTATTGATAGCTTCAAGGCTTGATATTCTTTTATGAATAGCCTCTTTTTGGATTTTAAGCTGGGATATTGGCTCATCTACCTTTCTTAAATCAATGTCTAATTTAATTCTTTTTTTTGGCTTGGCAAGTGAAACAGTTACAGTTGCTACTTCATTTAAAATTGATTGCTCTGTTTGTATAAATTCATCTAGCTCTACATGATCAGGTGGATTCTTATTTTCACTGGGCAAAGTTTTGCTGCTTCTTAGCATTGCTTCTTCTTTCTTATTTTCTGTTTTTATTGGTAAGCGAAAAGTTTTAATAGGCTTTAATGACTGCCTTGGTGACATAAAAAATTTTTGACTTGGACTTCCTGACTCACTTCGGCTTCTGCTAGAAAACGAAAGTTTTCGTGATTTCCTGCCAGGCTTATCTGTGTCTGATTTTGGTGATAAGCTTGTAGTCCTCATAGAGTCACTTAATTTCAGTGTTTCGAGAGCTTCTTTGATATTTAAATCAAGCACCATACTGGACCCTGAATCATTTAAACTGGATCTTGATATATCAGCAGATCTTTTGATTTTTTTGACTACTACTTGTGAATCTTTTTTATCTGAAATATTGAATTCAACACTGTACTTTGCTTGGCATCGCGGAATAATCTGTAAAAAAAATGATCGGACTCTTTCTGAAATTGAGCCTTTAGACGAAATAATAGCAATTTCCTTGAGCGCTTTTTCAAAATCTTCGAAGCTAAAGGATATTTTTGATATAGAAATAGTATTACTGATTCTTGATAATACAGCTCGAAGCTCTGCAATTGATATTAAATCCTATATAAAAATGTACCGGGCAAATTCTTGCAATTTTGCAGAATTTCTGAAACTCTAGCACAGGCAGTTTTTTATCATGCCCAAGGTGCTTTTTGAAGATGCTGTGAAAAGTTCTTTTGTTGATTTCAAATAGAGTAAAATTTTGATCCATATTATTTTAATAAATTTATTTAGGCTCTTGTGGTACAAAACCAAATGGCAAATCAATATGTTGGAAAGGCCTGCCGAGGTCTTTGTATCTTTGTATGCGAAACTTACTGACAGGGCTAGGTGACAAAAATTTCGGATCTAGAAAAGGTGCTGGCACGATAGATTTAGGTGAAGCAATAGGCTGCAAAGATCGGCCTCGTAGATTAAGATAGCGATGCTTAGGCGGCTCTGTAGGAGGTGGCTTCATTGCAATAACTGGAAGTCTTGGTCTTTTTTTCTCAGCTTTAGAGCTATCCATAGACAATGGCGGGAAAATTGATGACATTGAATCTTCTTCTTTGTCATCTAATTTCGGTCTATGCAGCAAATTTTTCTTTTTGAACTTTTTCTTGCTTCCTCTCTCGTGGGAAGTTCCACTATTATCTGATAAATATGATACACTGGAGTCCTGTATAAACGGAATGCTTGATTCATTTGAAATGTTTAATTCTTTTTTTATCAAATTTTGATGGTTGTTTATTTCCAAAAAATTATTATTTGACGAAAAATCTGACTGAATCCCTGATAAATTAATTTCTTCTGATGCATTTTTCTCAGAAAATGATTTTTCTTGTAAGAGTTCACTGAGTTCAAGCACGCTTTCTTTTTTAATCACTTCAATTTTTTCTTCGTCTCTGTTTTTAAATGTGAGGGTCCCTGATAAATTTAGGGTATCGTTAATGTCGTTTTTTACGTAGCTTGCTTGTAGAAAGCTGCCGAGTGAAGTTTCATCAACGCTTTGGTCAGTGTTTCCGATTGGGCTTGGCTTTTCAGGAAAACCTTGGTCTGAGCGGCTTATGTCTAATAAATCGTCGAGGCAGACATCATTTCCTTCAGGGACTTCGTTTTCAATTAATGTCATTACAAATCTTTCTTGTTCTTCGACGCTTAAGATATTTTCTGGGAAAATATTTTGCACATGCCTATTGAGAAAAATGGGTAATTTTGGTTAAATTGATATAAAAGATTTCTTGCAGAAAAAGTGTATTGGCATGTTTTTTAAAGTTTAGAGTATCTATAGAGAGAATAGCTTTTCCATTAAATACTATCCCAGCTTGTGGAGTAACTTCTGAGGTATTTTCATATATAGGTTTATTTACATCTCCACAAGTTTTACCATATTTTGGCTCTATCAACAAGCTGCTATCTCTTGATTTTAGCCCAGTCAATAAATTTGTGAATTTCAGAGACTCAGCATTAGATAAAGATTTCATTGAAATAGGCAAGCTTTCAATAAACCCTTCATCTAAACCTAGTTTTAGAGATCCGTCTTCTATATCATGGTGTCGAAAATTGTAGAGTTTTGATCTCAAATCAAGCAAAATTAAATATCAGCTCGAGACTGCATGGCTGGGAGATCCGAGCTGAGACACCGCTTAGATATATTTTACAAGGTTTTTCCAGTTCAGAAATTGACAGCGAAGTTAGGTACGCAATTTTATGCCGCTTTGGAGACTAGCCCAAGCCCACTTTCAGGTTTGGATTTTTACCTCTAATTTTGGAGTTGGAAAGGGAAGGCTCAGTAAGGTCTGCGGACAATATAGCGTGAAACTGGAGTTACGCCCAGCTACAAACTTTTCCCTTTTGCAGACTTCTGCTAAGATTCCATTTTCTGTATGGAAATCCCAAGCAGCAGATGAAGAAGTCCATAGTCTGCCCACTCAACACTTGTAAGGCAGGAGAAAGAGCAAAGACTTCGGATGTGCCATGGCTTCAAGGGCAAGAATGTGTCGATCCTTTCTCGTTGGGAGTCTTCCTAATTCAAACCCAGGTTGGCTGACAGCGTCACAAAGTGGATGAACCGCTTTATAGGTCTTGGTAACAGCAGTGCCAATCTAAAAGATTATGATTAAGAACTCAAATCATGCAATTTGTTATAAAAAATTAATCCTGACCCTTCCAGCCTACTAGGTGGCCCTGAGCTGTCTTCTGAATCTACATTCATATCCCAATTTTCATCTCTACTCGCTTCCAGCTTTGTAATTTTAATTTCTTTTGCAACCCTTTCTTCCCCCAGGGCAATTCGTCCTTCCTCTTCAAGCTCCTCCGGGCTAAAAAGATCCTGCAAAATATTTCCCAAAACAGGAACTTTTTTTCATTTCAGCTTATAATGAAATATAATTTCATCTAAATCATGGTCAATTTCTTTAAGTTTTTCTTGCAAATCTGAATGGATTTTCGACTTCAGCTCTTCAGATTCTTTAAGCCTCTTTTCAAGCTCATTAATCTTCAGCTGATACTCGTCTTCTATTTGAGCAATTTGATCAATTAACTGCTGTTCATTCTGATTTTTCGCATAATTAATCCTAGGCGACGGGGTTTTTACATGGCTTGTTCGGATTTTTGCTTCAAATGCGTCTTCCCAGCCTGAAATTAAATTTAAAATTTCTTCTTTGAGATTTTCAATAGTTTCTTTAGAAGATACTTCGGCTTGGAGCTTATCAAGGGTAGAAAAAATTGTTTGGGCCTGTAAGTTGAGCTCTTCCATAGTATCATAAGGAGAAAAAGGGGCAGATTCAAATACAGGGGTAGAAAACTTAGGTGGCGTGAATTCTAAACGTAACTTTGGGATTTCCATTTTCATTGAAATTTAAAGTATTTTTGTAAATAGATAATGAAGGATTCATAATTTAAATATAAAACATGGGCTGCAATAATATTAAATGCTCAGATCCTAACGAACTTAATTTCACTTGTACCCTAAATGGCACACAAACACTGGTTTCAAGCTTAAATGTATCTAATGGCTCAACAAAGCCATCACTTAGTACTGAAGTTAAAGCGAAGTTTATGTTTGAGACATCAACTGATAAGTTTCATAAAGTCAAAACACTGGCAAATTTATATTTACAAAAATATAATAACTTTCTAAAACTCCAAGAAATTATTGGAATATGAGAAATCGAGGTCTATGACAAATTACGAAATTCAATGGTTAATCCCGGGGATTTAAATTTAAAAGTTGAAATCGACAGTCAAGAAAATCAATTTATAATCATAATTGAAGCTGATGGTTTACGCAAATTCGACCCTATCAAAAGCTTTTGCTTTGAAGTAGAAAGGTTTGACAACGAAATTTCATCAGCATTCAGCTATAAAAAGTTCCAAGAAAATGTAAATTTTCTGTCAAGTCTGTCTCCTTTGACAATAACATTTTATTTGTCATTAGGAGAAAAAGTTGATTGTGGAATTGGGGTGAATAAGCCTTTAGATAGAAAAAGCTTGACTGAATTTTTAAGTGACTCCAGTGAAAGGCTAAATATATCGAGATGGTGCTACTCAGCTGGGATGCCAATTCCTATCAGTGTTCAATTTTCATGCTTTACTCAGGAGAAAGGATGCACTTTTTATATATTTGATGGAGATAAGGATGGAAATTATTCAAGAGGATTTACATTATTTGAATATTTTGTAGGGCCTATTCCGGATGATATTAGAGAACTTTTAAGCTCAGCAGGAGGAGAAGAGGTAAAATGCTCTCTTTCGTTTGAGAATAATGGCGTCAAAAGTTTAAGCATGGGGATTAAAAGGTTGCCGTCTATAAGATCTATTGAAATTGGAAAAGCGATTGGAGATGGATTTAATCCTGAAAGATGAAGTGCTTATGCATATTTATTGGGAAGTAATACTGAGATATCTATTAATCTGACACCAAATGGGCTAGTAATGAAGAGAATTGCTGATTTATAAATATAAGGAAACCTGTTTTTAAATATATTAAAGGTATTATTAGCTTTTATTTAATATGTCAAATTTAAATTTTGCAAAGAAATTATTTTTTCATTAATTCCTCCTAATTTTTCTAATTTTTTGAACATATCTGCTTTCTCAGTTTTATTTTGTTCTTTATAAACCTTTTTCTCGTGATCTTGGCTTTTATTTGATTTAATTCCCCAAGGTCAGCAGTGTTTTTACTGCTGACAATATATTTACAGCTCTTCAAATTATCAGTAATTTCATTATTGATCCATATTTATAAAGTTCTAAATCCTCATGATCTCTAAAATCACTTACATGAATATATTGCGTAAATATGCTCGCCGTCATCATCAAAAAGTCAGGCTTTTGTTCATATATTGTGTCCTTTAGTTATAATTTCGTGTCTTTTGTGAGTCAAAATCTATAATACTTCCCATCAATACTGAGATCCATCGAGAGCATTCTACTACTATGCGTATAAATAATGACAGACTCCGATTTATTTACCAAATCTCATATCCTCACAGTCCCATCATCACTTCCTGAATATAGAACTGTTTCATCTGGCGAAAACATGAGTTTGCTGATTTTATCTGTGTGGCCTTTCAGTTGCTCGACCTCTTCAAATGTGCTGAGCTTGAATTTCCTTATTATTCCATCTTTACCTCCAGTAAGGACATATTCACTTTTTTTATAAATTGCTATTGTGTATAGGCCACCTCCTGGGAGCTGGACATCATTTATGCATTCTTTTGTGGAGGCGGTTAATTACTGCTAGTCTGCCTTCAACGTTAAAGATAATGAAATAAGCTTTATCTGAAGTGAGGTTTAAGCTGCATGCCTCTAAATAGAATTGGAATTTTAGTGGGATAATATTGATCGATATAGTGGATGACAGTTTGCATATCTTCATTGATGGTTGTAGAGTTTTTTTCAGAAAGGAGGGGTTAGATTTTTTGTAGGTCATGCTTAGACCTGCTGGCTTGTTCTTTGAGATGCTAGTTAAGCTTGTGAAAAAAACAGAATTTTCTGCCAAACTTCAGATTTAAATAGAAAATATTAGTTTGCTTATAACAATTGAGTTTAAAAAATGCTATATATTGCAATAAAATAAAAAATCTTTGTAAGATATATTAATATGCTTCTTTTTAATTAATATTTTAGCAGGTGGTTATTGAAAATTAATGTTAAATGTCTAATAATATTTTATGACTAAAAATGAGATTCGAAGATTTTAGACTATTGAGCATATTCTTTTCAACAATGCTCATCAATCAAATTTACACAATTATTGCACCTTTCTACCCTCTGGTAGCCGAGAAAAAAGGAATCGCCCAATGGGTGGTTGGTTTAATTTTTACCGTGATGCCTTTGTCGGGCTGTCTAGTAGCATCCCATATTGGGAAAAACTTGTCCTATTTAGGAAGAAGAAACACATATACAGGAGGAATGCTCTTAGGTGGGATATCTCTAGCAATTTTGGCCTTCATCCCAGAGGTCACTAATGCAACATTTATCCTGATGAGCATTATCTCGAGGATATTGGGAGGCATCGGGATGATCTCGGTGTACATAGCTGGTTTTGCAATCATTTCAAGTGACTATGGAGACAAGAGGGAAAGGAATATTTCCATTCTAGAAGCTTTTGCAGGGCTAGGACTTATAGTTGGCCTATCATCCGGGACACTCTGCTATGCTTTGTTAGGGTTCACAGGAATTTTCCTGTTTTCTTCAACGCTGTTTTTCATGTTTACGCCTTTCTTGTGGTACACATTGTCAGAATCTACAGAATCCCAAGAGGTGAAAGTAAACACAGCTTGTTGGAGTCTCCTAAAAAATAAAAATATTTTGCTAGATGTGCTGGTAGGGCTTTATTCAAGCACGGCGTACAACTTTTTCGACCCAAGCCTAGGGCCTTATATGATCTCTTTAGGGTTCACAGAGCAAGATGTGGGGTACATTTTCATTATTGAGACACTTGCGTATGCAGGTGGAAGCTTTGGGCTCGTCTTTTTGCTGTCACGAGCCAATAAGTTTTACTTGATGATTTTGAGCATGGTGATGATAATGCTAGGAGAAATAGTGCTTGGGCTGATAGGAGGATTTATGGATACAGTGCCACTCTGGATTCCAGTGCTTGGAATATGCTTAGCTTCCCTTGGAGCTTCGATTGGGTTTGTGACGCCTTTGCCTTCGATGCTTAATGAAGCTGATATGCTGCCTCATAAGGATATGGACATTAACCCTGATGCTCTGTCTGCACTTTTTACAATGGAGGTTACAATGGGAGAAATTATTGGACCGATGATGGCAGGAATTTTAGTGCAGTTTATAGGTTTTGAGCTAAGTTCCACATCAATTGCTATAATTGGTGCTATTTTAATCGTTATCTACGGAACTATGAGAAGAGCCAAATATTTGTTAATATCAAGTGAAGAAGATCTAAAGCATCCTTTACTAATATAAATTACTAAATAATTTATTATTTCATAAGAAAAAAGTAAAATTAAATAGAAAAATCTGGGTAGCACAGGACAGACCTTTCCAAAATCCATGCTACCTTTTAGATATGTCAAGATGCTCTACCCTTTTCAGCTGCATCTTATCAACACTTTAATAATAGTATTTTCCAATATATGAGTCTGTAAGAGTTAAGGCTATCAGGATTCCCTTTTCCTTTATAAATAAAAACAGTTTTGGTTTCATTTGCCTCTTCAAGGATCCCAAATCTCTTGAAGAAGTCGAAGATTTAGTTAACGGCTTCACAACAATATCTTTGCATTTCTTGATAGCCTCATATGTTCAAGTGCATGCTCTTCACTATCGAATTGAGCATATACAACATATCGTGATTTAGGGTTGAAAGGTAAAACAACATTCTCTCCTTCTGATTCAATTGCATGCACTATCTCAATCTCACCAACCTTAGCATATTGATCCAGCACCTGTATTAGAACATCAACAGGCATACCAGCTGGCAGTGTAAATGAAATCATGTATCTCAAGTAGTTTATATCTCCTGTCATTATATACTGGACAGCAGGGGCATGGATTCTTCTATCTTGTGTACTGAAGGTTATATATACTATTTTTAACAATTCCTCCTGCGCTAGGACTGAGCAAAAGGTCATGACAGAATCTCCAAACAACAGCTTCTTGCTCTTCACAATTACTTGCTGACTTTATTGCTGTTTTAGGGCCTTCATATGATCAATATAGATGGCATCTTTCATTTTCTGTTAAGCCTTCTTAAAAATTTTGAGAGGTAAATTTTAATTGTGTTACACATGCAAGTTGTCTCAGTATGTACAGGTAAAAAATCAACTGGAGTCAAAAAACAAAATAATCTGCCATCATCCATAATTCCTACTACTGATTCTGCGTCAGTAAGTGACCAAGCGACTCGCCAGTAAATTGCTCCTCCTCCATTTTTTAAAAAGTTCGTTTTTTATAAATATAAGGGAACCCTACTTTTAAATATATATTTAAATGGTATTATTAACTTTTATTTAAAATGTTAAATTTAACTTGATGGCTTCGTCTGCTCTTTTAAGCAATTTTGCAAAGAAACTATTTTTTCATTAATTTCTCCTAATTTTTCTAATTTTTTGAGCATATCTGTTTTCTCAATTTTATTTTGTTCTTTATAAACCTTTTTCTCGTCGATCTTGGCTTTTATTTGATTTAGTTCACCAAGGCCAGCAGTGTTTTTACTACTGACAATATATTTACAACTTTTCAGATTATCAGTAATTTCATTGACTATTGAACCATATTTATAAAGTTCTAAATCCTCATGATCTCTAAAATCACATACATGAATATAATGCTTTTCATTTTTGCATTTAAAAGGTCATAATTTTTCTCCTTCTAAAATAATCTCAGCTAGGCACTGCTTTTCATTGTATTTACAATGATACAAAAATTTAGGATAATTTTTTCTAATAATTGCTATTAGTGAGTTCACTAATAAAATTTGGATAATAAATCCAAGAATTAAAACGACTGCTATATTAAGAGGGTTTGGTATGCTTTCATCATTACCAATTGATGGTGCTTGTAAATATTTCATAGATTTTAATAATCAGTCTCCAACAAAAATTTCCCAAAATGCAGAGGCAACTGATAAGAAAATAAAATTCAAAAATATATTGCCTAATATGTCTAGTATAAATTGAAGAGAAAAAATAATATTTCTTGTATTTTCAAATAATTGGAAAACTGAAACAGATTTCAAAAGAGATATTAAAACCAATAAAGAATAATTTATTTCTCAATTTCCGAGTAGCAAAATTAATGGGAATAAATACAAACGTATATATGAATAATCGTTTCACATAGTAATTTGTTTGTTTTTATTTGTTTTAACGAGTAAGTAAGCATCAAATATAGTTATCAGCAAATTAAAAAACTGGCAATAGTAAAATTCTAAGTTACCTTTCATATAGCTTAAAAATGTAAAAGCAAAAAGTCATGAAATAGCAAAATAAAGAAAATATATAAATCGCATCGTTCATTTAAGTTTTTCTCACTTATAATTGATAATATAATAAAAAATTTCTGTATCAATAATTTTTTTATTTGGGCATTTTATCATACTCTCCATAAATTTTATACTTTCTTCTGACCCAATATTTAAATTCAGCATGATCTTGCTACAATAAAATTCAATTTCCTTAGTTTCTTCGTTATCTTCTCCTTCTTTTAAGTTAAACTCACCATTAGTTATTTCTGAATTTTTAGATAAGACAATCATTGGTAATTTTTGATTCACTAAACATCTTTTTTGTAGAAAATCTGAATTAGATTTTATTAAAATTCTTTCATAAAGTTTGTTAAGAGATCTACAGCCATACAAATTTAAAGCTGTTAAAGAGTTTTCTATCGTATTAATCCTTTGAGAATAGTTGATATTTCTTAGAAACTCACTTATAATTATTTCTACACAATCAAAATTCCTTTTTGCAATACTAATATCTAAAGGACTCAATCCTCTTCTATCAACAATTAAAGAGCCAGAATTTTCTAAAAACGAGTGTAAATGATCAGCTAGATTAAAATACGCATAAATATGGCCAACATTTCAGAATATAGGAGTAATAAATCAGCCATCCATTTCAGGATTATATTCAGGATTTTCATACAAAATTATCTTTCTTAAATATGCCATGAAATCAGTCGCACAAAATTCATGTCCATACAAATATATCCCTTTAGCTTCCATAGGATTCTCTTTTACAATTACATCATCCGCTGCAGAGAAAATTATATATTTTTCATCAGGACTACAAGTTATTGAATAACTCAATCCTTCAGCTTCAATAGGAACTGTTGCTAGTTTTGTAAAAGTTTTATAATCCCAAAAAGTCATACCATTTTCAGATGATAAAGCAACAAAATAGTTTTTCGTTTTGCTGAAATAAAAATCTATCCCATTCTCATTACTTCCAAGTTCAATGGATTTTTCTATTTTCGAATTATTTATGTTTCATATAATAAATGGAGAAGCAGAGTACCCAGAAATAAGGATTTTATTATCATTTGAAACTTTCAACGAATATATTGTATCTTTGTGATGGATAGCAGGGTCATTTTTCGTTTGATGTGCCATATCAAAAACTGATAATTAAAATATGGAGTCTCAGTCAGGGCATCACCTTCCGGCCATGCAGCTTCGAGCACATATTTTAATTATATCCAACAGGTTTTGAAATTCAGAATGGAAAGCAATGCTAGGTAAGCAATACTGTAGGAGGCAGAGACTAACCCAAGCTCAATTTTCAGGGTGGTTTACCTCGTGGGGAAGGAAGGCATGGCATTTGGAAAGGGGAAGCCTAGCAAGGGCCTGCTATTCGTATCGGGCAACTCCTTAGCGTGAAAAGTGGGCGCTACGTTCCAGGTTGTGTGTGTTTTTTTCCTTTTGCCGACAGTCGGCCAGAAAAATCCTAATGGGTTTTTTACGCAGGCAACTCATGTTACAAAGGAACTAGCTGATCTATAGTCGTCGATCAGGCAACACTCGGTTCAAGCGTGCCCTGGAGATCAAGGGAGGTCGCCCCAGAGGCCTGAGGGTTCAATTCGTGGAAGAGTGAGCGGAAGGTCTGGGCATGCCAACCTTGAGTACTAAACGCATAAATTAAGTAAGTAAGCCATATCAAAAACTGAAATATATCCATTTAAATCTCCTCCAAAAACCAATGAAGAATCATTTGCTATTGCAAGTGCAGTAATTTGGCAATCATGCTTAACTACAGCAATTGGAGGAGAATTAATTCCACTTATAGGGCTATCATAGTTTTTAATTGTGATCCTGCCTCCAACATCACCTGATATAATAAACTTCCCACAGGGACTAATTAATATTGCATCCATTATATCTTCAAAATAAATATGATAATCCTGAAAAACATCCAAATCCCAAAATACCATGTCTTTGCTAGATAAACAAGCCACTAAATATTTTTCATCATTTGTAATCTCAATATCTCTTATATCTGACTCATTGATAATTTCTTTTATTTTTTGCTCGAAATCTCATATTATAACAATGCGGTCATAACTCGTTGAATAAATTAAGTTTCTTTTGTGAGAATAAACGAGTTTCTTTATTTCCTGGACGTGACCTTCTAATTTAACTTCAAAATCCATATAAGGGACTTTCCACTTTAAAATTGTGTAATCTTCAGATACTGTGTACACGTGCTCGCCGTCATCATCAAGAAGCATGGCTTTTATCCATTTTTTGTGTCCTCTGCAGATTATTTCGTGCCTTTTGTGAGTCAAATCTCAAAACCTGACTGTTCAATCATTGCTAGATGTAACAACCATTTAGTCATTGCGTAAGAAATCGATATTTGCAACTCTTTTTTCGTGTCCTTGAAGTTTATGGAGCAGTTTTCAGGTACCAAATTCCCAGATATAAGCACAAGCGTCATTGTCGCCAGCAGCAATCATGCTTTTGGATTTTGTGAGTTTTACACATCAGACACTATGAGTCGGACCATTTAAAACTGCTTCTACTTCTTTTCTCTCTGTATTGTAAACTTTAACTAATTTATCTGCGCCTCCTGTCACTAAATACACTTATATATATTGATTAGATATTCTATTAAATGCTAAAATAACATTTATTAATCTAAATACAATAAATTGTTCAATTATTCAAAAACTTGCTGATATTTCAAAACTTATATTATATAAAGAAACACTTCAGACCTTTAAATCAGTTAATATGGTTTTAGAATAAAAATTTGAATTGCTTAAGTATTGAAATCTATAATACTCCCCATCAATACTGAGATCCATCGAGAGCATCCTACTACTATGTGTATAAATAATGACAGACTCCGATTTATTCACCAAATCTCATGTCCTCACAGTCCCATCATCACTTCCAGAATAAAGAACTGTTTCATCTGGCGAAAACATGACTTCGCTTATTTTATCTGTGTGGCCTTTCAGCTGCTCAACCTCTTCAAATGTGCTGAGCTTGAATTTCCTTATTATTCCTTCTTTACCTCCATAGATTAAGATTAAGATTAAAGGGCTCAAAGTCTTCCAGATTTGATGCCTCCGCACGCTTGCGATCACATTAACCTGCTCGAACGAGAAATTCAGTCGTCTGAACCCTGTCTCCAATGGTCTATTTGCGATACCTAGGGCGTGCACCGATATCCCTGAGTGTCGGTTGATTAGAAAACTCCTCTTGTGTTCGTATGTCTTGCGGTTGCTATGGAGGCAAAGATTAGCCCTTTGTCGGCCACCCTGCGGTCAGGTGACAACCAGGAAAAAAAGATCTACGGCCCTCCGGAAGCGGTAGGGAAAAGAACCCATAGCCAAAAACCATCCGGATAATTAATATGGAATGGTCACCAGCTGACTCCCAAGGTTAGCCACCCCATACGGCGGCGCTAGGCGCGCTAAGGATTAGAATTAAATGGCCTGAACCTTGGCTTAGGCTATAAAACCATTTTGGCGCCCAAAGTGGTGCGACCTTCGTAAGGACATATTTCATCACCACCACCATATTAATTTTACCTCCAGTAAGGACATATTCACTGTTTTTATAAAGAGCTGTTGTGTATAGGCCACCTCCTGGGAGCTGAACATCATTTATGCATTCTTTTGTGAGGCGGTTAATTACTGCTAGCCTACCTTCTACACTACAGATAATGAAATAAGCTTTATCTGAGGTGAGGTTTAAGCTGTTGCCTCTAAATGGAATTGGAATTTTGGTGGGATAATATTGATCGATATAGTGGATGACAGTTTGCATATCTTCATTGATGGTTGCAGAGCTTTTTTCTGTAAGACTTAGCTTTGAGGGGTTAGATACTTTGTAAGTCATGCTTAGATCTGCTGGTTTATTCTTTGAGATGCTAGTTAAGCTTGGGAGGAAAACAGAATTTTCTGCCATGTTTCAGATTTAAATAGAAATAATTAATATGCTTATAACACTTTAGTTTAAAAAATGCTATATAATTCAATAAAATAGAAAATCGTTATAAGAATGTATTAATATGTTACTTTCTGATGTTTAATTAATATTTTAGCAGATTATTATTTACAATTAATGTTAAATGTTTAATTCATATTTTAGACTGTATTTATAAGTAATCATATCATATGGAGCCAAGGATAAAAACCGCAAAAAAATCTTAGCTTGCCATTGAAATAATGCATTGTATTCTAAACTTTAAAGCAATAATTTGACTCTAATATCTATTTATAGTTAAGCCTTAATTCACTCAGTTTCGAATTTTATTTCTTCTTTCTTTATAAATGCAAAACACGCTTACTCCCCCCCCCATCCTTGATCGAACGATTGACTGTAAAAATTCCTAAAAATTGGGAAAATTAACCCCCATCCTTGATCGAACGATTTTCATATCATGAAAATTTTTATAATATAAAAATATATTAGTTATCAAAAGCTTAGGAAGATGTACCTAATGAAGTTGTTTTTCAGAGACTTTGAGACGACAAAAAGCTTCGGAATCAACCGTATGAAGTGATTTAGTCATTAGCCTAGGCTTAAAAACTCGATAATCTAATAAAATAGAGATTTTTTTAAAAAAAATAAAAAAAAAAATAATTTAATAAGGAACAAATTAAAATTTATACAGTTTAAAAGGGTAACTATTAAATCAAAATATTAAAAAATTGGTATTTTATGAAATTAATTCAATTTTTTGCTGTAAAAATAATTATTAAATACTCTTAACCCTCTTATTTAAAAGTAAATAAAAACAATTTATATATATATTTTTTATTTTATATATAAAATTTTTTTTCCCAAAAAATTTGTTTTTTAACCCCCATCCTTGATCGAACGATGGCGGGTCGTTCGATCAAGGATGGGGGGGGAAGTTAGAAAAATTCACCATGGATAAATATAAATGCTTTGTTATAATATATTCAAAACCTAACGAACTGTACATAATAGAATCAGCTATAAGCAAGTCTTTCTACAAAGAAATTGCTAATCTAAATTAATTTGGTTCTTTTCATCTGAGAAATTTATTTAAATATTGTTTTACTCTCCTATGTTTATTTTAGCCCATCACGTTTGGCTAAGAATGGGTTTTGGAAAAATATATATAAAATAAAATTGTTTTTATTTTTACAGATTTATATATAAAAGTTTTATAATTATTAAAAATCCTTCCATAAAAGGTTAAGATTAAAATAATTCAATCAAGGGTGAGGCAAGTGAGGTATTTTTTCACCAATGTTCGTAAAATTTCTGTGGTCTGATAACTTTTCAGGAGACCATTTTAGTAATTGTTTTTTGGCGAAGAAATGTGGCCTGTAGTTTTATTGACTTTGTTCGCATCAAGCGGCGTTTATGCAGTTAATGGCAAATGCAGAATCCTAGCTCTTGGAGGAGGCACAACAAGAGGAGCATATGAAGCAGGAGCTGTAATTGGGCTTATCAATAATCTTCCTGCAGGTGAAGCCCAATATGATGCAGTTACAGGCATTGGGACAGGTGCAGTCAACGCTCTTATCATGTCTCAATATGCCATAGGGCAAGAAGCTTCAGCAGCAACTGCTCTTAGCAAATTCTGGACTAATTTCACCTACTCTCAATTTTATAAAGATTGGGTAGGCTGGATTATTACTGGACTTAAATACGAATCAGGCCTCTATGACAGCTCTCCAATGAAAAAGACTTTAACATCTCTCGCTTCTGGAAGCTTCCAACGATGGCTCGGTGTTGGCTCCACTGATCTTTTATCCGGCTCCTACGTTTGGTTTAACTCAACTGGCCAAACCAAAACAGACTTGATTACAGGAGTTTACGCAAGTGCTACCGAATACGGCTTTTTCCCTATAGTTCACTACAAAAACTTACAGCTTGTAACTGGCCATATTAAATTCTCAATCGATATTTTGCACGCTGTTAACTACTGCTATCTCTCCAAAGGCATTCAAATGGCAGATATCATAGTTGATGCTGTATTGCCAGCAGGAACTAACTTAACAGCTACTGATACAAGCGAATACAAAACTATTCAAGTCACCGAAAGAACTGCTGAGATTGCCGCTTTTGATTTATTTATGCAGACTGTTGAAGATGCAAAGGTCAGCTTCCCTGATATCACAATAAGGACTCAGATTTATCCTTCATCTAAGCCTCCTACAACCGTGTATCCTTACGATTACACTCCAGCTCAGCTTCAGTCAATGCTGGCACTTGGCCAAAAAGATGCAAAGAATGCAGTGGCAGCTCTTTCAAGTCAAGAAAGCGAGTAATAACTTTAACTCATTTGATTAATCAAATTTAAAATATGAAAATCAGATTATGGAGCCTGCTTCAACTTCAATTAAATTCCTAAGCACTTTTAGCTCTGGGACACTGAGATCTCAATGCAAAAAACTTGCTCAAAGTGAGTGCACAACTGCACGACAACAAATCCATGATCTTCAGCTTAAAGATGCAATAAGTCGGCAAGAACTGTCAAAGCTCGAAAAAGAAGCTCAATCATTGGAAACTCAGCAAGCCGCTATAAAAGAAGAAATAGCCAAAATTGAGCAGAAACTCAAGCAAGAAGACCGACAACTTCAAGCACAAGAAGAAGATTTGGCAACTTTTAGAGTAAAAATTGCTAAAAAAAAGAAATTCAAAGACAGTCAAAAAATAATCAACGAAATTGAAACACTGCGACAGTCAATTCATGAAATGAAAGAAAGGCATGAAGAAGAAGTCGGAATGTATATTGCGTCTCAACAGAAAATAGGAGAATTAAGCTATGCTTTAGGAAGGACCCCAAAAACAGCTGAAATTATGGACCTAATGAAAGACCTAACCAATATGTATGAAGAACAAATCCAGCATAAAGATTTAGCTATCAACTTCCAAGAAAGGCTCAATCAACAAGAAAATCAACAAATCAGAAACAGATTAAAAAAAGTTGAAGAAAAATTAAGCCGCATAGAAAATGAAAGAATTACTGATAATAAAAGAATTTTTAAGCTAGAAACTCAGACTAATATTTCAGAAAATGACAATGGGCTTAATATTAAATGCATTGATCAAGACACTGAGATGCAGTCTATAGCAGCTGCTGAAGAAATTATCCAGAAACTGAGAGCAAAACTATCAAAAACTCAAGATTTAAGCACTTTTGTAGCAAAACTTGATCATCAAATCAACCGTCATAAAAGCAAGATATTCTGTTTGGCTGATTATTTCCATATTTATTATAATTAGCATACAGATTATCGCATAAATTTGAAAAATTATTCCTGATAAAAAAAATAATTTCAAGCCAATAGAATAATCGATATGGGAAAAAATAATTTAAATAACTAGTTATTTTCAATTAAAACAAAAAACTCCCTCCATGCGAATTGCGAGCAGATTTTGCATGTATTTCGAAACTTCGCTTTTGCTTATGTACAGGCTTAACTATTTCTGTTGACTTAGGGGTTGTTGAAGCTACAGGGATCTTAGAAGCCCCATCCACAATCCAAGGATGCCTTAAAGCTTCTTCAGCCTTAATTCTCACTGCTGGGTCCCATTCCAAGCACTTTTCAATGAAATCCTGAAACAATGCATCAGTCCCATGCAAAATTTCTTTGAGATCTCTTGAGCTTGGATATCTTCTTCTCCCTCTAGAATTTGTAGTAATTTTAGGATACCCTGAAGCGTCAAAAAACATTTTTACTCTTGTGCCTTGCTGAAGAACGTTATAAGGAGGCATTCCTTTTATAGATTTTTTCCCTTAAATTTCCTAATTGAACCCAAGCTACTTCATATTATAGGAAATCCAAGGGAAAACCCTATACTTCCATAATGCATTGAAACTGCTCAATTTCAGACTCTCCAGCAAAGAGAGGGGAGCCTGTATAAAGTTCTACTAAAATGCAGCCGAAACTCCAAATATCAATGGCAGACGTATATGGGATCCCTAACATAATTTCAGGTGCCCTATAAAATCTGCTCTGTATATATGTATAAAGCTTTTGGTTTTCATAGCAAGATGACCCAAAATCAATGACTTTTAAGCTTGACTTATTAGAATGCTTAAGCAAAATATTTTCAGGCTTCAAGTCACAATGAATCACCCCTAGTCTGTTTGAAACCTTCAAGCACTGCAGTATTTGATATGCAAATCTCCTTATCAACGGCAGACTAAGCCCTTGAAAGTTATTGCTTTTAAGAAAATCATACAAATTTATGCTTAAAAGCTCAAAGGAAATGCACAAATGGTTTCTAAAAACAAAATGGTCCTTTATGTGGACTATATTGTATCGGTCTTGGGCATCATACTCTTTCAGAGATTTTAAGATTTTTACTTCAACAGCGCCTTGCTGGTGAAATCTCGTTTTATTTCGGATGATTTTTAAAGCGACAAATTCTCTCACCTTGTGGTCATATGCTTTGAAAACTTGTCCAAATGATCCTTTGCCAAGTTGCTGACTTATTTCATATCTATAGCAAATATGCTCCCCAATCGTAAACTTATAGTCCCCTCTTTCATCATCAAACCCATGGTTCGGACCTACCCCGCTACTCGATTTTTCTTCATGTTTTCCAATATAATAGATTACATTGTAATCTAAAATCTCCCCTTGCTCTCAATCATTTAAATATGATTTAAACTGTTTTAACACAGAAATCCCTGAAAGCGGCAATTTTAATTCGTTTGGGGAGTCTGAGATATTTTCTTTCATTTTCTTCTGAGTGCTATTCATAATTTTTGAAATATTTTTGGGGGTTTGGTTAAGTAATTTAGGAGCCAAAATTGAAGAATTTGAAAAATTTGATTCTTCTTGGGAAATGAGCGTAGTGTTTTGGCTTGAATTTTTGCTGCTGGGGAGTATAGATCTAGAAGTTGAATGCTGGTTTATTCAGCCATTTGTGGAGGATAAGAACTTTCCTATTGGAAGTGTTGGGACTACTCTTGAAGATTTAGGTGTTTTTTGAATAATAAGAGAATGATTTTCTTGGACCAATTTAGGTGGATTAGGAGTAATTTCTTGTTTTTTAGATACGCTTGGGATTCTTGATCCTTTTCTTTCGTCGTCAAGCCTCAGTTGAAGCTTATACTTATTCATATTTAAAAATGCTGAAAAAGTTAACGATATCTAACTGATATTAATTTTGGCATTTTGAGAAGAAAACAGGCTAGATTAAGAAATTAAATTAAAAATTAGGTAGATCTGCTTATAATTTTGAAGAAATATTCACATTCAAGGATTCCGTCTTCAGGTATGTCAGTACAGTGAACTGCGTTTTGGACCTTATTTATACCGAATTGCGATCTAATTGATTTCGGCCTTAGACGTTTGGCGACTTCTGGGTCTGCTGGGCCACATAGTTCTCTGAAGCTTTCTACTACATTTTCTTGTCTGATTTCCATAGCTATACAAGGACCTGATATAAATTCATCTACAAGACTTCCATATTCAGGTAAAACGTCTTTATAAACCTCTAAAAATTCTTCTGTAGTCTGTTTATCAAGCTTAAACATTTGTAAAGCTGAAATTTCAAAGCCTTCAGAAAGAATTATATCAATAATTTTACCTGCGTTATTTATAGCATGGGGTTTTATAATACAGCAAGCACAGTCACTAAGCACTGCAGGGTTTCCTTTCAAGCCAAAAAAAAAGCTAATTTCTGTTATTGCACTAGAAGGGGAGTCACTTCCGTGCACTGCGTTATGGGTTCCTTCAGTTCCAAAAACAGCCCGCAAGCTTCGTGGTGCATCAATTCTGGCTGTATTAGGATTTGTAGGGCCTATTAATTCTCGTCATATTGCTACAGCATTTTCTGCGATCAATTCCATGCCAACTACGACATCACTGGATATGAAATTGACTAGATCATCGAAAAATGGTTTACCTTGATGTTCAGAGTAGAATTGAACTGCATCATTTAAGGTAAAACGGATCATTTTCATAGAATTTATTGTAAGCCCAGCTTGGATTATAGAATCAATAACTCTGCCTATGTGAGTATAGCAGTCTGGCTTGATCATTGCAAAAGTTTTGCCTCTTTGGGATTCAAAATATGACCTAGTGAAGATGTCAGCGTATTCAGCTACTTTAAGTTGTCTGGCATAAATATATCATTTTGAGGAAATATAGAGATTTTTATAGAGAATAAGCCAATTTTGAAATAGATATAGGAGATGCTTATGATTATAGCTGGCATTATGATGCAAGGGATCATAGTAACAGTTGAACCAATGAATAAATCATTTAATGATAAACTGGGGTATTGGCAGCGCTTTAAGAAAATACGATGATTTTTAATGTCATACTAAGTTTGCAATACCATTTCAATTGTGCTGTTTGCGTAAAAATAAGTAAGCTGATATTTGCGAGTGAGAGAAGCCTGCTGGTCAAAAAAGTCTACTATGAAGACAAACTGATCTTCTGGATTTGCCATATAAATATGCAAACTTCTTTAAAATTGCATGGAGTAGTTTTAATATTTTAGATAATAAAAATCTAATTTGGTTTTATTGTAATTATTCTAGCATCAGGGCATTTATTAATTCAGTGCAAACCTCAGCTAAGCTTTGAGCTTTTGAGAAAATAGCGTTAAGAAGATTCCTATGCGAAAATTATAAATTATTTGGTTGTATATGATAACAAAATATTAAAGAAATTTATCAGCATTGAGGATATTGAGAAATAAATTATATATAAAAAATAGCATCATATTAAATATAGTGCATGCTCTTTAAAGCACGTATATTATATCTAATTAGAATATTTTAAAGATTTTAATTAAGGACCCCCCCTCATTTGTCCAAATTTTCTAGTCTTTTATCATTTGTCCATTTTTCTAGTTTTTTTTTATAGGAAAAAACAATTGTTTTAGGACCTCATTTGTCCAATTTTCTAATCAAAATTTTTTGATAGAGAAAAAAAATTTCAGGACCTCAATTGTCTCATTTTCTAGTTTTTTTTAAAGTAAAAAACTAGAATTTTAGGGCATTCTAAAAAATGCAAAAAAGACTAGAAAGTTGGACAAATCATTTTTGACTAGATTTTGGGACAAATGAGGTCCTGAAAAAAAAAATTCTTATAAAAAAAGACTAGAAAATTCGACAAATGAGGGGGGGGGGTCCTTAGATATTTAGTAAATAAACTCATGTCATGTCTGTCTTTCTTGTGTATACAAGATATTTGATATAAAATAAAATTAATAAAAACCTATAGGATTTTTCAATTTCATAGAAAATGGAAAAGAGAATTAGCTTGAGCCTGAATTTCTTCCCAACTGAGTTTGAAGATGTATTTTATATGTCAAGAAAAGTTCCAAATTTAAAAGCTTTACCGAAATATCTCTATTTAGCATGATTTGAGTACTTGATATTTTATTTTCCAGAAAGAGTTGAAAATACAATTAATATCCTCAATTCTCACCAATATTCTTGAATAAATCTAATCCAAAATATTCTTTTAACTCGCGACTGTAATAAATTGGATAACTTGAGCGCTAGGCAAGACTTCTTCGATTCATTAAGATCTTATTATTTTTTAAAAAACAAAACAACCTCTGATCTGCTTTTAAGTTTATCTAAATTATTCAAGCTTAAAATTATCAAAATTAGACAAAATCAAAACTTGATAATTTCTATATATGGAAATCCTTCGTGGTCTAGCTTATTTTTATTTGTTGATCGTAATACAAACTATTCAATATTATACCCATTTTATGATAAAATTGATTTTCTTAATAATTGAATTGATAGGTTTCCAAGTAACTATCCAGGAATGATTGAATGTGTTTGCTTAAAAAATCATAATCTTTGTAAATGCAGTCAATTGATTCGATCTCTTTCAAACGGGTTCAGGTTCAATGATACTGCCTTTTTGATAGTGTGCATTTCATCGAAGTACTTTTGGTCGAAATTTAAATAGTGTACCCATTTAGAGAAATTTAACGGTTTTATCGGTCAAATGTCTCACTATCAAAAATGATTTGAACAAATTTTTCCCCTAGGAGATTTGATATGGAGCCCTTTCAAGCAGCTCAGCAGTCAAAAAGAACAGTGAAGAAAGCAAGCAGGAATTTTCAATATTGCCTGCAGAAAAACAATTTCAAGAAAAATCTCCTAGAAAATATGAAGATCAAAAAGACTTACCTGATAACCAATATGCTATGCATGATCGTAAAACAAAAATACTAAATTTATCACGAAATCCAAGTAAAATGTATGAAAATCGAGTTGAAATGAATCAAATGTTAGCAAAAAATAAAAGTCCAGAAAGGCAACAAGGCTCAATAAATGAGTTGACTAAGAAAGAATGCGGCCACGAAAAACCATTGTTTAAAAATTTTTGTGGCTGTTTATTGTGCCGATCTTGCTCTCACAATTATATTATAGAGAGAACATGCAAAATTTGTAATGACTCTTATTTATTAAAGGATAGGAACGAAAGAGCAGACAGATTTTTGGAACTTAATAATATTAAAAAATTAGAATGCGAGATTTGCACAAAACCAAAAAACCCCTCACTTTTAATATTTCTCTTGCCAGAAATGTGTAAAGTATGCAGAAGCATACCCTGTATAAATAAACATATAGGAAAATGCAATTCATGCAAAAAATATTATGTAGAACCTTGATAATAGATATTTTACAAAAGAAAATAAAATAAATAAGCACTAAACAATAATTTTTTCATATGAAAATTTTAATCGAAGCTAATAGAACTCTTTAAATATGATTTCAAGAAAATTAAAAGAGTTCAAAGAATGAGCAGATATAATAACCATTACTATTTATATAAGAGTATTTAATAACTAGTTATAATGAATTTCATATTGCAGATCCTTTTAATTGCTTGATATATGGTCTTGGTCTAGATTATCTTCAATTTATAGTTTTGCTAATCTGCAATCTTAGTCTTAGTTAAATTTGTAGAGTAGCTCCAGGCCAGGACCGAAGGTCCTTTTCTTCCGCCTTTTGGACGCCTCGCTTGCTTTCCTTGCCCTACTCCCAGTGTGCACCTAAGTGCCACAGGCTACCACTCACTCCCCCCCCCCCCTCCGTGAGCGAACAAAAAAATTTTGTTCGCTCACGGAGGGGGGTTAATTTTTTTTTTTTAAAAAAAATTTATATATAAATTTTATAAAAAATATTTTTTTCGAAATTTAAAAAAATCCTAATTTGCAAAAATTGGGAAGCAAATATTAATTTAATTTGCAAAATTTATGTTTTAAAACGCAATTTGTTTAAAATTAAACAGAATTAGCTCTAGATTTCATTATACTAATTATCACTTATATATCAAAATTTTTTTCCATTAAAATTTTTTCTATTAAAAAAATTTTTGTTCACTCACGGAGGGTGGGTTTTTGGTCAAAAAATGGCGATTTTTCTAATGGTTTTGTTCGCTCACGGAGGGGGGGGGGGGAGTCAGCTCCTTCCAATCATCGATCATGGGGCTTGGTCATGCTATCCCGAAGTAGGCGGACTGGGTCACCGTGCTTCACGTCGCCAGACTAGGGTTAGAGCTAAGGAATAACTCCTTAGTTCTTGTTGGCTCCTGCCATGCCCTCCAAATTGGCACTAGCGGTCCCTAGAGGAAAAACTCTTTTTGCCCCGTGTCCTATCGGGACGACCCTAGGATCGTCGGTGCTGGACTGGGAGGGAAGCCTAGCCGGACACAAACTACCAGTACCCATTCTAGACCTTTCCCTGGGCGGATTGGCTTCAGGCCGCAGCAAGGTCCCCAATCTCGCCTCAGTTCCGGGAGAGGACGGGTCGGTGTCGTCGCCATTTTATTTGTGTGCTAATCTGCGATAAATTTAAAAGTAAATAACTTCCATTAAGCTAGAGACATTTTTATGCAAAAAAATAAGAAAACAGCAGATAGATATTAAATATTGAAGAAGGCACGACCACCATCAATACACAGAGCTGTTAAAAGATTATAAATTTTCTTAATGAAATAGAAACCTAAAGTATAGCCCAAGAAAAGCAGAAGAAGATGATTAAATATTGCGAATAATTGTGAATAAACTTATTTAAAATTTATTAGAGTTTAAAATTGAGTAAATATAAAGTTTGCAGCTGATAATAGATTTGAATACTATTGTTAAAGAATTTTATTTGTTATTTTTCAATTATAAGCGATTATCTCATGATATGAAAGGGAAGGAATGCACTTTTAATAACTTGCTTGATTTCACAAATTATAGTTTCAAATGCACTTAGGGAATAGTCAATTTTAAAATTTTGCACAAAAATATAGATCTGAATATGCAAGATAGCAGGTAGAACATAGAAGCAAAAAATCTGGCAGCATCAAACCTTTAACAAGACAGCAGCTCATCAACATTGTCTCCAAAGCATGGACTGATGTCAAAGATGACATCATCATTAAGTCTTTCGAATTAAGTGTGTTTATGGACCTAATCATGCAAGATTTTTAAAGCGCCAGCTTAAGATTAAGCCACTAGTGACTTTATTAGCTCTTCTTTATTATTCTTTGTTCGATTATGCTTGTCCTTATCTTAGTTTGTTAATGTTTTGCATAAGAAAATCTAAAAGTTGATCTAATAAATATAGCCCAGAGCAATTTAAATGCGTTTCTAGTCTGTAATCAGCATAAAAAGACTTTCATAAAGTTCCAGTATTTTATGCACAATCACAAAGTGATATTGCTTCTCTTTTTATCGGACTAGAAATTATCTGGCCTCTAGAATATAATCCTTATAATTTTCTCATAATCCAAAATGATTGTTATAAGAAGAAATTGATTTGCAAAAGCACTTGATCTTCCTTCATCATATAAAAACTTCATAGCATACTAAATTCACAGCGATTTTGGAGCAATTGTGGGAATTTATTAATTTTATGCTCATAAGAGCATTTTCACTATATATTTTTTCTTTGTCTTGACTTATCATTATTCCTTCCTTTATCAAGCAAGAACTTGCAACAAAATCTTTTAAAACTCTATATGAGAAAGGTTTATTTCTTATTGTGCTGCTAAAACATTTGAAATGTAGAAATTAATATTTATATCTAATAGCTCTTGATCTCTAGCATCTTTATCATTATCGTCATCTGTATCGTCTTCAATCTTTATCTGCTTTGAATCTCTACTTAAATATTAATAGGAAACATTATTGATTTATTTGTAGATGAAAGACTTATGTGCTCAGGATTTTGAATAACTATCTCCATGAGTTCATCCGTCAAAGTCTTTCTTTGGTTTCCGAGATTGAAATTAGCATTGATTTGCAGCTATTTTTATTATATCAGCCATTTTTATTATAAGAGACACATAAAAGTAAAAATGAGAAACTATTTTTGACATAAAATTATATTTTTGGAAAAAAAATTATTCCTTCCATGAGGAACAAAAATTTTTTTGTCTGCACATGGAGAGGAGAGTGAGAAAACCCATAAAATCATATGGAAATTATATCTATAAATTAAAAAAAATACATAAAATCAATTAGCAAAAGTTTATTAATATGATATAAATTAGTGCTATTGCAAAATTGAGGACTTAGTTTGTAAGTGTTTTGCATAAGAAAATCTAAAAGTTGATCTAATAAATATAGCCCAAAGCAATTTTAATCTCTAGTCTGTATTCAGTATCAAAGACTTTCATAAATAAGCATCAGTCTAATTATGCATAAGCAATTTCTTTATATAGACTTGATTAATCTTAAAATAATTCATATTTTGCAAGTATTTAATTGATAACCTGAATATTAAAAAAAATATAGTTTATTCATATATATCAAGATTTTAAATCCAATTTTAGATCTCATTATTTCTATTTTTACTTGATTCATTTTCCAAATTTTTATTCAATAATTTACCCAAGACTAGGCAAAGCTTACTTATTTAGCTATTCTAAACAACATTTTAATTCCACAGATTATTCTATCACATAAATGAATATAAATATTCCAACATATTTTATTAGATTCACTTTAGTGCTGCATTCCTTTATGAAGCATGCTTAATAATTAATAAGAGCAAGGCATAAAAATGAGGGAAGAAGAATTTGATAAATCATTTCTCATCTATAGCATCGTTTTCACCTATATAGCCAGTTTTTCATCTGAATTTTTTATTCAGATAGTCGCAATTGCAATAGTTTTAAATATTGATGAAGGCAGCCGATTAGGTAGTTTCTAAATAGACAAGTATGAGCAGCTGTTAATGGTTTTCTTATTGTAATTTATTCTTTATTAATGCACTATCTATTTCTTCATCTCCTTCATTTTTCAAAGTTTATCTTTTAATGAATAATTTTGATACTTTATCTCCTATGTAAAAAAATACTCTATTAAAAAAAACCGTTTTATTTTAATTTCCAAATAAAAATATGAATCAAGTTGTGCAAGTGAAACCCAAAGGAGTTATGGGTAAATCAGCAAGCATTTATAGAATAATATTTTCTATCGTTTTTAACCTCGCTTTTGTATACAGTGAGTTGGAAGAATTTCTTAGCTGGCTTGATTTGACCAGACATAAGTAAGTATCTGATGAATTCGCATTCATCAATTAGCATGAATACACTTAGCTAATAAAATTTAGGTAATTAATAATTCAGTATAGAACTAATGAATTAAATAATAAAATTATCATGACTCCTAAGAATGTAAAAGAAATAAAATGCTCTTTTAATAGTTTAAGTGGACTTTATATTTAATTATGGAAAATTTTTTTAGATGGTGCCATTCTTAAATTTTTATGGACTTTAAAAAATAAAAAATTTTTAACAGCTTATTTGGCAAAAATATGAGGATAAGAAATTTTGACAACCGACTATATTTTATTTAGGTGATTGCAGTCGCAATTGTTCTGGGAGCTGATGATGGCTCTTGTGATAAGCCGATAAGGTAAATTTCACATAGGAGATATCTTATTATCTGGGTAGTCGTCAACGGCGCTCGTATACCTATTTTTGTGCTTGCCTGAACCCCACAAATAAATAGAAATATCAGAGACACCTTAGTTTGCGTAATTTTTGTACCTGGAGAATGCTTCAATTTTACGTTGATGATTGTTGGGAGTGTGTGGGAGTTTACAAGCGATAGTTGCTATGATGAATTTTACAATGGTTGGGCTATGACTTTGGCAGTTTTGATTTTCGAGTATGTTAAGATTGGTTTAGCTTGCCTTGTGGTATGTGGTGTTAGAGTCTTTACTGGAGGGTCATTTCTAGAACTTTTTAAGAAAGGCTAGAATAATGTAACTAATCTGACAATACATGATAACTTAAAAACTAAAAGCATTCGTCTGAAAAGCAACCGAATATAAAAAATTAATTAGAAAAACAATTAGACTGAGCCTAAAAATCATATAGATTGAACTCTCAACAATCGATAAGATATAATTAGAATTTTGTTTTTATAATAATGATGGTTTTATTTTTATAAGTCAATCAGATAAGAAAAGATACCCAATACTGATAGTTTGTAACACCCATTAGTGGATTCTTTATTCTTCTCAAACAGTGCTCAGTGCTTGATACAAAGAGTCAAAAGAAATAGGCCTCCATTTTGCACATCACATTACTTAAGCAATAATGAGTTCTATTGGGCTTCTCTATACCTTAAGAGAAGAGGAAATTCTAGAGCCTTTTTAAAAGACTAACTATAAGGTCATAAGCTGAGGAGCTGAAATTAGTGAAAAATCAGACATATAGAAGCAGAAAGTCTCTAATTATCTCTGTATTAGCTTAGGCCCTAAGTGGTATGCGTGAATCCATGTGATATTCGTTATTCCCAATTGTTTCACTTTGAAATTTTCCTATTTTTAATAATAGTCATATATAAAAATCTATAGGCTTAATCCTAAATTTCAATCTGTTTAGAAGTTTTAATATTAAAAATTAAGAGTGAGCAACAAACATTGATTAATGTAAAATTGTTTTATTCTTCATGTACACCCACAAAACCCTAACTTCCGCCCCGCTCCGTGAGCGAACAAAACTATTAGAAAAATCCCTATGTTTTGCCCAAAAGCCCACCCTCTGTGAGTTTTACGAAAGCATTTTTAATATAATTTTTATGAAACAAAATATTTTGACATATAACGAAATCTCTACTTATTCTGTTTAATTTTAAACAGCTTGCATTTTAAAACATAGATTTTGCAAATTAAATTAATTTTTATAAATTGGAAATTTTTAAGAAAAAAAAATTAACCCCCCCTCCTAGGTGAAAAATTTTTTTTCTGTTCGTCCACAGAGTAGGAGAAAAGTAATTCTAAATTTTCTAAATTATGCACCTCATTATGCGGGAATCAAACTGAATTCTATTAAATAAAAGCATGGCTAGGCAAGGATAGAATTCTACCCATATTTGAATAAGAAGAGGCGACGCCCATAATTTGAGATTTAATTTAGAAAATAAAATACAATTTTTTACTATCGAAATATTTATTTCGGTTTTATATAAAAATAAAAATAAATTTTTTAATTGAACTAGGTTTAATGCATTAATAGATAAAATATGGAGAACAGGAAATTATTAAAGAAGAAACTCCAAACTAACCAAGCTTCATCAATATTATAGCATTTTATATGGTTTTAGGTTAGTTTGCTTGCTATCTGTATTTTTGAGCAGTTTAAAGGAGACCAATTAATGGTTAAAGATTCCAACAAAAGAAATGAAGCTTCGGTTACAGGAAAGAAACGAATTTGAATGAAAAGGAAGAAATTAATAGGTAAAATATTAGTATCTTATAAAAGTTCTGACTCCCCACCCCATTAGTGAGAAAAACCATTATTTTTCGGTGAAAACCTGCACTCTTTAAGCAAAAATAAAAATTTTTCATAAAAAAAATTGATATATAAATGATATAGCTCATACCCCTATATAGATTTATTTATCGAGCAAAATGCCCTGGCCTCTTGAACGAGCAAAACAGACTCTCTCAAAGAGATGAGCTCAATCTCTATATCAGTAAGTGGTAAAACGTGCCATGTCAAAAAATGGTAGCAAGCGTGAAAAAGTTGGCAAGTAAACGCGCCGATTTTACAAGTGGCTTTATTATTAAATTAATTTAAAATTTAAGATACTCAATTAGACTGAGAGCACCCAATCAATCAGGTTTCTGATGATAAACCTAATCAAACACCAAATGTAGCATTTCATTTTTAGACATCTTGGAGAGAAATGATGAAATCATAAAATATCTACGACTTTCATACCTCGAAAAAAAACTCAAAAGTGCGACTCCCCCCTTTAACCCATCAAAGGTCTCCAAGAGTTCTTGCTTCAGTTGATACATCTCTCAAAATCTCCAATAATTTTTGGACTTATGCTCGATGCAAGATGTCATCATGATGGCGTCGTCCATTTAGAGAAACTGATATGAGTAATGCCTAAAGAAAAATTCAAAAGTGCGACTCCCCCCGTTAACCTATCAAAGGTCTCCACTAGTTATTTCTTCGGTTGAGACATCTCTAAAAATCTCCAATAATTTTTAGATTTATTCTTGATAAAAGATGGCTTCCAGTATGGAGAAGCTGAGAATGGCATCTAGTTTTATTCATAAATTTTATATGTATCATTTATTATTTATGTATTTATTATTATCATTATTCTTAATTTATAAGACCTTTTTAAAATCGGCGCGTTTACTTGCCAACTTTTTCACGCTTGCAACCATTTTTTGACTTGGCACTTTTTACCACTTACTGATATAGAGATTGAGCTCATCTCTTTGAGAGAGTCTGTTTTGCTCGTTCAAGAGGCCAGGACATTTTGCTCGATATAGAAATCTATAAAGGGGCATGAGCTATAATATTAAAGCTAAATATCTAGCTAATTCTATTAATTTAAACAGTTTTCATTTTAAAGCATAAATTTTACAAATTAAATTAATATTTGCTTTAAAATTATAGGCATATCCTGTAAATAACCCACATTAGGCTATTTACAGGATATGCTTATATTTCTAATTGGAACTTTTTAAAATTTCTCAAAAAATATTTGTTACAAGATTTATATAAAAAAATTGCTCCATGGAAAGAACAAAATTTTTTAATCATGGAGGGGGAGTAATTAAAACGATAAATCATGTAGAAATTATAACTATAAATTAAAAAAATGCATACAATCAATTAAAAAAAGTTGATTAATATGATATAAATTAGTGCAATTGACTTAGTTTGTAAGTTTTTACACAAGAAAATCTAAAAGTTGATCTAATAAATATAGCTCAGAGCAATTTCAATGAGTCCCAAGTCTGTATTCAGCATCAAAAGGCTTTCATAAAGAAGTTCCAGTCTAATTATGCATAAGCACTTATTTATCCTGTAATTATACAGACTTTATTAATCTTAAAATAATTCATATTTTTCAAATTATTAGCTGTTGATAACCTGAATATGAGAAAAAGATAATTTATTCATATATGCCAAGACTTTTAAGTCAATTTTAGATCTGATTGCTTCTATTTTACTTGATCCATTTTACAAATTTTTATTTCAATAATTTACCCAAAACTAGGCAAAACTTGCTTATTTATGCTACTCTAAATATAATTTTATTTCCGCAGCCATATAAATCAATAAATATTCTAACATATTTTATTAGATTCGTTTTAGTGCTGCATTCCTTTATGAACATATTTAATTGCTAATAAGAGCAAGGATAAAAATTATGGAAGAAGAATATATCAAGCTATTTCTCATTTGAAACCTAGCTTTCACCTTTATAGCTAATTCTCCGTTTGTATTTTTTATTCAGATACTTGCAATTGCAATAGTTTTAAACATCGATGATGGTTCTTGTGATAAGCCGATTAGGTAGTTTCTAAATAGGCAATGACTCATTGTATGAGAAGCTGTTAATTGTTTTCTTATTGTAATTTTTTCTATATTAATAATAGAGAAAATCAATAAAAAAATCCAAAAATTCCTGCTTACTCCCCCCTCCGTGAGCGAACAATAATAACATTGGAAAATCCCTATTTTTTGCCCAAAAACCCACCGAATAAAAAGTTTGATATATAAATGATTATTATGATGAAATATCTAGCTAGTTCTGTTTAATTTAAACAAATTGTGTTTTAAAACATAAATTTTACAAATTAAATAAATATTTGCCTTCCAATTTTGTAAATTTGGATTTTTTTAAATTTCGAAGATAGCAAAATATATATATATATTTGTTTTTAAAAATTAATTAATTTAACCCTCCTCCATGAACGAAAAAAATTTTTATTTTCTATTGGAGGGGGAGTTATTTTTATTTTCATACCTGGAAGACTCTTTAGCGTTGCGTGAGTGATTGTTGGGAGTTTATGGGAGTTTAAAAGTGATGACTGCTATGATGATTTTTACAACGGCTGGGCTTTAAATTTAGCAACATTAATTGTTGATTATATCAGTATTGGAGCATTTTTCTGCTTACTATGCTACATTGGCATGTGTTCTTGTCTTACTCACATGTTTAGAGGATGGAAAATTACATTTTAAAATAAATAATCAATTAATCGTAAAATGAACTTTAGCAATATTAATTATTGATTATTTTAGCATTGTACTCATTTCCTTCTTACTATACTTTTATTTTATATGTTCTTCTTGGATGAAAAAACGAGGGCTAAATTCTTGAAGCACTCAATAGAGTAAATTCCACATATGAGATGGCTAATTGTATCGTATTTGTCAAGGGTATTTTATATTTGGTTTTGATATACACCCTTGTCGAAAGAATAAAAAAATCAGCGTTTATGGAAAATATAAAAATATTCTCCAATAAAGAAATTAAGCAATAACTTTGCACTTAGATATTAATCATACTATATTTTATTATTTTAAGTAGTATTTACTCAAATCTTAATAAAATAAGTAACAAATAGGCAAAAAATTTTACTAATATTTTTCACTTATTTCGAGTGTATAAAGCCATATTCTATCTATATTTGGATAAGAAGATTCAAGACTCCATAGCTTATTTAGGCCATTCTAAATAGCATATTTATTTCTGTAGATTATTTTATCATATAAATAAATATAATACTCCGGCATATTTTATTAGATTCATTTAGTAATATAAGTAAAAATATGGGAGAGGAAAAATCAGGTGCCGAACTCCAAGGAGCCGAAATATTAAAGAAGTGAAGCAAATCATTTTCCATTATAAACATATCTTTCACCTTGTTTGTCAACTTTTCGTTTGTATTTTTTATTCAGATAGTAGCAATTGCTATAGTTTTAGGAATTGATGAAGGCTCTTGTGATAAGCCGATTAGGTAGTTTCTAAATAGACAATGACTTATTGTATGGGCAATTGTTAATTGGTTTACTATAATAATTTATACTTTATCACAGACAAAAAAATCAACGAAAAATTCCGAAATTTCCTGTTTAGGTATATGTTCACGGCTGGGGGATTCTTTAACTTTGCGTGAATGATAGTTGGAAGTGTATGGGAGTTTGAAAGCGATGGCTGCTATGATGATTTTTACAACGGCTGGGCTTTAACTTTAGCAATATTAATTGTTGATTATGTGAGCATTGGATTAGTTTGCTGCTTGCTAAGCTGCTTTTGTATATGCTCTGGAGCAGTGATTTTTGGGATGAGCAAACTAAATAAAGATATTATGCTCGAAGAACTAGAAAAGAATTTGAAAGAGGCGCAAAAAGAGATGCAAAAAGAGGTAGAACGAGAGCGTGAAAATCTAGCTAAAGCAAACGCTGAATTAAATAAAAAAGAAGGGCAAGAAGAAAATCAGGCTTAAAATTAATAGCCACCATTTAGATCAATTAATTTATAATTGAAATATTTAGCTTTCGATTAAAAAGGCTAAATATTAAAGCAAAGATCTATATTTTTGCTGATAAAGCTAACTTACTTATAAATATTAATTTCTAAAATAAAATATTTTTTTAGTTCTTATATTTTCAATCATATTATTCAACTGGTGCATATTTAATTCAGATCATGAATGGCATATTTTGACTAATTATTAGCTAAACAAACTAAAACACTAATTACTCAGCTGCATTTGTAATTTACGATGATTGAGAGTTCAATCAATATTTACATTTAGTGTACTTAGGGTCCAATTCAACATATAATAAATGCCCAATAATGGCAGTCAATATGACATCATCGGGCAACCTATATATTAAATTTAGAGCTTTACTCTATTTATTGGCTTATAAAAATCTTACTTAATGGGCAATCTTTTGTTTTGAAAGCGCTATTAATTCTCTTATTTTTAATATTTTTTACAATTGCAATCAAAGTCTTAAATTTTAAAAATAGTTTAAATAGGTTCCAACTATAAAGAAATTGCCTTAAAAATTAAACTTACACAAGAATAAGCTTATTTATGAAATATAGCTCGTAATTCTTAGCCAAATCTGTCATTTCCTATTTATTAATAAGCGGCGTTAAAATTTTTTCAAAAATGATCAAAGTGCAAAATCTTCTTTGAAAAATATTAATTTTTCTCCAGCAACTCACTCTCGTTCATAATTTGCCTTAAAAGGTAATTTCTATAACTAATTTGAATTAAAAATAAAATTAGATTTTATTTAGGTATTTTATAAAATTTCAATAAATGCAAGTCTGATCTAGTTTTATAATCCTGCTATGCAGGATTATATAGCAGCAATATCAGCATAAAAGGGCTAGGCGCTTAAAATAAGAAGATTAAATTAGGATCAAACATATCGGGAAATTATTAAGCCTTAGGTTGATAGTTTCAATAGTGGGATTAATTAAGATCTCGATTTCTGGATTAGTTATAAATCAAATCAAAAGCAAACTCATTTATTGATTCACAGATATATCCTGAATTATAAAATTATTAAAGTCTTTCAAAATAGCTAGGAATGACGAAAATGCAAATACGGTATTTTGACAACTAGAGGAAGGAACAAGAAATTATGGTTGCAAAATTACTAGGAATTTGCATTAAAAACAATTTCTTAACATTTGGAAACTTAATAATCATAATTCTCGCTACTCATTTTAGCTTTTTTTTTTACAAGAGAATCGTGCAAATCTAATCTTTTCGTTTTCTACCTTTTGATTCGCCTTCATAAGCACTAAACCTCCAGGTTGTTAATTTCTTCAAATGAAGATTCCAGTCATTTAATATTTCTTAATGCTAACTTTACTAAAACAAAAAATTATAATAATCATACAATGACACCCATCAGATCAATGACAAAATATTTAGCTACACACCTAAGATCATTTCACAAGCGCGGCCTTAAGCGCACAAGCTTTGAAAAGAGACTACTTGGACTTTTCTTTACAAACAAAAACAAGAAACTAAAGCCTCCTAAAAAAGAAAATTTAAGATGTAAAATCATTCGCGGACACAAGAAGCTTATTAGGCAGTTTCAGAAGTCTACTACTCCGATTCGAAACTTAAACAAATGCGATCTCTCAATTAGCCAATCTGCGGAACTTTGGGATGTTATGCAGAATCATTATTTTATTAATAAAAATGAACTTGACGATATAAGTAGAACAGAAAATGGGCCGAAAACTGATGGAAAGACAAAAAGAGGCTTAGGCAGAAAAGGAATTCAGAACAGTTATAATTTATTATTCTGCAAAGAATATTTCAAGTCTTCAGTAGTAAAGCAATCTTTTTTTTATTATGTCCAGTTTTTATTTTCATATTTGGAGCCTGAACTCTTGTGTGAAAAATTTGATTTGAGATGTTGCAGATACGAGCATGATCGAAAATGTGCAGAAAAATGGTTGCTTTTAAAAAAATACTTTACAAATTATATGATTGAAGATTTAGAAACCACTCCATATGTTCCTTCTCAAGACGAAAATTATTTGCCAATCTTGGTGGATTTGCAGAATACTCCAGTTGAAGGTTTATAAAATAATATACACTTAAAAACATGTTTTTTATAATTAGTTATTCAAATAATTTATTATCTTCACAGAATAGTGGGATATTTCCAAAAATTTCTTAGACTCTGCTTAACATTATCTATCGCTAAGTGCATAAAGGCTTTGAAATACTTAACCCAAATTATGTAATTTTTCACTCTTAATATTCTCATAGAGCCTCTTAGCTTTAAAAAATTTCGTTAAATTCTTATAGCCAGCATTTAAGGCTAAATATTGAGATTGGATGCAACAGAGCCTGAAATGATCAGCACTAGTTTTTGCAAAACAAAACTACCAGTAAAAGAGAGCTTGCTCTATTCTTGATTTTTGCGGGCGATATTCAAAATGTTAAATTCTACATCACTGAGTGGGACAGCTACCAGCTCAAAATGAAGAACAATTATTCAGCAAAAACTTTATATGGGGCACAGAAAAACAGGATGTGAGCTATTGGTGTGCCTTCAATATATCAAAAAAGCACACTACGACTACCACATATAATGGAGCTCCACATATGTCAAGTTTCTGCCAAGACCTGTTCGTTAAGAAAAATTGGAAGTGCTACACCCAAATGATACAGTTTTTGCGAATCCCTTGATGACTTTTGCCCATTTTTTTGAATTCTCATTTGTAGAAAAAGGGATCTCAGAGCGCGCTAAAGAGTACGCCAAAGCAAAGAATAAAACCTATTGGGCAGCAGTTGCCAAATTAAACTTAAAAGCTTTATTGAATGATTATGTGTATACTGATAGTATGTTATCTGATAATGCAAAAGATCCAAATCCTCCCCTTATAACATTTATCGAAGAAACATTCCATGCTCACAAAAGACCTAAAACCCTGAACCTGTTGCACCTGCGATGAAAATACAACAAAAAAGACCAGGACTTTGAATTACCTGAAGAATTCACCGCAATTAAGCCTTTTGTAGATTGGAAAACTCAAGAAGAAAGCAATAATTTACTTTTGCAGAGCAAAATCCTCGACACCCACACGCCCTTAGCAAGAGTTGATGTTGGCAAGCGGGGAAACTATGATATCGATGATAAAATCAAAAGAGATCTAAAAAAAACCTCAAAGGCATGGAAAATGGCAGAACCAGAAGCTTCCTAAAAGCGACTAAACACCTCCTCCCTGAATGAAACAATATATCAACATGCTGAATGAAAGTGAAAAGTATTCAACATAGTGTCTTTAGAAATCGACCAAGGGATGATAAAAAAAATATTTCCTGGTTATTGGCGCAGATAGTGTCGTTAGCGCTGCCTGACTCCTATATGAAAAAAACGATATGTCTAATATAGACTTAATAAGTTATTAAAAAGTCACTGGGAAGCTGGGCACTAGTATATATATTCATATTTAATTACTACCCAGTGACCGGTGACATTTTATTCATAAAATCCACCCTTTTTAATCTTAATTAAAAATCAATTAAAAACCTTGCTTCTTCCCGTTATCGCACAGCAAAACTAAATATATAGTCAGATAAAGCATCCAAAATCATTCATTCGTGACCTCCCTTTTAACCCTTAAATCCTAATATTTAAAAAGTTATTACATATATAAAAAAATCCTCCCTTTTTAATTCCTAATTTAAAAATCAATTCCAACTAGCACATCTTCCCGTTACCCTACACCGAAACTAAATATATATTCAGATAAAGCATTAAAAACCGTTCATATGTGACCTCCCTTTCATTAATCCAATCTCAAAAAACAAAAACTTATTCACATAAAAACATAATATAGAATTGGCCAGGCTGTCATGCTGTTAGACTGCTAAGCTGCTTTCTAATAGTAATATTAAATCAAGGTGCTGGATTATGTTTTTATTATAGTGTTATTATAAATGGATAATTAGGTTTAGATATTAAATTGTATATCCAGTTATAATTAATTTATGGGAGAGAGTGTTATTTTCATTATAGTTTTAGTTTTTTATGAAATGCTAATCGATTTGATGAAAATTGAGGGCTTATTTTGATTGAGAGAGAGGAGGTTGTGTTATTAGAATATGAAAATGAAGAAGTTTATGCTGATTAGTTTAATTTCAAATACAGGTTTAGCTAAAGACAATTGGTATCTTTATAAAAATAATGAAGATTCTTTGATTACGAGTGCTGAAGTGATTATGTATTTGAATTCTAATAAAGTAAAGAATTTAGACTATCGGCTTAAGGTATGTGTATGTTTAGGTTTGATTTCTGGAAGATTTAATATTTTATCTGGAACTCCGTATCATGAATGATACTCGCTAGAAAAGCAAGTGCTTGAAAATATTCACAGTGCAAATCGTTGGATAATCCAAGAAGATGAGTTTACGAATCAGTTAATAGAGAATTTTATGGGCTTATTTTTTTCTCTGGATTTTAAATATCTTGGGATTCATGAGGTGTATTCATTACTGAATACGATTAATTTCAAATTGAAAGCGAAAGAAAGATGTCGGTATATATTCCAAATATTGAAAGGAAGTTGTTGATCGGTTCTGTATTTTAAGATTTTTGACTCTCAGTTAAATTGGGATTGAGTATATGCATTAATTGAGTGGATAACCTTCTTATATTCTCGTATTTTAAAGACCGATGTATTACAGTATGTAGATTTCAATGTAAGGCTATCGACTCAGCTCCTGTTGTTATTAGTTTATTTCTGACAGATATGAATTTAAAATCAGTTATCACATCCCATTGTATCTAATAAATCAGATTTGTGAAGTTTCAGCAATAAGGCATTATTTGGATTCTATATATTGCAGTAGCCAAGGTCTTTTGCCTTCTAGGCTGTGTATTTGCCAATCTAGTTATGAATTTCGAGGTCGTTTTTTGCAGTTACAGTGCTTTATGAATCGTGACACAAATGCAACGATCGTTGCCTAGCATATGCAAAATGGCTTGAGAGAAAAACAGAGGGTTATATAAAAGGTTCACAAGATATTTTCCCTATGTTTTATCAAGCATGAATATCTCTTCTAGACTCGTGCTGTGAGAGTGTGTGAACACCATATAAGACTCCTATGTCTTTATTACCTCCAGAAACTGAAAATAATCTATAATACTGCATCAAGAGATGACTTGGTTGAGGGATTTGCTGTTATTAGGCCGACATATACATCACGAGACTTTACAGATCCCAAGGTCGCATATGATTACTTATTATCTCAGAATTTTACTTTGTTATTATCAGTGTATCCTTATAGAATTAAAGTAAATAAGGCATTTGTGCCATGTGGAGGGTGTATCTTTAAAAGAAAAAATTCATTTTGCAAATCGTAATCGTTATCCTGATAAATTATGTTTGCAGTGCGATAACCGACCATATTTGCATTATATAGGTTTGTATTTCATCATTGGAAAAGTTGTGTTACAACGCTTGCATCTTATGTAGATATATTATTTAATTGTGACAGATTCCCTAACTCCCCCCCCCCTCCGTGAGCGAACAAAACCATTAGAAAAATCGCCATTTTTTGACCAAAAACCCACCCTCCGTGAGTGAACAAAAATATTTTTAATAGAAAAAATTTTAATAGAAAAAAATTTTGCTATATAAGTGATAATTAGTATAATGAAATCTAGAGCTAATTCTGTTTAATTTTAAACAAATTGCGTTTTAAAACATAAATTTTGCAAATAAAATTAGTATTTGCTTCCCAATTTTTTGCAAATTAGGATTTTTTTTTAAATTTCGAAAAAAATATTTTTTTATAAAAATTTATATATAAATTGTTTTTAAAAAAAAAAAAATTAAACCCCCCTCCGTGAGTGAACAAAATTTTTTTGTTCGCTCACGGAGGGGGGGGGGGGGAGTAAGAGAAATGAAAAAATTAAATATAAAGGCAGTGTTGATTTATGGAATAATTTTATTCATATTGTAGGTTTATTTTGGTCATTGCATCTTGAAGAATACATTGAAGCTGGATACGACATTATTTCCCGTGTAGTATTTTTTGTAAATTATAGTATAGGTATTGATTCAAATTCATATCTTATTGAGGTCCCAGTCATTCAAACTGCTATTTTGCACAGTAGTACAATGCAATTAACTTTGTATTCACTGTATAACAGGCAAGTGCATGGACCCATCGACTTACTAAAGAGATCTAAACAGAAAAAGATGTGCAGTACTTTAAATCTTATTGACATTCTCTTAAAAGAAAACCTATATCTATGTGACTATTATTATTGATTATCTCAATATTAAATGCAACATTTTTACATTTAGAATCTTTATTCGTATGTTTAGAGAGCATCAAGAAGAGGAATTTGAAAGATCGACATATTTAAGTGTAACTTCGCGCCAATTAAGAGGTTTATATGATAAAATTAACCAGAAATATTCGTGGAGAGAGCGAAAGGCTATTAATAAATAATGTTATAGAGAAAAGGCTTTTCTGATCAGTTTATTTTTTGAGTGTAATGGCTTTCAAATAGACTCAATCTGAAAGATATTCTTTAAGGCTTGCAAGTATATCTTTGCATCAAAAGCATCAGCATTGGAAAGAGTTATTGTTTATATCATGCTTTTTTGAGCTTATATTTGGTATTTTTTAAAAAACTTATAAAAAGCTATCTTTAAAAGTAAATATTTGCAAAAAATACCATTAAAAAATTAGTGGATAGCATTAATTGAAAATAAGACTTATGGAATTTTATACATATTGATTGATTACTGTTGCTAGCAAATGGGATTAGAAACTATATATTACTGCAAGGAATTAAAATTATTGAATTAAGAAATGATATTTAACTATAAAATAAACTTTCATGTGCAAAAATTTACATTGAATGTGAAATTTAAAGCTATTAAATAGCATTATAATAAATAATAAAGCACCAGCCAAATCAATCATCAAAGTTTAGTGCAAAATAAAAACAATCAGCAATGCAGCATCAAGCAAGCGAGTTTTGAAAAGAGACAACTAGAAATTTCAGCAAAAAAAGCCCAATCTCTACAAAAGAGTATCGAATGAAAATTATTTGGTGAGCACAATGGTCTTTTTAAGCAGCTTCAGAAATTTAATCCGCAATACTGAAATTCATCAATTTTATATCAATATTAACTGTAAAAAGCAAATTTAATTATAATAGGAAATGGAAAGCACTATTGCTGAAGATTTTCTTAATGATTTAGATGAGCTTAGTGAAGAGGATTCAAACTTAAAGCAGCAAAAACTTGATGAAGACACTAATGAAGAAATTCCAATCCTTGAAGATTCAATAATTCTTAAGCAAAACGATCTTTCAAATCATCTTTCTCAAATCTCCAGTCAAAATCCTCAGATTTTTGACTATAAATTAGTAATGAAAAGCAATGATTTCATTCTTCAAATAGATCAAGAAATTTTGCAATTGCACAAATATTTAAGAGATCTTTATTTCCCACATTTTTCTGAACTTGAAGAATTGATACAAAATCCTATTGATTTTTCCAGAACTCTTATAAAATTTATCGAAGAAAATAGCACATCTGCTGAAATCTCTTCAATAGTCCCTAATCATATAATAATAGCAATCGCAATGGCAGTTGCCCATGATCCTCCCAAACCAATTCCTATTGAAAAACAAAAAATTATTTTAAAAGTATCATCACAGATCCTACAACTAAACGAAGCTAGAAATACAATTCAAGATTACATTGAAGAAAGAATGACAAAAATAGCCCCAAGTCTTACATTTCTATTAGGAAGCTCAGTTGCAGGAAAACTAATAGCAGCTGTAGGAGGACTAGAAAAGCTTGCTGTAATGCCAGCATGCAATATACAAGTATTAGGGATAGAAAATAAAAATGCTTTACTACCACCCACTTCGTGAGCGAACAAAAAAATCTTGTTCGCTCACGGGCTAATTTTGTTTTTAAAAAAAAATTTATATATAAATTTTATAGAAATTTTTTTTTTTCGAAATTTAAAAAAAATCCCACCTCTCAAAAATCGGGACGCAAATATTAATTTAATTTGTAAAATAAATGATTTAAAACGTAATTTGTTTTAAAATTAACAGAATTAGCTAGATTTCATGATAATAGTTATCACTTATATATCAAAAATTTTCCCATAAACAATTTTTCTATTACAATTTTTTTGTTCGCTCACGGAGAGGAGGGAGTTAGGACTCTCTGCATTAGGCTCAGGAAAACACAAAGGATTTTTAGCCCAGACAGAAACAGCAATATCTGCTGGAAGGCTTCAGAAAAAAGCAATAAGAATGCTTGCAGCTAAAACAGCATTGGCGGCCAGATATGATTTATTCAATAAAAATAATGACGGAAGTCACGGAAAAAGTTTATTAGAAAATATCAATGATAGGCTGGAAAAAGCTATTGAGCCTCCTCCAAGCCATAAAAGGCAGCCATTGCCAGTACCAAAAGATATTAAAAAGCCACATCGAGGAGGAAAAAGAATAAGGGCAGCTAAGAGAAAATACGAATTGACTGAAATGAGGAAACTAGCTAGCAGAGTGCAGTTTGGAACTGAGGAACAAGAAGAATTCAGGGAAACAGGCCATACTTTTGGCTCATTGGGTAAATCTGGGAAGCTATTGATAAAGCCTGCATCTCATCAGAAATATAAATTATCTTCAAAACGTCAGGAGCAGCTCAATCAGCAGGCATCAGGGCTTACAAGCTGTTACGCATTTAGCTCTCAAGCTGAGCTTATAACTGATTTATAATTTTTAATAGTTTATATAAATAATAGCTGAGTTTCTTTTCTACTAGAAATAATAGCATAAAATCTCATAAAAATCTCTATTCGTCTTAAATAGGATAAATTAGATAACCCATCAGCCTCCCTTATATCTCCAGTTCCGAACAAATTATTTGACTCAAAGTCAGGGTTTTCTACAGTAATCGCTGAGAAATCAGAAAAAGATAAAAATTAGTTTGTTTAATAAATTCTAGAAGCCAAGCACTATTGTAAACCTTTAATGGTAATCATTTATTCATATTTTCTGTCTTCATTTTAATTAGAATTTCTATTAAATTCCAAATAAAATGTCAAAAATTTTAAGTCTAGAAGAACTACATTTTAAAAAAATGTAGTAATAGAAGGGAGGTCAGTCACTCCAAAAACAACCAAAGCTTTTCTTTATTAGCAATATGCAAAAACTTAAGAATCCTACATTAAAAATATTTTCTTTCAAACCAAATTTTATTTAGTATAAGTTAGCATGGATTATTTTCTGATTCTCCGATATCTTTGCTATAGAGAGTCATAAGTGCAGGCAGATAGAAGCTCTCTACTTTTTGCGGCATGTAGGGCTCTAGCCCTAGATCTTCAATCATGTAGACGTGCAGGTATTTCTTCATATAGAGCCACTTTTCATAGCATCTGTCATCATGCTTTACCTTGCAGCACCGGAAATCAAACTTCGTACATAGGTCTTCAGGATCTATCTGCGAAAAAAGAAACTCTACGTAGTAGAAGAATGATTCTCTTACCACTTCGGATGCAAAATAATGCATGCAATAATCAGTATTGAAGCTGCTTTTCGTTGACAGAATGTTTTGGTTTCTTTTATTTTTGGCACGATGCTTTGGCTTTTTGTCTGTCACGCTTAATGCGTCGAATTCTGATTCTCGTTTGTGATAGCAGTCTGTCATAACCTGTCAAATCTCTAAAGCCATCTTGTTTGAAGGCTCTAATTTATTGATTGTTTTGCTTGGCAAGGTATTCTTCTTGATTTGACGATTTGCTCTTTTGTGTCCACGAATAACCCTACATCGTAAGTATTCCTTCTTTGGTAGCCTAATAGTAAAATTTTTTACTGTGAAAAATAGGCTTCGTATCTTGGATTCCAATGTATTTTTCCGGACTCCGCGCTTGTGAAAAGGCTTCAAATGACCTATAAGGAAAGAGGTCATGGAATTCAGGCGTGTCATTATGTTATAAGTATTATATTAAGACATGATAGTGCTTTGAGGACAGCATAAATAAATGCTTAAGAAAATAATTAAAGCAATATTTTAAATAATTTCTGATTAATATTTTTGGAGACATAGTAGATTCTAACAGTCCTAAACCCATACCAAAAAATTTTTTGACGTTTCATAATTTCTCAAAACTTTGCTATAAATGGATTTTATTATAGCTAAACTGGCATAGGGCATTTCCTATAGATCTTAGCAAACTAATCAGGCCGTCACTTTACTGTATCCCCTATTTATAGCACCATTTTAATAATGGTTCAAATAAATCGAGACCTAAACTTTACTGGCAAACGTTAATAAATTCGCCCTTATGAATAATAATTACTCTTTTCTAGGCCTAAAATGATGCTTTTTTGCATGCTATTTGCATCCAAGTATGCTTCAAAATAATTTGTTTGGACTTAATAATAAATATATAGAAAAATAATAGTACTTGCTTACTCAATTCATTCATAATAAATATAAAACGACTGCTACTTATAAGATTGCAAGTAATTATTGCATAAAAAAAATGATAACAATCTAAATTTTAAATGAATGAAATAAATAAACTTCTAGAATTTTTTTTTCCATTTAAGCTCTTATGTTTTATTTTTTAAAATTCTACTTTTCTCATTTATGAAGAGCATGATGATAGTTTAAATATAATGGAAAAACCTAGTCTTTTGCTTATGAAAATTTCTCATTTAATTTAATTTTAATTTAGCGAATCTATAAAGACCAGTAAAAAGTAATATAAGCAAGTCTTCGCTATAAATGCATATTTAAAATTATTTTATCATTTTACATTAAATATCTTAAAGGGCATCACTCACTTTATCAATTGAACCTTTATTGATGGGCTCCTTTTATTTAGAATAAAAGATGCTATTTCATCGAAAATTTACAGTGAGAATTCTATTCGGAATTCCTGTAGCTTTGGTGTTCCTTATCATCTCAGGACTCTATTATTGCTATATTGCAGGGTATATAGAGCAAGTTGACACAACAGGATTCAGAGTTTTTGTGTATCTCTTATTTCATCTTGATTTATTTTTGACATCCTGAAGCTACTGCATGTGCTTTTTGACAGATCCTGGCTCAGTGCCTGAGTTTTTTAATTTAGATACTCTTAACAATCAAGAATTGATTGAAGAGTGCGTATAATAATTTAAGTTAAAATGACCTTATAAGATTATAAAGCAGACCTTTTGTATACTAGAACAGGCTATTTATTTTAATAAACTAATAAATATTTCAATTAATCTAGCATAGAATCTGACATTGTTTTCGCGAAAAGCTCATTTTGTAACAAATGCCAAAAAATTAGGCCAGCTAGGGCTCATCATTGCTCAGTATGCGACAAATGCATTTTAAGAATGGACCATCATTGTCCTTGAATAGGAAATTGTGTCGGATTTTACAATCATCGGTATTTTGTCCAATTTTTACTATATGCAGGTATAGGGCTATTTATTGTCTCAATGAGCTGTGCAAGCTTATTATGGGAACACTATGGGGATGGACATATCTCCACATTATTTGGAGGCATTGTAGGGTTTTCTTTAGCCTTATCAGTATTCGGGATGGGAATTTTCCATTTGTGAATGATAGTGAATAACAGATGTTCAATAGAAATTAGATACTTAGGGCATTATAATGTATTCGACACAGGAAGCAGAATGCAAAATTTTCAGCAGATTTTTGGGCAAGTTTGATATAAATATTTTTTGCCAATTCCAATTAAGCCAAAGTGTGGAGGAATTAACTATCCAGTGAGAATAAGGACAAAGCAAGGCTCTGTTATTCTATTTGAAGAATTTTCTGGATAACATTATAGTAAAATGAAATTTTTAAGTATGTTTTAAGATAATAGAAATGAGATCTCAAATTATTAAAATTATTAATCATTATTCAAAATAAAATACATTCTCATTATTTATCAAAAATATTATGAACAAATCCAATGAATACAAAAAGTCTCAAACCTTAAAACCAATTGAATATCGACGGGCTTCTCAGCCGTTAAGTCCACTTAGAGCTAAACAGTATCAGATCGTAAACCCTTTTCAAAGAAATTTATCTGCTGTTACTAAACTTAAAAGAAGACCATATAACTCAATAGCACAGGATAAGGAGCAATTAAAAGCATTTAAAAACCTGAGTTCTGACGAAATTTCAAAATCGTTTAGCAATTCTGATGAAAAACATAGAATGACGCCTTTGAATTTCACTAAAACTAAATGTATTTCAGCATCAGAACAAAATTTAAGCTATACAAAAACAAATACAAATGCTTCAAAGAATATCTTAAAATCAGATTCATGAATAAAAATCGAAGATATGGCTAAATCTCGCAGAAATTCATTTAACCCTCCGCTAACTTTTAAAAAAATAATCCCTGAGTGGCTTTTATCAAGGAGTGATTTTTATGCCACTTATATGAAAATGAAACAACAAGTTGGTCTGGACCTTGGAGAAGTTTGTTCATCAGCGCCTTCTGAGAGAACAGAAGACGAAAAAGAAGCTTTGATTAAATGGGTGTCAAATACAAGATTTTTTTCAGCAATTCCGAAGGTGATAGTTCAAGAGACATGTGATAAATTCTCAGTCCTTGAATTTTCGCCAGGCGCCCAAAGTAAGTTTTATTTAGTTATAAAAAAAGATGACATTGCTGATTGCATGTATTTAATTTACTTCGGAATGGTAGGAATATATGTTGATGGGATCAGAATTGGACAGCGGTCTCAAGGAGAATCTCTTGGAGAAACTGCTCTTGATAATATAAAGTTAAGGTCAGCTGACGCATTTTCAGAAACAAATGTCGTGCTTTTTAAGCTGAAGAAAATCGATTATGAGCATATCATATTAAATTTAAAAAAGCTTGAAAAACATGAATATACAAAATTTATTATGACAATTCCATTTTTCCAACGATGAAGCTTCATTAAGGTACAAAACCTCAGCAATTTGTTGATACAGTCTGTATATAATCCTGGAGATGGTAACTGCTATTTAGTCATATACGAAAAAGGAGACCAATCCGCTACATTTTACATTATAAAAGAAGGCAGCATTCAACTTCAAACATACACACACTTGGAATGGCAAAATAAATGGCCAGTTGGGTCTCGGCAGTGAAAGCTGAGAAAAATCACAAATAAATTCATTTATCCTCTGAAGACTCTTTTAAAAGGCGAATTTTTCGGGGAGTCTGAAATTATCAGCAATTGTACCAGGGAAACTCGGGCTGTGGCTCTTGAACATTCAATTTGCCTTGTTCTTAATAAAGACGAGTTTCTTGAGCTTTTTCCTCCTAGAGAGCTAGAAATTCTTAAACAGCGGTCGGTTTTGAGAATGCCAAGCAAACAAGAAATGGAAATGAAAATCAAGCAAGAAATGTACTCAAATGAAGAAAAAGAACACATTTTGTTAGAAGCCATGAGACTAGGCCATGGGTTCGAAAAAGGAAGAGAATTTCTGTTAGATGCTGTATAATTTATATAGAGATCCAAAAAGCTTAGAGGATGATACAGCTCTTTAAAGCAGAGAACTCGTCAGCAGAGAGCCAAAATCCAAAGTAAAATAATCGACCAAAAAGAAGAAAACTTAAACATGTCAATGTAAAAATAATTAATTGTAATTTTTTAGGATATGGAACAATTCAATTAGATTTATTATCCATTTAATGTCTACTATCAGGTTGAGACTAATTTAGCGTAATCTCCCCCCAGCCCGCCAAATTTTGGCAGCCTTGATGTTGTTACACGACGCCAGTCTTGAAGTTGACTCTTCTTTGAACTCAGACTACCTGCTTGGATCGGTCAAGCACCCTAAGGCCAGGAGTTCAATAGAAAAACTACCCGTCTCTTGTTTCCCTTATATAGCAGGGATAACTTCACCAGGGAAAACTAAACCTCATTATAATATATGCAAGAGATGAATTGTCTTTCGGGAGATCAGAAATTTGAGAACGGCATATTTTAATTATTAGGGCATGGAACAACAATATGTGCTGCCTCCAAAAGACTTATTTTTTAAGCTAATTGCCAAAGATATCAATCTAATCGTAAAGAATTACGCAATTCCTCGACAAGACACATGGGAAAATGTCTATAGCAAAGCTACTGAAATCACAAATTTTCCACAGCCTAGAGAAACGTCGTTTAATCCAAATTTAGAAGAGCCTAAATTGCCACCAGTAGGAAATAGAAGTTTACTAAAAAAGAAAAAAATCCCTAGCAATACTTCTTTTAGGTCAAGTTCTGTGTCGAGGACATCTAGAAGATCATTATCCACAAATAGAAAAATATATGATGCCTATTTTTAACTTGTGTTTTATTAGAAAAATATTTGAGTAATAATCTAACTAATGCATACACACTATTTTTGATATTAAAAAATCAATGGAATATTTTGACGAAACATCCAATTGGCTTGATAAACCTTTATTTCATTTGCTTAATATAGAAAATGCGCCAGAAATTATTATAAATCCGTTTTTAGACTTAGAAAACCAAAGGACGATAAATATTGATGCAGAAAGAACGAAGCCTGATGTATTGACACCAGATGAGACTTTTCAGCTGAAGCAGATTTTGACTTTTTATTGCAAGGAAGAAAAGATTTTGTATAAGCAAGGAATGAATGAAATCATGGCGCCGTTTATAATTTCTTGCAGATTTGGGGTTACCTTGAGTCAGGCCTATTTTTGTTTCAAAAAATTAATTTCCTTATGCCTCCCTACAATGTTTGAAGATACTGTAAATTCCAAATAGACTTTTCGGCCAATTCAAGGTCTTTTTGTAATCTTAAAGCTCCTTATGAAGTATCACAGTCCTGAAATTTTTACATTTTTTACAAAAAAGGAAATCACCCCTGAAGTTTTTGCAACTTCATGATTTTTGACACTTTTTTCAAGTAGAATTCAAAATATAGAAATTTTGTTTAGTTTGTGAGAACAAATTATTATTGAAAAAGATACTCTTTTATATAAGAATAAGCAAAAAATATTTTTTAATTCTTTTTAATTTTTATTGATATCATGAGCAATATGTTTTTTCCTTGTTTTTTTGCATTAGCGTTATTAGATCACAATAAAACAGAAATATTAAAATCTAATGAATTTATGCCAAAAATAATCAGCAAATTTCAGATAGAAAGTTATGATTGTTTAAATACTATGCTAGAAAAAGCTAGAAATATGAAAAGATATATGCCAAGATCGATGAGAATTAGATTGAAAAAATATAATATTTATAAACTGGAGTCTATCAATCAATTAGTCAGAAAATTAAGCAGAAGCCCAAGCTTACCCCTGCTGCCTAAAGAAGTGGTTTTAAGGACTTATCCACAAGAATTTGTATGCAAATGTGATAATAATTCCTGCTCTTGGTGCACTCATCAAGACCCTGACCCTCCTTTGATAATTCTTGACTGCAGATCTCCAGATGAACAGTCTTTTGGCTGTCTACCGAATACTGCACTTATAGATCCTCAGTACTGAGAAGGCGCGGCTTCAATAGAAAGCATAGTAAATCAATACTCAAACGAGAAAGGAGTGTTTCATATATCATTATTAGGAAGCCAATTTATTTATGAAAAATCACAAGAAAATGAAGAAACAGAGAACTCAGCAAAAATGATAAAAAAATTATTCCAAAATTTCACTGAAAGCGGGTTTCCTTATATAAGCATCATAGAAGGTGGTTATAAATTATGCCATGAAGCTATTCAATGCGTGGCTAAATTAAATTTTAATTTTTAGATATATTTTCCTAATTTGGATATAAAATTATATAAATTATTATTTTTCAGAATAAAAATTTGATCTAATTCTCTATATAATAAGACGATCTTTATCATTGCAATCCCACAATATTTCTTTATGTAAAGAATGCGTTGTTCTTAACTCTTCATCAGAAAGAAATTCAACTAAGCTAAAAGAGCTTAAAGAAAAAATCATTGGAAACGTTCAATCTCAAGTAAAAGACTCCCTAATAAACCAGCGTCGCATTTCTCGAGAAGAATCAATAAAAATATTCAATGATTTAAAATCAACAGCTGAAAAAATACAGATTGACCTCAGCCTAAAGCACTATGAATGCCGAAAATACAATAAAAATCTAGGCTCATGCTACCCAGAAGAGTATATTTTGCTTTTAGACTCAAATTATCTGATTTTAGCTACCCCTCTTAATGAAGAAACAGGAATCGTCGTCGAAAAAAGACATATAAAAGACCTTCAAAAAATTACTTCTATCAAAAATTCTCCTAAAACCCTCACATTTTCATTTTTTGAGCAGAAAAAGAGATCTTTCACAATGAAGTCTAAAAAAGAAGCAAAAGCGGTCATAAAGCAGCTGACAGGCCTTTATAATTTGTTCAAGCAGACTAGAAATGTGGAATCATTATAAATTTTTACGAAAATGAAATATTCAGTTTTTATGCATAAAAGTAGCTCAATATTAAATAAAAGTTTATATACTTAATTTATATGAATAAAAACATTCATATTGATTATGCAGTTATCCTATTTTATATAAAAAGATAACGGTTACCAGTATGTATCCTTTTTTATTAATTGTTCGTAGGAATATCATATAAAAATAAAGTATTCAATTACTTAAAAAATAAAAAAAATATGCAAATAAGTATAATTTAAATTTCATTAATAATTAAAATAATGTCTGTGTTGAATCCAAGTACCCCCGCATTTGAGCCTTTTGCATGGAATTTCTCTACAGTCGACAGTAGCTCAAAAAATAAGATAAAAAACGTCTGGCACCACAATCTGAAAGAAGAAATTTTAGATATTTCGAGACTGCTGGAGAATTATCCTTATATTGCCATGGATACTGAATTTCCAGGCATCATTGTGAGGGCTCAAGGTGAGCTAAGAGATACGCAGTATCAGACAATTCGGCATAACGTTGACAGATTGAAGCTGATCCAGGTAGGAATCACACTGTCAGATATTAATGGAAATTACCCTCCTGATACTTGTACTTGGCAATTTAACATGAAATTTGACTTACTCTGCTCAATATTTTTATTAAAAACCCAAAAAGCATTATTTTTTATTTAAAAAATTAAAAAAATATAGGTAAATTAGGCTAGAAACTGATACTTATTCAAGTGATTCTATACAATTACTAAAAAATTCAGGCTTCGATTTTGAAAAGCATGCTCAAGATGGGATTGATCCTCAAGATTTCGCTGAACTCTTTACAGTATCTGGTCTATGTCTCAACGAAGATATAACTTACATTACATTTCACTGTGGCTATGATTTCGCTTATCTTCTTAAAAGCTTAACTTGTCAGAAACTCCCTGAATCACAAACAGAATTCTATAAAAAACTTTTATTGTATTTCCCAGCATTTTATGATTTAAAATATTCTATTTTAAATTAAATTATCAAAAAATCAAAATATAAAATAATTTTTAAATAATAAAAAATACAGTAGAAATTATTATACATGGTAAGAGGAATTGATAGGTTTCGAGGAGGCTTAAATAGAATAGCTGAAGAGCTTGGGATTAAAAGAATTGGTAGAATGCATCAAGCTGGCAGTGACAGTATGGTAACTCTAGAAGCATTTTTTGGGGTAAAAAATGCATGCTTCCCTGAACCAATTTCTATTGAAGATCACGAAAATGTGATATGTGGGCTAAATGAAAATAATCAGATCAGAGAGACTGAGTATATTAGCCAATATCCTTAATTATAACATCTTAAATTAAATTTACAAATAAAATTATTAGCTTTACCATATTAATACGACTAATTTCCATAAATGATTTAATGATATAGAATTAAATTAAGAATAATTAAATTTAGCAAAATTATACTTTTTGTTGATATTTGGGTGAAACAAGCGAAAAAAGTCCTTTTGAAGTTTTTGGGTCTTGAGCTTTGCTCTGTGACGCAACTGTTTGCAGTGCAAAATGGGGTTTTGTTAATGCATTAGCCTTTACCCCTGAGTTTTTTCTTTTTTCAGATCTTGATGAAACTGTAGACTCCCTTCTATCCATATTGATAATTCACAGATCTTTTAAAGACGTAACCTCATCAAGCCTCTTTGGCTCTGAATAATACGGATCTCTCGCATTTTCCCAAAACCTTTCTTCTTCATCATTAGGTAGCTGAGGTGTAGAAAATGTTTTTTCAAAAGGCTTTGGGACTTTAATTCTATATAGCTTTTACCCTAATTTTGCTTTTAGCTCAGAAATTTCTTTATCTTTTCCTTGCATTTGGTTTCTCATTTTCTCTAATTCTAAGTTTTGTTTTTTAAAAATGTCTTCATATTGCTTTAGTTTGCCTTCAAGATCTCTGATAATAGACCGGTATTCAAATTCAGCCTCAATATTGGAAAAATCTTGGTTTTTTGATGTACTTTCACTTGGCCAGATATCAGAATCAATCATGTCTGAGGTTTTTTGGTAGCGAGACTTACGAGAACGGCTTGAAGGAGTTGGAGAGTCTGATTGGGTTGGGCTTGGATATCTTTCAGAAGTGTTTGAGGATTTTTTTTCTCGAGAAATAGATGATTTTTGTAAGGCTTTTGTGGACAAATTTGAATTTTCTTGGAGTTTTGAGTGGGATTTTGAGTTTTCTTTTTCTGTTATTTGAGAGATCGAGTTATTGCTGGTAATATTTGCCCCTTTTTTAAATTTCGAGCTTGAGATTGAGGATTCTTCTTTTTGACTATTTTGCCTTATATGATTTTGTGAAATTTCTATTTTTGATTCTTTTGACACAGATTCTGTGAGCTTATTTTCACTGTTTTTTTGGCTGATTTTTGGATTTTCCTGCAAATCTTCAATTTTTTTATTTTCATTCTGAGTCTCAATCTCATTGCTTTCTTTATTTTCATTTATTGCTTTATCTTTTATATTTTCTTCTTCCTTTACAGCATTTTCTTGTTCTATTGAAGGATTTTCTTTTTGATCAGCTAATTTATTATTCGAGCCTTCTTCTTTGAATTGACTTGATTCTATTCCTTGTTCAGGCGGCAAAGGATTATTGATATTTTCCCCTTCAATACGGATTTCTTGTTGGTTCCCTTCATCTTCAGGAGCTTTTGCATTGCTTGCTTGACCCATGTTTAAATGTTCAGACATTACAACATTGTTTTAGTAAAAGAATTATTCAATAAATTTTCCAAAATATACTAGTATTTATATTATATAAAGCTCTATTAGATTATATAAAAATCAATAAAAAATATGTCTGTCTTTGAAGATCACGTTTAGTAAGTATGATTAATCTAAATAAGTTAAAAATAATTGAAAATCTTATTATTTTAATTTTGACATAGAGTTGCCATTATATACTGTAAAAATTACCCTTTAAACTGGAGAAGTATATATGAAACATAATTCTTATCATGATTTTATGCTTGCACTCATGAGTAAATTTTATTTGATAGGTATAGATTGAAGGAAAACGCTACAAAACTTGTGCAAAAACCTATAATCAGAAGCTCTATTAAAAGATTAAGCTATTTATAGTTATAATATTAAAATTTTATGTTTGGAATATTTCAGTTTAATCTTTGATGGGAACGAATCAAAAAAATATAAAATTTCAAATATCTCAATAAGCGCAGACTTGATTAAAACCAGATAATCAGATTCAAAGATAATTATAGAATATAGTTAAAATATATAATCTAAAAGGTGATTATTTTCTTTAAAATGCTAACTCCCCTCCATAACAAGCATAAAAGGTTTGTTCACTAACGAGGTGTTTAATTTTTTTCCACCTAATCTTAAAAAACTCCAATCGAAATAATTTAAAGCAAATATTCATTCTATTGTTAAAACTTATATATTAAAATTCAAACTGCTTAAATTTAATAGAATTTGATTTATTAATTATTATATATATCAAAATATTTTTTGATAAATATTTTTTTATATTAAAAATTGTTAACTAAGTTTTTACCTAAAGTAGGAGTTTTCCAATGGTTTTGTTCACTCAAGAAGGCGTTTGAGTAAACATTTTATGATAAGTTAGAGCAAATGAATAAGACTAAAATAAAGAATGCTCTAGAGTGGCTTTCATTGGTGACTATAAATAATTTGTATCATATTTCTTAAGCAGACCATGTCATTATGATAGGATAATAATAAAATGTTAATATTGATTATTTTTCCGCTAAGCTATAAAATTGATCTTTAATTAAATATTAAGAAATAATTGTATATTTATAAGTTGAAAAGATTATTTATAATAAATTATGTCTGCAATCATAGAATTGGATAAAGAACTTGAACCCGAAATTATCGAGAAAAAAGTGCTGAATAATTCTGAAAATAGCAATTATTTATTAAAAGTGCAGGCACTGTTTAAAGCGTATTATGCTAACAAGTTTTTTAGCTTGCTAAAGACGAAGACTTCAATTCCAAATACTGAATTGTTTACAGTATTTTCATCCTTCAAAAATTATTTCTCAAATTATCTTCGTAGTGAGACATTAGATTATTTGGAAAAATTTGGAATGTATTTTAAGCCTGAAATATTAACAGATAAATCATGGGCTGGGCCCCTCACTACGGATTTTACGCATTTTTATTATGGAGAAACAGATGAGAAAAAGGTTCCTTATGGCTCTGGAGTTTTAATTTCATTCAATTACATTTACGAAGGATGATTTTCAAATGGCAAATTTGAAGGAAAAGGTAGAATGATAGATGATAAGCAAGGAGTTTATGATGGAGATTGACAATCAGGTCAAAAGCATGGAAATGGAACTATGACTTATTGAAATTGCTCAAAATACTCAGGAAACTGAGAAGATAATAAAAAGCATGGGCAAGGAGCGCTAGATGAGCAAAGTTCACACTATGAAGGGTGCTTCGAAAATGACTTAAAATGTGGATATGGAGAGCAAACGTTTAAAAATGGAACATGATACAAAGGAAACTTTGTCAATGGGCTTTATGACGGAATCGGTACGCTCAATAATAAGCAAAGTAATGAGTCATATGAAGGTGAGTTTAACTGCGGCTCCTTTGATGGAAAAGGCACATTAATAATGCCTGATGGGTGAACTTACGTTGGCGACTTTAAAAATGGGAATAGATCTGGCTTTGGGACTCTTAAATCTAGTGAAGTTCGATATGAAAGTAAATGAATTAATGATGAGCCGTTTGGAGAGTACAATAAGTATTCATCAAAGCAATATGTTATAAAAGGTGTTTGGAAAAAATTTCTGCCTGTAAATCATATGGATGAAGTAATACAAAATATATTTCTGGGAAATTTTTTAGCAGCTACTAATGGAAAGTGACTAAGAGAAATTGGAATAAAATATATAATAAGAGTTTTAGATGACGAAAAAGTTGAGCTACTACCAGGATTTATATATTTTTATATAAAAGCTAAGGACACTAAAACACAAAATATTAAAAAATATCTACCTGGAGCCCTAGATTTTATAGATGATCTAATTAAAAAAAATGAAAAGGTTCTTGTACATTGCTATGCAGGAATTTCAAGAAGTCCTTCAATTGTGATAGCACTCATAATGAGGAATTTTAGAAAAACCTTTGATGAAGCTTACGAATATCTTAAAGAAAGAAGGCCCTGCATTCGCCCAAATAAAGGTTTTATTAAGCAACTGAAAGAGCTAAAATTTAAGAAGAAATCTTAATAATTCCAATTTGTAAAAAATTGAGAAATAAAAATTATAAGCCAGAAATCAAGTATGAATGGAACTCTTCAGTGTCGCATTCAGAAATTGTAGTTCCTATGCTGATTTCTTTAGTCTCTTCCACTTTGGTTAAACTTTCTGTACTTCACTCAGAATACTGGGACAATGTCGTATCATGTTCGCTTTCTTGAATTTGCTCTGAAGCATCAACTGAGTCTAAGTGGATCAGCATCATTTTGCAGCGCACCTATTTCGATTTTTCATTGCACAAACGGGTTCGGTCTATTGAGTTAAATACTATCGGAATTTGGTTTATTTTGAGTCAGCTATTGTAGAATTAGGAAATTTTTCTATGATATCTTCGATTGAGTCTCTCGAAGAATCGCCTAAAGAGTCAATCTCGAATTTTGATATGTTCAAGTTATTCATTATAAAAATATGGAATTATGCAAAATGAAATAAAATTATAAATAAAGTTATGAGTAATCAACTGAAAGAGCTATATTTTAAAAGGAAGAATTAATTTCACGATTTAATTTTGCTTTATTTCACCAATGATAGATAAAAGCTGCATTTTTATCTGGTCAATTTTTCAGAGAGAAGTCAGGGAACGTGATTACAGTGAGCCAACTCTCTAAGAGCCATGTCTGTAAGACCTTTTATTTCAGAAAGTTCCAAATAGTAACGTTTAATCCAGTATGAGTGTGGCTCATCAGTCTCACACTCAGAAATAGTTGACTCAACGGCCATTTCTTTAGTTTCTTCTAATTTTATTGAATTTTCAGTCGTTAAATCAAAAAATTGGGAAATTGTAGAGTCCTGCCCGCTTCTTGAGTTTGCTCGGAATTCTCAGTCTTTATTGGATTCATTTTGTGACTATCAATATATATTATATATTATGTTCAAAATAGCATGAAATTTAAAAATCTGAATTAGCAAATTAATATGATTATTAAAAGAGAAAATAAAATCCTAGTAAAGTAAATTGGTGAATTATATGGGTTTTTATTTATAAATGACTTAATACTTGATATTTGTCATTCTGCAAATTAAGCATTTCATTGAATTAATTTGTGACATTATAGCTTGATAATCTTGGCTATCAATTTTACTTTGCAGAACTCTACCAAATATATCTGAAAAGCAATCAAATTCTTTCTCTGAAATCCCTAAATGCTGATGAGATGCTCTGATTTTTCTTCTCAATTCTAATCCAGCTTGCCCATTAAATACACGAAATAGACCATCCACAATCATATCCCTATATTTGCAAATTTAATAACAGTTATTTTTATTATTAATTTAATTTATTTAAAAATTAGCTCTCTGTTTTTTTTTACAAAATAAAATAGCCATCCCAAAATGTATAGTAAAATTTTCTATATTTGTATCCTCAAAACGATAGCCAATTATATCATTCTCTAGTATTTCATCAAATAGAGAAGCAGTAAATTCATGTCAGAAATTGTCTCCATATTTCAAAATCTATTCTATTAGATTTATACGCTTAACGTCCCCTTACGGGGTTGCCCATCCCAGAGCTTCCGCCTGCCTATGGCGCATCGGGCCCACCGGCCTCTGGGTCGACCAGCTTTGCTACGCCAAGGTGCACCTAGTCGCAGGTGTTGCCGACTTCGACGGCTCACGACTGAGCTACTTCGCTTGAGGACATGGGTTGCCATTCCGAAAATCCATAAAAAATGATTTTCTGGTAGGCTTTAGGCAAAAAAGGGAAAAACACGAAGCCTGGGACGTAACGCCCAGTTTCACGCTAGGGAGTTGCCCGAATGGTCCTAACGGACTCTGCTGAGCTTCCCCTTTCCAACTCACGTGCCTCCTTCCCCATGAGGAGGAAAAAACATTCCTGAAATTAGACTTGGGCTAGGCTCTGAGCTCCACCAGAATTGCTTACCTAGCATTGCTGTCCTTCTCTGAAATGCAAAACCTTGCCGGATATAATTAAAATATGAGTCGAGGCTGCATGGCGGGAGGCCCATGCCCAGACGAAGACGCCATATTTTAATTATCCATATTTCAAAATCAAGCTTTCGTTTTTTAAACACGATAATTTTGAATTAAATTTCATTGCGTCATAATTACTAATGATTTTATTGAAATGCTTTCTAGTTGGCGATTCATTTTTTCTATTTCGGAACATTCTACTTGATGGAGACTGTTCAAGACAAGCTGATTTAATTGTTACAAAATTTAATTTTACATAAATTTTAAAAAATTTATCTTATTTTATATAGGAATAAGGACATATCGAATAATATTAGAAGAATAATAAGATTAAATTCAATTTAATAAAATATATTTAAACAGCTGCAAACATTAGGACACTCATTCTTTCTCTGCTTAAAAATTGTGTTATACGTTTTATTACTTTGCTCTTTAAAGTTTACTGATCAGTGACTATTGTGTAAGCTGCTGACAGCGATTTTACTATCCCTCGCAAGAATTTCTTTTTCAATAACTTCACTTCTTAGATGCACTGAATTGCTTCTTATTCTAAAAAGCTTTTTCGGAGTACTGCATATTTTTTCTTGTCGGTCGCTAATATCAGAATCTTCATTGGCATCATTTTCTAAATCTGCTTCTATATGAAGCCCAGCAATTTGGTCTTTTTTAATATTATTTAAACTTTCTACAGAATATCTCCTCTTTGCTCATTTATTTTCATCTACTTTTAACTCATTTTTTTCTATTGTAGTCCATTCTTGAATATCTAAAAAAATTCAATTTTTATCTTGATTTTGCATAAAATCAACAACAAGCCCTTTAATCGGTTTTCCTTTAAATTCAGAATTATTGAGAAATGAGACCAGCTGATTTGTCATTTTTTCTATTTCTGGGATATTAATTTTGCTTTGGATAGCAAAGCAGCTATTCTCATTTTTAGTTTGGACGGTAAATGCTTCAAAGTTTTTTGGCTCATTGGAACTTGTCCAAAAAATATTTTGTTTTATGCCGTTTGATATAGCTTCATCAGAGGCACTTAAAGATAATCTATTGGGTTCCGGATCTAATGAATTTCTCAATAAAGGTGTTTTATTGCGGACTTTTACTATAGGAGACCTTTCTATTTTCTTGCTTGTAAAAGGGTTATTAATTGACTGTGATGTTTTGAGCATCAAATTAATATGCTTAAATTCTGTTATTTGAGGCTGAGACTTTTTTGCTTTATATTTATACCTTTGTTTATTAATATTTGAAGACTTTTCTTGGAATTTCAAGAGATTTATAATAGAAAAATATTTTAATTTTTCGTTATTGGGATTTCCTATATTTTTGTCCGATAAAGACAGGAGAATTGCAAGGAATCCTTCAACTGGTTAAATCATCCTAGGCTGGTCAAACAACTGGAGAGTTGACAAATGAGCCTCTCTCTGCAGGTTTAACAAACCTGAGTAGTCTACCCATTAGAGAGTTCCCTGTCCATTCTCCTGCCCTTATCGGGCAAAACATAATAAATTCCTATATGTTTTCACACAACTCTTGTGATTGATGCTGGATTTGGAGGCTTAATAAACTGCTGAATCATTGCAGAGTGATTTGAAGAATTTCAAAGTGTTTTTGCTTCTGCAATAGAGGACAGGACGATTGATTGACTATCGTCTTTATAGTAGAATAAAGGAGTCTCATTAGATTGCTTAAATTGATCAAAAAAATCATCATCATGGCTTTGTCTTGAAATAATTCTTTTATTTTTGTTAGTTTTGATTAAATAAGGTGTAGGAATATTATCAGCCTTTATAAGTGTTATTGGGATGTTTAGCTTTATTCTATCAGTCTCAGAAATTTCAATTAAACGAAATAATATTTTGATTTTATTTTGCTCAGTCAATTTTGGTAATAAAGAACTCAATTTTTTTATATAAGAGCTGTGCCTGGGATCTGTAAAACTTGCATTTGAGTCGTAGGTAATCTGAATCTTTGGAGTTGGAGAAATCAGTGAAGGCTTTGATGATTTATTTTCTTTTGCCAAAAATGAGGAATTTTCGACAGAAATTGTTTTATTTTGCGTTTTTGTCTGTTCCATATTATTTTTTATTAATCAATATTTTTGGAAATCAAATTATCATAATATAAATAATACTTGACTATTATTTACAATATCTATTTACTAATACTTTTTTTTACATAAATTGATATTTAATAGCAGAATCTTATTTCGAATGCGATTGATTGCATACAAGCCATTTCATAGACCGTGTTTGAGACATTACAACCTGCAGATCTTGAGTCTCCATTTTATTATCTGCAAGACTCCTTTCAAAAATATCTGCAAAGCAGTCAAATTCTTTTTCAGAAATTCCCAATTTTTTGTGCACTCCTCTAACTCTTCTTCTGAATTCTAAATTAACTTGCCCATTAAGAACCTTAAATAAACCATCTATAATCATTGTAAAATTTTCCAATTTGGTGTCTTTGAATCTTTTATTTAATATATCATTGCCGAGAATACTATGAAAAAGGCAAATTATTCTATTTTGTAATGAATATATTTAAAAATATAAATATTAATATAATTGATTATTTTAGTTTTAATTTAGCATATAAATTGATTTCAAAAACTGTTCCCGTACTTTAAAATTAAGCTTTCATTTCTTAAGTGTGAGAGCTTTGAGTTAAATTTGATAGCATCAAATTGATTTATTATATTTGTATAGTGTTTTCTAATTGATGTATCATTATTTTCACTATTTGATGATAAATGTGGATTTTTACAATGATCAGCAAAATGGACTGAATTAATTTTTCTTGTTTTAAAAATCGTGCTATATGATTGAATGCTTTGCTCTTTAAGATTTACTAATAAATGTGCAGCACTTTGGCTTTGGTTTTTGAGGTTGTTAACTTTCTGCGTTACTTTGCAGTATCTTTCTGCAATATCTTTTTCGTTTAATTCATTTTTTTGTACAGAAATTCTTTTTTTTCTTATCTTAAAAGGAAGTTTATCTTTTTCAGCATTAGTTTCTTCTTTTTCAAACTGTAAGATTTCATTTTCTTCTATATCAGGCTCACTTTCTGATTCCTCATATACGCTATTTCTGCTATGGTCTACAGATTGGCTCCTCTCTGAAGATTTCATGGCCTTTCCTCTTCCTGGACACTCAACCGCTGATTTATCAGTCGTAATCCATTCTTGTAAATCCAAAAAAATTCATTTTTTATCTACATTTTGTACAAAATCAAGAACAACTCCTTTAATAATTCTACCTTTAAATACAGAATTATTAAAAAAAGAAACAAGCTGATTCGCCATTGTGTCAATTTCTTGTATTTTAATTTTGCTTTGGACTGCAAAGCAACTGTTTGTATTTTTAGTTTGGACTAAAAAGCTTTCAAATCCTTTTGGCTCAGCTGATTCATTAATTATGTTTTCATTTTCCTGGTCTGCTAATTCCATAAACGACCTCGAAATTAAAGATCTTGAAGCTTTAACTATAGAATTTCCAGAAAAATTGCAAAATGTATGTGCTAAGTTTTTCGATTTATTTGATTTTTTCTGAATTTTTATTTTGTAAGGGTTGTTTATAGATTTAGATGTTTTTTGTATAAAATCAGTGTATTTAAAATTATATAATTGGGAATAAGACCTATTTTTTTTTAGCTGCATTTGAGGTTTTATTGTAGAGTCTTCAGGTTTTTCGTGAAATTTCAGCAGATTTATAATCAAAAAATATTTTGTTTTAGCATTTTGTTTCCACAGAATTCTAGTAATAGATACTGGATTTGATGAAGGCTTAATAAATTGCTGGATCATTGCTGGCTGGCTTGATGAGTTTCAAAGTGCTTTAGCTTTGGCTATTGAAAATAAGACCACAGAATGATTTTGAGCTTTATAGTAAAATAAAGGGCCATCTTCTGATGATTTAAACAAATTAAAAAATTCTTCATCAGCACATGGCTTTGAAATTATTTTTCCGTTTTTCTTCGTATGAATTAAAAATGATACTGGCATTTTATCTACTCTTAACAGAGTAAGCGGAATATTTAGCCTCAAATTGTTGTCTGAATCATGATTATTGATTAAATGGGAAAATACATTGAATTTTTGGTGCTCTGGGAGTTTTGGTAGCAAAAAGTTAAGCTTTTTTATAAAAGAATTTTGCATAAGCTCTGTGCGGAGTCCGCTTATAACGGGTGCTTTATTTTTCAGAATTGACAAATTTCATGAAGATCTACTTAATTGGTGATCTTTAGCAAACTCAGATAAGTTTTGATGATTTTCTAAATATTCTTGTCTGTCCATTATTTACTCAAATAAACAGCTAATAAAGAGTTGCTTACCGTAAGTGAACAAAAAAATTTTGTTCACTCACGGAGGGGGGTTAATTTGTTTTTTTTTAAAAAAAATTTATATATAAATTTTCTAAAAAATACTTTTTTTCGAAATTTAAAAAAACCCTAATTCGCAAAAATTAGAAAGCAAATATTAATTTAATTTATAAAATTTATGTTTTAAAACGCAATTCGTTTAAAATTAAACAGAATTAGCTCTAGATTTCATTATAATAATTATCATTTATATATCAAATTTTTTTTCCATAAAAACATTTTCTATTAAAAAAATTTTTGTTCACTCACGGAGGGTGGGTTTTTAGGCAAAAAATGGCGATTTTTCTAATGGTTTTGTTCACTCACGGAGGGGGGGAGTTATAAATATTTACAAATTAACAAATAGGGGATTTTCAACTCAAAAAAGTCATTTCAGAATATTATTTTAAAAAATTTGAAAATTAAAAAATTTAATTTTTATGCATTACCTGCATATCAAGCATTTCATTGATTTTATTTGCATCATTATTGCATGCTTGTCTTCTTCTTCAACCTGGAATTCCACCAATGTTTTTTCAAAAAGATCTGAATAAGCATTAAATTCGTTTTCATTTATTCCTCTATTTAAATGAGACCCTCTTACTTTTCTTCTAAATTCCAAACTTACATTTCCATTAAAAATTTTGAACATCCCAGTCACTATCATTTCAAAATTGTCTAAATTGCAGTTTTTAAAGTAAGAATAAAGCTGCTCGCTGCCTAAAACTTTATTATAAAGTGACAGAATAAAATTATTCCAAAATTGGTCTCCTCCGTATTTTTCGACTAAATTTTGTCTTTTAAGCTTGGCGACATGAGCATTTAAGGTCATTTCGTCAAAATTTTCAATAATTCCGGAAAAATGTTTTTGGGTCATATGGTGGCACTTGTCGTCCCATAGGGATTCTGAGATTTGCAGGCGTTTTTTGCCAACTGGAGTATTTGGAAGAGGGGTCATATCGTTTAATTGTGTATAAGAGGAGCTGCTGAGGTAGTTGTGAGGGCTTTCGGTTTGGATGAAATTTGTGGAGGATGCTCTTAGGAGCTTTTTACTTGAGATTATTTGGTCGACTTTTTGGTTAACCTCAGCGCATCTTTGAAGCAGCTCTTTTTCATCAGTTATGCGTGGTCTTTCTTTAATGGTGTTTGATGGCTTTAATTTGACGGAAACTGTTTTTTGCCTTTTTATTATATCCTTTGGTGGCTCTTCAGATTTAATTTCTTCATCTTCAAAATTTGATACTTTCTTATGGCATATAAGTGATCTGCTTCTCCTCGGCTTATTTATCCTTGGCATTATTATTTTTTTCTTTTCAATTTCATCTGCCAAATATTCCTTACAATCCAGCAAAAACCAATTATTGTTTCTATTTTGAAGAAAATCCAGCACAATAGCTTTTAGACTATTCTGGAATATTTCATTATTTAAAAACTGTACAATTTGATTGACCATATTTTCTATCTCTGGGATTTTCACTAAACTTTCTATTGCATAGCAGCTTTCTGAGTCTTTTGTAGTTACTATAAATTCTTTATAAGTGCCTTCTCCAATAATTTTTGATAGTTCTTCAGTAAGACTGCATTGTTTAGTCTCCCTCGAAAATATTCCAGGAGAAGCGGCTCGATTTATTCCTAAATCTTGTTTAGGGAGTTCTGAAAATGAAGCATTTTTTAAATTTTTATTTTTTATCGGAGTTTTTGCAACTTTATAAGGATTATTGACTGATTGGGATGAAGGTAGCATCATATCTCTGTACTTAAATTCCGATAAATTAGTCGAAGAAATTGATCTTTTATGCACAAGTTTTTGCTGCTTTGGGGAAATTTTTTTCAATTTCTTTTCTTTTTTGGCTTTATTTACGATGTTGAAATATTTATTTTTTAGACCTTGTCGCCATAAAACTCTTGTAAAAGAAATTGTGCTTGACCGCCCTTGGATAAATTGCTGCATAAACGCATTAGTTTCGGATGGATTTCATATTTTTAAAGCACTGTCAATTGTAAATACCGCTACTGTATCTTGGCCAGGACTTTTAAAACAGAATAGTGGGCAGTCAGAATCCTTTTTTTCTTGTGTCAGATTAAAAAAGTCTTCACTTGTGCAGGGCTTTGAGTGTATTTTTCCATCCTTTTTTGTACGAATAATGCATGAGGTTTCTTCGAGCTTAATCAGAGTAGTTGGAACACTGGCGTTAATATTGACTTTATTTGAAAATTTTGCGAGTAAAGAAAATAAGTTGAGCCTTGGGCTGAATTCAGACTTTGGCAGCAAGTTGTTTAGTTTAGATATATAGCAATTTTGGCTGCTATCAGGACATAGCTTGTTACCAAAGTTTGAGCCTCTTAAGCCAGTTTTTTTAGAAAAGTCATGAATAAAATTAATTATATCTTCCCTTATATGAGTAATCTCATCTCTCTCAATTGTGTTTTGGTGATAGTCCTTAAGATGCTGAAGGATTATTGGTACTTCCATTATTTATTTACTGACTTTTAGATCAATAAATCATAAGACCTTATCACTTTTAATTTTAGGCTAATTCATATGAGAGCTTATTATAAATTACTATCCTGAGCCTTATTGTATATTCCTAAGATCTATGATCAATCAATCCACATATTTATTGGTTCAGTTTTATTTTTCTGCAGTCTCAATAATGAGATTATTTTTCTAATCAGAAATAATTCTAAATGCAAATTTTTAGTTTTTATATAATTAAATAATATGTTTGCAAGAATAGCCTACTAAGGAGCATTTTTTGGTTTGCCATTCTAAATTTGGTGAGCCAGAAAATATTTCATGCCAACGAATTTGGCAAGCCAGCTATTGTCCGGCCAACCAAAAAATGCTTCTTATGGGCTATTCTTGGTAAATAAGTATAGAATTTTTCAGTTTTATAAAGTTATTTGCATATTAAACACTTCATGGATTTGATTTGTGACATAATCATTTGCCGATCGTCCTCCTCAATATGGAATTCTTTTAGAGTGCTTTCAAAAATGTTAGAGTAGGAGTCAAATTCTTTTTCACAAATTTTTAAATTTTGATGGGCAGATCTTACTGTTCTTCTGAATTCTAGAGTAGCATTTCCATTGAAAACTTTAAGCATGCCTCTGATAATCATATTTAAGCTTGAAGTGCTAAAATACTTGCACAAAGATTCATTTTCTATTACTTTTTTGTATAGTGACATAATAAATTGATTCCAAAACTCGTCTCCTCCATAGTGGTGTATTAAATCTTTTCTTTTGACTTTGATTAATTCGCATTGGACTTTCATCTCATCTAAATTATTATTAGTCTCTAATAGATGCCTTTGAGCATGGTCATTTACTTTATGGAATAATAAAGTATTCTTACTCCCCTTTCCTTCCATGAGCGATAAAAAAAAAAATTATGTTTTTTCAGTAAAAATAGGGATTTTTCCAATGACTTTGTTCTCTCAGGGAACTAGCATTTTCTATGTTTGGCTTTTGTTTAAAAATTGGACAAGATATTAAAAATTCATCGTTACGGTTCATATCTTTTTGGGTACAGGTCCAATGATTGACCTTGATAGTTTGAATTTCACATAAATACATTTGGTCGAAAATTGGTTAAAACTTTTTAATAGTAAGACATTTGACGAAATAAAACGTTGAATTTCAACCAAATTTACTGTGATGAGATGCACACTATCTAAAATACACTGTCATCTGACATAGAGCTATCTTTTTGGATTTTATCCAAATAAGTGCATGTATTCTGATTGAATCTCATTTGATAAGCTTTAATGCTTTCTTCTTTAAAATTTACTTTATTGAGATGTCTAGCCGGCTTTAGACTAGTTAAATAATCAATTTTTTGGCTTAGCTTATTGCATCTTTCAAATAAATCTTGTTCACTACTGGTTGATAATATAAAAATGGCGTCGTCGAGAAAATTCCTCGCTGAGGAATTTTCTTTCCTTTGGCAATTTTATTATTATAGGGTTCAGTTTTCCCGGTGAGGCCTTATCCAGCTATATCAGGTAAGCAACGGGGAGGAGTGTACAGCCTCCTAGCCTGATCCTTGGATGTTTGGTGGACAGAGGGTTTTACTGCTTGACACTCCCGAGGAGGGAGATCCAGGCGGCAAAACGCACAGAAGTCAAGTTTTGAGCGAGGTAACTCAGCCCGTGAGATCCAGCAGCCAATTGGCCGACGTTTGCTTAGGATAGTCAGTCGGCCCGATAAAAAGGGTGACGTCGGAAATGCCCAGCGACGTCACCAGTTGGTTTCTACTGGGTGAGTCCTTGTAGTTTTGTTAAATCACCCTGCGGAACTGGAGTAACACGTTAAATACTCTAAGTAATGTTAATATTAATGTTCACTACTGGCTTCTATTGTTCGATTTAGGTTAAAATTCTTCTTCATTTTGAAAGGTAGAGTTGCTGTAGTAGGAGTTTTACATCTTATTGACTCCAAAGGTATTATATTTTGGATGCCTTCTGATAGTGATCTTTTATTGCGCGGAGGAGAAAGAATTTTTGGTTCTGATTCACTATTTAAACTATCTATTGGAGAACTACTCTGAGTTGAGTATTCTTTGCAGTCTAAAAATACTCATTTTCCATTCTTATTGTAAATAAAGTCTGCTACAAGATATTTTAATTTTTCATCTTTGCAAAAATGGTTATTTAAAAAAGTTACAATCTGATTGATCATATCATCGATTTCTGGAATTTCAGACTTGTTCTCTGTTACTATATATTCTTCTTGTGATTTGGTGCTCACAATATAAGTGATAGGCATTTTGCAAGGAGATAATGATTTAGATCTATTTTCAGCTATTTTTTCACAAGATCATTTATTTTCATTCATAATAGCACTGGAGGAGCGGATATCTTTTTTTCTATTTTTTTGAGCTATACAGAATTGGGTATTATGAGATTTTTTAGTTTTAGGTATCATATGAGAATATCTGAATTTTGAAAAATGGTTAGTTTTACCTATATTATTGCTAGATGCTTGAGAAATCTTTGGCTTGCTTTCAACCAATCTTGTGTTTTGTATTGATTTACTTGCTATGCAAAAATATTTATTCTCATTTCCATCCCTTCAAAGAACTCTAGTTATAGATGGGACAATTGAATAGCCATTTATAAATTTTTGCACTAAAATTGGTTCATTTCTTGCCTTTTTCCAAGCATTTTCTGCAGCCTCTATGGAATAAAATAGCTGAATATCTTTAAGTGGAGACTTAATACAAAAAAGTGGATTTTTTTCCTGGGTATTATTTTGATTAATTGAAAAAAAATCCTTTTCATGGCAGTTTCTAGCATAAATACGCCCATTTTTCTTTGTTTGTATAATATTGTTGATCCCACTTTTGTTGTCTTTTATCATACTGGTAGGTATGTTTATATAAAACTTCCCTAAGTTAGAGTATAACAGAAATAAGCTATAAATATCAAGGTGGCTTTCTTTAGAACGTGACAGCATCAAATTAATGGTAGCAGAAGAAGAAAGATCATTGAAATCTTTGAAAGAGCTGTTGAGACAAGATTTAAATTGATTAAAGTGTGAAGGATTTTGAATACTAGAAGGAATTTTGCTTAGCTTTTCTAACTTTACAGACTTTTTTGAGGTGATAGGAGAGGATAATGAAGGGTCCATTATTTGCAGTAATTTTATATATTATAAGTAAATTAATTAATTCAATAACTTCAGCTTCTATAACCCAAATAAAATTGAGAGAGAGAGATTAGTTAGAGAGGTTAAGCGGGGATTCTTTCAGCCCCTAGCCAGTCGGACTTCAGCTTCGTGCTTCATGTGGCACTAAGCACTAAAGCCACCTAACGCCCTTTTCTGTCGACGTCATCAAAAATGGTGACGTCGACATCTTTCGGGGAGACTCACCCGAACCTGCTTGGGCCAAAATTTTCAGCAAAGGACTCTCTTAACCCCTGGTAGTGCTCAGGGTATGAGGGAAACGTCCAAAGCCTCCTTCTGGAACTACCTCCGCCATTTACAGGCAGCATAATGCTCCTCCAGAAGTGCCTGATTGGCATTGCGCCGTCGGTCTTCTCGTCTGTGGGTCGAGGGGAGGCCCAGTCAGCCCAAGCCGCCTCCCACCCCGGAAAAGTCGCCTTCATCCAACTCCGTGGCCCTCTGAGGCCGAGATTTTTGTGCTCAGCCTCAGAATCTGGTTTCTTTTTCTTCTGTTGGGACAATGGACATTCGCCCAATGATGGCGAAATTTAAATAAAATTGAAGATAATATGCTTTTATAGCAATGGCTTTTGATTAAAGGTTATAAAATCTTAATTCTTAAAATATGAAAAATGTTTAAAGTTTTTAAGAAAGAAAAAGAGTAAATGCCTGATAATAAGAAATAGTCTTTAGAGTATTTTCACAAAAATTTCGGTAATTTTTTAATTTTAATAAGCAGTAAAGAGTTTTAGGGAAAAAGATATTATGAAAAATAATCTCTTTTTCAAAATTTCGCTTTTAAATAAGCTTTATTTGACAAGAATTAATTTATTCTAACATTTTTTAGGAATATATAATCTTTTAGGAAAATCTAGAGAAAATTTAAGGCTATAAAATGTGATAATATTCATGATAATTTAAAAATATTAAAAAATTATTAATAAAAATTATAGATTAATTTCCACATAAATTATCTTGCAATAAGCCCTTTCATCGATTTTAATTGGACTATAATCAAGTCTCTATCCTCTTCAGACACATTAAAATCCATCATATTTCCAATAAAAATTTCAGCAAAAAGGTTAAACTCGCTTTCTGCAATTTTAAGTTTTAAATTCAAATGAACTGCTCTAATCTTCCTTCTAAACTCGAGATTTACATTCCCAGAAAAAAATCTAAACATTCCTTTAATAATTTTTTCAAAATTTTCCAAACTTGTAGCTTTAAAATGCTTATTAAGAATTTCATTTGCTAGAACTTTTTGATATAAAGACAATAAAAAATGGTTCCAAAAATCTATTCCACCATATTTTTCAACCAAATTTACTTGTCTATATTTCGATACCCTTGCGCATGTAACCATTTCGTCGAAGTTGTTAACTATATTTACGAAATGTTTTCTAACGTGAGAATAGCTGGGTTCTTTCCAAAGAATATTATTTCTTGTTTCTTGATTAGGATTTTTATTTGCTCTTAAAAGAGAATTGAATTGAGAGCTACCAAAAGCTTTATTGCTAATGGACCCACTCTCTTTTAAGCTGAATTTTTTGATGCGTATAAATTGGCTCACTTTTATGGCTTCTGACTCTTCCCTCTTTAAATTGGAACAAAAAATTTTTGTTCCAAATAAGAGGGTTAAGAAAATTTTGAATAAAAATAAATTTCAAAAATTTATCGAATTAGATTAATAAATTTGTTTAAATAAATGTTATTTACTTTTTATCCTTTAAAAAAAAGCAAGATATAACTAAATTTTCATTATTAATAATATTAATTGATATCGAAACTATTTACACAAAAATTATTATTTTTATTGATAACAAAAAAAAATTAGAAAAATTTATCGATCAAAGTGTTAATTTTGGGTAAATAAGTTGCTATTTATATTTTATTCTTTAAAATAAAGCAAAAATAAGTAAATTTAAATTTTTGTAAAGAATTCGCATTGAATTTATATCAAAATTACTTAAATAAAAATTTTAAATTTTTTAAAAATATAGCAATTAAGTATAAATTTTTATTTAAAAAAGATACATTTATACTCTCTTCTTTAAACTAGAGCAAGAATAACTAAATTTTTAATTTTAGTTAAGAGGAAACATTTAACTTATATCAACACTTTTTACATAAAAATTATGATTTTTATATATAAAATTTTATATTATAAAATTGGGATTTTGTTCGAATTTAAAGGGAGACTAATTTACCCAAAAAAAGAATTTTTACCTATTTTGTTCCAATTTAAAGGGGGGAGTGAGAATTTTTTAACTGATTTTAAATCTTGAAAGTCTTCGCTTAGGTTAATATTAAATAATGACTTGCCATTTTTCTTTTTCAAAGATGAGCTTCTTTTGGATTGCATTGTTTGGACATCATTCATGTTTGAATTATGTTCACTTTCTCCAACAAAATGTCCTTCGTCTGGCATCTGCAGTGTACTGAAAGATTGTGATTTTTTTATTCCTAGCATTTGCTTTTTAACTTTCCTTCTATCTGGGCACAAATTTGGACTTATTTCAATTGAATGCTCTCTGTAATCCAATATAATCCAATCCTTTTTATAGTCTTGCATAAAATCAATCACAATTCCTTTAAGCTGATTTTGATTATTAAAAACAAAAGTATTTAAAAAAATTACGATTTTATTCATAATTTTTTCAATTTCTGGGATACTTCTGTAGCTTTCAGTTGCAAAGCAGCTTTCAGGATTCTTGGTAATTACAAAATAATGCTTAGTTTCCTCCTCTTTAAATACTTTGGACAGTATGCTTGTTTGCGCCAATAGCTCATTGTTGAAAATATCTATACTGATTGCTCGATGATGGCGCTCAATTCGCAGCCTTACTTACTTACTTAAAATTTATAACGCTTAACGTCCACTACGGTGTAGACAACGCCCAGGTCTGCCGCTCGCCTTTCGCCGCATCGAGCCCACAGGTCTCTGAGGACGACCTGCTTCGATCACCTGGGTGCACCTTGGGTGAGTGTTCCGGCTTCGACGGCTCATGGATGAGTTACTTGCTTGGGCATGGGTTGCTTTTAACGAAAACCCAAAAAATGGATTTTCTGGTCAGCTGTCGGCAAAAAGGAAAAAGACGTAGCCTGGGACGTAACGCCCAGTTTCACGCTAGGGAGTTGCCCGATTGGTCCAAAGGAATTTGCTGAGCTTCCCCTTTCCAATGCAGTGCCCTCCTTCCCCACGAGGAAAAATCCACCCCTGAGATTAGACTTGGGCTAGGCTCTGAACACACCAGAATTCTTACCTAGCATTGCTGTCCATCTCTGAAATGTTAAACCTTGCTGGATATAATTAAATATGAGTCGAGGCTGTATGGCCGGGAGGCCATGCCGAGAGGAAGACGCCGTGTGGAACCTTTTTTGACTCGTGGGAGTGATGATTCTCTACGTGTTTAAAAAGTGCTCCACACGTGGAACCCATTTCCCATGTGGACCCTTAAAAGACGTTGCCCGATGATGGTGCATTGAGCGCCGTCATCGGACAAATTCTATATATCAGTTTCTTCATCTGATTTTATTATTTTCAAGTCTTTATTATGCGGAAGACAAGTTAAAGAATGTGATCGGAAATTCCTAATTTTCGGAATATTTATTGGCTTAGTGCCAATGGATGGAAGCTGGCTTGATCTTTGATTTATCTTGTGATATGGAACATCAAGGGTATCAGATTTATTTCTTATATCTGAAAATTCTTGCCAGCTGCAATAGCTCCTTTGCTCTTTAAATTCATATTCAGAAGAATCTGGCTGTAAGAAATCTTGGGAGATTTTTGGTAAATTTCGATTTTTTACCTGGTATTTATTTTTATTATTAATAATAAAATATTTGCTTTTCATATTTTTTCTCCACAATAATCTCAAAATTGTAGCCGGATTTGATTGATTTTTTATAAAATATTGAATAAAAGAGCCATATTCTGCTTTTTCTCAGGCTGAAATTGCATCCCCGAGAGAAAATAAAGCTTTAGTGCATTGATTCTTTTGCTTTAAGCAGAAAACAGGGAAATTTTCATTTATCCCTTCAAAAATGCCAAAAAATTCTTGATCATCAGATTTCTTTGAGCACACAAATCCACGATCATCTGTATAAATTAAATATGGTTTCATATCTAAGTCATTTATTTTTAGGAGAGTTGTTGGAATATTAATTTTGCACTTTAAATCACCAGCGTGAGCTGCGAGCAGTCAATAAAAATCCAGTTTATCTTGCGTTTTTGGAAAGAAGTTATTTATCCTGTTGATGTACTCATTATGAGCCAATTCAGGGATTCTTGACTTCTGTTTAATTCCACGCAAAAGCCCTTTTTGAAAGGACTCAAGTATAAGATTGCCGAGGTCTTCTTGATATTTGGATATTTCTTTCAAAAAATGCTCGTTTTTTAGCTCTTTTAGAATTGCTGGAATTTCCATCTTCATATCAGATAATTTGTGAATTAATGGATAGTTAGGAATTTAGAGAATGGATATCTAAATTTTCAGATTTTTGTAAAAACCATGAAATGCAAATTATTTATTTTAGAGAATAAGCTATTAGTTTTCTTCTATTATGAGCAAAATTTTATTTTATTAAAATTTATTATGATCTGCGAATATTAAGCGTGTGGTAGATAACTGACCTCATCCTTATCCTGGCGCTTTCGAAAATAATTTCTAAAATAGAAGCCATATTTTGAAAGACAGATGAGTCTTATGATTTAGCCGCTCTTAAATAGAGTTGAGGTGAAAAATTATTTTTATTATAATTAAATTAATTATATAATAATAATAATTTTAAATGGATAATTAATTATATTAATGTAATATAAAAACCTATAATAATCTAATGCAATTTGCATACCAAACACATCATAGATCTAATTTGTGACATAATGCACGCTTTGTCATCTTCTTCAATACTGAATTCACTAAATGTTTCTTCAAATTTATCTAGAAAAAGATAAAAATCCTCCTCAGCTACCCCAATGCTCTGATGGGCATTTCTTATTGATCTCCTAAATTCATAAATAAAATGGCATTCGGTCTGAGAGAAATTAGCTTTCTAATTTTCTCTCCCTCAAGCAATTTTATTTATGGGGTTGGGTTTTATCTCGGGAACTTTTGCACAGCAATGGCTGTTTAACTTTAGGGTCCAAAGGAACAGCTCGTCAGTGCCTTAAAGATTTCAGAATTTTACCCCTCAGCACATCCCCACGGGAGGATGACCCTTAGGCGGAACACGCGCAGGAGCTGAGTACAAGGCAAGGCATCTACAACGCACCGGGTTAGATGTGCGGCGACTGGAGGCGAAGCGTCGATAGAAGACTTGGCCGGTGGGCTGACCATCGCGATTCCAAGATGGCTCCGTGACGTCACTAGTTTGCTATAGCCCTATTTATTAGGGTGCAGTACTAGACGCCTTAAATACAAGATACTAAGTTAAGTTAAGATCTCCTAAATTCAATATTTGAATTTCCACTAAAAATTTGATGAAATCCTGTATAAATCATTTTTTGGCAGGAATTTTTGAAATACTCATTTAATTTCTTGTCTGAAATAAATTTCCTATAGAGTGAAATAACAAATTTATCCCAAAAATTATCCCCACCATATTTTGATATAAAGTTTTTGCTAACTCCCCCGCCTGTGAGTAAACAAAACCCACCCTCTGTGAGCGAACAAAAAATGTTTTTAATAGAAAGAAAAAAAAAATTTGATATATAAATAATTATTATAATGAAATCTCGAGCTAATTTTGTTTAATTTTAAAACATAATTTTCATAAATTAAATTAATATTTTCTTCCAAATTTTTTGAGAATAGAATTTTTTTAATTTCGAAAAAAAAAAAATTTATAAAATTTATATATCATTTTTTTTTAAAAAAATTAAATCGAACGAACAAGATTTTTTTATTCGCTTACGGAGAGGGGAGTAAGAGAAATATTTTTTGAGTTTATTTTCATCTCATCATAAATTTCTGCGATATCTGAATAGCATTTTTTGGCATAAGCATGGCTCTCATCATTTCATAATGGCTTATTTTTGTGTTTTAATAAGTCTTGATTATCATGACTCTGCAAGAAAGGACAATTTTTCTTTGGCTTCTCTTCTTTTACTAGACAAGAATTTGTGTCATTTTTGTGACATTTTGTGTCTATGATTCAATTCTTGTGTAGAATAAAATCATTATAAGCATGAATGCTTTGCTCTTTGACATCATTATTTGATAATGAAGGCAGGTGATTTTTTTCAGTTATTTTATCAATTTTGTTAGATAAGAGTGTAAGTCTTTTAAATAATTCTTTTTCTGAAGACTTTGGTGCTTCAGTTGTTGTAGAAGCTTTAACTATTTTAGTAGGCTCCTTAAATTTTCTTATCTCTAAACCTTTTATTGGGTAATTATCACCAATTTGGCGATAATTGCAGTTAGTAGGAGCTCTATCATCCATTAAGCTAAGATTTAGATCAGGAGAGCTTTTAACCCTTAAATGAGAACATTTAGGGTTTTTATCCAAAATAATATTATTTTTCTTTACAGTTGAGCACTCTTTACAGTCCAGAAGATATCATTTACTTTCTTTTCCTTGTATAAAGTCAAGCACAATTCCTGAAACTTCTTTTTTAGTAAACACACAATGATTTAAAAAATTAACAAACCGTATAACCATTTCTTCAATTTCTGGGATTTTTATTTTGGATTCAAAAGAAAAACAATCATCAGATTTTTCTGTATTTAAAATTAATTTTTCGTAATTTTCTGGCTCATCTTTTAAAGCACCTAATGAATAGCTTTTATTTACGAGCTTAGCTTTATTGAAACTTATTTTGCTGTCTTTTAGGGCTGAGTCAAAAATAAGAGATTTTCTTTTTTCGCTGATTTTAAAAGGATTATTGATAGATTGTGATGACTTTTGTAATAAATCTGTATACTTAAACGTAGATAATTCATTAAATGATGAATTTCTTCGCTGGTATTTGATATTTTTTGAATTGATTTTCGGACTGAGTTTCTGATAATTATGAGTTTTATTTCTTTTGATGATATTATAATATTTAATGGCCTTCCCTTGGATTCAAAGAGCTCTAGTAATTGAAATTTGATTACTTTTGCAGTGAATAAATTCTTGAATTATATCGTAATCAGTATTAAATGATTTTGAGTCTTCTGAGCCATGCAAAGATATTGTACCTTTGATTGAATTTTTATAGCAAAAGAGATTTTCTGCAGCAAATTTATGCCGAAAAAATTCTTGTTCACAGCTTTCTTTTATATGAATCTTTCCCGAAGAATTTGTTTTTATTAAATATGGACTTGGGCAGTCTTTAACTTTTATAAGTGTAGCCGGGACATTGAGAGCAAGGCTAGTATTTTTAAAATTGTTTAATATTGACTCAAAAAGATTCAATTTATAGCTATAAAAGCATTTTGGCAATAAAGAATTTATCTTCTCTGTTGACTTTTCAGCAAGCCTGGTTTTGTTAATGGGATTTTTGGGATTGAAATTGGTTAATCCTTGGCTATAAATAAGTCTCAAAAAATTAATTTTGAGTTCACTATTATCAATTTCTCCTAAAGCACTCTGATGAGAGTTTTTCAGATGCTCAATGAACACTGTGCTTTCCATATTTATAAATATCTATCCAATTACAATTAAATATTGATTTTAAGTATCGCTTAAGCATATAGAAATTTCTTTTCAATAGCGCGATAAGGCGCATTCCTAAACTTTACCGGAGGATATTGGACATATGAAAACCTGCTATTTCTTATTTATGGGAGAGACAAATAGCCTAAATGAAGAGTTCTGTCCGATCAATCTTGAGAACTTGAAGAGAGGCTTGTAATTTTTACACTTTTAGTTCGTCAAATGATCTGGCTAGCCAATTCTGGTTAGTACTTGAAATAAAAAAATGATATCTGCCAGCATTTTTTAATTTTTTATTGCGTATGATCAGAATTTTAATAAAGGGCACAGGATCAGACAGCCCACTTAAAAAATATTCAGCATGCTAAGTTGATTAATACCTTGATAATAATGCTTTATCTTGGCGCCTATATCAATCATTAGCCATCTTTATAAAATTTAAAAACCCAAAAAGGAAATTTTTAATAGACGTTTTCAAGTGAAACTTGAAGTATAAGCACAACTCAATGAGCTGCCTGAAAAAGATGCAGCTAGTAGTGATTTTAAACTCTATTTTTCCATAGTCACTGGAGACCGGGTGGAACCAAAATTTCTAAAGGAAAAATCTGCGTGTGATGAATGCTATAATAATTATTGCCAAAATGAATTATTAGACCGTTTGAAAGGAATAATTTTGTCTTATCCTGTGCCATTTATTAAAATTTGATCATACCCGCCATCAGAAAATTCAAAATATTCTGGCAACTTTCATTTTTATTTCAAGTACTAGCCAGAATTGGCTCGCCAAATCAATTTGACGAATAAAAGTTTAAATTTTGCAAATAGTCTCTCTTCAAGTTCTCGAGATTATTCTTGACGCTCATCTTCTTTATCTTCATACTTCTAGTTACTCACTTTCCCTGCAGCTAAGCATATGGAGAAACTGATCCTAGAGATGGCTGGTTTTCTTAATCAGTTTGCCTCAAAAATCCATTTTATTTATTTATTTTAAACTTACCGCAGCCGAGCCGCATTCCTCTTGCTTTTATTCAAAAAATGCCCGAAAATACTCTAAAATCCCGAAATCCTCAAAGAACCAAAAAAATTTCACGCTTATTCAAAAATTTAGGTTTAAACCACCTTTCAAATTTAAGTTCTAACTGAATCATCGATTCTCACATTATTGATCCGAAATCGGTCAATTACAACTCAACCAATTCACGCCCACTTTTCCTGCAACAAAAATACAGTATCTTCCCAAAATCAACAACTATAACCTCTTTCAACTTCTTCATTGATCCACACGCACACCTGAAGCACCGCACTTGTCCTTCTGCCTCCTTAATTTGTCGTAAAGCACCTGTCAAAATGGTTAAAAATTAATAAAAAAATCCATTTTTAATTATTAAAATCTCTCCAGTTCAACCAAAACAAAAAAAATCTATTTCCTAGAAAATTTAACAGCTTCTATATATTTTCTCAGTTTTCTTCAATTATTTAAGCTCTAAAAGGTACTATAAATAATCAAAAAATGAATTTACACAATACAATTCCATAATTAATATAATTAAAATATCTAGAAAAATTAAATAAATAAATTTTAATAAAGGTAATTAAAATTCATATCATTAATCTATTTTACTTGCAAATAAGACATTTCATCGACCGTATCTGGGTCATTATGACATTTTTATCGTCTTCTTCAATATCAAACTCCATCAAAGTGCCCAAAAACAGCTCGGCATACACATTAAATTCTCCTTCCAGAACCAGCATATTCTGGTGGGCTGCTTTTACGCTCCTTCTGAATTCCAAAGTAGCGCATCCATTAAATATCTTAAACATCCCACAAATGATCATTTTTAAATCAGAGTTCTGGAAATGTTTCGCCAAGCAGCTATTTCCCATTACTTTCTTATATAAAGACTTTATAAACTGGGTCCAAAATTCATCGCCCCCATACTTTTTTACCAAATTTTGGCTTTTTACTTTAGATAATTCTGTATTCATCTTCATTTCGTCAATTTTTCCTACAGCGTCAAGTAAGGATCCCCCCCCCTCATTTGTCCAATTTTCTAGTTTTTTTTTTTTCTAACTCCCCCCCCCCCTCCGTGAGCGAACAAAACCATTAGAAAAATCGCCATTTTTTGACCAAAAACCCACCCTCCGTGAGTGAACAAAAATTTTTTTAATAGAAAAAATTTTAATGGAAAAAAATTTTGATATATAAGTGATAATTAGTATAATGAAAATCTAGAGCTAATTCTGTTTAATTTTAAACAAATTGCGTTTTAAAACATAAATTTTGCAAATTAAATTAATATTTGCTTCCCAATTTTTGCAAATTAGGATTTTTTTAAATTTCGAAAAAAATATTTTTTTATAAAATTTATATATAAATTTTTTTTAAAAAAAAAAAATTAACCCCCCTCCGTGAGCGAACAAAATTTTTTTGTTCGCTCACGGAGGGGGGGGGGGGAGTAAGAAAAAAAAAGTTTCAGGACCTCATTTGTCCCAAAATCTAGTCAAAAATGATTTGTCCAATTTTCTAGTCATTTTTGGATTTTTCGAGTGTCCTAAATTTTAGTATTTTACTGTAAAAAAACTAGAAAATGAGAGACAATTGAGGTCCTGAAAAAATTTTTTTTCTATCAAAATTTTGACTAGAAAATTGGACAAATGAGGTCCTAAAAAATTTTTTTTTTCCTATAAAAAAACTAGAAAAATGGACAAATGATAAAATACTAGAAAATTGGACAAATGAGGGGGGGATCCTTATATGTTTTCTGCTTAAATCCCAAGAAGTGGTATTTCCAAAATTAATTGAGCCACTATAGGTGCGGTTTCTAAGATAAGGACAATGTAAACCATTTGAAGAATTATGGCTAGGGTGCTGTCTGTCTAATTTTGGAAGGTTTTTGGAATGGAATTTTGACTGATAGGTCTGGATGCTGGATTCGCTGAAATTTGTATGCATGGTTTTTACGACAGGGGATAAATTTAAGTTCATGATGTGCTCAAGCTTTGCGTTTACTTTATTTCACTTTTCTAGAAAAGCTTCTTCAGAGCTAGTTATAGATCGTCTTAATTGTCTGGTAACATTGCGGATTTTGAATGGTAGCTCAGAAATTAATTCATTTTGGTTCTTTTTTTGGCATTCAACTGGCTCTGTTTCAGCTTCTTTTTCTTCTGGAGCTTTTTCTTCTCTACTGGCACTTCCTTCAAATGATTGACTTCTATTTTTTTCTATAATAACGAGTTTTGGCTTATTTTTTATATTATTTTCTCTTGAAGTTGACGAGCTTATAGTAACTTCTTTGCAGTCTATCATAATCCATTTTTTATCATTATCTCTGATAAAGTCAGCAATAACCCCTTTTACGCTTTCTTCTCGGAACAGATTTTCATTTAAAAAAGCTACGATTTCTGACATCATAGCGTCAACTTCTGGGTGTTTTATAATGTATCATGTCTTTTGAATGAAAATTTTTTCTGTAGCATTTTTTTTTCTTGAGGTATTTATCTGGAATTGTTTTTAAATAAATAAATAAGAAAAAATTGACCAAAATAGCCAAGAAAATTTCAGAAACAAAATTTATGGCCCTTTATAAAGTTTTCAACCACGAAGAGATTGTCACAATCTTTAGTGTTTATGATAAAATCTTGACTGGTTTCTTTATTTATAAGATTTTTTAAATTTTCTTTAATTGGGAGGGTTTTAACTTCAATAGGTTTATATCTTCGTTTGTCAGGAGAGGCTGAAATCGGGATCATTTTATAAGGATTATTGATTGATTTTGAAGTCTGCAATATCATGTTCATATATTTAAATTCATTTATTTGGGTTTTATATTTGCTTTTACTATTGTTGCGGACATTTTGAGGAGCTTTTTCTCTTGAATTTTTATTAATTTTGCTTCGGTTGATTATAGTAAAATACTTGCAGTTTCTGCCTTGTCTCCATAGCACTCTATTTATACATGCTGGATATGAGCGGCTTTTTATGAAAGTCTGTAGGTAAGAAATCGCTTCATCTGATTTATTACATTAAGAATTAGAAGGCGTCTGCCATTTGGATTACACCGTTCCCAAGGATCCTTTATTAGAGTTCACCTGCTTTGCGCCGTCTCGGTTCCGTCTTGCTCTAATTGGGGCAATAGTTCGCTGGCCAAGTTCAGCTCGGACACTGCCTTTCTTCTTCTTCAGCTCCTGGCGGCATGGTATTCTGAAGTGAGATTTCACCGGCTATCTACTCCTCCCCTTGCGGCTTGAGTGCTGAGTGGGCGAGCTATGGACTTCTGCAGCTTGCTGCTTGAGTGACGAAGTTGGCCACTCAAAAATTCCAAAAAAGGGAATTTCTGGTATCCTTTCGGCAAAAAGGAAAAATCCAGATCCTCCCAGTTTTACGCTATGCAGTTGCCAGATTGGTCTAGGTGTTCCCTATAGACCTTGCTGGCCTTGCCCTTTCTGAATCTGAACCCTCCTTTCCTTCGAGGTAAAACCCAATCCCGAATTTAGACTGAGTACTAGGCTTTGAACCATACCAGAGTTGCTTACCTAGCATTCCTCCATTTCAGGGTTGGTAAAACCTTGTCGGATATGGCGTCTCAGCGCTTCACCGACTACCTTCAAACACATATTTAAATTATGCTCCATCTGATTCAAAAGCAATTTCTGCGTTTTCTTTTGAGTAAATAGGCACAGCTTCTTTCTCAGGATTTTTATAAAAATACAAAGGAATTTCATTTGAAATTTGTTTGGGCGTTAAATTTAAAAACTCAGGCAGTTGGCAGGGTTTGGATATGACTTGTCCATTTTTCTTGGTTTGAACCAAGAATGAAGATTCACTATTGGCTATTTTTATAAGTGTTGCTGGAACGTTAACATTGAAATTGGTTATATTCGAATATTGAGCTAGTAAACTAAAAATATCAATTCTTTGGCTGTTTTTCAGCCTTGGCAGAAAATTTTGCTTTTTTCTGAATTGGGTGAAATTAAGATCACTATCTGTTGTAAGCTTTTCTAGGTTTTCAGCAGACAAACAGTTTTGCAAGACTGAATGGTCACATGGCTCTTCCTTTTTAGTAGGAAGATCAAGACTTTCTTTTAAAGCGGCTTGCATATATTGAATATCCATTTTATAAGATTTATTGGAGTTTCAGGTAATAGTGTAAGATTAGATGCACTTATCAATTAGAGAAAACCAAAATAAATTTATTTTTTAAGCGGATTTTGGTATGGAAACTAGATTTTATAAGGTATTGAAATAATATTAGATTTATAATAATTTAGCTAAAGAATTATCCAGAAGCAGGCTGTTGAAAAATCTAAATGCATCCCTATTTCTTCTTGTGGTAAGTATTTGAAACTTATTTCTAAAAGACTAATAACGAAAAGCTATTAAATTATAAAAATATCTCTACTCAATACCTTATGCATATAATCATAATAAATTTAAGCAGGTTGATTTATATGAAAATTTTTTATTTCCATATTATATTAATTTATTTGTTATAAATTGTAAAAACAAAACTTTTATTAGTGATTTATTTTATTAATAAATAAAATAGCATTCGGTTCGAGTGAAATTAGCTCCGCTAATTTTTCTCTCCCTCAAGCAATTTTATTTATGGGATTAGGTTTTCTTCTGAGAACTTCTGTACAGCAACAGCAGTTTAACTCTGGCAGATAAGCCGAGGCACTGCTCCAAGTACATCAAGAGGCTCGAAGTTTTACCCCTCAGCACTCCCGAGGGGTGACCCTTAGGTGGAACACGCACGGGAGCTGAGTCAAGGAAGGCAAGGCAGCGCAGCTCGTCGAAGCCGGAACGCTGTATTTTGCTCGTGCCATGGTGCAATAAAGTGGATCGGTCCAGAGGTTCATGGGCCCGACACGTGTAAAAATATCGTGGCAGCTCTGGAAACGGCTACCCCGTAGTGGACGTTAAACGTAATAGATAATATAACGATAACGATTTATTTTATTAAATATTATATTTGCTTGCAAATAAGACTTTTCATTGATCTTATTTGTGACGCAATAATTCGTTTATCAACTTCTTGAATATTAAATTCCTCAAGCGTCTTAAAAAACAGCTCAGTATATGTATCAAATTCTATTTCATTGATTCCCATATTATGATGGACAGCTCTGATTTTCCTTCTCAAATCCATTCCAACATTTCCACTAAAAACCTTGAAAATCCCTGTATGGATTCTTTCAAAATCTTTTAGTTTTGAGTCTTTAAAATATTTTCCAAGGGTGTCACAGCATAATATTTTATACTTAATTTTTCAGCTTAAAAGCTTATAATTAATTTTTCTTTTGTTATTTTAAAATAATATTCTAATAAAAATCCTATTTTTAGTCTGAATTTATAGACATATTATATAATGATAAAATAAATTCATCTCAAAACTGGCTGCCGCCATATTTCTGAACTAAATCTTTTATCCCTGCTTTTGACATTTGAATTTTTGAAACAATTTCATCAAAGTGGTCAACTGTTTCACAAAATGTCTTTTTGGTGCATATATATTGTTGGTCAGCTCAGAGTGAATCTATTGATTTATTAGTTCTTCTTCTTTTCCCTGCACGGATTTGATATGGTTGGCTATTTTTTAATTCATTAGATGATTGTGAAAAGTTATTGTTACTAAAAGGATAGCTGTGGAACCCTTCATCAGGAGGGTTAAATGAAAAATTTGGCTTTTTATTTGAAATTATTTTGTTGACTTTTTCATACAAGTTATTATATCTCTCAACTAATTCTTTTTCATTGCACATATTTTGGGGAGCTAGGCAGGGCTTTGTTCTTATTTTAAATGGGAGAATTTCTTCTTTTTTTGCTTCTTCAGGACCATTGTCGCTTTCTTTTTCTCTTCTTTCGGTTTCTTCTGATTTTTTATTTATCGATTCGTCAACTGATCTGGCCCGTCTTGACTTTACTACTTTGGTCTTTTGTTTTCTAATGACATTGACCTCAATAGGAAGCTTATAGTCAATGAAATATTCTTTGCAGTCTAATAAAAATCAGTTTTTGCTTTGGTCTTGTATAAAATCTAATACAATTCCTCCAAGGGCTTGCTGGCAAAATAAATAGGTATTTAAAAAATTGACAATTTCGTCAGTCATTTTTTCAATTGGGGTAATTTTTGTGTTATTTTCAATAGCATAGCAGCTATCAGGTTCTTTTGTGTTGACGAGGAATTCTCGACCTTTGGCTTTGCTGAGGATTTTTTTGTCAATTGGGAGAGGATTCTCTTGGGGATTAAAATTATCTTCTGCTAGAAAAGATGCGGAACATGAAATGCTGGTGGGTTCTTTTGCCTCCTGGGCGATTCGTGATAAATCAGCGCTTGAATTAGTAAATTTCGGCTTAAGTGTATCAGTGGTTCTTGACTTCAGTTTATAAGGGTTATTCACGGACTGAGAAAGTGGCTGCATCATATTCATGTATTTAAAATCACATAAATTTGAATATGACTTGCTCTGCTTCATAGATTTTTTTTTATTTTTCTCTGATGATTTCACAGATCTTGCACGAACTTTTGAGCGATTCACAATTGTATAATATTTTTCTTTTGCGCATTTTTTTCATACAATTCTTGTAATAGACAAAGGGTTGCATTTGCAATGAATAAAGCTCTGCAAAAAAGAATTATTTTCTTTTAGTTTCCATATTTCTTTAGCGTCCTCTACTGAAAACAAAGGGGAAACATCTTTTTCGGCTGATTTATAACATATTGATGGGTAGCAAGGATCAGGCTTTTTTGTTAAACACTCGAAAAACTTGTTTTCTATATTTTGGTTTGAATGCGTTTCAAGATGACCTTCAATTTTTGTTCGTAATAAAACAGGAAAAGAAGAATCATCTGTTCTCAAAAGTGTTGTTGGGAGATTAATATTGAGCTTTAATTTGCTAGAATATTTACTTCCCTCCTCCATCATCGAATAAAATAATTTGTAGGAGTTAATTTTTTTTCTTCAAAATTTAATTCGTAAAAATTGGAAAGCAAATATTAAATTATTTTGTAATTTATGTCTTAAAATGCAATTTGTTCAAATTAAACAGAATCATCAAGAGATTTCATTATTATAAAATTATCACTTATGTATAATTTTTTCATAAAAAATTATTTACTCAATCGAGAAGGTGGATTTTTTACCCCATAAAATAGGGCTTTTCTAATGATTTTGTTCGCTTACAGACTGGAAGAGTTAGCAAATTGCTGAAAAATATTAAATTTGTTGCATTGCGATGATTTCGGAAACAAATTATTTAATTTGTGTACATATGTGTTTTGAACATTATCTTTAAAAATGCTATGATTTGGCTGAGCAGCTCTAAACAATCCATTCTGTAACGACGTATTAATTAAAGACCTGATATCTTGCCTGAAATTAATAATCTCATCTCTCGCCAGTGCATTTTGATGAAAATCTTTTAAATGTTCTAATATTTTCGGTATATCCATTTATGTTCTAATTATAGCTAAAATTCCTTCCATCTCTTCTGTTATAAAAAAATAAAAACATCTTTAAATTATTAATTAAAATAAAAATTATAAGAGTCTTCCGTTATTTTTCCCTCTGCAAATCAGCCATTTCATAGACCTGATTTGAGTCATTATTATATTTCTGTCTTCTTCTTTTATACCATGCTCACAGAGAGTGCTTTCAAAAATCTCAGTATACATATTAAACTCTTTTTCAGTTATTCCCATAGATTCATGGGTTGTTTTTATTCTTCTTCTGAAATCGAGGGTTGCACATCCATTAAATAATTTAAACATCCCGTTAAATATCGTCTGCAAGTTATAATGTTTGAAAAATTTTGTCAATGGGCCACAAACTGTGATTTTTCTATACAATGAGGATATAAATTGGCTTCAAAACACATCTCCTCCATAAGACTGAACTAAATTTCTGCTTTTGACTTTTAAAAGTTCAGTGTTCATGTTCATTTCATCAATTTTATCAATTACCTCTGTAAAGCATTTATTGATGTGATCGTTATATTTATCGTCCCATAATGAATTTGAAGTATTATGGATTAAAATCGGTATTTCCGGCTCAGTTTTGTCTTCTTCTATTGGGTTATTGTCAATGATTTCACAAATAGACTCGCTCTTAGGATTATGTCTGGCTTGATAGGCCTTTATACTTTGTTCTTCTATATCAGCAAATCTTGCAATTGATGACGGTTTTAGGTTGACAGCATGGTCAATTTTTTGAGAAGCTATGTTCCACCTTTCAAAAAAATCAGATTCTGGTGATTTTTGAGAATCACTTGAAGGAGAATTTAAATTAAATGGACATTTTTGCATATCGCTTGGGGTTAAACTCATTCGAGAAGGTCTTTTTATGTTATTTTGTGGGGAGCTTATCAGGTAAGGGCATTTATTTTGTGAGTCAGGGATGCTATTAATTTGTATATTCAAGTTAAAATTTCTCCCTGAATCTTTAAGTTTCGCTAATTCCATATAAGAAATTGACCGCCTCTGCATCGATTTCATTGCTAAATCCCCTCTTTTTACAGCTTTCAATTCAGGTAGCATTTTTTGCTGCAAAATGATTTCTTTACAGTCTAAAAACACCCATTTTTTATCTTTATCACATATAAAATCAAGCAGGATTTCACTAAGCTCTCCATTTCTATATAGCTCATACCCCTTTATAGATTTTTTTATCGAGCAAAATGTACTGGATTATTGAACGACCAAGAGAGACTCTATTAAGGGAACGGGCTAGATATCTATATCAGGAAGTGCTAAAAAGTGACATGTCAAAAAATGGTGACAAGTCTAAAAAAAGTTGACAAGTAAACGCGCCATTTTAAAATGGATTTATTATTAAAATAATTTAAAAATTAAGATATTTTAATTTTAATCAATTATTAATTATGCTAACTCCCCCCCCCCCTCCGTGAGCGAACAAAACCATTAGAAAAATCGCCATTTTTTGACCAAAAACCCACCCTCCGTGAGTGAACAAAAAATTTTTTTAATAGAAAAAATTTTAATGGAAAAAATTTTGATATATAAGTGATAATTAGTATAATGAAATCTAGAGCTAATTCTGTTTAATTTTAAACAAATTGCGTTTTAAAACATAAATTTTGCAAATTAAATTAATATTTGCTTCCCAATTTTTGCAAATTAGGATTTTTTTAAATTTCGAAAAAAATATTTTTTATAAAATTTATATATAAATTTTTTTTAAAAAAAAAAATTAACCCCCCTCCGTGAGCGAACAAAATTTTTTTGTTCGCTCACGGAGGGGGGGGGGGGGGAGTAAGTACTTCTCATATGAGTCGATAAGAACTTCTTATATATTGAGAATCACAAGCCACGCACTTTGCAAATTATAACTCTAGTCTTCATAAATAAATTAGCATAAAATAAAGAAATTCTATCGAGCCGGAAAAATGCACATCGAGTTGCAAGTTTTTGATTTTCACTTATAAGCCATATTGAAATTTTGCTAAATACTTCTCATATGAGTCGATAAGAACTTTTTATATATTGAGAATCACAAGCCACGCACTTTGCAAATTATAGCTCTAGTCTTCATAAATAAATTAGCATAAAATAAAGAAATTCTATCGAGCCGGAAAAATGCACATTGAGTTGCAAGTTTTTTGATTTTCACTTATAAGCCATATTGAATTTTCGCTAAGTACTTCTCATATGAGTCGATAAGAACTTCTTATATATTGAGAATCACAAGCCACGCACTTTGCAAATTATAGCTCTAATCTTCATATATAAATTAGCATAAAATAAAGAAATTCCATCGAGCCGGAAAAATGCACATCGAGTTGCAAGTTTTTGATTTTTACAACTATTATTAAATTTAAATTTTAAATTTAAATATATATATATATATCAAAATATTTAAAGCCAATATATAATGTGTAATTATATCTTCTGTCTAATTGGGTATCTTAAGTTTTAAATTATTTTAATAATAAATCCACTTTAAAAATTGGCGCGTTTACTTGTCAACTTTTTTCAGACTTGTCACCATTTTTTGACATGTCACTTTTTAGCACTTCCTGATATAGATATCCAGCTCGTTCCTTTAATAGAGTTTCTCTTGGTCGTTCAATAATCCAGTACATTTTGCTCGATAAAAAAATCTATAAAGGGATATAAGCTATACATATTTTCACATAAAAATTTCGTGACTCTATTAACCATAATTTCGACATCGGCAACTTTCATTGTGTCCTCAATTACAGTTACGCTATCTATTTCTCTAGGATTTACAATAGGATTATTAGCATTACTGGCAACACTAATAACAGACGATTCTTCACATATGCTTTTTTCTCCATAAAATTCTGGGTGCATTAAAAATTTTTGGGACTCAAAATGCTCAATTTTCGGTTTTTGCTTTTCTAAAGCTTCGTTGACTTTGAAAGGGTTATTTATTGATTTCGATGTTCTGAAAATCATGTCTGTATATCTAAATTTGCCGCCCATGGTGAGGCTTCTTTTTTTTATGGATGCTAAAGCCATTGGGTGAGGTTTTTTGACAGTCATTTCTCTCTGTTTAAAACTGTATTTTACTCTGTTTGAAATAAGGAAAAATTTGCTTTTCATGCCAGCTCGCCAATGGACCCGGATAATTGAGGATGGTTTAGATCTGGACTGAATAAAATGCTGGATTCGGGCTGTAGTGTCGTTATTTGAATTCCAAAGAGATTCAGCGCTTTCTCTAGAATAGAGAAAGATAGTTTCGTTGCCTAAAGTTTTGTAGCAGTATATTGGGCTTTCATTATCATTTTTTGTATTAATTATATATTTATTGAACTTATTCTGAGAAATTATCTGTATATACTGTAATTAATTTTTAATTAAATTAAAAAATATCTTAAGATTATTTGATTAAATTTTATAAAGCAAAATATATTAAAAAATTCAGTATCTGTACAAAGTTTAGAAGTTATAGCACCATATTTATTGCTTTGAAGCGAATAAGGCTGCCCAGTTGTACTTAGTCTTATTAGTGTTATAGGAATATTGACACAAAAATTATTTGATTTAGCATAGGTCGCAAAAATTCTGTAGGGATCGAACTGCTGGCCATTATACAGTTTTGGGAGAGAGTTAAATTCCCTTCGATTTGTAAAGTAGTCGTTTACTTTTTGTTGCGGGGTTGGAGTTGCATTGGTAGGGATTTCAATTGAGGTGTTTCCAAGTGAATCAATTACAATTCCGGTTTCTTCCATGTGTATTATTTATAATAAACAAAGTATTTTTTAAATTTTTTCTAAAAAAAATAAATATTTATACCTATTAGAATAATTTTTATAATTTTTAATCTTTAAAATTATTAAAATTATTGTCTGCAAATCAGAGTGATTTTTATTGTCCTAATATATGAGTATATCTATCAATACAATAGAAGTAAAATATACCAAAAATAGCCACAAAAATATTTAAAATTATAAAAAGAAATAATTATTCTATTTTAAAGCTGAAAGATTATTAAAGATATCATGAAAATAAATTAATAAAATCTTTTAAGCTTAAGAAGAATATATCCAAATTCACAAGCCATTTGAGCTGCTATTTTTTGAATTGTTTATAAAAAATCATTGAGCTATTTTGAAACTTATAAATGGTTTCCGCAAATTTTTATCCCGTTTAATCCTCTATATATTTTATAATTTTTAATAATTTGATATCAAATTCTTAATTAAACTGAATTTAATTTAGAACAATTTACGGGAAAGATTGTCTACAAATTAAACACTTCATAGATTTAATTTGGTTCATAATTGACTGCCTATCTTCAGGTTCGATTTTGAAAGCTTTTAAAGTATCCTCAAATATAGTGGAATACAAGAAAAAATCTCTTTCTGAAATTCCCAAAAATTCGTGAGCTGCTTTAATTTTCCTACGGAATTCCAATGTGGCACATCCATTGAACAATTTTAGCATCCCACCAATAATCATCACAAAGTTAGTATTTTTGAAGTATTTTTTAAGAGACTCATGGGACATAACTTGATCATACAGTTGGTTTATAAATTGATACCAAAACTCTTCACCGCCATATTTTCTTATTAAATTCCTCCTCTTTACTCTTAAAAGCTCTGTATTCATATTCATTTCATCAATTTTCCCAATGATATCTAAAAAGCATCGATTAATATACTCATTTGATTTATCATTCCACAAGGAATTTGCTTCAGCAGACTTATAAGGACATTGGCTTTTAGAAACCTCAGAGAATTCTTGTTCACTTTCATTAGTTTCTACATTCTGATTTAAAGAATATCTGTTTTGATAAGCTTTTATGCTCTGCTCTTTTAAGTTCATTGTTCTAACATTTTGAGGCTGTAGTTTAATTATATTATCTAATTTTTGGTTAACTTTATTGAATCTTTCCATAAATTCGTTTTCTATTACATTTTGGGATCTTCGATAGAGCTTAGGACTTTCTGAAGCTGGTTTTGACTTATCTTCATCCGTTGTTTCCCTTTGGTCATCAACTGGTATATCGCCAATTAAAATTGGTTCAGGATTCACAATTTTTTGAGTCCCTCCAAAGGACATTGTCCTTCTCTTTGAAAGTGGCTCCAGCTCTGTTCTTTTTTTAATTAAAGAATCTGACGGTGACCTGCTGAACGCTGAATATTCTCTGCAGTCTAAAAATACCCATTTTTTCTTTCTATCTTGAATAAAATCAATAATTATTTCTTTTAGCTCTGAACCTTTAAAGTAATTTCCATTAAGAAAAGCAATTATTTGCTGGACCATGCTTTCAATTTCTATAACTTTTGTGCTGTCTTCTATGACAAAAAAACTATCTGGAGCCTTGGTATTTACAATAGGGTTTGAGCCATCCTCATTAGATGGCAAGCTATCTAAGCCTTTAGGGCTTTCTAAAAGTCCTAATAACCGGTTTTCATTAGTATCAATTGCCATCATTCTTGAGAATTTCTTTTTTTTGGTAGTTTTTGCAAGAGGATTTACATTAAAAGGGTTGTTAATGGACTTAGAAGTTTTTGATATTAAATCTGACCATTTGAAGTCTCCAACCATAGTCAGACTCCTTTTTTTCCTATTAGCGACTGGTGTTTGCGTTTTTTTCATATTGACGCTTGAGTTACATTTAGGGTTTTCCCTATTTATTATTACAAAATGCTGACTTTTGGACCCGATTTTCCAATAAACACGAGTAATCGCAGCATTTTTTGTCTGACAAGCAGTAAAATGCTGCATCATGCATACAGGCTCAGTCGATTGTCTCCATACCTCTTCAGCACTTTCTTTTGAATACAGAAAAACAGTATCTGTATTAGGGATTTTATAGCAATATAAAGGAATATCTTGTGAGATCTTTTCAGGGCTTACTCTTCCTCCTTCTAAATCTTTTTAATATAAATTGGTTTTAAACATTTAAAAATCCTCATACGAAATTATATTAAATTTTAGACAAATTGTTTCTATATAAATTTATAATAGATTTTTCTTTTCTTATATTTAAAATTCGGATTTTACATTTTTTTTTAAAAAAAATAAAATTAATCCTTCTTTAAAAGCCTGCAAATCAATCTTACATGTTCTTAAAGGGGGACAGTTAGTAAAAAGAACTCTTGATCGAGACATAGCCGAGACATAACTGTCCCATTTTTATTGCTTTGCACAAGGAAAGGATAATTAGAATCTTCAATGCGGATTAATGTTGTGGGGACGTTGATGTTTAAAAGACTACTATTGGCGTGGAGGGCTAGCAGCTTAAATAAACTATTGCATTTAGGGTAAATATAGATATTGTGATTAGGATTTTTATTTGTAAATAAGGATTAAGATTTAATTTATAAAGTCCTAAACTATTGCACACTAGCCTCACCATTTTGTCTTAAATAGTAGTAGCCTGCACTATATAAGTATATGCCTGAGAGGAAATATCAGGTATGATTAAAAATTCACCTTTTTGGGTTATATGCGATAACTTCGATATAAAGAAACCATGTGAGTTGCAAAACCTGTGTAGGCCATCTGTCTGGCATAGAAAAACTTAGAAAAAAAACCTCCACTCTTCAGCTATGCATCCCAAACCATTGTTTACTCCAGGTAGTATAAACACTCAACTTTCTGCAGATATAAATGGATCTTGCCTACTCATAGAGCTAGCCCTAGTCTATCTTCCATAAATGTCGCAATTTTATTTCAATTAGTAAATAAAGAATGCTAAAATAGTAAATAGGTATAAGCTGTTGGCTGTTTGAGATTTTTGGTAAAACAACATGGGCTCTTTTCATTGGGCTGTATTCAAGGTGCCTTAGATTGGCATCTATTGATAATCTCATTGATCTTCGGGACAGAGATGACTCGCTTACAGATGCCATAAGTTTTGTGTCTGCCATTTCGAATTTATTTTAAGGTTTTAATTAGCTTTCAATAACCATTTATTGGCAGGTTAATTTACAGTTAATAGATAATTATTAATTGCCCTTCATGAGCAAGCAGAAATATTTCGCTTAATGTTTTTAATATAATTGTTTTTATAATTTAAAAAATTCCAGTTAAAATGAAAATTAATTAAATTAAATAACATTATTTTTTAAAATGCAAATCTGTTTAAAATTCATCAGAATTGGCTAAAGATTTCATTATATAATTGTGATATATATTGAAAATATTTTGTTTTTTCCCAAAAAATAGTCAAATGGTTTTGCTCTTTAGCTGAGAGGGGAATAAGAGAAATTTATTTGATATTATCATATGTTGTATATTTTTGAAAATTATATTATTTATGTATATGTAATTGTTTAGAAGTTTTGGCTTTCTAAATTTTATTATTTTATTGAGAATTGAAATGGTGAATTTAATAATGTGAAATTTAATATATCACTTGGGAAATTGGCTGAATATACAAAAGTTGATTTATTTGGTATTTTTGATGATTTTTATTATGCAAATTATATTTTTCAGGCCCATAGATAATAATTTTAAATTAAACCTTTAATCACTAATAATAAAAATCTTATACGAATAATTATTTATATTGATAATAATTTGAGCAATAATAAATAAAAATATTAATTTACTTTATGAATTCCCTGCATGAAATTGGTTGGTGCACGCTTTTGACCGGGACAATTTGTAGTATAATAAAAGCCTGATCAAAATTTTTGTCCTCATAAGACATTTGATCGAAAATTCATAATTTTTCCGAGCCACCTTATGATGAAAATTTTCCGGTAAATTTCCCTGAGAAAATGCTGGATATCAAAAATCTTAATCAAACGGCATGCAGCTGAAACTGGCATATCAGACATCTCATCGATCTGATCTGCGTCATTATCACTCTTTTATCCCCTTCTTCAATTTTGAACTCATTCAATGTACTTTCAAAAAAATCCGAATACACATTAAACTCCTTTTCACTAATCCCCATATTTTGATGTGCTGCCTTTATTCTTCTCCTAAACTCCAACGTGGCACACCCATTAAAAACCTTAAACATCCCTACAATTATCATATCCAAATTTCTCCCATTAAAAAAAGTATGTAGATTTGACTCTTTTGACACAATTTTTTTATATAAAGACCGGATAAATTGGTTCCAAAAATCATCGCCTCCGTATTTTCCTACCAAATTTTGATGCTTTACCTTAAGAAGCTCAGTATTCATGTTCATTTCGTCAATTCTGCCTATGACGTCTGCAAAACATTTGTGAATGTGGAGGTTGTCGTCGTTTTTTCATAATGAATTTGAGGTAGGCTGAGGGGTATTGGAGACTAAAGGACTTATAACATGCTCTGCTTCTAGATTTGGAGTGGCTGGCTCAATTATTGTGCCGTGTCTTGCATTATATCTGGTTTGGTAAGATTTGATGCTTTGCTCTTTGTCGTCTTTTATATAGGAAGGCTTTAAGTTTACAATTTTGCCTAATTTTTCGTTGACTTTGTGTCACCTGTCAAATAAGTCTTGCTCTTTGTTGCTGGCAGGACTGGGAGCAGGGAGCGGAGATGATCGAATCATAAAAGCGCAAGGGTGGCTATGCTCAGCATGAGTTAAGACTAGCGGATTAATTTTGGTCTCAGGTCGTAGAATGCTTTTCAGTATGTTTACATCCCCATTAGAGCTTGTCCGCCTTTTAATTTTTGATTTTTTTCCATTCTCATAAGGAGTTTTATAGAGTAATTTTACTTATGGATTGCCATCATTCTGAATTTCCACGAGATAATGGGGGTTATGTACCAACCCTCGAAATTGCAAATTTGAGTTATTTTGTAGGTTAACCATTTCAGGGGGTTGTTTTGCCAGCATAAGTTTGGTAAAATTAAACCCCCTGTACCATGGGAGACATCGAGATAATGGCGCATTGCTGCAGCCAACATGTATACTTCGTCCTACAGAAACTTCTTTACAATCCAGCAAAACTCATTTATGTTGTCTACAAGGAATAAAATCCAAAATAATCCCATTTACCTCTTCTTCTTTATATACATTTGAATTTAAAAATAAAATCACTTGCTCTATAAGCATATCTAGCTCAGCTCCTTTGCTTGAGTCTTCTAAAACTAGTATGTTTTCGGGTATTTTAGGATTTACAATCAAATTATTTTGATCGTGAAAATGAAAATCTTTGAGGTCTGGGTGCCTTTCTTCTTGAAATTTATTTGCCGTCATTATCCTATCGGATCTTGTTTTTTCTCTTCTTTACTTCTTTCTCATTAAATTAATCATTTTGATTCTATGATTTAATAAAGGAGGATTCAAAAAATGCCTATAAATCCTTAAATTTTCAATAATAATTTGATTGGAGAATATGCTTTAAAAAACATTGCTTATTATAAGGAGATTTAGAGTTCTAAAAGACATCGCAACTTTAAATGGGTTATTTATCGACCTTGATGTCTGGTGCAGCATATCTGTATATTTAAAGTCTCCTAATAGACTTAAACTCTTTTTCCTCTGATACAAACTAGGCGTGGCAGGGGCCTTTTTAGGGCTTTCACTCATATTATTGGCAATATGAATTCTATTTATAATTGTATAATCTATAATATATAAGCTTATAAATGATAAACAGCCTTGATCCAATTTCTTATATAAAACAATCTCATCATTCTAATAATCTTTCGTTCATTTTTTTTTAATCATAATAAAATATTTTGATTTCATGCCTGATCTTCATACAACTCTTATTATTGACCTCGGATTTGACTGACACTCTACAAAATTCTGCATCATAGCTGTTAGATCCTTACTCCCCCCCCCCCCTCCGTGAGCGAACAAAAAAATTTTGTTCGCTCACGGAGGGGGGTTAATTTTTTTTTTTTAAAAAAAAAATTATATATAAATTTTATAAAAAATATTGTTTTCGAAATTTTAAAAAAATCCTAATTTGCAAAAATTGGGAAGCAAATATTAATTTAATTTGCAAAAATTTATGTTTTAAAACGCAATTTGTTTAAAATTAAACAGAATTAGCTCTAGATTTCATTATACTAATTATCACTTATATATCAAAATTTTTTTCCATTAAAATTTTTTCTATTAAAAAAATTTTTGTTCACTCACGGAGGGTGGGTTTTTGGTCAAAAAATGGCGATTTTTCTAATGGTTTTGTTCGCTCACGGAGGGGGGGGGGAGTTAGCAGAATTTCAAAAATTTTCTGCATTTTCTTTAGAGTTAAACAAAATACTATCTTTATTAGGAGATTTATACAAGTAGCCACGCCCTTCACAATTTTTGGTTTTATGCTTGAAAATAAAAAAATCGTTGTCTTTGCATTGCCTTGAACAAAGAATTCCATTATTTTTTGTTCTCACTCCCCCCTCCGTGAGTGAACAAAAAAAATTTATATATAAATTTTATAGAAATATTTTTTTTCGAAATTTAAAAAAAATCCTAATTCGCAAAAATTGGAAAGCAAATATTAATTTAAATTTGTAAAATTTATGTTTTAAAAAGCAATTTTGTTTAAAATTAAATAGAATTAGCTCTAGATTTCATTATACTAATTATCACTTATATATCAAAATTGTTTTCCATAAAAAATTTTTTCTATTAAAAAATTTTTGTTCACTCACGGAGGGTGGGTTTTTGGGCAAAAAATAGGGATTTTTCTAATGTTTTTGTTCACTCACGGAGGGGGGGAGTCAGTAAACAAGGGACTGATATTTCTTCTGATTTTATAAGTGTAGTAGGCAGATTAATGTTAAATTCTCCTGAATTAGCGTATAATGCAAAGAGAGTAAAAATATTGAGGGGTTTGCCATTTGCAAGCTTTGGGAGAATATTGAAATTCCTTGTAGCATGGTCTCCTGGCTTTTGATGAATATTTGTGGAGCTTCTTAACGAGGTTCTGCTAATTGATGCTGTGGTAGGCTCGGAGTGGATTTTAAGCTCTTCCATCGTGATTGGGTGATAAAATATTTGTATCAAAAAACATGGCTATAATACTTAATAAATCTATTCAGTATTTTATAAAAACTCACAATAATTTTTCTATCTATTATCAGATTTTTAGGAATTTGTCTAAATATAGATTATATTAAGCATCTATATTACTGATTTAAAGATTTTATCTATCGAATGAATGCTTTTTGCTGGCCAATAATGAAAATTTTATACTTATATATTTTTAAGTTTTGACTATCTATTTCAAATAATTCCCACAAAACTCAAAAATCCAGCCCATTTTCTATATTTTAATCATTATTGTAAAGGTTTTTCTATAATCCCTATAACCTAAAAATCCTCAATAATTTTCAAAAAAAAATCTCTATCAACATCATAACTTCATAAATTAATTTTATACATAAGCTATCTAAAGTACTGTGTGTCTGCAAATTAGACATTTCATAGACTTGATCTGTGACATAATAACGTGCTTATCCCTCTCATCAACCTCAAACTCATCAAGAGTATCTTCAAATATCTTTACATACAGCAAAAAATTACTTTCACTAATCCCTAACGACGTATGGGAAGACCTGACATTTCTCCTGAACTCCAATGTGGCGCATCCATTGAAAATTTTAAACATCCCGTCTACTATCATTTTCATATTTGGGTGCTTAAAATAGCTTTTTAATGATTCATAAGTCAGCACTTTTTGATATAAAGACCCTATAAACCGATTTCAAAACTCGTCTCCGCCGTATTTTCCCACAATATTGTGACTTTTTACTTTTAAAAGTTCAGTGTTCATCTTCATTTCGTCTAAATGATTGATTCCGTCTGATATAAGCTTTCGGGTATGGTCAAGAATTTTGTCATTAAATACAGCATTTGTGGTTGATTCCTGCTTGGTAATGGATGGGGTTTCTATAATAGAAGGTTCTGGTTTTGGCTGAGAGGAGTTAAATGAGTAATTTTCAAGCTGAAATCTGTTTTGATAAGACTTCATGCTTTGCTCTTTTAGATTGACGTCTTTTAAGTAGCTCATAGGATTTAGGCTTGCTATTTGTTCTAATTTTTCATTGACTTTGTTACATCTTTCAAGAAGCTCTTTTTCTGAACAGTTCATTTTGGCTTGAGTAAGCTTATTACGGGTAGTCCGAATCCTAAATGGGAGTTTAATTTTATCATCCACGACAGAATGGCGCTTTTCTTGTTCAATAGAATCAATTTCTGAGCATATAGGAGAATCTGGCTTGCTTTCACATAGTTTCAATGTAACAGAAGACTTGCTTCTCCGTTTCTGAGGCAATTTAGCATCATTTCTTGCTAAATCAGAAATTTCTGCAGGAAGTTTGCTATTTAAACTAATTTCTTTACAATTGAGAAATACTCATTTATTTTCTTTATCATTTAAAAATTCAAAAATAGCTCCTTTCAGCTCTTCTTCTTTAAAAACGTGCGCATTTAAAAAATATACGATTTCGTTAATCATTAATTCTATTTCAGGGACCTTATTTTTGCTTTCTACAACAACAAAGCCTTCTGGGTCATTTATATTGATAATTTGTTTTTTCTTTTTATGTATTTCTGCTGATGAGTCTTCTGATCTTGATTTTTTAGGTAACTGTGGCTCATCTATAATTATTTCTGATGATGCCACTTTCGGTCTTTCTTTTAGGTTCGATTTTGACAGAGAATTTACTTTGAAAGGATTATTTATAGATTTTGACGTCCTAAACATCATATCTGTATACCTGAAATCAATACTCTGAGACACATTTTTTTTCCTTTTGAAAGATGATGCAGGACAAGTAACTCTTTTTTGAGTATAGAAATTTCCATAGATGGCGCTGTTTGCCCTTGATTTGTCCATGAGGAAAATATTTTGGTTTGACCAAACAATATGGTACTAGTCGAACCAAAAACATTTCCCCAGTGGGCAAATCAAGGGCAAACAGCGCCATCTATGGGAAATTTCTATATCTCTTGACCGAATTATAGGCTTATCACAACTAATTATGCTATAATACTTAGACGCCATTCCTAGCCTCCACAATACCCTTGTTATTGAAACAGGCTTCGAAATGCATTCTACATGACACTGCATTATCCCTGATAAATCCTTGGAAGATTTCCAAAAATCCTCTGCGCTTGTTTTCGATTGAAAAACAAGGCTTTCTCTGAACAAAGACTTGTATAAGTAAATTTGTGAGTCTGGGGTTTTATTTTTGTGACTGAAAACAAAAAACTCATTGTGGCTGCAGGATCGGCAGTGAAGCATACCATTGCTTTTGGTCCTGAGTAAGCAGTGGTTTGGAAGGTCTTCGGACTTAATGAGGGTGGTAGGGATATTTACATTGAAATTTCCAGAGTTGGAATAGAGGGCAAAGAAGTTATAGATATTGATAGGTTTTCCATTAAATAGCTTTGGGAGGGAGTTGAGTCCTTTTTTAGGGGTTTCTGTGAATTTTTGATGTGTAATTGCGTATGAGGTTTTATGGGAATTGTGATCTGGGCTGGATTTAAGCTCTTCTTCCATCAAGCTTTATAAATTATGTATAAGCCACGAAAGATGGTCATAAGTTTGAATTTAATAAAGGTTATTTAGATGCGAAATTTTTTATAAAAAATACAAGAAAAGTGCGCAATATCGCTTGTGTTTGATATAAAAAGACAATGAGTTTGAGAATTTATAGATACTTATCGGTATTTTGTAATTTTTTTTAGTTTATTATTTGTAAAAAAGATGAATAGTAGACAATTTTAAAGAACTTATTGAGAACGAATAAATTAAAAATATTGTGCCACTTCTATAGCAAATGACTATATTAATTACTGTTGCTTTAACTATTATTGTTTATATTGCAGATAGCAGAAATTAACAAATTTTATATTTGTCTTTATCAGGTCTGATACTTATTATAGTTGTATTTTATAAAAAATTTCTTATCTCACTCCCCCCCATCCTTGATCGAACGATTGACTGTAAAAATTCCTAAAAATTGGGGAAATTAACCCCCATCCTTGATCGAACGATTTTCATATTATGCAAATTTTTATATATATAAAAATATATTAGTTATCAAAAGTTTGGAAAATGTACTTAATGAAGTTGTTTTCAGAGGCTTTGAGACTACAAAAAGCTACGGAATCAACTATTCGAAGTGATTGAGTCATCAACCTAGGCTTAAAAACTCAATAATCTAAAAAATAGAGATTCTTTAAAATTTTAAAAAAAACAATTTAAGTTAATAAGGAACAAATTAAAATTTATACAGTTTAAAGGATAAACTAATAAATCAAAATATTAAAAATTGGTATTTTTATGAAATTAATTCAAATGTTTGCTGTAAAAATAATTATTAAATACTCTTAACCTTCTTATTTAAAAATAAATAAAAACAATATATATATATATTTTTTATTTTATAATAAAATTTTTTCCCCAAAAAAAATTTTTTTTAACCCCTATCCTTGATCGAACGATGGCGGGCCGTTCGATCAAGGATGGGGGGGTGAGTCAGACTATTATATAAACTTTTTGAAATTGCATGGTTAAAAATTCCAAGCATTTTTTAAATATCAAAAAATATGATTTGAATTTATATAAAGAGTAAATATCAGCCATTTTAAAAATTTTCTGATTAAAATGGGCTGCTGTCATGGGACGTCTCTTGATAAAAGTGAGCTTTTAATGAACAACAGCACAGACACCATATGTGATAACGCCGCAAAAGCTTTAGCTTTTAGCTCAGCTGAAACAAAATCAAAAATTAATAGCAGCATAGATTGGACAAACCCCTATCATAACTTAAGATTCTCTACTTTTTCAAATCAATCAAGGATTTCTGACACATTAAATATTGAAATTGTTGATTTGCCGCTACCCAGGGAATCTAGTCTAAGCAATAATCATACTCAATCAGAGAATAAAAATAATTATGTGTAATAATATAAAATAAAATTTGTTAGAACTTAAAAAATATTTATCATAAATATATTTAATTATATTCAAATAAGCTTAAGCAGCTCCTTGTTTGAATATCAAAGTTTTCAACGACTTGATTTGCGCCATCATAATGCCTTTATCGAATTCATTTACTTGATATTCTAGCAGCGTATTTTCATAAATGTCACTGAAATTGTAAAACTCTTTTTCTGAAAGCCCCAAAGATTGGTGAGCTGCTCTTACTCTTCTTCTGAACTTAGGGCTAATTGTCCCATTAAATAAGTTAAACATCCCAGACACAATCATTTTAAAATTTTCAAGCTTTGCGCCTTTAAAATATTTGCTGAGAAATTCACTTTCAAGGATTTTATTATAAAGTGACAGTATGAACTGATCCCAAAATAATTTTCCACCATATTTTTCAACTAAATTTTCATTTCTAACTTTTGTCGCCTGCGTGTTTAGGTTCATTTCATCTAAATTATCAATAACGGCATTAATATGATTTTTTGCATAAGTATCAACCATGTTAGAAAACGATGGATTTTTTGCTTTTGCGGAATTATCAATTTCTAATGTAGACTTATTTATGAGAGGGTTTTTGCTTCTTGATAAACTGAATTGGCATGACATAGGGCTGGCACCTGCTGAATAGAATGGGCACTTTTTGGCTTCGTTTAGGATTGTATTTGCGTTTATCTCACCTTCTTTATTCAAGATTTTATCCGGTTTTTCATTTAATTTAGAGTATTTATCAAAAATCTCATTCTCAGGAATTTCAGCTAAAGGTATAAGCTTATTTGATTTATTTCTGTATTTTCCAGCTAAAGAGCTTTGGGAATCTGCAAGTTTTCTAATTGACTCAAGTTCTGGCACTTCAGTAATAGACTCTTCTACTTTGAGATGGCTTAAATCAACCGACATAGTTCTCTGTTTTCTGAAGCATGCTTTTTTAGGCTCAGGAGTTTTAAGAGATTCAAATCTGCTTAAATTTGTATTTAAGCCATTTGAAAATTCTTTACATTTTAATAAAAACCATTTTTTGTCCCTGTTTTGTATGAAATCAAGGACAATTCCTTTGACATTATCCTCTTTAAAAGGATGTCTATTTAAAAATTCAATAATTTGGGCAGTCATTGCGTTAATTTCAGAAAATTGCCCTTTGGTTTCAACGACGAAGCAATTTTCGATTTTTTTTGAATTTACCAAGAAATCATTGCTGTTATCCTTGTTTAGTTGCCCAATTAATGTATTTTTTGCCTCTTTAGGGGGGTTAAGACTAGCATAAAATTCTTCAGGTGTGCTATGAGAAAATGACTGTGACCTCCTTTTTTGTTTTGATTTTAATACTGGCTCTTTCTCACTTTTTACCTTAAAAGGATTGTTTATAGATTGAGAGGTTTTTTTGAGCAAAGTCCTATAGTCAAAAGTAGAAAATCTTCTCTTTTGATTATAATTAGGATCAACAGCTATTGGCTTAGTTTCATTTTTTGCTGCTCGCTTTATTTTTTTATGATTAATGATAGAAAAATATTTGATTTTCGCTCCATCTACCCACAAGACTCTTATAATTGATGGAGGGTTCGATAAACTCTGTATGCAATGCTGCATTTTTGCAGGCTCTTTTGAAGAATTTCATACAGATTTGGCAGAATCATTTGAGTAAATAAGATCTCCTTCTTTATTCAAAGCTTTATAAACATAGAGTGAGGTATTTTCGTTATCCTCAAAAAATCGTTCAGTTTCTATATTAAAATATTCCTCCTCATTGCAAGGTCTTGCAATTACTTTCCCATTTTTTATAGTCTGAACTAAAAATGAAACAGGCAAATTTCCATTTCTGACCATTGTAGTAGGAATATTAACATTAAGACTACCGACGTCTGAATACTTTATAAAAGTATCAAAAATGTCTAATTTTCTTTGATTAGAAGTATTTGACAGTAGGCTATTGAATTTCTTGGTATTATTTATTTTTAAGTATTCAGAACTGCTTCTGATACATTTGACATAGGAGTCTGATGATTCCTTTATCAAAGAAACGATATCTTCTCTTGCATTTTTAATTTCTTCATGTTCAAAAGCTTTTTGATGAAGAAAATTCAGCTTCTCTAACTTAGTTGGCAAGTCCATTATTATAACAAAAAATGATATAAAAAAAAGTGTTGTATATGTAGGTATGCCAATTTGCTTAAACTTTTGCATAATATGGGCTGTTAAAAATTATAAACTTGTTTTTTATTGTAATTGATTTCTAATTAATTTTATTTTCCAATAAATCTATTTTTTGAGATTTTATTTAAAACAATTTTATATCAGAATTGCTATATTTAAGAGCTGAAGTAGTTATAAGAATTATAAATAAATTCTGGCATTTAAATAATGATTTCTGATGCTGTTAAATTAAAACAGTTAATAAAATAAAAGGAATTCTGCAGAAAGAAAGAAAGAAATACGTATTTGCTCTAGAATTTTTATATTAAAAATAGAGCACCAAGATCAACTTTATTACTGCGAGATTTCATCTATCTGTTCTTTTATTCATCTACTTCAAGTCATATGATTAATTCCCAAGTGATAGAATGCTGGCTTTGCATTCATTTTTTGTTAAAGATTCGTCATTGAAATAGACAATTCCCACATGATTATTTCATAGTCTCTAATTTATTTTTTTAATAAAACACTTATTAAGCTATCTATTAACTTCAAAACTGTCCGTTTGCATTTTCGCTTAAATTTTACCTATGGTATATTTAATTATTCAATTAAACTTAATCAGTTCCTTGTTTGCATACCAAAGTCTTCAATGACCTGATTTGCGCCATCATAATGCTTTTATCAAGCTCTTTTATTTGGAATTCTACCAGTGTGCTTTCGTAAATATCGCTGAAACTATTAAACTCTTTTTCAGAGAGCTCCAAAGGTTGATGAGCAGCTCTTATTCTTCTTCTGAACTTAGGATCAATTGTTCCATTAAATAAATTAAACATCCCAGAAACAATCATTGTAAAATTTTCAAGTTTTGCACATTTAAAATATTTGATGAGAGAATTATTTTCAAGAATTTTATTGCAAAGCGAAAAGATGAATTGGTCCCAAAATGGTTTACCGCCGTATTTTTCTACTAAATTTTCGTTTTTAACTTTTGTCGCTTGTGTGCTTAGATTCATTTCGTCTAAATTATCAACAATGGTATTGATATGATTTTTTACAAAAGTATCAACCATTGTAGAAAATGATGGTTTTTTTGCTTTTGCGAAAATTTCAGTTGGATGATTAATTATAAGGGGATTTTTTCTTCTTACTGAGCTAAATAGACATGACATAGGGCTTGAGTCTGCAAAATAAAATGGGCATTTTTGAGGTGCTGTAGACATTGAATTTATGCTCATTTCGCCTTCATTATTGGCGATTTTATCTGATCTTTCGTTTAATGTATAGCATTTATCATAAAGCTCATTTTCAGGTATAGGTTTGGGATTCGATTTATTTCTATATAACCCAGCTAAAGAGTTCGTAGATTTTACCACACTTTTGTTTAAATCTTGTTCTGGAGCTTCAACAATAAATTCTTCTACTTTAGAATTATCCAGACTACTATATTTGTTTCTTTGTCTTCTAAAGCATATGCTTATTGTTTCAGGAATTTTAATAGGCTGAGATCTTCTTAAGCTTGTATTTAAACTGTTTGCAAATTCTTTGCATTTGAGCAAAAATCATTTTTTATCCCTGTTTTGTATAAAATCAAGCACAATTCCATTGATATAATTATCTTTAAAAGGATATTTATTTAAAAACTCAATGATTTTGGCAGTCATAGCGCTAATTTCAGGAAATTGCCCTTTGGTCTCAACAACAAAACATTTTTCAGGGTTTTTTGGATTTACTAAAAATTCATTACTATTGTCTTTACTAATTTGAGTAAATAAATTATTTTTTGTCTCTTTGGGGGGATTAATACTAGCATAAAATTCTTCAGATGTACTATAAGAAAACGACTTTGATCTCCCTTTTGGTATTAAGACTGACTCTTTTTCACTTTTTACCTTGTTAAGTTAGTTTTGTAAGGCCATAAGCGGCTGAGCCACTGACCTCAACACCTCAGCTCGAAAGACGACCCCCGGTCGGGTTCTGATGTGGCCATACTCCCAGGCCAGACGCCATCTTGATTTCTGGTCAAAACCACCTGTCCAAAGATCAGCTCCTTTGGGCAGAGCCACTTCTGTCTGAGTGCCCCGATGGTCCCGATGAAGGAAGACCATGTGGTAGGAAAAACCTGTCTAGCCCGTCTGGCAGGGACAGGGAAAACCTTCGGGGGAGAAATAAAACTTCCTCTTCGGCACGGCTTTCCCCACAACTGAAGGCCTACTTAGGACAGAAATGAGACCTGCATCTTCAGCTTCATCAGCAATGGGTCCTACCAGCTCCATAGGAGGTGAGCCTCGGAGTCCAATTTCCGTCGACATCACCATTTTATTTCTCTTTTTTACCTTGAAAGGGTTGTTTATAGATTGAGAAGATTTGTTTAGCAGTGTCCTATAATCAAAAGTAGAGAGCCTCCTCTTTTGAGCGAATCCAGGATCGACAGCTGCAGGCTTAGGCTCAGTCTTCACTTTTCGACTGAGCTTTTTATAGTTAATAATAGAAAAATATTTTGTCTTGGCTCCATCTACTCACAAAACCCTTATAATAGATGCAGGGTTTGAAAAACTCAGAATGTAATGCTGCATTTTGGCAGTCTCCTTGGAAGAATTTCAAACAGTTTTTGCAGACTCTTTTGAGTGCATAAGATCTCCTTCTTTGTTTAGTGCTTTATAGATGTAAAGTGGGGCATTTTCTTCATACTCAGTTTCTATGTTATAATATTCTTCCTCACTGCAAGGCCTGGTAACAACTTTTCCAGTTTTTGCTGTCTGAACTAAATTTGAAGGGAAATTCTCATTTCTGACAATTGTGGTTGGGATATTTATATCAATGCTGCTTACGGCTGGATATTTTATAAAAGTATCAAAAATATCTAATTTCCGTTGAATGGAGTTACTTGACAGCAAGCTATTGAATTTTTGAGCATTTTTTCTTTCCAGAAGCTTAGAATTGTTTCCAAAGCCGTTAATAAGAGCTTTTTGTGACGATTCCTTAATCAAGGAAACGATGTCATCTCTTGTGTTTTTTATTTCTTCTTCCTCAAAGGTCTTTTGACGAATGAAATTCAGTTTTGTAAGTTTAGCTGGCAAATCCATTATATAAAGATTAAAGGAATATAAAAAAAAAAATTAAATATCGCCTGCATCGATTATGGAAGGGTTATAGTTTTTTTAGTTCTATTTAATCTTCTAATTTAATTTTTATTTAATAAATATTTTTGAAACCTTATCTGCATTAAATAAATTATTCAACAAAGGCGCTTTGTTAGAAATAATATTTTAAAGCTAATATTGCTAGTAAAGTATCATTTACAAATTTCTGGAACTATTCAAAAGAAATTCTGATAGACAAATTATTTTTAGAGCTATTAGATTTATAAGTTTATTTTGATTATTAGAGATTACTGTCAAAAACCGTAAGAATTTTGGATATACATGGAATAACAAATTTTCAAGTGAACCAAAACTGAAGTATCCTCCATGTGAAATATTTAGATTTATAATGATACATAATCAGATATGGTGACCTCTCGGCCTATCTCAAGCACATATTTTATTATGCTACTAGGTTTTTAATAATTAAGAAATCGGAAGCAATGCTAGATGTCTGTGGAATTTAACTCAAGTCTTTCTCCAGGCTAATTTTGCCTTTTTTGATGAGTAAGACATAAGTTAGAAAGGTTAAGCACGAACAATGTCTATGAAGGTGGATAGAGCACCGCTCAGCCTAGCAGAAAATTCTATTATGAAACTGGGTGATTTCCATGTAGACAACCCAGGTAGACAAGCATGAAAGAGTGAAGAATCAAGGATACGCAACCACCTTTTAGGTGCAACAATTTATCACTGTCGCTATTACCTTTTCAATTTTAATTTATTTATTTATTTATTCACAAAAAGCATATTAAATTTATAAATTATCATCTATATAAAAATTTCAATAATATTTATATTCCTTTTGTTACTAGGCACTTCAAAGATTTAACTTGAGACATCATAAGCTGTCTATCTATCTCTTCAATCTGAAATTCATACAAAGTACTTTCAAAAATGTCAGAATAGCTTTCAAATTCATGGTCAGTAATCCCTAAATTATGGTGTGATGACCTTATATTCCTTCTAAACTCAAGATTTACCATTCCATTAAAAATTGTGAACATCCCATGCATAATCATTCCAAAAGTCTCTAATTTCGTTTTCTTAAAATACTTGGTCAAGCTATCATTTGCCAAAATTTTATTATAAAGTGACAAAATAAACTGATTTCAAAATTGTTCTCCTCCATATTTTTCGCTTAAGTTTTTATTGACTTTGGACAATTTGGTTTTAAACTTTGCTTCATCTAGATTATCTGCCACATTTTTTAAGTGCTTTCGGATGCATAAATTGTTTTTGTCACTATTTAAAGAATCCTTAATAAATGAAGCATTTTCAATTTTTAAGGTATAGGAAATTCCTGATGATGGCGCTCAATGTGCCATCATTGGGCAACGTGTTTTAAGGGTCCATAGTGGAAATGGATTCCACGTGTGGAGCCCTTTTTGGCACGTGGAGAATCCTCACTTTCACGTGCCAAAAAGGGCTTCAAACGTGGAACCCATTTCCAGTGTGGACCCTGAACTTTAGTTGCCCGATGATGGCGCATTGAACGCCATCATCGGGCAACTTGTATACTATTAAGTGGGCATTCGTAGAGTTCTGATGGAGGAATTGGGGAGAGAAACGGCCTGAGATTGTACCGCATTTTGTAAGCTTGGATACTTTGCTCTCTAAAATCAAGCGCACATAGACTTGTAGAGTGTGCGTGACTTACAATTCTATCAATTTTTTCGTTTACTTTGTGTATTCTATCTATAATATCTTTTTCTTGAACTTCTGGCTTGCTTAAACTTAAACTTACAGGTTGGCGTCTGCCTTATTGGTTACGCAGTCACCAAGGACCCTCCCATACGGGTGGTTCATCCGCTTTGCGCCGTCTTCTGCTTCGCCTTGTTTGAATTGGGGTAATGGTTTGCTGGGCAAGTCTTCAGCTCTGACACTACCTTTCTTCTCCTTCAGCGCCTGATGCCATGGCACTTCTGAAGTGAGACTCTGCTTGGACGTCTCCTCCTTCCTTTCGGTCCAGTGTTGAGGAACTTCTGGCTTGCAGTATTCTTTTGATTTTGATCTGATCCTAAAGGGCAGATCATAAGTTTTTTCTTTTTCATCTGATTCAGTAAAACTTGTCTCGGAGTATCTTTTGGATGATTCAATTTTATTTTTGGAGTTTTGGGGCAAATCAGAAGATTTTCGCCTTCTGGATGATAATGAGGAGGATTTTCTGTCTCCGATTTTATTCAATTCTAGTCCCAATTTATTAGTAAATGCACATTCTTTGCAATCAATTAACACCCAATTTTTATCTTTATCTTGGATAAAATCAAGCACTAATCCTTTTATCCCGTCGTCTTTAAATACTTTGACATTTAAAAAATTTGTTATTTCTGAGACCATTTTTTCTAGTTCTGGGAATTTTCCTTTTATTTCTGCTCCTATGCAACTTTTAGGTTTTTGAGAATTTACAATAAATTCATTTGATATGAAATTGTCAGAGAATCTTTGAAGATTTTCTTTTGTTAATAAAGGAATATCTTTATTTAAGAATTCATCATTTTCTCCATTAGTGACATTAATATCAGAAAATTCAGTCGTGCTTAAATAATTTTGTGGCTTATTGGCAATTATCGATTTTGATATTTGTGAAAATGTACTTGAGCAGCGAAAATCTGAAGATGGGCGATATATTTTTCTTGTCGGTTTTTTGGGGGTAAAATCGGTTGTTGATTCTGATTTGGTTCTTGCTGGAAGGTTGCGGTTTATAATATTGAAAAATTTGAGGTTACAGCCGATTTTTCATAAAACTCGTGTTATAGAAGCTGGATTTGTGAAGCTTTGTACATAATATTGCATGATTGCAGGCTTTTTGGCTGATTTTCAAATTGTTTGAGCACTTTCAATTGATCTGAATGTTATAATTTCCTTATTTTCTACTTTATAGCAGAAAATTGGGTTAAAGTCATCATTTTTCTTTGGATTTAGCTTAAAAAATTCATTGTCAATGCAGGGTCGAGAAATAATAGCTCCATTTTTTAAAGTTTTCATCAAAAATGGAACCGAGATATTTTCTACCCTCAGTATTGTAGTTGGAATATTTACAAAAACTCTAATTGAATCTAAATGCTTATTTCCCATCTTCAGAATTATTTTAATTAGCTTATAAAGCTTTCAGCCTTTTTTTAAAAAGCTATTTAATTTCTTATCCGAATTTTATTTGAAAAATATATACATAAAGAAAAATTTTATTTGAGAAATTTATTGTATTATTTTATTAAAATTTTTAAAATATCTTGCCTAGTCACTTTAAATCAAAAGAAGTTAGCAAATAAGCTGAAGAGATGTAGTTTTTGACATTTTGCAGTTTTTGGGAGCAAATTATTTAACTTTTGAAGAAAAAGGTCTTGGACACAGTCTTCTTTATTTATGACTCCGTCAAAAATGTCTTGATCTATTGACTCATCTTCAATCGTTCTAGAACCTTCTTTGAAATTTTTAATTTCATCCCTTTCACTGATTTTGTGATGATAATCCTTAAGGTCTTGCAATATAACTGGTATGTCCATAAACAGATTCTTTTTTTTAAGAATTACATATTTTCTTATTACTTTACTGATAGCATAAGGTATTAATTATTATCGGTGAATAATGAAGGTATTTTGCAATAAAAACTCATTTTAGAAATAAAAGAAAATGCAAGTTTTTGCTTTAAACAATGCTATTGCTAAATCTCTAATTTAAAATATTTTTTATATGAAAATTTTAGATTGAAAAAGAAGATAGGAAAACAGTCTATTTATTTATTAATATTTTAGACGCTTTAATACAATTTAAACACTTACAGAAATCTACAATAGTAAATCTTATTAACTACAAAGTATTTTATATATATTCTTAACTTTTTCTTATGAGGCCTTCTTATTCAGTAACCAGGATAGGGAGGCACTTTGCCTTGAATTAAAAAAATAATCTATAATAATTTAAAATTCAATAGTTAAAATCAAATGACAACAGTTTTTGGTAAAATCTCACAGTAAAATATTATAACTTAAAGATTAGTTTATATTCATGAGCAGATCCCTGCTTTCCAATAGGAAGTTGCTCATTTAAGATGAAATAATAAGATAATTATTCTAAAATCAAAAAAACTTCAAAACATGCACTTATAATCCAGGCTGCTTTATTAAAAATCACTTATTTACTGTCTTACTACTAAGCACTTCATAGATTTAATTTGAGACATGATAACAGTTTTATCATCCTCCTCAATCAAAAACTCTTCCAAAGTTTTTTCAAAAATATCTGAGTAAGACTCAAATTCTTGCTCATTTACCAAATAATTTGCATGAACTGCCCTAACTCTTCTTCGAAACTGCATATTAATATCAGAGTTAAATACCTTATACATACTTGTGCATATCATTTCAAAGTTTTCTAATTGTGTACATTTGAAATGTTTATTTAATACTTTATCTGCTAAAATTTGGCCATATAATGATATATATTTTCTTATATTTTATTTAAAAAAAGTCCTTGAATTTATATTTGTTTAATTTATAGGAAATTATTATAAAATAAAATGCTGCCAAAAATCTTCGCCTCCGTATTTTCCGACTAAATCTTGCTCTTTTATTTTAGAAATTTTTATTTTTTTGGAAAGAGAGTCAAAGCTGTCAACTGTGGCTGTGAGATGTCTTCGGCTGCATCTGTAGACTTCATTATCAAAGGCAGGCTTATTCATGATTAATGATGGGTTTTGTGCTTGCTCTGGGGAGCTTGGAGATTGATGAGCTGGGCTAGCTAATGAATGCTTTATCATATTTAGAGGCATTGTGCCTGATTTTAAAAGATTTTTATAAGCTTCAATGCTTTGCTCTTTAAAGTCAAATAGAGGTAGTATTTTTGATGGTCTGTAATCTGAAAGTTTTGTAGCTTTTTCAACAATTTTGTTATATCTTTCTATAATTGAGCTTTCATTTGGGCTGGAATCTTCAATTGGTTTGGATTTTGACCTAATATGGAATTTTGGGTATAGTAGGAGTTCTCATTTGGATCTTTAAGAGAAAATATTTATAAAGGGAAGATTAATTTAGAAATTTCAAAGGAATAAAAATCAAAATAAATATAAGGCTCAAATTTATTACAAAAATGATGCTTATAAAGGTAATTTTCTTTTTAAAGATTTTTGCTAAATAATCTAAAAGAGGCTATGTCCCTTATATAATCTATTACATTTTCATTCTCACTTTCATCTATAATCACACTTTTAGCTGTAATTAGTCGGTCTTCAGCATTTGCTTCCATTATTGTTTCCGGCTGAAGTGTCAATTTTTTGGGGGATTCTCTTTTTGAATATAAAGGACACGCTGAATGCGCTCTTTCTATTTTATCAGGAGAAAAATATTGCTGAGACTCATTTAAAAGCAGCTCTTTGACATCTAAAAAAATCCAATTTTTCTGTTTATCTTGTATAAAATCCATAACGATCCCTTTAATCGTGTTTTCTTTAAAAATGTACGAGCTTAAAAAGTTTTTTACTTGCTTAAGCATCCCGTCCACTTCTTCAATTGGCCCACGCTTTTCCATGACCCAGCATTTGCCAATCATTTTGGTAGAAATTATATGCTGCTCATTATAATCTGGAGAAGGCGAATTATCCGTAATTCTTTTTGTATCAAAAGTGTCATTTTTTCGTAAAAATTCTTGGGATCTTTTTTTGGGGATTTTTTTATCGTCAAAGCTTAAATTAAGCTTAAAAGGGTTATTTATAGAAGACGAAGTTTTCAATAGGTAATTTGTGAAGCGAAATTCAGGGGGACGAGAAGAAGATTTTGTGCGTTTTGGCTGCTTTTTGATAGGAGTCAATTTATTTATTTTGCTCAAATGAGAGTCATTTCTGTTTACAATGCTGAAATATTTTATTTTTTGGGAGGATTTTCATAGAACTCTTAAAATTGAAGTAGGCTTAGAACAGCATCGAATAAAGCGCTGGATTCTTTTGGGGCGATTTCGTGAGGCGATTCATGTATCTTCTGCTGTGTGAATGGAATTTATTAAGATTGACCGATTTGGGTGAGATTTGAAACAAAAAAGGGGAGAGTCATCAGAGTGTTCTCGGTAAAGTGAAAAAAATTTTTGTTCTGCGCAGGGAGTTCCGGAAATTTTCCCATGCTTGTCAGTTCAAAGCTTGTAGCTTGTAGGTAAATCTTCTCCAGCTATCAATGTATCTGGAATTCTAACTTGCCTCCACTGTGAATGGGCATTTTTTACTCACTGAGGAGATAAAATTTATATATATTTCATTAAAGATTTTTCCAAAATTTTTAAAAAAACCCAATTTCAAAATTTTGATAGCAACTCACTATAAACGTATTTTAGTATGTGATTAATATAGCCGGGAACGGGCTATAATATTAATGTTATCTATTAATTTATAAAATTTAAGCAGCTTCTATTTCAAATATAAATTTCGTTCTATATATTTGAACACCAGTAAACTTGTCTTGCTAGCCAAAGCCAGTCTGCTATCAATTGTGAAATAGCAGACACGAATTTACTGCTGTTCAAATATTCAAAACACACAATATATTTTTTTCCAAAAAATTAACTTTTTCTTTTGTTTTTACTTGATTACTGCGGGAAGTCGTAAGAGATATGCAATTTTCATGCCAATGCCTAGCTAGCTCAAAGTATATATCAATCTGTTTAGGCTTTCCTCCAGTTTTACCAAGTAAACAATTGAGTTTCTCTATGAAAACATCATGATTTTTTTGCGATTCAAGGCCTTTTCTAAATCTTAACCTTAATCCTTTCTTTGGAGACTCATCAATAAGTTTCAGCAGATGTGCACGATGTATTTTATCATCTTCATTTGAATCATTATGATGAAAAGTCTGCTTACACCCCTAATATTTAAAAAAAATTAAATATAATAATTGAGAATTCCTCTAAAAATATTTTTCATATCCTATCAATTAATTAATAATGACAGAGTTATAGCTTACCCTGATCTGGTTTAATATATGTGGAACATTAATCATTACTCAATTTTTTGTACCAAATCAGAATAATTGCAAACATTTTCGAATTTACTGTAGATTTAATCAGTATAAAAAAATTTTATATTACTCAATAAATCACTCCACCTCTTTACTACTTATTTTTTAATTCAGTATGCCGATTACCTCATCATTTTAAATTTTCACCAGCTATTAAATAATTTTTCCTTATTATTTATTATTTATTATTAAGTTTAAGTTTATTTAATTTCTCTTGCACTTTTAGTGCCTTCTAAGTCTTCTTTAATTGAGGTTCAGCAACGATAACAGCTCTGAATAACAGTAGGTGAACCGGCCTAACGGTCGAACGGCCGAACCTTATCAAGCCCTTTCAGACTTCTCTAGTCTGCGCCAGCCTCAGCCAAACCTTTTCACTTCAAGCCGAAACCTCAAGAAGTTTGACTTCTCTCACTGAGCTCGGCTTATGGGTCCAGCCTAATGGATCAGGACTAAGGACCTGCCATTTTAAATAGTGTGCTTTATTATTAAATATTAAATAATTTTCTGAAAAATTTTCTTGTTTTATTTTCTATTTTAATTCAAAATCTCTGATAGGACTTGAAAGATCACAGTTTTCAACGATGACATTTGGAGTTGCGACTCCAGCAGACCTCGGCGAATTAAATTCTTCACTAGTCAATGTGTCTCCTACTTCACTATCTCCATACTGAGAATCACTTACTCGTGAAGAAGTCCTTGACATCTGAATTTCATCAAGCCATAAAGGAACTTTTAATTTTTCAGTTTCCTCTTTTTCGGTATCGAAATTTATATCAAGCGTGACCTATGTGTTTTTTACCATCAATTGATCAATGATTTCACTTGAAAGCTTATAGTGGCTTGCGTATCTTAATACTAGTTGAGCTGCATAGTCAACGTCAACTTTAAAATTGACCATTATATGCCCATAAGAAACTAATTGGCAAAACACAATATTTTTTATTCTCTGCTGGGTATCTTCAGCATTTTCCATTTTTGTAGCTTCCAGTTCTTCTTGGTTTTTGACTTCTTCGTCAATTGAGGTTTGTATAACTTTATTTCAAAATTCAAGGTTGGACCAGATTTTGTGGTCTAATATAAAGTTTTGTAAATATTGCTTGTTGGAATCTGGGTTATCACATTCCTTGTAAAAAGTCTGTGATAAAATAATGCAGCTTTTTCCAATCTGGCTATCCTGAAAACGGTCACACTAAATATCCTTTACCTCATTTAGAACTGATCTCAATAGCAACCCAATCTGGTTAAACCCTCCTTCTGCAATTGCAAAAATCCCATTATTTCTTCTTTGATTCAGACAGTAAGACCACAGTTTTCTCCCAAAAGAGTCTTTTATAATGTTATTGAAATGATTATAGTCCTCTGACGTTAACACATCTCCTTGCCATGCTTTTTGAATTATAGAGTCCATTTCTCCTCTCAGCATCTCCTCAATCGCATTTTGTGTCGCTTGTTCGTCATAGCCTTCCTCAAAAGCAGGTAAATCTATTAATGGAGGATTTGTACCAAGATTTTTAAAAGCATGGTGCTGTCCTTCATAAGGCTCAAAATCTACGCTTTCTTTTGTATAGTTTAAGTCAAAGTGGAAAATTTTGCTTAAATCGATCTGCATGTCCACTTTATCCATTGTGGTTTTTATTGAGTCCAGCTCAGTAAAGCTGGTTTGGTTGTAAATTAATTCGTAATTGAGGAGCTTGTAGACCAGCTCTTTTTTGGTTTCAAGACGCTGCCTTTCATGGCTTCTATAGATTTCGATTAAAGTTTTGACGTTTTCGGTGTATTGGTCGTAATATCTGTTTAAGCTTTCGACACTTTCTAAATAATTTTTTAAATTTGAATCCACTTCTCTCTTACAAATCACAAGTTTTTGTACGATTTTTTCTATATTTTATTATTAAGTGAATTATTTTTTTTTTAAAAATATTCATTTTTTTTTCTAAATAAATAGAAAAGCATACTTTACCTTGGCTTCTTTGCTGCTCCATTTGTAAAGTAAGCTGCTCATAATCGCTGCAGGCTTTGGCGTATCTTTCTTTTGTTGTTTCGTTCCTCTCAATTAAATTTTCTTTTTCCTTTTCCAAAATCTGCCCTTCAGCATGTGTCTTTTTTATATTAAGGGCTTGGATTTTTAGTAATTCTCCGTATGGATCTGCTATTTGCTTTCTTATATTTTCCGCAAATATTTTGGCCTGCTTTGCCCTTTCTAGGCTTTCTAATTTAATAGCACTAAGAACATCTGATAAACTCCCATGATTTATCAAGAAATATGAGTGATTTCCAATCCTTTCCAGTCCTTTCGCATAGAATTCTTCATGCATGGCTCGTTCTCTTAGCAGCTGTATGAAATCTTCACCTGCCCTTCTCCTTTGTAATGAGTGCTGATGCATAATTTCAAAACAGTCAAAAATGCTTTTTGATGACATTTATTATTAATCTCAGGGAAATCATACATATTGGATCATATGAGAAATCATCTAAATGATAATCTATTAGAAATTAAGCTGACAAGTGTTTCAACTTTTTCTATAGCTTGAAGATAAATTATTAAAAATCTATTAATTTTTGTGAAAAATATTTACTCCCCCCATCCTTGATCGAACGGCTCGCCATCGTTCGATCAAGGATGGGGTTTAAAAAAAAAATTTATATATATAAATAAAAAATATATTTATATATTTTTTTTATTTACTTTTAAATCAGAGGGTTAAGAGCATTTAATAATTATTTTTACAGCAAAAATTAAATTAATTTCATAAAATACCAATTTTTAATATTTTTGATTTATTGGTTACCACTTTAAACTGTATAAATTTTAAAAATTTTAAAGAATCTCCATTTTTTAGATTATTGAGTTTTTAAGCCCAGGTTGATGACTAAAGCACTTCGGATGGTTGATTTCGTAGCTTCCTGTTATCTCAAAGTCTCTTAAAACAACTTCATTAGGTACATCTTCCCAAGCTTTTGATAACTAATATATTTTTTATATATATAAAAATTTGCATGATATGAAAATCGTTCGATCAAGGATGAGGGTTAATTTCCCCAATTTTAGGAATTTTTACAGTCAAAGGTTCGATCAAGGATGGGGGAGTTAGAATTTATTATAAAAAATCGATTAAAATCGGAAATTGTTTTTAAAAACACAAATTTTACTTAAAAATCTAAATTTTCAGAGAAATTTTACTACACTCAGGACATTTTTGTAATTAAAAGAGTTTTAAATAATAAATATGCTCAAAGTTACTATTGCTTTGCTTATATGCGGAGTTTTTGGATTTTGGGGATCTTCAGATACAGGCAGCGATGTGTCTTTGCACATGCCGCACGTCATTAAAAGCATCCTCGAGGAGCAAGGCATTTCAACAGTTGAAGCTAAATTAATATCACAGTCATATTTAGCCAAAAATGAAGGAATGGACTTCAAAAAACTGGAAAATTCAATACTTAATGGAGACCTGTTTAAATATATAGATGAGTGGAGAAAGGGGCTGTTTTCTGAAGTTTTCCCTCAAGAATCCAAAGAGGTGCTGAAAAGAATGAAGACAATGCCATTTTCATATGAGTATTACCAAGCAATTACAACTTCATTTGATGATTACATGGACAAGAAGCCTAAAGAAGAGCATAAGGCCAAAATAAATGTGTCACATGGTGAGATTGAGGAATGCCCAGTTTTGGTTAATTTCCCATATACATTTTAATAGTCTAATTAATAGGACAAAATCAATTATCATAGCAAGAATTACGTTTAGTATGCAAATTTATTATTTATTGTTTTATATTTTTAATTAAAATTAGGGTATTTATATAAATTTTTTATTAACTTTTATAAATAGGGATTTGGAAAGTGTAATATCAATATGAGAGATTATAGATTATTCGAGCTTACTGTGCTTAGAGGAATACTGCTAATTAAAGGAGCATCATTTTAGAGTTAAAAAAGGATTTAAAAGGGCATTTTGATTGTTTTTAACGAAATAAATATCGAAATATCAAATATGCTGCTATCTGTTACTTATATTTAAAAATATTTATGACTTTTTTTTAGGTTGTTTGCTCTAAAGGCAGGAAGAGGAAAGAGGAATGCGGATGCTTGGGCAGCGGAATGGAGCATTAACAAGTCATTGGAAGGATATTGGAGCGATTATGGAAGCACTACGTAAATTTCTTTGGGTTGGCTTAGGCTTAGGAATATATCATCAAAAAAGTTTAGAAGAGAAGCTTCTATGACTAAAAAATGTTTTTACGAGACTTTGCATTTTTTTAGTAAAATTGAAGTTGTTTTTATTTTTGCTGTTGATTTGACATTGTTGATATGATTCTGTTGTAGATACTACTATTGATGGTTCAGATATGTGACGCAGTTTTGAATAAAAGAGAGAAATGTAGCATTTTCACCGCTAAAATATAAGTTAATAGTTATATGCTAATTTTTTTTTCTTTATCATTAGCTTTTAACTCATAAAAATAACGTTTTTCTCGCTCACAGAGAAGAATTCAGTATAATTAATTATTTAAATATAACTAGCATCCGTATTACTTCTTAATCAATTCAATTAAATTACCAATCTTTAAAACTCAACAAGTTTATATTCATAATTAATATAAAAAGAATGGTGTAAATTCAAGACTTAGCTGTTATAAAGATTTGTCTTATCCCTTTTTCCCTATAAAATTATAATACTTTATTTTCATTATAAATAATCAGTAAATATTTTTTTAATTTTCAAAGTGGTAGAGAAAAGTTTTAAGTAATAGTAAATATGGATTATAGCCTAGATGAAAGCTCAATAGAAGTTCTCAAAAAAGTGTTTGCATGGAGCGATTTTGACGGTGACGGCTTAGTTAGGTAAAAGCTACTCAGTCGCGAAGATTTGAAGATGTCAAGCGGTCTTGAAAAAGATGAAGAAGTCGAAGCTTTATTTTTTGCTTTAAAAGAATCATCTGGCTGCAGTAAATTTAGTAGCAGCATCACTTTTGAAGAATTCTGAGCTTCATGAACTTTTTTGCACAGAAAAATGTCAATTCAGGCATTTTCTGTGAAATATTTTATGGAGATTTTAGCTCAAAAAAGCTTATTAGTTTTGTGATATAATGTATAAAGGAAAAAGATGCTGGGTAAAATTTTTAACCAAAAGATCCGCTACAAATTCTGCAAAGGAATTATTGATCTTCCTTTCATACTTGAAATAGAAATAAAATGGTGATGTAACAGAAATTGGTACTCTTTATGGAGCAGGTAGGACATCTTGATTTAGCGGAAATAGTTTCTATGTTTTTTTTTGAGTAGGTCTTCAGGCTTGGGGAACCCTTACTGAAAGGAGAAGTTTTATTTCTCTCTCCGAGGTTTTCCTGTCCCTGACAGATGTGCGAGACAAGTTTTGCCTACCTATAGCCTTTTCTCATCAAGACCATCAGGGGCACCTCATAGGAGATGTCTCTGCCTCGGGAGCTATTCCTTAAGCATGCAGTTCAGGTCAGAAATCGAGGGTTTAAACCCCTTTAACCAAGATGAGCAACACCTATTCAGCTTTCTTGCATATGTCTAGCATAATCTTAACTTTGACTTTCATGCTTGAGCAATTTAAACAAGATTTTGAGGCCACCCCAAAACATTTCAAACCCTTATATGACGAAAGCAGCTTCGAATCCTACGATTTTAATCGGCAAATGAAAGACGACTGCTGCTACAAAATTTCTGAAGGCGCAGGCCTAGATACCATGCTATTTTTCTTTGACGGCCTCCAAGACACAATTTTTAATTTCAATAAAGCGTTAAGGGGGTCCTTTTCTCCTTCCTCAGAAAAAACTGCTGACGATTTGCTTGATATTTTGTCTGCTATGATAAATCGGCTCCAAAACAAGGCTCAGCGTGATAATTTATCCTTGCTAGAAGACGTATCATCAGGCTGTGCAAGACTTTTTAGACTGATGAAAGAAGTAATCCAATATTACGCTGACTCTATGAAAGAGCTGAAAAATAGGCTAAATGAGTCATTGCTTGTGAATGATTCTTTTAAACAGAGATGCAATAGACTTGAAGAGTCAAATAATATGCCATTTTTAATGAGAAAAAATATTTTTCGTTAGCTTATTTTATATAAAAATAGGATAATATTAATGAATAGCAGCTTCTATTTATTATTTATATGTATAAATTAATTAAGCAGCTTGGCAGATTAGAGCATGAAACCAAAGAAACAAGAATCGCCCATAGTGAAGCTTTAGCTCAGCAACAAATGCTTCAATACCAGCTTAAAAAAGCTGAAAATTCTGAAGTTGACGCTTTAAACCAAATATCCTCAATCCAAGAAACCATTATTATCAAAGAAGACGCAATTGCACAGCTAGAAAAAGAAGTGAGAAGGCTTAACAGTATAAAAAAAATCCAAGAAATGAGAGGGACTTTAGGAAGGACTCCACAAGACATCAAAAGAATCCAAGTCCAAAAGCAAGAAAACAGGCAAAGTGTCCCAACTTCTTTTAGATTTATAGACTCTGAAGTAAACGGAAGAGCTACCTCAGGTGAAACAATTTTAGATTTTAGGATTCAAGCTTTGTCTCACCAATTGAAAATTAAAGAAGAAATTATTCAGAAAAATGAGCAGGAAATTAAAAAAGCAAATGCTAATGAAACGGTTATGATGCAGGAAATTGGGCATTTAAAAGCACAAGTTTCGAATTTGTTGATAAGGTTAAAAGAAGAACAGCTGAATAATCAGCTTTATAAAATAACAGAAGAAGGGGAAGCAGTTATGAGTGATAGGAGTCTGTTTGAAGAAATTGCGGTGCTTGAAGCTAGGAGTGATAGTGTAAAAGAGGGGAAAAATAAGAAAGTGGCTGCTTTTGATAGGAGTACACAAACACAATTTAATAGTGAAATGGAGATTATTGGCAGGAATAGGAATCAGAAAACTGATAAAAGGTCAGATTGTTGGCTGTGTTTTTAAATTACTAATTAATGTTCTTCAATTAAAATTCTGTCTCAGCAAACTAATTCATTAATGTCAGAAGACATTAGATTGCTCAAAATTGTTTTAATAAAAGCATTTTTATTCTGGAAATGAGATTTAATTTAGAAAAATGTTCATATTATTAAGTCTGAACTCCTAATTTCTCCTGTCTTTTTAAAGAGCCTAAAGGAAATTAAGGGATAATAAAAATTAAATATTCTTAAATAATTCTTTAAAGTCTTCATTAAATCTGGGAATTTGTTCTAGAAATTAAAAATACTTGGATTAATTTTAGATTTTTTTCTTAAAATTATATTCCTTATTTAGCTGCGACATTTTTTTGGCCAGGTGACGCCAAAACAAAAAGGCGTCATCTGGAGCAAGGAAGTGTCAGGGGGTGAGTTTTTGCTAACAAAATTGGGCCTTTCCCTAGGCCCTTGAGGTGTGCAGCAGCAATTTTGGACGGACTTCACGGCGAGAAGGAAGTGAGGATGCCTCGTGCGGAGCTTGGGGCGTGAAGAAGGCGCGGAGCATCATCTCCAGAGCCAATAACCCTCTGGAGTAGGAACCCGTGGCCGCTAGGTCCGGAAGCTAAAGGAACAAGGGTCTCCTCTGTAGACGTCACCATTTTTGAGGACATCACCAGAAGAGATGGAAACATAGTGATGAGAATTTAATTTAGCTAGAAATGAGTTGGTTTGTGCTAAGTGGAAGATGCTTGGCGTGATCCTGATGTGGTGATGGTGCTGATGGTGCTAATGGCGCTGCTGGTGCTGATGGTGCTGATTTGGTGGTAACGTAGGGTAGGGATAAACTAAACTCTTAACTTATTTAGCTGCAAAAGAATTACGACTTTTGTATGTTTATAGATCTTATTAATTTAATTTTGAAAAGCATTGATGTTTCCTAATATTAAAATGGAAAAAGTAGCCCATAAAGGAGTTGCTCTCAGCAATATTGATAAGATCATAACTGATGCATGGAATTTAAAACCATCTCCTCCGTCAAGCCCTCTACTTACTTCCCCATATAAAATTAACAAAAATCTGTTCAAATTTTAAGGTAAAATTGTTAAATTTATTTATATTATTTTTTATATAATAATCAGTAATTAAAGTGCTCGCTTTGCTTAAATAATATATTATTTACACTCCCTCTATACTAGAATAAGCTTTACTCCCCCCCCCCCCTCCGTGAGCGAACAAAAAAATTTTGTTCGCTCACGGAGGGGGGTTAATTTTTTTTTTAAAAAAAAATTTATATATAAATTTTATAAAAAATATTTTTTTCGAAATTTAAAAAAATCCTAATTTGCAAAAATTGGGAAGCAAATATTAATTTAATTTGCAAAATTTATGTTTTAAAACGCAATTTGTTTAAAAATTAAACAGAATTAGCTCTAGATTTCATTATACTAATTATCACTTATATATCAAAATTTTTTTCCATTAAAATTTTTTCAATTAAAAAAATTTTTGTTCACTCACGGAGGTGGGTTTTGGTCAAAAAATGGCGATTTTTCTAATGGTTTTGTTCGCGCTCACGGAGGGGGGGGGGGAGTTAGTAATTTTTTTTATTTTGTCAAGGTTAAATTGGGAAGCTATTTACATAGAAAATATTATTTTTCTTTATAAAAATTCCTCCTTGTTTACCCAAAAAATTGAAATATTTTGTTTCAATAGCGAGAAATTAGTACAAAGTCGCAATCGTATATTCGAATATATACCGCAAGCTCCAGATCAATGAGAAAAGATATCAGTGAATCTGAAAAGTTTACCCAGGCTACACTCTTAACAGGTAGAATTCGCAAAAATACATTTAGCATCAAAGAATTCCAAAAGCAAGAAAAAAATCCTCACGAGCGTATTCTCTTAGAGCACAAATATTCAGAAACTCAAAGAAATCTTTTTCAAGCAAAAAGTGACATGCTAGATATAAAGCGAGACATTTCTACTTATGAATACGAATTCTGCAATAAAGCATCAGTAGGATTAAAGCTCATCAAAATAAGCAACGCTACATCTGGCTTGCCAAGTGTTATAGAAAACCTCCAAAATTTTCACTCTGAAACATCAAGCTATTTAGATTTATTAAAAGTAAAATTTTCTCAAATTCATCAATTATAGCTGCCGAATTCAACTTGATCCGAGAGAATCTAGAAATTTATGGTATTTAAAATTAATTTGAGATACTTTTCTTTTTTATGCAGATCTTCAATATCCTTTTGGTTTCGCAAGCAGCTCGATCTGCTAAGACTTTTTGCTCCTATCTTGGGCTATAAGGGTGAATGCGCTATATCGAGCATTTCTCCTCAAAAAATTACTAAAGACTATACAAAAGAGAACATGAATATCAGAATCACTAATAATTACCATAAGCTTTTTTTAGCTTATCAAGGCTTTATAAACCTATCAAGCATTCGATGTGGTATTCAAATATTAACAAATTCTTTGTATACATCAGTGACTGCTATTGCTTTGCTCCCATCAGGGCAGTCATTAAGGACGGTAATAGATAAAAAATTGATTGTATCAAGAGTTTCGAAGTTAAAGAAAGTTATATTAACTAATATAACACCTAAGCTGTTTTTATCATGCAGCAGAGATGAATTGTTTTTAAATTGGAATGAAGATTATGGCAGCTCATTTTTTACAATTATTACTAACGTCAAAGGATATCCTAAAACAGTTACATTGATGCTTAATCCACATCCTATTGAAAATTTAAGAAAATTAGCACTCTCTTTGACCGAACAATTTTTATTGGTCAAAATACACTCTTTATTGCGCCTCAAATCTAGCTGCCTATCTTTTAAAATAAGAATACTATAGATATTACAGTATATCACTCTTAATATATTCTAATGTGATTTCTCGCATATTGCAATTATATTGTATGCTCTATCTCTCATGTAAAATATTTTTACACGAAAAAAATTTTTAATATAAAATTTTTCAATAAATAAATAATTTATGAGCCCAGATCTTTGACCGAATTGAGTTATTTACCAAGGATAGAAGTGGAGAGTTAGAGAAAATGCCAAGAAAGGGTTTGATGTAGTTTATGGAGAAAGTGAGGTTCACGTTAGCTACTCCCGAATACAGTCCAAACCGTTAGGTCTTTCTACATTAAACGAAATAAAGCAAAAACTTTTCAAGCACCTTTATTATGACATAAAAGCAGAACATTTACAATGGATCGACCATATTACCGATATTTTTGACAAGAAAGAAAAAAATTCTTTATTCATGGATTTAGACTACATATATGAAGTCCTAGGTATCAAGCTTTTCCACTTTAATTCCTATTTCATGTACGAACTCGGCGAAACTGATTATAAAATAGAAATCTGGGTCTACAAAGAGCACGCAATGCTAAAAATTTTCAAAAATTTGCAGCTGGTAGGCCAAGCTGAATCTGGGTCCTCCAATTACAAATTCGTCACAAGCCTACAAATCCTCGATATCATTTCCAGCCCAGTTACGCTATCAAAATCCCTTGAATTTCGCCAATATCTAAAACATCTTGAAGAAGAAATAAGCAGAAATGAGCAGGCTCCAAAGCTAATATAATTATATGTACCAATATAAATATAACACTTAATTTATTAATTTTTTTATTAAGTTTTGTGTTCATAAGGGATTTTTGCATCCCCCAGCAATTTGTAAAAATTCCCTGAGGAGACTGCTTCTAATAAATCAACGAGTCCTCCGAAGTATTGGCCTTTAATAAATATACTGGGGAGGGTGGTGACTTTAGTAAGATCTTTCAAGGCATTAGCAAAGGTATCCCCATCACTGAGATCGTCTAGTTCTACTACTGTAGGGTCAATTTTCATATCTTTTAATGTCTTAATTGCCTGCTTGCAGATAGGATCTGTGCTTTTTACATATAACAGGACAGGATTTGCATTTATTTGTGTAAGAATCAGCTTTTGATGTGCAGGATTTGAGCTGAAAAATCTTGCTAAATATTTCATCAGAATGATATTTATTAATTTTATGGAGAAATTATTGGTAAAAGCTGAAATTTGTACAAGTCGGCTTTTGTAATAGAAAAAAATTTTAATTAATTCATTGAGATTTAGCTATAAATAATAATCAAGAAATAATAAAAATATGCTGATTCTTATTTTATGTCCTTAAATTCTACGTTGCTTTCTTTCAGCCTTTCTTGTACAGCTCCAGATGCCAAACCTTCACTTAAATCGTCATAGCCTCCTATATGAAATCCTCCAATAAAAATATTTGGGACTGTATTTTGCATTGTCAGCTCTTTTAAAGCGCTTTTCATTGAGTCTCCTTCTTTTTCTTTATCGACCTCAATAACTTTAGGCTGAACTTGCATAACTTTCAGTGTAGCCTTTGCCTCCATACAATAAGGACATGACGTTTTCGAAAACATCACTACAGGGCTAGATTTGATGAGTCTCAGCACCATTTGTGTATGCTCTGAGGTATGAGAAAAATATTCTAAAAAAAATAATTAATAGGATTTTTTTTTAAAAAAATAAAAAAATGTTTATTTTATTTTTAAAAAAAATACCTAAAAAGCGTTTGAATCATTATAACTATTTGAAATCCATTATTCTGATTTAAATCCTAGCCATAATATTTAATGTCCACGGCCGATATTAACTGCCCTCTAACTTGGCAAGGAGTAGGAGATGTGACAATTTTCCTAGGACTTGTAAGATATATTTAGGTTGGTCTTACCCTAATGGAGCATGGCCTTGTCCGTGAAGGTTTCAGCAGCCATCTTCTTCTAAAAAATTGGCTTCAGTTCTCAGTAGGTATAGTGGCCTGATGGCTGTTAGGCTATGGTTTTGCCTTTGGAAACGTCCCAAACAGTGAGTTTATAGGAAAAAAGAATTTTGGAGGTGAAAATTGGCTACAAGAAAGAGATCATAATCACGGCGCTTGTGCTTCATTTTTCGCATTGTGTGGATTTTTTGTTTTATTTGTAATTAATGGAGCTATCAGTGAAAGAACCAAATATCATGTTTATCAATGGTACGCCTGGTGGGTGGTGATTAAAAGCCTACAGGGTAAATTATATTTTTTTAAAATAAGCATAAAATCACATTTCAATAGAAAATTACCATAATTTAGGTATTTTCATGATTACCCACCTGGTGGGTTATGCTTTTTGCTTGGCCTGTTGTAGTAGCTTGGTCATGGGGAAGAGGATGGCTTGACTCAGAGCTAGACAAGCCGCTTATTGACATAGCTGGCGCTATTAATGTTCATCTTTTTGCAGGCGCTTTTGGACTAATTGGAGCAATTTTCCTTGGTCCAAGGACTGGAAGATATAGTTCTTCTCCTAGCGTTTTTCATATGAAATTCCACGTCGCTTACATTCTAGGAGCTACTTTAGTGATTTTAGGCATATTTGGGCTTAACCAGTCTTTGAGCCCTGATGGTGTTTCTAGAGGTTTATCAGCAGTCAACACTTGGATTTGTGCAGGAGTTTCATCTATAGTCTCCCTTAAGCTCCTTACAATATGGTCAACAGATATTCACACTCATTTAATAGCAATTTACCAAGGATTCATTGCAGGGATGATTGCAGTCTCAAATTCAGCTTATAATACTACACCCTGGCAAGCTGGACTATTAGGTCTTATTAGTGGGATATTTTTTGTATCTGGATTTTATTTCTGCAGGCTTAACAAAATTGATGACGTTTTGAACGTTACAGCCACGTTCTTTTTCCCTGGGATTTTGGGAGGAATTTTACCTGGGTTTATTACTGATGATAATGGGTGCTTTTGGCAAGGGATTTCAGGACACACTTTGGCGACACAAGTGGTGGGAGTTATTGTAGTTACGGGATGGTCAATGACTTGGGCTGCAATTTTGTTTGGGTCCATGAAGATTTTTAATGCGTTTAGATTGGAAAAAGAGCTGGAGGTGTCAAAACTTAATAATTGTGAAATTAGACAGACAGGGTGGAAAATACCTGGGGAACATGGGACAAAAAATGATGCATTGGAAAATCAATCTTAAGTTAAATAATATTCGTAAGAATTTATAGAAAATAAATGAGCAGAGGTTTTTAAAGTGTAATTTGAGTGGAAATTAAACGAATGTTATTAGTTATAATAATATTAAATAAATTGTAATTTATTTCTAGTTTTTGTTGATATAATGCATATGCTAGTTGCGCTTTTTGGATCATCAAGCATGCAATAAATGCTCTTTATATTCAATTTCATTCTGCATTAAATGTAGATAATTTTTAATTAATCCTAGTAGTGAAGTAAAAAAACTATACTTTTTCATCGTTAAAAATAAATTTAATCTTCACTTTATATGCTGAAAATTGGTTTGAAATACCATTTGTTTTAAGGCAGCGATATTACCTTGAGAAGCTGTATAATATTGTTGATAGGTATTACTTTATAATCATCAAAATCTACCAAATATTGCTGTAGATAAATAATTGAGACAATTTTTTGTATTTCAAATTATATTTATTAGTAAAAATTGCTTTTATAATGCTTTAGCTTCTAAAGTCAAATACAGTAAATCATTGCTCATTTGAATTTAAATAATATTGATTTAAAATAATTTTTTTTTTCAGAATTATTGAAATCTTCTGTATTTTCAAAGTATCCAAAAATTTTGCAATCTTAAATTTTATTGGCGGATTTGTATCCATATCCAAAATTAAGATAATATAAAAGGCGCTTACTCCTTCCTTCCTTTAGTGAATAAAACCATTGAGAAATCATACTTTTTGCAAATTAATCTGTCTTCGTGCTGAGCAAAAAATTTTTTTTATAGGATTCCAAATGTATAAATTGGCGGGTTTGGATTTTTGAAAAAAAAAAATAAGACAGTCATTATAAGTTAAAATTTTTGAGTGCTCAGAGACTAAGGAGAATTAGCAAACTATAAATTATAAACTAATAAATGTCAACAGTCGGAAAAGGAAAAGGAAGCAGAGGAAAGGCAGCAAGCGCAACTAAGACCTCAAGATCCCAAAAAGCAGGTCTTCAATTCCCAGTCGGTCGTATTTCAAGATTCATGAAACACGGAAAATATGCAGAAAGAGTAGGAGCAGGAGCACCAGTTTATCTTGCAGCAGTTCTTGAATACTTACTACGTCTCTCTATTTGATATTTGGATAAATTATTTGTAAGCATAATTATTTTTTTTCTACTTATATTCAATATAAATTTATTTATGTAAAATTATTTTAAAAAATTTATATTTTTCTCTCGCAGAGTTATAGCTCATGAACCTTTATGGATCGAACTCATTGAAAATGTAACCGCTCAATGAACTCCACATTAGACCAAATCCCTCACTATTTAGAGAAATATTCAGATTATAAAAAAATTCTCTAGTTCAATATTCTATTTTTTTTTAAATCATTTTAAAAATATTTCTAACAGTAGTATGAAGCTCGGCAAAATAAGGCAGGGCATTATTTTAAAATCAAAACAGCCCTTCTCTCTTCATGCTTTAAAAGTGGGTAATTTCGCGGCAAAATGGCTTTGGCCCAATTTGGTAATTCTAAAAGGGACTAGCCAAAAATGGTTGACAAATGTAACCAATTTGACAAGTAAACGAGCCAATTTTTAAAATGGGGCTTATCATTATTTTTTTGAACTAGTTTAAAAACTAGAGAATTTTTATTATAATCTGAATATTTCTCTAAATATTGAGGGTCTGGTCTAAGATGTACAAGATGCGAAGTCCATTGAGCGGTTACATTTTAAATGAGGTCAATCAAAAAGGCTCATGAGCTATAGCCGCTGAAGTCTTAGAACTTGCAGGAAATGCAGCAAAAGACTAACCCATTGAAGCAAATTTTATAATAAATATTTAAATTATTTTTAATATTTTTAAACATAAATTGTCTATTTATATGAGGAGTAAGGTCGACATATGAAAATATACAAATTAATTTATTTTAGCAATAAATATATTTATAATAGAAAATATTGCAAAATGATTTTTTTCTTAAATTAAAAAATAAATTTTCAATCCGCACCTTACAAGAAAACTAGAATTGTTCCAAGACACATTCAATTAGCAATCAGAAACGACGAAGAACTAAACAGACTTATGTCAAACGCAATTATTGCTAGTGGTGGTGCAGTACCATTCATCCATCAAGCTTTATTACCAGTACCTGGTAAAGACGAGAAAGAAGGAGGAGCAACCCAAGAGCTATAATGATAACTAATTATTTGAATTCCCCCAATCTCTTGCTTTAAAATAATAATATAAGCACAAAGATCTTCTCTATTTTACAATAACTTTTTTATATTTAACTAAAAATTTACTCTATTCCTATATTAATATTTAGATCAAAAAAAAACTAATTCTCATAGATTATTTAAAAGTTATTATTTTATAAGCTAAATAACTCCCTTTTTATCTCTCTTCTCTCTTAGCTTTTCATACTTATCCTCCATCTCTTTCTTTTTAAGATCTGCTTTTGGAGTTTCTATTTTGGCTCCATATAACAACAATTCTTGTTCTTTAATCTTGAAATAGCTATAGCGTCTACACCTTTATAACATGCCTTTGGGGTTGGATTCTCATAGCAACTTGGAGCTCTGACGAGCCACCTAAAAGTAACAAGTCAATTAAAATTGGCAGAAACATATACTTTTGCAAGGATTTGTCAAATTGGAGGTGAATTCTCAGAGCTCCAAGATACTGTGGAGAATCAAGCACCAAAGCACGCTATAGCGGTGCAGACGCTATATAATTCAAGCTATTTCTATAGCATAAAGCGAAAATAAGACATAAAAGTATTAATCCACAAGCTGCCAGCATTGAGTATCTGACTGCGTCTGCGTAGCCTTCTCCAAGTACATTAGAGTAATCTGTATAAAATATAATCCCTAATGCAAACCCAAGCTCACCAAGAAAACTAAAACTTAGAAGTAAAATGTAGAAGGTGATGCAGTTTCGAGATTTTCTGATTAAATGAGAAATCAATACAAGTATAGTAATCACGACGCCTAAAATAATGTATCCTCCATTATACCATGTAAAATTTCCAGCTTCAGCACATACTGCAATGCCCGCCCCAATGTTTGCGAATCCAACAAATAAAAGGCAAAGACTTGTACTTCTAACTCGCATTTAGAGTAAATAATATATTTTTAATTCTGATTAAACAACTGCAATTTATTGAAGAATTTTTAAAAAAATATTAAATAGGCGTAATCAATTTATGTTAGGAAAGTAAGCAGGCAATATATGCATTGGTTCCCTTCAGCTTTTCTAGGTATTTTCATTTGAATAATTTGATTTATAATCAGATTATAATCCATTTCCCTCTATGCATGAATATTAATGAAAAAGCAAGGTAAAGAATATGCAAATCTAATAGCGTTTATAATGAAAAAAGCTTTAATATTTTCATCGTTAATTTGATATTTTAATCCATTTAAAGCTATTAGCTATTAAAATTTATAGAGAGATTAGCTGTAACTCCTATACTGATTTTTATTAAGTAGTGAGACAAGAAGCAATTTTTTGGGTTAACGGCACGTTTTTGTCACAAGTAATTTCGATTTTTATTTCCTAAAAAATAAGAAATAGGTTCAGATTTGCTGATGATTAAGAATTATAACTAATAAAAGTATGCTGAAGTTGATGCATTCATATGCTTGGTCAGCATTTTGACAGCTATATCTGACTATCTGGCCCAAGGTCATCTCTTCTCTCGGGATTAAGTTTAACTTATGATTACTCTTCAAGTATCATACTTCTTGGCTGCAGCTTGACCACATCTCTGAATAGCGTAGGTGGGCTAGCCTAACAGTCAAACTGTTTCTCTTCCCCAAGCTCCTTATAACCTCTCTGATCTACACTTGATACAGTGTAGATCCTTTTCAACTTACAAGTTCTATTCCGACTAATGCAAAACTTGATATTGGAGTAAAGCATGCGCGGTCAACCCAACATTGCGCTTCACCAGGTCCTTGCGCATCCTGTGGGATGCCAGCTGCAGGAGTTAAGAGGGGCTCCATGTCAAATGACCGTGGATTTTTGACAGTTACATTTCATCGAAAATTTTTGATAGTGCGGACATTTGGCCGAAAATTAACGTTTTTTTTTTCTGTCAAATGTCTCACTATCAAAAATTTTCGACCAATTTTCGGCCAAAAATTTTTCGGTGAAATGGACACTATCAAAAAGGCAAAGTCATTTGACCTGCACCCGTTAAGAGGATACAGCACACCCCTCATGGTTGCTCGCCATTACGTACTCCCTCCCCATGTCACCCACCCCATGACGATCCTGAAAATTTTAAATGTTAAAATATCATTTGACAAGTCCCCCTCAAATATTTTAAATTGTCAAATTAATATTTAGCATGCTAAAATATCTGGGACCGTTAGGGGGTGGGTGGCATGGGAGGAGGTATCAAGGCCGATCCAAAACGGTGTGTAAGCTATAGTTTAACTTCCCACACCATTTTAATGTATATTATATTTAATCCCATTTAAAGATTTCTAGCAATACACTTTTTGTCTGACCAGGGGAAAATGCAAAAATGGCCCATTTAGTTTATTCGAATTTATATCAATACTATAAATATCAAATAAGTCAATTAACCGCCTTTATTTACCTTGATTAGGATATCATGCCTCTATAATAAAATGTTGTGTACCTTAATCCATTTAGCACAGCTCACAATCTGCTGGATATACCCAATCTCCCAAACAGTCCACGCATTTGAGACCAGAAATTATTCCCTATTTTGGATTTCCTATTGGTTTGTCTTTGGGGTCTTAAACTATTTAGAGTCGACCTTCCTTTTCTGGCTTGCTCCGTAAAGATAATATAGATTTTGCGTTTACCAAATACTAAGGTCTCTGTTCTGCTTGTGGATGCTCCATCCAGACTACAAAGGAGCTGAATTTATTGAAGAAACACTTTTCCCAGTCGCCTATGAGCAATTGAAAGGGATTGTGTCGATGACACCTTTGGGGTAAATTTCATGTAGGAAATATCTAGAAGAGGCTTAATAGATTAAATAACGAATATTTGAATAAATGATCTTAAGTTATTAAATGATATAAGAATTTACTATAAAACAGGCTTATATCTATATTTCTATAATTTAAATTAATTCAATTAAAGCTGGCATAAAAATTCTTAATTAATTTATATACAACTTTTATAATAAAATGTTAAGAGAATGCTTATTTAATAGCAATTTTTGATATTTAAAAATAGGATTAATAATTAGTATCTACCTCCTCTATAATTATATTTTGGATATGGATCGGAAAAAGCAGGCTGGCCAAGCTCAAGATTGTCAAGATTCATTAATTTTGCCTCAAGATCGACTGGACGGGCTGGCTCAACAGGCGCTGATTGGAAAGTGGTGAAATCCATAGCAGATCTTGGGTTCGCTTTTAGCTGAGACATAGTAGGTCCTTGGCCTTCTTGCAAATTCAAATTTATTTTCATGCTAGGGGTTTGGCTTTGCCCTTGTCCTCCTTGGTGCTGAACATCAGTTTGGTTTGTCCAAACATCAGCTGGAATTGTAGGGGTTCCCCATGCATTATTTTGCCAGGCAGGATTTGTTTTTGCAGGCTGATTAGTAGGAACAGAAACCCCAGCCCATACATTTTCCATATGACTTGGAGGGACTCTTGGGTTTGTTTCAGCTGGTCTTGAATAAGTAGGGTTATTTGGAAATGAGGAAAGGGTATTAGAATATGGAGGATTTGATGGAGGAATATTTGTATATGTAGGAGGATTTGATGGAGTAATATTAGTATATGTAGGAGGATTTGATGGAGGAATATTTGTATATGTAGGAGGATTTGATGGAGGAATATTTGTATATGAAGGAGGATTTGATGGAGGAATATTGGTAGGAGGAGGCTTAGAATAAACTGGTGTCTGCCCCCATAGGTCCGAAGATTGCGTAGGTTTTGGCTCTTGACGTGGAGGCTGGTTCCATAAGGCTTCTAAGCTTGCCTGAGGCGGCTGTGGAGGAAACGGATTAAAAGGCTCAGGGGCTTTTTGTACTGCAGGCTGACTCCAAATATCTGCTGGTCTCTGTACAGGCTGATTCCAAGCAGGCTCTGGAATTGCTGTATTTTTAACTGTAACAGTTGCAAACATTATTATATTGTTCAGATTTAGAAAGGGTCTCTTCCAGGGAGTAATATCAAACCTCCCTTTTAACTCCTAATAGATGACACCGACAGCCATTTTGCCCAGCAAGCATCCAGAAGACCCACCATAGGGCCAGAAAGCTTTCACTAATTGCGTTGACCTCGCTCCAGACTTGACTTCTGCACAGGTTCAGCCTAAGGGTCACCCTCCTTAGGTGTGTCAAGCGGTAAAACTTCTATACTTCCTAATATCCTGGGCCAAACTTATGCGATAAACCATATTTGGCATTGCTGATAAAGGTGCACCAGATAAACCGAACCCTATAATAATAAAATTCGCGGAAGAGGAAAGGTTTACTGAGTAAACCATTTCATTACATCGCCATTTTATTATTATGTAACAGTAGCAAACAAATTTCCACCTGGTGGTGGATTAATTTTGGCTGGTGGTGGCATTCTATTATTAATAACCGGTTTTACTGCAGGTGCAGAAAAAATATCAATTTTAGGCTGCTCATTGATGACAGGCACTGGCTCTTCTATATGCTCTCCTAAATTACTATTTGACTGTCCTCCATAGTCTTGTTGCTGCTGTTCTTGTATATCTCTTCTCTTTTCTGGGTAAGGATCATAAGACCCTCCTCTCCCATAATAGTCATCCTCATATCTTCTATTACTGTCTGAATAATTCCCATATCTGCCTGAATCACTTGACATACCTGAAAATTTGTCCCTGAGCTTTTTGGCTTTTTCCCTTTCTTCGTCTAGATACTTGTGATCTGCAATTAATTGGTTGATATATTTATTCTGCTTTGCAATATTTATCATAGCATTTATATCAATATTAAATAATTTTATGATAAATAATGGTACTTGCTTATTAGTTTTTTTAGAAATAACATTTAAATACTATACTTTTGTATAGATTAAAATGATGGCGAGCAATACCAACCTCTTAACTCCTAGCTTGGACAGGGGACCTGGAGGATGGCGTTTGGAAAAGTGTATCTGGTCTGGCGTTACCTGTTTTGGCGAAGTGCAATGTAGGGCTAGTCGACCGAATGCTTACTCCAATTCAGGGGTTCCCCTCAGCCGAAAATTAGAAAGGGATATCTCAGAAGTGTCAAAACGAGTTTCTTGATCAATCAGTGCAATTTGAAAAAAGGAATTACACCCTGGACTTCGTATGTCCATTTTGGCCAGAAAAATTCACCAATTGGAATTTACAATGGCAGGTAGCCTTTGCTGACACGCGGCATGGTGATACGACTTATCCAAATATTAGGTATACTGATTGCCCGATGATGGCGCATTAAGCGCCATCATCGGGAAATTTCTATAGCGAGTGTAGGCCCTCGTACGCTGAAGTAACCTTCGTGATGTGGTGAACGTGAACTAGCAAGAAAGTGGTGAGAGCTAGGGGTAGAGGTAGTGCTTCTGGAATTCCATTGACTTTTTATCAGTATAATTAAGCTTAAGATCAAGATTAAGCTATACTTTTGTCTCTTACGCCGCTGCCACGTTCTTCTCCTCCATCTCTATACGAAAAATCTTGGAGCAGCCTAATTTTGAACCCTTCATCTCTGATTTCGTTCATGCAGGAGTTTGAGCCGAATTTCAACAAATGTTCTATTAAATTCAAAGCTTTATATATCCTTCTCCACTCTTTTGGAGGCGATCTGAGATATTCCCACGTACATCTCATGATTACGGTCCTTTCTTCAGGGTTGTATGTTTTTTCTGCTATTTCGTGAAGAAGGGTATTCGATGTTCCGTAGTTTTCATCACTGCATACTTCAGCAATCATGCGTTCTAGTGGGGTTTTTGTGACACGATCTCGGAGACCAAGTGCTATCTTTTTTAGGGAATCCATTTTATTATTATGCTAGCTGTTAATAAGTGTTAGATCAGAACAGGGAAATATTAGATAAATTGCAATAGAAAAAAAATATGTATGGGTATATTAAATAGGAGGATAGCTCTATTAGGAGCATAATATTAATTTATAATAAAATTGAGCATAATAACATATAGGGATGAGTTGTTATTATTACTGACGTAATTGCAGACATATTTTTTAAGTATAACTAGGTTATAGTAGTTAATTATACTTGTAGATATGTATAAGAAGATCCTTTAGAAATAAAGGCTTGCTTCTTAATAAGATTTCTTTTCTTAAAGAAAAATCTGTAAACAAGGTAAACCAGAAGCACAATTGTGGATACTTGGATCAGTAAATGTGCATTTAATGTGAAAAGTTCTAATTCCTGTTTTAGCTTGGAATTTTCTAATTCATGTCCTGAGTGCTCATGATTGAATTTAAGGCTTCTCATATTTTGGGAATTTGGCAAACAGCTGGCAGGTTTATAATTATTTTTTACAGGCTCAGGATTTTTTATTTCTTCAATAAATTTCTTCCCTTTAGAATCTTCATTAGAAAATCTAATAAGGTTCAAGAGGGAGAGAGGCTCACTTGTTTCTTTTTCATTTATTACATATGAGGTTTTTTGAGCTTCAGCGTCATTAGGTAGTAGGGACGGCTGAATGAAATGCTCGCATTCATCATAAGAACATTTATCTATATGATATTCTGTTCCAGAGTGTGGACGCATTGACCATTTAATCGTGCAGCTTCTGACACAATTGTTATACAGCCACCATTTTATTATAAAATAATTAAAAAATAAATTTTTTTGAAAATAAATTATTATTATAAGGAAATAAAAAAATTATTTTTAAATATATGGAAGTGTATTTGTCTTGGGCTGAAGCTGAAATCGCAAGATTTGGGAAAAGCACAAATATTAGGAAAGTAGAAATAAAAGGCTTCATTGTCTTATATTATAATTATCGCAGATTAATGTTTCTCCATTAAGCAATAAAACTACCTTAATAAATTATTAAATTTTATAATTAGCTTCTCTTTAAATTTATTCTCTTATTTTACCATTTATTTCTTAATTATCAGATAGCAAAATATGAATTTTATATTTAGCTTGCTGTATGGAAATAGTTAAAATAATTTTAGAATATTCTTATATATAAATAAGAAAACAAAATTCGTTTTTTATTTGCCTATTATAAATATAATCTAAATTTTTTTAAAATTTTATTTTAATTCAATTAAGTCTAAAGACCTAAATTTGTAATTATTCCCATAAATAGCAGGTAAAAAAAAGAAATTTTTCAGTTTCTGATAGAATCCTTTTTATCATTTAGTTAAACCTTACAAAAATATGATCAAAATTTTATTGGATAGGAAAAATAGGAATAAAAAATAAATTATGGACCATTGATATCAAGCTAATTTTATCCACAGATTAATAAAATTATGAATTCCAACTTTTCAAATTCATCAACACCGACGCCTCAAGGAACCAGTCCAAGTCAGAATCCTGCTAACTCCTTATTTCTTCCATCTCAGCCTTTACTTCACCCAAATGTTCATACTGGAGTCAATTATCCTCCTTCCTATGTTCCTGCTTCACCGCCTTGGATTCCTCCATGCATCAATCCATATACCAACAATATTTACCCAGTCCCATACCCCTACAACCTAAATCCTTACTATCCAGCCTTAGTAAACCCTCTTTATAATCCCATTCCTGTTGGCTTAGGCCCTCCTGCATTTCCAGGTCTAATCCTAAACCCTCGCCCTCCTGTGCTCCTGAATGGTCCTCCATCAGCTTATAATCCTCTTCTTCCTTTAAAGCGTTCTCGAGAAGTAGTAAACTTTGACGACGATGAAGAACTTGAAACCTCTCAGACTCCATCAGAAGAAGTCAAAGCTGAAGAAGCTCCTCTTATAGCTTCCCTCAATTTTCTATTCAATTATATAGAGCTAAAAAACGCAGCCCAAGAAGTCCCATGTACTCTTTCACTTCAAGGTATGGACATTTCACTTGATGAGATCCAGAAAAACCGTCAAGGGATAGACCTAGTCTGTGTCATTGATATCAGTGGAAGTATGGTCGGAGAAAAAATACAGCTTGTAAAGGAGACTTTGGAGTTTCTGCTTACGGTTTTAGATAGGAGAGATAGGATGAGTTTATGTGTTTTTAATAATTCTGGAAAGAGATTGACAAAATTAGTAACCCTTAATGATAAAGGGAAATCTATACACAACTCTAGATGAATAAGATATAGATTTAGTAGTCTTGAAATTTTTGTATAGGAAAATATCCATATTATTATTTATATATGGGCTTGTTTTTTATTATAAATAGAGTAATTTCAAAAGCACTTCGAAGAATTCAGGCTGTTGGAGGGACTAATATAGCTTCTGGAATGCAGCTTGCATATAATGTGCTGAATAGTCGAAGATTTATAAACCATATCACTTCTATCTTTCTTCTAACAGATGGACTTGACAACACAAATCCCGCTGCCTCAATTACAATTAAAGGACTTTCTGATTCTTTTCAGATTAAAAGCCCTACAATTATCCATACTTTTGGTTATGGAAGAGACCACGATGCTTTGCTAATGCAAGATATTGCAAAAAATAGCAAAGGGAATTTCTATTTCGTAGAATTCCCTAAAAGTATTCCAGATGCTTTTGCAAACTGCCTTGGAGAGCTTGTGTCACTTATAGCAAACAATATAACGGTAAAGCTTGAAACCCAGGCTTGTGCTGTCCCATTTACCCTTTCCAAAGTTTTTTCAGAAAATGGTGATAGGGACTTTACAATGCCTCCAGTTTTTGCAGGTAGCAAAAAAGATACTGTATTTATGCTGAGATTTGATTCAAATGAAGCAAAAATTAATGCAACAATTCGTCCAATAAAGGCAAAAATAAGTTATGAAACCAAAAATAAAGAAAAACGGTATTTAGAATGCGAATTAGAAGTAAATGTATTATTTTGCCTTAATTTTTTGAAAAAATAAAAATTTAAGCCATTTATTAGACAAATTTAGGTTTTTTAGTATATAGCACACCCCCTGTGGTTTCTCGCCATTAAGTACCCCCTCCCCATGTCACCCACCCCGTGACGGTCCTGAAAATTTTAAATGTTAAAATATTATTTGACAAGTCCCCTCAAATATTTTAACTTGTCAAATTAATATTTAGCATGTTAAAATACTTGGGATCGTTAGAGGGTGGGTAACATGGGGAGGGGGTGCTCAAGGCCGATCCAAACTGGGGTGTAAGCTATAGTTACGGATGGAAAAGATGAAATTGAAATCAATGAAGACGTAATGGTCAATTTTTATAGAGCCAAAGGGGCAGAAATTTTAAGGGCTATTTCAAGACTCGCTGAAGAAAGAAGACTGGATGAAGCCAAAAGATTAGCAGAAGCTGGTGCTCAGGAACTAAAAAACTCTATTGTAAAGCAAAACCCAGTGATCGCTGCGCTTATTAAAGATTTAGATGACGCAAAAGCGAGGGTCGCTTCAACTCAAGCTTGGGAAATGGGAGGAAGAGCACAGGTGGTGTCTCTATTTGGAAATTATCAAAACCAAAATGCAGCAAGCAACACAATGGTGTTTCAAAATTGTCAGCAGGCAGCTTTTTCTTCTCAAGCTTCAAGTTATTTTACTACTTTTATAAATAAATGCTAAAAAATTTTATAAAAATAATTATAAATGGTTTATTTTTTTTTTAAAAAAAATAATAATCAGAAGAGTTGGTAAACGCTAATATTAAGAAATTTAAATTGAAAATGTCTCATTTTTATCAAATTGCATTGCTAGGCGCTGGAGGAGTAGGTAAAAGTGATTTAATACTTCGCTTTACACAAAATAGGTTTGAAGACTGCTATGATCCCACTGGTTGTCATAGATAGGAATGCTTTATAGTGCCGAATTCCTTAGAAAATTTTCTTGATATTGAGACATTTCTAGGGAAAATTGTTTAAATTTAGAATTTAACGTCTAGCTCCCAGAAAAATTCCATAATATCAAAATGTTCAGGTCAAAAGGCATGCATCAGATCCCACTATAGAAGACCAATATACTAAAAATTTAGAGTTGGATGGAAAAGCGGTTAAATTAGAAATTCTGGATACTGCAGGACAAGAAGAGTTTTCGCATCTGATTAATGTATATTTAGAACAAAGAGAAGCATTCTTATTAGTTTACTCAATAATTGATATGCTAATATATAAGAATTTTCATCATCACTTTTAAAAAATTATATTTAAAAATTTAAAATAACCAATTAATTACCTGAATATTTAGAAAAATGGGTTTACATATTCTTTAGAATATGTTAAGAAACTATGCCAAATGATTTTGGAGAAGAAAAGAGACATTCCTATCATGATTATCGGAAATAAAGCAGATCTGGACAAAAATAGAAGAGTTAAAATAGAAGAAATTCAAGAAATTGCTAACTCTCCCCTCTGTGGGTGAGCAAACGCACTGGAAAAATCCCTCTGTAAGCAAAAAAAAATTTTTAAAAAAATTATTTTGCTGTATAAGTAATATATAAATTGTTTTAAAAAAATTTTGTTCGCTCACAGAGGGCGAGTAAGCTGTTTAAATATTGTTCTTATATTGAAGCTTCAGCTAAATTGAATTTTAGTGTCACTGAATCATTTATTGAAATAGTTAGGCTTATTTGAAAGAAAAATGTTGATAATTTATTAGAAATAGAAGACAAAGAAATAGAAATTGAGGTTCCTCTTTTAAATCAAGACAAAGCTCTGACAAGCAGCTGCTGCTCAATAATTTAATTTAATCCTAATTTGTATATAGATTTAATAAGCCTTATAAATTTTGCCAATAATTTGAAAATGCTTTCTTAAGCAACTCAAAACCTTATAAGCAGGCCTTAGTCAAAGAATAATAACAATTCTAATAGAAATTATTTAAATCGAAATTATTCGAATCAAAATTATTTGAATCAAAATTATTCATATATTATAAATTATACCTTGCCAAATATTTTTCATAGCGAAAATAGCATTTAACGTCCATATATAGCCATTTATCGACTCAACAAGTTTTACCTCCATTTCACAATCTTAAGAGGGTGAAATGAATATTTCCATAATTTTTCTGAGCATTTAAATTGCAGAGTACTTTTCTCCATTCGCTAGCATACCATTAACTACTCTGGTATTCTTGATATTTATAAATCGCAAAAGGATTTAAATTTCGAAACTTTTTTTATGCGGTTGATCAATGGGTTGGTCAAGCATAAAACCCTACCCCCTATACCAAACTACTTCGTTTTAATAATAAAGAAATATAAGAAATGCTACAGTGTTTTCCTACGCTATTAAAATGTAATTTATAACATGTTTATAAATATATTTAATACTTTATTTATATCACTAATATGTAAAATAAATTTTAGACTACAAATAAAAGAGTTAATAGAGAAATCCGTTGAATATCGCTTAATTATCGTATTTTAAGCATTAATCTAGTAGACACAAATAAATCAATTCAAGCATAATTATGCATCATAGGCACATACAATATCTAGTATCGATTTCACTAAATTGATATATTGAAAAATTTAATGTTCTTAAATAACTTTATTACACACAAAATATAATATATTTCATCTAAATTTAATAGATATAAGTAAATTTGTTAGCCATATAAAAAATTAATATAGGGATATGAAATAATATGTGTAAAAATGCTATAAATCACATTTTATAGACATATCCCTCGCCCATATCGGGCTATCTTAGAAATATGCCTATAACAGCATAGAAGTGAAAATACTGCAATATCTCTTATTATCAATATTAGGTAGTTTGGCATTGTGGGGGTGGGTTTTATTCTTGGCCATATGGTGTCTATTATAATTTTAATAGCGATGCAAAGAAAGAACTCATCTGCCAGAATTTCTTTATCAACAAGGAAAGCAGAAGATAGTTCTCGAGCTAATAACAGTGACCGCCATCTCCCTTCATTGCATTCCCCAAGAACTGATCCTTTCCTCAATATGAAAATTTCTGATAAAAAAACTCCTTCCCTAAGACCTATATGCTTACTCTATTTTCTAACAAAAATATTTTTTTTAAAAAAATTTAATTAATTTATTTTACTTATATTTTTTATTAAAAAAATGTTAGTAAAGCATAAATTGATAAACTCTGCCAGTACATCCAAACTCAAACTTCCTAGCAAGTATAGAAGGATTGTTTTGGAGCCCTCATCCTTACAAGTGATCCCAGAACGTACTCCAAAATTAAGTGAAAGTTCAGCTAATCATGCTTATCTTCCATTTTCATCTCATATTCTAAATAGAAGATTTTCCAATCCAGCTATCCACGCTGAGTCCAAGGAGGCTTTAAAATTCGAAGATTTAATTACGAAAGAGTCCGTGCAATCAAAATACCCAAAATTCCCTCTTCCCAGAATTCTCAGCCAGTCCAATTTCCTATTATCACCAAAAACCAATAATAAAGAATTGAAGATCAATATCAAACAGTTAAATATCCCAGAGAACTTTATGTTTTCTCACCGCTCAGCGCCGAATACACACAAGAGGCCTTCAATTGTATCAAAACCTATCCACTTCAATATAAATAAACAAAACCCAGCAGAGATGTCTTTCGGTGACATTGACCAAGACTCTGCAGATCTATTTTAAGATAAAAAAAATGCAAGTTTGCAACGATAATTAAACAATTTAAATAATTAAGGCTATAAATGGAAAACTGTCTTGGTCTTTATAAAAGATAGATTTAATTAAGATATAGATTTTAGTAATATAAAAGACCAAAAAAACGTCTAGAAATAGCAAGGCTATTTTAAATCTTTTTTATTCCTACAGATATCTCAAGGAGCCATTATTTTTCATATGAATTCTATTTCCATAATCTAGAAATCTTAAAACATAATTCTTCGAAGATATTATAACAATAAAGCTTTTGATCTAAATATCAAATTAAAAATCTTTAACAATCTTACTCTCCCTTAAGATCGAACAAATTATTTGATTGCTATTAAAGAGTAGCTAATTATATTTTTTTCAACCAATTTTTTATTAAAATTTATATAATTTTTTTCTGAAATGAAAAATCTAGTCTAATTCATAAGAAATCAGTTTAAGATTGCAATTTGGTAAAATTTAATATAATTAACTAAAGATCCCGCCAAAAGAATTATTAATTATATTTATTTTACTCACTATCAAAAATAACAATTTTTCCAATTGTTTTTCTCACTCTAAAGAGCTAGTATTATTAATTCAACCAAAAAATAATGCATTTATTAATCCACTTCTCATAAATGTTTTATGCACTTTTTCTTGTATCAGGTCTTTTAGTTGAAGAGCACACCCAAGTTGAGCCTTTGACTCCTGGCGAATATACTCTCTACAGCCTAATCTCCTTAGGTCTAGTTCTCTTTGCAGGGCTAATGTCAGGTTTAACAGTTGGCTTAATGGGCATTGATGAAAATGATCTCCATTTGAAATTGGCATGTGGATCTGAAGAAGAAAGAGAGCAAGCCAAAAGACTATTGCCAGTGATAACTCAGCATCATTGGCTGCTAGTCACCCTTCTCCTTGCAAATGCTATAGCTATGGAAGCTTTACCTATTTTCTTAGGCCATATGGTTGGAGGAATTATTGCTGTAATTTTAAGCACCTTATTGATTTTTGTATTTGGTGAAGTACTGCCTATGTCAATTTTGACAGGTCCAAAACAATGAGAATTGTCAAGCAAAGCAATCCCTATAGTAAAGTTTCTTATGTATATTTTTTACCCTATCAGCAAGCCTTCTGCTTGGCTATTAGACAGGTGATTAGGGCTGAGCCATAGTAAAGGTTGGGATAATGATCATTTAAAAACCATTATAAGCTTACACGCAAGCAATGGGACGCCTGATAAAGATGCTTTTATCCCTGGCCAAATCAAATTAATCCACGGTGCTATTGATATGAAGCAAAAAATAGTAAAATCCCATATGATTGATATCAGCAAAGTTTATTGTTTATCATCAGATTTAATTTTAACAAAAAGCATGCTAAAGTCAATTACACAAAAAGGACATTCAAGGGTGCCTATTTATTATAAAAATAACCCACAAGAGATTATAGGGATTTTATTAATGAAAAATCTAGTGGGAATTGATGAAAATTGTACTATTGAAAGCTCAGGAATAAAGCTAAAAGAAGCTATGTTTGTGAAGCAAGAAACCACGATTTTAGATATGCTAAATATGCTGCAGCAGCAAAATAAACATATGGCTTTTGTGACGGAAAGCGATAATAAAAGAATTATTGGGATAATTACTATGGAAGATGTCCTAGAAGCTATATTAAATGCAGAAATTTTAGATGAGGAAGATTATGATAGAATTTCTAAAATAATGAAAAGCACTCCACCAAGGTCAAGATCTGGGAGTAAAGATGGGCTGCAATATACAAAGAAGAATTTATTCAAACCATTCAGCATTTCGCAGGGAGATGATTATCGTCTTATGGAGCCATAAATAATTTATAAAAAATTTAAGAATTTTACTATCGTTATTTGCAGATTTTTGAACTTTACAACCTAAGTGTGGAATTTTTTCCGCGTGTGAAAAGGTGTTTTTCACGTGTGGAGCCCTTTTGATTTCGCATGTGGAATCCTCTTTTCACACGCGGAAAAAATTCCATACTTAGGTGGAAAAGTTCAAAAATCTGAAAATAACGATAGATTTTATAATAAACTTATACAAAATTTCACTTTGAATTTTTTGAATGAAAAATATTTAAAAATTAAATAAAAATGTTTAATGCAGCATACTCTAGACTATCAGAAGAAGAAAGGAGAATCCTAGAAGCTTATCATGATAAAGGTAACCAATATATAGTAACACAGTGCCAGTCTAAGCTATTATCTGGTGATAATTCAATGGAGACGAAATTAAGCCCACGATTAGGAGACCCTCCAGCCAAAGTGCTACCAACTTATATTTTTAATGACAGCGAAACTCCTCGACCTATTGATATTCCAAGCCAAAGGCTCCGCAAAGAAGATTTGATTAAAAGCTCTGAAACGTTAACTCAAGACTCCACTAGTAAATCAACCTCCAGGTCATTTAGAACACAGCAAAGAAAAGTAACCCCTAAAAGGCAAGCACAAGTTAAAACGACACCGAAATCAGCAAGGCCATCAAGCAGAAAAGGAGTATCAAATCCCTGCCAAATGGGCTAGACTTGCTTTGCCTACCACATGGTCCACCTGCCGGGACCCTTGAGACAAGTTGCTTGCCCGCTAATGACAGTTTAGTCGTTTAATGTATTTATAGCCAAGTAAAACCAAAAAAGCCAGCAAGACCACAGTCTGCAGCAAGCTCTTCTGCAAAACCGAAGCCGATGTTTAATATCTCCAATATCCCCAATTTCAAATACGAAGTTGAAAAGCTGCTGAGAGCGGTATTTAGGCACTCTGTAAACTGCCCTGATATGAAAGAAGAATTAAGAAAAATAGGTGGAGTGAAGCTGCTTGAAGAATATATTAAATGCAGACATGCAGCGAATACTTAGAGATTCGCATTATTAAGTTAAAATAATTATTATTTTTGATTTATTTAAGATTATACTGATAATTTATGAAACCAGGAAAATTAATAGTAAATTTCTCATCAAAAATACTGAAAATGCAATATAATAAATTATGCAGTCCAAGCTTATAGGGACCTGGCTACTCTCAACTTCAGTCGGAGTGTTTGGCCTAATCACACTTGGAGGCTACACTCGCTTAAAAAGAGCAGGCCTCTCTATGGTCGACTGGAAGCCTTTAAATGTAAGATATCCTCAAACTCAAGAAGAATGGGCTATGGAGTTCAAGCGCTATCAAGAATTTCCAGAATATAAATCCTCTAATTGCGATATATAAGATATTGGCTATTTTTTTTAAATTTATTTTAAAATAATATTTAAATAATTTTTATATTACAGACGCTAAAAAAACACTTAAAATATTATAGAAGAATTTAAAGAAATTTATTTTATTGAATATGCTCATAGAGTTCTGGCAAGATCGATGGGATTATATTTAGCTGTACCAATGGGAATTTTCTGGTGGGGTGGACGCTTTACACCTGCATTTAAGCCCAAAATGCTTGCACTGTTAGGATTTTTTGGATTCCAAGGAGTATTAGGATGGTGAATGGTAAAAAGCGGCCTTGAGGATAAAGATTATGAGCACCGCGTAAAGGTTGAGCCTGTAAGACTTATAAAGATTTACAGTGGTTTGCCTATATAACTCCAAGTCATTTTTCTACTGGAAAATTCAAAGAAAACCGTATACTACTCATTTAGGATTTGGGGCAGGTCTTTTTGCATATATTTCATATTTAGGGTTTTCATGTTTTAGAAAGTCCCCTGAAGAAGTATTTAACACAGCAGAAAAACTTAAATCTGCATTAAAAATCAGAACATGGCTAATAGGCTCCCTTTGGATGACAGGTATTACAATAATAGCAGGAGCCTTAGTAGCTGGCAGTGATGCTGGCAGAGTTTTAAATAATTATCCTTGGTATGGCGACGACTGGGTATACCCAAAAGATTTGTTAGAAAAACAGCCATGGTATACAAATTTTTATGAAAATAGGTCTATGATACAGTTCGTGCATAGAAATCTTGCATATTTGACCTATGCAAAGATATTTTTAACATGGAGAACTGCTAGACTTTTACCTTTGTTGCCTCCGTCGGTGAGATTCGGAATTAATGGGGTTTTCTTGCTGTCAAATCTCCAAGCACTTTTAGGAATTACCACATTAATGAGAGGATGTCCGCTACCAGAATCTTTATCCCACCAAGGAAATGCACTACTTTTGATGGCAATGATTCTTTTTAGCTTAAGCGGAGTAAGGAAGCCACCTCAAGAATTAATAACTAAATTATTAAAACCAGCTTAAATAGAGAAAAAATATTAATTTTTATTTTTAATTGATAATTCAAATTTTAAGAAACGCTTAATTCAAAAAAACCCTCCTTATACTCAGAATTAAAAAAAATTAAATTTTCTCAGTAAACAAACAGCTTTTTAATAAATATAATGGATTCTTCACAATATATCAATTACTTATTAACTTATAAATGAAGAGTTTTAATCTGGTATACATTTTAGCTATTTCAAACTTGGCAAGAGGATGCAGCCAGCTTTGTACGGCATGCTCAACTATAACTGGAGTCTGAATTGTAAACAATTGCACTAATCAATATTGTCGTGCTAAAGATTCAGATTGTAATAATAATTGTGTAGCATGCTTAGTTGATAGTCTTCCTCTTTCCTGTGGTCTTATTTCAAGTTCTAATGAATATTGCGAAAACTCTGCGGTATAAAACTATATAGAGCACTTGTGGAGGCAGTACTCAAATCTATAATTCTGCAGCAGGCTCTATTACTCTGCCAACACAAATAGGCCAGTTACAAGTCTGTGAGTGATTTCTTGACCTCCGAAAAGTATTTTCCTCCCAAGACAATCATTATGTGGATGTTAAAATTTTATTTGAGAGCCCGAACCAAAATGATATGGTATTTTTTATTCAGAATATCGGTAATTTAACAATCTGAGCTTATGATATATATACTTTTGAAAATCCTCCGAAACTATCTACACTATCTCCTATTAAATTTACATTGCAGCCTGACAGCTTAGCGTCAATGCTCGCTGAAAGACTCATTAAAGCTGATTATTTATCCTATATAAGGTGAATTTATTTTATATATAAATGATTTATTTTTTAATTATATTTGTAGGAAGTCATTATAATAATTGATTATACCACTACAAAATCATATTCCTCATATGCAGGGATCCATATTACTTGAGTCTCTCAGGTCAGTAGTTCTAGTAGCAGTAACGTTGACCAAGTATTAACAATCGTCGCCTTAAGCCTTTCAGTGTTTTTTACACTGGTATGCAGCATTACAGTAGCATGGAGGATTATCCGTACAATAAGAAGAAGAGACAGAATCATTGACGGCGCTAGAGTTGTGTATCCTCAAAGTATGGGACGAGCAAGGGAATATGAAGTAATTCCTGACGACTCAGCTATTATTTTATCTGAAGATAATATCGAACGGTATATGCCGAAGTCAAAATATACTCCAGATCTTGTAGAAGTTGGAGAATGCACCTGCTGCGTGTGTTTTGAGGAGTATTAATTATTTATATTTACCAAAATAAATACTTTTTTTAAATTTTTTTTAATAAAATTATTTTTTATAAAAAAATAGGTATGATTTATTAATAAAAAATATAGACTTTTATAAAGGCTTAGATTTAAAGAAGACATAGAAGTAAGAAAACTCCTGTGTAAGCATGTTTTTCATGCAAGCTGTATAGAAGACTGACTTGTTTCACAAGGAGGGATCCCCAAATGTCCATTATGCAAACTTAACCCGTTTCAGCCTTTATTTCCACCAGAAAACGCTCATGAAGATGCTCACGAAGAAGTTCATGAAGAAATTCATGAAGAAGCTCAAGTAGAAGTAAGATTAGCAGCCGCTGAATAATTCATTATGTATTCATAAATTTTTCATAGCAATTCAGACACAAACAATTATCATTTTTCCAGTTTCTGTTTAAATATAATTTCTTAATACTAAAATGCCCTGAAAATATTAATTGAAATATTATTTAGTTAGCTGGCTTCTATAGTCCTTGAATTCTCCTTTAAATCTTCTAAGTCGCTTCTTTTTAATCACCCAAATTTCATCACAGACTGAGCTTACGAAATGCTGGTCGTGGCTAATGATTAAAACGCCTCCTGAAAATGTGTCTAAGGCCACAATGAGAGCATTGACTGCATCAATATCTAAATGGTTAGTTGGCTCATCTAAAAACAAAATGTGTGGCTGCTTGAAGGCGACTGCAGCAAAGGCAACTCTTGATTTTTGTCCTCCAGACAAAAAGCAGATGGGTCTTAATGCAAGGTTTCCGGTGATTCCAAATGATCCTAACTCCTCTTTCCCTTCGTAATAGTAATAGTAAAAATTTTTTTTTTCGAAATTTAAAAAAAATCCCAATTCGAAAAAATTGGATGCGAAAATTAATTTAATTTGTAAATTTAGGTTCTAAAATAGAAGCCGTTTTAAATTCACAGAATTAGCCAGAGATTTATTGTGCTATATTTCACAATATTTTTCAAAAAAAAATTTTGTTCGCTCTTTTTTAACCCAAAACATAAGATTCACTGAGGTGTAAGTGGGCTCGAATTACTTCCGAAGGGGTGTTTGGATACTGCTTAGCGAGCTGCTCTAGTGGGGATGATGATAGATCAAGCTGGTCAATGTGATGCTGAGTAAAGGTTCCAACCCTAAGCCTTCTGTGCTTATAATAATTTCCGTTAGTTAGGTGTAGTTCTTCGTTTAAGATTTTTAGAAGTGTTGTTTTTCCACAGCCATTTCTACCCAAAATTGCCATTCTGCTGTTCATGTCGATATTTATATTGATTTCTGATATTAGCATATCTTCTGGTCCATACCCAAAAGACCCATCGTCAATTCTAACTTCCTAGCCTAAAGAACAAAAATTTAAAATTTTACAATGAGCAAAACGCTACTATAACTCTATAATTAAAATTTTTTTAGCGCTTCTAAATATGATTCTTAATCATTTTCCTGCTAATATTTCAAAAACCAAATGCAGAATTATATATTTTGTTAATTATTTTAATTGTATATTTCATTAATTATACGGGGATAAGTAAAGGAGCAGCCAAAGGTTCAACATCCGGGAACTCAAACACACAAGTAGGGTCATCTATTACATCTTCAATAATTTCCATCTTATTCAATGCTTTAATTCTTGACTGCACCAACGACGCTCTTTTTGCATTGTATCTAAATTTATCAATGAATTTTTGTATATGATCAAGTTTCGCTGCTTGGCTGTCATGCTGCTTTTTCTGATTCAGAAGCTTCTCATTCCTTGTGCGTTCAAAAGTATCATAGTTTCCTTTGTAATAAAATATCCTTTTTTCCCTTATTTTGCCTCAAATATTTACCTTAAAACTGTATTGCGCTAAAAAACATTACAATGCATAAACTTTCACTATAAAAATGAATAGTATCAGTTGTGACGTTATTTAAGAAATTTCTATCATGAGACACCACAATTACTGTATTTTGATAGGAATTTAAAAAGATTTCAAGCCAAACGACAGTTTCTAAGTCTAAATGGTTGGTAGGCTCACACAAATAAAATGGCGGCGACACCGACCCGTCCTCTCCCGGAACTGAGGCGAGATTGGGGACCTTGCTGCGGCCTGAACCCAATCCGCCCAGGGAAAGGTCTGGAATGGGTACTGGTAGTTTGTGTCCGGCTAGGTTTCCCTCCCAGTCCAGCAACGACGATCCTAGGGTCGTCCCGATAGGACACGAAGCAAAAAGGGTTTTTCCTCTAGGGACCGCTAGTGCCAATTTGGAGGGCATGGCAGGAGCCGACAAGAGCTAAGGAGTTAATCCTTAGCTCTAACCCTAGTCTGGCGACGTGAAGCACGGTGACCCAGTCCGCCTACTTCCGGGATAGCATGACTAAGCCCCATGACCGGAAGGAGCTGAGCGGTAGCCTGTGGGCACTTAGGTGCACACTGGGAGCAGGGCAAGGAAAGCAAGCGAGGTGTCCAAAAGGCAGAAGAAAAGGACATTCGGTCCTGGCCGGGAGCTACTCTATAAATTTAACTAAGACTAGGACTAGGTTGGTAGGCTCATCAAGAAGAAGTATATCAGGCTTGCAAAATAGCCCACGAGCAAGAGCAAGACGCATTCTCCAGCCTCCTGATAGCTGTTGTGTTGGAGTATTCATAGTATCTTGTGTAAAGCCTAGACCTGATAAAATTGATGCAGCTCTGCTTTCAGCTGAAAATGCATCAATTAATGATAATCTTTATCGTTTAATTATCAATAAAACTAAATTTTTTTATAAAAAGTACTATTTATATAAAATTTTATAGCTGCTCACTTATTTTTAGATATTGTTCTGGGTCGTCTTGTGAGTTGTTTAAAGCTTTTAAGAGATCTTCTCTTTCAGAATCTGTTTCTAGCAAAGTTTGTAATGCGCCTTTTTCATCGCCAGTTATTTCTTGTTCGACATATAAAATATATATATGTTTTGGAATTTTATCAATTTCTCCCAATGCCATGGCACTAACTCCCCTTCCTAGCTTTGTGAGCTAAACCATTATAAAATATTTAGTATAAATTTTTTAGTATAAGCTATATTTTAATATATGATTAACACTGAAATCTCATGAAAATTATATTATATTTTAAATAATTTCATAAATTAAATTAGATTTTACTTTTCAAATATTTGAAAATTTGGATTTTTTAAACTCAAAATCATTTTATATATATTTTTATAGAAAATTTTTGATACCCCAGGCTAGCAAGCAAAAAGAACTGGAGTAAGTAATGATGTTTTTCCTACACCATTTCTTCCTATCAGACCATATTCTTTTTTTCCTACTTAATTCCATTTTATTCTCTAATTATTTATAATATAAATTCACTATAAATTAGTATATCTTCTGCCAAATGCGATTTTTATTGCTGCATTTTCCAATAAAGTTTTCCCTCCAACCATAATAGAAAATCTATCGACCATGATATCTAAGCTTCTGCTTTCACCTCTCTTATGCATCACTTTAGGTGGAGGCAGTGGCTTATGGATTTGCTTCATCGGAAGATTTTTTATGACTTCTTCTTCTTTCATCCTTTTGTTTTTTGGGAGTTTCCATAATTTTTCACCTGAGTTTGTGTTGACGGATGCTTTTTGAATGCCGAGGAAAGGATCAATATAGTCTGCAGTGATGCTTTCTGTGGATATACCAATATCAGAGATCGGTAAAATTTTGTATAATTAATATGCCTTTATGATTTTTTTTTAAAAATAAATTGATTTTTATAAAATAATAATAAACCCTCAGAGATCATGATACCAGACGGCATTTGCTGTGCCACGATTCTTTCAACACGCTCCTGGCCTTCGATTCCTTGTGCTTTTAGTTTGCTTCATAGGTCATCTGCTATCCTTTTGTTTTCGCTTTCAGATTTTGTGAAGCCATCAGTAAGAAAATCTTGAAGAAGATCATAAAGTTCTTGTGCACTGCTCGGAGGGTCTTCGATGATCATTCCTGACATGTAGGAATAGCATCGCTCTGGAATGTCAAGATGTGAGCAGACTCTTCGAATGATGCTCTCGACCTCTTCTTCCATTTATTAATAAGTAATAGAGATTTACAATTCAGCTGAAATTCGCTGATTTTTGTGAGATGCTTTGATAAATTAAATTGAGTAAGTCATAAATAATATTTATTGGAGGATTATGATAATTTTGTTTTTAATCCTCCCTTTAATTGGAACAAAATATTTGTAAATTCTCATTTTTGGTGACTTTAACCCCCTTTTAAATTGAAAAAAAAAATTAAATGGTAAATTTTATAGCAAAAATACTAATTTTTATGCCTAATTTAATGAGAAGTACTGTTTAAACAGTTTCTACAATAAATTGATTATATTTTTAATTAAATAAAATTAAAAATATATTTTTTTTAAATTTAACTTAAAAAAGTAAGCTCCTTTAAATTGAAAAATTTAAATGGGAGATAATAATTTTATGGTTTCCTTGCTTATTTAAAGTTGTTATAAATATGAGTGGAAATTCAGATAGATTTAAATCAAACAGTGACCGCTATTTAATTTCAAAGCCTAACCCATATATAACCAATTTATAGTTTTAGCTTACTTGACTGCCAAATTCGCTTCTATCATCTGAGCTGGCAAATTGAAATAATAAAGATTTTTAAACTAATTTGATTTACCAAAAAATAAATTCCAGCAAAAGCCAAAGCCATCCCTATACTATACTGAAGAGTCTAATAAAAACCAATGGCAATCTCCTACTTCTCCTCCTGCTTTTTCTCCTAAATATAATTCTTTAGCAACAAATTCAATTCAAGCTCGTCATACAATGCCAGATTTAGGTTTCGATTTGAATGAAGCCTCAACACCATGGAGGAAGCAAAATCAATTTTCGCTAACTTCTCCACAAAATAAGTCAAGGTCGTTGGAAATTAAAAACCAGCTGGAACATGAGCTAAAACGGCTGGACCAAGCTTTTACGTTTAACTACGATGAAGACGCATCTCTAATACAGTCCGCAAAATATATAAAGCAGGCTGTTGATAGAATCGTGTATGAAAAAGAAAGAATTAATCAAGAAGCAAATAGGTTATCACAAGGAAGACAGATAGAATTAGGAAATAATCAATATAGAAACAGCAATTTTGCAATAGAAGAGCTTAGATCTAGCTTAATCCTTTAATATTATTTAGAGTTCAATTAATTTTATTTTTAATATAATTTTTTATTTAAATTTTCGGAGATTTAGAGAATCAAAATAATCAAGCCGCACAAGAATTAGAAAAAATAAAAAAAACCCAGCATCAGCTGAAGAGGTATGAATCGATACTGAAGCAAAAAGAAAAAAACTTAAAGGACCAAGAAATTCATCTAAATTATGAAAAAGCAATGGGTGATAAAGAAAAAAATGAAATTAGGCAAGAAAGAGAAAAATTGATGCATGAAAAAGAAGAAAATCAAAAAACTTTGGCAATAATAAATGAGGAAAAACAAAAACTCAATATTCAAATGACAAAATTAGATAACAGATTTTCAGAAATTAAGCAGGCTGTAGGAGATATTGAAAAGGGGCCAAAAGTCGCTAAAGAAAATCAAAACGCCCTTATAGAGCTCGAAAAACAAAAACTCGAATTTTTAGCAGAGTGCCAAGAAAAATCTGAATGGTTTTCAAAAGCAGAAGAAAGCTTGAACGAAAAAGAACAGATTTTAAATGCCCAGCAAGAAGAATTAAATACCCTCTCACAGTCTTTACAAGTTTTGAAATCTGAATTAGAAAAGCAGCATCAATCTATAACTTCACATCTGGAGTCCCAAAGCAAAGCTATCCAAAATGAAGCCAAAGCCTTAGAAACTATACTCTAAGTCCTTTTTAAAGTCAATTTATTTATTTATTTTTTAAAAATTTTCTATAATAATATTATAAGGTATAAACAAAAAGAAATAGAAATGACATTCAAAACGCTCAATGACGAGCTGAGAAAAGTAGAAATAATGAAAAAAAGCTTGGAAGAGCAGAAAAAGTCGATGGAACAAGAAGAAAAGAAAATAAAAGAGCATTATGTAGAGAAATTAAATGAAGCTATCAAAATGAATGAAGAAGCCCAAGAAAATATGAAGCTTTTGGCAGAAAAAGAAGTATTTATTGATGAAGTGATCAAAAAAATAAAGGATGAAGAAGAGGAGTTCGAAAATAGATGAAAATATCTGGAGAATGTAGAAATGATGAAAGAGGAGCTGGAAAAAGTTAGGATGATGTATGAAGATGCAGATAATGAGCTAAGAAAAAGAGAAGAAGAGCAGAAAGAAGCAATTAAAGAGATTAAAGAAAGAGAAGAAAAACTGGATCTTACTCCTGCTTTGTCGAGAATTTAGTTAAATAATCATATTTTTTATATTAAAAATTATTTTTTTAATTAAAAAGAGCAAAGAATTAGGCAAGAAGATCTGCAAAAAAATAATAAAAACACCAGATTAAATGACAAAGCTGAAGAACTTTATGAAAGCTTACTCCCCCCCTCCGTGAGTGAACAAAAACATTGGAAAAATCGCTATTTTTTGCCCAAGAATCCACACTCCGTGAGTGAACAAAATTGTTTTAATAGAAAAATTTTTTATGGAAAAAAAATTTGATATATAAGTGATAATTAGTATAATGAAATCTCGAGCTAATTCTGTTTAGTTTTAAACAAATTGCGTTTTAAAATATAAATTTTACAAATTAAAATTAATATTTGCTTGAAGTGAGATTTTTTTTAAATTTTGAAAAAAAAAATTTATAAAAAATTTATATATAAATTTTGTTAAAAAAAAAAATTAAACCCCTCCGTGAGTGGACAAAATTTTTTTGTTCACTCACGGAGGGGGCGAGCTAGAAGAAAAACTTCAGTTTATATTACAAAAAGAGTCTGAGCTTCAAAGGATGCAAGAATTTATTGAAAAAGATAGAGAAGATATCGATAAAACAGCAGATCTACTGCAGAAAATCCATAGCGAGCTTAGTGAGCAGCGGGAGCTTCAAAGCTTAGAGGAAGAAAAAATCAAGCAAGACAAGATAAAAATTCTAGAAATGATTCAAAAATTAAACGATGAGACAGCTTCTTTAAGATTAAAAGAAGAAGAAATTTTAGAAAGAGAAGAATTTTTGCATGCAAAAGAAGTTGAATTTCAGGAAAGGGAAAACAAATCTGACAGAGGAAATATAGACACTAATGAAAGCGGAGAGTATAGTGACCAAAATGAAGGCTCTGAGCCTGAAGAAAGAACATCAGTTCTTGATGAGGATTCTCAAGATATCCAAAGATCTGAAGCAGTATAAAATAATTTTCATTTATTTAATAGTTTGAAAATTTAATTATTTAAGCCAGTCCTTACAAATTTTATAACTTTGAACGAATATATATTTGAAATGCATAAGTTTAAGTCTCCATAAATATTTCTTTTTCTTTAGCTGCATGATTTTCTAAATCAATCCTTTCAACTACTTCTGTCTCGATTTTGCTTTGCTCGTCTTGCTTTTTAACCATTTTTTTGGCTCCCAAATAAGTAACTGTATAAAAAATTGTTGCTACTCCATGAAACAGTAAAGTTGATAGCGCAATTGTAGCGCCCTCTTCAGCACAGGTATGAGCCCGATATCTTTTATCATACCCTCAATCAAGGTGCTTACAATGATCTTCATAAACACACCACGTAAGCCCATGCCACAGAATAACAGCAAAAAAGTAAAATAATAGCGATATCCAAATGCAAAAATTCTTACTCCCCTTGCGTTAGCGAGCAAAACCATTGGAAAATTGCCTATTTTTTGGTAAAAGCGAATAAATTTTTTTTTTAAGAAAAATTATTTTGATATAAGTAATAGTTATTATAATAAAATCTTTAACTAATTCTGTTAAATTTTAAACAACTTGAATTTTAAAACATAAATCTTACAAATTAAATTAATATCTGCTTTAAAATTATTTCGAATTATGAATTTTTTAAAAAATAATTCCTAAAATTTTATATATTATTTTTTTTTAAAAATAAACTAGTTTTCACTCCTTTAGCAAACCAAATATCATGGAGGGGGAATTAATAAAAATAATTTTAAAAAAAAAATTAAAAAATTTAAAAAAAATTATTTTTATCCAATATGTCAGCACAGAAAATCATAAGATTTTTATTTTTGTGAACATATCTAAATAAATTATCAAAATTGTGGCAACAAGCATAAACATTGAGATTGAGGAAAATAGTATCATAATTACTCCTGATGCATAGAGCTTGTGAAATGTACGGCATTGTCCTATTGATACGCTGGAATCTACTCTACCATTTTCGCAATCTTCTCAGTACTCGTAGAATTTTTAAAATGCCGTGATCTGGCGTCTCTTCTGGTGATCCGTAAGTTGACCGGGTCTAGAGGAGAAGAGCCTTATTGAGGCAGTTGAGATAGAATTTTTGGTCTTGGACAGACCTCGACCTTTTTGTCATGGCTTGCAGATGTAATGTCATTCAGCACTACATGGGGCATTACCGAGACTGTCATACAACTCAGGAAGGCCATGAAAAAGGCAATCGCAGTCTAACCATACTCCGAGCCCTATTAGATGTTAATGGATTCTTTTCATCTGGTGTGACCAGAAGACGGGTAGGCAATGTCCCCGACGAGAGACCTCCTATGTCACAATTTTTTTATTGATATAGAGTAAAAGGGCAGGTGTGAGGATAGGTTGGCTTCCGCATATTGGTAAAGCAGTCACCAGAATCCCTTAGGGGATTCACCCTCTTTTTTAACGTCAATAGGGAGAACTTGTTTGAGTAAGATGGCTCACCAAGCGATTTACGGCTCGAATATTACCTTTCCACCTGACGCCATAGCACCAGTGAAGTAGGATTTCTGTGTCTCCGTCTCCTACTTGCCTTTTCAGCTCCAGTGTTGAGTGGAAGGCTATGGACTTCCGCGGCATGCTGCTTGGGTTGAATTTAGGTTGTCCTCACAAAATCCCCAAAAAAAATGGAAATATCTGACACTTTGGGCATAAATGAAAAATTCAAAGCCTGTTGAGTAGCTCCCATTTTCACGTAAGGAAGATGCTCGAATTGTCAAGGCATTGCCTGTAAAAACACTGCTGGACGTTCCCTTTTCAACTCTGAACCTACCTTTTCCCTCGAGGTAAAATCCAATCCAGAAAGCAGACTATGCCTGCCAAATTGTCTAGCTGTCCATTTCTAGGTTGTTTAAAACTTTGCCTGCTATAAATAAACTGTGCCCAAGGCTGCATTCCGGGAGGCAATGCCCGAGCCGAGACGCTAATTTATTTATATCAGGCAAGAGGATAGCACTTGCTATAACGCGAAGCTATCTGTGGACGGAAAGGGGTTGAAATAATCTTAAAGACCTTTTAGAAATTTGATTTAACCTAATCTCAGTACTCGTGGTAGCTTTTATCATCAGAAAAATGATGGGAATCTGGGGTTGGTCTTAGGATTCCACCTTCTCAAGATGTTGAGCCTTCCCCTTGTCTAAACCAACGCGTTTGCCCTAATGCAGCAATTTCTAGCCCTATGATTAGATGGAGCATCAACATATGTGTAAGCCAGACACAAATTCTTAGATAAGCCATTGCTTTGAGAACCATTTTTATAATCAGATTTATGATAAGGATGGATATAATGCAAAATAATTGATTTTTATCAGTAAAATAAAATAACTTACTCCCCTTTAAATTGGAACAAAAATTCTTGTTCAAATTTAAAGAGGGGCTAATTTTTTTCGATCCAAATTAAAAATTTATATTTTCATCTATTTAAAATTTTCCATTTGAAAAAATTGTTTTAATTAAATTACCCAAAAATAAAAATTTTACCTATCTGCTTTTCTAATTTAAAAGGGGGGTGAATAAGCTGGCTATTATCTGTATGAATAAGCAATATAGAAATAGTAAATTGTACCTCAGGGGGATAAGTGCTGCAACAATGTTTATTTAAGTATTTAAGCAAATGCAAAATTCTAGCATTGATTTATAACATTTTTCCTATGGCAAGTCCGTCTCTATTTAATATATAGAATTTTTTACAGTGGAAACCCTCTTTTTGTGAACATTTTCTGTTTCTGACCATAAAAATTGATATAATTACTTTATTGCGATAGAAGTGTTGGGCTCTTACCATTTTTTAATTTAATATTAATCTTAATCTTTCACACGCTTGCCATAATGAAAATTGCCTTGATTTTATCAACACTCTTATTTAGTAACCCATCTCACTTTCTTTTTTTCTTTATTTTCTATTCTTTTTCTGCATTCTAGCTCTCGATTTATTTCTATCCAAAGTCTTTTGCATTAAAAAGTCGCTTTTCAGCATAAAAATTATTAATTTGCAGTGTAGTTATTAAAAGTGCTAGCTCTCCCTATATTTTAGAACGATCAAGACCATTGGAAAAATCCCTATCTTTGAAAATTAACCTTCCAATTAACAGCAAAATAATTTTAATATAAAAATTTTGATAAAAATAATAGCTGCTATTACGAGATATATATTTTTAATTTTATTAATTAAAATAGATTTCTTTTCAAAATACTTGCAGATTTGGATATTTTAAAATCCGAAAAAAAATATTCCCATATGCTAATTACTAAAAAGATATTATTTTCCAGAGAAGTATTTCTCAAAAAACTATTAAATTCAATTTTCAGCTAAAAATCTTAAAAAATTGACCCTCTTGAAGAGCAACAAAAGAATTTAATATCATAGAAGAGAGAGTAAGTAAGCATGATGAATGATTATGAAAAGTCTAATTTTCTATACAAAAAGTTAAGGTATAATAAATCTATATTCAGCTCTATAATTCTTGAATATAAACTTAAATAAGCTTAGAATTCGATTTTAAAAACTAGATTTATCAAAAAATCCAAGCTAAAAGTGTTTCCTGTATTTTAATGAGAAAATTAAAGATAAGTCAAATTGGAATTAATGAAACTCTTCTATGAATTAATAACTAGGTTTGAAAGATTAATGAAGTGAATATTTAAAACTCATACTTACTCTTACTCTCTCTCCGTTAGCGAGCAAAACCATTTTAAAAATCCACCCTCCGTTATCGAACAAAAAAATGTTTAAATGTAAACTTTTTTAATATATAAGTGACAAATATTATAATAAAATCTCTAGTTAATTCTGTTTAATCTTAAGCGTCTAGCATTTTAAAATATAAATTTTAAAAATTAATATTTGCTTTAAACTCATTTCAAAAAAAAATTATATAAAACATATATTTTCATTATATATTTGGGTAAATTTGGAGAAAAGGAGCTTTGAAAATTTTTAAAGAAAAAATAAAGATTTTATAATATGTAAGCTAAAAATATTGCTAATGACAATTTACTCCATATCTATGCCACTTTTATACATTCTCTATATTGAAATCTAATGCATCAAGTAAAAATAGGCCTAATAATGTATTTTTATACTTAAATAAAGGGATGATATATAAACTAAAGACTAATAAGAGATAAATATGCATACACAAACTTTTATGCCAAATTACAAAATATATTAACCTATGAGAATCAATCAAAAAATATATTGGTATTTTTAATAGAATTTCTATTTAATTACTCATCTAATTTATCATTGTCCTTTAGACAAACTCGAGCCACAAAGTGTTTAATTCTGAAAATTTTGGTATTTGGAATCATAGCTATAGAGTCATCTAGAGCTAAATAACGATCGATATCATGCTCCCGTGGCTTAATTGCAAAATTTTGGCGCTTTGTCTTAGACAAAGAGCTTCATTTCTCACTGTGATTATTCTTTATATGTCTGTTCAATCCTTTTTTGTACTTGTAAGTATTATTGCAAAACTCGCATCTGTAAGGTCTTAAATCGCTGTGGGAGCTCATATGTCGCTTTAAAAATTGATGTGTCTTGAACCCAAGTGAGCAAACTTCGCAGATATAAGGGCGAAGATCGGATACCGTATCCATTTTATTTTTATCATGACTACTTCATTATAGCTTAGATAACCCTGGTATATATATCTCAATGATCTTCTAAGTGCTAAAATTCGGATTTAACTATAATTATCATTATTTAAAATTTTAAATGATTTTTAACTTTATTTTATTTAAATTTCATGAAAAATTTCAATTGATTTTCCTTATACGAAATTTTAATAATTATAAACCTATTATTATTAATATTAAAATTTACTCAATTATACTTAATCAGCATACCATTATGAAATCCGCATATCAATCTTAATTCCAATTAATTTGAATTTAACGTATTAATTATGAGACCACACATAAATAAAAGCACATCAATCCGGAAGCTAACAAAACAAAAATCAACTTCTAAAAGCACTCAAACTATAATTGGGGCAAATAACCACATTTTTTCGAAAATTCAAACCCGGTTTCCTTCAGTATCTTCGCATAGATCATATACATGAAAATGGCGACGGCGAACCAGCCCTTTTTCTCAACACCTGTAGCTGGCGTTCGCTGGGGACCTCGTGGAAGGGAAATAGGCGCTCGGTGTGTGTATCCGGCTAGGTTTTTTCCTTGGCACAGTAGAGCGCAACGTCGAACTAGGTCGACCACAGCTCATTCTGACACCAAGTTTTTTGCCTCAGGGTAAATGAATTTCCAAGGTTGGAAAGGGGAAGCTCAGCAGCACCAAGGACACCCACTTGGTCCCATGGGCAACTCCCTGGCGTGAAACTGGACGTTAGGTCCCAGGATTGGATTTCATTTTGGCCGACAGTCCTATCAGACAATTTATTTTTCAAATTTTAGGAATAGGCAACCTCTGTTGACGTACTGCTAGGTGGCGTAACTCATCCAACTACGGGTAGCGAGCGCGCATCCTCGTCCAGTAGGAGCAACATCTTGAAGGTCTTGATCGATTGGTGGCGATCAACCGGGTGAAGCGTTAGGGGTGAAGTTAGACCAAGGGCAACCTTATGTAATACGACTGGCCTCTCAATAATAAAGTTAATGTTAATGTTAATGTTAATGCTATCTTCGCATAGATCACTATCCATCCTAAAGCCTCGTGAAAATTTGTTAAGAAAAGACTCAAAATCTGTGGAGCCTCCAGACTATTCATGTTCAAAAACAAGGTCTCCTGAGCCTTTTTCTCCTGACCAAAACTCAATCTGTACCTCAGCTCTTGATCTTGACTATCAACGGCTTGAGTATTTAGTGAACAAAAATAATTCAGCAAGGAAAAATTTGCTGACTGTACAGCAGCAAATAATAAATTTAAATGCAAAGCACAAAATGCGTGATAAATTTCATTTAATTCAAGAAACTGATGAAAATATCAATCATAATGATATAAAAAAGCCAAATTTGACGATGAAGATAGATTTGGCTTTTCAGTACAAAAGCAGTGTTCTTTCGACTCGCCAGCGTTTAAAACTGCCTCCAATTGATAAAGATATAACTAATATGTAAATAATTGATTAATCCTAATACATATTTATGAGAAATCTCTGGCCTTTTCATCATCAGAACTTCTCAGTTCCGAATGCGGTCGGAGTTTCCACTGACCAGCACAAAATTTTCTTGTTATCTGGGACTAGTGAATTAGTAATTATAGACAAAAAATCTGGCACAAAAGAGCTGATTCCTTTAGATGAAGAAATTGAGGATTTGGTAAACATGACTTACTTGCAATTAGAAGAAAATCTTATATACTTTATTTAATAAATAAATAAAAATGTTTAGTTTCTAGGTATTGGAGGCTAATTAAGGCAAATCTCTATATTTATTTCTGCAAATGGCTCACTTTATTCATACAGCTTCGAGACAAAAGAAACTTCCATTGAAGGCGAAATAACAACTGGGATTTCAGCAGCTCAATGGGCACCCTCTCAAGAACATTTAGTGATTTTCGCGAAAAATGGAAGCTTACTGATCCATAACTCAGAATTAGATTTTATTAGAGAAGTTAAGCTTGATTTAGGACCAGAAGCTACAGTTAGCTGGAGAGGAGACAGCAAGTTTTTCGTTGTGTGTGGCCAAGCTGAAGGCGGAAATAAAGCCTTGACTTTTGCAGCAAATGGAGATTTAGTTGAGTCTCATTTCAAGTCAGATCCTGATGGAGGCAAAGTACAAAATATCAGTGAAAAAACCAGCTTGCTACTATAGAATTAATAAAAAAAATTAGTTTATTATTTATTTTTTTTAAAATAAAATAGCACAAAAGCTTTTTATAAGGAGAGTTAGGGTCACATATTGCCAGCTGGCAAACTACAGGAAGTTTAATTGCTGGGATTAAAAATGACAAAATTTTACTATGGGAAAAGAATGGACTTTTGCATGCTGATTTTCAAAATAGGTATAATGAACAGATTAAGCAGCTGGAATGGAGTCTTAATGGAGAAATCCTCGCAATTGTTATGATAAATAGAGTAGCTTTATACTATCGCAGCAATTATCATTGGTTTCTAAAGCAATCCTATGAAAGAGTTTCTCCGAAAATCCAATGGGCTGGAAATTCATTGATTATTTTATCAGACACTGTTGAAAAAATTGACTATATTTGGAAACATGACGCACTCGGCGAAAAAGTAGTCGTCGTTGACGGAGAATCCCTTAATATTACCCATTTCAGCCAAGGCTTAATTCCACCCCCAATGTTCCACGATTCCATAAATCTTGGCTTCGTCCCTGAGCTCTTGTCTATGAATTCCTCAGGAACCATCAGCCTAGCCTACAAAAACAAAATTTTCCTATTTGATTCCTCCTTACACGAATTATGCGAATTTCCTAATACAAAAAAACTTGAATTTGCAGGCCAAAGACTTTTCATTTCAAATGGTTTCCAAGTGTTTGAAATCATTGAAAATAAGCTTGAAAAACTTTTTGATTTTAATAAAGAAATTTTAGTTTTAAAAGGAGAAGATAATGGAAACCTTTGGATTGAATTTATTGATGGAGAAATATATAGAAATAATGAATTTTATATCAGTGAAAAAGAAATTTGTGAAAAAATTTACCCTGTTTGTATGGAAGGGAAACCAAATATTTTAGGATTGGCTGGGAATAAGCTGTATTTAAATAAAATTTTATTATGTACAAACTGCACGAGTGCTGGGGTTTTTGGGGATTTTTTGCTGTTTACTAAACAAAATGTGCCTTTAAGCGAGCTTTATTTATTAAATAGAAATTTTCCGATCCCATTTCCAATAGGGCAAGACCAATCAATAACTCTTCCTGAGCCATCAGCTGACCATTATTATAGCCGCAGTATAGAAAAAGGAAGCGTAATCGTCACTTTGCAAGGCGTCAATGTAATTCTTCAGCATAACAGAGGCAATTTAGAAGGAATTTATCCCCGACTCGTCGTAATATACAAATCAAAAGAGCTAATTGAGGCTACAAAATATGGAGAAGCCTTTAAGCTGTTAAATCTCCTCCCCTTTAAATTGGAACAAAAATATCGACAAAATTGCCATTTTTTTGGGTAAATTAACCATTCTTTAATTGGACCAAAATTTTAGTTTTTCAATGGAAAATTTTATAGGTGAAAATGCTAATTTTTATATATAAATATCAATATTTCCACAGTATGGAGGAAAATGCTCAGAAAAGGGGGGCTTCTCGACTGTCCCCTCTTTTAATTGAAACAGAAATTTTTGGTTCCAATTTAAAGGGAAAGGGGAGTAAGGACCCACAAGCTTGATTTAAATTTTATTTACGATTTAGACCCAGAGAAATTTATGACAAATATTGAGAAATTTATTTCCGAAGTGGCCAAAGGAGACTTTATTAATCTTTTTTTGACCTCTTTAAAAGACCAAGATATGGCTGCAGTCTATTTAAAGCAAGACCCTAAAGATATCAAAGGAAAAACCAATAAAATCTGTGACGCAATTAGAGAAAAACTGAATTTAGCTACACATACTTTGTCGATAATTACGTCATATGCTGCAAAATCACCACCAGAGCTAGAACAAGCTCTAGTCTGGATTCAGCATATAAGAGAAAAATACCCAAAAAAGCCGCCAAGACCTCCACACATGCATGAAGGTAAAAGAGACGATAAAATTTACCCTGAAGACTCCTTAAAATACTTAAGCTGGCTTGTGGACCCTGACAAGCTTTTTGATGTTGCTTTAGGAATGTACGATTTAGAATTAACAACACAAACAGCCCAATTTACCCAAAAAGACCCAAAAGAATATTTGCCATACCTAAAGTCATTAAACCAAATGGACGATGTAAGAAAAAAGGTCAAAATCTGTATATACCTTTTAAAATAGTTACAGATAGCCTATTTACTATATAAAATATTCTCTAGGAATAGCAGATTTATTATAAATAATAGAAATAGACTTAAAAAGATACAAAAAAGCTTTAGACGAATTAATTGCAGGCGGGGAAGAATTTTATAGTGAAGCATTAGAACTAGTAGCCAGTCAAGGACTTTATATAGAAGGGCTGAAATTGTTTAAAGGGACCAGTTTTGAAATCCAAGCCAAAGAAGCTATTGCAAAGTGTCTGGAAAAAAAAGAACTTTATATACAATCTGCTGCTTTGTATGAGAGCTGCAATAACTATCAGAAGGCAAAAGAAAACTATATTAAAGGCCAAGAGTGACAGCTTGCAGGGAATATGGCACAAATGCTAGGAGAAGATATTTCTAATTTTTATGAAAATTTAGCTCACAATTGTGGAGAAATGGGGAATTATGAAGAAGCTGCAAATTTGTTGCAAAAATCCAATGATGAAGAAGGCTCGGCAGTCAGGTATCTTATACAAGGAGGAAGGTTCAAACAGGCAATTTTAGCTTCAAAAAATAATGAAAGCAAAAGTCTTGTCTTAGGAAGCTTAAGAACTTTTGGGAATGAATTAATGGAAGATATGAAGAAAAATACTGAGCTTTGGAAAGAAAAATACACAAGGCTGCAATATGTGCAACAAAACAAGAAAAATATGCCTAAGGGCGGAGGAGGCTATGAAGATGAAGAAATTGCTTCACAATACAGCTTAGACAGCGCTATGACTAAAGCCAGCCAATTTACAAAGCGACAACGGAAAAAAGCCAAAAAAGTCAGAAAAACAGCTGCAAAAGAAGGCTCACAGTTCGAAGAAGACTATTTAGTCGACCTTTTATTAACCCTCAGGCCAGATCTTACTTATCAAACTAGAATAGAAAATATTTGTGAAGCTTATATCTTGCTTGGCGAATTTCAAGACGCCCTTAATATCTGGAATTTATTCCAAGCCCTAAAAGACACTACTTTTGCCTCAATAAAAACTTTAAGACATCAAGAGTTCCTCACAAAGTTTTCAGAAGTTTTCCCAGACATAAACCGAGACGCCCACACAGAAAACATCCTTTGTGATATTTTCTCCAAAAATTATTTCTTACTCCCCTCCCCCCTCCGTGAGTGGACAAAACAATTAGAAAAATCCCTATTTTTTGCCCAAAAACCCACCCTCCGTGAGCGAACAAAAATTTTTTTAACAGAAAATTTTTTTATGGAAAAAAATTGTGATATATTAATGATAATTAGTATAATGAATTCTAGTGCTAATTCTGTTTAATTTTAAACAAATTGCTTTTTAAAACATAAATTTTATAAATTAAATTAATATTTGCTTTCCAATTTTTGCGAATTAGAATTTTTTAAATTTTGAAAACAAATATTTTTTATAAAATTTATATATAAATTTTTTTTAAAAAAAAAAAAAAATTAACCCCCTCCGTGAGCGAACAAAATTTTTTTGTTCACTCACGGAGGGGGGGGAGTTAGCAGAAGGTTTGGCTTCTCATGAGCCTCCAGTGCTTCCGATATCCAAGCTCCAGTACTTCTTTAAGCTAATTTCTTAAATAATTAAATGGAAGATTACTCTGATTTCAGTGATGATCCTGACCCAAAAACAGCAATTGATGACAATCTTCAAGGGATTTCTTTTTCGCCTCCTCTGTGGGAACAAAGATTAGACAAATTCAGAGAAATTTTATTTTCGCTCAAAGTTGTAGAAGTCTGCGATCTTGGATGTGGAAGCGGGAAATTAATTTCTCAGTTATGCAGATGTAAAGGCCCAAGAAGGATCTATGGGGTTGATATTGACAAATTCAGCCTTGAAGAAGCAGCTGAAGAGTGTAGGCCGAATATGGCAGATTTTCATTTTCCAAGAAAACATGAGCTAAAAGTGTCACTATTCCATGGGTCAATTCTTGACCCCTGCGAACTTATCCCTTATCAAATTCAATGTGTAACGCTAGGAGAAGTGTAAAAATTATATAGAATTGAGCATATTTACCCTGAATCAGTCCCAATTTTGACGGAAAATATATTTATCCTCAATTTTTATAAATATTTATAATGATAAGAAAATATGATAATTCAGTATAAAATAATATAAATATATTTATCCGAAATATGCCATAGTAAGTACACCTAATAGAGAATTTAATGTATATTTCCCAGACCCAAAACATATGAGGAATTATGATCATAAATTTGAGTGGACAAGGAAGGAATTTGAAGAATGAAGCCATAAAGTGTGTAAAGAATATGGGTATGAGGTAGAGTTCACTGGGGTTGGGTTTCCTATTGGATACCAAGACCATGGGTTTTGTACACAATTTGCGGTCTTTAGAAAACAAAAGTTTTCTTATGAAAAAAGGCCTTGTAGTGTTAAGAAAGGACAGTTTACAAATTATGAAGAATTTTTGTATTTTTAATTAGAATTAATGCGAACCGATTATTTAATAAGATAATAAGCTGCTAGAAATGGAGAAATTCGTACCTATTTAATTCAAAAAGCATATGAAATCCAAAAATATGACGATTTTAAATCAAAATTTATAAACAGCTTGTACTATAGTTGCAACTTAGCAAAATCATGAAACTATCTTGGCAACGAGGATCCAATCCCCCTTACTGAAGTTTTCAGAGTCCCCACTATATGTGTGTTATGTGATGGTTCATTAAATCGTCTGCGTGAGCTTATTCTATTATACAAAAACTGTGGCTCCTACGATTTTATCTATTCCCAAGCTTATGATACTCTAACTCTAGTTTTATCTTCAGATGAGTCTTCAGACTACTCAAGCGAAAATGAAGATATATAAAAAATTTTATGATATAGCTCCTTCACTCTTATAGATCATTATGTTTAATTTTTAAATGGAATTTGGCTTTGCATTTTTTAAAAAAATTATCCTGTCCCATATTTTTCATTACTATTGATAATAGCAACTATTAAGATGGAAAAGGTATAAAATACTTTTTTAATAAACATATGTATAAAGCTGTACAAGGTGCAGTCAAGCTTACCCCTCCTCCTGCACTAGAAGCTTATTTCCAATGGGCCAGAGCACGTGGAATCCGATGGGACAAAATTGAGTACCCCGTCCTTTTTCCACCTGGATACATAGGATCACGAGCTATTGCACCTATACAGCCTGGGGAGCCCATTATTATAGCTCCAAATCCTTCACTGTTGACTACAAAAGTGGCGCTTAATAGCGAAATGGAAGAAATTTATGACCAAAATAAAGACTTGTTCAGCGAGCGTAATTCACGCTACGAAGATCTGGTTTTAATTACCTTTTTAATATGAGAAAAATACAAAGGTGAGAACTCAGAGTGGTATGATTTTATTGTGTCGCAGCCTGAGTGTCCAGAAGTACTACAAGACTGGTCAATTGAAGAAATAAAGGAGCTGCAAGATGAAGATTTGGAATATGAGGTAAAAAATACGTAGTCAAAATCCCAGCTGGCAACTGAAATGAAGATTTATTCAAGCTGAAAAAAAGTAATTAAAAAATACCCACAGTATTTCAAGCCTGCTATGATGGTCTACAAAGAATTCAACTGAGCTTATAAAATAATCGGGACTCGAACCTTCGGAAAATTCGTCCCATATGCGACTTTTACACCTATAGGAGAATTCCTTAACCACAACAATACAGAAACTTTTTACTGCTATGTCCACCCTGATGAAGTCCCTGATTCATCCTCAAGATATGATGGATTTAAAGATTTTGAAGACCATGACGACGATATTGCTGACTCCCCCTCCGTGAGTGAACAAAAAAAATTTTGTTCACTCACGGGGGGGGGTTAATTTTTTTGTTTTAAAAAACATTTATATATAAATTTTCTAAAAAATATTTTTTTCGAAATTCAAAAAAATCTAATTCGAAAAAATTGGAAAGAAATATTAATTTAATTTATAAAATTTATGTTTTAAAAAGCAATTTGTTTAAAATTAAACAGAATTAGCTCTAGATTTCATTATACTAATTAGCATTTATATATCAAAATTTTTTTCCATAAAATTTTTTTCTGTTAAAAAAATTTTTGTTCACTCACGGAGGGTGGGTTTTTGGGCAAAAAATAGCGATTTTTCTAATTGTTTTGTTCACTCACGGAGGGGGGGGAGTGAGAAAAATCCTATTATTTCGGTTACTTGCCAGACATTGGTCTCTGTAAATAAAGAAGGGAATACAAATTTTGACGAGTCACTTAAAAATAAATTCAATAAAATTAAAAAAGAAGCTGAAGAAATTGATGGGGTGGAGTTTATGGAAAGTAATAGAAAATTAGAAATGAACAAAGAAGAATACCAGCCGCCTGGAGTTTTATTGTCAGAAAGTGATGAAAAGCAGCTGAGAATTGTGGCTGGGCCTAATGATAGATATGAAGAAGGGTCTGAAGTGTATATGAGCTATGGAAGATACTCGAATAGACAGTTATTGTGTGTTTATGGGTTTTCACTTAAAGACAATATATATTATTTAGTATAAATAATTAATTTGCCCTGTTGAAATATAATGACAGTCACAAAGCATTAAATAGGGATATATAATTACGCAAGAATTAAGCCCAACCTAACCCATTTCACAAATAACCCAGAACAAATCAGACATATAAGAAGCTTCAAGCTTGATAGACCTTGCGCATTTAAAATAAGGGCGCAACATTTGTGTTTAGATCTTATAAGAGCTATAAGAGCCTTAAGATGGAAAAGCTCTATGTCAGAAAAAGCTTTTTTCAACCCAGCAGACATTGAGTTAGAGCTCGAAACCTTTGAACATGCCAAATTTATATTAGAAAGGTGGCTATCTTGCTATCCGACCTCATATGAGCAGGATTTGCAGCTTCTCCAAGAAAACCCTCCAATGAGGCTTTATTTTGCTGTAAAATCTAGTTTAGTTAACTTATAGAAGCGAAGTCAAAAGAATTTTGAAAAAACAAATTCAGCTGATTAATGTCACTATTGGGATCCTGCTGAAGCTTAGAACGCAGATGGATCTAGATTTAGCGTTGATTCCAATAGAAGAATATGAGCAACAAGAAGAAGTATTCTGACTATAATAAATTTTATTCAGAAAATCTGAATGCTAGTAATAATTTTTTTTATTTTAGAAATTAAAATTTGAAAAAATTTAAAAATAAATTAATTATGGTATACAAGAAAATAGAAGAGCTATAGATTCGTATTTGAGGTCTTTAAAATCATCACAATTAAGTAGTTAAATATAATTAGTTAATTTTCTTGGCATGCCATTTTCATCCTTGTTAAATACCTTAAACTGTCTCTTCGTTTCTCATTAGGAGCTATATAAGATAAATCAATATAACTAGGAATTTCTTTTATTTTTACAATCTCAAAGTTTTTTTTGTTATTTTGGTTGCAAAGGTTGAGTTTTCTGCCTTCTTTTGAACCTATATATATTTTCCTTAATTTATCCATAATATTATTTTCTTATAAAAATAGCAGGAAAATTAAAAGAAATCTCTATATATGATTTGAATTTAAAAATGAAGTAGATTTCCATTCATTTTGATGTTTATGAAACATAGATACAGGATCATTTTTTCTTTTATTTAAATTAGGTGTATGCGCCCTAGATGATAAACACTTACTCCCCCCCCTCCGTGAGTGAACAAAAAAATTTTGTTCACTCACGGAGGGGGTTAATTTTTTTTTTTTTTTTAAAAAACATTTTATATATAAATTTTATGAAAAATATTTTTTTCGAAATTAAAAAAAATCTAATTCGCAAAAAATTGGAAAGCAAATATTAATTTAATTTATAAAATTTATGTTTTAAAAAGCAATTCGTTTGAAATTAAACAGAATTAGCTCTAGATTTCATTATACTAATTATCATTTATATATCAAAATTTTTTTCCATAAAAATTTTTTCTATTAAAAAAATTGTTGTTCACTCACGGAGGGTGGGTTTTTGGGCAAAAAATAGCGATTTTTCTAATTGTTTTGTTCACTCACGGAGGGGGGGGGAGTTAGCACTTTGTGGTCTTAGCTGGGCTAGTGGTTTCCTTTTTTGCTCTTTTTTGATTTTTAAGCCAAACTTGAATTTTGATTTTTTTATTTCTTCAAGAGTTTTCCTTATTATTACTTTGGGGTTGTGTAGGTCTTCTTCAATTGAGGGACTTTCGCTCATTTCAGGGATATTTTCTTTATTAGATTCTTGGATACTTTTAAGAGTCCCAAAATGGTACTTCGATGGTAAGTGGCCATAATCTTCATCTTCCTCAAAAGAATTATCAAAGGTACGACAGTGATAAGAGTTTGGTTTCGATTTTTGGCAATATTCAGAATGCCCTGAATATATTTCTCGTGGATTGGTCTTAGAATTCGTCGATTTCATGTATTCCATTTTTGAAATTTAAATAAGAATGTAATTATAAAACTATAGAGAGTCCTTATTTATAATCCAAAAAAGCCTTATCTGCTTTTAAAACACGAGAGAAATTTACTATAAATGCTATTATTAGGAATAATAGAAAAAAGATTATTGTTCAACATCTTTGCTTTGCCCATTTTTCACGAGCCTCTGATACTCCTCTTTAAGGCAGGCAATTGTTTGCTCGTTTTTATAAGTATTAAAAGCAATATCAACGATTTGCTTCTTTATCATATCCAGATCTTTTTTAAGCTGCATTTTCAGAAGAACATAATAATAAAATGGCTCAGTGCGGAATTAGTTCTCTCCGAGAACTATTCCTTCCTTCGCTTTTATTATTATGGGGTTCAGTTTTCCACGTGGGCTTTTATCAGCAACACCAATATGGAATACCGCATAGGGTATTTCTTTGGTCCAAGATACTAAGAACACCTATGTTTGCTGCTTGACACACCCGAGGAGGGTGACCCTTAGGCGGAACACGCGCAGGAGTCAAGTTCGGGCGAGGCAATGCTGCCGGTGCGGGATTTCTGGCCCGCTGGGGATGGAACTTTATAGAATGGCTTGGTCGGGCTAACCGGTCCAAGATTGCTTGGTGACGTCACCGGTGGGAGTTAAAAGGATGGGCTTAAGCATGCCTAAATTATCCTGCTGAAGAAATCAAAACACCTTAAATATCTAAGTAAGTAAGTAAGTAAGTAAGCATTTTTCAGAAGAACAGTTGGGTCAACAACTTCTTCAATGGTCTGAACAAAGACCGAAACCATTTTGCATGAAGGTTTTACTTCGCATTCTTCATCTTTCTCAATTTCTTTACACTCAACTTTTAGACTTACTGCTGGCTCTTTTCTTTTTTTATATTTTTTCTTACCCTTTTTTCTTTCACAATTATTTTATTTTTTTATAAAATAATTTATTAATTTTTTAAAAAATATTTTTTAAGAGATTTAGGGACTGTTGGGTCCTGAAATGACCCTACGACCAAGCCTGATATGAACTCATTTTCTTCAGGAGTCAAATCAACTGATTTTATTTGGAGCCACTGCCAAGAATGAAGTTTAATCTCGTCTAAACTTGCAAATCCTGTGCAAATATCAGCAGGATTTTCAATATAAACCCCATCTGTCGTATTTCCTTTGAAAGCCCACTTGCAGGACAGAAAACTGACGTTGAAGGCTGAAACAGGCGCTCTGCACTCTCTGCAGAAACAAGTTTGAGCTTCACTCAAATATTCAAAGGTAAAATTATTTCCTATGTATACGAATTCTTTGGCTTTGAAAATAGGGCAGGGAGGATTACTGCATTTTACCTCAAAATAGCAGCCATTATTTTCTAGCTGCTTTTGGGATATCTTTTTTGGGTTTTATTAAATTTTTATAAAAATTTTATTTTTTTTGGGTAAATTTATATAGGGATAGTATAGTTTGGGACGAGCAGAAGTGTTTGGCTCTTCAAAATGGATTTCGATGCCATTTTCTGCAATAAAATTATTTTTTTTCAAAAGTACAGCATCTTTAATGCTGATGCAATTCCGGATAAAACTTATAAAATGTCGAGTTTTTTCGTCCTCTTCATTTAAGGCTAAAGTTGATTCATAAATAACAAGCCAGTGGTCTATTGTTTCTCTGAAGCTTGGTTTTGATAGCAGTCTATCAAGAAACTCGTAAGACATTGATTTAAACCGCTCATCAGAATACACATTATTTGGTATATATATTCAAAATAAACAATTTTTATTAAAAAATTGGAAATAAATTAGTATAAAAAATTTTTAAAAAATCACCACATTATCAGGGTTCAAGGACTTGATCCAGTTTCAGAATTTGATTTCTGTAGGGTCAGTTCTGATCTGCTTAGCGTTCCACGCGAAGAAATTCCTCACTCCCCCTCCATGAGTGAACAAAAAACTTTTGTTCGCTACAATTTATATAAATTTTTATATTAAAATATTTTTAAATTAAAAAAATTAAAAATTGAAAAGCAAATATTAATTTAATTTCTAAAATTAAACAGATTTCATTATACTAATATCACTTATACATCGAATTTTTTGGGCCAAAAATAGGGATTTTTTTCAATGGTTTTGTTCGCTTACAGAGGCTGAGTCAGAATCTTTTTCCTTTGGTGCTCCTTCTCCTTTGGACCAACTTTTGAGAGCAAGGTTTTCTCCATTAGTCTTTTCTCCTGCCTACATAAAAAATACGCTTGGAGTTTATTTCTTGGACATGAGCGATAATAATGACCTAAACTGGAGGCATCAGGCTCAGTTTTGGGTAGGACCTGTAAAGAGACTTCGTACGGGTTCTCGACGTTTGCTGGGAAAGTTTTAAATTGTGAGTTTGCTCCAATCATATTTATATTATATTTTTATCTTAACCTGGCATTTAAAGGCACCAAATTTAAATTCCTGAAGAGATTTAGTGGTGATGGGAGAATATAAGAAAATTCGCTTTGAAATATGAAGAAAAATGATGATCATTTAGACATTATGTAATATTTATTTAATAATTATAATAGGCACAAAAGTTAATAAATTGGTAGTGAATTCAAGTAAAGACATAAATCCATTTAATATCAGAAAACCAGTATATAGGCCAGTGCAAACTTCCTTAAATCTCATAACTCAAAAAACAGGTAAAGAGCCGCAAGTTGTGGCTTCAAATTTATAAAATGCAAAATTAAAATAAATTCATCGTAGTTACTTATGGTTTAATTATTAATTCTTTTAAATAGCACTAATTATATAAGAGGATATAATATGAAAATAAAGGCAAGAAAATTTCAGAATTAAAAGTTTAAAAAATGACACAAATGAGTGATAAAAATGCCATTGAAAGTAAAAATCCTTATGTTTTTTTTTTAATATCATTAATATAAAATAAGGGAAAATGCTCAAATTCCAGATTAATATTTTATTAAAAATGGTGGCGAAATAGCACGTCCTTATAATAGGGAAGGTCGGTATCTTGAAAAAGGCTTGGAAACCTTGTGGAAGGGAGGAAGGCGCTCAGAAATGTGTGTATCCGGCAAGTATTATAGAAAATTCCCTTTAATAGCCAGCCCTATCAGTGGGTGAATTGTCCGCTACAATTACAATTTGGTCCAACCAAAATTATTAGTTTTGGTCGGGCCCAAATTGTAAACTCAGCGGGCTATTCACCCACTGATAGGACTATTAAAGGGAATTACGTATAGCTTGATTTGGTGTGGTGAGATATCTCTTCCTTCGTCCAGAAGAGTTTTTCCCCATGAAGAGTTGGAAAAGGGAGTCAGTGCTGCCTAGGACACCCTTAGGCTAATCGGAAAACTCCTTTCGCGATGCAATGTGTGTGTTCTGAGCAGCAAGTTTCCATCATGGTCGGCAAATGACTAGAAAAATTTTATTTCTCCACTGTTATTCATTAATAGAACTTTTTTCTCGTATCGGTTATAATAAATGTCCGATGCGCCATCATCGGGCAGCCTGTATATTTAATAATGACTTTTCCTCGGCAAAAAACCGTTAAAATTCCATCAAATTTATTACGAGAAAAAAAAATTCGACCAAAAAATACCTAACTCCCCCCCCTCCGTGAGTGAACAAAACCATTAGAAAAATCCCTATTTTTTGCCCAAAACCCCACCCTCCGTGAGTGAACAAAAATTTTTTTAATAGAAAAAAAAATTAATATATAAATGATAATTAGTATAATGAAATCTAGAGCTAATTCTGTTTAATTTTAAATGAATTGCTTTTTAAAGCATAAATTTTTTATATATTAAATTAATATTTGCTTTCCAATTTTTGCGAATTAGGATTTTTTTAAATTTCGAAAAAAAAAAAATTTTTTTATAAAATTTATATATGAACAAAAATTTTTTTGTTCACTCACGGAGGGGGGGGGAGTAAGGGAAAACTCACAGTACCAAAAATGTTCTGATCAAATGACACGGAGTTGATTTCTCGAATTTTCTGGAAGGCAATCTTCTTGATGAACTTCATTGTGGCCAGTGTTTCTGATAGTCGCAAAGTTCTCGCATGTGAGGAGTAACGCAGTGGAAGGACATCTCCAGACTGACAAGAAGCGGCTGAGCAATAATAGAGGTGAGTTATAGCCTTCAGGCCTGTATGGGGCTTCTCTATAAAAGTTAATGCTATGTTAATTCCAGATGCTTGAATTTTTATTAATACTTATAAATTTTTTATATACTCAAATAATAATACCTTTAATAATTTTATATGCATTAAAATGGCGACAATACCAACCTGCACTGTTGGCGCTACGGTCTAGACCTTATGGCTACGGCGAACTGGGAATCGAGAAATAAATGCAGCCTCAGGCAATATATAATGAGTTGATTTTGGCTGCTTTCCTATGGTTGGAAATGGAGGTGCCCGGCATTATCCTTTGGATCTGAGGACCCATGGGCATTCCTCTTTCGAAAAAACTGTGATAGTGAAGGATTGCACTTCCACATCCGACAGATCCAAGGATTCTTGAAGTCAAGCTACTCCAATCACCACTTGCATGCTTGAAGTCAAGCTACTCCAATCACCACTTGCATAGCCACATAAATCCATAAGCAGCTCACTCAAGACTAAGGCGGCAAGACAAGGAGAGACGGAAGGTATCAGAAGTGGCATCCGTTTTCAGGGGAAAGACCTTCTGGGCCGGAGTCGAAAAGCTTTAGAGCCTTTCGTATGGGAGGTCTTTGGTGACTGCGTCACCAACATGGCTAAAACCTGACTTAAATAACCTAACCCTTAATAAATTGTAATTTTATTTTTTTTAATAAAAAATAAATTAAAGAAAAATTTTATGTTTTTATTTATTTTGCTTTAAATTTAGGTACCTAAAATATCTTACTCCCCCTCCTTAAGTGAAAAAATTTTGTTCACTCACTGAAGGGGGTATATAAATTTATAGAAATAATTTTTTTTCAAAATTTACTAAACCCCACTTCGCCAAAATTTAAAAGCAAATATAAATTTAATTTGTAAAATTTATGTTTTAAAACGTAATTTGTTTAAAATTAAACAGAATTAGCTGGAGATTTCATTATATTCATTGCATTTATATATCATTTTTTTCGCTTACAGACGGTGGTTGTTGGGAAAATAATAGGGATCTTTCCAATGGTTTTGCTCGTTCACGGAGGGGGAGTTAGTTGCTTATTAGTTTAGGTTTTTATGTGTTGTACCTTCTTCTAAAGGATGTTTTAGACCGAAGCCAATTTCTTTTAAATCCCAATTAGTAACGTCAGAATTTATCTTGCAGAGCAAGCATTCAAAGAAGACCAACCCACCCACCCACCAAAAAGGGCCAGAGGGTTTTCAAAGGTCACGCTTGATATTCTCCCCAACATAATTCCAGCACTAATTCCGCCAAGGGTCACCCTCCTTAAGTGTGTCAGATAGAAAAACTATATGCCTCCTTCTTCCAACCTATTCGGTAATTCCATATTGGCATAGTGGACAAAGTCTACGTGGAAAAAAGACGCTATAATAATATATTGCTGAGGAGGAAAATTTCTTTGAGATGGCCGATATAAAACCAACCCCACCCTCCTCAATATAAAACTAGTTTTGATAATAAGAAATATATGAGAAATTGTATTATTTTCACTTCTATACTATTAAACCACGATTTATAGCATTTTCATATATATAGTTAATACTTCATTCATATCTCTATTATATGCAAAATTTTTATATGGTAAAATGTTTACTAATGAATAAGAGAGTTAATAGAGAAATACGCTGAATTCGCTTTATTATCGCATTTTAAGCATAAACCCAGTCGAATTCAGCATTGAGGTTGATAGACACAAATACATCAATTCAAGCATAATTATGGATCATAGATGCATACAATCTAGCATTGATTTGGCTAATTTAATGCGTTTCAACAAATTTAATATGCTTAAATAGCTGATTTTACATATATCTTATTTATACTTAATACAAAAATATTAGCTAAATTTGCTATCCAAATAAAAATTCTATATATAGTAGGGATATTAAATATATGTGTAAAATGCTATAAATCGCTGTTTAATAGCGTAGAAGTGAAAATACTGCAATTTCCTATATGTTTTTTATTATCAAAACTAGTTTGGTATTGTTTTCCTTTGTTTTCATACTTCACAAGGAGACAACCACTTCCGTAAGTAGCCATTTTATTATTATCATACCTAAAGTATCACATTTTTAAAGTATACAGTGTCCATAAATAATATTTAGATGTGAAAGCAAGGAATTTCTGAAAGCAATAATCAGCCTGAACTTATAAAACACGAGTTTTCTAATGAAATTCCTCAAAGCAGTAACCCAGATATTTTTACTTCCACAGAAGAGAAAAACCTAGAAGCAAAAGCCCAGACAACAGGGAAAACGAAACTATCAGACAGTGTAGGTTATTCTAAAGACTTTGAGGAAGCAAAAAATGAAGAAATTCATACCAAGCCTGCACTTAGCGAAAATATTAAAGAAGGCATCACCTCAGCAAGTGAAGAAGAAATTAAACCAAAAATTGAATTGAAAGAATGATCTAATAACTCTAAAGAAGAGAAAAAAGAAGAAATTTTTGAGCTTCCACCAGTCAAAACTTTTACTGCAGGCACAAGCCAAGAAGAAATTAAGACTGAAATAGAAGTGAAAAAGGGCAAAAATCTGAGCCTAAACAGCAAAGGATATTCTAATAGCTCCAAAAAAGACACAAAGGAAACTCCTGCTAAGAAAGCTGCACAAAAAGTAGAAATAGAGACCAGCTCAGATAGCGAAGAAGAATTTACTCCAAAAAAAGGAGAAGAGTCAAGCTCAGACAGTGAAGAAGAGCCAAACCAGACAGAAAAGAAAATAATTTGAGATATATCCTATGGTACTGGCCCAGTCACAGAAATTTTCGTAGGCAATTTGTCTTATCAAACTAAATCAAGTGATCTCGACAACTTTTTCTCTAGATGTGGAGAAGTCTCTAGTGTTAAACTTCTCTATACCTCAGATGGAAATCCTAAAGGGATAGCAAACGTGAGCTTCACTAATATAGAATCTACAAATAAAGCCCTTGAACTAAACGGTGCAATATTTATGGGAAGAAACCTCAGAGTTTTACCATCAATTAGCAAGCCTCTAAGCTCAAGAATTGCTGAGATAAGCCCAAGCCAAGATGAGCCTGAAGAGCAAGCAGATGCTAGGCTGGGGAATGGCAAATCAACCACAATTTTTGCTAGAAATCTTTCATATGCCTCAACAATTGACTCCATAAGAAAATTTTTTGAGATTTGTGGGGAAATCAAAGATATAAGAGTTGCATTGGATTCTGAAGGAAATCACAAAGGGTTTGCGTTTATTGAGTTTTTCAACATAGAAGCTGCAGAAAAAGCGATTGAACTGAATGGGAGAAAATTTGATGGAAGAATAATTAGTTTGGATTTTTCGGGAAACTCAACTTCTAACTCCTTCTTGTCTAGTGAGAAACCCTTTTTAAGAAAATTAACCATCTAATTAAAGCGTAAATGCATTTTAATATGTTTTTTTAAGCATAAATATGCTTTATAAATTAAGTATTATGATAATGTCAAATATAGAAATTGCCCGATGATGGCGTATTGAGCGCCATCGGGCAATTTCTATACATTAATATATATCAGATTTTATTCAAATATTTATTGCTTAAAATCCAAAATATAATTAATCCTCTCTAGTTTAGAGCAATAAAATCTTGCTTGCTTGTCAATAGGGAGCAAGGAAATCTCTATTTAGAATTTCATCCACAGATAGTATAGAAGATACTTCAAACGAAGAAATAAGCATTAAAAAACTTTTTTATTTCTAAATATTTGTGTTTTTAATCTAAACTAAACTATTACAAGTCTCCAAGCCTAATTATATAAGAATTACCTATTATTTATCATAACTAATATGCTTAGTCTTCTTTTACTAAAAATGATACTTATCAGACATTAATTTCTTTCTATAATTATACTTTTATTTTAATGGAAGATTCGGAAAGTAATGTTTCCTATTCTTCTTCCTTTTGTGAAGAAAACGGAGCTTTACAGGATGGATTTTTCGAACTTTTACTATTAAATGAACTTATTGATACAGGATTACTTGATAATTCTGAATCAGAATATGAATGAAATGATAGTGATACAGAAAATGTTGATACAGATGACAAAATATTGGAGTTTTTAAGTCGTTTAGATGGAAAAATACTAGATGAAATGGAACCTATTCAGGAAACCTTCAAATATAGGAAGACTGAGGTGATCATTGATGATAAGAAGACAATCGATAAGAAAATCCTGAACACCAGAAAAATAAAAATTAGATCAGATTCAAATTTTATCAGAAAAATAAAATTGATATCAGAATCAAACATTATCAGGAAAATAAAATTTAGATCAGATTCAAAATTTCATCAGAAATAGAAAATTCATATCAGACTCAGAAATCGAAAAAATCGCGGATTACGTGGGTTCAGAAAATTTTACTAAAATTTTATGCAAAGATGTTAGGAAAAGAAGAAAGTTAAAAAAATTTTTAATCGGGACATGGCCCTGAAATAAAGGCCTTTAAGTAATAAAGATTTCTCTCTCTCTATAATTATAATTCAGCTCTCGAAATTAATAATTTAAAAAAGCTCTATAGGGCAGTTTTACAGATAAATCCTTAAATTTGTTTAGCTTATTTTTTCGAGCCCGATTAACTATATTACTTATATGGCGTCTTTTTTTAAACACCAAACAACGTTCTCTCCAAGCGCTCGTGGTAGCGTCAGATCAGCCCAGTCTGGCAGGCATTCAAAAACGCTACAGTCTGCTCCTTCTTATACAGGCTCTGCTTTTTCTCGTATTTTTAGTGATAAAAATATAACAACGAATATCTTGCCGACCTTTTTGGTTTCAGAACAAACAAAGAAAGGGATTACTGAAGAAGATCTTCAAAGGTTAAACCTTATGAATTCTTTATATTCCAATCCTCAAGAATCCTTATCAAGAACCCAAGTAATTTTCAGCTCTCGGGAATCCTTAGGAAAATATCAGCCAGATGATGCCAAGCCATCTGAGCCAGCACCAAGACCAAGCTTGCCTAACGAAAACCGACTAAGCTTGCCTAGTGAAAGCCGACTAAAAATCAGCACAGAAAAAATAGAAGAGGTCAAAAAGATTGAAAAAATTACCCGAGATATTTTTAATCCTACCCTAAAACCTAGCGAAGTGTTGCTATCTATAAGAAAACGAGACCTAAAAAGAGAAGATTTGGTGAAACTAAGGGAGGGGGTTGACTTACCAGAGTGCATTATTGACTGCTACTTGTCTATTCTTAAACATACCAACAGCTTAAGAATAAGGTATACGCCTGGAGCCTCAAAAGTCCTTATTGCGAGCTCGAGCTTTAGTTCAATGATTTTTTTAAAAGGCAAAGAAATAGCTCAGCCAAAATCAAATATGATTTTTCTTATAAAAAAATCAAAAAATTTTGTAAATTAAATTAATTTTTATTCATAAAAAGAGGTATATATTCAAATACGATTTTTTAGTTTTTCCTCTAAATGTAGGATATTGGACTTTATTAGTAGTAGATATGAAAAGGATGATTGTAAAATATTACGACCCAATTAAAGAGCACAGAACTATTTCTATTGTAATGGCTAGACTTTCAAAATTCATTCAAAAAGCGACTCCGAGAGAAGAGCAAAGAGTTACTACGAATTTTCAATTTATTTCAATGCCTCTGCAAGGGACAAGTATGATGGATAGTGGAGTGTTTATTTGTAATGAAGCAGAAAATCTAGCTTGTGGGAAGCAAAACAGAATAAATAAAGAGTCAGTCGATAACTATAAAAAGGATATGCTGGCCGCACTGGTTAAAGCATCAAGTATATAATGGGTGTAAATAGGTCGTTGTACCTATAAAAATGCAAATAATAAACTAATAAATGTTTTATTTATACGATTTAATCTAAGATTTCTTTTCATTCGTAGAATTTTTTCTTGCAAAAAATATCTATAGATAAGTATTTTTTAATTAAATGAGAAATTATTTAATATCACCATAAAAGATTATAATAATCTAATTCGAATTATCCAGTAAAAATATATATTAAATTTCCATTAAAGATATCAATAAATAATTCATGGAAGGAAAATTTCATGAAGGGCAATTAGTGTGGGCAAAAGTTGAAAATCATCTATGGTGGCCAGCAATTGTATGAATTATTTAAGGTTGATAGTGTGGAAGAAAACAATGTTTCTGAGTTTGATGAAGAGCCAGATTTTCAAGGCGTCATCACAGTCAATTTAATTGGAGAGAACACATAGTAAGTTTTACATAGTGCTCATTTAAATTCCAAAAAAATAGTAGACTATCAAGAAGCTTATCAAACGCATTCTAACGTAGAAGATGAGGTAAAAATTACTTAGAAACTTAAAAACTGTATCACAATCGCAAACAAGCTTTTAGCTAAGGAGCTCGATATTACAAATCTTGAAGAAATCAACACAAATTTAATAGCATTTCTTCATAAAAATCACCCTCCAAAAGAAGAGCACATAGAGCCCAGAAGTCTTGACACTTCAGACGAAGAACTCAAACGAATAGTCAAAGAAATCAACAAGCACCTAGACTCAAAAATCGCGCTAAATGAGCGTTCAACAGATCTCAGCGGCTTATGTAGCAGCTCTGACACCACCAGATACAAGCTTGAAGAGCTCTTGCGGCTCCTCGCTACCTTTATCGACCATGAAGACTCCAGCACTCACTATCTCCCAGTCCAAGAGCTCTGTGACAACCTTTCCTTTATCGTCCAAATAATCCCAGACTCCTCTATTCTCGAGGGCTCCAAAATCTTAAAAACTCTTAAAACCTTTAAAAACAAAGAAAAAGAAAGCTCTAGCAGCCTTTTGAAATTTCTCTCACACATCTGTCACAAACTTTATTTATTTTGGAAAAAAAGCTTGATTAATGCAAGCATAAAAAATTTGGTGACTTCTAATAAGCAGCAAATAAAAAAAGACGAAAGCTGGGGGTCAAGAAGCTTTGTGGCGCAGACAATTCCTGAGCCCAAAAAAGGACTTACTGAAGAAGATTTAAGGAAGTTCAACATGATGAACTCTTTAAATACAAATAATCAGGAAACTATGTGGAGGTATAAATCAGGGCTAGCTACGACTCCAATACAAAGTAATATTAGCCCAAGAGCAGAAAAGAGGCAAAAAACTGCATCATATGCAGATTCACAGAGGCCAAGTATTACTAGTGATAATCTTATTACAAGAAATTCAAGCCCACCAGGAGAAACAAGAGCAAGCCTTGAACAAAGTCTAGTAAATAGACTTGTGGATATGTCTCCAGAAGAAAATAAAAGACTTGACACAGAAACTGATACTGCCTCACAGATAGGGGACGTTTTGTTAGCAATACGTAAAAGAGAACTAAAGCGAGAAGACTTAGCAAGGCTTAGAGAAGGAGTAGAACTGCCTGAAAGTCTTGTGGACTGTTATTTATCAATACTTAAACACACAAATAGCTTAAGAATTAGATACACCCCAGGCACACCTAGAGTAATGATAGCAAGCTCAAGCGTAAGTAAAATGATTTTTATTAAAGGAAAAGAAATTTCTCAGCCTGAGCCAAAAATATTTAAACACGATTTTTTAATTTTCCCGATTAATGTGGGGTATTGGACTTTATTGATAGTTGATTTGAAGCGCATCGTAGTTAGGTATTGTGATCCTATGAAGGAGCATAAATCTATATCAATGCTTATAGGAAAATTGGCGAGATTTATACAAAAAGCTGCACCTAGAGATATTCCTAAGCTAAATACAAATTATCAGTTTGTCACTACTCCAGTGCCTGACATAAATAGAGGTGATACTGGTATTTACATATGCAATGAGGTAGAAAATTTAGCTTGTGGGAAACAAAATATAATTAACAGAGAAACTGGAGATGTCTATAGAAAAAGTATGCTGCTGTCACTAGTAAAAGCTTCAGGTGCAGGTGTATAAGCAGAAAAGCTATTTAATTAAGGTATTTTATTGATGGAGCCTAGAAAATAATTTTTTGATATTATAGATTTTATATACACTAATAAATATTAATAAATGGAGGGAAAATTTGAGAAAGGACAGTTGGTTTGGGCAAAGATTAAAACTTATCCATGGTGGCCAGCAATTGTATTATTAACTTAGATTGATAAAATTGAAAAAGTAAATGCTGCAGAGCCTGATGAAGAGCCAGAATACCAAGAAGAAATCACTGTAAAGTTTATAGGAGAAAATACGCAGTAAGCTTAAATTAGTGCTACTCTTTGCTCTGAAGATATTAATGACTATCAAGAGACTTATAATGAGCATTGCATTGTTAAGCAAAAAGTATTGGCTATTTAGAAACTAAAAAATTGCATTTTAATAGCAGACAAAATTGCTTCGAAAGAAATTGACTATTCTAAGCTTCCTGAAATTAATACCAATTTGGGGGCTTTTATTGAAAAAATCATGAACAAGCAAGAAAAGAGTAGATCATCGTCGTCTGAGACAGAGTCTGATGAAGAACCAAAGCCAAAAAAGAACCAAAAAGTAGAGGATCCAGAAGATAATGGAGGTAAAAAGCTGAAAGAAATAAATAAGCAGATAAAGGAAAATTCTATGAATTTGCCTTAATGTGATAAAAAATTAGGAATAATGATATTCTTATTAAATGACTTAAAATTTTAATATAAAATGATCAGGGCCTTATTCCTATAGAATTTAGAATAATTTCAAAATAAATAGCATGCATCTCTTTTTAATTGTTAATATTATATAAAAATCCATTTATTGATAAAAATAGCATAGATATAAAAATGACACAAAGCGATAAAAATAATGAGCACGGCAGAAAAAGAGAGATCGAAAATATCAATGCAAAACTTAGCGAATTATCTAGTGGATTATCAACATATTTAAATAGCGAAGAAAATAAAGAAGAAGCAAAAGAGCCGATTTGCCCTATTGATGATTTGTGTGACCATTTAGCTTATTTAATTTAGGACAGTATGTATTGAAATGGCATGGCGGATCGGCTCATCTTCTTAATTCCTGCAGCTATCTTCTCACGGGGTACGCGGCGACCTTGAGGAATGGAGGATAGCGCTTAGGAAAGTGTAAAAGGCTAGGTTTACCTGGCTTGTGAAGAGCAACGTCGATTAACCAATGCTTGCTTTACTTCAATGCCGAGTTTTTGCCTAAGTGGGAGATGGATCTGGAAGTTGGAAAGGGTTTCCCAGCAAAGTCAGTTTTGGTAAATCCTGATTATTCCCCAACATAAAGTCAGGGACTACAGATTTTATCTTCGCCGAGAGTCGACCAGAAAATTCAACCCTTTTGAATTTTTAATGGCCTACAATCCTGCTGATGTACGGCACGGCGACGCGACTCACCCAACTACCTGGTAGCGAGTGCACACCCTTGTCCGGCAGGAGTCACCTTCGCGACGTCGTGAAACGCAAGCTGGTGAGCAGGTGGGGAAGCGTTACGGGTGGAGATAGTCCTTGTAGAATTCAGCTAGCTTTTCGATAAGTCTTAATAGCATAGCATAACATTTAATTCAGAACAACCCTGAAAATACTGTTTTAGAATCCTCTAAAATACTAAAAACTTTAAAGTTGTTTAGAGCAAAATATACAGAAAATTCCAATCAAAATCTAAGAATTTTGTCTGAAATTTGTTATAAATTGTATCTGTTTTGGAAAAAGTGTATAATTAATGAAAAAATTAAAAATTCAGTCAGCCCTCCAGCTCCTCCCACTCCAAAGCCAGCTCGAAAACCAAAATCAGATACCAAGCCAAAAGAAACCCCTAAAAACTCTGCAGCAAAACCTGCTGTAAAACCGCCATCGAAATCCGCCAAAAAGCCCTCAAAACCAGTTGAAAAAGAAGAAACCAAAGAACCCCAAAAACCATCTCCAGAAGATACGACTGATTGACCACTAGCTCACTCCTTGATTAGCGAATAAATTTTTGGCTCGCTATTTTTCTAATTTTATATTAAATAAAAACAATTTTCAGAATTTATTTGTACATATTTATATAATGTGTGCTTTCGGGGGGCTAGGTTCTAAATTTTAAATATATTTTGCTTGAGATTCATTATTTTAATTAATTTAAAATCCAAAAAGATATTGCCGATAATTTAAAAGGGAGTAAGAAAAAAAGTCTGCAGAAAACTCGCCAAAATAATCACAGAAAGGGGACTCCTCAAGGCTCAATCTCAAGACTATGCTTTAGACCTCGAAAAAAAATTACGAGAGAAAGACCCTCAAATGAAAACTAAGTATAAAGAAGCTTTTATCAATTTGCGTGCAAAATTATCAAGCCCAGACAAAGAGATCGAAAAAATAATTTCAGAGTTTCAATAAGAAAATTAATATTTTTTATCATTAATTGCATAAATGATTATACTGTGGGTGCTCTTTTGCACTTATCTTGCACCTGTTAACAATTTTCCATTCTGCTAGCTCAGAATAAAGAACTCTTAAAGAAGAAGAAAATTATTTTTATCCCTAACTAATTCTTTGAAATAATAATATATTCATATTTCAGTAATAATAATAAACGCTTTTTAGCAGTCGGATGATCCAGTGACCATCTTTGTTCACTTAGCCTCTCCTATTGGATTTTCCGTTATCTTTAAAAAAGTAAGCCATTAAAAAGGCGCGCTAAAAGCGCGCCAATGCTATATTTATTTTCTAGCGTGGTCTGCTAAAATAGAGCCGACACAGCATGCAAAGGACCTCAAGTAATCAATTCTAAGGTTTTCATTGCAGCTATGAGCACCGCTATCAGTACCTAAAATCCCAGTAACTAATAGCTCGGTGCTCGGGAAAATTTCAGCAAGCATACCCATTAAATGGATGCTTCCTCCAACACCAAAATAAAGAGCATCTTTTCCAAAATATTCTTGAGAGGCTCTTTGAATGGATTCTGAAAGCCAAGGGGACAAAGGCTGAAGCCTCCATCCTTCATTAGGCTTTGCAGTTTTTATTTCTATATGAGCACCATATGGAGGGTCTCTAGTAAGCTCATGGATAACTCTTTCTTGTGCTGCTGGGCCATTAATTCCTGGAGGAAGTCTGATTGAAAGCCTTACAGAGGTATAAGGTCTTATTATGCTTCATTTATTATAATATAAAACAATAATTTTAAAAAATGGCCTAATTTTTGTAAAAAAATAAGGGTAAATTTTTTATCAATATTATGTAAAATATACAAATAAAGCATAAATTTCCAGCATTTTGAATTGTTGGAAATCCTTCAGCCCCAACCACACACAATGTAGGTTTCCAAGTCTGATTAACCGTCTGCATGACTTTATCCTCAGTCACTGGCTTCCCACCTGACACCCATGACACAGATTTTACTTCATCAATAATAGAAGCTGTAGCTGCTGCTTGTGCATAAATTTCTGGAGGAATCTGCGTATGAAGTTCTGGCAGCAAAATTTCTCCGGATTTTGAGTCTTCAATTCTGTCAAGCAGTTGACGTAAAATTCTAAAAGAATCTGGGATTACTCCTGAGCCTCCTGAGTGAACACCTTCATTGATCAGCCTTACAGTGACGTCAATTTTCAATACACCTCTAAGGCTATTTGTGATCCAAAAATGCTCATAATCTCCTATCCCTATTTATTTTTAATAAAAACCTAGAAAAAATTAATGAAAAATGCATTATCATAATTAATAACTGAATATAATAAGGTATATTCCAGAATCCAAGCAAAAAGTGACTTCAGGCTCCCCAATTCTGTCTTTAAGTTTATTTAAATAATACTTTAAATTGATGCTGCCGCTTTCTTCTTCATTTTCTCCAATAATCACAATTCTTCCATGTGGGATTTCTAAGGTCTGCAATGTTTTCACCAATAATGCTGCTGTAGGCATAGAGTAACCATCATCGCCTCCACCTCTTCCATATAGTTTTCCATTAATAATAGCTGGCTCTGTATTATTGGCTCCTTCAATCCAGCCTGTGAAATGTGGCTGCTTGTCAATATGCCCATAAATCAATACTGTTCCAAGGCCAGGCTGGGTGGCTTGGACTTCGCCAAATAGAATTGGAGCTTTTCCAGGCTCTCTGATGATTTCTTTAGTGAAATTTCTGATGTTTAAAGAGTCCATATACCCAGTAATCACTGAAATGGCTTGCTCCATCCTTCCATTGGTTTCCCATTCACTATCATATAAAGGTGAAAGATTAGGAACTCTGATAAAGTCCATAAGTGTCGGAATGACACCTTCATCAATCCCTTTAAAAATCAGATTCCTCAAGTTCTGAGCCATTTTATAAAAGCTTGGCTGTAAAAGTTTAGCTTTAAACACGAATAAATTTCAACAGGAATGCCTTAATTTTAATAAGGAATAGAAATATTCATTTTATTATAGCAAAAAATTAATTTGATTAAAAATCATTTTTATTATTGTAGAAATAGGAATGCTGGATTTTAATATAAAATATGACTGAAGAAGGAAGCTTGTTTAGTTCTATTGGTGGACTTATAAAAGCTGGTTTTAAAAAAACTGAGAAGGCTTTAAGCTATGTCAAAGACGGAATTGTGAACTATGGGAAATGCTACATGTGCAAGGAGCAAGCTAACTGTGATATTCCTTGCGGCCACATTCTCTGCTACAGGTGCTTAAATTTCTACATAGAAAGCCAAGGGATCCCAAACCCAGAATTTGTACTCTGTTATATTTGCCAAAAGCCAATCCCACTTGAAAATATTCCAATTGACTATGATGTCTATCCTTATGAAGAAGAAAAAATTCCCGTTCACGATACTTGAAGCCTTCCAAGTCCTAAAAAGTGAATCATTAACCAGGAAGAGACAAAATTCACTATATTAGAATTGCCAGAAGAAGAAGAGGAAAAGCCTAAAGATCTGTTTGTCTCTCCATTATATGATTCAAGTTCCAGCTCTAGCTCTAGTGAAGGAGAGGATTTGCCTGAGGAAATAGCACCTTTCCCAATCAATGAAATTAGAGTAAAGGAATGCCCCTTTTGTGAATGGAGTTTAGAAATATCGACCGCTTCTAGATATGAAGTTTGTAAAAACGTATACTAATTAATAGGAAAAATAGGCTATTTTCTTTAAAATATTTATAATGATTTAGTTATTATAAACAGAATAGAATGCAATAGAACTTTTTGTCCTCAATGCAATCAAATACCTCACCCTGATAAATCTTGTAGTAAAAAAGATTCAGAGAGAAAAGTAACTGTTCCTTATGATCCAAAATGTCCAATCTGTCTTGCTGAATTTATCAAAGAAGAAGGCTGCAATTTTTTATGGTGTCCAAATACGTGTGCAAAAACATGTTTCTGCTTGATTTGCGGGACTCATATAGCATTAGGGTATTAAAAGTCGGGATTTAGCCATATTGGTGACGCAGTCACCAAAAACATCCCGTACGGGAGGTTTTACTGCTTTTCGACTCCAGCCCTGAGGGTCTTATCACCGAGGTGGATGCTACATCTGTGTACTCTGTCTCCTTCTTGCCTTGCGGATTCAGTTTGAGGGATGGCTTATGGATTTCTGCAGCTGTGTGACAGGTGATTGGAGTAACTTGATTCCTTGGATTAGTTCATTGGATACTGTTGTGTGCTGAAGTTACTTACTTCGACAGTTACATGAAAAGACTGTTCCCTTGTGACCTGTGCTGAAACCCCAAGTTTCTCTGTTAAGGAAAGCCTATGTGTTATTGGATCCAAGGATGTTATGGGGCACCTCCATTCCAACCACAGAAAAGCAGCCAAAACCAGCCGGACATATATTTTCTGAGACTACACTTATTTCTCCTCGTGTCCTTCCCAGTTTCTCATGATAAAGTCCTGGACTGTTACTCCAAGATTCCAGATTGGCATATCACCATTTTAATGCAATTAGACTCATATAGCAAGATGTGAATATTTTACTCACTATACAAAATCAGGACCATTTGGAAATACCTGCAATGGTAATAAAGATTAATTATATCAAAATTATATACCCAATAAAAAAAATGCTGCCAATTATTTTTTAAAAAAATAAATTAATTAGTTTACCTCAAATTAAATATTTAAAAAATTTTTTGGAGGGTCAATAATCATGAGCTTTCTTCTTTCTTTAAATGGAGAAATCGTCACTAATTTCAGCGATCTATTAGATTTAGAAATCCCTTGAGGATTATCTTTTATAGATCTTTGGAGACTTCTTGAGCTGTTGAGCCTATTGGAATAATGGGAAAAGGAAGACTGTGTATGGCTTGCCTCGTCAAGTTTCTTGGTAGGGACTCTGTATTCTAAATAATCTTTTATTAAATAACTTTTAGCAACCACTGCTACTTTTCTAATTTCTGGGGTTGATGGCTTTTTTTGAATTGTTGTCTTAGAATAGGAAGTTCTGCGCATTGGGCTTTCTCTGTTAAATTTCATTCCGAGTTCTGGCGATTTGCAATATCTGGTATCCCTTGTAATTTTTTGGGTTTTTGCTAAAAGTGGCTGCGGTTTTTTGATAAATTAAAATGGTGAATCAACATTCACAGGGCACGCAGGGACTTAAGGAAGGGAGAATGGCGCTCAGGATATACTTTTAGCTAGGTTTTACCGGTTTGGTGAAACGCAATGTCTGGCTAACCATAAGCTTTACTTCAAATTCGGGTCTTTGCCTCAGAGGGAATGGTAGGCTCTTGTCCGGCAGGATAAACCCTTTTGTGACGTTGTGCACAAGTTGGCGTTCAGGGGAAGGGAGCATTCGATTGGAATTAATCCTTCAGGAATTACATTGGATTTCTATAATTTTATTAAAACTAAGATTAAGCTGCGGTTTTTTGAAATTTATTCATTTTAGATATCAAAAATTTTTGTTTTTTGTCATCAATATCTGAGTCTCCTGAGTCTTCACTTAAACTCCCTTCATCTAAATCAGCAAATAATTCTCTAAAATCTTCTTCATTTATATGTTGCAGAGAATTTAGGATCGTAAATTCATCTTCTTCAGCTTCTACTTCCTGCACGATTTCTTGGACAATTGCTTCTTGATGGTGCCTTTGTTGCTTTTGTAAATTAATCTAATAATTATTAATTTCTGTTAATATTTTATTTAAATATTTATAAACAAATTTATTTTTTATCAGTATATTTACGACAATATCCATTTTTTTCTTAAAAAGTCCTTGAGTTCTAAACATAAGCAGCTGTTTACATAGGTCTCTCCCCAAGCTTTGCAGATGGTCAATATTCATATGTGTGTCATCATTTTCTTCTTCCTCGCTCGCTTTTAACATATCTTTATTGTCAGGTCCAAAAAAGGAAGCTTCTAATGTATAGCTATTTACGATCCCGAATTCTTTATAAACGACCACTCGGGCTGCACCTTGTTTAAACCTCTCTGTTCTAAACTTGGTGCCTTGAAAAGAAAACAGCTTATTAGTTTTTGATAAAAAATAAGTTAAGTTAAGTGCTATAAGAATATAGGCGGATAAGCTATTAGTCTGCCTATCTGGAGTAAACCCACCTAGCTAAAGATTAGCTCCCTAGGTTAGATCCATCTCTTGCGGATGTCTTGTAAGACCCAAAAAGCAAAGACAACTTGGAAGCAAAACCTATCTAGCCCATCTGGAAGGGACAGTGAAAATCTTTGGGTGAAACAAAACTTACCTCTTCGAGAGGCATCCCCAAACCCGAACGCCTTTTTCAAAAAGTGGCAGAGGCACTATTTTCAGCTTCATCAGGACGGGCCCTATCTGCTTCATAGGTAGTGTCTCGAATTCAGACGCCACCATTTAATTTCTTTCTGATAAAAAATAAGGAATCATACTCATAAGGACTTTTTTCTTTTTGCTTTGATTAGGTGAACAAGCGTACATAAAGACGTTCTTTTTAAGTGAATGCCCATGCATGTCACAGTACATGACAACTTCGTGGCATTTATTGAATTTTTCTATCATTTTTTTAGTGTAAAATATAAGCTTTTTAGCATGAATTTGCTTAAAACTAGATTTTTAATATCATTATACATATTTTCTATTAAAAAGCATAGTAGGATGCATTATTTCATCAGGATTTTTTCATCGGCGATTCAAATCAATTCCTAGCAAAGAGCATCTACAATTCCCATATATCACCCCATCTGGATTAAGCATCGGGACTATCCTAAAAATAAAATTTTTCCTCAAAATTCTTGCATCTTTGGTATCACCTAACAAAAAATCAATAACTCCCTGCATCATATAGCTAGAATTGGTTTCCCCTGGATGTGCTCTGCCAGTCAATATGACTCCTTTCTTGCGGGAATGTTCATTCACTAACTATAGATATACCTTACATTTTAATTTGTCCTTAAAATTATATTTCATGGTACTGTACATATATTTTTGCTTTACAGACAAAAAATCAAGGGAAGGATATGTTAAAACGTTTCTGGTTATAGTCAAAATTGGGCAGGAATTATCGCCTAAGGTTTTACAAAGGGACTCAATCCTGAGGATTTTTTCGTGAGTTTTGAAGCTGCCGAGGTATGCTAATAGCTGGGTATATGTATAAGGGTAACAGTAAGCGAAAAAAACTTGGTCGTTAGGGTACTCAAATTTATAGGAAAAAGTTAAGGTGTATTTTGTTTTCCCTTGAATTGGATTGTTGGTAATATATAAAAGGGAATGATAGAATTTATATGAATTAGAATAGTAAAATACGGGTTTATTTGGGGTCGATATAGGCCTTTGGTAGGAATTTTGATAATATGATACATTATAGCCAGCCCGTTTTCATCCACCTCCATCTCTAAGAGACTTTACGAGTGGCTGCATCCCATCATTATATAGTGAGTCATATTTCATTAAGTTGACAATATTAAATCTGATATTTGCATCAGCTTTATTATTTTCAACTGCAAAATAATATCATTGAGTATAACCTTCGGTTTCTGTGTCAAATTCTAACAATAAATTATATTCCATTTAATTTTACCTTAAACACAGTAAATTTATCATTTAAAAGCATTTTTTTATCAAAAAATACTGATATAGCGGTGAATTTATAAGAAATTTTATATTCATTTTCACTAACTCTTATAGCCTTCCTCAAATTCCCGCCTTCAAATTTTGACTCAAATTTCAATGAGTCTTGAGGTATAACCAACGTATATTCGCATGGGATTTTTTTATTGGATGTATAGTTCCGCATATTCAAGTACTGGATTCTATCTGGCTAGCGATTACCGTATTCGTAAATTTTTTCAGCTTTTTTATTCTTAAATTCGGGTAACGGCTCTCTAGCTACAATTTTATTAGTTTCTTCATATAATAATTCGTCTGATCTTCGCGAATGAGAATCAAATACCAGAATTCCATTTCCTTCATATCGAAAAAGATGATATCTAGAACTGCCTGGCCTTATTTCGTTGAATTCGTCATTGTCAAACTTCCATTCTTGGCTTGAATGTGGAGTAGTTGTAGTCATTTTATTATTTGGACAATAAAAATACCAAAAATGTCAGACCGAATCCCTTTTCAAACTCATGGGTTTTCTTTGGTTGTGTGCAGAAATTTTGACGGAAGATGACTGGCAGTGAAAGAAACAAGGAACCGTGGATGGTGGCTGCCAGCTGGACTTGTAGATCAAGGCGAAACCTTTATAAATGCAGCGTATAGAGAAGTGCATGAAGAAGCAGGGGTTGATGTAGAAATCAAAGGAATCCTTAGGGTTGAACATTCAGTTTATGGCCCTGCCCACGCCAGAATGAGGGTCATATTTTTTGCTGTACCAACTGACCCGAGCCAGTTTCCTAAATCACTCTGATCGATCAAAAATTTTTCTCGCTCACTGGAGGGTCGTTAATTTTTTTTGCAACTGTTCAAAAATTTAACAGATATAGATAGAGTTTGAGTTAATATTAATTACCTATTGCCCATTATTTCAGGGGCAAGCCCTAATTTAAACTTCTTATAATCTTTTAAATTCTTCATTTGAAATTCACAACAAAGTTGAATTTAAAAATTTTTGACGATAAAGTTAGAAGGGATCACGATAACAGCAAACATGATGACTTTTTTGAAATTCAATCAATAGAAAAGGATTTAAAGCAATTTAGCGTTACAAAAGAAGAATTATTAGAATGAAAAATTTTTAAAAAAAAGAAATTATTAGGGCATGCCCCTGAAATAATAGGCTAATGCAATTAAATTTAAAATCTAAAAAAAAATCATTTGAAATTCCAAACTTGCTTAAGTCTATCTTGATATCATTAACTTGAAAATATTTATCATGCCTGCTATTTGGTCTACTTCTTCTTAATTTGTCATCAAAAATTCTCAGATTTACTTTTGTAACAAATAGCTAGAGATTTTATTATAATGCTATCACACATTTTCTCGTTTGAGAAGGGGAAATAAGCAAATTCCTGATAAAGAAAGCGAAGAAGCCAAATGGGTTACAATTGATGAATTAAGAAAAATTGCACGAATCCCACCAGGACTGCGAGGGCCTGAATTATATGAATGAGGAAATTATATAGAAAAAGGAGGAATTATAGCCCCATTAAGCTTTTTGTGTAGAGAAGATGAGCAAACTCCACCCCCACAAGCTGCGTATTTTCGGCTTTATGAGCCAATATCTCCAAAGCCAGATCCTGGGATTTTAATAGAGGCAGTTGAAAAACGAGATATAGAAGAAGTAAGAAAATGCTTGCTTTTAGGCACAGAAATTAATATCCCTATCAACGAAAAACTCTGATCTCCTTTACATTTAGCTTGCCACTTAAACCATGAAGAAATCGTATATCTGCTCCTTATGAGTGGGGCTGACATTACTATGGTAACCCATAAATCAAGAAATATTATATACCAAAAATATATATAAATGTATAAAAAAATAATATAAGTGGAATTTTTAAAAATTTAATTTAAAAAAAAATACATTTCGCTGCACAAAGTACTCATCAAATCCTTTCGATGGTGCTGGTAAAGGCTTCTAAATGTGTAAGCAAAATGGAGATTATTAATCACCAAGATCTTGTAGGGGATACTCCTTTGCATTTTGCAGCTGCTATGTCTGGGAGATCGAAAATGTGGAAAGAGTTAGTTACACATGGAGCGGATCCAGAATTGAGGAATAATTCAGGGCTGAGTCCGACGGATATGTTGTAAATAAATTAAATTAATTTAAGTTAAGTTAAAAAAGCTACAGAATTATTCTTTGGTTAAAAATTTTAAGTAAAAGGATTATAGGCAAAATTAATGAGAAAGGTAGAGTTTTTATTAGATATAAATTTTTGGATGCTAGTTCTTAGTAAAAAATTTTATACTGAAGGTTAATTAAAGATGTTGGTAAAATGCAAGATATTCTAATCATGTCAGAAAATAAATAAATTTAATAAAATTTTGGAATTGTTATTTATAATTAAGATTATTTTAATCATTATTTAGCTATCTATCATTAGAAAGAATTTTCATAAGGACAAAAATATTTATTCAATTTCCCTATTCTTGACAGGACATTTACTCCTCAAATTAGCTGATTTATCATATTAACAACAATTGAAAATTATAATCAGCTAAAATAAGGAGCCATCTATCATAGAGGATATCTTAAAATCTACTAAACCCGGTCTGAATTTTTATTTTTTTCCAAAAAATTTCTTTAATTCTTCGCTATCTGAATTCCCCATCAATCCTGATCCACTTCTTATCTAATTTATATACCTTTACTGTATTTCCTAATCTCTTTTTATTTATATTAAATAGCCTTTAATTTTCCCTATTTATTCTATTAATTATAAATCATTCCCATATAAATCCCCTAACAAATTTAAGATATCCATTATCAGTCCAAAATTTTCAGCGACTTTTTTAATGGATATAATAAAATGGAAGGTGGTGCAGTCAAAGTTGTTGTGACAGGAGCAGCAGGACAAATAGGGTACTCAATTCTCCCAATGATCTGTTCAGGTCATATGCTTGGTGCTAATACCCACATTGATCTTGGTCTTCTCATAAATAAAATGGAATTCGGCTCGAGTGAAATTAGCTCCGCTAATTTTCTCTCCATCAAGCAATTTTATTTTGGGATTAGGTTTTCTTTAGGGAACTTCTGTGCAGCAATAGCAGTTGTACTTTGGCGTATAAGCCAGGGCGCTGCTCCAAGTACATCAAGAGACTTGAAGTTTTACCTCTCAGCACACCCGAGGAAGGTGACCCTTAGGCGGAAAAAGCGCAGGAGCTGAGTCGAGGAAGGCAAGGCAAGGCAACCCGTCGAAGCCGGAACGCTTTATTTGTCCGTGCCTTGGCGCAACGAAACTGATCGATCCAGAGGCCTGTGGGCCCGATACGTATACAAATATGGTGGCAGCTCTGGAAACGGCTACCCCGTAGTGGACGTTAAACGTTATAGACTAATAATGATAATGATCTTGGTCTTCTCGATATTCCTCAATGCGAAGAAGCCCTTAGAGGAGTTGTCATGGAGCTTCAAGACTGCTCATACCCTCTGATTACTCAAATCAGACATGGCTCAGACCCACGTGAAATCTTACGTGATGCTGACATCATCATCTTCTTACTCTTTCTTTTGATAAATATCAGAAAAAATAGTTGCAAAATAAATATTATTTTTGATTTTAAGATTTATGTCCATAAATAATAATACAGAGCATTAAATTTATTTTTTTTAAAATTATTTATCAAAATAAATTTAAATAAAAATTTTTATTAAAAAATAACTTGCTCAAGAGGATTTAGGAGGATTCCCAAGAAAAGCAGGGATGGAAAGAAAAGAACTTCTCCAAAGAAACTGCAACATTTTCAAAGAACAAGGTGCAGCTCTCAATGAAGTCGGAAAGCAAACCACTCTTTGCTTAGTTGTCGCAAACCCAGCAAACACCAACTGCTTAATCTTGTCTCACTTCGCTCCAAATATTCCTCGCAAGAACTTCTCAGCCATGACAAGACTCGATCATAACAGATCAATGCACCAAATTGCAGCTAGAGCTGGAGTCCACAGCAGCGCTGTCAAAAATGTAATTATTTGGGGAAATCACAGCTCAACTCAATACCCAGATGTTAACCACGGAACAGTCAATGGACATCCAATTAAGCAAACTCTTAATGATGACGCATGGCTTCATGGAGAATTTATCACTACAGTCCAAAGAAGAGGAGCTGCCATTATTGAAGCTAGAAAATTATACCAAATATTATTAAATTTTCCTAAAAAATCACATATAATTTTTTTTTTGAAATTTATTTAAAATTTGTATATCTAGCGCTATGAGTGCTGCAAAGGCTGCAGTTGATCATGTCAGAACCTGGGTCCAAGGCACACCAGAAGGCGAACACGTGTCAATGGCTGTTCTCAGCGACGGTTCCTATGGAATTGATGAAGGACTTTGCTACTCATACCCAGTTACCTGTGCTAATAAAGAGTGGCACGTTGTCCAAGGCTTACATATTGACGAATTCTCTAGAGAGAAGATGGAACTCACTAAGAGAGAACTTATTGAAGAAAGAGACGAAGCTCTTACTCCCCCCCCCCTCCGTGAGCGAACAAAACCATTAGAAAAATCGCCATTTTTTGACCCAAAAACCCACCCTCCGTGAGTGAACAAAAATTTTTTTTATAGAAAAAATTTTAATGGAAAAAAATTTTGATATATAAGTGATAATTAGTATAATGAAATCTAGAGCTAATTCTGTTTAATTTTAAACAAATTGCGTTTTAAAACATAAATTTTGCAAATTAAATTAATATTTGCTTCCCAATTTTTGCAAATTAGGATTTTTTTAAATTTCGAAAAAAATATTTTTTATAAAATTTATATATAAATTTTTTTTAAAAAAAAAAAATTTAACCCCCCTCCGTGAGCGAACAAAAAATTTTTTTGTTCGCTCACGGAGGGGGGGGGGGGAGTTAGTTAAATCTAATTAAGGACGGACTTATATAAGAATTACCATAATTCCTAAATTAAAAGGTTAAACTGACTATCACTCGCTCTCAGCTGCTTTTCCATATAAAGCGCTTGTAGAGCTAACATCTGCTTCATCACCACGTCTAGCTTGCAGACTGCAAGCTCACTAAGATTGACAATATTCCTATTGACTACGTCTGCTGTGACTTCTCGTTGTGAAGGCATCAATAAGTACCCTAAAACGCTTTCTTCTGGCTTGTTATAGCATAAAAGTCCTATGATTTCCCAGACAAAAACAGATAAATCGACGTCTTTTCGGCAAAAAACAGTTTTTTCTCGGAAACTTGCGAGATATCTTTTGGCATAGTCTAAAGCGGTGTATGGCTCGCCTTTTTTAATTATTTCGATAAATTCTTGGACGTGGAGGCTTATAATGCATTCTTCATTGGACTCAAGAGCAGGGTAGTTCATTACGATAAGGTCTCTGGCTTCTCTGATTAGGCCTTGCATTATTAATTGACGGATTTCTGAGCGGATTTTGGTTTCTTCTAAGTTCTCGAGGGGGGGTTCAGGAATCTCAGGCTCTTCTATGACTGTTTCGTTGTTTTTCATGTAGAGGCTTGACAAGTCTATGCTGTTGCAACGGTCAAAGCTAAAAGTATCAGACATAGAATTTTGACGAGACCCAAATGGACTGGTTAGAGGGACTTTTATAGGGCTGACTGGCTCGACGTTTTGCATTATTTGACGTAAGCACTCTTCACAGATTTTTTGGGCTTTTTCACATTTTTCACATTCAGGGTTTATATCAATTGATCCAACTTTTTCTGAAACCCTCCCTGAGTAACTTCTCTGTTTGCTTAAAGAAACTGGTTCAGCTGCTGGTAGTTTTGGGTTTAAATTGGGGAAATTTAGCAGGGTTTGGTAGTAGCCATTGTATTTCAAATAATCGTGCACGAGCTCATGCAATTCAGAGCTTGATAATCTGTTTTGCATTAATTAAAAAAAAAATATTAATTCAGCAAGCATTTTTCTCTGAAAAATAATTTACCTTTTTGTTATTTTTATAAATTTTTTTATATTTTTATTATATATATTTTCAGATAAAACCTCGTTGTCTATTCTTGTCGCTTCTTTTACAGACAAAGAGTCTACATCATAAGTAAAAGGCCCTGAAAAATTAAATGTGACAGATTCTTGTGGGGTCAACAACGCCACAGCAGGATAATACTCAATAGGCTCAATCCCTTTAAACGCACTACCTAAAAATACCCCATTTTTGGTAAAAAAAATTTCTTGTGTGTCGAAAATAATTCCACATCCGATAACGTCGCCGCTGGCGAATTTTTGGCAGAAATCTCGACCTTGGGTTGAATTATGATACACTTTTCCGTCAGCTTTTATTCCGTAGGATCGCTTTGAGGCTCCTGGATATTTACTGAGTTGAAAAGATTCGTCTATTAGACCGACATAAAGAGTAGGTCTTTGAAGAGTAAAATCAGAGACATTGAATAGGGAAATTTTATAAAAAAATAAAAAAAATTTTTAATTAAATTATTGAGGAATAATATTTATTTTCACTTCAAAATAGTAAACTGGAGAGGTGGGGGAAAGAGGTCGAATAGAATGGCTGCCCCTCACACACTATATAAGGCTTACAGCTATGTCTGCTAAATTTTGGCCTTTTCCTGTGTAAGTCACTGTCAGCCTGTCTTGGTGGATTTTTACATTTGAGCTGTTTTGAAGGTGAAGGCATGGGAGCTCTTCAGATTTGTTAGGTTGATGCATTTGGAAAAACATTTTAGATTTGTAATTATTATATTAATGTGATATTTAATGAAGCTTTATATAAGAAATAGGGATCTCTACAATTAAAAATCTTTTAAATTATGAAAATTATAGGTAATCACACTAAAATTATCCAAAATTTTATTTTTGTTATTTTTTGCTAAAATAATTCAAATTTCTTTATAATTCCAGTTAATTAGCCTTATATTTTAAATCTAGACTTACGGATTTTAAATTAATAAAATTTTTTAAAAATTAAACAATTGAGATCAGATCATAATGAAGGATTTCGGAAAAATGAAAATATCAGTAATAAATAGTAACTTATCCCTATTATAATCTAAAAAATAAGTATAAATTAGTTTTTATAGTAAAACATAAGCAAAAATAGTGTAGATCTAATTAGTTTGGTGTTTACTGCTAGCTAGTCCTTTCCAAGCTGAGAAAATCATTCTCATCACCATATTTCCTGTAAACCCATTACTTCTAACTTTTGTTATATAATTTCTATGTTTTCTCAAAGAAGTCAAGCACGGCTCTTTGCTAGCTTTTGGCTTTAAATTTTCATTTTTCTTACTCCCTCTCCGTGAGCGAGACTGGACTGAACCATTATGTCAGCCAAAGCTAGGCCGGTACTTTGGGCAATGACCGAGGAAGACTTAGGCTAGATTCTGCCATTTTTAATAAAACTCTCCCATAAGGGCGGGTCAGTGGGATCGGTTTTCTGGGCCTATTTCCCTCCCTCCCCTCTCATGAACGAACAAAAAACATTGGAAAATCAGTATTTTTTCAGTAAAAAACTACGAGCAAAAAAATTTATTTTATATACAAATTTATAAAAAACTATTTTTCATATTTTTGTTATAATTAATATTTTAAAACATAAATTTTGCAATTTAATTAATTTTTTACTTTCCAATTTTGCAAATTGAATTTTTTTAAATTTCGAAGACAAATTTACTATAAAATTTATATATAAATTTTTTAAAAAAATTAACAAAGATATTTTTTATTCGGGGAAAGTTAAAATCTTCTCTGAACTTAAAGAACAGTTTTTCAATATTTTTCTTTTTAAGATCGGGCTTCAAATCTACTGATCTTCTGAGATCTCTATGTGAGTATCTATCCGATTCTAATGGAATTAAGGTAGATCCTCCTCCAAATCTAGGGCTTTGAAGCACATAAGTTCCTCCTGAAAGCGTTCTATAATGTTTTTTATCATTAAAAAAAGAATATCATTATAGTTAGTTAGACTGAATAGGTCCATATGTATGGCACTATGTCAAATGACTGTGTATATTTGAAAGTGCAGCATTTCCTAGGGTAAAATTTGATCGAAGAATTTTTGATAGTAGGACATTTGACCAAAAAAACCATTAAATTTCGGACAAATGGCACACTATTTAAAATTTTTCGACCAAATTTTCTTCAATGAAATGACGCTATTAAAAGTATACGATCATTGAACCTGCACCCCATATGTATATATGGGCCTAGTAGTCTAACTGACTATAGCTAGCACTGAGCCAAATTTTTTTGCTTTTCTGCAAAATTAATGGGAGTTTTTTTTTTTTATTTCACTTATAACTTAGAGCCTTCTTTTTCTTATTATGTAAGCTTTTATTTTGGAATGGGCTCTTATGATATAACTTTATGAGAATAACCTGCCACTATTTTTTGGGACACTCTAATTCTACTTGTAGACTTAAAATCCCTTAGAGAGTAGCTTATGTGCGAAGCAAGTTAGAATTAATATCAAGGGCTATATTAATATTAGTCCGCACTATCTCTTTTTTAAAAAATTGTTTTTGTGAATACGAATGTAAGTACCCTTTATTATTGTGTCTATTATCTTCAAACTCAAATCCTGAAGTATCGCATAACAACGGTGTATTTCCTCTAGAATGCTTTTGTAATGTATACTCCATTCTTAAAGGCAATTGCCCTGATTTATGTATTTCTTTATAAAAATAATTCCTAATTTATTGGAAAGCCTTATAATAATTACATTATATATTTCTTTACTAGAGCTGGCAATTTTAAGGAATAGGTTTCTAAGCGCTTCTGTTAAAGATAATCCATGATACGCAGCAATCGCTATATATTTCAAGCTTTGCTCGAAATTTTGATAAGTAAGCGAGCTACGGGAATTCTGATATTGTGTAACACGGGTGACCACGCGCTTTATATCAAGCATTGATATAAGGTCCTAGGTTAAAATTACAGGAAAAATCTGCGTGTGCTTGCAAAATTTGCAAAACTCTGAAAAAGATATTTTGTTGTCCTGAGGGCTGTGCTGAGAAAAGATTGACTTTAAATTAGAACGATTCGCGACAAATAAAGCTTCCGGATCTGCAGAGTAAGAGGGGTCATGGATATTTGACTTGGAAAGATGCATTTTTATATTTTAGAAGTTGGAGTTTTACGAGCAAAGAAAAATAAACTAATTCCTCACTGAGGGAAAACTATTGAGAAAAAAATATTTTATATATATATTTTTTTAAAATAATAATATTTAGTCTATTGCTATTATATTAAATATCAATTAATTTTAGACAGCTTACATTTTAAAATGTGCATTTTATTAATAGCTTAGATTTTATATTTAGAATCTCTCTCGTTCAAGGAGTGGATAAAGTAATTTTTAAAGGTTTATGGCTTCATTTTAATTCAATTTGATTATATGAAATAATGATTACTGAAAGGAAAACCATTAATGTTATTAGAATTCAGTAGCTTTGCTGCTTTATTATTTTTCCTAATTTTATCATATTTTCCAACTAAAATATAAAAAATTCCTCTAAATTACAAAATCCTGCATCCTTTACAATATCCTATCAAAACTGAGGTTATTTAAATTTGAATATACTTACCTAATAATTTAATGGCCTTAAGGGTTGATACTGAAAGAAGACTAGCTGAATTTTTCTCAACAGCCGCTAGCGGTGAGCTTGAAGTTGAAAACGCCCGCATCGCTCTCTCAGAGAACCGTGACTTTGATCCTTATTCAGCCTTTAAAGTCCTTGACCGGTTTTCCAATGGTTATCTCAACTACATAGACATCAAAACTTTCCTCGAGAACAATCGCATTTTTGTCTCTTCCCAAGAAATCGATATGCTTATCAGCCAATATGACTCAGACTCAGATGGACGCTTAGTTTTGAGTGATTTTCATCAACTTACCCTCCCTTCAACCAATCTAGTTATACGTGACATTGCCTTAAACCGCTCAGGTATTTTACGGTTATCGGTAGATGTCGAGTTTCTACTAGTCAGGCTTCTTGATAAAGAAATTAGTTTGCAAAGGAGACTAGAAGCAATCCGCAAGGACCTTGAGCTCTTTCCAGAATTTTCTATTATCAAGGCATTCGACACAATTGACTACCCTTCATCAGGATTTGTAACAAGGGACAAAATTGCAGATTTTTTGAGGAAAAATCTGATAAGTGCTTTTAGTGATGATATTGATGCGATTTTGAGGAGATTTGATGTAGATAGTGATGAGAGACTGAGCTACAGCGAGTTTTCTGATGCAGTAAAAGCGACAACACTTACAAGCTATACGAGGTCACCAATTAGAGAGTCACCTTCTAGGTCTAGGAGACATTCATCACCGCTAAGAAGGTCTCAAAGCCCTACTATAGATATAAAAAGAAACAGGCAGAAATATTTGGCAATTTTTATTAATTTTGCATAAAATATGAGATTTTTCGACTATTTTTTTAGTAGTTTTTGCAGAAAAAAGGATAGAAGCCCAAATAGATCAATAGATTCTTCAAGATTTGACGCTTCTATTACCAGAAGTCCTGGAAGATCTCAGTTATTAACAAGCTCTAATGGCTTTGATAGGTCTTTAAGATCTCCTTCAGGAATTCCAGATTATTAGATTAGATTAATTAACTCTAGCGGGTCACGGAGGTTTATTTCAGCCTCTACCCAGCGCTGCCAGCTTCAAGCTCGCGCTCTATGCACCGGCTCTGTAGCTCACTCCATTTTTCAGTCGACGTCACCAAAAAATGGTGACGTCGCCATCTAACAGGGAGACTCACCCAGGTACTCCTTGATCAGGGGTCTAACGACCCGGCGCCATCCTTTCCGAGGAGGGAGAAAAGTAGCCTCGCGGAGTCTCCTTCAGGTCCTCAAAGCTCCCCACATAAAGATCTTCCTCACTTCCCTTCTAGTCCTGAAGTTTGACTCCTGATACATCGGCTCTGGTCTTCTTGTCTTTGCGAGAGGTAAAAAAACCTTGTCGTGGTGTCCCGACCAAGGTAAAAAAAAAACCACCCTGGACACAATACCCAGGCCCCGTTTACTTCTTAGTCCCGTAGTCCCTGAGGGTACAGGAGAAGGACGGGTCGGGTGGCTCGCCATTTTAATTGTGTTGGGAATTCCAGAAGAATCAGAAATCGTAGGTGTTTTCAGGCAGCAAATTGATTTAGATAGAGATTTGGAATCTGCAAGAAGAGATTTAGCGCTATGCCCTGATTTCACGCTGATTGATGCTTTTAATTTGTTTGATTTGAATAATGTTGGCTATGTCACCCAGCTTGAGTTTGAAGATACTTTGAGATCACTTACTTCTCGGATTTATTTATTAAAGTATTTTTTTTAATAAAATTTTTTAAAAAAAAAAAAATAATTTTTTATTATAGTGCATAAGAGATAGAGTTTATCCGATAAAAGATGAGGTCTCATTACTCTTTAAGCACTATTCTTATGTTGAGAGAAGACTGACATTTACCGATTTCTGCAAAATTGTTACCACTAAAGATCTAGAATATGCAAGACTTATTAATAACAGAATCCCACAAAACCTACCGAGATATGAACGACAAAGGACTTTCAGCCTAAGCACAGAAAACTTGTTATCAAGGGTCATGAAATTAAACTTGGAAAATGAAACTGTGGCTGAAAGCCTATCTCATTCTATTTAAAAGATCTTGCTCACTAATGAAGGAGGGTTTAATGTTTTTTGTGAAAAAAAAATTATTAAAAATGTAAAAATAATTTTTATTGCAAATATTTGAAATGAAAAAACTAATTTAATTTAAAATTAATTTTTAGGGATGCAGCTGTTAAAATAGCGAGAGATCTCGTTATTATAACCATTAAAAATATATCAAATTAAAATATATAAAAAATTTTGCTCGAAACTGGGTTAAATTTATTGAAAATAGTGTAATGGTTTGTTTGCTAATTAAAAGGGGTTGTAAGGCAAAAGCTAGAAAGAAGGCCTTTATTCAGTAAAACTGATGCATTCCAATCTGTAGACAGGGATAGAAATGGCTATATCACGTTCAATGAATTTGAAAACTTGCTGCAGGATTATGGGATTTATGTGTCAAGAAAAGACGTGGAAAACTTGATGGAGAGATACGATAAAGATAAGGACGGAAGAGTGTCATATTCAGAGTTCTTGAATGAGGTTACTCCAAAATCTCCTAGAAAATACTATTCTATTTTAATAATAGAATAGATAGATTATTAGAGATGAAGCACGCTTAAAATCGATAAGAAATTTTATTTAGGATGCTATTAATTTTCAAGCTTCAATAATAAGCAGCATAACTCCAGATAAAATAATTTAATTTTTAAAAATAATTATAAATATAACAGAATAATAATTTTTTCAGAATTTCTGGATATAGATTAAGTTAATTACCCTAAATTTCTCTAAATAAATCTCGTCATATTATGAATTTGTCAATGATTTTATAAATCAAATATTTAAAAATCTTTTCATATTCCAATACTCCTGGTGTTTATTTATATTCCTTTATCTACTTACTTCTAATCATCTCCACAGCAGTTTCATCCCTTTCTGTTCAAATTTCCATATTTTGTCTAAAATATGATTCACATAACTCAAGAAAGGCAACAAGAAGCCAAGCTAAAATTTATTACTGATAAAGAAGAAGAGTTAAAATCAATGCTGGAAAACACAAGAAACATATATAATCAGCATATTGATAAACTAAGAATTCCATCAGAAATAAAGGAAAAATATTTCAGGAAAAAGTCTGACATAAACCCTCCTGATCTTGAGCTGGTTTTTGACCCTGAAATAGGGGGTGGGATAATAAGAGAATCCCAAAATGTGCCCAGATTCTTTTAATTTAATTAATAATATACACATTAAATAGCCTTACTGCCCTTATTATTTATAGTCTTAATCTATTCAAGGTAAATCATATATTAATTAAGCTGTCTTCCTATTAAACAACAGATTATTTTTATCGAAAATTTAATGCCGTGTAAATCAGTAACCTAAAATTATCAATCTTAATCAAGCCTATCTTCGCTCAAATGCACCCGCTTTGGGTTACAATTTGGACAATAAAACACCTCAGGAACTTGCATATATTTAAATTTCATACATTCATAGTGAAACCAGTCATTGCATTGCTCGCATTCCACCATGCCTGTATATCATTGTCTTTTTTCGAATTCTTCCTCAGTCTCAGTAGCTCTTTTATATGTTTTTTCCACAAAAGGCTTCTTACAAATACAATAAGTTTCCTCAGTAATTAGGTCTTCGAGGATAGGGGCTTCAATTATAGACTGGACGAATTTTAATTCTTTTTTGGCTTTTTCTTTTTCTCTTTCTAGTCTTAAGATGATTTTCTTTTGTTTTTTGATTTTTCCTTTGGGTACGTAGACGGTTGGCTGGAGATTTAAAATTGCAAGCTCTTTTTTAATTATGGGCGCGATGAGGGCTTTATAAAATGTGTAGCATTCTAATGGTTTTCGGCCTGAAACTGTGATATTATATTTTAAAATAGCCTGAGGGTCAAGTGTATTATATATAAGTGGTCTTTTTATATCAACAAAGCTTCGTAAAGCATTTGATGAATTTTTTGATTTGACTATAAATGCAAAGTTATTATTTTCGTGTTTCAAAAGATAATCAAGCTTATCTTCCATGGCTTTTATTAACTGGAATTTTTCTAAGCTTGAAAATGGCCTATCCTCTTTTCTCTGTTTTTTTGGCTTCGGCGGGGTATTTTTTGTATTTTTTTTCTTTTTTGACACTTTTTCTAATATTTTTGCAAAACTGATGATATCAAGGACACTTTTTTTTTCTCTGTTTTCTAAGACCCTCCTAAGCTTTAAGGGCTTATGCATTGTACAATATAAGCTAACTTCATCATATCCAGACTTATCCCGAGTATTTGTAAATAAATCTTTAGCGCATTCAGGGTGAAATGCAGCTTGGCATCTACCATGCTGGCATTGTAAACAGGCCCCTTCTTTGCTTCCACATTTTTGGCATCTTAGGCTGAATCTTTTCATGTCAATTTTTGTTAAATCGATTCCTGTGACATTTATTTTATCGGTAATTGTAGCAGATTCTATATGTAAAGCGCAGAAAACGTGGACTCATACTTTTTCAGGGTTTCCTTTGTATTCGTAATTGGGGAAGGTTAAGTCTTTTGAAGTTTCGTGGATCGTTAATTTTAAGGCTCCACCAACTACTGAGCATAAGGCGCATTTTAAATTATGCCTTTCATCAAGGCTATTAGTTTTTTCGCAGGCTTGGCAGTATCAATCATGATCAGGGACTGTAGGAATTCCATAACATTTCATATGAGCACCCATCTCACATTTGGAACAAATTACAATTAAATCATCATCTTCATAGTCGCCATCTCCACAAACCCCACACACTCAATCTTCTTCACATTTTGGAGGGCCTCGAAGCCCACTTTGTCGCTTCTCAGATAAAGAAAAATCAGTTTCTCCTCTTCCTTTGCTTTCAAAATATTTTAAATATTCTTCGTAGTGTCCTCTTCAGCTTAATTTTTTAATTTCGCCTAAAATTAGATCATCTTCTTTATTGTGTGTGATTTTTTTCATATTTATTTCAGGTATTTCTAACGTATTTTTATTTATTTCAGGCTTAATAATCTCATTGAATATGTTTTCATTGTAGGCAGCTTGTTCTTCGAGTTTTTTGTTATACTTTTCAATTAAAAAATCAACGTCCCCATTTGAAAACCCAAGATCTTCCTTTTTTTCTTTAACACAAAAGTTAGGTAGATTTGTTATTGTATAAGTACTTGGGAAATATTGGACGTTAATTATGTATCACAGAATTTGTCCTGTATATACACTTTGAGATTTAAAATCATCAATTGTTTCTTTAATAACTTTTACTGATTCAGGATCTTGGCTTGCTTTGTGACAAGCTTGTCTAGTTTGCCATAATCGTTGGTATTCTCTCTTTTTTCGGCCATTTGGAAGATGAATGTCGTTTTTTAAAAAATAAAAAAATAGTATCCCTTTTAGTACAAATAATTCAAAATACTGCCAATTTATTAGAAAATATTTATTCTGCATGACAAATATTATAAAAAATTCAATAAAAATGTACTTATAAATGAATGTCACATTTAGGGTCTTCTAAGTTAAATGAATGATGAAGTGTTCAGCTCATGCATCACGGATGAACAACCCTTGAGCACCCATAAGATCTGCAATGCAAAGTCATCCCAGATAGCCCACAAATTATACAAGCTCTATTTTCTCTGCAAGAAGAATGGGCCAAAGATCCACTTGGAAGCTTAATTAATGGATTTGTCCCCTTTTCACAAAAGATGCAGACTTGCCGAGAACTTTGGTTTTCACAGTGGAGCTTAATTGGCTCGTCAGCTGGAGTGTCACTAGATTCCTCATAAAGAGTTGCCGCGCTATACAACATTATAAAATCCCCCATATGAACTGATCAAAATTTGGATTGGCTCAGGCAACAATGGAAAAGGATCTATTTAGAGATAAAGACTTATCGTGCTTTACTGTGAATTTACTTATGAATATAAAGAGATTTTTAATGGGAAATTTTATATGAAATTTTATATCAGAATTAAAGAAATTAGAAAATTATTTTGAAAAATCGAAAAGTTTTGGAAAATAAAGATACACTGAAGCTCTCATATTAAATTGGATAAAGAGATAGAGTTTACCTAATAAAGTAGGAAACAAAGTTAATTTGAAAAAAATTAGAGATAATGCTATTTTCTATGTAAAATTTTAAGATCATAATTATGATTTACCTGATCTGTTTAAAGCTTGAAAAGGATATTTACTGATTAACTCAGCCTTTATTATATTAAAATTCTGCTATTTTATTTTATAAAACTCTTTGAAATGCTCAAGCCATTCTTCAGAAATTTCAGGGATAGTGTCGTCTAATTTTGCAAGTTTCGCTGCTTTTTCTTTAATTGCTTTAGTTTTGTTTTGAATGCTGTCTCTATGCAAATTATATCAGCCATTTAAGGACTCATCAATATCTCTAAAGAATTTATTGCTTTGTCCTTTTTTGTTTGCCATATATAGGTGTTCTACATGTGATGCTTGGAACAATTCTTTTTTAATTTTGTCCCTTCATCTCATTAAGTTTACTGCAGGAATAGAAAGCTCTCTGGCTGCTTCTGATTGGTTTTGATGCCTTACAAATTCTCTTACAGCTTGGATTTTCTGAGCTGTGGTGTATTTGCTAACAATTCTCTTTTCTTCTTTTTTCTTCTGAATTTTCCTTGGTTTTGGGGTAAATTCTTCGCCCTCTAAATGCTTATCTTTAGTTTGGGTGCGGATTTCTTTGTATTCTTTGAATGAGTTTGGGTTAATTTGTGCATTAAAATCGACCATCTCTAAAGAATCCTTGTCAACAATTGAGATATAATCCCTTATAAGGGATTTAATGGTATCTTCACTAATGCCCCAATATCGGCTGGCTCCTTTTGAGCCTTTTCTTATACATGTTTCAATTATCATTTCTCTTGCTTTTTCAAATAGTGGGAGATCTTCAAATTGCAAGGTGCTGATCCATCGCTCAACTTCATCAGGCGAAACTAAAAACTTGTCACAAGCTTTAGGTATATTCATAATTCCCATATATATAAAAAATATTAAAAAAAATAAATTTTTATTGCAAATTTAATACAAAAAATATACCATTGATGACGGCATATCTCGCAATTTGGCTTTGTTTTTTTGAAGTTGAATGAGGCTCGTCACTCATTTTTAGTGATTTATTATAAGGCAATCCTATAAATATCAGCCTTTATCATAAATTTTAATTGAGCTAAAAATTCTATTATGCTGATTTAATGCTTGGCTTTTTTAAATAATTTTCTTACCTTGGTAATTTTTTCGCCTTTGTGTGGTTTATTTTTGCTGATTTTTGTCCTTTGTGCCAAATAGTTGACTTTTACTTCATTTCCATCAAGTTTTCTCCCATCTAATTCAACGGCTTCATCTGTGGCTTTTACTTGGTAAAACTCCACAAAGGCAAATCCTTTTCTATTTCCTTCTGTGTCCAAAGGAATTTGTATGTCTTTTACGTCACCACAGTCCTTGAAAAAGTTTTTTATTGACTCTTCAGTGGTTTTATTAGAAATATTTCCAAGGTAAACTGAAGCTTTTTTGCTGATGGGCTTTTTAGGAATATTTGATAATCCTTGGGACATGCTGATTCTTATGGGTCTTCCGAGAAGATTTTGACCACTTTTTTTAATGGCTTCTTTGCATTCTTCAAGAGTCTCGAATTTTACGATTGCAACACCTTTGGTTGGGATACTGATTTTTTTGATTTTTCCACAGGTGGATAAAAAATCACTGATATCATTTGGCTTTGCTTCAAAAGAAAGACCTCCAATGACAATGTCTGGATCTTCAACTTTTTTTGGCGGGGCTGGCTTTTTGGTGGCATCTGGCTTATTTTTCTTTTTAGGAGGCTCAGCTTCGTTTTTGGATTTTCTCTTTTTTGGGAGCTCAACTTCTGGCTCTATTTTTGCTTTGGTTTTTGGAGAGTTTTTTGCTTTTTTCTTTGTATCAACTTCTTGCTCAGGCTCTTTTTTGTCTTCCTCTATAGGTTCTTTTAATTTTTTCTGATTTCTAAGTGATCTGGATTTAGGCTTTTCTATTGTTTCTTCTTTCTCTATATTTTTAGATTCCACTACTTCACTCTTTTCTTCTTTTTTGAGTGGTTCTTTATCTTTTTTGTGTAATTTCCTTTCTTTAACTTCTGATTTCCCAGCAACTTTTTTGCTTCTTTCTTTGTCTTTCATTTTTATTATTAAAGTCCCTTAAGAAATTAAGATAATTAATTATACAATATTGAATATGGTTGTAACTATTTTATCTTTTCTATCTTTAGCCTTATCTTTAGTATGTCAAGAAAAGCATTGATTTCCAAAACCAGAAATGGTGGATACTTCAGATGGAAACAAAACTCTGGAAGTAAAACAAAATACTGTGGATTTTATATTATCAACTGCGTTAAAAGATGCAGATAAGACGATTGTTCAGTATTCGTCAAATCATAATCATAATGAAAAGCAAAAGGATGAGACTAGTTCTGAAGAAACAGACTCTGCACCAATAAAAAATATTGAAAATGATAAAGGATTAAAGGAAAAAGTCAATGAAGAAAATGAAGATATTAGAAAGGAAAGCAAACTATCAGAGGTATCTGATACAGAAGATTTAATATAAAAATATAATTAGTGGTAATTTTTGTTTTAAAAATAGTTTCACAGTGCGAATATAATATTTTTTTGTGGTGACTCAAGTGAGTAAAATGGTAGAGTTTATATAATAAAGGCAATTAAATTGCTTTATTTTCAATATGTTTTATAAATGTTTTCGAGATATTCTACTTTTGAAACAGTATGCTAGATTCAATGAATATCTTATTTAGCTAATAGTTTTCTAAAATAGCAAACTTAGTTCAATTTCTACTTTTACACTAGCATTATAAGCGAGCAAAATTTTCTATGCTAAATTGTGAAAATTTTTTTTATTAAAAATAATAGAAATATTTTTTACCGATAAATTTATGTTTAAGAACGCAACCGTATAATATTTAATAGAATTAGCTAGATTTAGTTATAAAAAATTAGAGTTATATATATATCTAAAAAATTTTATATTAGCCAATTTTTTTGCTCTTAAAGGAGAGTTATTTGCTACTATTAAAGGAGGAGTTAAAATCGCAATTAAAAAGAAAATTCTTTTCTTGATCTCGCTTTCTAAAAATTATTTGATCATAAAATGGTTTAATTGATCAAAATTTTAAGCAAAAAAATAATTTAATTTAATTTAATTTTATTTTCGAAACTTTAATTTTTTGCTTCTTTATTGGACTCTTTTTAATATTATCTGCACTAAAACTTTTCAATAGTCTTCCAGTTTTTTGGGTATTTTTAGATCATATTCTTTTTTCAGTTTCAAAAAGATTTGGCCTTTTTCCTGCAGTTTTTATTGGAGATTCTAGTTGTATAATATCATCTTTTACATTGCCATTTTCTGTATTGCTATTATTTGGATTTTTTTCGGAGTTTTTAATGATAGGACTTTTAATTTTTTCTTGCCAATTATCGATTTTTACGAGCCCTCCTTTAATGATATTGAACCTTTCCTGGATTTTTTGGAAGTTATTTTCTAATTCCTTGTAGTCTTCATCATATTCAGCGTCCATTTGGAAACTATTTGAAGGTTTTATGCTGTTTTATAAAATTTGTGTTAAAAATAAAAAGAATGGGATTATTAATTAATAGGAAAATTCAGTTTAGCAGAGAATATATCAAAAATAGGCTGATGATGTTGCCATCCATGCCACATAGGGCCTTGGGAGCTGTTATCTTTCCTCAAAATTTTTCTAAAATGAGCAGGCCCATAACGGATCTGTGTGACATCGACACTACAATAATTTTTTGAGCTAAAGCTAACTGCTTCTTGTTTAGAGCATCCTTTTTTACGTAAAGTTAAATATGTTAAAGCGGTGTCCACCCTTATCTGCTTCATCCATGGTCTATCTTTTTGGCATATTTCAATGAAAATCTCGTTCTGAGAAGTATTTAGACGAGGTATCGGGGTCGGGTTTATTCATGCATTTTGCTTAGGACCTATATATCCACCAAAAGTGTCTCAATTCCCTAACTTTATACTAGTGTCCAAAGTGCTTGAAGACAAATCTGGGAAATTTACTTTCATTCGGGCACCTGAAGAACTTTTAAGCCATCTCATAGTTCCAGGCCTATTTAAAATTTGGTTTAATCTCCCTTCTCTAACTTTTTCCTTTCTTTGAAAATTATTTTTTTGAAGGATTTCTTTATCTTTTTCTAATCTTAGCCGTTTGACTTGGACTTTTGCAATTCTTTCTTTAGAATTAGACTTTACTAAACATTGCTTTTCTGTTTTATTACTTATGGAATCATTCTCACATTTATTTTTATTAAAGCTTGAAAACTCTTTTACCTTAAAATCTGTTTTCTGTCGTCCTTGAGATGCAGTTTTAAATTTTGTAACGAAAGGTGTGATTGATCTATATATCGAGCTGTTTTCAGCCCTTAAAGATGCGTTCAGAAAGGTTTCATTAAATAAACTTAAGTTCGAGAAGCTTGGATTCGCTGACAGAATGCGGCAATCGCCCATTTATGATTTTTTTATTTATGATGGAAAGTAAAAATAAGTAAAAGTTGCAAATTATCTGGTAATCTAGCCTATATGGACAATAACTAATTTGTTTTAATCCAAAAAAGCAATTTTAGATTTATAATAGCATCAAATGTTCTTACTTCCCCCCCTCCGTGAGTGAACAAAAAAATTTTGTTCGCTCGCAGAGGGGGGGTTAATTATGTTTGTTTTAAAAAAATTTATTTATAAATTTTATAGAAAAAATTTTTGTTACGAAATTTTAAAAAATCCTAATTCGCAAAAATTGGAAAGCAAATATTAATTTAATTTATAAAATTTATGTTTTAAAACGCAATTTGTTTAAAATTAAACAGAATTAGCTATAGATTTCGTAATAATAATTATCACTTATATATCAAAAATGTTTTTTATAAAAAAATTGTTGTTCGCTCACGGAGGGTGGGGTTTTTTGGGCGAAAAATAGGGCTTTTTCTAATGGTTTTGTTCACTCACGGAGGGGGAGTTATAATATTATAAAATCAGGGTAGACCAGAAAATGATTTAACTGCATCTAAAAATATTTAAAATGATTCTAATTTTAGCAAAGAAATACCTTTACTATTGGGCATCACTATGAAATCTGGCTCAAGATTATTTTTAAATTCATCAGTAATTAAACCTCAAAATATTCTATCAAATTTAAATATTCCATTTATAAACAAATTCCAATTATTTACCGAAAATATTAATCTCAATTAAGATTTTCTTAATCTTCTTTTACTTCTTCTGGTGGGCTCGGCGCTACATTTACTACACTCACCACACTTTCATTATTCTCGCTTTCCTTTATTTCTAGCACTTGCTCTATTAAATTTCTGCATATCATACACTTGCTTTCATTTTTCACCAATTCGCTCCCACAAGAAAAACAAATTCCAGCATGCCCACATTGCATAATAACTGCATTTGCCTTATTTACGCAACAAATAATACAAAGTTTTTCTGCATTATTAATGCTTGCTTCAGCTTCTGAATTGTCAACAATTACTGACTCCCCCCTCTGTGAGTGAACAAAACCATTAGAAAAATCCCTATTTTTTTGTCCAAATACCCACCCTCCGTGAGCGAACAAAAATGTTTTATGGGAAAAAAATTTTGATATATAAGTGATGATTAGTATAATGAAATCTAGAGCTAATATGTTTAATGTTAAACAAATCACATTTTAAAACATAAATTTACAAATTAAATTAATATTTGCTTTCTAATTTTTTTTGTGAATTAAGATTTTTTAAGTATCGAAAAAACAAATTTCTGTAAAATTATATATATAAATTTTTTTTAAAAAAAATTAACCCCTCTCCGTGAGCAAACAAGATTTTTTTGTTCATTCACGGAGGGGAGGGGAGTGAGTTAAATTTTAGTTCAAACCCTTCTTCTTTATCAGCATTTATTATTTGGCTTGTTGTCCTTTTGTAGCTTTTTGACTCGGCTTCTGAAGTAGGCTTATAAAAGGTGCTGGAAATTCTTTTGAGGAATTTTGGAGGGTCTTTAAATAGTATAGCAATTCTATTAGTAAAGCCAAGCTGCCTTTGAAGCTGCTCAAAGCTGGTATGGTTGACTGGGACTTCTATATATCGAGAATTAAAAAACATGTCGAACCATTTTACGAGGTATTCGAAAAAGAGAAAAGTATAGATCACAAAAGACATGATATAAAAAATTCCAAGACCGAGCCCTGGGGCTAGCTCACTTATGTCGTCGTATTCAAGGACGTCGGCTAATAGATAAAAATTCAAAAATAAAGACGCCCCAGATCCTAAAGCAGTTAAGAGAAGCCAGAATGGGCAAATTAAATCAAGGCATGAGGCTTTTCCTGTGATAGTTTTGTAAAAAATAGTCACGTTTAAAAAAATCATCCCAAGAGTAATGACAATCAATATCAGATCGGCTGCATAAATAGGCCAAAACACGAAATGCCAGTTTCAGCCTATGATATCGTTAAGTTTTAAGCTGAAAAGTAAAAATGCAATCGAGAAAATCCATCGACTGCAAAATTTCAAAGAATATGACAAATTCAGGCTTTCTATTTTAGAATCTTAATTTTAATCAATTATAAACCTTTAACGTCCTCTACCAAGTTGCTCGACCAAGCTGCCTCCAACACCGCTCTAGGTCAATTTCGCACCATTTTCCTCTGCTCTGCCATAGGTGTGGCCACCTCTGATTTTGATCATCAAAAGAGGACCAGTATTGAAGTTTGGACTTTGACGACTCTTCTTTGTGCTCAGATACTTACTTGGGTCCCAATGGCACCCTAAGGGTCCCAGTCTCCATCGCCCGGGATAAGTGACACCCTTCTAGAAAATTCCATTCCTGAGGTCAGGAGTCCGGTAGGAAAACCACCCGACTCTACTTTCCTAGATAGCTGAGATAATTTCATAACGGGAAACCAAGTCCCATAGTTAAAATATGCACGAGATGAATTTTCGATCGGAGACCTAAAAATTCGAGCGAGCCATATTTTAGTTATTTCTATTTTAGAATCAGTCCTGAAAAATAGAGAAATGGCATTTGAAACATATAGAGGAATCCCTGCAAGAGCGATATTAAAGTTGGAGAATTCAATGCTAAAAATTAAGAGGGTTTTGAAAAGTATATTGCCTTGCTGTGCAATTATTTCTCTAATATCCTATTGAGGAGTGAATTTAGAGTAAAAAATTGTTAATATAAGGAATATCTGCAAAAATTTAAATTAAAAATATATAAGTATATAAAATTTTTGAGGTATTGTGGAGTTTGCTTTCTTAAGGGATTTTGAAATGAGACCGATTTCATAAAAATCATAGAGAAATAAAGGAATCAGTGAAATTTCGAGAGGCTCAGAAGACCCGGTTTTTATGACCAAAAGTATAAGCGCGATTCCTATCATCATGGCTTGGTGGAGTCAATTTTTTAATTCACTTCTAATTATGTCTCGGTAGGGGCCATGAACTGCATTATTGTCGATGCTTTCTATATGGGGAAGCTGTCCGTTCATATTAATTGTGTTAACTCTATTAGGTAATATTGCGATTTACTATTTTATCTATCAGTTTTCCAATCAGTAAAAAGGAAAATTAACAAAAATTGAATTTTCGAAGAATAGGATAATTATCCATGCAAAAAGTTAATAAGGCTCGTTCTTATAGTATTTATGTATAAGTAAAAATATTTAATTGTTATAAATGATGAAATTTTAGTCATAATCATTAAGTTTCTTCTACATAGGATCTTTTTTGAAATAATTTCAATTTATTTGTAAGGCAGAAATAGCTATAATTGGTTAGATATCGTTATTTGCCTATTTTTTAACTTTACCACCTAAGTGTGAAATCTTTTCCGCGTGTGAAAAGATGATTCCACATGTGAAATCAAAAGGGCTTCACACGTGGAATCATCTTTTCACACACGGAAAAGATTCCACACTTAGGTGGTAAAGTTCAAAAATAGGCAAATAACGATATCTAATTTATTATATAGAGTGCCTAATTGCTTAAAATATAATAAGTATCAGTGAACCATATGCTAATAGTGAATGAAAGAACTCAACTAATCCCAAAAGAGATAATTAGAAAACATTCTAGTAATTTTCAAGTTACGATGATTAACTTATAATTTAACAAATATCTTAAAAATAGTGACTTTCAGGTAGCACCATTATTTTATTATTTTTGACAACTGTTTTATCACGTTCATAAATAAAATGGCTATCGCTTCAAGCAAAATTAGCTCCGCTAGTTTTCTCTCTCTCAAGCAATTTTATTTATGGGGTTGGGTTTTACCTCGAGAAATTCTGCACAGCAATAGCGGTTTAACTTTGGAGATAATCAGAGGCACTGCTCCTCAGTGCGATCAAGATCCCGGGTCTTTACCCCTCAGCACACCCGAAGGAAGGTGGACCCTCAGGCGGAGCACGCGCAGGAGCTGAGCTGGAATAAGCCGTGGCGGCAGCGAAGCCCATCGAAGCTGGAACGCCGTACTTACTCTGCCTTGGCCAATCAAAGTGGGTCGATCCAGAGGTCCATGGGCCCGACACGTGGATAAATATGGTGGCAGCTCTGGAAACAGCTACCCCTAGTGGACGTAAAACGTTATAAATAATTAAGATTAAGATTAAGGTTTTATCACGTTCTCTTACCTTAGAAAATCTGGATATTTTTTGTTAAAAATATTTAATCTCTGTCTATTTTTTATGGAATTCGTTTCTGTTTAAATTATTCTCTATACTATACTATTAATAGTCTAAATTATTTTTTAATAATATAATCCTGACCTCTTATATCTCCATGTATAATAATTTTTATGCAAAAATCACAAAGACTCATATCCGTCCTAATAAAAAGACACAACACCCGAGTCACCCCTCAACTTCTTCCAATTTCTCCTATTTCCGACGACTGTGACGAAACAAACATAAATTCTGAACTGTCCAATACAAAAAGATTTTTATTTGACTCAAAACCTCAAAAAGATGAAGAAAAACCTATTAGGGTTCGCGACATTCCTGTCGTAAACCGCAAATATTTAGATGTATGGAAAAGAGTAAGAATAAAAATAAAATCAAAATTGCTATTGAAAGACTTAAAAAATGAATTAAATTTATATGGAACCTCCAACCCTATAGCTGAAGAAATGAAAGGGTTCAGAAGAGCTGGAACAAAAGGATTTAAGAACCAAGACACATCTTTTAGTATAAGTATTGATGAGTCGACTTCACAGCAAGAATATGTCCCAGTTTTTATTCTGCATCCTAATGGGAGATTTAAAGGTTATTGAAATATTATATATTTTTATATTACATAACATTTAATGATTTTTATAATAAATTATAGGATATTTCATATAAAAATATATATTTTTAATGTTCTTACTTTTATATACCGCAATTGTGATGCCATTTGAAATGTCATTTTTGAATGAAACCAAAGGTGACGAATGATGGTGAACAGATGTTTGTTTAAATATCTTGTTTTTCACTGATTTCGTTATTAATTGTTTTACTGCGTTTTATGATGAAGATAGTTTGCTTGTCACAGGCCAAGCTAAAATTTTGAAAAATTATTTGAAAGGGTGGATGATTATTGATATTGCCTCGTTTTTTCCATTTGATTTTATTATTAGTGACAACTCAGAAAATAATAATGATGGAGCTGCAAGTGGAGGGGGAATGAAAAACCTTATAAGGCTTCTACAAGTGCCCAAGCTATATAGACTGCTTAGAATTATAAGAATTTTTAAAATGTTGACACACTGCAAACGAAGCGAAATGGTTGATAAAATCCAAGAATTTTTAGGTCTAAAACAAGGAATCACGAAATTATCGACATTTTTATTTTCTATTTTTATATGCATTCATGTGATTTCATGCTTATTTTACTATTCTGCAAAGCTAGAAGGGTTTTATTATGGCACTTGGGTTGTCAAATGAGGATATTTAGATGACGATGTCGTCACTATGTATATAACTTGCATATATTGAGCAGTCACAACCTTATCAACTGTAGGCTATGGCGATATTACACCTACTACAAATTTTGAAATAATTTTTGCATTATGCTGGATGATGTTTGGTCTCTGTTTTTATTCCTTCACTATAGGCAATATTTCAGCTTTACTAACAGGAATAGATTCAAAGTAATTTTTTATATAGAGAAATGCAATTAACCAAAAAATTATCAGCAATAGACGAATTTTCTAAAGAAGCAAATTTGCCTAAATCGCTTAAAACAAAGCTTAGAGACGCTTTAAAATATTCCACAGAAAAAAATGGGTTTTCATGAGTAGACAAAAAAACAATTTTTAGTGAACTTCCGAAACAGCTGAGGTATGAAATTGCGTTAGCAATGCATCAAGGCGCTGCTAATTCACTTTCGTTTTTTTCAGATAAAGACCCCGTTTTTGTATCTGCAATAGTGCCTTTTCTTCAACACGTTTTCGTCAAAGCTGATGATTTCATTTACAAAGAAGGCGAGTACTCTGATGAAATTTATTTTATAACAAAAGGAAAAGTCTGTTTTGTCCATGGTCCAGGCCATATGGTTTATAATAGTATAAACTCTGGCGAATATTTTGGTGATATCGGCGTTATCAATGATACCCCAAGGAAATATTCTGCTAAAGCTATAGTAGACTGCGATATTCTTACGATGAACAATCAATTAATCACATATATCAGAGAAGTTTTCCCTGAAATTTGGAGTGAAATTGAGCTTGAGGCCAAAGAAAAAGAAGAATATATAGATGCTGCTAAAAATCAGGTCATAGAATTCATGAAACTTGAAGAAAACGGAGAAATCGATCAGCCCAGAAAAAGATTGAAAACTGTAATTAATCACAAAATTAAAGAAAAAAGAGGAATTTATGAAAAAGTTGAAGGAAAAGACGTTGCGGAAATTGTAGAGGAGACCAAAAATGGTATAGAAGAGCTAAAACGGGATATGGAAAGGACGAGCAATATCATTATTGAGCTGCTAAAATTGATGAGTCATGAGAACGGGAGCTTGAATATTCTGAATATGTACTTAAATAGTCCAAAAAGGGAGGAGGATACGCAAAATGAAGCTATGGAGTCAAAAATAACTAAGCGGACGAGTTAGTGTAGGCATGAATCATACACGAAATAAATTAATTTGAATTGTAATAACTAGCCTCCAATTGAAATCATAGGACGATTTCCGTTACCGATCATATTTTTTATTCCGCCATGCTCTTTAGGCTTCATTAAAAGTTCTTCTTTTACCACTTTTATAAGCTCCTCATCTGTCATTTCTTCATTTAAATCTATATTATTCATATTTAATTCTGAGAATGTTTTTTAAAAATAAATAAATATTTTTTTAAAAATATCATTAAATTATTTAATATAAATCAGCATATTTCTCTTGCTGAATTTAGGCATACTTTGAATTTCCCATCAGCTGTAATTCTCAGTCTGTTACATTTATCACAAAATGGCTCAGTTATTGACGCAATTACTCCTAACTCCCCCCCTCCGTGAGTGAACAAAAAAATTTTGTTAACTCACGGAGGGGGATTAATTTTTTTTTTTAAAAATATTTATATATAAATTTTATAAAAAATATTTTTTTTCGAAATTTAAAAAAATCCTAATTCGCAAAAATTGGAAAGCAAATATTAATTTAATTTATAAAATTTTATGTTTAAAAGGCAATTCGTTCAAAATTAAACAGAATTAGCTCTAGATTTCATTATATTAATTATCATTTATATATCAAAATTTTTTCCATAAAAAATTTTTCTATTAAAAAAATTTTTGTTCACTCGCGAAGGGTGGGTTTTTGGGCAAAAAATAGCGATTTTTCTAATGGTTTTTTTCATTCACGGAGGGGGGGAGTAAGCTCCCTTTAAACCCTTCAATTTGGTAATACCTCGCAATGGGGTCTTGAGGGTTGATTCTCTCAATTTTGTATTTTTTTTCGATAGTTTCTATGATATTTTTATATGGGAAAAACCTCTTGTCGTTCCACTGATTTCCTGTATACGGCACAAACTCAATGAACCTCATACTGAAATCATTGTGTCTGGTCAACTCTACAAAGTCTAAAATTTCATCGTCATTTACTCCATTCATGACCACACAATTTAATTTAATGCTTTTTAATTTCCCTAAACACTCCTCAAATGATCGCCATACTTTTTGAAATCCGTCAACTTTAGAAATAAAAGCAAATTTGGCAGGGACCAACGTGTCTAACTCGTATTTAATAAAATTTTGAAGAAAAAATTATAATAAATATTGCGAAAAAAATAAATTTTCAATTTTAAATGAGAGGTTAAGCTTAAATTAATAGAATCCAAACCTGCATCTAATAGTCCATCTAAGTGTCTATGCAATAAAAGTCCATTTGTAGTTATTGCTAAATGGTTTATTCCTGGTGTCGATTTTACAGCCCTTGCAATTTCCACTACATTCGGGTGAATTAAGGGCTCCCCACCAGTCAATCTTACCTTATTCACTCCTTGGCTAGCAAAAAGCCTAACAAGCCTCAGCATGAACTGATAAGGTACTGCTTTTGGTGGCTTTACATCAGGAGTATAGCAATAAGTGCATTTAAAATTGCATTTGGCAGTTAAAGACAATCTCAAATAATTGTGAATTCTTGCGTAAGCATCAACCAGAGTTGTTGCCATTTTCTCAATTGTCTAAAGCTTTTTCAAATAAAATTTAATCTTCATATATCCCAAATAAAAATGAATTTTCCTAATCAAATTTTACTTTAACTTATTTTAACTAATTTCAGGTAACTATTTTTCGGGTTTTTAATATTAATTATAAGAATATAAGGTATTTGACCCCTTTTCTAACAGCTTATGGCCTATCTCTTAAAAATTTTAAAAAATAATATTTATCTTACAAGAAAATGGTAGAAAAAATCTGATATATAATAATTAAATATGTATAACCAGGCCAATAGCAATGCTCAATATAACTTTGACAATGTGCAGCAGAGGCCACCACCAAGCAGCTATATGAGGCAACAACCTCAGCCTATACCAGGGTCAAAGGCAGGAAGAGTTCCAACAGCACTCAGAGGAACACAGCCTGGACAAGAAAGGCCAGTTACATCAAATCGTGCAGCGGGCTTTCCATCTACTTCTGCTGGGAAAAAAGGGTTTGAAGCGAACTTACCAGCTGGGCCGTCAGGCCCAGCCCCTGCACTTAAAGCAGCAGAAGAGACCCCAGATGTAGTTTTTAAGAAACTAGAAAAAGAAATCAACACCCTGCTCGATAAAAGTGCTGAAGCAAAACTAGCCCAGAATAATCAATCAGCTTTAAATTTCGCAAAAGAAGCTGTAGGTAAAGAAAAAAAGCTAAGAACACTAAAAGAAGACGCAGGCCTCGCTGACCAAATCAACATTGATTTGACGTATGCAGTCTGCGTAAATCTTGGAATCCAGTATCAGGCAAATACCATGTATCAAGAAGCTTTAAATACTTATTCATTAGTAGTCAGAAATAAAGACTATCCTCATTCAGGACGTCTCAGAGTTAACATGGGTAATATTTATTATGCTCAGCAAAAATACACCTCAGCGATAAAAATGTACAGAATGGCTTTAGATCAAATGCAAAACATAGGGAAGCATATGAAATTCCAAATTATGCGAAACATTGCTAATGGTTTCGTAAAGATGGGACAATACCCAGATGCCGTTGAAAGCTATGAAAGCATTATGCAGGGTGAGCCAGACCACAAGGTCGCTTTTAACTTAATTTTATGCTACTACGCCTTGGGTGAAAACGAAAAAATGAAGAAAACGTATACACAGCTTCTTATGATAGAAATTCCTGGAAATACTCAAGAAGACGAAGATATACAAGGGCAGGAAGAAAAAGGGCCTTTTGCAAACGACTCTCTTAGTGAATATATCAAAGAAAAACGAAGGGAAGCTTATAAGTTTACCCTGATTTACCTTAAATAGTGCATCAGCTCATCTACTGTTGGCTTGATCAATTATTTGGCACGCTAAAATATGGCCATATCTTTGACTTAAAATCATCATCACCATCATATTATTATCTATTTATCCTTAATCTAGTTTTTCCCTAATTTTTCTAAATGCCATAAGGCAAGTCTTATTTCCCGCCAATCTTAGCCAGCAATAAAAATATTTTTATTGCATAATATGATGATAATAATGATGGTAATGATGATCCATGGACTATTTAAGAGATATTTTATATAATTGATGCAGGCAAACTCATAGCTCCTGTAATATAGAGGTTTCCTCTATATAGCGCTGAAAGCGCAGACATTTTCCCAGGAGCTTTCCAAGTTCGTCGGACCAAATCGCTTTTTGGTCCGACCAAGGCATTGATTTGGAGCAACCAACCGATAAATTCCGATCAGAATTTATCGGCCTTACAGCGCCAAACATAGGAAACTTCTATAGAAAACAATTGGATTGCTGGATATGAATGGGTAGCTGAAACTTTAAGAGCTTCTGACTATAAAGTTTTGGAAAGCGAAATTGGGATTTTTAAAGCAGAACAATATATAAAGCTTAAAGACTACGAAAAAGCCATAGAAGTTTTCAAAAGCTTCGAGAAAAAAGACCAGTCTCTGATGGCAAGAGCTGCTACTAATATCAGCTTTTTATATTTCATAGAAAAAGATATGAAAAATGCTGAAAAATATGCTGATATTGCTATAAAGAATGACAGATATAATGCCAAAGCTCTAGTAAATAAAGGAAATTGCTTATTTTTGAAGGAAGACTTCGAAAACGCTAAAGAATTTTACCTGGAAGCTATAGGTGTCGAAGCTGACTGTGTAGAAGCTATCTACAACTTAGGCCTCGTAAACAAGAAAATGGAAGTCGACTTAGAAGCTCTCCAAGCTTTCGAAAAGCTTCAAACCATCATGGCGAACTCTCCTGAAGTCATGTATCAAATGGCTTCTATCTATGAAGCCTCCCGCAACTTTAAACAAGCCATTAAATGGTATAACTTGCTATTGACTACTTTATCCTCAGATCCAGGCATTTTACTAAGAATCGGCCAACTTTATGCAGAAATGGGCGACGAAAACCAAGCCTTCCACTACTACGAACAAAGCTATATGCATTATCCAGTCTCAATTGACGCTATATCCTGGCTTGGCGTCTACTTTGTCAAAGCTGAAGCCTACGAAAAAGCTTGCACATTTTTTGAACGTGCTTCTCAGATCCAGCCACAAGACCCAAAGTGGCGAATTATGGTAGCAAGCTGCTATAGGAGGATGGGAAATGAGCAGAAAGCTATAGAGCTCTATGAAAGAATCCATGAGGACCATCCTGATAATATTGACTGCTTGCAGTATTTAGTATCACTATTAAAAGGAACTGGGCAGAACTATGAGCATTATTCAACACTACTAAAGAAACTATTGAGAGAAAAAGAAATGAATGACTCCGTACCGAAACAGAATGAGGAAGTATACTCGCCACCACAAATGGCGCAGCAGCCTGTATATGAAGAACAGCCACAAGTGCCACAGCAGCCTGTACAGATACAGCAGAGGCCAGGGACAAGCAGAAAAGGAAGAGCTGCGATGGCGACCAAGCAAGATGAAGATGAATGGGCGAACCAGGAGTTAATTTTACCTGAATAATGAAAATTTAAGTACAAATGTGTGTCAATTTTTTTATTTTATGCATAATAATTATTTCAAAAGAAGACCTAAATAAAATAATTTTTAAGATTATTCAATATACTCCGAGTCTTCATTTTCTACTCGAATTCCCATCTGATGATAAATCCTTTCTACCATCTCTTGGTCTAAATAAGGATTCAAAATGATCCTTCGCTGCTTCATCTTGTTAATAAGCTGGAGAGCTTGTGCAAAATTCTGCTGTGCATAGTAATATTCCACTAATAAAGAATACACGTCGCCTATCCTTATAGCTTGGTCAACACCTTGGACTTCTAATAGTTGTAAACACATTTTTACCATTTCTTCAGGGCTAGACTGAACTAGTCTTTTAGCGTTCACAAATTGTTCCATTATGGCTTTTCTCCTTTGGAACTGCTGGAATAAAATATCTTTTTGAGGATTTGCAGATTTGGCTTGGAATTTTAAGGCCTCATTTTCAGCTATTAAAGCTTTTTCATAGTCTCGGTACTCATCAATTTCAACTGATGCACACGCATCAAAGAAGTTCGCAAGAGAATCCCAGGCCTTTGCTTTCGTATAAAAGAAAATAATGCTTTTCATAACATCTGCATTATGCCAGTCCGTGTTCTGCAGAAAGTTTGCTGCAAGTATATAAATTTGTGCATTTTTCGCAGTATTTGCATAACTTTTTATTTTTTCAATGTCTCCAAGCCTTAATAAGCATTTAAATGCTTTAAGTTTTTCTCCCAATTTCGTGAATAGCTTGCAAGCCATCTGAAAAGATCCTTGACGCTTGCATAGTTTTGCGATGCTCCTGATAAGATCTTTCTTTTGCTGGTCCATAATTCCATCGTCAGGTATGAGTTTTTCGACCACATTATCGTCTAATTTTACATTGTGGGCCAAGCATATTTCTAGAGCTTTAGAGTACTGTTTAGCAGACACCAAAAGATGGACTGCTTTTTCATGCATATTTTCTTGCATAAAATAGTCAGCAGCTCTCAAAAGTGTTGTAGGGTCTTCTTCTTCGCCTAAATCGTCCACTAATGTCCTTAAATATTCATAATTATGCTCTCGGAAGCATAGATCTAAAGCTTTTTTTACATTTTTGCCTTTGTGATAAAGTTTAATTGCACGGTCAAATAAATGTTTTTCTTCGAAATATTTGGCTGTTTGGAGCATTATTTTGAAGTTTTCGCTTCGTAGGGATAAGCTCATAAGGTCTCCGTCAAGTTTATTGTCTCGGGCTAGTCTTACTGCATGGTGGAATCGGTCAGCTTTATTGTAGAGCTGGATAGCTTCACGGATATCTCCTTGTTCTTCCATATATTTAGCTAAAAATAAGCAGCCAAGTTTAGTGTCATTTTCTTTGCAGATTTTTATGGCCTCTTCGACACTTCCTTTAGTCAGGTGGACTCTAACACAAGAGCCCAGATCTCCAGCTAGCTTGTATATGATATACAAGGCTAATGGAGGCTAGAAAATTTTTATATTAATTAATAATTAATTAAAAAATAATGAGTATTTTAGGTTAAAAATAGCTGATTTATTCAATTTGTCATAGTTTTTACCTCAAATATACCATTTTCATATTAAAGACTTGAGATTTGTGAAGTTTTATAAAAATGCATAAAAATTCAAAGCGCCATTAGGATCTTGCTTGCTTTCTAGCAGCTGAGCCCACCACTTATAAAGTTTCGGGTCTTTTTTATCATTAACATACCTTTCCAAGTCCTGAACCCTCATATTGCTATAAAGCATCCTTGGGACTTCTTCTCTATGGACGTCAGCTCTTTCATAATACTCCCTCGCAGTCGAAAAATCTTGTATAGACTCATAATGCCTTGCTAGTTTATAATAGGTTGTCCTTAAGTTAATCCTATCATGAGTTTCCGCAGTCTCCAAAGCTCCATCCCAATTTCCACAGGCCTGCTGCATTTGATTGAGTAAATCATACCTTCCACATTCTATATAAAGCTGTTTGGCTTCTTCTAACATATTAAGCTCGACTGCTACCATAGCAAGCCTTGCTTCAATTTCTGGCTCAGTTTTGGCTTCTCTGACTGCTTTGGCGCCTCTTGCAAATCTCATGTTACTTAAACAGACTTCAGCAACGTCAAGCCTTTTGGTTTTTACACTCATGGTGCACATGTTTTCCCAGACGTTTACGTTTTGAATGGTTTTGACTGCTTTATAAGCTTCGTCCATGTTCCCTGAGGTCATGTAGAAGCTGAAGTTCAATATATTCCTTATTAGACAGACTAGGGATTATAAATTTTTTTATTTTTTTTTATATAGAAAATGGGATAGCTTTTTTGACATTTTCGTCACAATTTTCAAGGCCTGTAAAGTCCCTTAAGGACTTTTTGATGATTTTTCCGATCCCAGAAAGATTGTCTTTTCCTACGTCTTTTCCGATGAAAAACCAATAAGGGACAGAAATTCCAATTGTACCACAGATATCGCCTTGTATTTTTATAGAGTCCTGCCTTGTGATCCCGTATTCTGAGGTCACGAACAGGGTGACGGCTTGGTTAAATTGTTCTTCGGCCTTATTTTCTTGGGCTTCTTCTTCGCCAACACCTGATATGCCTTCTGTTTCGACAAAAAGAAGCCTAGGATCTTGCGTGTCCCAGCAAGAGTCGACAGGAATTTGTGTATACCCAAAATCATGGTGCATAAAATTGTCAATATCAGAGTCAAGGGCTCTATATCTTAGGAATAAGCCTTTTATTCATTTTTTTGCAAAATCTATTGATTTTTAAAACAAAAAATTCCTGGAAATCAGAGTCATACACATAAATAGTAGAATCTGGGAAAATAATTGACGACTTTGGAGCTTGGTCTACCAGCAGTGCCACCTTTGTACCATTTGCATTAATACTTCCCCCCTTAATAATTCCCAAGCTTTGCCCTTGCTTATCTTCAAATTTCCTTGGCATTCCTCTCTGTTTATATTCTCTTCTTGACAAGTCAAACAGTTTTATATGTGACTCTGTGGTAATCAGCATATTATCTCCCATCACATTAATACAATTAACTTCTCCTTCACTTTCTGGCATCAAAACAGTCTGTTTAACTGTCCCTTGCATATTACAAATCTCAATCTGCCCTTCTGTGTATATAATAATAGAATCTCTATGGACAGCTGCTATAAAGCATTTTTTATTAAAAGTCCCGACCATTTCTCCATTCCCTGTGTCAGGCATAGTATAGCTTTCGACTGTTTTTCCATTCCAGACCACACAATGGGAAGTCGAGGCGTCCATCCCTTTAATTTTTATATTGGTATAGATTTGCATGGAGGCATCAAGCCTATTGAGTCGTCTGACTTCTACTTGGTGGTTTGAGGCTTGGAGCGCTATAATGTCATCTTTTATTACTTTGCGGAGGTCAGCTTCTGATAAGATACTTAAGGTCTTTTCGGTTGACGCAGAAAGCAGGCCTTCTCCGTCTGCCCAAGAAATTTGTTTTATAGGGTCAGCTGACAAAGTGACAGGTAGCTGAGCTTCCCAGCCTTCTCGATTAGCAGGGGATGTACTAGTCATCAGTGATTTGCATTTCCACATAATGACTCTTCCTTCTTTTGTGCCACCAGCAAGGATTCTTTTTTTCTCATGAAAAGCAATGCAATTTATTTTATCGCTATCTCCCCATTTGTTTTTCTTCAGGTAAACCATTTATTTTTTAAAAAAAAATTATATAAATTTTTTATATGAAAAGAATAAGCATTTTTCCTGTGATATCAGTATCTGCAAGCGTCAAAAAATAATTTGCGTCCTTCTCTAAATTCCAGAGCCTTACCATGTTATCTCCAGACACAGTTACCAGCAGCCCCGGCCCTCCCCAAATTGTATAAATATTTTCTGGGCTTCCAGCTACTGTCAGCTTCACTTTTCGTGTTGGGACCAATTTTTCATTAGGTGACACCCTAAACTGCACCAATAATAGCGACGACGTAATAATCACGATGCTATTATCTTCTTTATAATACAGCAAAGATTTCACTTGCCCTCCTACCTTGCATACCTCGCTGCATCTTTTTAAGTCATCAGCTAAATGTACCGACCCAGAGCTCCCAGCAAAAAAGAAAAACCTGTTCATTTGGTCCTGTGTAGGGATTTCTCCAGCTTCTGTGGCTAATGCACAAAAGGCGATATTTGTAATGGAACCTTCTTTGTGGTATTGGCATATAGGGTTTAAGCCTCTGCTGGTACTCCAAACACCTACAACGCCATGCTCGTCTCCTGTGACCATTCGGGTGCCGTCTGGACTGATAATTAAAGCGCGGATTCGGCAGCCATGGACTGATTTTTCTTCTTTGACGGAATTATCGTCATTTTCGTTTCAGTAGGAGATTACGCCGTCATCCCAACAGATTATAAGTAATGGTAAATAAGGGTGCCATACAAGCTGAGTTGGAAGGGCTTGACGCTGGATTGAGACATTTGAATAGGGTTCTCCGTCTTCAGTAAACATAAGGACTTTTCCAGAGGCTGTTCCGATTGTGAGGATAGGCTGGTACATAGAATGCGACCAAGCTGAAACCGCTGGGAGTTCATCTTGAAGATTGATGCGGGAATCGAAGAAAAGAGACATTTATAATTTAAACATAGAAGTTACTATTAGTTCAAATAGGAATTAGAAGAGATTATTGTTCAAGTTCTTTATTTAGGAATATTCTTTTATTATAACGTAAAATTTGTGCATTTAATAAATAGATAATATTCTACTTCTTTTAGACCCCTAAAGGGATTTTTAAAATAAACACACCAAATATAAAGGTTATATGTCAAATTTGGTTCTTGTATTAATGCTTAAATACTTTTTGGAAAACGCTCAGAAATTAATAAAATGGTGCGCTATCTTTATTCAAATTTAGATACTTTTACTTCGCTGAAATGTTTGTTGATTTTATAGACAGGTGAGATTTTTTGATCTCTCACTGCGACCATACATTAAAATGGCAAACACATGCTGACCTAGCAACTCTGTGCATCAGCGGCATAAGCAATTGTATATACAATTAGCTACCAAGGAGTTAATGCTAAATCAAAGAATTTGATTCACCTTTAATAAGCCTTTCATATAGCTGAGTATAGATTGCTCATAAATTTATGACATATCTATCTACATGTAGTAATAGCTTAGAACTATTTAGAGAAATTTTAAGACAATCATGAAAATAGGCATGAAATTATTATACAAAATCTATCAGAGGAAGACCTTATAATTATTACTCAAGAGATGACTCCGCCAACAACAAGCCAGATAAGGCTCAGTAGATGTCTCCAAGCTGCAATATCCGCCCAACAACATTACTTATGGGAAATAGAACAGTTAAAAAACAAATTAACTCAAAACGAAGAAAAGACTAGAAAATTTGTTCAAATAATTTCTGAAGACTGCAAGCAAAGTTTGGAAAGACGTGATTCAATTATCGAACAGCAAGGTGGTAAAATTTCAGATCATGAAAAAATAATTGCTCAGCAAAACCAAACAATTAATCAGCAAAGCCAAACAATTCATCATCTGCAACAAGTCATTGCTTTAAGAGATGCCAAACACATGGATCAAGCCGCAATTATAAACAGGCAAAATTATGAAATAAGAGATTTGAGAGATGAAGTATTAAAAAGTAGAAGTGATTTGACAGAGGAAATAAAGGAACTTCTGGAGAAAATTAAAATGTTACAAGACTATCGAAACCTTTAAATTTATCTTTTATTGCAATGAATTTGATTAAATTTATATTTTAATTTTATATTTTTAATTAAATTAAAGAAATTTATATAAGATGAGGTTTTTTATGAAGTCTGTGGTTTTTTAAAATTAAAAAATTAACTAATCATAAAGTTACTTTAATTTCAAAATTTTGAATTATTAGTTATCTACTTAAATCTCACGCGAAACAAGCTGCCTCGTCAAGCTTCCCCAATTTCCTCCGCAGGCTGTATAGCTGCTTGTGCAGTTATCTAGCTATATCTACTCGCTCGCTACACTATTGATATTCTTTACTATTCTATCAATAATTTTTCTTAGCCCTTCGACAGAAATCTCTACATAAAGTTAAAAAAAATGGGTGCATATTTGATCTGAGCACTTTCCTAGTGTGGCATTTTCTCGAAGATTTTTGGTAGAAGATTTTTTCCTCATGAGGCATCTGATCAAACTTTAAAGTTTATTTTCTCAAAAAAATCGGCTAATAATCCCTGTAGAAAATGTCGCATAAGGAAAATATTTTGATCAATGTCTTGAGCCCAAAAAAATAGTCATTTTTGTATGTTATTTAAATATAACTTCTGTAAATTTGTTTTTTAGCTAACGAATTTCCTCTCGCATAGTCCATAATGTCCATATAAACTACCTGTGATAATTCAGTTAAAACTCCAGAGTCATAATAGCAAGAAGAATTTTGGCTTTGATTTCGTTTTAGGTTCATTTACCATCTCAAGATTGGAATGGCTTGACGTTGGATTGAGACATTTGAATAAGGCTCTCCGTCTTCAGTAAACATAAGGACTTTTCCAGAGGATTGCTCCGATTGTAAGGATAGGCTGGGTGCATAGAATGCGACTAACTCTCCCAATCTTGATCAAATGCCTCGCCATCGTTCGATCAAGGATGGGGGTTAATTTCCCAATTTTTAGGAATTTTTGCAGTGAGTCGTTCGATCAGGATTGGTGGGGTAAGTGAATATGTTAGGAACTCATCTTGATGATTTGTGCGGAATCGAAGAAAAGAGACATTTATAATTTAAACGTAGAAGTTTCTACTAGTTCAAATAGGAATTAGAAGAGACCATTTTGCAAGTATTCATTTAAAGGTTTTTATCTTATGATAAGGTAAAATTTGTGTATTTAATAAAAAATTAAGTGTTTATGGAAATAGGTTAAAGCTAAAACGATGAAAAGTTGTTTATAAATTTTGAATCGCCTTAATATCAAAATATGCATCATTTCTAAACATTTCTTCATATGACTCAAGGCACTGAGACTGATTATTTTGATCTTCATAATCATACTTAAGACAAATTTCCTTCAATCTCCTATATACTAAACCTTTTACAAATATTCAAGGAAATCCCAAAAATTCATATTTATAACAGAAATTATGCTTAAAATATGCTTGATTTTTGTAAGTGAATTCCCATTCCCTTATAAATTTTTTGCGAGTTAAATAAAGAAGTGTACTCAGGTAATGCCTTGAGCTTAAGATTGGTATATGAAGCAGAAGATGCTGATTTAGGTGTATAAAATTGATGATTATGATAAGAAATAGAGCGAGGATGGAAGCTTTCTTTGGTTTCTCCTGTCAGAGGATTTATCGCTTTTTGGTGGCATTTATCATTTCGAGTACTTAAATATGAATATCTTGGAGGAGAAAATTCATTAATTTTCCCAGTTATAGATATTGGTTTTTTATTCCCTAAAGAAAAAATCCTAGCTCTATCAATTTTGTATTCTTTTATAATCCCAGTTATTGGATCGTGAACTTTATCTCTGATCAAAGTTTTAGAAATAATTAAGCTTCTTTCTGGCTTAATTTGAAAAGAATCATAAAATCTCTTTTTCTTATCTTTTGCGTTATCGATTATTTTGCTAATTTTATTCCTCATTGTTTTCTTTTTGTCCTTTTGTAAACTCCCATCTCATGATGCAGCTAAGTTTGTTTGGCTTTTGTATTCTCTATAAGGGCTTCAATGAGAAGCTTGGCTTTTTGATCTTTTTTTGACTATTCTATGCTTAACTGCTTCTCAAATATTTTCTTTTGGGCTAAATCTATTTTTTAGTAAGGGATTTTTTTGAGATAATCTTCTGTGACCCTTCTTTTCAAGGCTATCGATAGATTTATTAAGAATTACCTCTAAGTTTCTCAGCTCTGACTGAGCTCTTCTTTTAAAATTTCATGGCTTTGTAGGAGACTTTGCCTTCTTTGTTGGAGAATAATATACTTTGTTATTCATTAATTCTATTTAATAATTTAAGATAAGATTTTTCATGAGACTTATAAATTCGTGAAAAAGTAAATGGTGCTTAAAGGATATTCTTGCAAAGAGCATAATTTATTTTATTTAAATTAATAAGCATAAATCTTTTAATTTTGTATGCGTTTCATTAACAAATCTCAGTCTAATTCTCTTTACTTGCCATTTTACCTATTTTTCCGAATTTATAATTTGCCAAAATAATTTATTTGTATTTTTTCGATTATGCTATCACAAAATTTTTTAATTTTGGATTATTTCTTATTTGCTCGAATCTATCAGAAAAGTATCATAAAGATATATAAAAGTAAATCTATCATTTTTCTGATCGTAATTTCAAAAAACAAAATAAGAAAAATGGGCTCCAAAGTGTCTTATTTTTCAACTATTATATTTCAAAACTAATGCGTTTTAATATCATAAAATTAACTGCCAAAAATTTATTTATATATAGTTTTCGTTTTTTATTTACAACAATTGAACTACAATAAATCAGAAATCCATCATTCATTTTTCAGCCAACATCCCGCTATTTTTATATTTCGAAACTTTATATTTTTATAATTCCTACAATTTTACCCATCTTCCTGCGTTTTTACATGCATTTACATCCTTTATAACCTCCTTCTTATTACTTCCCACCATTAACTTGCATCCCGAATTTCGCTCTTTTCCTCAAAGCACCCTCCCTTCTTCTCAAAATAAGCCTAATTTTGATTCCCTTTCTCTTTATTTTCTTCCCCATCCTCCATTATTTTCTTCATATCTAAACATTTTTTGAATCAGCTCATACGCCATATATTATGAAAGAAATCGCTATAAGAACGCTTGAGTCTGTCAAGCACCTTTGTCCCTTCCTTTCTAGACATCAAACAATAACCCCAGCTCTGGTCACAGAAAACACTGAAAAGTGTCCTTTTATGAAATCTATGAACTTCGTTCAAAAGGGTGAAAAACCATCTATTGAAGACATTGCTGACAAGCTCATGGACCCTTTAAACTTCATTGACCTTGAAAGCATGAAGCCAAAACAAACCATAGGACTCGAAAGACATTTCCAAGAAGCCATTCAGAGGCTCAAAGACGAAGGCCGATACAGGGTCTTTACCAAAGTCCTAAGAAATGCTGGGGATTTTCCTATGGCTACTGAATACATGACTGGTCAGGAAAAACAAATCACTATGTGGTGCTCAAATGACTATTTAGGCATGGGACAACATCCAAAGGTTATTAGAGCTATGACACAAGCTTTAAAACTTTATGGAGCGGGCTCTGGTGGGACTCGAAATATTGGAGGAAACACAAACCTGCATGTGAAACTGGAAAAAGAACTTGCAGACCTCCATGATAAAGAAGCTGCTTTAGTATGCACGTCAGGCTATGTGGCTAATGAAGCAGGTTTAAGTACTTTGCCATCATTATTTCCCCAAGGAGCGATCTTTTTTTCAGATGAGGAAAATCATGCGTCTATGATTTATGGCATGAGGTATTCGAAATTGAACAAAAAAGATATCAGGGTTTTTAGGCATAATGATATTAAGCAGCTAGAAGGGATGCTGGAAGCGTCGAATAATAATATTGATGAAAAAGATAAGATTAAGATTAAGATTACGCTGGGTATTTAAGGTCCCTACTACGTCCGAGGTCGCATGCCACGGTTTCCCCGTGTGGTGGCAGAGCGTTCACCAAGCCCGGGCCGAAACCCCCGGTTTCTCGGTAGAGGTATTGTCAAGGGCCGTCTCATACCGGCTTTGCTGACCACCTCCATTTCCAACTTGGCTCGTCGCCTAAGTTTACGCCAACTCCGCTTCGTCGTCTGCCAGATCTGCCCATTGAAGGGCACCTTTTCAACTGGAGAGACCCCCGTTTAGTTGTCTAACTCGCCTTCCCCCTCTTTTCCGGTCATCCCGAGAAAGAACTCAACAGCTTTCGGCATTCGGGGCGAGCCACAAAAGCAGCTTAGGCAGGTAAGTCGCCCTACCTCATTTCGGGCACTCACTGGGCTGAGCGCTGCTGGCAAAAAGAAGTCACGAGTAACTGCCCATGGGTCTGGTCGCAAAAACAGCGGCTCTCGCGCTTAGGCCTCTCGCTTCGAGGTCCCAGACGTTGTTGGGCTAACTCATGGCTCCAAAAACCATGCCCGGATATACATGGGTAACCACCACTGAGAGGGTGGGTCGGTCGCCATACGCCATTTTATGTATATTGATGAAAAAGATAAGGTGAAAATTATAGTTTTTGAAAGCGTCTATTCTATGAGTGGAAGTATTTCTCCTGTTGAACAAATAAAAGAAATCGCAGGGAAATACGGTGCTCTTACTTATATAGACGAAGTCCACGCAGTAGGGCTGTATGGAAATAGAGGAGGTGGGGTTACTCAAGAGAGAGGAGTTGATATTGACATTATTTCAGGGACTCTAGGCAAAGGATTTGGTACCCATGGTGGGTATTTAGCTTCTTCTTCATTGATTATTGACTGTATTAGAAGTTATGCGCCTTCGTTTATTTTTACCACTTCTTTACCACCAGTTACATGTGCAGGAAGCATTGCGTCAATCCAGCATGTAAAAGAATCAAATACAGAAAGAAAATTATATCTATTATTATAGGATAATTCAGCATAACTATTATTGAAAAAAATAATATTTTTTTTATAGGCTGGCGGACTATTTATATATAAAATAAATACTTCATGAGCACTCAAAATATATGAAAAGAAGGCTACAGGAAGAAAATCTTCCAGTTTTACCATCAGAAAGTCATATTGTACCTTTATTTATTGGAAACCCAAATGTCTGCAAAGAAGTAAGTGATCTTTTTTTCAATGAGTACCAAATTTATGTCCAGCCTATTAACTATCCAACTGTGCCAAGAGGACAAGAGCTTTTAAGGCTTTCGCCAGGCCCATTGCATACCCCTGATAAAATTGAGGATTTTATAGTGGCTGCCAAGAATATCTGGACCAGATTCTCCTTATTCCTTTCTGAGCAAAACTATTACATACTTTATAGGAAAAATGATATTATTTAGTATTAAATTTATTAATTATAAATAAAGAAGATTGTAAATGATTAAAATACTAAAAATATCTTTCAAAATTTAGAAGAGCATAAGTGTTTTTACTAATTAAGATTTAAAAAACGGATTTATATTTGAAAAAATTTACATTATTCTGCACTCGCTCCAAGGGTGAGAGCTAGTAAACTATCAGCAGCTCCAAGATAGGCTCAAAGCTAAGCTTCATCAATAAGATAAGAAAATTGGTCATATGACCACCTTAAAATCGTAAATTTTAAAATGTCTTTATAGCATAGGCACGCTTTTAGCATGCCTCATTATCAATATTTATTAATAAATCAACCAATAATAAATGAGCAGATAGCCACATAAAAAGATCATTAGTATTATAGAAGAAAAAATACGTGAAGTTCTAGCAAATTATTCATGCACATACTGCGGTCATTCATTAACTAGTAGCCAAAATAGAAGATCCTTAAGCCTGCAAGCCACGCCAACCGGAAAAGCTGAGCAAGGCGTACAAGTCGAGACCCCAATAATTAGGGGAAAATTAAAAAAAGAAACCTTGCTACAGAAAAAGGGAAAAGATTCTGTAAAAATTGAGCACCCACAAGGAGATTTAGACAACAAAACTGCAAGGTCTGCGACGGAATCTGCAATTGAGCCTAAAGTTCAATCAACAGCTTCACAGTCTTCGATTTCAGGAATCGTGATCCCGATAAGTGTAGGAAATACAGTAATTTCGCATGGAAATACCCCAAGGAACTATAAGAATGCTTTAAAAAACAGCAAATGACTGATAAGTGCTAATAGCTCAGCTAATACATCAGAAAAAGTATTCATCGAAAAAGATGCTGCAAAGGATTCAAAAATGCCAGGAAAAAAGACATTAAGCTCTAAATCAAAATCTACAAATTACATAAAAACACCTATAAAACAGAGCTTGTGAAATTCTATTGCCATGATTAATAATTGCATATTTAATAGTAAAAAATTGATAAAAAATCATATTTACAGAAAAAAATATAAAAAAATTGTGATTTCCAAGTCAAATGCATCATCTCCAAGAGCGTCAAAAGAAGTTTTTAAAAATGAGAGGTCGCCCAAGTTTATCGATCTGAAAATTCAAGATTTATTTTCTGAAATTGATAAAACTGATGAAGAAAACAACTGAATCGACATTATAGAAAACTCCAAGCCAAAAACATCGAAATCTCAAAAAATCGATATAAAGGCTGGGAATAGGGTCAAAAAAGAATTTTCTTATAAAACTAAACGAGAGCCGATAGTAATAAAAGCACAAATATTAAAAGGGTCAAACCCCAGCTTTATCGTTACTTCACCTATTAACAATAGAGTGCCTCTAAAATCCAAGCCACAGAAGTTAGATTTGAGCAAGCCAACTTTAAATGATCTATTAGACCTTGTGTAATTTTCGAGTATTAAATTAATTATTATTCTTATTTAAATGCCCTCTTCCTCCTCTTTATCTTTATCTTCTTCCTCTTCCTCTTCTTCTTCTTCCTCCTCTTTTTCTTCCACAACTTTTTCTTGCTTACTCTTTCTTCAAATATTTTTTTAAAAAAAATAATTAAAATTTTTTAATTTTTTTAAAAAAATATTTATTTATCAAAGATTTAGGGAGGCTTTGCTTTCTTTACTTCAGCTTTTAACTGGTGTGTCACTATTTTAACTTCATCAAAGAACTCGTCTTCATCTGATTCTTCTTCTTCAGGTTCTTCATGTGCAGAATCTGACTCCAGTTCGGGCATTTCGTTGTTTTCTTCACTTTCAGAGTCTTCAAATTCGTCTTCTGAGTCTCTCTTCTTTTTCTTTGGCCTACCTCTAGTTCCAGGCACTTTCGGCTCTTTAGGTGGGGCGTCAGGATTTTTTGGTTTTCTGCCTCTTTTCTTTTTTTCTTTCTTTTCTTCTTCTCCAGCGATTTCTTCTGATTTTTCTGGTTTTTCTGGCTTGTCTGCGGCTTCTTTGACTTCTCCAGCTGCTTTAGGTTTTCTACCTCTTTTCTTTTTTTCTTCTTTGTGTTCTCCGTCTTCTTTTTTCTCTTCTTTAGTAACCTCAACAGATGTGGTTTCTTTGATTTCCGTTGTGACCACTTCTGTTCCGTCTGCTTTGACTTCTAAGGCTGCTTTAGCTTCTAAGGCTGCTTTGGCTTCTAAAGCTGCTTTTTCTTTTTTCGCCTTGGCTGCAGCTAGAGCTGGGTTTACTGGAGGCCCTGCAGACATATAGACTTCGACACTTTTTTCGAACTGGACCCATAGCTTATTGAATTCTTCAGTATATAGTAGTGCAGGCTGAATTATTCTGAGATACGTTTTTTTTATAATTTTTAATATAAAAATAGGGGTTTACTTTATTATGGTATATATTTTGCATAAATCTGGATCATCAATAACAGTCAGATTTTCTTGATTTTTGTTGACAGCTTGCTTAGTCCAGTTAAAACTCCCAGTTAATAGCAAATAGTCATCAATTACCACGAATTTATTGTGCATGTGGGCGTGCGGATCTAAGTCGACTCTGACTGGGATTCCTTCATTATGGAAGTTCCAAATATCTGAGCCAAGCATTTTCATACATTCATCATCTGATATCACCCTCAGGCATTACAAATATTTTTTAAAAAAATTAAAAAAAATATTTATACCATAATGAAATTTTCCCAAAACATAAATAATTTACTTATAAAATCTATAGGATAATTGGCAACTAATCTTATTTGCGTTAAATTGCCTTTATTGGGTATATTATTTTTATAAAAAAACCCACCCTCACATCTACTCCTCTTTTAACTGCATTTCGAATGGCGTCAGACAAACAATTGTTGGTTATTGTAAAAACACAAACAAGCATTGTCTTTTTGGCTCTATTCATATACACTACAAGCTTTCTTTCTGATTCGTCGCTTGGGAAGAAAAATGCGTCCTTAATGCGCTTGGATGGGGCAAGAGTCTCAGCAGTGATGGCCTGGATTGCTTGTTTTCCCCATTGGAGAGCCCCGGGATTTGACTCGAGGAGCTCAAAAACAAGTGAAATTAAGCTATTTATATTTGAGGTTTTTCTTTATTTTCCTAAATCTTCTTGAAGAGCAAGCAAACAATTGAAGAATTAAATTATTTCTGCAATGAAAAAGACCATTATTGTATAAATAAAATTGACTTTCTTAGAAGATTTACATCATTTTTTTAATGATAAAAATTTTTAAAAATAGACAAAATAATCATGCTCCTTTTCCGATGGTAAAGTAAGTAAATTATCCCGCTTTTCAAGCTGAAAATTTTTTCTCTATTTTTAGAAAAATCCTCAAAATTCAATAAAAATATTAATGCAAATTTCCTTTGCACCTATTTGAGGTCTTGGAATTTCGGAAGAGGCAAGGAGCGTGCGAAGTTCTGCAATGGAATCGGATTCACCAAGATGCTTTCTGAGAAAGTTTTCAACTTCATCATCGCTGTGAACTCCTTTTAAGGCATCCATCTTCACTTGCTGTCCTTCTACTTGCTGGTTGAACGTAAGTTTGACTGGCTTTTCTTTTGGCACTTTCTTTTTTGGCTCACCTTCAGCGGCATTTGGATCTGCTTTGCCGCGACCTCTACCTCTTTTCATTTTTTATGGGCTCATATTAAAGTAAATTAAAGTAAGTTGTTCGTCCTAGACAGGGCACTACATGCTCATTGTCCCTGACAGACAAAGGATTCCCACAACTAATCTTGACTTCTATGATTCCTACCTATGGGCTCATCACCTGGATCGAAACTCATAATTTCTCGTTAAACAAATGTCACCTCTTAAGCCCTATTTGAAGGATTTATCGTCCTCTCTCGTTTTTTGCTGGTCCTGCCCTTTCAGATAATGGCAGAGTTCTAGGATCAGCTTCCTAGGGCACGAGAAAAAGTTAGCCAGATATACACACTTTCTGCCCTTCCCTTTGATACTGGGCAGTTGCTTGCTGGCATTGAATAAAAAGGGTCAGAAGGTTGGGTAGTTTGTCATCACCATTTTGGGTATATAATGGGCTCACATAAACTGTTGATTTTAACCATCACTATTCTGGTTGGTTTTAAGGGCTATTGACAATAACAAGCCTTCAAAGCCTTAAGTGGGGGTTATTGGGAAAGTGACGAAGATCGTATTAAAACTAGAGGTAATTTAGAAGAAAGATACGAGATTAATCAATAAAGACGAATGCGCATCGTGCCTGGGATCAAAAATAAGCTGAAAGGTTTTATCATGAATTGACATCTTAATGTATTATATCTGGATCGTCTTAATCTTAATTAATATGTGGACTTTCTCCATATTGTTACGCAGTTACCAAGGACTCTCAAGTGGATTTATCCGCTTTGGGACCTCTCTTCTTATAATTGCACAGTTGAGATGACTTGTTTATCAAATTAGATTGTTCAAAATCTTGCACGCTCTTCAGAATCTATTTCTATAGAAGACTGAGTGACACAGCTCCAAGAATGTCTTCTCCTCCTTGGCTTAAAGGTTCTAGTATTAAATGAGCAGACTATAGTCTTCTGCAGTTCTGCATCGAGGATAGGATAATAGCTTAATCCAGAGAAAGAAGTCGCGTTTGACGGGCCCTTAAACGCTTACTTTGGTGGCTACAAGACCTAATTCCTGAGGCTCAGGCCAAAAACCCTGGTTTTCTAAGAGAGGATTACCATCGCCCCAAAGTCGATTTAGAGCCACCATAGAAACTAATTCAAAACTTACCTGGAATCCATAAACAACAGTCTGGCTTAAATTTTTTACTGATTTCTCACTAGAGATAACTGCATCAAAAGGTCGAATGCTTACGTCTCCATTCATATAAATATATCTGGATTGTCAATTATTGTTTCTGAATGCATTAAATATATCTTCAGAATTTTAATAATTTGCTGTGGTGCTTATTTAACCCCTAAACCCTCATAATCCTACCTCTAGCAAGTCTGAATGAAAATTGGTTTACTTAATTAAGGCCAAAACAATTGAAAAAATTATTAAATAATTATAAAAATTATTAAAACCTTGGTCTGATGCTTTTTTAGCAGTTTATCATTATTATCTGATCCATCAAGCTCGACAAAAACCATTAAGAGAGCTTTGGTCTAACTTAGGCTTTTTGGTAGGCTTATTCGGGATTTCTGACTTTCTTTTCTGTGGCATTTTGCTTGGTAAACTTTCCATAGACTTCCTAAGTTTAGTTTGCTTAAGCCCGTCCTTTCTAAACTCCTTTAGTTTCTCGTTGACTTCATTGATTTCTTTTAATGTTTTTTGAAGCAGCTCAAAGCTGGCGTCTGCGTATGGAGCTTCACATTTCGGTTTAGAAATGGCTGTTTGGCTTAATTTTGTGGGGTGTCTTATAATAGTTTTCCTGTCGCCGTTTAGTGTGCCATATACAGGGAAATTTAGCATCTAATTATTATGATTTATATTTATCTAGTAAGTTTTAGACTAACTCTCCTTTAGCTTGGCAAAATATCGATTCCATTTTTTTGAAAATTGACTCCATTTGGATTAAAAAAAATAGCTTTTCATTAAAAATGCTCAATTTTAATTTTTTTAAAAAAAAAAATTAAACTCCCTTATATTTGAACAGATGCTTTTTGCCAAGGGGAGTAAAGAGATGCTTAATTTAGAGGTTTAGAGAGTAATTCTTGAAAATCGATGATAAAACTGAAATAATTTCTAAAAATAAGCTGTAAAAATTAAAAAATCTGCAATGATAAGCAAATAAAGCGGGAAAATCTTGAAACTTTGGGATGGCTCATTTTGGAATAAACAAATTATTCCTATATGATTATAAGCCCCTAAATGGTGTATTTATATAAATAAACAATCTGCCCTCATAAAAATGATTTCAACAATTATCTCTCCAATTAAAATATTTTTATCAAAATTTTCTCCTAATAAGCATTATACATTTACTAATTATTCAGAATCAGTGCAAACCACAGGCAGCATCTGCAACAGATCATCCACTAATTCCATTACTTCTAATGACCTACGATTAATATCAATATTACTCAACATATCTACCAAATTTGAATCCAAAATTTTCTTTAAATTCTGATCAATAACCATATCTTCTCCATCCTACATATCTCTTACCAGGACTAAATCTATAATATGTTCTAAAAGGATACACAAAATTTCATCAGAATCCCCATCTCTTTTCAGTAGCTGTATTAACTCTTTTTCGCCATTGTATTTTATAAATAAATTTTGGGCAATTTCACGGCTTCGGTATAGCCTCGCACATATTGCTGCTGATAATAATCGGATTTGTCGAATGCTGTGTGATATCAAAGGAACTAGAATAGGAAAAATGTCCCTTTTTATGAGGTCAGTATATACTGTATCATTTTCTATTTCTAAGGAATGATATAAAAGTAATAAAGAATAGTCGCGCAAATCTTCACTATTCGAACTAATAAATTCTACAATAAATTTTAATATTTCCGGCAAAATTTGTTGAATTGCAGAGGCAGATTCGCATGCAGCTTCTGCTAGATATGCCAAAGCTAAGCAGCCAATACTTTCTGGCTTATGGGCCCAACCGTTAATTTTGCTATTTCTGATATCACAGGCAGAACTGATTTTTCCTAAAAATTTGGCAATTTCACTCCAGTTCTTTTCTTCCCTGAAATTTATGAGTTCTATTATTAACGGTTCGTCTTTTATATAAGAGAGGTCAAGGTTTGTGTTATTGTCTTCTTCAGTGGTGACAGCATGAACGTAAAACTCTTGCAAAAGCACAGGATTTGTATTTGCAGTTCGTCTGGGTAGTCTAAATCTCATCATAGTTGTAGCCTTTTCTGAATTAAGATAAGATCTGCTTTCACAGCATCCCATTTTTATTATGAAACTCAGAATTAATTATAAAATAGATATCGAGTGAAATAGAAAAATCAGATATATTAGAAAGGCAAAAAAGAAGAAAAATATGATAATTAATTCCATAGAAATTCAGAGATGATATATCATTTTTTAAAAAAAGTAAATTTTTTTAAAAAATAACTGCAACATGTATGCATTATTAAGCGGATTTTTAAACCTAAAATAAGTAGCCACGACAGTTTAAATTTCTTTGTTTTATTATTTATCTACCCTCTTCTCTTAGACATGCTATATTTATTTATCCAATTTTCTATATTTAAATTAATGTCTGAAGGATATAAAAGCCCTTTAAATAATCGTCGAGTCAAAGCCTTCATCACTCAGCCTGACCAAAGCGTCCACACAGATACTGCTGACGCCACCGCAAAGGCAGCAGAAAACACAGAAATTTCAGTCCAACTGACCATGATCCGCAAGAAGCATGACCAAGTCAAGCAACAAAATATGCAGAAAAAAGTCTATCTAGACAAGCTTAAAAAAGAACTAGAGCAGCTTAATCTAGTAGCTACCGCTACAATGGAAGACCAAAAAGCTGTAAATTTAAAAATCGAGGAGCTAGAAAATGATTTAAAATTAGCCCAAGTCAGAGTTGATGAAGAACTGCAAAGCAAAAGAATGTATGAACATATGCTGGACAGGATGAAGCAGGAACAAACCAATCTTGACTTGAAATCTTATAATTTGCAAGATAACTTAAAATCAGCAAGAATGCTGCTGGAGACTGAAAAAGATAGGGCGAGGAAAATTAATGAGAAAAAAGTATCGTCAAGAATGATGGTCAAGGAATTAAGGGAGAACCTTGAAGTAGAAAAAAAGAAAAAGGATGAAAGAATCCAACAGCTGGAACTTGGAATCAGGCTTAAAAAAGAAGCTGCAGAACGACAAGAAAATCGCATTAAAAGACAGCTCGAAATTGCAGAAATCGCAGCAAATGAAGACAGACACTCACAAGAAATAAAAATCAAAGAGCAGCTGATCCTCCACAAGTTTTGGCTTCAATATCTCAAATGGAAGCAAGAAAACAAAAAACAAACCGCGATTGACGTCGAAGAAGCTTTTCAAAAAATCCGCTCAGCGACAGGATTGACAAATTTAAATGATATTGTTGAAAAATTTTTAACAAGAGAAGAAACTTATAACCAGCTATTATCTTCTGTAAGCGACGCTGAAAAAACTTTAGCTGATTTAAAAGCTATGGTAATAGGATTTTTTTTAAAATTATTATAATAATTTTTTTTTTAAATAATTATAAAAAATCCTAAAAGCTAAGCATGAAATAGCAAGAGAAGAATTAAAAGGGCTTTTACTAATTGAAGGCGAAGAAACTGAAAAAACTTTTAACAGAGAATACCAAACTTTAGAAGAAGAAATCGACACAGAATACAAAGAGCTAAACCGAGTAAAAGAACAAGTCGCCAAAGCTTCAAGTGTCCATGAACAAGCTTTAGGCTGGGGTAAAAAAATGTTACAAGTGCTGGGTATTGAAGAAAGCAAAACCAATATAAGAGACGTTTTCGACGAAATAAAACATCATGTAGATAATATGATAGAAACTGTAAGTGACAGAAATGAAGAATTTAAGCAGAAAATCAAACAGTTTGAAAATGCTTCAACTAGTGACCTAATAAAACAGCTTTATACCCCAGAATTCATTACTTGGAATGGACACGTTAAGACTGAAAGAAAAGTAAGTGAAGATGAATCTGATAAATAATTATAATTTAGCTGACCATTGTTTAAGTGCTGAAGGATAGCCTAGTGTAAAGTTGGGGGCAGTTAAGATGAGCCCACCATCGACGATTAAAATGTGGCCTGTGATATACTGGGAGGCTATTAAGTATAAAACCCCTTCTGCGATTTCTGTTTTTGTGGGCTTGATAATTCTATTTAAAATATTTTTATTTAATAATCAGCCATTATTTATTTAATTTTAAAGCAAAAATGTTTTTGTCCCAAAACGTTGCAAAGGAAGATATTTTTCATATAGCGTGTCTTGCTTATTTTCATCTGAGCCAAGTCTTGAAAGGCCTTCTGTATCTTTAATAGGGCCTGGAGCAATAGCGTTTACTCTTATACCATAAGGTCCTAGTTCCATTGCTAAGCTTCTTGTTAATGAGTCTATAGCAGCTTTTGCAGCTGAAGCATGAAGTGTCATATAATGAAGCCTACAATTTTCTGAGAAAACAAAAATTGGTTATTAAATTAATTTGTAAAAAAAATAAACTATTTATAAGATATTTTAGAATATTCATTGTTATACATCTTATATACACATGGCATTTGTAAAGTTGACGAAATGTTAATAATTGACCCCCCATGGCTCTTCATATACTTCTCAAAGACAACTTTTGACATAGAAAAAGTCCCTATCGTATCAATTTCCATCACAGTCCTAAACCCCTTTGTCGACAATTTGCTAAAAGGAGCCAAAAAATTCCCAGCTGCATTATTCACCAAAATATCAATTTTCCCTAGTTTCCCCAACACAAAGTCCACAGCCGCATTAATTTGTCCCAAATCCCTTACGTCACACTGAAAAATCTCACAAATTTTCCCACCTTTCTCAAGCTCAGCTTTTGCGTTTCTCAATCTTTCTAAATTTCTGCCCAAAATCGCGATACTAGCCCCATGCTGTATTAAATATTTCGCTATTCCTAAGCCAATCCCAGAGCCGCCACCTGTGATAAGGGCAACTTTTCCTTCCAATAAATTTTCTCTATAAATTGACGTCATTATAATGGACTCATTAAAAGATGTTGTTAGAGCAGACCTAGAGAGAAGAGGCTGGGAGGTAAAAGATGGTATTTTGTATGGTGGAGACTTTTTATTGTATAAGGGATCAACAGAAGGGCATACCCATGCTGAGTTTATAGTTAAGTTATATGAGAAATTGCCGACATATCAAGAAATTTTGGGATCAGTCCGTGTAGCGACTCAAGTGAAAAAGGTTTATTTTACGTAGACATTGATGGTAGCTTATCGTGACAGCTCAATTCATTATTTAAAAATATCGAGATTTCCTATTTCAGAGCTTCTCAATTAAAATATTTTATGATCAATTGAAAAAAACTTTTATTATTAGCTTTTGGCTTAGGCCGTCAATTCTTAATATAGCCTCATTCCTAGCCCAATTTGCCTTAGGCTAATCCAATATTTTTAATTCTCAGCTATTTTGTTAATAATAAATGTTCGAATACTGAAGAAGGAATACCAGAATGCCCTGGTGGGATCGCATGAGAGCCCTCAAAGAAGCCAATCTCCTTAAACACTATCCCTTATATTCCTTCGTATTTCCTATGTAGTGGCAAGTTTTTCCTCCAATGAACAGACAAAGAAACACAATTGCAAGCTATTCCCCTGAAGAAGCCGAAACCTACGCTAGACTTCTTGAGCGACTTTTTGCAAAGCGCCCTGAATTCCGCGTTGACTATGACAAACAAGACAGCGTCGCCCACATCTTTTTAAGGCAGCAAATCAGGCTTATGAGGCAAGGACTTACAGAAGAAGCTGCATTTGCAAAGGCTGAGGCAAATAACGCAGAATTCTTCCTAAAAGAAAGGCAAAAAGCATCAGTCCTGACCAATGTGGCCAAGACCAGCAGAATTTTAAGCTTTATGAACTATTATGAGCAGACTGCAGAAGCGGAAGGCAGAAATAAGGTAAAAATGCTGCAAAGGGACTTGCCGAAATTTGTGAGGTCAAGGGACGAAAATGACGTTTTTAGAGATATGCCAATAGTCCATACTTATAATAAGGTCCAAGCAACATATACGCATAATTCCAAATCTGAGGTAAAAAACGAGCCTGATGCATTTTACAATAGAACAAAAAGAGCGTTAGAATACCATTGGGATAGGGCACAAAAGGTAGATGGACTGGCTGGGTTGACTGACGAAGCTTTATTGTGGTATTCCAAAGACATAACAAAAAACGTCAGAAAAAGAGCGAAAGCAATACACAAAGAATTGACTGATATGGGCGTTAAATTAGACAGCAAAGGAGAAATTGATGTAAGCGCAATACAAAATTCAGCATTAAAAGACACTGTGAAAACCAACCCGGTATTTAAGCTGATTTTGCAGAACCAAGGGAACTTTGAGGAATCTTATAAGACTGAAGAAGAATCTGAAGAGGAGATTGGACAGGAATTAGATGCCCCTATAGACGAAAAACAGACCAGAGGGCAACCTTTGAAGTGGACCTCCACAAATCCTTATAAAAACCAATTTTTTAACATAAAAGTCGACCAAGTCGAGCCAGACGAGTCCAGAAAACTAAGGCTAAAAGCACTATTTAGCCAAGTCCAAAGCAAAGAAACAGACCCTGTTGAGCAGCTTGAGCTCCAACAAATCGCAATCGCCAAGCTTCGCCGAATCCGCGTCAAATTCGACCAATCCTTAGCCAGAGACAACAACGACCCAGTCGTGCTTGTAGACGAAGCAAAATACAAAAAAGAAGAAATTGCTTTTAGCTCTAATTTCGACATAGAAAGAATGAACAAGTTCATGGAGCTGCCTACCAATAAAGTTGTAGAAACCTTACAAGATAAGCTAGAATTTGAAGAAATCGCTAAATTGGCTTCACCTACCATAATTGACGAAAATTCAGCACCTGTAGGCTATGATAGGAATTTCTCAGCTAAAGATAGACTGGCTGATATAGACCATGAGAGCTCTGATGTAGAAGCTGAAGAGCTGGCTGAAGAATACGAAGACGGATTATTAGGACTTGAAGGAGATCTAGAAGACACCAATGCAGAAGACGAAAAAGAAAAGATGAAATTCAAGGCTGGAAAACGTGAAATTATTATTAAAGCAGCCAAGCCAAAAGTTGATAAGATTGAAGAAGCTATTGAAGCAATGATGACTCATGGAAAACCAAAGAAAGATAAATAAGGAAAAATTCTTTTTAAATTATTTAAAATGGAAGAAGACTGGGAACTCTTAGAACTCTCAGGACCAATTGAAAATTTTGCGGTGCATGAGGTGAATAATGTAATTGGTTATAGCATAGGGACAGTTATTGTGCTGTGGGATCCAAATACAAATAGAAAAGTCTCTATTAGGAGTCAAAATGGGCCGGTTTCGTCAATTATTTTTTCACAGGGTTTTGATTATTTAATTACAATTTCGAGTTCGGCGAAGCCGATGATTTCTGTGTGGAGGTGAAGGACTTTAGATTTGGAAAGCAGCGTGTGGCTGCCTTATAAAGAAAGAAAAAAATCACCTGTTAATGTTATTTGCAATTTGATAGGAAATCGGCTTATTGCGATTGAGAATGAAGCAGGAGGAGGGTATAGGGTTTCTATATGAGAATGGAAAGCCCCTGATTTGGTGCTGATATTGGTAGAGGAGTTAGATATGGAAAACCAGTGTATTTATACGAGTATTTTGAATGATCAAGTTACCTTGCTAACTGCAGAAAAAAATTGTTTGAAGCTATTCTTATTTATTAGGTTTAAAGCTATTTTATTAGAGAAGATAGCCAAGTTTTATAGAGAATGGCATAAGGAGTTATTGTTTTTATTTTTTTAATTTTTCTGTATAGCATATGAAAAATCGAAGAAAAAATTTCGATTGACAAAAGAATGCATTTAAAATACAAACTTTTGCAGGCCGAATATATAGCAAGCCTAGGAATTTTTATTGTACTTTATGATACTGGAAAAGCGGTCTCTATCAATACACTTGGAAAAGCTATAGCAAATATTGAGCATCAAAATTTAAAACTCACATGTTTTTCTGTTATAAGTGAGCAGATTTATTTCGGGACTAATAATGGATCAATAATTACATATAGCCATAAATAATAACTTTTTAATTTATTTATCTTATAAAAATAATATTTTATTCACAGCAAAATATATACACCCTACGCAGTTACAGAATGATCCAAGAATTTTCTCCATTAAAGCTATGCCCTATAAAATCTATATTTTCCAGCTGATATCTTTATATAAGCTACTCAGACGCAAATTTCCAAGTAATTTCCCTTTCCCAGAGATCAATCATATGTGAAACCTATGGCCATAACACCAAAATTATCTCTTTATCCTGATATGACAGATGAAATGTCATCACCGCTGCAAAATCTTTAAATATTTGAAGGCATTCAGGCAAAGGCTGGACTCCTCAAACACTAGAAATAAATGACGAAATTTCTGCCTTAGGGGTGCACCCATTAAAAAAGGCTTTTTGTTTAGGGACTTTTAATGGGGTTTTGCGGCTCTATGATTTTAAAGCTCAGCATCGGCTAATCCAAAGCTTCCAAATAGGCGCCTTACCAGTTTATGATATTGCTTATACAGATGATGGAAATTTTATAGGAATTGGTTTTACGTCTGGACAAGCTGTATTAATGGACCAATATTGTCAGCAAATTCTGGTTAGACTAGAAGATACCTGGTCTAGAAATGGGCCTTGTTTGCAGACTGTGCAGCATTTGACTAATGCTTCTCAGGTAAAATTTTTGACTTTGCATGAAGAAGGATGTCTGCAGCTTCACCATATGGAAATTCGGTATAATCAGCTGAATAAAACACAGTTTAATTTATTTTATATTGAAGGGAAATGTACAGGGTATTCATTACATGTGAGTGGGAATTATGCAATTGCGGTATCTGATATAGGAGCAATATATATTTTTAATGTGCAGCTAGGAAATATTACTGGGGTCATATCAATTGAACCGGAGCCTAAAGGATGTTTTCAGGATCCCTCAGGATTATATATCGCTTATAAATATATAATAAAAAGTATATTTATTAAAAATATAGGGCTAAGCCTCAGCTTTATTAGGAATATATAGGAATCCTCATAAAAAATCCTGAAAATTGCTATACAACTCTAGTGTTATATGAAATTGGCACAGGCAGAAAAGCTGGAGAGCTATCGAAACTTGACAACTGCGATTCTTTAAATTCAATTAAATGGAACTTTGACGGACGATTCATAGTCATAGGCGGCTCTTCAGGAATTCTCTCTTTATGAAGAACACCTGATCAAATTATCAATAAAATTACAGAAATGAATGACCATCTGCGCAGAGATAAAGAGTTTTGGACCCATTTCCCATTGGAACTTAATAATAAATCATTGAGAAATGGGACAAATCCCTTGGTTTTTGATGCTACAGCTGAACTAAATGATACACAAGGAGCCTTTTATAACTCAATTGTAAAGCTAAAGAAGCAGCCACAGAGAAATTTGGTAAGAAATGAGCAGCTTTATGTGGTCACTGACGCGCCAGTAACATTGACAAGAAGGTCAAGATCTTCAAACCCTGTCAAAAAAACTGTAAATAATGACCCAAATTTGTATAATTTATTACATAATATAAAGGACTGTTATATTTATTTTTTTTATAAAAATAATTTTCTGTCAAAATCAGTGTAAATTTCTATATTATTCATCAGCAAAAACAAATACTCAGTTCAGACCTAGAGGCATAACCAGTGTAGATTCTTTTACTATTGAAAGTGTAAACCAAACAGTGATGGAAGACCCAAGAGATATAGACATAGAATGCGAACAAATTGGAGTGAACAACGATTTTGAGTCTTTTTCAAACGGCACCAATAATACAGAAGAAAGAGAACAGCTATATGGAGGTATTGATAGATTTTTATAATTATGAAAAATTATCTCAGATTAATTATACCCTCGCATCATAATTTACAATTGGCTAATTTCTATTAAATAAATAAAAATTCATAAAATACAGTATATTAACTATTAAGATCTGGCGTCTCATTACTCCTTTTTCCAATGCAATTTTTACACACCCTTACCTTTGTATTGTAGCCTAGCTCAGGAATGATTTCACGCTCCTTTGAGTCTTTTTTGCATACAGCCAACCCACATTTTCTACAATGATGCTGCCTTGTGACAGCTGTGAATTTCCCATTGCAGATTTTACAGCTGCTTGATCCTCTAGGATCATCCCAGTTCGGCCTTTGGGCGTGCTTAATTATAAGGCTCCAGGCTCGGTATTCTTGGACTGTTTCGCATTTAATTATCCATTGCTGAGTTTTCCCTTTTTTGTTTACGACTTGGCACTCAATTGAGTTCTCTGAGCTGTTATCATAAGTAACTCTGAATTTATTATTAATTGTGGTGGAATTTTTGGGAGGAGTGCCAAGGGATAAGGAATAGCTGAGCTTTTTGTCGGAAAGGACAAGCCACCTTCGCTTTTCTTTGCTTTTGGAGACCATGATTACGTAGCCTTCTTTTTTTAGGTTGTCGCGATGGAACTCAGGATGCTTTGATTGATTATGTCCCATATTACAGATTTAATTAATTGATATTCGGTTTTTGGGAGAAAAAATTACAGTAAGAGGTTATTTAGAAAAATTATTAATTGTAAATTAATATAAATTAAAAATTAATCATAAATAGTTCAAATTTTAGCTTGATTAATTACTAATAAACTATTAGAAATTTGCAGATATAATTATTATTCGATTAATTGTGGTTTTTGTTTGCTTATGTCAAAAGAAATTTCAGTATTTAGAAGCCATTTTTCTAAAATCATATCAGAAAAAGCTCATTATGAAACATTTTAAAAATAAATATGCATTAATTTATCAGAATAATTCTGATAATAAAAAATGGCTTCAAAACTTATCTTCATTATTTGTATACTATCTCTAGTTCTCGCCCAACCTTCTCAAAATGACACAAGCACAAGCCAAAATACCACAATTCCAAGCCAAAATGTTACAAATTCATCATCCTCTTCTAACCAAATCAACTCTTCTGGTGAGTCAAACATTTCTTCAAGCAACCAATCAAATATTTCTCAGTCAAATAGTACTTATTTTTATCAAGGAGGCATCGCTGAGACTCTTCTTGAGATGGCAAATGGATTTTTCGTTGGACTAAAGCGAAATCAAAGCCAAAGTTCTTCTTGTTATAATGACTCTGGAGTTTTAACTGAATTATCACAGGTAGTTTATATGGACATTATGGACTATGCGAGAGGAAATTCTTCAGCTAAAAACCAAATTTATATAAATTATGATAATTTGGAAAATTATTTTAATGATCGTGCAGAAAATGACTGTGATTGGGACTGGTTTTTTTGGCTCAAGACATTCGATCGGAATGTTCCTTGTGTGATATTTCTACAGGGATTTTTTGGTTGATATTTTTAATGATATTGCGAGGAAATAACATTTAAAATTTGATCAGATGCCTTGTGAGGAAAAAAATCTTCTTCCCCCCAAAAATCCTCGAGAAAATGCTACATAGGAAAATGTTCTGATCAAATATAAACTGAGTTTTTTAAACTTTATGTAGAGATTTCTGTCGAAGGGCTGAGAAAAATTATTGATAGAATAGTAGGGAATATCAATAGTGTAGCTAGTGAGTGGATGTCGCTAGATAACTGTACAAGCAACTATACAGCCTGTGGAGAAAACTGGGGAAGTTTGACGAGGCAGCTTGTTTTGTGGGAGATTTAAGTAGATAAATAATAATTTGAAAATTTTGAAATTAGAGTAACTTTTGTTAACAATATTTAAAATGGCAGTTAGGGATAGATCCCTAGTCCTGATCCACCAGGTCGGACCCATAAACCGAACTCAGCAAGAGAAATCAAGCTTCTTGAGAGTATCGACTTGAAGAGAAGTGGTCAGTGCTGAGGTTGGCACTGACTAGATAAGTCTGAAAGGGCTTGATAACTTTAACGGTTCGGCGGTTAGGCCGATTCACCCACCGTTGTTCAGAGCTATTATTGTAGCTACCTCAAGAAAAGAAGACTTATAAGGCACTCAATGTGCAAGAGAAATTCAATAAACTTAAAGTTAAACTTTTGTTAAATATCATAATGGAATATTAATCTCTTTAAAACCCCTCCACAGACTGCATAAAAATGCCCACCTTATATAAAGATCTGTGATTAAATAAAAAATTACGATTAAAATAAGAATTTAATCAATTCATTACAATTAAAGTAAATAATTTAAGGGTTTCGGTAATCTTGCAATGTCTTAATTTTATCTAGCAGTTTCTCGATTTCATCAGTTAAGTTTTTTCTCAAAGGTTTTTGGAAAAATTTTGTCTATAAATCATATGGATGAAGTAGTACGTAATATATTTCTTGGAAATTTATTAGCAGCTACTAATGAAAAGTTGCTAACTCTCTCCGTAAGCGAACAAAACGAATTCGAAAAAATCCCTAAAACTCACCCTCCGTTAGTGAACGAAAATTTCTTTATTAAATTTTTTAAGAAAATTATTTTGATATATAAGTGGTAATTAGTATAGTGAAATCTCTATCTAATTATATTTAATATAAAATAGCTAGCATTTTTTAAACATTAATATTATTACATTAATTTTAACGCTGATTTTCCAGCATTTCTCTATTTATCTTCATTATTGAGCAAATAAAATCTTTTATTAAGTTGTCCATTTCTTCTCTATGTTCATTCTCCAACCAATTCCAGAATTTTTCTGTGTAAAGCACAATTTCATGAATTTTAAATCTTCTCCAAATAATTTTATCTAAAAATTCCCAAGCAGGAACAAAAAAATCTTGCTCATACATGGAGGGGGAGAGTAAGAGAAATTGGAATAAAATATATAATAAGAGTTTTAGATGACGAAAAAGTTGAGCTACTACCAGGATTTATATATTTTATATCAAAGCTAAGGACACTAAAACAGAAAATATTACAGAATATCTATCTGAAGCCCTATATTTTATAGAAAAGCAGTTAAAAGCTGTACATTGCTATGCAAGAATTTCAAGAAGTCCTTAGCAAGTGATAACCCAGGTGTCCATGGCATCAGGATCCATATAAGAAAGAAGAGATCGTTGGACCTAATTTGCTGGCGAGACAACTCAACTGTTCAAGCCCCCTTCAGCAAATCGCAAAGCGGATTACACTGGCGGGATTTTCTGCTTAACAAATAAGACAGACCAACCTTGAACTAGTTAAGTCAAGCTAAGGCTTTAGATCATAGCGAAAGAGCACTAAAGAATTTTTTGATTAGCAACTGTGGAACGCTCAGAGATTGGTATCAAGCAGAAAATCCTTAAGATCTTTCAGAACTAGCAGCATTTGATTTCATATTAGAAGCCATAAACAGCTTAAACTTCGAGGAAGACGATAGGGAAATTACAAAGATATTGAAGCTTATAAATTGTTTGGCATATCTCAAACTAGTCGCAAACTTGTTTTTTAGTGATATAAACGAATTTTTGAACTCTAAACACAAAGAATCTATTATAAGCTTGCTGATTCAATCTTTGGCCAGCCTGCCTGAAGGTGTTATGCATAAAGTTATAAATGCTTTGAAGTCAAGAGAAGTGTTTTCATTAATAGCGAATAGTGCTGACCCTATATATGAAAATCAATTGGGTCATTCAGTATAATGAAATTAGCACAATTACTATAAGGCTGTTATGCAATCGCACTGAGCACTTATATACTTCGCCACTATATGTTTTACTAAGTTTTATTCTTACTCCTCTCCGTGAACGAACAAAAACACATTTTTTTCGGTTAAGTTTTTTTATAGTAATTTTTTTTGAAATAACAAAAAATCCAAATTAATTTTCTGCACAAATATCTCATGAGGAAAAAGTTTTGATCAAAATCCTCGAAGAAATGTCACACAAGGTAAAAGCTCTTATCAAATATCAGAGCTGCAGGACCTTTGCAAACTCAAATCGGCCATACAAAGAGTTATCTTATAAAGCAAGTGTGCCAGAAGATTCCTAAAATTCATAAACCTATATTTCATAGTAGTTTTCTGCCCAAAATTTCTTATTTTCTTCTCATATTAGAAAAATTCCTTTATTTCAATTCTATCTATAATCCTATTATCTAATAATGAAGCTTTCTCCTGACTCTAAGTCAAAATCAAGCTCAAAACCCATCATCTCTTCTCGCCTTCCTAAAGCTTTTTCACAGCCACAAAAGCTCAAGAAAAAAGAAGAGCCACTTCTCCCGTCTGATGATTTTCAAAGTGTTTTGTCTCCGTTAAAGCATGAGCCAGGCCAATTTATCAAACTCTCAAAAGCTCTTAAACAAATAGAAAAAATCCCAGACAAGCCAGCTTCACAAGACCTTTTAGGACAATTTTCTAATCAAAATGCTTCACATTTGCCTCACATTCAGTTGGAAGATATGATTACCTTATCAAAATTATGCTTTTACCTATAAATTTACCCCAAAATAATATAAAATATTTTAAAATAATTATTTATAAGGAAAAGATATAAACTCTTCATCGCTCAAAGGAACAGCAAGAAAGGTCCTGCATGCTCCAACGCTAAAATTATATACAATAACACAAATCCCTATCAATTCAAGAGAAGAAGGGGCTGAACTGAAAGACTGGGTTGGAAAATGGCAGAGAGCACAGCAAAGACATAGAAGACTTGTAAAAATCATGGCCACCTTTTGGAATTCCCCTGAAGGCTGCTTAAGTGTGGTTGAGGAATTCATAGAAGGAGGAAGCTTGAAGGATTTGTTGGAAAATGTAATTTGTATCCCTGAAAAGCAGCTTGCGAGAATTGCAAAAAAAGTTTTGGAATGCTTACTTCTTTTTAGAGGATTTTTGGTATTTTTAAGAAAAAATTATTAAATTATTTTATTTAAATTAATTATAATGAATTTTAATTGAGAGATTTAGTATATTTTCATAAAAAGAATCGATATTTAGGGACTATTTCAGCAAGCCAAATCCTCTTCACCAAAACTGGCTCAATTCGTCTTGGTCCTTGTCTGTCCCAAAGACTTGAAACAACAATAACATTAATTACTTATAGGAAGTCCGCTGTGCTCTTGCAGACACTAATCGAACTCCTATAGCGCTCTAGCATTAATTCAGACTTGAAAATTAAAAAAATCGAAATTTCTGGTCGCTTGTCGGCCATGATGAAAATTAGAAGATCGGATAAAAGTTGCCCCAATTGGTCTAGTGGGGGTATTTTAAGTAGTGCTTTAATCTCGTCCCAACTTTCATCATTTAATTCATGACTATAAACAACTACCTTTTCAGAATCCTCCGATGTCTTTTCTCTAGGCATAATTGTCCTCTCTGCCCTTTGTAGTGATTTTGAAGTTTTAGAGCCCAAAACCTGCTGTATTTTTCATTCAATCCCTCACAATCCTCTCTTAAGCAGATTTTCCCCACAAGTGAAGCTATTTTTGTGCCAAACCTTGCAAATTGATGAAAGATCTCGGCCTTCTTCTCAAGAATTATTAGCCCAAGAATGGCTTGAACTTGTAGAATACCCAGGACCTTTGGTACAAATTCAAGACTTAATCAATATAAATTCTCCTATGGGAAACAGAGAGTATTGGGAAGCGGCTGACGCACAGCTAGATAGGTTATGTGAAGCCTTGAAGGTTGTAATTGTAGGGCAGGGATATGGGAAGCCTGCTGAGGTAGCAATAGAACAGCTAGCTGATGAGCTTGAAATTCCTGTACAGACAGTAGCAGAAAAAATACATAAAGTTTATGAAGAAATATAGAGGATATGAAGGTAATTAAATTTGCTAATTTACTTTTAAAATCTTATAAAATTCTTTCAATAATTCAGGACATTTTTAAAAAAACATTTTTATTGGTAAAATATAAGATTATTAATTTATTGGGATTTTAGATATCTAACTGAGTGCTTTAATAATTTTTTATAAATTTTATGCATATTGAGAGAGTATGGAATTTTAAATCTAATTTATATTATGTAGAACAATTGGCTAGACTTTCAAGCATATAGTGTCTATATATAAGTATATAATCAATGAGACTAAGCCGTTTTGGCAGGTAAGCTCAAAATTGCTAAAAACGCTTATAAAATGGGAGCTAGTGTCAATTGTATGAGAACTCCAAAAGACAATATTGAAAAAGTTGAATTTAATATGCTCAATCGTCCTCTTTCTAAAGTCCAGTCAGAAATAATTGAAAAATCTCAAACAAAAATTGTTATTCATGGCATTACTAAGGCTTTTTTAATTAGAAAAAAAATTCAGCCTCATCTGGACAAAATCCGAGCAAGAAGAAACAAATTTAAACAAATAATCATTCAAGCACAAATTAAAGGCTTTTTAAAACGAAAGGAAATGATTCCGAAAATTATGGAAATTCGATCAAAAAAATACGGTAATTTAGGATCTTTATACCTTTTTTCGCTGAATTTGTTCTTATTTTTCCAGAAAAATTTTATTTTAAATTTATACAAAAAATAGCTTATTACAATTAATTGCAAAAAGCGTTTTGATTCGTAAGAAAAATTATCCAGCATTAAGAGAAATTGCAAATAAAAAATTGTCCCATTCTTTAGCTATAATAAAATCAATATGCAAATCTCACGTCGTACAAAAAATGATAAAACCCAAATTAAAAAAACTTAGAAGAAGAAAATATAATTCACTCGGAATCCAGCTTCAGTCATTAGGGAGAAGTTTTTTAATAAGAAAAAGAAGCAAAATCCTTCTGAAAGAATTATATGAGTATAAAAGAACTCACCCAAGACTGCCTTATGATTATTATAAAGGGAAAGTAAATGGTTTGAAAAGTGATAAAGTCAAAGAAATAGAAGAAAAAATAGGTAGATTTAAAAGACCAAAATACCATGGGAAAGTCAAAGTAAATTATAGAAAACCTTTACAGCTAGAAAATTCTGTATATGATGGATACTGGGATTTAGAGACAAATAAAAAGCATGGAGTCGGAAAAGAATTCTTCAATGATGGAGCATTTTATTATGGACAATATAAAGCAGGATTATATCATGGGGAAGGAAGACTGATTTATAGCAATGGAGACTATTATCAAGGAAAATTCAAAAGAGGACTATACTCAGGATACGGAATTTTAATTAAAGCAGATGGAAGTATTTATAAAGGCTATTTCATTGACGGCATTAAAAACGGCGCTGGAAATGAAATATTGCCAGATGGGACTAGCTATGATGCCACTTATGTAAACGGCTTAAAAAATGGTCCGGGTATATACAAATCTCCAGATGGAAAATCGTATAAAGGTGACTTTCAGGATGATCTATACCAAGGAAAAGGGACTTTTCAATGGCCAGATGGAAAAGAATATACAGGCGATTGATATAAAGGAAGAATGCATGGGAAAGGAGAATTTAAATGGAGTGATGGGAGAAAATATGTAGGAGATTACAATAATGACAAAAAGCATGGTTTAGGACTTTTTATATGGCCAGATGGGAAAAAATATGATGGAGAGTGGGTGAATGGAAACCAGCATGGAGCAGGGAATTATACATTTTGGGATCCAAAGAGAAATATTTTTAAAACTTTACCTGGGACTTGGGCTGATGGAAAAAGAGTTTCTTGGACAACACCAGGTGATAGTAAATAATTAGCTAATTTATTAAATGAAATAGACACTAATATTTTGGAGCACTTATATTTAACACTAAAGGCTAATAGTAAATGAAATAATAAATAGTCTCTTGCCTTAATTATTATAATAATAGCCAGAGACGAAATCTTAAAGTCTTCTATATATTTTCATACATACATTTATCTAGGTTTATATATGGCGTCATTAATTCAAGCGATAATCAATGATCATTCTGAGCATTTAGACTACACTCTCAGCTGAAAAATGCAAGCGCTCTTAGATTTCTGACCCAAACAAAAAGGCAAAAAAAAAGATATTCATAAAAAATGTGATCAAAAGGATGAATAAGGAAACAAATTTAATAAAGAATTTAAAGAGGAGGTGGTGGTTAAAGAAGAAACATGCAGAAAGACTTATAATAGCAGAAAAATGGTAGATTTGATTGAATTAACACTAATATACGAAAAAACTTGCAATCTCAAGAGAGGCAGATAAATCAGAAAGATGCCCTTCTGAAATAAATGGACCTAAAAAATTAAAGGCTACTAAAATAAAATGCTATATTAAAAGGCTTTATCGAAAGAGCGATGCTTATATTGAAAGATACGATGAAAGAGCCAGAAATACTTGTTCGATCACATAAAATAGTTCTAATTTAATATTTGTAATAAAATTTTGATTGTTAAATACAAAAAATACCCTATAAATGGTACAATATAGAAAAAATCAAGATAAATAGGTTAATAGCAGCAAGTAAAATTAAAATCATCTTTGCTTTTTTATTTTGCCATAATCTAAGGAGAAGGTAAAATACCATTTAGTAAATTTTGTATGATAAGTGCTCTGGCCAGAATCATAAAAATAATTTCATTTATTTTCATATTCATAAGCCAAAATTTAACAATTTTGGCAGCTTTTATGTTCAGACTATTCTGTAGCATAAGTCTAAATAAAAATGTCTTTAGCGGGACACATTCGAATTTTTCTTAGAGTTCGCCCAACTGAGCGACCATCTCGAGGAGTTTCCTTATCCGATGATAGCACCACCCTAGATGTTCACATCCAAAAAAGAGACGCCAGAGATTACGTAAACAATCAAAAAGAAGACTATAAATTCCAATTTGATGAAATTCTCCCTATGAAAACAAAGCAAGAAGAAGTCTTCGAAAAAGTCGCCAAAGAAATCGTGGACTCTGTGATGGAAGGATATAACGGCACAATCTTTGCATATGGACAAACTGGGTCTGGAAAAACTTATACCATTACAGGAGGCGCTGAAAGATATGCAGACCGAGGGCTGATCCCTCGTTCTATTTCTTATATATTTTCAGAAATGAGGAGAAAAACAGATGCAAACTACAGAGTCAGCATTTCTTACTTAGAAATTTATAATGATGATGGCTATGACTTATTATACGAAGACCAGTCAGCTAGAAATCTGCATGACCTCCCAAAAGTAATCCACAGAGAAGACGCCAATGGAAATATAACATTAAGCAATTTATCATTGAGAAGGACAGACACAGAAGAAGACGCCCTTAACTTATTATTTATAGGTGACACAAATCGTGTTGTCGCTGAAACTCCCAAACACGACGCCTCTACACGGTCTCACTGCATTTTTATTATACAAATTGAAGCCCAAAAGCTTGGCAGCGACGTAAAAACAGTTTCCAAGCTTCATTTAGTAGATCTTGCAGGATCTGAAAGAGTCGGAAAAACCAACGTTGACGGCGTTTTGCTTCGAGAAGCCCGCTTTATTAACCAATCTTTACATTACCTTGAACAAGTTATAGTATGTCTCCAGAAAAAATCACAAGGCGAACAGATTTTTGTCCCTTATAGAAACTCTTTTATGACTTTAGTATTAAGAGACTCTTTAGGAGGGAACTGTAAAACTACTATGATTGCTGCTATGAGCTGTGAAGAAGGGGACATGGACGAATCCGTTTCTACCTGCAGATTTGCCCAAAGGGTAGCTTGTATTAAAAATGAAGCTTCTAAAAATGAGCAGCTTGACCCTTCGTTGATTATACAAAGACTTAAAAGCGAAGTCGCTGAGCTTAAAGCAGAAATTAAGCTACTTAAAGGTGGAGAAGATGGAAGGGACCATTTATCAGCTGACGAGCTAGAAGAATGCAGAAAAATGGTAGAGGAGTATGCAGAAAATCGAGACCCATATGCAAAATTAGTACTGAGTGATATGCTGAAAATAAATGAGTGCTTTTTGCATCTTAAAAGGCTTTATAATCAGCTGAAATCACAAGGGGGAAGCACCAAAGGAGGGAACTATAAGCAGATTGACCAAGTTTCTAATGAAGAAGTAGAAAGACTGAGACTTTTAGTACAGCAGAGGGATAATGAAATTGCTATATTACTAACTCCCCCCCCCCTCCGTGAGCGAACAAAACCATTAGAAAAATCCCTATTTTTTGGTCAAAAACCCACCCTCCGTGAGCGAACAAAAAATTTTTTTACATATAATTTTATATATAGTTTTATTATATCTATATTTAATACAAATAAAGAGGATAATATTGAAAAATAATTATTAAGTTTGTTTGATATATTATTCAAAGGGTTAAAAAAAAAAGAATACCATAAGTGAAAAGGTTGAATTTAACAATTTTAAATTTAAGACAAAAAAATGAATAGAAGAAATCGATTAGATAATTAACTTCTTCATATTAACTTGATGGCTGAAAATCTTTGGATGATTAACGCCATAAGAACCCGTCAACTCAAATGATTTTCTGACAAGTTGAGGGCTTACAGCATCTCACGCCTTTGAAGCAATGTTTATCAGTTGCTGGCGATCAAGAGCTTTGAGGTTTCCAGTTCTTTTCGATCTTCTTTCAATCTGCTCTGTTTGGAATTTGATTCTGAAATCTGTTGTTTTTGATTTGAAATTTGCAATTACCAGTGCGTCAAGTGGTTGCAAATACTTTTTGTGCACCCTCCAGGGATCACAATTTTGGTTGCATCTAAATCTGAAATTGCATTAGAAATCATGATAGTTTTATGACTTCCAGCCTGATCATAAATCAGCAGTTGGTTTTCTCGTCTCAATATTGTTCTGAGGTAGTCATTAAGAATCTGGTCAGAAATGTAGCCAGATTTATTTGATTTTATGATGACATTTTCTGGAATATTCAGTCTTTCTCTTACAAGGTTCGGGATCTGGCCATTTTTCTCTTGAAAAATGAGCAAAGCAGGCATTTTTTCTCCATCAGCTCTAATCATAAGCATAACAGTGATAAAATGTTCATTTTAGCTGATTGAACGCCTAGAATTCGTTGAGTTCCCTTGAAATCATAAGTGAACTTGCTTTTTACATCTCAATCAAATCTCGTTTCATCGAAATTGTAAATGTTAGATGGAACGAATTGAGGAAGCAATGACGCTAAATCATCTAGGTATTGCCTGACAAGTTCTGCCTCTTTTTCGATTGGCTTAATGCTTGAGGCATTGATTTTTCTGAAAGATAAATTATTCTGGTCCTAAATCCTTGCCACCATTTATCTCCACAGCCGAATCGCGCCAATCCCATTTCTGCCGCCAAACTTTTTGCTTTCTCCTCAATCTTTGATCTGAGAACCTGAATACCTTGCTCACGGATTGCAGTAAACCAATGAACTAGTTCTTTCTCTAGCTCTGGAAATTGAGTGAAGCTTTCTAATTTTAATTTTTTATCAGATTTTACTGATTTCTTCAACTCATCAAGCTTATTCACCCATTCGGAAATCGAGCTAAAGGAGTTGACATGAAACTTTGCAGCAACATCTCTCATGCTCATCTCATTTTGGTGTTGAATGTAAAATTCAGCAATTTCAACTTTCTGCCAAATTTCAATGTACTTTCTTTTCCCTTTGTACATTTTTATTATGATTTATAGAGAATTTGCTTATTATATTAAATAAGAAAATATATAAAATATTTTAACTGAATGCATATATTTATTACTAATAGGTTTATTGATTATTAAATTATTGAAAAATTAAGCTGTGTTTTACCTTTAATCAAATGGTATTCTTTTTTTTTGGGAAATTCCCTTACTCTCCCCCCATAATATTTTTAAAATAATTTTCAACTTATAAAAAAATATTATTTTACAATTAAAAATTTATATATAATTTTTTTTAAAAAATAAAAATTAACCCCCCTCCGTGAGCGAACAAAAATTTTTTGTTCGCTCACGGAGGGGGGGGGGAGTAAGCCATTTAAATAAGCAAAAAAATGAGATGGGATCCCTAGTTTCTTTTCCTCAGCCAAGCTACTCAGAAGAAACCAAAGTCCCAGATTCTCCTCCAAAAAAAGTGGATATGAGCATGAGGATAAGGGAAAGAAATGCAGTAGAAAATCGGCAAAGCTTAATGGCCCCTACAAATATTGACGTCACTCCTGAGCAGCTGCAGGACAGGAATAAAGCTTTTGATATTTTCAGAAAAAGCTATAGGAAAAATGAAGCCATGGAAGAAAATAAAGCACTTTTGAAAGAAAAAATCCAGAGGGCAAAAGACTTGACTGTGATTATTAATGGAGCAAGAGGCAGGATTGAGTCAATAAAAAATGAAATAGAGCAGCTGAGGAAGGAAAATGCTTTGCAAGGACTTGTGGATAAAAATAATGTACCTTTAGAGCATCCCAGAGAAGAAGGAATGAGAAATCAGCTGGAAAGCGATAAACTGACTTATCGTGATGGTGTCGCTGAGTTGAAGGATCTAAAGGTGGAAATTGAAAGAATACAGAAATTGCTTAATGCGAGTAGAGAAAGAATGCAGGCTGATTTTGAAGCGTGGATACAAGTGATGCTAACTCAAACTAGGCAGACTCCGTCTACTACTATAAGAGACTCGTCAGTAAGAGACTCTGCAAGTATAAGGGAATCGTCAGTGAGAGATTCTGCAAGCATAAGGGAATCGTCAATTAGAGATCCAAGCGTAAATGACAACTTAGAAGCTTTTTATAAGGCTCGTGACCAAATTTATAATAGAATGAATTAAAAATATCAAAATTATATATAATACTTACCTCCCCTCTATGAGTTAGCAAGATTGTTGGAAAAAATTCCAAGCAAAAAAAAATTTAATATAAATATATAATGGGGTTAAATTCAGACTAATTCGTTTGAATCTTAAACAGCCTACAAATTAAACATAAACTTCGCAGATTCAATTTCCAAAAAAAAAAATTTTTAAAATTTTTCATGAAGAATGGGGTATTTTAGAAGTTAAATGATTATTTATGCTGATTAGCAGATGGCTATTGCTTTAAGTTTGGTAAGCAATAATCTTAGTAAGTATTTAAGGCGTGGGCACACTTTTGATGTGATCTTATGCTCAGCCCTTCACTGCTCTCCTTAGAGACATGCTAACCTTGCCTGAAAAATCAATCCTTTGCTCCAGAATTTGTTAAACTGCTAAAAGATTGAGCTAAAGAATGCCTACAGTATGCTTAAACCCCGAGAGAACTATGCAGCTGAGGAAGGAAAATCTTTGCAAGGGCTTGCGAATAAAAATATTATGCCTTTAGATCATCCAAAAACTAGAAAGTGGTAAAATAACTTATTGTGATGGCTTGAAGAGTTCAGATACTGTAAATACGATAAAGAAAGGATGTAACTCCCCCCCCCCTCCGTGAGCGAACAAAAAAAATTTTGTTTCGCTCACGGAGGGGGGTTTAATTTTTTTTTTTAAAAAAAATTTATATATAAATTTTATAAAAAATATTTTTTTCGAAATTTAAAAAAATCCTAATTTGCAAAAATTGGGAAGCAAATATTAATTTAATTTGCAAAATTTATGTTTTTAAAACGCAATTTGTTTAAAATTAAACAGAATTAGCTCTAGATTTCATTATACTAATTATCACTTATATATCAAAATTTTTTTCCATTAAAATTTTTTCTATTTAAAAAAATTTTTGTTCACTCACGGAGGGTGGGTTTTTGGTCAAAAAATGGCGATTTTTCTAATGGTTTTGTTCGCTCACGAGAGGGGGGGGGAGTAAGCAGATTTTGAAGCTTGGACGCAAGTGATGCTTGCACAAGCTAGGCAGACTCCATCAAACTTCATAAGTACTCCTCAGTAAGAGAGTCTGCAAAAAAGACTCTCCAAGTATAAGGGAACCGTCAGTAAGAGACTCTGCAACTGGAAGAGAATCGTAGAGTAGAGATCCAAGGATAAAAGGCTTGTTACCAAATTTATAAACGAATAAATTAATAAATAATATAAAATTATACCTATTTTAATGTTTATTTTTTATAATTAATTAATGCCAAAACAATAAATAAAAAATCCACATAAGGTCAGAAAATGCACCTTTATGAGATTTAGCTAACTTCTATCTAGAAAGCATCGAAAAAATCCCTATTTTTTGGGTGCTCCATAAGCAAACAAAAAATTTTTCATAAAAAATATTTTGATTGGTAATTACTATTTCAATGGAATTCCGTTGAATTTTAAACAGCTTAAATTTTAAAACATAAATTTTACAAATTAAATTAAGCATTTTTTCTGATTTTTGCAAATTGGGATTTTTTTAATTCGAAACAAATTTTAAATAGAATTTTTTTTACAAAAATTAACCTGTTTCCATGAGAAACAATGTTTTTTCTTCACTGATGAAGGCGGAGTAAGACTTAGATTATATGTAACTCAATACCTTAAAAATATTTTGTGAAATAAACTAAATTTTATTAAAAGGTCACTTTCTTTCCTTGGAATGCCTGAATTGATCCTTTTTGTTTTGCATTATCCCTAGGTGGGGCAGCTCTTGGGCCTCCAAACCCTCTAGGTCCTTTTTGAGGTGAACTTCCGCCTGATTTATTTCCTGCATAATCCACCCTGATTGCTCTTCCATCAAGTTCGCTTCCACTCAGCTGAATGGCTTTTTCAACTCCGTCAGGAGCGAAAAACTCAATGTGAGCGAAACCTTTGAGATTTCCTCCAGAGTCCATGGCAACTCTTACGCCCTTGATTTCTCCACAAGTAGAAAAGAATTGCTTAATGGATTCTTCTGTCGAGCTATAAGAAAGACTACCAACAAAAACGGTGGTTGAGTTGTCTTGGCTTGGTCTTGCCCCAGCAGTTCTTGGGCCTGTAGGCTTGTCACTTGACATGTTGACTCTGAGGGTCCTTCCCATATGTTGTGTGCCGTTTAGCTCTAGGGCTTTGTTTACAGCTTCTCCATCAGCGAAATTCACAAATGCGATGCCTTTTGAATTTCCTGATTGGTCGTAGAGAAGTCTAAATCCCCCCAGCTTTAATTGACCAATTTAATGGATTTTTTTAAAAAAAATTTATAAAATTTTTAAATATATAGAATATATTTTATGAAGAATTAATGAATTCAATATAAAAAAGTTTAAATGCATTTATTTGCATCTCTCCATTAAAATAGGTCAAAGCTATATTATAAAAAAAAATATTATTTTCGCATATAAAATTGTCCATTAAAATAAAATATTGTTCCAATTTCAAAGGTGTTAATAAAAATGGAAATTTTTCAATATTTTGTTCCAATTTAAAGACGGAGTAAGTTCTGTGATTTCTCCACAGCTTGAAAAGTGGTTGCGTAGGTCGTCTTCGGTAGCTTGGTATGATAATCCACCGACGAAAACTTCTGTTTCTCCGGTTTCGTTAGCTCTGGCTTGTTTGGCTGGGAATGTGACGGTAGGGGCTTCGTTTACTTTGCGCTTTAAGTCAGAAACTGGCTCTGCAGCAACTGGGGCACGTTTGGTTGGCTTGCCATTTTCTTCATCACTGTCTTCAGATGAGCTGTCTTCAACTTTAGCTGTCTTTTTGAGGGTTTTTGAGGCTGGAACTTTGACCTCTTCTTCACTTTCAGACTCACTTGAGCTTACCTTTTTAGCTGCAGCCTTTTTGCCTGGGGTCGGCTTTTTGACTTCTTCTTCACTTTCAGATTCTGACTCGCTTGAAGCTGGTTTTTTAGCTGGCTTCTTTGCGGCTGAGGCTGGCTTTTTTGGTTTTTCTTCCTCACTTTCGCTGCTGCTGCTGGCTGCTTTTTTTACAACTTTTTTGCCTGGGGTTGGCTTTTTGACTTCTTCTTCGCTTTCGCTTTCAGAAGAAGCTTTGGCTGGCTTTTTAGCAGGGGTTGGCTTTTTGACGTCTTCTTCGCTTTCGCTTTCAGAAGAGGAAGCTTTGGCTGGTTTTTTGCCTGGAGTTGGTTTCTTTACCTCCTCCTCACTTTCGCTGGATGAATCTTTTTTGTTGGTCTTTTTAGCTGGTGTAGGCTTTTTAGCTTCTTCTTTAGGTTTTACTTCAGGTTTTTTGGCTTCAGCCTTGCCTTTAGCTGGCGTCGCTTTTTTGGCTGGCTGCTTTACGTCTTCTTCACTTTCTGAGCTGGATTCTTTTCCTTTTTTCACGACTTTTTTAGGCTTGGTGTCTTCTTCGCTTTCTGAGCTGGATTCTTTTTTGCCTTTTTTGGCAGGTGTTGGCTTCTTTGCAGAAGTTTTCTTGGCTTTTTCAGCTTCAGAGTCGTCGGAAGATTCTTCGGAGTCAGATAATTGCTTTTTTCCTTTTGTTTGAGCTTTTCCTTTTATGTCTTTCTTTGAGGCGGAAGTGAAAACTGGGCCTTCGTTTTCAGAGCTTTCTTCAGAAGACTCCTCTTTTTGGAGTTTAGCCTTCTTTTTGCTATCAACGATTGCTTGTTTTCCCATCTCAAATATTGTTTTGAAAATAAATAGGAACTTTGCCAACAAAATATATAGAAAAAGGTAATTAATGGAAATAAGATATTATTTGTGGCCACACATATGTCCCCAAAAAATGGTATTTTAGGTATCTAAAGTGAAAGATCGCTATAGAGCAATAACTTCATAATTCTTTTAAGCCTTAAACTTTATAAAAACTCGAGTTATTCCAGCTAAGTTTTATATGCATATATTTTAGACTGATTGATTATGAAAAGACAATAATTTTTTATTTATAAGCCAAGCTATATCAACTTTAAAATAATTTTTTTGCCAGTTGAAGATATAAGGATTTAACTTTGACTAGATAAGAAATTCATCTGTTTTCATCTAAAAAACCCTATAAACTTTTTTAATACAAAACTCGATATAAAGCCACTTTTTAAATATTTACTCAATGAAAAATTCGTAAGGGATTCCAAAGATTATTAAATTTTCAATCAATTTTATACAAGCCCAATAAAATGAATTATGAAATTAGTATTCAATTTAACAGCAAAAATACATATTTAAATTCAAAATGTATATATCCTATCAAGGATACAAAAAAATTGCTATGATTTATTTTAAAAGCCTCAGATATCTTAAGGCTATTTATTAGACAAAATAATTGACTTGCTAAAATAAAAACATACACATTTTTATTAATATTTAGATAGATATCTAAAATAGTCCCCATCAATCTATGTGTTAATTTACAAAAAACAACTAATTAAAAGAAAATTATTTAGAGAGTGATATTAAGGTATGATTATGCTCGATCCTATCGTATAAATCAACATCGATATTTTAAAATCATTAATATTGATGCTAAAAACATAATTAAAATTGCTAATTATTTTAAAAAGGCTTTAATAAGTACTTACAATATCTTTATTTTAGATATTCTATTGTGTCTTTTATCATACCCTTATCTAAATTTTCTATTTAGCGTTGACTCCAAAACATCTTCCATAGTAATTATCCCAATAATTCTTTTACCATCACTTTCAGTCACAAACGCCATATGCCTATTCTGCTTCTGAAACATATTAAAAACCTCTAAAATCGTGGCTTCTTGCCCCACAAGCATAACCCGCTTTAATTTTACCCCAGAATTTTCTATAGTACAATTTTCATCAACCCCTACTAAATTTTTCATCAATAAAACTCCCATAATTTCCTGGGGATTATTTTTATAAAAAACAGGGACCCTTGAATACCCTTGCCCTGTAATATTTTTCAAAGTATTCCTCGTCAATACTAAATCTGAGGACAAGCAATAGGCTTTATTAATATCAATCATATAAGACTTCACTAATTTTTTCTTCATATCAATTGCGCCGTTAATTATATTAATTTGGCCTGGAATAAAAGAATCTCTATAAGATGAGCTTGAATTTAGTCTGATAATGGATTTTAAATGGTCATTGTCTAAGCTTTTGCTGTGATTCAAGCCTAATCATCAATCTAATAGCCAAGCAGAAGGCTTACTGATAGGGTAAAAAATGTACATAAGGATTTTTACTATTGGAACGGATTTACTGGCAAGGTAAAATTTTTTAGGTCCAGTCAGGATTGACATAGGTAGGACTTCTCCAAATATAAAAATCAAGAAAGTGCTTAAAATAACAGCAATGATTCCACAAGTCATATAGCCAAGGATAATAGGAAGAGCTTCAGTCGCTAATGCGTTAGAAAGCAAAAGGGTAACTAAAAGCCAATGGTGCTGGGAGATGACTGGTATAATTATTGATGTTATTTCTGATCGGCTCCCACGAGCCAAAAATGGGTTTCCACGTGGGGATTTGTGGATTTTCACGCGTGAAATCCATCTTTGGCTCGTGGGAGTCGATCAGAAAATTTAAGCAACTGATTTATAATAGCCTTTTAGCCTGTTCTCTTTCTTCTTGAAAACCGACTGCTAATTTTAGATAAAGGTCATTTTCGTCAATTCCCATTAGGCCTACTGTTAGTCCTGACATAAAGCCTGCAAAAAGAACTAAAGAGACTGAGATAAAACAATACAAAGCATAATCGCCGAATGCTAATTGTACGTCTTCTGTTTTCTTGTCAATTGAAATACCTGCTACAAATAAAAGAACTGAAATCATCAAGGAAAATTAGATAAATAAATAATTTTATTGTCAAAACAAGCGCTTTAATAGAATATGGTCTGCAGATTAAATTTCTATTTAGCACCAAAGTTGTTTCATTTTAAAAATATATTACTTTTAATTATTTGTATTATTTACATCAATTCATTTCTCTTTCAAAAATCATATAACAAATTATTTTTCCGATCAGATAAGAGCTTTTGATTATAAATACAAAGCATTATTTATATGAATAATATGATAAGATATAATTGAATTTGAAATACAACAAAAAAACATAAATTGCTAACCTAAATTTTGCGAATTTTTATTATAATAATTAAATTCCTTATCTCACCAAGGGCTTTTAAGGAAAAAATAATATATTAAACTAAAACCAATGCAATTATTTCTAGCTATATTAATTTATTCTTGTTTTTTTTTAATACTTAAACATACAAATGTTATATAAAATAAAGAGAGAGCTAGCTAAACCCCTTATCTTTATTTTAATATATTCTTATATGAAATATCAATGTCTTAAAAATGGATCGAAAATCATGCTCAAAAGATTACGAAATTCTTAATAAGCTTGGTCAAGGCAGTTTTGGTACAGTTTACAAAGTTCGGAGAAAGTGTAATTTTTATGCAGCTGATAGAAGCATTTATGTGATGAAGTCCATAACCATTTCAGGGTTGGACCGTAAAGGTCAGCAAGAATCAATCAATGAGGTCAGAATTTTAGCTTCTTTAGACAATCCTTATATAGTAAAATACGTTGACAGCTTTATTGAAGAAAAGACAATGCACATTATCATGGAATTCTGCGACAAAGGCGACTTAGGGCAACACTTAAAAGCCCAGATGGGAAGAATGATGCAGGAGCCAAAAATTTGGAAATTTTTCATCCAATTATTGATAGGACTCGAATATATCCACTCCAAAAAGATTCTGCACAGAGATATCAAGTCAATGAACTTCTTCCTCGCCAAAGAAGATTCAATTAAAATTGGAGACTTAGGAGTCGCAAAGGTATTGTCAAGCACAGTAGCCTTTGCGCATACTATGGTAGGAACGCCTTATTACTTATCACCAGAGCTGTGTGAAGAGAGGCCATATAATGTAAAAAGCGATATGTGGGCATTAGGATGTGTTTTATATGAAATGTGCAGCTTGAGACATCCTTTTGATGCACCTAATCAAGGTGCATTAATCTTAAAAATTATAAGGGCTAATTATCTGCCAATAAGCACAAATTACTCAGCTGAACTAAGAGAAATGATAAGCTTATTGCTAACCCCCCCCCCCCTCCGTGAGCGAACAAAACCATTAGAAAAATCGCCATTTTTTGACCAAAAACCCACCCTCCGTGAGTGAACAAAAATTTTTTTAATAGAAAAAATTTTAATGGAAAAAAAATTTTGATATATAAGTGATTAATTAGTATAATGAAATCTAGAGCTAATTCTGTTTAATTTTAAACAAATTGCGTTTTTAAAACATAAATTTTGCAAATTAAATTAATATTTGCTTCCCAATTTTTGCAAATTAGGATTTTTTTTAAATTTCGAAAAAAATATTTTTTATAAAATTTATATATACATTTTTTTTTAAAAAAAAAAAATTAACCCCCCTCCGTGAGCGAACAAAATTTTTTTGTTCGCTCACGGAGGGGGGGGGGGGGAGTAAGCAAAGATTATAAGAAAAGGCCTTCGACTACAACTATACTAAAGCGGCCTGGGATGAAAGAAAGGACTATTGGGCTAAATATTGACATCCCTGAAGGGTGCTCGCTATATGAATCACAGATCCTTATTAATAAAGAGCCAAGAGTGGCAGAAAAAGAAGAAGAAAAAGCTAAGCCTCAGCCGGCTGAAAATATAAGCAATGAAAATGATAAAAAGAAGCCGGCAGCCCAAAAGCAGGCTTTAACTAAGCCACAGCAACCAATAGTTAATAAGTCTCCAAGCCAAAAAATTGAGCCTAAGTCTGTCCCTTCTCCTCAAAAACCAAAAGAAATCCCAAAGCAAGTTTCGCCTCCTAAAGACCAAATAATAGTCCATTCTCCTCTTGAAGTCCACAAAGTATCACCCCCAAAAGAGCAGCCAATAGTCCATTCATCTCCTTTTGAAGTCTATAAAAAAGCTCCAGCCCAGCCTAATGAAATTCATAAACAAATTTCTCCTCCAAAAGACCAGCAAAAAATCAATCCTCCAGAAATTCATAGACAAAATGCAGTTCATAAAGACCAAGCCCCACAAGAAATCCCTGTTTTTAAGCTACAAAATGAATATAAGCCAGTTGTCCAAAAAATCGACTGGCCAATTTCCAAAAGTCCTGCCCCAAAAGTAGAGCCAGTTGCAAAACCAACTCCAAAACAAAATATTTCAGCACAAAAAATTAACCCAAAGCCAGCTCCAAGTCGACCTAAAAATCAGCCAGCCCCCCAGCGTATCAGAAAAGGAGCACCTACAAGCCTAGCTCTTTATGCCCAGCGGCAAAAAATCATAAAACAAGGCGTCCCGTCCTCACAAGCTTTTCGGCCTCCAGCTCGGCCAAAATACTCCAAGCCAAAATCCACGAATTTTTCCCAAGAAGAAATCGACGAAATCCGAGAAGTTGAAAACCTCCCAGACACCCCTAAAAAAATCAGTGTCCAAGACCTCAGAAACCTTGAACTTCCTCGAGACCATACCATAAAAACTCGAAATAAAAGCTTTAGCACCGCAGATGAGTCAAAAGTTAACGAAACTTTCGAGCCTGAAGACATAGAATCCAGTCTAAATGACGTAGAAGAAAGGCTTGTTTTTGAGACCTGCTCAGACAAAGAATCATATGGCTCAAACAGTTTTGAAGAAGAAAACGGAGAAGAATTAATAGAAAACGGCAAAGAAGAAGCCAAAGAAATAGAACCAGATACCAATACACTAGGATCAGCAGATTGGAATTACTCACGAACTGAAAAATTCCCAAGCGCTGATATGACGACTGCAGATGAAGAGGAAAAAATTCCTGTTGTAGAAGCTGCAGAAGAAGAATACAAAATAAATTACATGGAAAAATCAAATTCTCCACAAAATTCTGACAGTGAAGACCTTTTTTATGATAAAAGTAGCAGCGATGAAGGTCTTGAATGGATTGAAGAGGACGAACAGGAAAATTTAGAATGCACAGTAGAAGCTTTACAGTTTAAACTGTCAGAAGTACAGAGAAAAGAAGCAAATTTGCAAAGACAGCTTGGACTGAAGCGAAAAGAAATCATTGACAGAATTGGGGATGAGCTTTATAATGAGTTTTACGAGCTTTTCAGAATGGGGATTAAAAATGAAGACAAATTAGAAGAAGAGGAAACTAGCAATTCAGCCCTAGACCGCTTTGTGTGTACAAGACTGAACGTAGAAGACTCTGACCTGATATTTGTGATGTATAAAATACATAACCTAGAGCTTGATATTGCGCAGTGTCAAGAAGCTATAAGCAGCATAAAATTTGAATTAATATAATATTTAGTATTATTCCTAATATAAAAATCTTCGCATATCATCTTAATACCATAATCTTTTTTATTATTAAATTTTACTTAATACTTTTATAAATAAAAGCTTTATTTCGCTATTTAATTATATGAAAAGCTATTCAGCCTTGGTTTTTTCGTACATACTAAAACTTTGTCAACGTCAAATCCATTTAATTCTCTCGGCAGAGGAGACACCTCAATAATGTCACAAGCCCATTTGTCAGGACTGGAAGGACTCATCAGTTCTTCAATATGCTCAGTTGGGACCTCTACTTCGTCTTGGCAAGGAGAAGCCAACGCTCTTAAGGCATTAATTACGTCAGGCATAATGGGCACGTCTTCTTCGCTTTCTTCCACAAAATCAAAGCGGCTGCTATCTTGTTCCACATCTCTTGAATAAATTCTTGGCCTTGCTAATTTCACTGGCGTCAAAGTAAAGGACTCACTTGCTGCTCTTTCTCTGATAACTCTGGCAATCGGCAATTTGTAGCATCCATCAGGAGGCAGAATCCTTATACCAAGACAGTCCAATTTGGCATGTTTAGGCTGTATGTGTCTGTTTTGTGGCATCGTGTCTCTTGCTAATGTGTCATAATCTGGAGCTAGCTTGTGCAGGTATAAACAGTCAGGTTTTGCACAAGCTCGACCTCTTAAAAAATAAGTGCAGTATTTTGTATATATTTTTACCTCATATTTCCTATAAGAAAATTAATATTTTTTTATTAAAATTTCTTATATAAATGGTATAGTTCCATAAGTTGCAGTTAATTTTTTCCCGTCTAATTCAAAACCATTGCAGGCTTTAATACATATTGCAGCTTCTTCATCTGTAGAGAATGTGACATGAACCCCATAGCTTGGGCCGTTTGGGGTGTTTGTGTAAGCAGTGCCTTTGTTAATTACGCATTTTTTGATTCTTCCATACTGTCCAAAGTATTCTTGACTTCTCAGCAATTCTTCGTCAGCTGTAGGAGCTGGGAGATTGATTATGTAGACCAGGTTACTTTGTATTACACGAGCTTTCGCCATCTCGTCTATATCTTGAAGAGGGATTTTCGGCAAATTTGTAGTCCTGAGTAAGTCTTACGGTTTGTCAGGTGAAGTTGTGTTTGAAATTTTGTAAGGAGAAAGACTTGATGGGTTTTCACCCTTTTTGGTTGAGATTGTTATGGGAGAAACGTTAAGGTTTCGGGTCTTTTTAAGAGGTTCCATGTATTATTTCTAATAAAAATACAACAGAATTGAGCATTTGTTTTTATTTAGATGATTTAAGTTTGAATTAGTAATGGAGAAACAAATAATAGTTGAAAAATTATAATGATAAGTAAAACTATCAAAATGGTATCAGAAATAAAAACAAACTTGCAGATAGGAACTGAAGTTAAAATACAATAATAAATTAGCTAAAAGGAGATCGCTGTGAATTAGCTCAAGCTATAATAAGTATAACTTGATTTAATTAGTTTGCTTTATGGTGTTCTTCAGTTAAAAAATTCAATAAACAAAGTTAGTATTAGTATATAAATTAAAATTTATTAAAGATATATAGATTCTTAAAGATACGCTTTAATCGAGCAATTTTAAATAATTTTACCATAACCCTTAATAAAGTTAAATGGCAGCTATGCTCATCCCTAAGCCTTTTAGCATAGCTGTATTTTAAATTGATTATTCATGCTTATATAAAATTATATAGCTTATATAAAATATGGTAAATCAAAGAATGCTTATGTGCGAATATAGAAGTCATGTAAATAATTAAAAATAAATTAAATTTGAAAATATAGTTAATTAAATTATGAAAACCAGAAATTTTATCTTAAAAAAAATTAGCTATTTTTATACTAAAACGGATTAAAACACATAATTATATTACCTTAAGGTCATTTCCCAGTTTTTTTAGACCAAAACTTTTTCCTTCCTGGTTTGAAAATAAATGATTTTCAAATTTAATCATTTGAAAAATATTTTTTCGTTTATTACTTATGCTAATTATTTATAATAGACCGACCGAGCAATTAAAAGTTTTTTTTCCTTTACGTTTAAGCGCTTCGCACTATTCGAAAAATTTATTTTGTTGGGTTGTTTATTACAACAAACAAGATTTTAAATTCTTTCTCGTTCTTGGCCAAGAGAAAATTATAAGTATTTTAATTAGTTAACAACTCTTAAAGCAAAATGGGATACTCCTTGTTCAAATAAAATAAAACTTATTTCAAAACATAGTTCAAAAATTCAATCAAGACTATTAAAAATTTCTAGATTAAAAATCGCATAATATAACAGTGACTTCACTATTAAACATAATAAAATGGCGACTGTAACAAATATACAGATAAAAAAATGGAATTAGCGAATTATCTAGAATTGTAACCCAAATTTTAGCATTATTTAGAATTTATATAAACATCGAAACGATAACATTATTTATTGATTCGCTTCAATTTTCTGCTTTTTCCTTGGCTTGGCATCTAGACCAACTTTTCTTGCTTTGACCACTAAATTTTCAATGATAAGTGGTTTGATATAAGGAGCTTCCTTTGGTGCTACTACCAAAAAGAAACTCCCATGCCTATAATGTGAAGTAACCTCTTTAATTACAATTTTCTTATAATTCAGAACACTGTCTGACTCTACATCCACCGTCCCTCTCATGATTTTGTCCCCATTTGTGGTCGTTTCCATCAGCTTAGGTGGGTTTTCATTTGTGAATAACAGAATTTTAAAATGTACAGGGTTTGGTAGGGTGGTTTTGTTCCCTTCCTGGTCTGTTATTTGCGCTACTATAGAAAAGGCTTTTTCTTTGAATACTGGGTGAGGAATATCGTTTAGTAGCTCAAGTGAGTACTGTCAGTCTGGCGCCTCTCCACAGAGTTTTTCAAGTAAAAACTCGCTTGCAATTGGTTCTTCCCTTGGTATTATAACCGAATAATTTTTGTTGCCAGCTTTTAGGGAATTTATTTCAGATGTTATTCATTGTAATTTTCCCATGTTGGAGTTGCACTGTTCAGAAAGCATTCTGAGCACAGCCAACTGGTCTTGGTAGCCTTTTAGTAGATATGATAAGGGCGAGTTGTCCACCCCAATCGGGCTACTGCTTGCTGCCTGAAGTTCTTGATTTAACAAATTTAGATACTCAAAGCATCCGAATAAAGAAGCCATTACTTTAGAATTAACTCCATTTAAGAAATCGAAATTCTAGAAAACATGGAAGAATTAAAATAAGTAAAGAAAACGCTCTCTTAAAATTGGCCAAAAAGCAGCAAATAATGCTTAATCGCATTATTTGTTATGCAGCACTCAACACCGCAATTAATTTTGCTATCGAGGTAAAAGTATTTCTAAATAATTAGCTTAGAAAAAGAAAAAAAAATCGTTGTTTGTTTTTCTATTCCAAGAACTGGTAGATAAAATAGGCGTGATAAATGCAAAGTATTCCCTTGATGCTTTAATTTTTATAATTATGCTACTGAATATTAAGGCCTATACAAAAAATATGGAATTTGTTGCCTTTGAGAGATAGAATTAATGTTTTTAGAAAGCATCAGTAGCAAAGGAAATTTTACCTGTACTAATAATATTAGATATAAGATAGCCGAATTCTAATATAATGAATCACCATTTTGAATATTTATTATTGATGGGGAAAAGTAATATTTCATATTTCAGCTTTTCATGAATAAAGCAGATGAGATGCAAGTCAAAAATTCTTTGGAATGATTTATTTAGTTTTTTTTATCTTAACTATTATAAAGCTACTAAAGATTCGTAATATAAACATATGATAGAAAAAGAAATATTATTGAATTGGTTTTAACTATAGGGTACAAGAAAGATGATGCCATACAAAACAATTATATAGCACACTAAGAAAACTTTGCTAATCAAAATCTTTACCATTTTTCAGTATTCTGATCAGTGCTTCGCTCAGAAAAGTAAAAAAAATGAAATATAAATCTAAAGACTGCATTGAGCATTTTGTAAATGTTTTTTGCAATTAAAATGAAGATCGATTTGCATTTGAGTTTTAAAAAATATAGCTAGCAAAAAAGGACATAATCAATTGGCTGAAATTCTTAATTAATTTATAATTTTTTAAGTATCAGTTAATTGGATATTATGAAGAAATAAATAAAAATAAATTTAAGACGATTAATTATATGATTTGAATAATTAGTCACAGTTGCTTTATTCCTGAATTGCTTCATGTCTAAAAAGTATGATATTGTTTAAATAAAATGTCATAAATTATAAGTATATTATAGGATTTTTAAAATAATTCTATATTGAAAGCACTGCTCAAAAATAAAAATCTATAATTTTTAAGGTCTAAGCCGATTTAAAGAGCTTTAGTGATTACTTATATGGCTTTAAGTAAATGATACTACAAAGAATAAGCTAAAACCACAATAAATCACTCTATAACTGTTGCAATCCTTTACTATATAACTATTGTCATAGAGCCGAATTTTCAAAAAAAATTTAGAAATTAGGATATAAACTACACATATAATTATTCAAGTTAAAGCTTCATCAGTATTTAGAGATACATCCACTCCTAGATTCTTCTTTCTCGCAATCTTGTTAAAAACGACCTTTTTGTGCAAAGAAAATCCTTATATTTTAAAAATAACGTTGTGAACTAGCCTGATTTCTTAACACCTCAGCTGGGAAAGCTGGTGGACCTTGCGGAAGGAGGACAGCATTCAGAAATGTGTATCCGGCCAGATTTTACTTGGCTTGGTGGGGCGCAATGTCAGCCGCATGCTCATATCTAGGTAAAGTCTTTACCTTGCAGAGAGATGATTTGCTGGAGCTGGAATGGAGACACCCGGTAAGGCAAGAGTTTATCGCTTGGCCAATCGGAGAAATAGTGCGATACCAGGCGCTGCATCCTGACTTTGGATTCCATTTTGGTTGAGAGCTCGCCAATTTTTCAATCTTCCAACCCCTTTGATATACGGCATGGCGACCCAGAGTCTCTGACTCTAGAGTAGCAAGTGCAAGCCCTGATCGGTGAGGAGCAACACAGAAAAAGGCGATGTCCAGACTGAAAAGCAAGCGGGCAGAGCGCTATACGGAGGGGAGGGTGGCTTGCAGGTCTGCAGAAGGCTTCTCAATAAGTAATAAAAAGTAAGCAAAGAAAATCCTTCAGGAGAGTCCGAAATATTTTTTATATGAGAAGTAACTGAGTAATCATCAGATGATAAACTATAATCTTGACTGTGCTTGTGGCTATGGGAGATTTTCGGGAAAAATACTTTTGATTTTGTTTCTGAGGATTTGGCAGAGTAATTTTCAGGGAAATTTAATTTTAAATCAGTTGGTACCCTCTCACTTCTAGGCTTTTTAGGCTTCTTTTCTGTGTAATCTGAATTTCTTGAAGATTCTATAGGGATTTTTGATACAAATTTTGGTAGGAGATCGGGTGATTTTCTTCCTCTATTTAAATTTTCTATGTTATGGCTTTTTCTAAGAATTGTATAAGTGCTATAGCTCATGCATCTTAATAGATCTCTATACCCCAGGGAATACCGACCAGAAAAAATATGGCGCAGGGCATCTGCCTTATATAGTATAAGTCTGATTAGGCAACTTAAAGCCATAAACGAGATTTGCCATTTTCGTTTCAACTTTTCAAAAAATCTGACAAGTACAAATTAACTTTGGAAATTAAAATGGATGGCCAATAATGATCTTAAATATTTCAGGATCTATATTGAGGTCGTTTAAATTCGCTTGAAAATTAAAAAGAAACTCTCCCATATTCGCTAGATTCGTTGAGCCTCGAAATTTTGATAGCTTTTTATTGCTAAAATGCTCAACATACGGGAATATTGATCGAGGAGAATCTCTGGCTATTTCTTTTAAATTGGATGCTTCTAATTCTGAAATGATCTTTCTTATATTTAGCTGTGGCCTGATAAAGTAAGTTTTGTTTTGTTCCATTATAATTTTTTCAGGACTCAGCTGGTTTCATATTCTTTGTGAGAGGTTCTTATTACTCAATCTGGAAAAATCGACGATTAAATGCTGAACAGAAAAATATATTTCACGACAAATCAATGATGTCTTTATTAGATTTTTTTATATGTGATTGTATAGAAAGCTTATTGCGCTGTTAAAATAGTTTAGATTTTAATCTTTTTGTCAAGCTAGAAAACCTTTATTGAGCTCAATAAATAAATAAATAATCAAAAAAATAGAAAATTTTTTTAAGAGCCACATTCATTTAATTAGCAAAAAATAAATGAAAAATTTCACGATTTTTACATCTAATTCTCAAAGAAACTGCAAAAGTGTCCTGACAAGAATTTTAGATGAGTACGACTAAGTATTATATCTACTGAATAAAGGTCCATATAAAAGGCCAAAAGTAATATAGCAAAATAGCTAGATTTTTAGCTTAATAAACTGAAAATGATTAAATTTATGCTTCCTAGAATGTCAATTGAGCTTAAAGATTTTAATCAAAATATTTATTAGCTCAAAGCAAATGAGAAACATCTTAAAAATGGGAAAAAAGCTAAACAGTAAATGAACATGCCTTTTATAATTCAAAAAGATATAAATTGTGACGTTGACGGAAATTGATCTCAAAGGCACACCCCTATGGAGCAGTTGGACTCATCCTGATGAAGCTAAAATCACTTTTAAACTAGGCCATTTCAGACTTAGGGATGCTATTTCGAAGAGGGAAGTTTTTTTTTCTCCCAAAGGTTTTTCTGTCCCTTACAGATGGGCTATACACATTTTGCCTACAATATATCTTCATCTATTAGGACTATCGAGTAACCGACAGAGGGTGGATCTAACCTAAAAAGCTAATCCTTGGTTAGGTGAATCTGGGCAGAAAATTCAAAGAGGGTACAATTTTGATTAGCCTAGCATCATTTGCACTCTGGTATCTATACACCCAGCTTAGGCAACCTTTCCTGGAGTCAATGCATTCCATCTAGTGGGGGCCCTCTTATGGCCGTGCACTTTAATCTTAATAATTATATAATTTTAATATGAACAAAGACACAATTCTCAGCCTAACAAAATCCACAAATATTCAAGGTCTGAAACTTTCTGTCTTATCTCACCTTGCAGATCACCCTCATCTAACAGATAATCTTATCGGTGAGCTGCAATTATCTTTATCCCATTTCATCAAGCAAGGCTACACAACTAAAAATTTCACCGAAGTCGGGATTATTCTTGACTTAGTCACATGACTATATGAAGAAAAAAAAATTGACCTGCTTCAATGTTTATCAGTTATCGAAGATACCTTTGAGAAGCTTGACACCTTACATATAGAAGAATTTTTCCCTCATTTAGAAAAATTAGGCGCCAAACAAATCGTATCATTTACTTTAGACTGAGGAAAAAGCGAAAACAGTGATGCTGAGGATCAACAATAGCCTTTTAAAGCGGCTAAGCAAAAGATGCCAAGCCAAATTCAGGTTTCGTGTGCAGCTGCTGCTAGCGTCTTCAATTGCATTGATTTCTGAACGGTCTGGCGTTAATTTTAAAGGAAACTTTGCAAGCAGGGCGACAAAAACCCAGATTAGCAATGATACAGTGTTTTCTTGAATCCTCAATGTTTTGAGTTTTTCACGTGATCCGATCACCCTTTTTAAGGATTCAGATAAATTTGACAGATGTTTAGAGCATATAGAAAACCTCCTGGAGCACTTCAAGACCATTAATATTGAAAAATCAAGCATGGCTTTTTATCTTCCTGAAGCCAGGCTATTTGAATTCCAAGTAAAAGACTCAGAGTTCATATGCTTTATCGTCACTTTAATTATGCTGCTAGCTCAAACTTTAACGTCACCTGCAAACCAAGTACAAACTTCTGTGTTTATCTTAAGCGAATTACAAAAAAACAAGCTGGGATCAATTGTACTGAAATCTAAAGACATTTTAAATGAAATAAACCCACCCATACTAAAAATCATATACAATTTCGCAAAACTGATTAATTTGACTGAATTTTTAGTATTAATTTTACCATAAAAAAGGCTTTAAAAGCAGTATTTAGATGTCTATCCTTTTAAAATTAGCATAGAATCATCACTGAATAATGAGCTATTCTGGGTTAAGTGGAAACTAAACCAATGCCAAGCTTTTGAAAAAGAAAGCTGCATTGAAGTCCCTTCTAAACATGAAATTGAGCTTGAAGAAGGAGAAGTTGGGAATGACGAAGTCAAGACAAATAAATCTGAGCCTCTTTTTGATGAATATTTACAAGAGCCGACTATGGAGAACTACTTGGAAAGAGTTTATGCAGATTTAGACCCTGACGAAGGGATTGAAGAAGAATATAAATGCAAAAAAGACCCTGTCTACTCTTGGAGACTATTAAGGCTAGTTTCTCAAAATAGAATTGATATTTTTGGCAGGCTGGATAATATTGATGTAGAAAAAGTTGCCATTGAAATCAAAAAAGATGCAGGAGAATGGGTAGAGCCAGAGGAAAATGGAGAAAAAGAAGGAAGCAATATTGATATTGTAGATGAAATTATGGAAGAGTCAAATAATGGATTTTCAGAAGAAAAAGAAAATGAGGAAATGATAAAAGGAGTTGAAAGTGAAGGGTTTGAGGAAGGAGAAGAATTAAAAGATGAAGAAAATGATGAAGAGGAAGGAATGGAATTAGAAAAAGAGGTAAAAGAAAAAGTTGAAAAAATTGAGAGCAAAAGAGAAGGGATGGAATTAGAAAAAGAGATAAAAGAAAAAGCTGAAATAATTGAGAACAAAAGAGAAGGGATGGAATTAGAAAAAGAGATAAAAGAAAAAGATGAAAAAATTGAGAACAGAAGAGAAGGGATGGAATTAGAAAAAGAGATAAAAGAAAAAGCTGAAATAATTGGGAACAAAAGAGAAGGGATGAAATTAGAAAAAGAGATAAAAGAAAAAGATGAACAAATTGAGAACAGAAGAGAAGGGATGGAATTAGAAAAAGAGATAAAAGAAAAAGCTGAAAAAATTGAGGACAAAAAAGAAGAGATAGAAATTCATGATATAATTGAAATAGAAGATAGGAAAATAAATGAGAATGCTGAAAAAATCACGAGCAAAAGAGAGGTTATAGAAATTCATAGCTCTCCAAGAAAGTCGCCTAAAATGGATGAAGAGAAAACAAAAACTGAAGAAAAAGAAAAAATTATAAGCAAAAAAGAAATTTATATATCTTCAAGAAAGTCACCTAAGAGAGAGGAAAAAATAAGAGAATCAGAACAATTCAAAAAAAATGCAAAGGAGATACAAGATTTTTCAAGAAAATCACCTAAGAAAGAGGAAAAAGAAGTCGAAAAAATCCCAATCAAAAGAGAAGGGAAAGAAATTCATGATTCTCCCAGAAAATCACCCAAAATTGACAAGTCTTCATAATTTTCATAAATTAATCCCATGATTTTTTAAATTTACAAATAATCTCTTTCTTCAGTTCTCCTCGTTTCTCTTTCCCATGTCTTTTCGTCTGACTGCTGCCTTGACATTTCTGGCTGTTTTACTATCATTGATTTCAGCACACTTTTAATCGGCCCAATTGTTGACTGTTTTTCATTTATCAGCTCAATTGCCATATTTACATTAAGGCATGGGATCCCTTCGTCTACTACATCAATTACTGTGTCTTCGTCAAATCCCAGCCTGACTACGTCTTCAATAAACTGATTCCTCATATTTTTCAATAGCATGCTGCTAGGGTGCGGATTTTTAGGAGACGGCAGCATCATTCTTTGAGAATTTATTTGGTTTTGACCTCTTGCACTTCCAATGGTGTCTAGAACCTCAGTTTTTGAAGGAGGATTTGGCTTGATGCCTTTATTTTTCATATACCCGATCATCTGTTTAGGAATTTCAAACAGCACCTCTTTAGCAAGCTCATGTGGCATTCCTTTAAACTGGCTAAAAGGGACGAACTGAACTATATCCCTTTCCATCCCGCGATTCTGTTTTTTAGAAAACAGCGGATTTGAGTCAGCATCCAAAAATTCCATGACTGTAAAGTCCTCGTGGCCAATCCCCACAATAATGATGCTAAAAGGCAAAAAACTCCCTGACACAATTTCGTCTACTGTGCTTTCAACGTCATTAATAATCCCATCAGTCAGTATTAAAAGGATAAAATATTGTTGGGCTTCTTGGGAAACTTGGACACTTGAAGCGTAATCTGAAGCTGTTTTGATAAGTTCATGAAAAATGGTAGGGCCGTGGAAAATGATGGAATTTATGGTAGACTTGTAGACGTTTAAGACGCCATCAATGCCAGTGACTTCTGGGTCGAAAATATTTTTGTTAAGGGCAAAACAGTGGGAGACTATGTCAAAATATGGAGGAAGACGAGCACCAAAGCCATAGGCAGGGATACGCTTATCGGAGTCGTAGTATTGTAAGATGTCGCCGACTGCTTTGATAGCTTGAACGTACTCGTTAGGGTTTTCAGTCGAAAAGTAATGGAGGGAGTTTGGTGAGGTTGGGACGCCATTGGATTTTGTAAAGTCAATTCCTATGATGAGAGAAATTTCACAGCCGCCAAAGACATAGTCTAAAAATGTGCAAACTTCTTGGTAAATGAATCGATTTATGCTATATTTAATTGATTTTTATTAAAAAAAACGTTTTTAATTGAAATGGCTTTAAATTTGACTAAAGCAGTATAATTTAAGAATTCCTATAGGCTTTCCGTTATTTCTAATAGTGGTTTCAAAGTTTCCATTAGTTTTCAGCTCTTCTAGGGTAAATTCGCTTTTTCCAAGAAATTTGTGCACAAGCATTTTATCAATTTTATAAACTCCTACAGTGACAGGCTTTCTTTCATCTCCTTTACATAGACGATTTATAGTCAATTCAAACTGCTCTCAGACCCTCGGGATTTTCGCAAGACCTTCAGTTTGATATATATACTCCAGACATGACTTTGGCTTATCGAGTCATACAAAATCTGCCAAACATATAGCAACTCTGAGGACTTGTGGTAATTTGATAACCAGAAAAATCCAATATCGTGCTTTGGGTATACAAACTTCGTTATTTTCAGTAATTCTTGATAACTTTAAGATCAAATGTCCTTTGATTTTTTGATTGATAAATTCCCACTGCATTTTGATGCGATGTTTCAGTCTACTCATTTCTTCACTGGAAACTGAAATGGTTCCACCGTTTTCTGTCCTTACGTTAGAGTTGATAAGATCTCTTGTAATAGAATGCGAAGGAGAGCACACAAGTTCATGAATATTATGCTGAATAAAGCTAAATTTGAATTATTTATAATAAAAGGATTCTAATCACTATTACAAATAAACTCAGTATAAACTTGGCTGAGCCTATCTGTGTTTGCCACTTGAGGCTTTTGGAATCTTGCGAATAATTGATATTGTAAATATCAAAGCGAAATCGCAGCTGCTTTTCAAATGAGTAAGAAATTTTGAAAGATTTGATAAAAGAAGGATTTAGATTATTTCTTTGAATTTCTGTGCGACCTTTTTCTACTCAGTTTCCGATACCATCATCTATATAAAATACAGCAGTAGGGTCTACGGTTACGCCTTTACCAGCAAAAAGGTTATTGCAGGATACAGAAAGCTCAACAGCTGAGACAAGGTCAAAATCTTCATCTTGGGCACGGATGGGAAGCTCAGCAATTTCTTCGATTTCGCTGTCTTCGTCTGGATTTGGTTTGTGAGTCAAATGGATGCTGCCTGAAACAACTGAGCCAGGGGATCTTCTGCTAGTCACACATCCCATAAATTGCAATTTTACTTATTCAAAATTATTAATTGTACAACTTATCAGATTGTGCATTATAGAATCGCTGCTTAAATAGTCATATTTAAGATCATTTGAAGCAACAAAACTTAAAGCATAGCTCATTCGCTTATTCTCAATTAAAAATATGAATATAATTTTGTTCATTTATGTCTGAAATTGTTTGAATTTCTCACAGTTTCAGCTGTGATCTGTATACAAAGAAATAAAATTAAATAAAAATAGATCTTTAAAAACAAGATAGCATTAAATTAAGTGCGATCAATAGACTGGCTGCCACGTTTATCTTCCAAATGCTTTTCATTTAAAAGCTGTTCAATTCTCTCATTTTTCCTATTGATGTCTTGGCAGAGCTCTTGAATAATTTGATCCTTTTCTTCAATTTTACGAGTCATACCTTGGCAGAGCTCTTGAATCATTTCAATTTTCCGAGTCATCTCTTCAATTTTCCGAGTCATCTCTTCAATTTTCCAAGTCATCTCTTCAATTTTTCGATTTTTTTCCTCAATTTCTTTTCCTTTTTTTTTCAGAAGCTCTCTAAGATGCTGTAAATCTGATATCAAGGCCAATTGCTCTGAAGCTTCTTTTGTCATATTTATATTATATATTGGACATAGATTTAAGCTTCCAACCCCCTTCAGAATATTTGACTATTTAATATTTTTGTTTTGAATAGCACCCTTTATTAGAGCTTTAAAATAAATTTAAATTATTTCTACCAAAAGGGTAACTTCTTTAACTTCATCTCAAGACATGCCAAGAGGCTGGTTTGATTCCGCTGAATTTTCAATTTCTTCTTCTCCTAACTCGCTTTGAAATCTTGATTTTAATAATATAAATAATAAAATATTTTATTCTATTTCCAAAAAGCAGCATATTAAATTTTTTTCTTTATCCAAGTGAATAAGTTTGGGATGAGAGGACTTAAAGGAGGCAATAGCGGAGCGGCTTGCTGTTGAAGATTACTCGAGTTTATGCTCGGATTTGATAATTTAATATTTTACTCTATTTATTGAAACTAAATTAAGTAAAATCTAATTTATTTTTTTAAGATAAATTAGGTAGAATTCTCTTAATCAGATTTGACATTAATATTTTACAATTAGCTTTTTGGCTCGTTAAAAAATGGACCAAAAATAGTGTAGGCTTTAGCAATAAGTTAAAGTATACTTTGCAAAAATGGATGTGTAATATATTTTTTTCCGAATTTTTGATAATTTTACGATTTTAGCTTTTGCTTTGACATTTCATTTTTGTCTCAATGAATTTTATTGTCATCTATTTAAATAAATTAATAATATGGTATAGCAAAAGCCTAAAATTTTTAGTTTTATTTTATTTAAAATAGTTCCCACTAAATTTCCTAAATTTTTTCTCAACTTTTTAATTTTTCCAAATTTTTTGTTTTTCGCTCGTTATTTCTAATTTTCTCTTCAAATTTATGTATTTTTATTTTTGATCTAATTTTTTTTAATAAATTTAATACTTAATCCCCCCTCCGTGAGTGAACAAAAAAATTTTGTTCACTCACGGAGGGGGTTAATTTTTTTTTAAAAAAAATTTATATATAAAAATATAGAAATTTTTTTTTCTCGAAATTTAAAAAAAGCCACTTCGCAAAAATTGGAAAACAAATATTAATTTAATTTATAAAATTTGTTTTAAAAAGGAATTTGTTTAAATTAAACGAATTAGCTCTAGATTTCATTATACTAATTATCATTTATATATCAATTTTTTTTCCATAAACAATTTTTCTATTAAAAAAATTTTTGTTCACTCACGGAGGGTGGTTTTTGGGCAAAAAATAGCGATTTTTTTCCAATGGTTTGGTTCACTCACGGAGTGAGGGGGGAGTTAATAAAATTTCTCTATCAGCAGAATCATAACTTTCTTAAAATCAATAAATAATAGAAATATATTGATAGACAGATTACTTGCAAATTCATGAGTTCAAAATTTCATATTGTATTTTGGCTAACTTTTTCTCCATAAATCCACATTGGCAGCTTTTAATCCTTGCTGTCAGTTCATGTTTAAATCTTCGAAATATGCAACTTTCATATAATTTAACTATAAACTAATTAATGCTATTGGCCTGTAATTTTCAGGTTTTGATTAATCACCATTTTTAAAAATTGAAACGATTAGGCTCGATTTTGCTTTCCTGCACTTTTATTTATGTGGTTAGGTTTTCTCTCGAGAACTTCTGCACAGCAACATCCGTTTAACTTTGGGGATAACCAAAGGAACGGATCCTCAGTGCACTCAAGATTTCGGAGTTTTACCTCTCAGCACATACCCACGGGAGGATGAGTCTTAGGCGGAACACGCGCAGGAGCTGAGTCTGGACGAGCGACGACAACGCGCCGGGTGAGATGTGCAGAGATTCTGCTGGCGACTAGCCTCATAGAGGCTTGGGTGTGGGCTGACTACATATTCCAAGATGGCTTGGTGACGTCACTAGTGGGTCGCTTTGACCCTTTTTAATTAAGGGGTGTGAGCACTAGACACCTTAAAACCTAGACACCTAAGTAATTAAGTGCTTTTATTTTTAGTTCAGCTTCTAAATGTCATTCTATAATATTGTTGAATTCATCAGGAAAATGGTAATTAGAAATGACATCGGGCCTGAGCATTTATTTGGATTAAGTAATAACTATTTTCTCTAATTTCTTCAATAAAAATTTTCTGTGAAAGAATATAAAATCCTATTCATGAATATTATGCTGAATAAAGCTAAATTTGAATTATTTATAATAAAAGGATTCTAATCACTAATACAAACAAACTCAGCATAAACTTGGCTGAGCCTATCTGTGTTTGCCACTTAAGGCTTTTGGAATATTTGAATAATTGATATTGTAAACATCAAAGCGAAATCGCAGCTGCTTTTCAAATGAGTAAGAAATTTTGAAAGATTTGATAAAAGAAGGATTCAAATTTTTCTTTGAATTTCTGTGCGACCTTTTTCTGCTTAGTTTCCGATACCATCATCTATATAAAATACAGCAGTAGGGTCTAAAAGTTATGCCTTTGCCAGCAAAAAGGTTATTGCAGGATACAGAAAGCTCAACAGCTGAGACAAGGTCAAAATCTTCATCTTGGGCACGGATGGGAAGCTCAGCAATTTCTTCGATTTCGCTGTCTTCGCCTGGATTGGGTTTGTAATTCAAATGGATGCTGCCTGAAACAACTGAGCCAGGGGATCTTCTGCTAGTCACACATCCCATAAATTACAATTTTACTTATTCAAAATTATTAATTCTGCAACTTATCAGATTGTGCATTATAGAATCGCTGCTTAAATAGTCATATTTAAGATCATTTGAAGCAACAAAACTTAAAGCATAGCTCATTTGCTAAATCGCCAATAAAAAATATTTCTGAAATTTTCTATGTCTCAAGGTCTCAGAATATCTGTATAAAAAAAATAAAAATTAAAAAAAATAGATCTTTAAATAAACAAAATAACATAAAATCAAACATAATCAATAGATTGACTGGAGCTTTTATCTTCCTAATGCCTTTCTTTAAAGGTATTCAATACTCTCATTTTTTTGATTTATATTTTGGTAGAGTTCTTGAATTATTTGATCCTTTTCTTTAATATGTTGGTAGAGTTCTTCGATTTCCCGATTCTTTTCTTCAATTTCTTTTTCCTTGCTCTTCAAAAACTCCCCAAGACGGTGCAAATCTGCAATTAAGGCCAATTGCTGTGAAGCTTCTCATATTAATATTATATATTGGACATAAATAAAGTTTAAAAGCCCCTTCAACATTTTTTTGGGTTTTAGAATAACATCCTTATTAGAACTTCTTAAATTATTTCTACCAAAAGGATAACTTCTTTGACATCATCTCTAGACATGCTAAGTAGCTGATTTCAAATCGCCTAGATAGAATGAGATGAGATAAGAAATTGACATATTTTTTTATTTAAAGAATAAAATTATTTTAATAGTTTCATTATTTGCTAAAAAATAAATAGATTGAGGGGCTTTATAAAAATCAGATCATAATTTTAATGAGCTTACTTGAAGAAGCAGCAAAATTCAATCGCGCCCAAGCTTTCAGACTAATTGATGATTATAACACTAATCTTAGGGCTTACGCTAGCCCTGACAAGCGGCCTTTTGGCAGGAGATTACTGGATCTTGTTTTGACTGTGCAGTTGCTTCATCTTCTTCGCCTTTTTCTTTACCCTATAAAAGAAAAGAACTAATGGAAGTGAATTTGAAACTACAAGAAAAACTAAAAAAATTTTAGCGATTTAAGCAACATTGAGATATGGAAGGTTATTTCAATGAGAAAGACTTTATCAAAAGCTCGATTAAAATCGAATCAACACCACATTCTCGTAAAACGGTATTTAAACATGCTTATGCTTTATGAACCCTCGTTAGAAGGCTTATTGCTAAGAGCAATAGAGGACCCAAGTTGTACTTTAACGTCTCTAATCTTAGGGCTTACGCTAGCCCTGACAAGCGGCCTTTTGGCAGGAGATTACTGATCTTGTTTTGACTGTGCAGTTGCTTCATCTTCTTCGCCTTTTCTTTACCCTATAAAAGAAAAGAACTAATGGAAGTGAATTTGAAACTACAAGAAAAACTAAAAGAATTTAACCGAACAGGCGATTTCAGCTTATTTTACTTAGATAAACCTGAAGATGTAAAAAGATGAAAATGGACTATTTTAAGTAGTCCTGATTTAGAGTTAGAAACGAAGCTAAATCTCGCAACTTATGTTGATGAGCAATATTCAACCACCAAAGGATTGAGGTTTGCTTTTAAACAAACCCTAATAAACACTGCATTCTCTTATGGAGCTATAGCCTTCACAGTTACTCTTATGCTATCTGTTTATGTGTCTGAGTCAATAAAAGCCTTATTTTATTGTCCGGTTTCACTTATGATTTTCATTATCGGTATTTTGTACAATTATAATTAATACATTTAATGCAATAATAACCTTGATAAATAAAATTATTGTTAGAGGGAAAGCTATTGTCATAGAATATTAAATAATTGTTAAAATCAATAGGATTTCTTTCTTTTAGATCAGTTTCCATACAAAATGTATTTTCCCCTTCACTAAGTTTACTAACTGTATATACTGCTGATTCTCATCAAAACATTAGTTTAAAATCTCCAAATCTTTATTCTGATCATCTTTTCATGAACTCATCATAAAAAAGGACTTTAATCTTATAGTTTAGGCTGGCTAGCATATGTAGAACAGTCATTTCTTTGTCGCATTATGTTCTTCGAGGGTGGCATCTTTAAGACAAAATAAAAAGCGAAACTAGCTCAATACATTTTTATTTAAATACTTCTTTTCAACTCCACCTCCTACTAACCCAAATTTATGCAATGTATTTGCAATTGACATTAGTTTTCTGTGATTGTTTCAATAAAATCATCGTTTTTCTTTGATAGCGTCTCATATATATTATAAACTTTTTCAGAGGTATTTCGGAGTATAACGCCGATCTTAAATAATATAATTATATTAAATTATTTTGGTAATATTTAATTAATAAGAAACAAGGGGACAAATTTTATTGTAAATTAGAAACCCAGCTTTTCTAATAATGACTGTAGGTTTATTAAACTAATATTTTAGTACTTTTTAATAAAATATATAAGCTAAATATTATGATATCTACTATCCATATCATAGAAAAGCAGAAGCCTATCATGATTATATATAGCAAGGGAGAATGCCTATTATGATGCTTTTTTGCTTGCCTTGAAGCCAAAAAAGCCCGTGCTAGAAATCATCCATAACTATAGAAGAATTGAATGCAATTTAGGGCAAATAGAGCAGCATGTTAACAAGTTGTAAAAAGCATAAAAATCATTAGAAGATGAATACTCAGAGATTTATGTGATAAGAGTAGAGGGAAGTAAAAGAAAACAATGAAAAATTTTTATCAGAAATTTGGAAATGTTTCAACAATGTTTTTATCTTTTGCAAAATATTAATTAATATCAAGTAAATTATTGTCAGAGGGGAATCTATTGCCATAAGAATCTATATAAGTTTTAAAATCAATAGAATTTCTTTCTTTTAATTCTGCTTCCAAAAAAACGGGAGTTTCTCCTCTAATAAGTCTACTAACTGTATATACTGCTGATTTTCTGTAAAACATTATTTCAAAATCTCCAAAGCTTCATTCTGATCATCTTTTCATGAACTCATCATCAAAAAGGTCTTTAATATTGTAGTTTAGGCAGGTTAGCATATAAAGAACAGCCATTTCTTCATCGCATTCTCTTGTTTGAGGGTAACATCTTAAAGACAAAATAAAAAGCGAAGCTAGCTCAATACACTTTTGTTTAAATACTTCTTTTTCAACTCCACCTCCTACTAACCCAAAATTATACAATGTATCCGCAAGTGACATTAGTTTTCTGTGATTGTTTTCAATAAAATCATCGTTTTTCTTTGATAGCGTCTCGTCTACATTATAAACTTTTTCAGAAGTATTTTGGAGTCCGAGGTATTGTAATGCCGATCTTAAATAATACATTTATATTAAATTATTTTGGCAATATTTAATTAATAATTGAGACAAGGGGACAAATTTCATTGCAAATTGAAAAAGGATTTGGGCTTTTATCACTATTAACCTGAAACAAATGCAATAACCATCTATACGTACACGACAGAGAATCGTCCCTATTTAAGATGTAGCGTATGCAACATCACATTCTCGATAGCAAGAAGATCTTTCTTTAACGACATGATAGTCCTATAAATAAAATTCTAAAGTTGATATTTTTGCATTTCGTCAAGGGGAAAAGGAAACAACTGCTGGTGAAGAATTGGAATTAAATTCCAGTACAGTTTCTACCACTTTTAGAAGACTTAGAAGCATTACGAACTCATATAGATAATTCCTATTACAATGATGAACAGTTGAGCTACGAAAATAAATATGGAGAGAATCATCCAACAGTTGAAATTGACGAGAAAAAGTAATATCATTAAATGGGAAACTATTGAATCTTTGGGGTTATTGATAGGGCGAGTTTGAGATTCAGAATGCTCTTTGCTGGAAATGACAGAACCTGGAACCAGCTTAGTTACTTAATTCAGCTTGCAATTTATAACTATCCCAAAATCCCACAGAATTTTTTTTCTTCAGATGGATGAGCTCCATATAAAAAGAATTCAAACATTAGAATATAGACATACTGTCGTGAATCACAATTGCTCATTTGGATTAGGCCGCTTGACCATGAATCGATAGAGAACTTATGGTCAAGTCTTAAGAGACTCCCAACGTTTGTGCATAATTTCAGAGTTATAGATGAAGATAGCTTGGAGGATTATGTGTTCTACTTTCAGTGGCTATTAGAATGCAACAGCAAGCTGGAAAGGTTTCTCTCTTTAATGAAAATGCTAAATATTAGTAATTTCACTTATTGCCTAAAAGCAAGCTGAAATTGCAATTCAAATTAGTGTTACATTAAATTATTTTCGCTTTTTCTTCGACGATGACCTTTAATTGATTTTTGTTTAAAAATAGCACTTTCTTCTGGGTATTTCGAGATAGCCTTTGAAATACAAGCATTGTATGGAGTATCTTGCATTATAAAGCAACCAAATTCGTTGTGTGCTTTACTAGATGCAGTGCTTATCATATCTTCTCTGCCAAATAAATCTGACTCAATGCTTCCTTCCTTATTCATACTCTCTAACAGTAAATATTTTATTTTCTTCAAGTTTTCTGCCTTCATGTGCTTACTTTTCTCATCTTCTTTTTCAATCATATGGATTATATTTTGAAATTCCAAAGTCTCCTTATTAGAATTTTCTTCATCTTCACTTTCTTGACTGACTAATCTGGGCTCTTCTATTTTTTCTTCTATTTCTCTAAGATGTGTAAGATTTATTTCTCCGCTGTGTTTAGCTGTTTTTACTGGGGATTTCGTCTTATGACTCTGATCTGTGTCGATTTCCAGATTTTTGTAAGAAAGGGCTGAAAAGTATGCTTGATTTCCAGAAATCGTGCGCTTGTGACTGGGCTTGGGGTGCTTTGGAAGAGGAGGCTTCAACGAAAACTCATCCATAGAATAATTACTTCTATGAGATGGGCTTCGCTTTGGCTCAGTGAATATGAGTCTTGATTCCTGCTTATTTGGGAGTTGCAAAAATTGTGAATTTTCGTATTGGTCTGGTGAATATCTGGATTCTGGTGTAAGGTTGTATGGTCTGTCTTTGGGAGTGATTATAGCTGGGTTATGAGATCTCATTTTATTATTAGAAGTCAAATTTTACACGAAAATGGTGGAATTAACAAGGAATTAATACAACTTGTGGGAAATTTTGCTTTAATATTTCCAAATTTAATCTAAAATTGAATATAGAAATTGGGGCATATAAAAAGGATCTGATTTGCCACAACATATGAAAAAAGACTCAGAATATTTGAAATTGAAAAATAAATCAATACTAAATCAAGATATTATCAAAAAGAGAGTAATTATAAAGAAAATAATTTGTGAAAGAAATGTTATTGTTCTATAATTGGATATAATATAGCTGCACAGTAGTTATATTTTCCTGTCATATATTGAACACGGCTTGGGAAAAAACTCGGATTCGTGATTTCTGTCTTTTCCGGATATTCCATCTGAGTGCTATAATAATTCTTCGTAAAAGGCCCACCATAATACATAACCCTTGATTCCTTAAAAAGCACTGAAAAATAATCCATCCCACAGCACATCTGCTGCACCTCCAACTCTGCTGGGACATCAAATTTCTTAGGATATCTCCATATCTTCAGCCCTACAACATAGATATGTCCAATATTACTTTTTAGCATCATAGTATTGGTCCCTAACTCCCCCCCCCCCCTCCGTGAGCGAACAAAACCATTAGAAAAATCGCCATTTTTTGACCAAAAACCCACCCTCCGTGAGTGAACAAAAATTTTTTTTAATAGAAAAAATTTTAATGGAAAAAAAAAATTTTGATATATAAGTGATAATTAGTATAATGAAATCTAGAGCTAATTCTGTTTAATTTTAAACAAATTGCGTTTTAAAACATAAATTTTGCAAATTAAATTAATATTTGCTTCCCAATTTTTGCAAATTAGGATTTTTTTAAATTTCGAAAAAAATATTTTTTATATAAATTTATATATAAATTTTTTTTTAAAAAAAAAAATTAACCCCCCTCCGTGAGCGAACAAAATTTTTTTGTTCGCTCACGGAGGGGGGGGGGGGGGAGTAAGCACATTTCTTTAATCACATTCAGTTCACTAATTTTAAGCATAGTCGGGGTGTTAGCACAAATTGTTTCAAAAAATTCTTCCTCGTCTCCTACCCCAATTTCATAATTTTCGTTATTTCCCCACGCATAGATTTTGCCTGAAGATGTTAATGCAGCACTTGAGTTTTCTCCAGCAGCAATTTTAATCACTTTATCAGCTTCCAGTTTTTCAAAAAAAGGGATTTTTCTAGGAACTTCTAAATGGCTGTCAAAATCCATTTCACCGAGAGCGCCAACTTCGTTATTTCCTCATGCATAAATGTTGCCTTCATCAGTTAAGGCTAAACAATGCCGGCTTCCTGAAGCAATTTCTATGATATGGTCCTGGATTGCATCGATTTTTTTTGGGTAGCTCAGCTTTATTTTCTGAAAAATATCCTAAAGTATTGCGTGAGCGCCATTTAAAGATCTTGCGTAATGGATTTTGAGAGCTTGCATAGCCCCATGAGTAGACCTCTCCAGATTCTGAAAGGGCTATGGTGTGCAATTCACCACATTCAATTTGCTTCATAGGTGGAACTGAGGGAACTTTCATTGGACCTAAGGTGAAATTAGATGTATGGCCTAGCTGAAGATGGTTGTTTTTTCCAAATGTGTAGACATCGCCTGAGCTTGTAATAAACCCACAATGAGAAGGACCAGTTGAGACATAAATTACATCTTCATTGAAATCTTGGTTATCACCTGTCTTTTCTATTCGTTTTGGAGTAAATAATTTTGTGCCTGGAGGTTTATTATGGCCAAGGTATTTCCCTTCACCCCAGACGTAGAGAGAACCAAAATTCCTTAGAAACTTTGAAATCTTCATTTTACTCTTAACTAAAAAGTATAAATTTTAAATGCATATTTTGTTGTATATTATTAAAACGCCAAAACTATTATTTCACTCATATCACAGAATAAATTTAAAATAAATTCTAATTATCTGATGATTACTAAAGACCTATTATTAGCAAGTTTATTAATTATGTTTAATAAGCTTATTCCTTGTGGAAAAAAATTATTAAATGGAAGCTTGGAAACTTATTTCAAAGAAGCTTGAACCTTTTCAGTACACAGTATGAACTGAGTTTACACCTCTTGCTATAAAATATAACGCAGTAAATTTAGGGCAAGGTTTCCCTGCTTTCAAATGCCCTGAATTTGCGAAACAAGCCTTAATTGATGCAACAAACTCTGATGAAAACCAATACTCAAGATCACAGGGCTACCTCCCTTTGTGCCAAGAATTAGCTAGAGTTTATAGCTCGAAATATAATAGAGAGATTAATCCTCTGACAGAAATAGCAGTCACAATCGGTGCTTCCGAAGGAATCATGTGTGCCCTCTTAGGCATGGTTAACCCTGGAGATGAAGTTGTTATGATGCAGCCTTATATATACATAAAATAGCCTGAGAAGAACAGTCCGTCCTCTCTTAGTCATTCGATTATAGTCTAGCAATATTTAGAGAGACTTAAGACTCTTTTTAGCTGGATTGAGCCATAAGCCTTTCTCAGTTAAGGGCCACCAGTACTTAGCCTAGTCGGTCCGATATAGACAGGGCAACTTAACAGTCGAATGGCGAAAGCTTTGAGTTTTTTCTTGCTGGCTGGCTCCAGCGATGGTGCATTCTTCAGCAAAAGTGATTCTCTTGGCGAGGCGATCTTGCCTTGCCGTTCCAATTATTAGCTTCAAAAAAGATGACGTCCTGTTGTTGGAAATATAGGTGCTCAGCAATCTACTGAGAAAACGAGCTGCAAGACGGTAGCACTCTTCTACCTCAACAAAACTGCTAAATTAATCACTGATAGGGATCTTGAAAACTTCAAAATTAATCTAGGCTTATGATAGAGCCTTGCTTTGACCTTTATATACCCCAAACAGCAATATTTGGAGGAATTCCAGTTGGTGTGCCTTTAACTCCACCAACTCCTGGAGAAAATCAATGGACATTAGATTTTGACAGACTTGAAGCAGCTTTTAACGAAAGGACTCGTGTTTTTATGATAAATACACCCCACAATCCTATTGGGAAGGTTTTCACAAGACAAGAAATCGAAAAAATTGCAGAGATTTTAGAAAAATGGCCAAATGTTTGCATAATTTCTGATGAGGTATATGAGTATATCACATATGATGGCAGAGAGCATATAAGTATAGCCAATTTTGGAAACCTCTGGGATAGAACAGTTGTTTTTGGAAGCGCTGGAAAAATCTTTTCAGTGACTGGATGGAAGACAGGATGGGCTATAGGTGGAGCTGACGCTATAAAAAAAATCACGACAGCCCATATGTGGAATACATATTGCTCAAATACAGTCGCCCAAGGCGCTATTGCAAGAATGCTTACTCCCGCCTCTATGAACTAGCAAAATCATTAGAAAAAATCCCTACTTTTTTACCCAAAACCACCCTCCGTGAGCGAACAAAAATTTTTTAATAGAAAAATTTGTATGGAAAAATTTTGATATATATAAGTGATAATTAGTATCATGAAATCTCTAACTAATTCTGTTTTAATTTTGAACAAATTGGGTTATAATACATAAATTTTACAAATTAAATTAATATTTTGTTTCCAATTTTTTTTGAAGTGGGATTTTTTTAAATTTTTGAAGAAAAAATCTATAAAATTTATATAAGCCCCTCAGTGAGCGAACAAAAAAATCTTGTTCGCTCATGGAGGGGGGAGTTAGAATCGCTGACGAGCCTTACATCGGCTTCCCTAACTATTATGAATGGATGAAAAACGAATATACAAGAAAACGAGAAATACTTCATAACTTGCTGAAAAATGCTACAAAAATTGGAGTTGATCCAATTATTCCAGAAGGAGGATATTTTATGTGTGCCAGAGTGAACCCTTCGCTTATTGAGTCAAGTTACCTTGAAAACACAACCTATGACTTCGCATTTTGTAGATGGATGACTGAAAAACTAGGCGTTTGTGCTATTCCTTGTTCAGCATTTTATTTAGATCATCACAAGCAGGATGGAGAAAACCTTGTGCGATTCGCTCTATGCAAAGATTATAAAGACTACGAAGCTGCAGAAAAGCTACTAAGCTAAAGCTAATAATTATATACCATTTCTAGCTCCCTCTATTCTTGAACGAAAAAAATCATTGGAAAAATCCCTATTTTTTGAGTAAAAATCCGCTCTCTGCGAGCTAACAAAAATTTTTATAATAAATATTTTGATATAGGTGACAATTATTATAATGAAATCTCTAGCTAATTCTGTTTAATCCTAACAACTTATTGCTTAAAACATAAGTTTTTTAAATCAAATTAATATTTGCTTTAAATTATTTCGACTTAGATTTTTTAAATTTTAAAAAAAAAAAAACTTACTAAAAAAATTGAGATAAATTTTTGAAAAAAAAAGAAATTAAACCCTCCGTAAGCGTACAAATTTTTTGTTCGTTCTTGGAGGGATTAGGTATTTTTATTTAAATTTACATCGTTATAAGAACTTAAATTTAAATTTAACTAATATTTTGATTTTGAGAGCAGGGAATAACCCCTATAAATTAAAAAAATATAGCACTAATGATAAGTCACAAGCCAACAGTAATGAAAACGCTATAATGCTTATATATAATTTAAATCTAAGAATTAGCATCTATTATGTACTTTTTTGTGAATCGATTTGTATTTAATTTGACACCATATCAGAAGATTCATAAGTATTTTCTCCTGGAAAAACTATGTCAGAAAACTGCGGAGTCACACTCGAGCTGCTTGCCCTCTCTTTTCTATTTTTCACCCAATTTCTCCAGCTGCGAAAGACAGTTCTCGCATAAAGCATAGCAAAGAAGAAATTCACCTTGCTACCTTTGCTTTCTGATTCGATACTTTGTGACTGAAACTGGACTTTTTCTTTTGCCCTCAGCCTGCTAAGCTTTTTCAGGGTCGAATTTTCTTCTCTTTTCATCAGCTTCTTAGAATTTCCTGTCACATTTCTGACAAGTAGCCTTTCGTGCTTCCTTTTCATCACTGCAAAAAGCATGTCATTATAATAAATATAGCCATCTTTATCTATTTCTAACCCCATAATTGACAAAATCTTTATCGCCCTTTCGTGCCATATAATTAATATGGTTGCGGGAAAATATGCACTTACCAATGACGCCGCTGTGCCAAAATAGCTTTATAGTCATAAAAAAAGCTCAAGCCACTTGAATCTAACCCTAAGTATGCTTTATAGCTGACTATGATGTGGGTGTCTTTGGGATGGGGCTGGAGGCCATTCCAGTTCAAGTATTAGTTATCCGGATGGTTTTTGGGTGACTGGTTTTCCCTGCCGGTTCCGGAGGACAGTGATTCTTCTTCCTGGGTGTCACCCTTCCTTAAGGTGGCCGACAGAGGTATTGAAACTCAGAGACGCAGTGAAGCCTTTAGATAGCCTGACCCTTGTTTGGCAGAGGTACATCGGCTGCCCAAGTCCCATCAACAGCGTCTTCTCTTACGAAGTGTGCAGAGGCATCAAATCTAGAATATCTTAAAGCTCTTAATTTAATTTCGTGTCCTACCTCTGGGGCTATTCCAAGTCCTTGGCCTAGATCATACATAAAATTTGTCAGGTTTTTATAGTGGATTCTTTTCCCTCTGCTTTCTTTTGTATAATTCGCCCAGCATTTTTTGAACTTTTTTACGTCACCGTTGAAGATATTGATGACGCTTTCCGGGTTGTTTTCGTAGTCTTCATAATTTTGGAGGATCACCATGACGAATAAGTTTAGCATGACAAAAGTAGTTGAGGAAATAAAAGAAATAAAGAAAATGTAAGGCACAGCCTTTCCAGTCTTGTGAACACAATCATACATGATGGTCGGCCAGTCCTCTCCTGTAGAGCACCTAAATAGAGTGACCATCGCTTTATGGAAATTCTTGAAATTTGTATAGTCGTCGATAATGTTTCCACTGTCCACAGAGTGAAATAGATAGACACCGAGGATTGAGTAAACGGAGTAAATGAGTATCAAAATCCCTGATACATTTAAAATAGCAGGCAATGAATAGGAAATAATTGTCAGCAAATCTCTTATCGCCCCATTTAATAAATAAAGCTATTTTTAAAAAATTTTAAGTTATACCCCATTTAATAGTAGGCACTGCTAAGAGGAGTTTTAGAGATTTCAGGAATTTAAAAAGCCTTAATAAGCGTGAAACTCTAAAAACTCGGACAACTCGGATTAACTGAGGGCCAAGTTTCATATAGGCATTATCCGACTTCAAAATATATGTAGAAATCAAATCAAATGCTGAAGCTGCAGCCACGATAAAATCAAATTTATTTCAGGTATCATGAAAATATGCTTTCGGCCCATATGCAATTAATTTAATAATAGCTTCTGCAATAAAAATAAGTGCGAAAATCGAATTTATATAGTCAAGAACATCTGTATACTCAGACGGCGCAGTATCATAATACATCGCCATTTCAATCATGTTTAATAAAATACAAGCCATTATAAACAGTTCAAATCCCCAATGCTTGCTCAGAGTATACAGCTTTGATCTAATTATATTTTCCGGCCTTTTAGATATATCAAGTGCAGGCTTGGACTGCACAATCAAAGATTGCAGCTCCACCCACACCATTTGTTCATTGGTCAAAATCAGTGCAGCAAGCGAGCTCTCGTTCCTTTTAGCTTCTGTGAATTTCTCAAAAATGACACCTGAAACCAAATTCACGAAGAATATCGAAGAAATAAAGATATGAAAAATAAAATAATAAGCAGCGCTGGGGTTATTTTCTCTAATCGGTGATTTTCCTTCGGCTACAGCGTCCACTGCAGCGTACATGTCATCAGGCCAATTTTCTTGTGAAGCCATTATAAACAAGGCAACCATAGCTTCTATCACATTATCATAATTTATGTCATAGCTCACCCATGAGTGACCATAAATCAAGCATTCTTTTTCTGTATGAATATTCGGATTATCGCAGGTATAGAGCTTCCCTCCAAATAGAGACACCCCTAATATTGCGAAAATCAGTCAGACTATAAGCATCACACAGGTGACGTTGAAGACAGAAATCATGGACTCCAAAAGAGCAGTGATCACAATTTTCATAGAAATGTTGTGGGAAATAAACCTCAGCGGCCTTAAAGTCCTTAAAAGCCGAAGCGCTTTGATTGCTGAGAAGTTGAACCCAGAAAGCGACAAGTCAATTATAGAGACAATAACAATAAAAAAATCCAATTTATTCCAGGTTTCTCTTAGATAAGAGCCTTTTCCTAATATAAATCCCATTGAAATAGATTTTATCACGTATTCAGATGTAAAAATAACAGCAAAAGCTATGTCAAAATAAGTAGAGACTTCTACTTCAATAGAGTCTGAAGGCTCATCCAACAAATATGTGTCTCATATTAGTTTTATTGTGCTGGCAGCAATAATAAAGTATATGCAGGTCTCAAATTTCTGGTTATTTGAAACAATATAGCAGAGTTTCCTTATAAAATTATTTTTCGAAAATATAAAATAGCTCCGCTCGATATCTATTCCATCGTACATCACTTTTGTTTTCCTTATTTCACTTTCTTTGCGCAGGAGTTCAAGCGTTTTGCTGTCAGCACTTTCGCTGACTTCAAGCTCTTCAATCATTTTTAGCTTTTCCTCTCTTTTTTTCTTGTGTCGTTCTCCAATTGATCCAAAAATACTGTCTCTTCTATTAGAATTTCCATTGGAAGAAGTAGCATAGGATGTGTCTCCATCTTTATTACTAAACATATCAAGAACCAAGGCCAAAAATAAATTCATGAGTATGTAATTTCCTATCACTATTCAGAATACGCAAAATAGTCCTGAGCTGTACCCTCTGTCACTTCTCATTGTATTGTAGAGAATAGTTTGTCAGTTTTCCTCAGTCAGCATTTGGAAAGTACTGAGAAAAGAATAATGAAAATTATCAAAGTTATATCGGGGATGGCCGTCTGAAAAATAAAATCGTCCTGAAAATAGCTGAATTCCAATAATGGCGAAGATCAACACAAATAGAAGCAAAAATAAGATGATGTAGATAAGGCTTTTGAAGTTTTCTCTGAGTTTTCTCATAATGTGGTTCATTGAGTGCAAGTAGCGAAATAATCGGACAACTCGAACCACTCTGATAATCCTAAGCACTCTTAAGGCTCGTAATGCTGTAATAGTGGAAAGTGTATCAACTGTAAAAACCATCTCAATCAGGCTTATTATTGTGATTACTCCATCAATCTTAATCTTAATTATGGTTAGATGCTGCTTATTGGTAAATAGTCACCAAGGACCCTTCAAGGATTCATCCGCTTTAAGATGCCGCCAGTCAAGCTGGTCCAGTTGACATGACTCACACTGCGAGAAAATCGACACCATCTTACTCCTCCTTTGGATATCCCCTGATGTCATGGGATATCTAAATCTTTACTCTTCTCCTGCACAAAAATCCCAAAAAATTAATTACCGGCCTACACTTGCAAGAGGGAAAAGTTTAAGCCAAAAGTTGAGTCCTGGCATCACGCTAGAGGTATGCCTAATTGGTCTAGCCTTGCTGCTGGACTTTCCCTTTCCAACTCCAAGCTCTCCATTTTCCTTGAGGTAAACTCAGCTCTGAATGCGGACTTTGGCTATGCTCAAACGCTCCTAAATTGCTTGCCTAACATTACTATCCACTTCTGAGGACAAAACCTGCTGGATATAATTTAATATCATGACCAGGAGGCCATACCTAGGCCAAAGCGCCATATTGACTTATATATATGATCACTCCATCAAAAATATTCATCTTATCTCTTATATATCCAATTATTCCAAGTCCCAGCATTTTGAAACCCATTTCTACAATAAATATGATTGTAAATGCATAATTAAAATCAGAAAGCAAACTTGAAGTCTCCGAATCCATTCCATAATGATAAGCTGCCAAAATTGCTGTATTCGTGAAAACACATAAAATCAAAAAATAATTCACAATTTTAGACTGCACCAAATCTCGAAACGGCGACTGAATTTTTTCTCATTTCCCCCTCACCCCTTTATGTCATAACTTAAAGTTATTTTTTAAGTAATCTTGGTACTGTGCTACTCTGGCAGTCTCACTTTCAAAAACGTCGCTTCCAGATCAATCTCCTATTATATACATTGATTTTCTGTCCTGCTCATTGATCTTTTTCACAAACTCATTTACATGGATATTTACTTTAAAAAACGCAAGATAAGGGTCTTTTTTAGTAGCTAAATAGTTGAAAACCTCCGTCTTGGTCTCAAACTGCTTGTATTTGTCTAGGTTTTCTTGGATCACGTACTCTTCATTTTTTGTTAGAGTGTCAAGGCCTGACAAAATATTGCTTGAGCCTCTATAGGTGAATTGTTCAGCATAAGCTGCTTGGGAGTCTTCTATTTTCCATTCAGGAATGACGTCATAATAAGAATTGGACGACATATCAAAATGCTCTTCAATGTGAGCTTTAATTCTGATGGTTCGATGGTTGATTTCACGTGTAAGAAACCTCTGAGTGCTTGAAGCCGTCCTGCTGCAGTTCGATCTAAATTCAGTTCCATAAGATTTAATTGTCCTTCTCAATTTCCCTCCATTGTCTTTGGACAGGCTGATGCGTGATTCATCAAGATTGACATCAGGAATTATGTATTTTTCGTGGCCTTTGTGAGGAGTGTCATCTTCTAAGAAATTTGGGACTTCTTTCAGTATGGCTGCGCCCATATTTTCATATTTAAATTTTAGCTTTGTGTTGACCAGGGTTGAATCAGGCCGCTGTGTAGTTGCAGCTGGGTCTATTGAAGAGCTTCTATCAAATTCTTCATTTTTCCCATCTTCAATGAGTGAATCAATTGACTCATCCCGAAGATGCACCAGGGGTATCACAACTGCCTGTCGTTTTATGTTTTCCAGCTTCAATAACTTTTTGGAGTTGCCTATATATTTAATCGGGCTTATTTCTACCCCTTCTTCATTAATCATAAGTGTGTCTCTGTTGACCATAGGGACAGATGTGCTTTCTTGGTTGTTGATTTGGTTTGTTTTGATATCGCCTTCGTCGTAAAGATCTTCAAATATAGAGGACTGAAACGAGTCTTCTAAAGACTCCTCTTTTATTGAGTTTACCTTCTTTTTTCTCACAGTGTCCATTTCTCTTCGGAAATTTGAATATAAGATGACTCCTGTTAAATTCAAAATTAGGTAGGTTCCTACAAAAATCATAGGGACGAAGAAAATGATCACAAGCTGGCTTAAGGCTTTTTCAGCAATAATCATGTCGTGAGCCCAGCCTTCTTCGGTGAGGCATTGAAAGATAGCTAAAAGTGCAAAAAAAATGTTATCAAAATTGTACATCCCATAAAAAGGGTTGTCCAAGCCTTGCGAGCACTTGTATCCTTCTGGGCAGGACATATTGCCACAGACGCTTTCGCCTTTAATTGAGGTCCCTATCTCAATATTCAAGCAATGATACTTAAATAGTCCCATAAATAATTGCAGCCCTGCTATAGAAAAGATAAAAATAAAGAAAAATAGAATCAAAAAAGCATTTAAAAGAGGCCATGTTGAGCTTATCAGGGATGTAAAAATCACTTTTAATCCTTCAATTGAAGAAATGCTTCTTAGCGGCCTGAGGACTCTAAAAACTCTTAACGCTGATAAATTCACTGAGTTTTGGCCTATTTGTATAAGTCACGCGGTCGCCACAATGACAAAATCAAGGATATTTCAAACATCTCTGAAATACGCATTTCTCGTAAAAATCACTCCAAATGCTATCAATTTCAAGCCACATTCAGCTGTATATACATATAGGAAAAATAAATCAAGACTGGCCAAAGCACCAGTATCATTGGAATTCGGGTCTTCTATTGCCAGCACAACGGCATTAAATAAAATAATAATTACAATGAAAGCTTCAAAAATCGGGCTTAATACGATAACTCTAGCAAGAACCGACACTCCATGGACGATTCTTAAGGCCGCCTTCCTGATATGAAAGAAAATATTTCCATCAGGCAAATCATCAATTGTTTCAAAATATGTCATTTCTCTCACTTTAATAAAATTTTTCAACAGATCATGATCTTTGATAGCTTTTTCAAAATTCGAGGTCCCAATACGCTTTACCACGTCAAAAGACTGCACTAAAGTGTAGCTCCTCAGAAATTTTTTGTCTTTCGAGTCCTCTTGAAAAACTGAGAGTCTATTAAGGTCGACTGAATTTTCTTCTGGCTTGATAGAAAGCTGGGTTGAATCAAGATAAAATTGATCTTGGATGGAGGATGCAGAAGGACTAAGATTCAAAAAATCTGGGTTAGGTTTAGCATTCAGTAAGCTTTTATTGGCTGCCTCAATTTGAGCACTGAAATTTTCAGTTTCGATTAATTGGGAGGAGTATGAGCGAGGCTTCGAGGTTGGGGTTTTTATTGACTCAAATTTGTAGTCGAGTAGGCTGTCACGTTTCATTTTGACTAATGATTATGTGAGATTAATTATATATTACTATTCATATTAGGATGCAAAAACAGCAGAATTCAATGCAAAAAAGATGAGCAAGTGCTTCTTTGGGAGTAAAAAAATGAAAAAGCGTATTATTTGATCCTGGAGTAAGCACGATTAATGATTCTTATTATAGCAAATAAATAAAACTTTACTGAGCCTTCTTACTTCCAGTATTATAGAAAAATGAATATTTAAAAACCTTTCTTTTTAAGAAAGGATCATGGTCTTTTAATAATACCTTTCACCTGGGAACTGTCAAAATCAGTTCAATATTTTTCCTCATAAATGGTTATGCCCAAGTTAATATTCTGCAAATTGTATTATTAGGATAAATGCCTGCTTCTGTGCAGTCATTTAAATAGAATAAATATTTATTAAGATGGGATCTTAATAAATAATTAAGAACATGTCTTCATCTATTGATCCTACGCTCCAGAATACGCTTAGGTTTTGACTCAGAATTGATTTTGGGGACAAGAAATTGCAAACAATTAATGACGAGCTTGATTCGGCTTATGAACAAATGAGGACTAGCGTTCGAAGGAAAGAAACTACTACAGCAATGCTATTAGGATGCGGAATCGGAGCCTTTTATGGGATGTATTTAAAGCCTATATTAGGAAAAGGAAACTATCTGAGAAAAACAATTTGTGTCATGTTTGCAATATCATTTATAGATGCTGCTGAAGGAATTGTCTTGAAAAAGTATACGAACTATGACTTAGAAAATAAAATGATTGAAAGATATCAGTCTCAAATTTTGCAAAATCACCCAAAGATCAAGGAAAAATTGAAAGGGACAAATCCTCATGGAGGGATCCCATTTGGAAATCCACAAGGTTCTCTGATAAACAATAGCCAGTATCAAAATAATCAGAACTTCAACTGGCAGCCTTCTCAAAGCCAAAATTTATGAAGTCAGGACGCAAACAATCGCCAGATAGAAAACTGGAATACACAGAATATTCAAGAAAACCAAAATTATCAAAATCCTAGAGATTTAGTGTGAAACCCTGATCCTCAAGGTCAATTCAATGATTATTTAAAGCCTCAAGCGAACGACTGAAATTCTCAAAATAGCTGGGACAAGGAAAACCTGAGCAAGCAAGACCTTGGATATCCGAATTTCTCGAAGTATGACAGTTTGGGTAACAGAAAACCTGTAGATTATAAGAATAGCTTGGGCAGTCCTGAAAATACCGTCAATCGGTATTTTCCGGAACTTTTTTTTTCCTATTAAAAGAACGTAAAATTTCAAAAAATCTTCGATTTTCCATGAAAATACTTGGAACACAAAATTTTCAAAAAAAAGTTCCTGAAAAAACCATATCATAAAATTTTTACTGATTGAACTATCTGAAAATACCATAAAGGTGAAAAAAATTTCGATATCATGACAGCATAGTTTTAAACAGAGAAGCAAACAAATAAATCTGGATTTGATGAGTAAATGGTCTCTTGTTTGCTGAAACACAATAATAATCTCAACACAAATAAAGGGATTATATGCATTCCAATCATTATTGGTTAAAAATCAATAAATTATTTTTTTCCTCAAAATCGCATGAAAATATCGTCATAAAATTTTAAATTGTGACATATGCGATTTTAATTGTATGCTCAAAATAAGTATTAATAAGAGCCATATGCTATTCGAGCTAAGGAAACTATTAAGGCAAGCAAGCAAATTCAAAAGATATAACAATAGAGTATATTTATATATATATAAAAATTATTTCAAAACTACAGGAAAAAAACCGAAAATGTCTTTTTTTTTTGAAAAAATTGCATGAAAATACCAATAGTAAATTTTTAAACGGTCCAAAATTTGCCTGAAAAAACCGCTAATGGAAAAAAAAAAAATTTCAAAAAGTCCATGAAAATACCAAATAGGAATTTATAATTAAATTCAATTAAATTTAGGTTCGACAAATTTATTGAAATCATCTAAAGTCAAATTAAAGAAACTAAATCAAGTAGCATTGAAAACAATAGTTTAAAATCGACTATATGAATAATATTACAGAAGCGTGTATCAATTTTTTCGACATAATTTAAATAGAAAATTTTATTTTTAGCTATCTAGTGGAATAGAATTACGAAACAGTGAGAAGTAGTTTAAACTGCACTTGGTCAAATCAAAAAAAAATTGCTTTGAAGTCGCCTTTGTAAATCACTCATAGGTCAATTAATGCAAACCTAAGAAAAGCATGATAAATGCATTTAATTCTGAATTGCAAATTCAATAATTTAAAATAAAATTTACTTTTTGAATTGACAGCTTTTATCCTCTAGAGAAGGCTATAGACAATAGTAGTGGAGTCGATAAGTTTTTACCATTAAGATAAAAATAGTTAAGTCGGTTTTATCAAAATGCCTAGATATCAAAACTCATTTAAATAATTACTTACTCCCCCCCCCCCCCTCCGTGAGCGAAACAAAACCATTAGAAAAATCGCCATTTTTTGACCAAAAACCCACCCTCCGTGAGTGAACAAAAATTTTTTTAATAGAAAAAATTTTAATGGAAAAAAATTTTGATATATAAGTGATAATTAGTATAATGAAATCTAGAGCTAATTCTGTTTAATTTTAAACAAATTGCGTTTTTTAAAGCATAAATTTTGCAAATTAAATTAATATTTGCTTCCCAATTTTTGCAAATTAGGATTTTTTTTAAATTTCGAAAAAAAATATTTTTTATAAAATTTTTATATATAAATTTTTTTTTTTAAAAAAAAAAAATTAACCCCCTCCGTGAGCGAACAAAATTTTTTTTGTTCGCTCACGGAGGGGGGGGGGGGAGTTAATGTTTTTTATATTAACTAATTTAATGCTTTTTATGGGGACTTATAGATTCTATATAATAATAAATGGCTGAACGTTTTATGCATCCTTTATGGAATGCTAATAGAAATTTTGAGATCGAAAGAAAATGCAATAGCTAATTGCCAAGAAGTTGGAATCCTTAAGCCAAATATATGTGATTATGCAATGGAAATTGTTTATGTATCTTTGTGGTGAAAGTCCTTTTCTTCGTTGCACAAATTGCAATATAAGCTTTTTAGTACGAAGAAGGCCTATATTTTACTATTCAGGCTTAAAATAAAGAAAATCGTACAACTGATATTCCGTTGTTTCGTTAGATAGCAGCCTCTTATTAACATAGTATAAAGACGCAGAAATTTTGAGAGTGTGTAATAAAGTTTTCAAAAGCTTTAATTAAAGAAAAAATAACTGAAGAATATTCTACAGATACGAAATTTGACTTAGAGAATGAACTGGAGAAGTTTATCTAACAGTTGAATAGAGACGAAAACCATTTGACGACAATGAATGGTGATCTAAAATGGCTATTTGGTCTATATAACAGAGGAACTTAAGATTTCAGATTATATTATGTTGGAAGTGATATAAGCTGGATAAATTTGCATTGATTTATTATAAGTTCAAAAATCCAACTGAAACATTTAGTGATGAATGAGCAGCCTATAATAAACTCCCTACAATTGAATATCTCCATCCAATTTTTATCATATCAAAGCATTGGCACAGGAAGGTTCAAAACCAATAATATAGAAAACTTATGAAGCAGAATAAAGAGGCTAAGGGCTTATATAAACGGATTCCACCCAAGAAATGAAAAAGAGCTTGAAAATTATCCCTATATTTTTAATGACTCTTAAAGCATAGGCCTATTACTGAAAGAATTGATCTTTTAATCGAAATCCTTAATTTTAATAACTTCTAATCTCTTTAATGAATTAAAAGATTTTATTATTAAGTTTAGATAGCTCAATATTAGAAATTGCTTTAGCAGACTTGTCTATTTTTATCTTAATGGTAAAAACTAATCGACTTCACTGCTATTATCTATAGCCTACTCCATGAGCTTCTCAAAATAGATTTTAAAGGTTTCATTTAAAAGACTTGAGTTTTTTTCCTTGACTTCAATGGATTTATTGTTTTTCTTCACTATAAGAGGATGAAAACTGCCAAGCCGAGAAAGTAACTTCTGAAAATCATAGCTGTACAAGACAATATCCGTTATTCTGAAATTCAGCATGCTTCTATCTACCCTTCCTAGCTCTGCTCTTAGCTGTTGTCTCTCAAGTTCATATATCAGACAGTCTTCAAATAACGTGACATTCATCTTCGGCAATGCCCAAATTTTCACACAGAAGGCCGCTCGAGGTTTCCTCATGTGCGCGTTGGCAGCATATGAGTTTAAGCCAGCCCTTAACCTATCTATTGCCCGTATTATGTAGAAATCTTTGGTATTAGATAATAAATAGAACGGCTTGGTCAACTTTGTTTTGGATTCTTGCAGTTTAAACTACTTCTCACTGTTTCGTAATTCTATTCCACTAGATAGCTAAAAATAAAATTTTCTATTTAAATTATGTCGAAAAAATTGATACACGCTTCTGTAATATTATTCATATAGTCGATTTTTAAACTATTGTTTTCAATGCTACTTGATTTAGTTTCTTTAATTTGACTTTAGATGATTTCGATAAATTTGTCGAACCTAAATTTAATTGAATTTAATTATAAATTTCTATTTTGGTATTTTCATGGACTTTTTGAAATTTTTTTTTTTCCATTAGCGGTTTTTTCAGGCAAATTTTGGACCGTTTAAAAAATTTACTATTGGTATTTTCATGCAATTTTTTCAAAAAAAAAAAGACATTTTCGGTTTTTTTCCTGTAGTTTTGAAATAATTTTATATATATATAAATATACTCTATTGTTATATCTTTTGAATTTGCTTGCTTGCCTTAATAGTTTCCTTAGCTCGAATAGCATATGGCTCTTATTAATACTTATTTTGAGCATACAATTAAAATCGCACATTTCACAATTTAAAATTTTATGACGATATTTTCATGCGATTTTGAGGAAAAAATAATTTATTGATTTTTAACCAATAATGATTGGAATGCATATAATCCCTTTATTTGTGTTGAGATTATTATTGTGTTTCAGCAAACAAGAGACCATTTACTCATCAAATCCAGATTTATTTGTTTGCTTCTCTGTTTAAAACTATGCTGTCATGATATCGAAATTTTTTCACCTTTATGGTATTTTCAGATAGTTCAATCAGTAAAATTTTATGATATGGTTTTTTCAGGAACTTTTTTTTTGAAATTTTTTGTTCCAAGTATTTTCATGGAAAATCGAAGATTTTTTGAAATTTTACGTTCTTTTAATAGGAAAAAAAAGTTCCGGAAAAATACCGATTGACGGTATTTTCAGGACTGCCCGAATAGCTTGAATAATCAGAATAATCATTACCCAGGAGCAACTGGCACAGATGAAATTAGCGTTCCTTATTATCCTGGAGTGCCTCCAGCAAGAATGCCAAACCAAAGACACTAACAATAAATTTATTTATCAATATAACAAAAATTCATATATAAAATATTAATAGTTTCCCAATAATAAGATCCTCAATAATAATGGACTTTTGGGTTATCCTTCTCCTCTTTACCATCCCAGTCCTTCTTTTCAAGCTCTACAAGAAAACTCGTCCCATATCTTTTGCTGGAAAAACAGTGTGGATCACAGGAGCATCTTCAGGAATTGGAGAATTTTTAGCCTACGAATTTATCAACAAAGGTGCATCTGTAATTTTATCAGCCAGAAATGTTGACGAGCTCAATAGAGTCCGCAATAATTTAGGTGTACGAAAAGAGAAAGCAACTATAATCCCTCTCGACTTGGCAAATGGAGACTCAGCACTCCTCAAGGCGAAAGAAATCATGAAGCAGCATGAAATCGACATTCTGATTAACAATGCAGGTGTCAGCCAACGGTGCACTTTTATGGAGTGCCTTGACAGCTTGACTGTGGAGAGAAAAGCGATGGAATTGAACTATTTTAGCGTCGTTGCCCTCACAAAAGCTGCTGCTGAGGTTATGGCTAAAAGAGGATCAGGGCAGATTGTAGTGATTTCAAGCTTGGCAGGACTGGTAGGGTCTCCTTATAGAACGGGATACTCTGGCTCGAAGTTTGCGATTTCTGGGTTTTATGAAAGTCTGAGGAGTGAGCTTCATGATTATGGAGTCCAAGTCTCATCTATTTACCCTGGATATGTCAACACCAATATAGCCAAAAATGCACTCAACTCTAAAGGAGAAGAATTTGGAAAGTCAGACCCAGCCAATGCAGAAGGGATGAGCGCTGAGCGTTTTGCGAAGAAGGCAATAAGAGGGATATTCAACAAGGATGCGGATTTACTTGTTTGTCCATTGAAGTATCATTTGATGTTTTACATCAAAGCTTTTTGCCCAGCTGCATTTCATTATTTGTTGAGAAGCTATAGCAAAAAAGTCTTGAAGAAATTAAAGGAAGCATCATAATAAATAAATATCATTTAGTTTATTACAAGATCTTCTTAAAATGGTTAAATAATCTTATTAGATCTAAAGGAGGAATAATTACTATGAATAGTATACAGAATTTTTATCACTTTATTCTTTTTTATAATGAAATAAATAAAAATTTTATGCTATTTTATTCTGTCTATAAAATAGTGATATGGCAATCCTAAAATAGATTTTAAGGCTTTCTCTGATATAATAGCATCAAGAAAACTGCAGTTAAAGACATGCATATTTCCAAAGTTTAAAATATGCTCTAGAGACAATTCCAGAGGCAAACCCCTGGTAATGGTATCGAGGTTTCATATTTTTATTGCTCCGTCATTTCCTGCACAAACAAAATAACTGCCAGCGCATGCTAACTCCCCCCCTCCGTGAGGGAACAAAAAATTTTGTTCACTCACGGAGGGGGTTTATTTCTTTTTTTTTAAAAAACTTATATATAAATTTTATAAAAAATTTTTTTTTCGAAATTTAAAAAAATCCTAATTCACAAAAATTGGAAAGCAAATATTAATTTAATTTATGAAATTTATGTTTTAAAAAGCAATTCGTTTAAAATCAAACTGAATTAGCTCTAGATTTTGTTATAATAATTATCATTTATTTATCAATTTTTTTTCCATAAAAAAATTTTTGTTCGCTCACGGAGGGTGGATTTTTGGGCAAAAAATAGCGATTTTTTTTAATAGTTGTGTTCACTCACGGAGGGGGGAGTAAGTAATTATTATCAGAATAAACATCATACATATTTAAGGCCTTACCATAAAATTTGCTATGTGAATCAAAATGAGTAATTTGCTTCTTAGTTTGGGAATTTCAAATACTCAAAATTATTTTTTCTTCTGTTCTGGAGTATTTGTGATAGCATATCATATATTTGCCAGATGGAGAATATGTGAAGCTAAAAATATAACTATCAATATCGTGCAGCTTTATTTCACTTGTTTTCTCGAAATTATTTAATTCTCATATTTGAATTGAGTACCCAGTACTCAAGATCGCTAAAAATTGTTTGCAAGGAGAAAAGTCAAATGCAGCATCAAAGGCTTCGAAAGAAGTAAATATTTGGTTTTCAAAGCTTCATAAGCGGACAGAGTTTTTATAACTATATGCCAAGTATCTTTGACATGGAGAAAAGAGCACTTTACTTCGCATGCATTGGCCAGTCTCAAATGTTCTAAAGATATCAGAATTAACGAAATCATATATCCAGCAGAATCCACTGCTTTCTGCATATGCTATGTATTTACCACAGTAAGAGATTGCCATTGACAAAACTTGCAGGTAGATTGTTGGATTAACAATGTCGAGCTTCTGCTTTGTAAAAATGTCGTAAATATATATTTTTCGTGACATTTCAAATGCAAGATATTTTTCAGATGGTGAAAAGGTAATTGATAAAACATTGGTTTGGCTGCTATCTTCCAGCTCTCCAAAGGATCCAATAAGTGCAAAGTTTTTCATATCTCAAACCTTGATTTTATAGTTAAAATGACCTGTAGCTAAATATCGACCTGATCCAGACAAAGAAACACAGGAGACCCCTAACTCCTTTCCTTTAAAAATTTCGTTCGGAGGTTAATATTTTTTTTTTTAAAAATTTTTCTCTATAAAAATAATTGATTAGAATTTTTAAAAAATTAACCACTCAGCTTGAAAACTGTTTAAATAGCATTCTACCTGCATTTTTTTCTATTAAATTAGGTTAAAACGAATTATAAAAATTACATTTTCATAGGATTAAAGCACCCAAAAAATGGAAATTTTACCTATTTCTTGTTCCAATTTAAATAAGAGAGAAAGTGAAATTACTGGGTCTAATACGGCTTTTGTCTGGCACTTTTACAACTTTAATTAAGCTATCGAATCTGCTGAGTGCTATTCATTTTCCACATTGAGAAATTGCTATCAGCTCGTGTTTACTCATGCATTTTTCAAAAAGTTCAATCTGTTCATTTGATTCAATATCTCAGATCTTCAATTTCTGACTGAGACACAACAGCAGGGCAAACTTTCCACATGGTGAAAAATTAATCTGTTTAATGTCCGAGCAAATATTAAGTTTCATGAGTCTTCCTTGATGGTTGAAATCTCAAAGCTCAGCACGATTGTCACTCGTAATAGAGAGATACCTTTCGTTTGGAAAAAAAGATAAGCCCAGATAATTGTTAAATGGCCATGCGAGATCAATTTTTCTTTTTGTGGCAACTTCTCAAATCGTGATTACCCAACCATAATATCCTGCAATATATTTAGAGTTTCTGGAAAATCTTATAAATTCTCTCTGCACAGCTCAATTATCAAGCTTTGAAAGCAATTCAAAAGTTTCTGGGTTCCAAAAATAAGCAGTATTTTTTGACATTGCAAAAAGATAAGCATTGCTTGGAGAGAATAAAACAAAATCAAATTTCCCCTTGAGTTTGTGTATACTTATGAGAGTTGAGATGCCATATATATTAAAATGCAGTACTGAGCCAACTTGCATCTGCAGCTAGGAAGCAAAGGAATCTTGTGGAAGAAAATCTAGCCTTTGGAAATTTGTATCCAGCTGGCTTTACTTAGCCTGGTGACCGCAGTTTATATCAAGTCAAGGTTTTTATCTCAGAGGAAGATGGTTTTCGGAGTTGAAAAAGAATTTTCAGCAAGAGAAGGCGATCACTACACCACATGATCTGGCGTCCAAAGTGCCGATCAGGTACATTCCAGGAGCGATACCAGTCGCTGGATCATTAGTTACGAAATCCATCTTGGTTGATAGCCCAACAAAAAATCCATTTTTGAATTTTCTAGAAAGGCAACTCTGCTGACACGCAGCACAGTGACCTAGACCACTACCCTTCAAGTTAGTGTGCAAGCCCTCGTCCCGCAGGAGCGGTATATAATAAGCAGACGACTGGCAGTCAAGCGAAACAATGTGGAGAATGCACTTTGAGCTTCTCTCTTATAATCTAAATTAATGCACTATAAAGTAGCTGAGATGTCAAACTCCTATTACTTCTACAATCAATGACAGATTCAGTCCAAAAAGCATATATAATTTTTTCAGATTCTATATCTCTTATTTGAATATGGCTTTTAATACACATCGCAATATAACTTCCAACATTTGAAAAAGAAAACGATAATACTTGTTTCAAAATTTTTCCGAATTTATTTACCTCCTTTTGATCATCAACACTCCAAATATTAAATTTCGAGTCCATAAATCCAAGATATTTCCCACAAGCTGAAAAACTAAGATAACTGATTATCCCAAACATAGCAGCTTTTATGTGTAAAATTTCATCAAAAGAAATATCAGATAGATTGCAGCCATTAAAATTTGCAAATTCAATTGAGGATTGCTGGAAATTTACTCCTTGCAAGTCGCTATTTTCAAAATTGACATTGATGAAAAGCCCTCTTGAAAGGTCAGCAAAAGGAATTTTTATACCTGACAAATCCAAATTCTTTCAAGTAAAACTTGAGCGATTCAAGATTGTTGCTGCATTACTTGCGGCAAGCGAAACTGTACCTGATTCTTTTGAAAGCAAAATTATTTTATATAGAAGTTCTTGCAGCTCAGGAGTTAAATAATCTGGAATAAGAGCCAATAAGTCGCTTTGACAGATGAAGGAAGTTTTATTGAGAATGCTTACTTCAATAAAAGCAGCATCATTGCAAGAATTAATTTCACGTATCAGCCTCTTTATTTTTGAAAGCTCGATATCTTTCTTAGAAATCATCACACTCTTGCCCAAAGTTTTACTTTTTGCCAGTTTTCAAAGAAGCTGATTATCTGGCTCAGCTATTGGCTGATATAAACTTTGAGAGCATTTCTCATGATTTCTTATGGTGATTGAATTAATCAAGCCAATTAGTAAAAGAAGATCCTTGCAATAATCTATTCTTTCGTTCGTTAAGCAAATTCTCGTAAATAATTTATTGGAGATATTTCTGAAGAGTGCTTGTTTTGGCAATATTATTGAACCCATGAGTAATTCATCAGATTTTATTTTTTCTTCTGCTATCATTGTTTCTTTTAGATAACTACTTAAGATCTTCTCTTTATATCTTGAGGTTATCTGTTCATTTCTGTGCATTTTTTATATAATTAAAGGATGAAATTTTCCAATAGGAATTCGAATAAAACAGGACAATTTCATCTAAAATAATATATTGATTTTATTTAATTACACTTATTGCCAGTATATTGCTGTCAAGCCAACAAAATTTCATAACTTATTTAATACTCCAGAAACTAAGTCCCCCCTTCATAAACAAAAAAACCATTGAAAAAATCCAAAATTTTTGGCCAAAAACCTACTTTCGTGTGAGTTAACAAAAATTTTTAATATAGGGATTTTTTACGAGAAAATTCATGAAATCTCTAGTTAATTTTGTTTAATTTTAATCAGCTTGCGTTTTAAAAATATAAATTTTCCCAAAAATAAAAATAATTTTTTACAAATTGGTTTTTTAAAATTTAAAAGAAGCATTGCTATGAAGTTGATATTTAGAAATTTTTTAAAAAAATAATTACCCCCATCCGCTAACGAACAAATTTTTTGTTCGTTTTCGAGAAAATTAATAAGTAATCGCCATGGGGAGAATAGAAATGGATTTACTTCGATTGCATAGGCTTTGCTTCACTCACTAAATATAAGCTGTCTATATTTGAATTTTTATCGTATGGTCTTGTCCTTCTGTAATAAAAATCTACCGCATGGTGAAGTTTTCCTTCGTGAATTTCTATCTAGAAATTTTCATAAGAGAATCACTCTTCTATAGAGAAAATATTATTGACCCAATTTTTCAGTCTATTTTAGGGATTTTCTGATCAATGTGTGTTTCAAGTTCCAAAATTTAAAACAAATTTCTTTTCGTTAAGTGAGGCTAAGATCTTCTTATTTGGTGAGGGGAATAAAGGCTTTTATATCAGATTTCGGAATTCCAAGGTTTTTCCGTTCCATGTCGTAGTTCTTGAAGTTGACGAAATTTAAGTAGGTGCGTGGAAGGTTAGTTTCTCTCAAATTCTCCTTCAAAAGCACATTAATTACTAAATTATTAGAAAATCCACTCATGGAATTCGGAACATTTCATGTTTCTATTTTTCATCAAAAACCGCACTATTTTAGAATGTAGCTGTATTGCTTTCTGCTAACGATATATTTTCAGAGTGTTTGGTTGCCAGTATTATATCTTGATTTAACTTAGATTATTATAGAGAAGCTCCAGGCCAGCCAACCGTTTTATCCAAAACTTGTAGTCCAGGAAGCAACTGGAATCCATTGATTGGCTAAGTGATCATCCTTAGACCATGCTGGACTATCATTTTCCAACTCAAGTCTCATCATCCCTTGAGGTAAAACCTTGCCCTGTATTTAGCTTGGGGCCGGCCAGCCCAGCATTGCACTCAACCAAACCAAGTAACCCGGCCAGACGCACTCACCGCCTGCTGCTCTCCCTTCCATAAGGTTCTCAGACTCCTGTCTGGCTTAGGTGTTAAGATGTCAGGCTGGCTATTTTATGTGTATCGATATTATATCAAATAGCTGCTTTTTTAAATTATCTGTCAAAAAATTTTAGATGTGCGATCATTTATTTCTTGGCTCACTTGATTAAAATGCAACCTTACAGAACTTTTGTATTTTTTATTGAGGTAGATCACAAGTAATCGTTTTAAATGAATAGATCCACATCAATTAAAGAGGAGAATTTTTAATAAGATTATCATAACACTCTGAATTAGATAATCATTTCCATGCAATATTTATAGATCTACTTTAATTGTCATTTTTTCCTAATTTTCTATCAAGCATCTTAAAATTTTTGTTTATTAAAAGAAGATTCATCATATATCAATTATAATTAATTAATCTAAGAATTAGAAATTTATCAATTTGTTTAGGCGATAACTTATTGGCATATTTTATTAAATTGATAAGAATCAATCTGCATATCTTAGTTTATTAGAAAAACTATTATACATAAAATATGGAGATAAAAATTGTATCTAATAAATAGCAACCGTTAGGAAAGAGTTAAAATTAAAATCAAAATTAATAGATGTTTTAAATGACGATCCACCAAATTTGTTAAAAAGTCTCACATCAAGCATTTTCAAAAATTTACTCCCGCCTTTTAAATTGGGACAACACATCACATTTTTGGGTACTTTAGTCCGTTTTAAATTGGAACAAAATTTGTTTTCAATAGGAAAATTTATCGATGAAAGTGCCGATTTTTTTAAAATTCGTTTGGAATAATTTAATGACAAAATTCAAATGGAACGTTATTTTAAACAATACTTGCACTGAATTGGTTAATGTTTGTAATTTAAAGTAAATTCAAATTCAAATTATTGTGCTCAATTTTATTTTTCTAAGATTTTAAATTTTTTTTTAGAGAATAAATGTTTTTAACAACATAATTAAATCCTTTAAATTGGAGCAGGGTTTTTTTGTTCCATTTTAGAAGTATAGTTAGTTAATATTTTTAGGTAATCAACTTAGCTGATCCAATAATGAGCAAATAATTAATATTTAATGCTAAGCAATCCCACTTCCCCTTTAAATTTGAACAAAATATTCATTGAAGGGTTTTTATTTTTTTATAAGATTTTATATTAAATTCTTTTTATAAAAAAATATAATTGAACGCAATATTTTTGAATTTAAATTTATTTTTATAAAGGATTAACTAGAAAAAATTAATCAATTAGTGCGTAAAGTGTGTTAAATCATGATCTACTTGCACTTCTTCCATTAAATTAGGCCAAAATCTCTATATAAAATTAATATTTTAGCATAAATTTACACTTTAAAACAGAGAAGTGAAAATAATTTAAAGATGGAAAGTCAGCAATTCCAACGGGAGAAGAAATGAAAAAGCTGAAAAGTATGTTTTTTGAAAAGAATTCGTTGTTCCAAGATCAATTTTACCTCTAAAAAACTCGAAATTTCACGAATTGTGCGGATGTCGCATGATTGTAAAACTTAGCCCAAAAGATGAGAATACCAAAATATCATTTTATAAGCGGTCAGCTGAACCAATCAATGCTAATGAGTTTAATTATGAGGAAAGCACATCTAAAATGCTTAAAATTGATGAAATCGCTCATCTCTCACCTCCAGAGAGCCCAGAAGGCTACATATTCGAATCCTAATTGATTGTATGGATAAAAACATTAATTAAGTCTCAACTATTGCATGGAAATTCTTAACTTTGGCTTAATTTAAGTTTCAGCTGCTCCAAGAGTTCAGCCTGCTGTGATTCTGTCATTCGCATCACCTGTGCCATCATATAAGCTACGCTTGGAGCTTGCTTAATTACAATTGACTGCACCCACACGCAGGTAAACATTCCCATCATGAGTTGGCAATCCATTCTGTCTGTCATTCCACCATGTCCTGGTATCGAGTTTCCAAAGTCCTTTATATGAAAAGCTCTCTTCACTCCCGAAGCGAAAAATCCTCCAAAAGGAGCGATGAAGCCTGCGAAAAATCCCAAAACCATTGAGTGGACTTCTAAGCTTGTAACATTCACATAAGGCAGCCCAATGTAACTGAAAATCCACGGCAACTCTCTAACTTTTCTTATTAAAAGCTCTCCAGTGTCACAGTGCAAAGAGGTGAAAGGTGTAAGCGTGAACGAGCTTTGAGGGCACACCATGTACTCGAATTGTGCCAAAAAGTGAGAGAACTATGTTAAAATTACGAAATAAGCCCACACTATTGTTGAAATCAAACCGCCTATGAAGCCTTCCCATGTTTTGTTTGGAGATAGTTTGATCAAAGGCGTTCTTCCCAAAAAGACTCCAAATATATAAGCAAAACAGTCATTTGTGATGACCAGTGAGGCAGGAAGCAAGAACCAAATCAGCCCATTGTAAGCGTTGATTATAACAGTTGTGCCTTGTGTAACCACAAGCATGCAGGTAATGTGTGTCCATCCAAAAATCCTAAACTGGTATAGAAATTGCCCGAGGATGGCGCTATATTGCGCCATCCTCGGGCAATTGGAGACACGGCTCCATAAATTAAAATATGGCGTCTTCGTCTGGGTATGGCCTCCCGGCCATACAGCCTCGACTCATATTTTAATTATATCCGGCAAGGTTTTACCATTTCAGAGATGGACTGCAATGCTAGGTAAGCAATTCTGGTAGCTTTCAGAGCCTAGCCCTAGTCTGTTCTCAGAGGTGGATTTTTCCTCGTGGGAAAGGAAGGTGTAGGGTTGGAAAGGGGAAGCTCAGCAAAGTCCTCTGGACCATTCGGGCAACTCCCTAGCGTGAAACTGGGCGTTACGTCCAGGCTTTGCATTTTTCCTTTTTGCCGATAGCCGACCAGAAAAATCCATTTTTTTGGGTTTTTCGGAAAAGCAACCCATGTAACAAGCAAGTAGCTCATCCATGAGCCGTCGAAGACGTGGACATTTGCCCTAGAAGCACCCTTGGTGATCGAAGCGAGACTGTCTCCAGCAGCCTGGTGGGCCCGATGCGACGAAAGGCGAGTGATAAACCTGGAGTTGTAACCCCGTAGTGGACGTTAAGCGATATAAATACATAAGATAAGATAAGGAGACACGGCTCCACACGGGAATTGTGTTCCACGTGTGGAGCCATTTTTCCACGTGGGAAAATGTGGATTCCACACGTGGAAAAATGGCTCCACACGTGGAATACGGTTCCCGTGTGGAGCCAATTTTCGCTTGCCCTAGGATGGCGCCATATAGCGCCATCCTAGGGCAAATCCTATATCTATACTGCCCTTTCCTCAGCGAGATTACAAAAAGGCAAATTCCTATAACATACATGATAAAGCTGAGTAAGTAGCTGTAATTGTAGACAAACTAACTAGGAATTACTGCAACTGCATCGTATTCGTGCAAAAATCCGCGGTCCTTGAGGAACATTGCTGTTACGAAGATTTCAGTCAGAACAAAAAAGTATCAATTAATTACAAAGAAAAAGGGCAATTTTTGGTCTCTGTGCTCATCTCTCTTTAAAGAAATGATTTCTTTAAAAATGCACGTGTTGATGAAAAGGACTAGTAAGCAGCAATAGAAGTGCCCTGCAGCCACGATCAATAAGAAGCTGCCGATCATAATAAAAGTTGTGATTGTTCGGGTCTTGAAACTTGAGAGTCTTGCACTTAATGGGGCTCTGATTTTAGTCACAGGAGCATCTGATTCAGAAGTTTGAGAGTCACTTGCGTATTTCATTTTGTTTGCAGGCTGCCGTGGAGGCTGGGCATCAGACATCTTATCTTTCATAATATGTTATTACAATTATATTAAAAATAGGAAGATTTCATAGTTTTTGCTGATAAGGGAAATGACTATTCTGGCATCAAAAATATATAGTGAGGTAGAGACATTGATTTTGGCTTTAATTAGTTATATTAATGCAGCACTAATTTAGCCAAGTTTTGATAACTACTGCTTCGTTTAGTATTCACTGCGAAAAGAAATTTAATCACTTAATTGCTGATTTCGCTTTATAAATAAGACTTATAATCAGCTATATCATAATAGAATGCTGATGACGTCATGCTTCACGAGCTCTTAGATTTTTATGTATGTAAGTTCAATATGAATAAATTCATTCTCAATGCTTCAATTTTCAACTTTTTATACTCAAAACTTTTACTCAAAAGTTCAGTAATAGCAATATCATCTTCCTCAAAAAAAGGATTAGAGTTAATTAAATAGCTCTCTCTAGTTATTTAAATAGTTTAAATTAATCTTATTTTTCAAATCAGTAATTTGATATTGCTTCCCATTTTTATGGCAATTAAAGAACACTGGATTAATATAATAATTCAAAAATACTCTTTAAAATTCTCATTTCTGATATTTAGATATGATAGGATTTAATATGATGGATGAGAATCGAACTTCCTCTGAAAACACTGCACCCCAATTTCGACGGCACTCTAAAAGGCGATTCACCGAAACCAACGCTGGCCATTTTGAGGCAGAAGCCATCAAAAAGACTTTGAATTCTTTACCCAAACTTCCGGATGGCCAAAGGCTTGGCATTTATAGCCTTTTCGCAGTCTACGCCAACACCAGTGATATTAATCTGAATATTCCAAACACCCTAATAAGGATCGATAACGAATCGACGTATTTGCTTACTCCCCCCCCCCCCCCCTCCGTGAGCGAACAAAAAAATTTTGTTCACTCACGGAGGGGGGGTTAATTTTTTTTTTTTAAAAAAATTTTTTATATATAAATTTTATAAAAAAAATATTTTTTTCGAAATTTAAAAAAATCCTAATTTGCAAAAATTGGGAAGCAAATATTAATTTAATTTGCAAAATTTATGTTTTAAAACGCAATTTGTTTAAAATTAAACAGAATTAGCTCTAGATTTCATTATACTAATTATCACTTATATATCAAAATTTTTTTCCATTAAAAATTTTTTCTATTAAAAAAATTTTTGTTCACTCACGGAGGGTGGGTTTTTGGTCAAAAAATGGCGATTTTTCTAATGGTTTTGTTCGCTCACGGAGGGGGGGGGGGGGGGGAGTTAGAACTAACGACTCTGGAAAAATTGTGTCTCGCTCTTGCAACGATGACGATTTCTTTCATTTCTTACAGACGAAGAGAGCTTCAACTTTCTTCTACAAAACTCTTTACAAAGAAAGCATGGTCTTTAATTCCAAAAGCAGCGCAGAAGTCTTTTGAAAATCATCCAAGGACTGGCCAGCTCTTATTCAGTCTTGCATTCAATGCAAAACGAAGCCCAATTCAATTACAAGAGCACTCTGAAGGGCTGGCATGAAAACTAAATACTACACAATTATTAATCGCCAACAGCAGACTGAGCCGAAAACCCCAAGAAAATGCACGATGCCAAGCATGTACCATAGTAGAAAAAGTCAAGTAGATTTTAAGTACACAAACATGATCCTCAAGACCTCCCGATCGATGAACAACCCTTACAAAGTCAACCTGACGTCTCGAAAGAGTCTTGAAAAGGTAAAGATTGAAAAAGCTGGCACTTTGAAAAACAGGGAAAAGCCTGCGCCTGATCCTCAAGAGCCGACTGAAAAGCCGAATGAATTGATAGTGAACACAAGAGCCCCAGAAAGTCTTTTCGTGGTTGAAGATCCTCTCAAGGAAAACGACCTCGAGCAACTGGTAAATGAATTAATTGATTTTTTGAATATCAATATTTATCGAGACCAAAAGCTGATTGGGATTGTTCTTGATTTTATCCGCGATCAAGATGAAAATTGGTTTCTATTAGATTGCAAGGAAATTTCAGCGGTCAATAATTATATTGCCACAAAAGGCAAAAGAAAAGCACAGATGATTGGGCAGGAATCGAGAACGAGGCTAAGTATAGACACCACGAAGCTGAAATTCAAAAATCTTAAGACCGGGGTGGATGAAGACATTGATGAAAAGCAGGCCTGCCCGTTTGTAATCAGATCTCCACCTCCACCGCCATCTTCAGGCTTGATCAAAAAATCAACGCAAGATTTAATGGAGCATTGAAATAAAGTCAACCAAAAACTTGAGACAGTGCTCAATAAGAAGCCTTCAAATAAGTTTAGCAATGCTAGCGTCCAAGAGCAGAGCATTAAAGCTTATCAAGCAAGATTCAATTTAAAAAATGGGCTTTTAGATGTCAGTGAGCAGTCAAGTTCTAATGATATATCACCTCCACAACTGTCTCCACCCACTTCGAACTCATTGTGATCTGATGATAACTTAAGTTATGTATTGTGAGGCTATTAGCAGATAGACCACTAGCCTGTCTATTAGGATTAAACCCACATAACTTAAGGATTATTTCTCTAAGCCCAGAGCCATCTCTTGTGAATGCCCCGCTAGCCCTGATAAGCAAAGACTAAGTGGCCACAAAACCTGTGTAATCAGTCTGGCCAGGGAAAAACATCGAGGAAGAAACAAAGACTCCCTCTTTCGCAGGCATTCCCAAACTTGAAGACCTGCTTCAAAAGCGGCAGAGGCACTATTTTCAGCTTCATTGGAAGAGTTCTACCTGCTCCATAGTGTGCATCTCAGCGCCGACATCACTATTTTATTTCAATCTGATGATAAGGACGAACACATCAATAAATGCCTGTATAATGTTTTACTCTCTCAATTTAAAATTAAAGTTTTCTTTTGCTTTTAATGGAGTATAATTAAAATAAATTATCTACAGTCTCTTTAGAATAAACAGAGAAAAATAAACTATTTCAGTTAAGCTAAAGACTAATGAAAAAATTTTATACTTTCAAAAGAAAGAAATGATAGATTTCACTCTATAATAAATAGAGAGAGCTAGAAAAATTCGAAGAAATGAATATGAACGCTGAGCTATTGAAGGTGAGGCAGCAAAATTTAATTCGCAAATATGGAGGAGAAGATTTTTGGACAAGATTTATTGACAGCTTATATAAGAAAATCATGTCTACTGACTGCCCGCTTAAAAAGTATTTTTTGAGCTCAAGCCTGACAATGATAACAAATGGGATGCATAAGGTCTTCAATGGCTGCGCAAGCTTGCAATTTAGAAGAAAAATAAAAGCTGCACATCAAAATATGGGAATTCAAGAGAGTGAATTTTTGACCTACTCTAGCCTCTTTGAAGAAACACTCAATGAGTTCAATATTGAAGAATGCGACAAAGAGATGATTGTTTCACAAATAAGGATGATGAAAACATTGGTATGCCAGCAGCCAACATAAAAATAATAGCTAGTCTATATTAATTTAATTAATACAATTTAAAGTACTTTCGTTATAAGAAAAAGAATACTATGATATATCTTTAAGGTTTAAATAAAATCTTTTGTTTAAATTGATATCAATTGATTATTAACCCAGTAGCCTGTAGACAATTATTACATAAAATATGAAATTTTCCATCATAGAATCTAAAAGAAAAGCTATTAGTTTTAATCCAATTCAGAGCTGGATCTAGCTCAGCATTTATCTGCTGATTAAGATCCATTCTTGAAGACTTATGAGGCCTACTTAATCGAGTGAAGCATGCAAGCAAGCAAGCAATATATAATCCATAAGAGCATGCACAGTCCATTCAAAATACAATGTTTCTCATTCAACCTACCATAATTTTAAGAATTGGAAATCTTATAAATCCAATGAATCTTTTGAATTTATATAGATTTTGAGCAGAACTTAGTTCTTAGGCAGTGAAAGCCATCATTTTATAAAAATTAAATCAATGCTGATTAAATATATCAATAGTTAGTCAAATTAAATAATTATGAAATATTTTGCAAAGATGTTGAATAATTATTATTGTTAACTTAATTTAATTTCCTTAATAACTTTCAATCAAATAGCAGACCACACAATTTAACGAGTTATGAGGAGGAAATTTAAATGTTATATAAGATAGGATTTCATATTTCTGATGGTCTTGGATAAATAAAATATCCAAAATTACATGGACGAACGCAAATTTCTCTCTGGAACATTGAGCATTCCTCATCCGAGGTCCTCCTTCAGAAGCATCACAACTGCAGTAAATAACCATTTGGAAGAAGAAGCAGCCAAGAAAAGCTTCAACTCTCTGCCCAAGCTCCCAGATGGGCAACGGCTTGGTATATATAGCCTTTTTGCTGTATATGCCAATTCGAGCGACATCAATGTGAATATTCCTATAACATTAATCCGAGTGGACAACGCTGGATCTCTTTACCTGCTGAAAACAGACGAAAATGGGACAATTGTCTCGAGAGCATGCTCTGATAATGACTTCTTTTACCCTAATGGGAACATGAAAAAAGCGAAAAGTGAGATCTATTTTTATAAAACTTTATACCGAGAAAGCCATGTCCTGAACTCGAGAGAAAGTGCAGAGCTCTTTTGGAAGCAGTCCAAAGACTGGCCAGCAATGATACAGTGCTGCGTTCAATGCAAATCCAAACCGACTTCAGTTACAAGAGCTGTCTGGAGGGCAGGCGTGAAAACCAGGTATTGTACAATAATAAACCGTCAGCAAGTCAGCGACTCCAAAGCCAAAAAGTCGTCTCCCAACCTGTACCAAAAGAAAAAGAGTTTGTCTATTTTAGGTGATTTTAAGTACACTAATATGATTCTCAAAACCTCAAGATCAGTTAATAATCCATTCAAAGTCAACTTAACAGGACGAGCAAGTGTTAATGAAAAACCCAAATTCGAAAGAACGATGACAATGAAAAACAAGGACAACCGAAATGCTGATAAGGATTCCCCCCCTCATTTGTCCAATTTTCTAGTCTTTTTATCATTTGTCTATTTTTTCTAGTTTTTTTTATAGGAAAAAAAAAATTTTTTTAGGACCTCATTTGTCCAATTTTCTAGTCAAAATTTTGATAGAAAAAAAAAAATTTCAGGACCTCAATTGTCTCATTTTCTAGTTTTTTTACAGTACAACACTAAAATTTAGGACACTCGAAAAATCCAAAAATGACTAGAAAATGGGACAAATCATTTTTGACTAGATTTTTGGGACAAATGAGGTCCTGAAAATTTTTTTTTCTTACTCCCCCCCCTTTAAATTGAAACAAAAAATTTTGTTTCAATTTAAAGGGGGGTTAAGAAAATTTTTTTATATAAAAAATTTATATATAAAAAGTTTTTCAGAGATAAAATTTTATAGAAAATAAATTATATAAATTTAAAGAGACAATAAATTGAGTAAATTATATTTATAACAATTGGACAAAAATAGAGTTTAATTTCTAAATCTTATATGTTTGAAGCATATTATATAGGGGTATTAACGTATTTACATATAAAATAATGATTTTTACCTATAAAATTTTTCTATTATAATAAAATTTTTTGTTTCAATTTAAAGGGGGGGTAATTTCCCAAAAAAGTAGGAATTTTTACCTATATTTTGTTTCAATTTAAAGGGGGGGGGAGTTAGAAAAAAAAAACTAGAAAATTGGACAAATGAGGGGGGGGATCCTTACAAAGGAGCATCATCATGGGCTCATTGTCAATACACGAGCTGCAGAAAGTATTCTTGTTGTGGATGACCCAATCAAGGCTGGTGGCCTAGATCCCATTGTGGCGGAGATTATTGATTTTTTGAATATCAATATTTATAAAAACCAAGAATTAAAAGGAATTGTGCTTGACTTCGTCCATGATAAGGATAATAGATGGGTCCTTTTGGACTGCAAAGAGATTTCTACTCACAACCGTTCTCCGTCAATCACCAGCACTAAAAAATTCCAGTCAATAAGCCAGACTAGTAGGTCTCGTCTTGGCTCAGAACCTGAAACCGTTTCTACAAGCAGCCGAAAAAGTTCAGAAAGTTCGCCATTAAAGTATAGGTCTTCACAACTAACTATAAATGCATCAGAAGAAAAGCAAGCTTGCCCATTTGTGATTCGGTCTCCTCGTCCTCCTCCAAGCCCTGTCAGCAACTCTGCCCAAGGACTTGTCGATAGATGGAATCGGGTGAATCAGAAACTTGAGCTTATATTAAACCTGAAGCCTTCAAACGAAATTAAAAATGCAAACATCGAAGAGCAAAGCATCAAGGCTTATAGCACAAGATATATCCTAAAAAATTCAGTAGCTGAGACTGGAGAGCAGTCAACTGAAAGCGAAAGGTCAGCTCCATCTCCTCCCCATATGTCTCATCCAACCTCTAATGCTTTGTGGACAGACGAGAACAATGATCATATTAACAGATGCTTTACAGACGCCATCGGCAGAATTGAAGAAATGAACATGAACACAGAACTTTTAAAAGTGAAGAGCCAAAATCTAGTCTTAAAGTACGGAGGCGATACCTTTTGGAATAGCTTTATTCAAAGCTTATATAAAAAAGTGATGTTTGAGTCCACACTCAAGAGATATTTCACAAGGTCAAACATAGACATGATCATGAATGGGATGAATAAAGTTTTTAACGGATGCGCAACTTTGCAGTTTAGGAGGAAAATTAAAGCTGCTCATCAGAATATGGGGATTCCAGAGAGAGACTTTTCTATATATTCAGCACTTTTTGAGGATACTCTGAATGAGTTTAATATTGAAGAGAGAGATAAGAGTATGATAATGTCGCAGATTAAGTCTATGAAGTGCTTGATTTGCCAAACTCCGAATCAATAATGCCAAATTAATAAAAATTCTTCGTTTAACGGAATAATTATAAATCATTATAAGGGTTCTATTTTGTAACGGACTTATATAAAAGCGTAAAATGATTAATTAGCTTACATTAGAAGTGATATAGCTTATCTGCATATAAGACACTTCATCGACCTGATTTGGGACATTATTGCAACTTTATCCCTCTCTTCGACTCCAAATTCAACTAGTGTACTTTCAAAAAGATCACAATAAGTGTTAAACTCTTTTTCTGTAATTCCCATATTAATATGTGCTGCCTTGATTCTTCTTCGGAACTGCATTGTCGCACAGCCGTTAAAAACCTGAAACATCCCCCACGTGATCATCTCCAAATTTGACGAGCTAAAATACTTGTCAAGTCCATAGTCAGGAGACATTATTTTTTGGTACAAAGATTCAATAAATTCTTTCCAAAATTCGTCACCACCATATTTTCTCACAAGGTTTTGAGTTTTTACTTTCAAAAGTTCTGTATTCATGTTCATCTCGTCGATTTTTCCTGCAATGTCTGCGAAGCATTTTTTTACATGCAAAGCTGTCTTGTCGTTCCATATGGTGCTGACTGGAGGAGACTGAGCAGGCGGGACCTCACTGTCTGGCTCTGATTCACTTGAGTTTAAGGTTGGGTTTCCTCTTATGTTATATCAAGACTGATAAGCCTTTATGCTTTGCTCCTTAATGTTTGAGCTTTTCATGCTTGGAGATGGTTTTAGGCTTATAATTTGCTCTAGTTTTTGATTCACTTTGTTTCATCTTTCGAATAGATCTTTCTCTGAAAGGCAAGTAGGACTGTGAGCTTGCTGCCGAGGAGAAAGTTTTAGCTTAAAAGGGCAAATTTCAAGTTGCTCTTCAGCAGAAGCTGCAGGGATATCTTGAAGGTCTAAAGAAGTCGGGATTGCAAGAGAAATCTTTTTTCGAGGCGTTCGAACTTGTGTAGGGGACTTGGGACTTTGTAAATCATGTTCGGAATCTGTCCTACCCTTAATAGGAAGTTTTAAATCTTTTCTTTTAAAAATAAATCTTGGGGAGCCTTTAGATTTCACGCTCAGGAGATTTAAATGACGATCCATTGTATAATAAATTTGGAACTTAAAGTTGAAAGAATCTATCAAAGAGTTAAAGAGAAAATAAACTTGTGAACAAAAGATGCTAGTTAAGAAACTTACATAAAAATAAATGGTTCATTTATTTAGCAAGGCTTTTAATTATTATTGTAGTAGATTGCCAATTATATCTAAATGAAATATAATTGTGATTAGTATTTCATTAATTAATTTGTGTCGAATTTCTAATAAAAAGTATTGTTGTTCTAATATTTTTGATGCTATTTTATAAGCTAGAATATTAAATTAAGAGATTTTGATTATATAATACATGGTTTATGTTTAAATATTTTTTGTCAAAATCATATATAAATATTTTTGGAGATCTTGCTAAAATATGCTAGAAAAGTCAAAGAATTGCTACTAAATTAGTGGAAAAGCAAATATAAGCTAAAAATGCCTAAAATGGGCTAATAATCATTAAGCTATTAACTATCAGGCACAAAAAGACTCAGGCCTTTTCCCTAAACATTTAAATTAATCGAATCAATTTTCTCAAAACACAGTTTTAAACTAAATAATATCAATCAAATCACTAATTTTAAATTCTCTTGTGAAAATGCTATTCTCTCACCTACCGCTTATAAAATTAATCACAAAAAACAAAAAGGCTATAAATATAAGCAAATCACAATTAATAAATGGAGCCCAAACAGTGTTCAGAAGGAAGCTGCAATCTTGAAGCGAGCTATGTGTGCAAATGCACCTTCCCTAAAACTTATTGGTGCGAATTGCACTTTGAAAATCATTCTAAATTGATCAGCCAAACTCATGTTTTAAGCCAATCTGTTTAGAGCCCATTCAAGGAACTAAAGATGCAACTCTCAAATTTCTTGCAAAACAAAAGTATAAGCAAAACAAAATAAAGAACAAAATGCTTTCTTCATTCAGTCAATATACTAGTAACTCAGAAAGCTATTTTTATGATACCATAGAGAAGTTAGATTCTAATTTATTAGAAATAAACAATTGCTTTGATAAAATTACTAATGCACAAAAAATTTCAAAACTGGAGAAAGACCCAATATTGAAACTAATGACTTTGAACGCCGATGAAGCTATTACAAAAGTAAAAAAAATTATCCCTGAAAATCCTTCTTCATATAATATAATCCTTGAAGGGGGATAATTTCCTAGCTCCCTCCTTGGAGAGTAAAATTATTAATTGCAGGTTAAAATTTTTATATATTAGCTTTATTTAAATTTTATAAAAAAAAAAAAACGAATCCTCAATAATTAAAAAAATTAGTAGATTTATCAAGAGATTTCATCATAATACTTATCATTTACGTAAATAATTTTTATAAAAATTATTTTGCATTAAAATTTTTCTTAATCAGAGAGGGTGGATTTTTGCAAAAAATATTGATTATTTCAAAAAATTTGATTGCTCACGAAGAGGGAGAGTATGGAGCCTTTTTGAGCTTATATGTCATAATTAGTATAATAAAATAAAATTAAAATACAATGCAAGTGTATTGGAATGCAGAATAAGGATCTTATGTCTAGCAATAAGGAAGCTCTTATTATAATCCTAAATTATTTTATGGACTAAGTCAAGAGCTTGAGAGAATAATTGAATGTTTCATTAAAGACAAATTTGAATCTTTTTTGAACGCAAGGCTCTCAAATATTGAGAAAACACTTGAAGAACATGATAAAGCTATCAATTCAAATACAGAGCTATCTAGCAATCAACAGTCAGAAGTATTTTCTGATTTATTGAGCCAAATTGAGAAGAGAAATAGAGAATTCGATAATTGGAAACTTGAGCTAGAAAATAAAGCGATATCTGTTAATTCTAAAATTAATATGGCCAAATAACGTGCTGAGACCCCATCTTCTCACTGATGGTGATACATCAATATATGGAATTATTTTTAGAGCTGTGAGTTAGTCCGGCAATATCAGGAGTATTGAGGAGGAAGGCCTAAGAATTAGCATGTTTGTTTATGGCCTGATATAATAGGCAATTACTAACGAACTCTTTTTCCAGCAGTGCCCAAGATAGATAAGGCGACTTACCTGCTTATGAATCTTGAAAGCGATTGAGTATTTTTCCAGATATAGCGTGAAAAAAGAGGATGAGGTGGGAAGAAATTCATGATTGTTTTTTTACCTCTTTTTGCACGAAAATAGCAGTAAAAACCATTTGAATTTTTTTAAGTGGAAAAAAATACCGGTACAAAAACCATGTAAGAACTTCTCACATAGTTTTGTTTTTCCTAAAAAAAAATTTAAAATGTTTTTTAGAAAAAGCAACTGTAATTTTTGTTTCTGCCTTGCCAAAAAAAAGAGACGTGAGTTAGACTAATATCAGCGGTCCATTTTGTTTGTAAATGTCGATAAATTTGACTATATGGCCAGAAGTATGAGGCAAGAAAAGGCGAAGAACTGAGTTGGAAATGAAGGTGTCCGGCAAAGTGTCGTATCAATAGGGTATAAAACTAGAAAAAAGCTAGGAGTTTTTGCCGACTCAGACATGCCAAAGATAGAAGCCAGCCACTTCGCTTGTGCCACCAAACGTTGCCTACTAGGGATGTGTGCTTATGAAAGATAGGATTAAACATCTTACACTAATATAATCCTCAAATTAATCAAATAGCTGAAGACATTGAAAAAAGGCTCTCCATATTAAATGAGAAACAAAAAATCGTTGAAAACTGAATTAGAGATCTTCAATTGCAGCTGCAAGACAAAACCTCTGAGCTTTTAAATACAAATAATGAATTGAAATTAGAAAGAGATTTCAGAAAGGTTTGTTTTCCATACGAGAACGAACTAAGATCGATTTGTTCTTCGATTGCACCACTCAGCCAAGCTTATCAAGACTACATAAAGGCATTCCACCACAAATCATCACTCTATCTTGTTGCTAAAGTCAATGATTCTACTAATTTGTTTATATATGATACTGAAAATGAAAGAGAGGAAGTTAAAGTGCTAAAAACTCCAGAAATTTTAAGCACTGGCACTTGCTGGGCCAAAATTCCGAATGGTGGGTTGTTCTGCTTCGGAAATTATCCATCTTCAGGCATTTCGCTAATAATATCAGAAAACGGTGAAGTTCAAATGCTACCATATGGAACGCCTTGCCATTTATCATCAGCTGTATACTTCAATAGAAATGTTTATTGCTTTGGAGGCGTATACAATGGAATTCCATCAAATATATCAGATAGATTTGATTTAGAAAGAAATCAATGAGTTAAATTAAATTCACTTCCTCAATTTGATTACAAATGCAGCTGCATACTGGTTAACGGGTATATTCTGATAGCTGGATGCGTCAGTAGAAATCTTTGGAGATACTCAATTTCCCTCAACTGTTTCGAGAGAATCTTATACAAATTTGCAGGAGAAAAGAGAAAATTGTTGATAAATCTGGGCAAATTGTACTTAATTGAATGCGATGGATCAATTTATGAGAGTGGTTTTAATGATGACAATAATTGAAAACAAATCGCAAACGCAAAAATGAGTTCTAATGTTCCTTCTCAAGTTGGATGCTCATTCAATAAAGGAACGGTATATATCGGAGCCTCTATAGATGAACGATACTTTAAGTTTAATTTGAGCGAAAACGTAATGCTTAGACTTTAATAAGCAAATAATAGCATTCCTTCATTAAACCTAAAATTTAATTGTGGAAGCAAAATATTCTTTAAGCAGGAATAAAATTTAAAAGAGCTAAAAATACAAAGTTTAGCCAATTGATAGCATGGAAACTCTTCATTCAGAGCATGGATTAGGAGCAGGATTATTATGCGGATGAGTTGCTTATAATTAAAAAACAGTTCATCAAGATCTGAAAAATTTTTAGAAAATCTTAAGAGGGCCGTAAATAAAGATCTTTTTAAAGGACTTTTACAAACTAAATAAAACTATAATGTTAAATTATCTGATAATTATTATTCTTTTACTTATTTTTTCTATATTAATCTTTTTTGTATAATTTCCAAAGAATATTTACTAATGCTGCAGCAAATTCCCTTCAGAATTGCTCTTTGAAAGCGTAAATTAAATTAAAAATATGAGAAAAAATTGATTATTTATAAGTTTCAATTTAAATTATGTAAGCATATTCAAGGTGCTCGAAAGTTGTAAATTTATTTTAAGTTGATTCAGCTTTCTTTAAAGTTACGTAAGATAATGCTATAATTCCATTTAAATCTTTAAATCGAGTGCACATCTCAACCTTTCAGCTTTTCCCCAATTTTTTAATAATTGCATCTTGTCTTATAATTACTTCCCTTATAATAAATGATTTTTAATATCCCTTTTACTATTCTAATGGGTCTGTGACTTTATTGCAAATCTTATATGCTCAACAGCAGTTTCACCACTATTGGCAAGTTCATAGTTTTGGATTCAAAGTTATTTGAGTATGTGCCACCAGCATCATAATGCTTTGGTTTCATCTTCTGCTTTATTTTTATAATAGATCAATTTCCTCCGTGATTTATCTTTAAATTAGTATAAATTTGTAATTTAAAAGTATAAATGTTGCTTTAATGTTATATTTAAAAAATATATATACTAATAAGAACGAAATCTATCAGAATATTTTAAATTGCTGATAAGATTAAGCATTTATAAACTCTTTGCTTTATTAAGTTATTCCATAGCTCCTACTCTTCTGCCTAGCATATCTAGAGCATATTCTTTGCTTCTAAAATAAAGTGCACTTTATATCGTTCTTTTCATTTAAAAAGATTCGCTCGCGGAGGAGGGGAGTCAGGAGCATAATAAAGGTCTATTATGAATGACACTTGACAGAAGCGGTATTTATTATGAGCAAAAATTTTTGCTTTCATACAGAAAGCGAGGAGAATCAAAATTAATAAGCCTATATCTATATAAATCGAGAAAGGATTTATAAATTTGCGTCAATATTAGTTTGTTATATGCAAATAAACGTGCATTTGGTCAGAAGTTAAAACAAAATTATTATTTTATATGCAGCTTAATAATTATTTATAGCTCAAATACTGCCTATCCCATAATCATTCTGCATTCTTCTCCTCTTTCTCTAACTTCAACATTAATCCAAGACCAGCTTTCTCCATACTCCTCAAAAGTGGTATAGCTATCTATCCCAGCTTCAAAGGTTTCAGATACAATTGGCATGCTAATTTCGTCACTTCTATGCATCTTTACCCTCCATTTGCAGTCAAAAAATCCACAATTTTCTGCATTTCCTGCTTTTCGCTTGCAAACTGGGCAATATAAATTAGTCACAGTTTCCCCAATATTAAAAACCCCAAATCCTTAATTGACTAAAATAAACCCTTCTCTTGAGGCTTCACATTTAGGGTTATAGCATTTAGTTTTAAAAGAAATTCCTCTTTTCGCAGTTCTCCAGACTGGAGCATTTTCATCAAATTTCAAATGGACTTCTTTTTCATGGGAAAGATTGGCAAATATGAAGCCAGCATTTGTGGCCCCACCTAAGGCTCTATGCTGCGCTTCAATAATGTCACCATCTTTAATGCCTAGGTTTTCGATTGCTTCATTATCATTTAAAAGCATGTTATTTTTGACCAGTCGATCGACCTTTTTACCTTTGCATGCTAGAATTCATTTTAATTTTATGATTTTTGATTGTCCTTTGATGTACTAATTAGTTTTTTTAGTTCTTGTTAGGGTGTTAGGGTGTTAGGGTGTTAGGGTGTTAGGGTGTTAGGGTGTTAGGGTGTTAGGGTGTTAGGGTGTTAGGGTGTTAGGGTGTTAGGGTGTTAGGGTGTTAGGGTGTTAGGGTGTTAGGGTGTTAGGGTGTTAGGGTGTTAGGGGTGTTAGGGTGTTAGGGTGTTAGGGTGTTAGGGTGTTAGGGTGTTAGGGTGTTAGGGTGTTAGGGTGTTAGGGTGTTAGGGTGTTAGGGTGTTAGGGTGTTAGGGTGTTAGGGTGTTAGGGTGTTAGGGTGTTAGGGTGTTAGGGTGTTAGGGTGTTAGGGTGTTAGGGTGTTAGGGTGTTAGGGTGTTAGGGTGTTAGGGTGTTAGGGTGTTAGGGTGTTAGGGTGTTAGGGTGTTAGGGTGTTAGGGTGTTAGGGTGTTAGGGTGTTAGGGTGTTAGGGTGTTAGGGTGTTAGGGTGTTAGGGTGTTAGGGTGTTAGGGTGTTAGGGTGTTAGGGTGTTAGGGTGTTAGGGTGTTAGGGTGTTAGGGTGTTAGGGTGTTAGGGTGTTAGGGTGTTAGGGTGTTAGGGTGTTAGGGTGTTAGGGTGTTAGGGTGTTAGGGTGTTAGGGTGTTAGGGTGTTAGGGTGTTAGGGTGTTAGGGTGTTAGGGTGTTAGGGTGTTAGGGTGTTAGGGTGTTAGGGTGTTTAGGGTGTTAGGGTGTTAGGGTGTTAGGGTGTTAGGGTGTTAGGGTGTTAGGGTGTTAGGGTGTTAGGGTGTTAGGGTGTTAGGGTGTTAGGGTGTTAGGGTGTTAGGGTGTTAGGGTGTTAGGGTGTTAGGGTGTTAGGGTGTTAGGGGTGTTAGGGTGTTAGGGTGTTAGGGTGTTAGGGTGTTAGGGTGTTAGGGTGTTAGGGTGTTAGGGTGTTAGGGTGTTAGGGTGTTAGGGTGTTAGGGTGTTAGGGTGTTAGGGTGTTAGGGTGTTAGGGTGTTAGGGTGTTAGGGTGTTAGGGTGTTAGGGTGTTAGGGTGTTAGGGTGTTAGGGTGTTAGGGTGTTAGGGTGTTAGGGTGTTAGGGTGTTAGGGTGTTAGGGTGTTAGGGTGTTAGGGTGTTAGGGTGTTAGGGTGTTAGGGTGTTAGGGTGTTAGGGTGTTAGGGTGTTAGGGTGTTAGGGTGTTAGGGTGTTAGGGTGTTAGGGTGTTAGGGTGTTAGGGTGTTAGGGTGTTAGGGTGTTAGGGGTGGTTAGGGTGTTAGGGTGTTAGGGTGTTAGGGTGTTAGGGTGTTAGGGTGTTAGGGTGTTAGGGTGTTAGGGTGTTAGGGTGTTAGGGTGTTAGGGTGTTAGGGTGTTAGGGTGGGTTAGGGTGTTAGGGTGTTAGGGTGTTAGGGTGTTAGGGTGTTAGGGTGTTAGGGTGTTAGGGTGTTAGGGTGTTAGGGTGTTAGGGTGTTAGGGTGTTAGGGTGTTAGGGTGTTAGGGTGTTAGGGTGTTAGGGTGTTAGGGTGTTAGGGTGTTAGGGTGTTAGGGTGTTAGGGTGTTAGGGTGTTAGGGTGTTAGGGTGTTAGGGTGTTAGGGTGTGTTAGGGTGTTAGGGTGTTAGGGTGTTAGGGTGTTAGGGTGTTAGGGTGTTAGGGTGTTAGGGTGTTAGGGTGTTAGGGTGTTAGGGTGTTAGGGTGTTAGGGTGTTAGGGTGTTAGGGTGTTAGGGTGTTAGGGTGTTAGGGTGTTAGGGTGTTAGGGTGTTAGGGTGTTAGGGTGTTAGGGTGTTAGGGTGTTAGGGTGTTAGGGTGTTTGGGTGTTAGGGTGTTAGGGTGTTAGGGTGTTAGGGGTGTTAGGGTGTTAGGGTGTTAGGGTGTTAGGGTGTTAGGGTGTTAGGGTGTTAGGGTGTTAGGGTGTTAGGGTGTTAGGGTGTTAGGGTGTTAGGGTGTTAGGGTGTTAGGGTGTTTGGGTGTTAGGGTGTTAGGGTGTTAGGGTGTTAGGGTGTTAGGGTGTTAGGGTGTTAGGGTGTTAGGGTGTTAGGGTGTTAGGGTGTTAGGGTGTTAGGGTGTTAGGGTGTTAGGGTGTTAGGGTGTTAGGGTGTTAGGGTGTTAGGGTGTTAGGGTGTTAGGGTGTTAGGGTGTTAGGGTGTTAGGGTGTTAGGGTGTTAGGGTGTTAGGGTGTTAGGGTGTTAGGGTGTTAGGGTGTTAGGGTGTTAGGGTGTTAGGGTGTTAGGGTGTTAGGGTGTTAGGGTGTTAGGGTGTTAGGGTGTTAGGGTGTTAGGGGTGTTAGGGTGTTAGGGTGTTAGGGTGTTAGGGTGTTAGGGTGTTAGGGTGTTAGGGTGTTAGGGTGTTAGGGTGTTAGGGGGTGTTAGGGTGTTAGGGTGTTAGGGTGTTAGGGTGTTAGGGTGTTAGGGTGTTAGGGTGTTATGGGTGTT